CCGGATGTCCTAGGGGGCTCCGCTACCGTACCGACAGCGGCACCACCGCCGTCGGCAGCAGCAGCGGCAGGCACGCCGCCGGCTGCAGAGGCCCCGTCATCCGCGCTGGCGGCGGCGGCGGCGCGGGTCATGACAGGGCTGACGGCAGCGGGCCTCGCGGGGCCGTCAGGTGCCGCCGCCGCCACGCATGCGCCGTCAGTGCAGGGGTCGGTGCAGTACGGTCGCTCCCCGCCAGCGCCGCCGCAAACACCCGGCGGACGCGGCGGGGGCGGCGGAGGCGGCGGTAGTGGCAACGTCAACGTGCATGAATACGACATGGGTCGCTTCGCCTTCCACTCTGCCGTATCTGCCCCGGTAGGTACGGCAGCCGGGCCGGCGGCGATCTCAGGTGTCAGCGGGTTGTCACAATCAGCGCCGCCGTTGCCGCTTAGTGGACGCTCCGCGCATGCGTCGTCGGCGCTGCTGCCTCCGCCGCCGCCGCTGGTGCTCCCGACGGCGCCGTCGCCATCGCCGCTGATCGGCAGTGCCCCTGGTTCCGGAGCTGCCAACGGCAGCAGTGGCGGCGGCGGCGGCGGCGGCGGTGGTGGCTCCCAGCTGCCCCGGGACGCCGCCAGCGTGCTGAATGCAGCAGCCGCCGCAATGGTCGCCGCCGTAGCCGCGCAGCAGTCCCAGGGCGCGGGTGGCGGGCAGCTGGCCGACCCAAACCGACCAGTGGGTCATTGAAAGCGCAATGACGCTGCATGATGGCTTAAGATATAGAAGGAGCTTTGAGGCTGCCTTTGGGCTTAAGGGATATTGCAGATTCAGTGGACGAATGGCATCATATGGGATCAGCATCAGATGTTTTGAGCTGTGCGCTTCATCAAAGTAGGAGTCAAAGTGGACGGCCACCCCGCGTACATATTGGACGATACATGTTGGCGCTGTATCGCGGTTGGAGCCGAATGCGGTTTGGTTGCAGTTGGTTGCGAGGGCCGTTGATGCAAGCGGAGGACGTGTTTTGGGCGTTGGCGGTGGTGTTGGGCGCACAACGAACGTAGGTGAGACTGGAATTTCCGCTGAACGCTTTGACCTCACTTTCATTGCTCTGTGCACTCGCTTATGGCTGGTGCGGGGTAGCAGGGTGTGTTAAGAAAACTGGCCGCGAGTAGGAGCGTACTGGATATTCGGAAGATGATGTTCCCCCACCAAAGAAGAAAGGCGGCGTGCGTGTAACAATGCAGTATTGCCATTGTACCACCAGAGAATTGAGGTGTGCATCGTCAGAACCGGGCCGATGAGAAGTGTGAAGTGTGGTACGGTACCGGTAGGTTTCGTTTCCTCCGCGCGCATTGTTGTTGCGGCATAAAGGCATGAACGTCACAGCTGGAATCATTCCAGGGCAACGTGGGAGGGCCGTGTGTTGCCGCCTGTGTGCCAGCTCGTGTAATCGTAGCTGTGTAGCGCTGACATGGCCGTTAAAGGGCCATGCCCGGCTCCAAACCAATAAGTATTTACACGGCTACTTGAAACAGCTCTGAAATACCACCTCTACTTCCCATCGACGCCAGACAACCCGCCGTCTCCTCCACCGCAGTGTTGGGAGAACTACACGAGTGCCGTACACTGGTACACACTATCATTAAGAGCCAAAGCAGGGCCAAAGCCTCGACGAAGTATTAGGGCCGGGCAAGGGATGCTGCGGTAACACAAATCAGCCCTTCTCTCCAGCCCTCTTACAGAAGGCGTACACACCCCACAGGATGTGTCCAGCACACCGCAATGAGCCGCACGCTAGGTGAAACGAGTGTGGGAGTGTGTCAGTGCGCTGCAGATGTCGTACCCTGCCCCAAGAAACCAGCAGGGCATCAAAACACAACCAGCGTACCCGCGGCAATGCGCCCTGAACGCTCAGGCCAACCGTATTACCGTACCGACCGCATGCCGACACAGGTATCGGCCGCATGCCCACACAAGAATGAAACGTTGCCTATAGTACAAAGACGACACATGTCGGACGACTAATAATTGTGTAAGTGTATAGTGTACACGCGAGCGCAATAGGCACTCTTCTTGCATGGCGTAAAAGTACACCGGGGCTGCAGGGCCCCTTGAGCTCGTCCTGTGGCTTACGGAGTCTCCCACTAACGGAGTTGCACGCCACCATCTTCGCCGCCGACAGCAAGGTTGTCAATCAACGACGCGAGCACTGCCATTCGACCTCGTAGCTAGGTTGGGTGTTCGTGTGGGATTCCCTACGTTGACATCATCTCCAAACTTTGCAAACCAACATCGACGACACCACTATAGCATTAACGATAAGACCAGCAAGCGCCGGTGTTGCAATGAAAGCAGATGTAGTACATTAACAACAACCAGAACCAATTCAACCACTAACCAACAAAGTATCTAAACTTCCGAAGCCAATGTTGCATATGCTCGTAATGAAGGGCATATGTTTCTTGCAAGACATCTTCAAGGGCAGACGCGTCTCCAGATACAAAAGATATCAGCCAAGTGCAACACAAGAAAGCGACCCATGGGTCAACCTCTGCGTCACGTCACTGACGCCTTCTCAATCAAGCCCTCCAGCCGACCCAATGACCGCCCAGAAAAAGTCGAACATAAGAGTACATACATGGGCGCACAACGTGGCCCAGAAGGCCTGTGCTATGTATACAGCGGACGTTGCGAACACTGTGGGTGTGTTGTAAACACCCGCTGACAAACCCACAGCATGGACCCAGGGACCGGCAACAAAAGCCCCAACGAACCGGGTACAACGACCCGCCGGCGAAACCGGCGTGTACGGCATGTCCGCACATGACAACAAATGCATCAAAACAACCGGGGCCTTACTTCACCCTTTCACAGAATGGTAATCTTCGCCAACTCTTCGGATCTCAGAAAACACGCCGAACAGCAGGGGACAAGACGTGTACGGCAGGACAAGCCCCATTGCAGTGAACAGCTGCCGGCCCTTCACAGCGCTCCGCAAGCCAGCACAAATGCGTGCTGAATACGCAAGACGTGCGCTGAACGAAGAGACCGACACGCTTGTCCTCAAATCCCAACCCACCATGGCCGCCACCACTAACACCAATAAGAACAGCCAAAACCACGCCCTACCCGCCCCGAGATCCGAGTAAATATTCTTCCGGGCCACAAACACGTTTGCCCCAATGCCCGGATGCAATCGACGACATCCAAATATACAATTTCTTCTCTTCTTCTCCTCCATTATATTATTAAATTATAACCTTATTAATCCTCTGGCCCCACAACCCAGAACCCACACACTCCTCGTACCTTCTCTCCTTCTACCTTTACCCGCTCCCTCCCCTCCACCCATGGTGTTCCTTCTTAACCCCCCTCCCTCCCTCCCTCCCTCCCTCCCTCCCTCCCTCCCTCCTCGATTCCAACACCAGGAGCTCGTCGACTTGTTTGTGCTCCTCATTCAACACATTGGGTATTCTTCTTTTCCCTCCCTCCCCTCCCTTCCCCGGGATATGGGATTGGGACTCGTTGTTCCACGTAAATGTTTTCCCCTGCCCCTCCTCCCTCTCACGCATCCAGCCTCCTATCCAGCTGCAGCTCCCTCACGGGTCGCGGCGCGGAGGGCAGCGAGCGACTGAGCGCCTGCAGCTCCGCCGCCGCCTCCGCATCCGCCGCCGCCTCCACCTCCTCGTCAAGCAGCCCCCCCGAGGCGGAGGCGGCGGCCTCCAGGGCGGCTTGGCGGCGGGCAAACACATCCAGCACGGACCGGTGCACCCTGAGAGGTAAGGGGAGGAGGGAGGAGGATGAAGGGGGGAGAGGAGGGGAGGTTGTGTGGTGCGGTTGGGTTCAGGATTCAGAAATCAATGCTTCCCCACACACAGACACGCATACGTTCCTCCTCGCAACCAGCGTCCTTTGCTACACAGCTCAGTTGGTTTGACACGCCCATACACACACACGCGCGCACCTGGCCACCTCCTTAGCCACGTAGATGGGCTTCCTGAGCTGCAGCGCCAGCGACAGGGAGTCCCCAGGGGTGGCGTCCAGCGAGCACAGCGAGGCGTCCGGGCGGGATAACACGATGCGGCTGGGGGGGGGGGGAGGTGGCGGGGAGAAGGGAAGGGTGTAAGAAGGTACGACCACCCAACCCAAGGGCACGTCAAGCGCACTCCCAAGATAACCGCTGCGCCCCTCTTTCCACCGCCACTCCTTCCCTGCAATCAAGCCCCCGCTCAACTCCTCCTAAGAATAGCCACCGCTACCCTCATCCTCCTCCCACCCCTCTCCCTTCCCTCCCCTCTCCCCTTCCCTCCCCTCGCACCAGTAGCACACCCCGTCCACCACCCGGGTGATGCACACCCGCTGCAGCCGCACACCCGCCGCCAGCAGGCTCCTCCCCCAGGTGCCCGGCGTGGAGGGCCGCCGGGCCTCCAGCGCGCCCCCCGCCGCCACCAGGCTGAGCGCCTCGGGGCCCGCCAGCTCCAGGGGCAGGGGCGCGGGGCAGCCGGGCAGCGCCAGCAGCACCTGGCCGCCGCCCGGGTACACACTCACCTCGCGGAGCTGGGGGAGGGGAAAACATTTAGGTAAGCGAAGCAACGGGGAAAGGAGGGAGGGTAGGTGGGGAGGGAGAGGGGGAGGGAGGAAGGAGTGGTGATAGGCGTTTTGGCACTTCCGATAGGCCATTCTGTTGACCTGATCCGCACCCATTGGCCCGACTTGGGATGTTGGCTGTTACCCGTCTGCTCCACGCTGCATCCCCTTTTCTCCTTCCCTCTCTCCCTCAAACATGCACGCACGCACGCACGCACGCACCTGCGCCAGGCTGTACTGCTGCTCCTCATTGCCCAGTCCGTCGAACCCCTCGAACGAGGACGACGCCACCACACCCGCCGGCTCCTCACCACCACCACCACCACCACCCTCCTCTGCCGCCTGCGCTACCTGCACCTGCTCCTCCTCATCCGGCACTGCCGCCGCCACGTCCCCGCCGCCACCAACCCCATCACCCCCGCTTCCAGCCCCCTTCTCCTTCTGCTCTTCTTCCTGCTTCTTCTTCGCCATCTGGGGCGCCGCCGCGGTCTTAGGAGGCAGATCTGCCGTATATGTCGTACATGACGTGGACGACCCGCCGGGTCCTGTCGTACTCCTGCTACCTCCCGCCGCCGCTGCCGCCGCCGCCGCCTTGGTCGCCAGTCGTACGACCTGCTGTCCCGCCGCCGCCACGTGCTCCGCCAGTGTGGCGCCCGAGGCGGTGTCCACGAAGCGCCAGGCGTGCGACTCGAAGGTACGCAGCGTGAGGGCCGACCCAGGGGTCACTGAGCCGAACAACTCCGCATCGCCGTCGTAGTTGAGCCTGGGGACAGGTGATTGGGGCAAATTGGTGGGCGGTAAAGGGGACGGTAAAGGTGATGGTATTAACCCGGGCATAGGGTGAGGAGGAGGGATGGGGAGAGTGAGGAGGAAGGGTGGAGAAGACGCTTCATTAGCTTCGAGAGCTTCCGACCCATCACTGCCGCCCTCTGCTCACCAGTAGACTTTGAAGGGGCGGTCCAGCTCGTTCAGCACCGTCAGCTCGCTGGGAACTGACCAGGACAGAGACCGCAGCCGCCGACTCGTGCCCGCAGCAGCAGTGGCGGCGGCAGCGGGGGAGGGGGCCAGGGGGTTCCAGCCGGCCGGCAGCAGCCCGCATGAGGTCAGAGGGAGGCTGAGGAGTACGGCGCGACGAGACCAGTGGAGGGAGGAGGAGGCATGCGAGGGCTTGGGAGGCGTGGTGGGGACGGACGGAGGGAGGAATGGAGAGGTGCGGGGTGGGGCTTGGGAGTGCGGAGAGGGGTCTGGGGAAGAGGAGGTGTTGTGGGTAGGAGGTGGGCTGGGTGAGGAGGTCGCTGTTGGTGGTTCGGTCTTCGGGCGTTGACGGAGTGGTAACCGGTTCGGGCAGCTGAGGCTGTGATGTGAGGTATGCGTGGTAATCTTAGTGTTATAGCCTGCGTTACAGGAGGGTTGGGGAGGGAGACGTCTGATTGGTTGACCAATGACGCGGGAAGCGACTGTTGCGCGCTCTGACGGACATCAAGCTTTGCAAAGGCAATGAAGCACAGCCGTTCAAAGAATGTCAGGACTTGAGCTAAAAGTGGCTAGCGGTGCCCCAACAACCACTGGGCGGTATTGCTGACGCAGGTATGATTGCCGGGAAGCTGACGGTCGAATTGACACTTCACCACGAGAATACGAACCTTTCATTTGACCCTTTTTGATTGCAAGCTGCAGCTTCTTTAAGCAGGAGCAGGCGTAGCAAGGGTTTGAGGGGTAATGTCTATGACGCACTGGCCTATGTCTGTAGTCTGTGCGTAGGAGTACTTTAGAGCCAAGACACTTATCGGTAGCAATGGTGACAAAGTGGGCGTCAAAGTTATCAGTCAGCGCCGTATCGACGTTGCGAGATATTTTTGTTGTAACCACCGCCTTCAGTGATGGGAGACGTGACGTCAGGACTTTATAAGTTTAACCTGTTACAGTAAATAAGAGCCCCAGTGAGCGGATACTTTCTCTGACATGGAACGCTTAAACTTCGACTGCCCTCCGTAAGTCCATTCTGACTCATACATGTCAGTATACAAGGGAAATGCCAATGCTCCTATTAATATAGTATTAACCCCATCGCTAGTATCGAACATGTCAGCCTATGGTCGTCGTTGACCGCAAGCCCCAAGAGCCGCGACTGGCTTCGCTCGCCAGTGCCATGGAATTGAGTGCTCTGCAGCAAACTAGAGCACCGTGCAATCCTAGACGCCTACTCAGCGCAAGAATACACGCTTGCATTCTTGCTTGACATGGATATCGCTCCAAGTATGCCGCGTCCGAACCACCTGGGAGGTCATGCAAAGCTTGGTCAACACCCCGCTGCGTCCACTCTTCACGCCAGCAGTTGCAGCCCCGCAGAAACACACTGCCAGCCATAACAACGTTTACTCCGCAGCCTGCACGCACTTCCACATCAGTAGGTGCAGTCGCGTCAAAAAATTCCACAGCGAATGGACGCCAACCCAAGCTGGTACAGAAGTCTTGGGTACCGCATGCGGCTATGCAGATGCCGAGTCAGGATGTGCCCGTCAACAACTGCTTTGAGAGTCCATGCAAACAACATTCGAAACCAAACAAAGCCTGCACAAGGGGCGACATGGACACCCACAGGCAGTTCATCGCAGTTCCCTAATGTGGTCCTCCACGTAAACAAGGCGACATGTCCTTTTCGATCCGATACCGTACATGGTCCTGTCGTCAATGCTGTACTGTACTGCATTTGGAACACCACAAGCCAACTGGTCATTCCATATGCGAATTTCACCCAAAGCCCCAAAGCGAACCAAACTCCAGCCTTAAGCCGCTGTTCCAATGCGCTGCTGTTGAGGCAGCACGCCAACCAACCCACTCAACCCAAACTGCCGAGCAGCACCCATAGCGCCGTACGCAACCGTTGGCCGCAACGGTAACGGTAACCCAGCCGCCGCCGAGTACGGCCGCGTCAACGGTATGGGTCCACTGCCACTCAGCCCCGCCGAGTTGAGCATGGGTGCAGCCGACAAGCAGCTCGCCACCTCCTCGCCATCCATCTGCCGTACACGCGACACGATTGAAGGTGCCGTACGACCGGACGACGACGTCAGTGCTGCAGCAGAGCGCGGCCGCAGCGCGCTGTCTCCCCGGACCAGCCGCGAGGCGCCTCCGGTGGAAGCGGACCGAGCCCGTGGGGGCACGTGGGTTGCAGCCGAGGGGGAAGTGGGGGGAGGCGGTGTTATTGCACCCTCCCGACTTACGCGACCGGGATTGGAAGAGGCGGATGTGAATGAGGAGCGGCCCTGCTCGTACGGCCGTGCCGCCGTGCTGCCTCCCGTAGTCCTGCTGCGTGTCGCCTCACCCTCAACGGGTGATCTACGAGTCGCAGTGCTGGGTCTCGAACCGGATGTGCTTGATGACCCACGGGTCGCGGCTAACGTCTCCGGTACCTGATGACGTACTGCCAGGTTTCGGAGCTTGCGTCCCAGGGCGAGAACGTCCGAGGGCAGCATCAACCCTGGGGGAGATGCTTTGCCCGACACAGGCCGCACAAGTCCATTCGCAGCACCGGAAGCAATGGCCTGTGCAGTGCTGGCTGCTGCTGCTGCTGTTGCTGCTGCAGGAGTTGCGGCAGCCGCCATCGCAGCCCCACCGCTGGTTGACGACCTCCTGCCCTCCTCCACAGCCAGAGCAGAGGGCTGTGCGTGGAGCCCCCGCCGGCGGCGCAGCGCAGCCGCCTCAGCACTCTGCGCCGACAGCTGCAGCAGCATCTCCCTCGTCGCAACCTCCTGTGCCGCGGCGGAGCTGCCGCCCAGGCCCAGCGCCGCACCCGCCGCCGCCACCATCTCCGTCGCGTACTGCGACCGCAACCGCAACACTGCCGTGCGGTTCAGCCGTACTGCCGGCGCGCCGTCAGGCGCCGACGGTAGGTCAATGTCCACATAGTCATCGGACCACATGGGAGGCCGGCTCAAGGCGACGTCGCCGCCACCGCCGCCGCCACCGTCTTCACTAGCGACGATGGCGGCGGCGGCGCCGCTACCGTCTTTGCCGTATGACGCGTCTACCGCCGCCTGCGCCGCTGCCACCACCTGAAAGGCCGACGGCTGCGGCAGTGCAAACACGGGTGAGCCGGGTTGCACCCCCATGAAGAAGGGAGGTCTGGGCGACGACCTGTTGACGACGCCAAACCCTCCGCCGCCGCCGCCGTAACCAGCGTCTTCGCTGCTTCTTCGGGCTTGCGCGTCGGTATGCCGTCGCCGCCGGATGCGCCCCTGCTGCAGCTCCTGACGCTGCGGGAATAGGGCCCCCCAGCTGCCCTGCGGCTCTGTCCCAGCCGCCTCTGGGACCTGCAGCGGCGCCGGCGCCTGAGTCGCCCCTCGTGCCAGGCGGCTGGCGGACAGAGGCCGGGAGAGAAGTAGCTGCTCCCGCTTAGGCGATGTTAACGACCGAGGTGAGGTGGTGGGCGAGGCGGACAGGGGATCCGGCATGTTCCGCACATCCTCGCCGGAGGTACCGGTACCCTCGCCTCCCACCGCATTCACGAGCAAGGCATCCAAGGGGCCGCAAACAGCACGCTGCTGCTGCTGCTGTTGTTGTTGCTGTCGCGACCGCGGCGTCAAAGCTGCATGCTGCTCCGATCCTGACCCCGTCCCGGTTCCTGCTCTGCTGCCGTACACGGGGCTAGTGGTGCCGTACAGCCGCGCCGCGATGTGGCTCACCTCCTCGTCCACCTCCGCCTCCTCCTCATCGTCATTCACCACTCCTGGAATGGATCCATGCCCCACGCTGGAGCGCTGCAGCAGCACCGCCTCCTCCCAAGCCGACAGCGAATCCAGTCGGCCCCGCAACGCCTCTTCACCGCCCGCCGGCGCCCCCGCCCCCGCTGTCGTCGTCGCCTCCGTCAGCTCTGGTACGACACCGCCGCCTCCGTCAACCGGGAACCACATCTCTGGATCCACGCCGTACCACGCCGTGCCGTGGGGGGCTTTGTACGGCGGCGGCGCGCCGGCGGAGGCGCCTCCGCCGCCCCCACCTTCGCTGGATGCGGCGGAGGCTGAGGCGGGCCTGCGTGATGACTTGCCACGTGGCGTTGCCGCCACTGCTGAAGTGGGCTGCGTAGCGCTCTTGGGGCGCTCGGACCCTGGGGGCGTAGCAGCACCGTCTCCGGTTCTGTTGCTTCCGCCGCTGCCTGTCCGTTTGATTTTCAATTGCACAGCGCGCCTGGCGACAGGCGATCGCGGTAACTGCAACCGCAGGTCGCCGGCAGCCGCAGCCGCCAACGCGGCTACGTCGCTCTCCTCCTCCGCCGCCTCCGCCACCACTGCTGCGGTGTCTCCTCCAAATGGTTGGAAGCGCAAGCGCGCACTGTAGCTACGGAGCAACCCCAGGCGCGGCCTAGAAACGCCGTCAGCACCCGCCGCCCCCTCGCCTCCCTGCCCACGCCTAGACGGCGACACCTGCCGGGCCAGATCCCGCCCTGCACCCTCCTGGTCCTCCTGCTGCTCTCCCTCTGCGGCGAAGCCTTCAGAATCTGCCTCCAGCTGCTCACCCGGCTGGGATTCAAACGTCACACCGCCGGTTGCGACACTCCCCGCTTGGTGTTGGTGATACTGGTACTGGTGCTGGAGGGCAGGCTGGGCGGCAGGAGCCGTCGCTCCCTCAGCTACTGGGGCTGAGGCTGCTGAGGCTGCTGCTGTCCTGGGCGGAGCGGGCGGCAGGCCGATGCGCTCTCGGACCCAGTCGGGCAGGATGGCGAGGATGGGGTCCGACTCCAGAGAGTCTGCCGGCAGTTGGGGTTGCAAGGGGGGGAGGCGGGCGGCACGTGGATGACACCCCGTGTCAGGTTTGAGGGTGCAGTAGCCCAGGGGGCGATGACAAGAGAGGATGATGCTATTAGCAAGAGCTCCAACAGCAAGCCCAACTCCCAAGAGCTCCCTTCCACTCACCCACCCCCCCGCGCAGCACCCACCCACTCGCACCCACCTGCCACCTCCAGCTGCACCGGATGCGCCGCCCCGGCGCCCTGCATGTACTTTGGCGCCACAGGGGCCGCACGTGACCCACCCTCCCTGCTACTCCGCGGGCTCACATCGCTCCGCCGCGCCCTACCCTCCACCGCGTGCTGCGGGTGCGGGTGCGGGTGTTGTTGGGGGTGCGCGCCGCCTCCAACAACACCGCTGCCTGCCCCATGCGCAGGCGCCCTTCCTCCCAACACCCTCGCGGCCGCGCCATGCCCCATGCTGACGCCGTTTGACACCCGAGGTAGCGCTGTCCCCATGCCTGACACCCCCGCCGCGGATGCTACCACAGCAGCAGCAGCAGCACCCCGCGTCGTCTTGCCTGCAGTGCTGCTGGCTGCTGGGTTGCGGATCGCCGTTACCCGTGCAGCGCCATGCCACCCATCTCCCTCCTCCAGCCCCCGCAGTAACATCAACTCCGGATCATCCGGAGCGCCCTGATCTTGAGGGCCCAATTGGTGCGTCAGCGGCGGCTGGGAATCGCGGCCCACGGCTGGCTGAGGTGATGCGCCTCGGCTGGTTGCTGCCACTGCCGGAGTCCCTGCCGCTGCGCCGCCGCCCGCACAGCCGCTGCTGTTAGGGTGGTTATCCGCTCGACGTACGACAAAGGTGTGGTTCCGACCCGCCACCTGAGCCGTCACCTGCACCTCCCCAGGACGCATGGGAACCGCTGCCACAGCCGGCGGCGAGCCTCCCGCCGTCGCTGCCGTACCAACGCCATTACCACCTCCACCTCCGCCAACAGTGCTGGAGGATGCAGGCGGCGACGGACCCGCGGGTCGGAACATCCCTCGTTCCGCTGCCTCCTCGCCCGGCCACAGCGCCGAGCCAATGCCGTCGTCCCAGCCGTCCTCCCCCGCCCCCAGCATCATGCCCAGCCCGAAGCTCCGATCCATGCTGACACTGCGGCCGAGGCTGCGGGAGCGAGACAGGGAGGACCTCAAGCGAAAGGAGGTGCCCGGGGAGGGGTTGCTGGCGGGCCAGCCGCGTGCGGAGGAAAAGGAGTCGCCCGGGAAGCCGCCGCCACCGCCGCCGCCGCCGAGAGCCGCGGCAGCGATTTCGGAATTCCAGAGAGATGGCGCCTGGGAAGCGGAGGCGGAAGCCGAAGCGGAGGGAGACAGACCCCTGCGAGTGCTGGGGCTGCGGGATAGCGACCTGCTTAAGGCGGCGCCGGCTGCGCCAGCGCCGGCGCCAGCACTGGCGGCGACTGACCCACGGGTCATTGAGCCGCTGCGTCCGCTGGCTGAGGCAGCGGTGCTGGCAGCACCCGTCTTGCCGCTGGTGCTGGCGTTACTGCTGCTGGGGGCGGTCATCAGCCGGCGCTTGGATGTCGTGCGTGAGGTGGCGGCGGTGGCGGCGGTGTTGGTGTTGGTTTCGGTGTTGCGGGATGAGGTGGCGGACCTGCGGGCGGAGCCGCCTGCTGTGCCCTCGGGGCCTGAGCCCGGCTGCCCCTTGCGGCGAGTGCGGCGTTGGATGGGGACATGGGTCAGCTGCAGGAGCCGCTTGATGCCCTCCGTGCCCTGCGCGGTGGGAGTCAGCCGGGCTGGTTTGTGAAGACGAGGAGGCGGTCAGTGGGAGCACGTGGGTGCGGGCAGTGCCCCCGGGTGCACGCCGTTGCACCACTACACTACCAGACTAGGTTAGGTCCAGCAGTACTGCAGCGTGTTGCAGGAGTCAAGATAACAAAAGGCTAACAGCACTGGCATGCCTTTGCTAGCACGGCAGGGAGTCAGGCAGGCAGGCAGGCGGTCCCCCTCACCGCCATGGCATCCCGCAGCATCTGCTTCCGCTTGAACGTCTTCAGCAGCTCGTACACCTTGCAGCCCTGCATGGCGGAGGAGCAGGAAGAAGAGCGCAACGCAGCAGGCGGACAGGGTAGCTCAGCCTCACATCAATTCCTTCCTCACTTCCTTGAGGTCCCAGGTTTCTACTCACTTCGCATCCCTTCTGCCCACACTAGCACCACCACCAACACCCCCGCGCCACCTTCATCCACCTCCCGTAGCACCCCTCACCACCTAACCACGCCCACGCCCACCTCTCCCCCCCTAACTCACCACCTCCCGCATGAGGGGTCCCTGCTCCGAGCGCATGAGATCGTCGTACGGCTCGTCCACCAGCAGCTTGCCCGCCATGTACTCGGTGTAGTCGTTGTGGCTGATGCGGCGGCCGTGGCGGTTGGTGGCGTCCATGCGGGCGGCCAGCGCGCGGACCGTCTCATTGCTGGGCAGGGAGGAGTGGGGGAGGAGCGGTGGAGGGTGGGGGACGGGAAGGGGGCGGCATGGCCCGCATGGGGCAAGGGCCGCAGCTCGGACGAAGGCATGGAGTGGAGGGTGGATGAGGACATGGAGGATGATGAGGAGAGGTGACACTTGAGGGGTGTGCAAGGCGCGGGTCAGGTGGGAGCTGTCTAGTTGTAAACTTGTAAGGATTGGGGACAGGGTCGTCAGCGGAGGTCAACGTTTGGGTGGTTGGTCAACGTGAAGGTGTAAGCAGGTGGCAATGGCATTCCGGGGGGTCCTCGAGCCGGGGATGCTGAGCTTACTATGCCAGCAAACTCCTACCTGACTGTCTTTCCAGCAGCTTCATTGAGTGCCGCGTGAAGTTCGCGCTCCGTGATGTAGCCTGTGGTGCGCGACATTGGGCGTGGTCATCCGCACGCACGCCATGCGCACGCTACCTACCATCCCCAACGCCATGTCACACTTTATGATGTGCCCAGTTGTTAATTTTGTACGGAGTGTCCCTTTCTACTTGACCCTCTTCGTCTTTATCGTAGGCCCAGTCACGCGTCCTACCTTTCCGGTCGACATCCAAGCGGTCCCAAAGTCCTTGGATGTCTGTCTTTGCTTCGATTGTCAAGTAAGGCTGCCAGGTAATGCTTTTGTCCTTTTTCTTTTGCGCCAGCGCGCTCGCTAAGCCCTCGTCCATGTGTGACTTTTCCCGGCTTCGAAATCACAGCGCTACGGTTTCTCAAAAAGTTAAAAAACAAATAGAAAGCAGTCAGTGTGTAGCTTTGATAAATAACAGCAATGCGGTTAGTGGAAGTTCAGTCGCAAGCCCGATGAGGGCTATAGTAGCCGGCATCGCAATATCCAACTCCTGAAGGTCTTGCTCAATTAGCGCAATTAAGTGTCAGTTTGGTTGCAATACTTGCAAGTCACTTAAGCGGGTCGCGACGAATGATGCATCATCCGCCGTGTTCGAGTCGTACCTATGTGTGCCAAATGCCATAGCTGCCAAGAGCGGAGCGCGCCACATACAATCCATCCTTCTGCACATATAGCGCACAATGGCGTCAAGAGGTCTACTAGAAATCCTGTCTGGGTGAGGACAGCGCAATGCAACCGGCCCAGCCGTTAGCGTCTTATCTAGATCTAACACGTTCACCAATTCAATTTGACCTTCCAGGCCCACGGCTTCAACCGTGGCTGGTTTTGCCGGCAGCGCGGCGGTTGTGTTCGGGGTGCAACGCCTCGTGCCCACATTTGACCCGACATGGTACAAGTCGCTCAAGAAGCCACGGTACGCAGCGCTGCTTGTGGGCCCAATTGTGTGTTGGACCGTGCTGCGCGTAAGGCTGCTTACATCAGCCCTTTTGGGTGTGGCCCCCCGCTCGTGGTGCTCGATGCTGGGCCTGTCTTTTTACCGACCATCCAAGCAACCGACTCCGCCCCTTTTCCCCCCCCCTTGCCTTGCCTTGACGACCTCGGAAACACCGTCTTGGGGGCAACCTGCCACCAACCCCTCCTTCACAACCACCCCGCCTAGCTGGACGCCTCCCAACTACGTCTTCCCGCTGGTGTGGATCCCTCTGAAGCTCATGCAGTCGGTGGGTCCCCGTGTCGGGAGCTGCCCCTCCTCCCACTGCATATCTCCTCAGCCAGCAGCCAGCAACTATGATGTGATCCTATGCGCCCCAGTCCTGCCGCAGCACCCACGGAGTGGCGTTGTGCTCTTGCCCGACTTCCGCCGTCCGCATATGCGCACAACCAGCACGCTCGACGGCACCTGAATGACCACATACACACACACACACACACGCACACACACACACACATGATACGGCACAACCCCCATCCGTGCCTCCCTCCCTCCCTCCCTGCCTGCCTGCCTCCCAACCATGGATCTCAGGCTGCTCTGTGGCTGGTGTGGAGCCGGGCCCCCAGCAGCAAGGCGCTGGTGCTGCCGCTAGCTGCCATGGGGGTCCACATGTTCCTGGGCAACTGGTGGAACGGTGGGTGGGCGGGTCGCGGGGCAGGTCGCGGGTGGGAGCTGCGGGTGTCCTGTGTGTGGTGGCTGCTGCTGCTGCTGCTGCACCTTTAAGCTGACTGCATGTGCTCTTCCTTTCGTCCTTCGCAACCTCTCCGTCCCACCGTCCCTCCGTCCTGCCCACCCTCCTGCCCACCCCCCTGCACCTCGCCCCCCCCAGTTGTGTTCTTCGGCAAGCGGCAGCTGAAGCCCAGCCTGCCCTGGATGTACGCCTTCTGGGGCAGCATCGCCGCCACCGCCGCCGCCTTCCACCCCATCAGCCCCGCCGCAGCCTACCTCATGCTTCCCACACAGGTGATGACTGATGAGGAGTGGGAGAGATGGGGGGGGAAAGGGGGGGCACGGCATTGGGGGCGGGGCAGTACGTGCACCTCCTCGTCACGGCCTGCCGCGCTTAGTCTACTCTTACTCTTAGGCCGTAGTGACCGCCCACATGCACGGCAGTACGGTATGACTGACCCTGACCCCATGTCGTACATCCGCCATGTCGTACAGGTTTGGGTCACCATTGCCACCAAGCTCAACTGGGACATCGTCCAACTCAACATCTGAAGGGCCGCTTGGTTGGCGGCCTGTTACCACCAAAGCGAAAAGCGTACGTTGCGCTACCAAAGGAGAGCTGTACATAGACGAGACTTGAGAAGCGCTGCTGCTGAGTACGGGGTTCCCGGCGATGGCGGTAACTATAGTGGCGTTCGTGGAGGTGACATGACAGTCCTAGACGGCTTTTGCCTAGCGTTGTTCATTGAGTTATGAGTGCGACTATGACGTAGAGCGTGAGCGTTGAGCGACTCCTAACTGGATTCTTGTTATATGTGCTCATCTAGAAACATGTCGCCTACCGCCCGTGCGGGTCATGGTGGGAAGTCCTGTCCGCAACTGCCTATTTTCCCCAGTTACCTACATAGCCGCAGGGACACTGTAACTATCAACGCCCTGCCTGCCGCCCTGCCAATTGCTGCGCATCTGCCCGGGACAACAATATGCGCACAAAGTGCGACAGCATGCATACCGGCTTTGCAAGAAAGCCACAGACTACGAACCCTATCTGACACCCCTATGCGTCAGAGGTGGACCTATACACTTGCAGAGCCCTCATTAGATGGTTCCTCTTTTCAAGGTACTGCTCATTGTCGCTGCAAGCAACGTGCTCGCGCTACGATACAATAAATTCAAAAGATTAGGGCGTTGCTACAGGGTTACAGCGGAAGATTACCCGCTTACGCACCTGATTATGGATTCGTAGGCGGCTGACGTTTTCCCTTTTCGGCAAGTACTTATAAATAAAAGAAGCGTTTGCACCTTAGTCCGGTACTTCCCTTTCATCGAATGTACCGTAATCGTAAAGGGTGTACTCCGAATCCTTTTCCTCACGGCTCTGCCTCCGAAAGCCACTCAGCATAGGCCCAGATAGGCCCCTAAAATAATGTCATTACTAAGCAGCGGATGGCTTTCCCGGCTCCTTCCGAACTCGGCGCCGGAAAAGCAGCCGCAGTCGCTATCGCAGCAGCAGCGGCAGTCGACGAGTCGCGACGCCGCCAAGCACCACGCACTCGCTCCCCAGGGATCTCCAGATGATGAGGAAGCTTACAGTGTGGTAGTGGCGGAGGAGCCGTCGCCTGCAGGCGGCGCGCCGCTTCAGGTTCGTAGGTACGTTTTTTTTAACTGACGGATGACCCGTGGGTCACTGGGTCGCCAGCACGGTCACTGGTGTCACAAATTGGCGCGTGCTGCTTGTCAAAAGTCTAGCATATGATGGATGCTGTGAATGGCTGCGAAGTAGGTGAGGTAATTGCTCGAACGATGACGCCGAAGGTGCGGCTCTTGTCCTTTCGCATGGCCTTGACAGCTTGACTTACCGTGTTATTACCGCTCCCCTATCTACCTCTCCCATATACCACGGGTCCATTCCTTAACGGTATTCCCCCGTCCCCCCCCCCCCACATCTCCACCCCCCGAGAGGTCCCCCTTGTCGCCTGACAAACTGCTCAGCACCTTCCCGCCCCCCGCCGAGCACGTGAGAACGCTGTACGGCAATCTGGAGTACGGCATCAAGATGTTCCCGGATGTGAGTACGGCGGTGTGGAGGAGGAGTTGGGTGTTTGACTGTTTGCGCGCATTTAAAGCAATGGCGGCTTATGGTGCTTGCTTGGATCATGACGTCAAAGGCGACCAAAGCACTGAAGTCCCCTTTGCTGCATATATAGCACACCCTTATTAGGGCCAACTTCGCACACATTTGCTGTATCGTTACGTGCCTACTGATATGCGGGAAGCGTGAGATGTGAATACTTCGCCATGCGCAGGTGCCGTACTTGGGCAGCCGGCAGCGGGACGAGCAAGGGAAGCTTGGTTCGTACACCTGGCTGACGTACAAGCAGGTAAAACTGATTGTACGGAATGTATGAACCACGGGTGTAGCTTGATGATTGGCAATGTCGGTCATCCGCGAGCAGCGCACGTTCAAGGGATGCCCCCCTTCTGTTCCATTCCTTACCTGACATGGCTGACACATGTCCTCACCCCGCATCCCCCACCCCTCCAGACTGGCGAGGCTCGTAGCGCGCTGGGTTCGGGTCTGCTGTCGCTGGGCATTCGGCCCGGGGAGCGCATCGGCATCTACTCCGTCAACTGCCCAGGTGGGGAGTAGTCCTGGGTGCTGGCTGGGCGCTGATGGGTGCAGGCTGGGTGTCTCCGGGGGGCCGGTGGCGGTGTGTCACGGGGTGGACCGATGAAGTGGGCCTGCAGGTGTTGGCCCCTGCAGCATGCATGTACCCATCATGCTGCCCTACCCCTTCCAGCACCCGCCTCGCTCCATTCCAATCACACCCCTCCTCACTCTCACCTCTCACCCTGTGCCCCCAACCCTCCACACCCCTCCTGTTGACGCCTTATCCCTCAGTCAGTTAGTTGTTTCCTCTTTACCCCCCCCCCACGCCCCTCACTAGAGTGGCTGCTGCTGGACGCTGCCGTACACTCGTACGGCATGGTGACCGTACCGCTGTCCGACACGCTGGGGCCGGATGCCGTACAGTTCGCGGTGAACCATGCGGAGCTGGCGGTGGTGGGGTGCAGCGGTACGGCACTGCCGGGGGTGCTGGCCAGCCTGCCGTACTGCCCCGGGGTGCGGCTGGTGGTGAGTGGAGGAGGGGATGCGGGGCGGGGTCGGGCTGAGGGGTGGAGAGCTTGGCATCCCAGGGCCCTGTGTCGGTTGGCATGTAGGCATGCGAGTGAAGCTGCATAACGGCAGAAGCACGCGTCCCCTTGCCCTCCTTCTCCACTTCCAAAGAGGCGCCCGGGCAGAGCACCTCACCCCTTCACCTGCCTCGCTTTCCCCCCCACTAGCCTCCACCCCAGACCCCACTCTACACAGCCCGCTCCTCCCTGCTCCCCCGCCTCCAACCAACCTACCGGTACCTATCCCACCCCCACCCCCCAGGTCGTGTGGGGTGGTGCCGAGCCGCTGCCGCCGCCCCCCGCCGCCGCCTCCCCTGGGTGCCGCGTGGTGCCGCTGCGGGCGGTGCGCGAGCTGGGGTCCGCACACCCCGCCCCGCCCGCCCCCGCGCCGCCTGAGGCGCCCGCACTGGTGCTGTTCACAAGCGGTTCCACCGGGCAACCCAAGGGTGAGGGAAAGGCGGGGGGAAGAGGGGGGGGGCGCGAGGGATACCGATAGACAGGGAATGGGTCGACGTGTATAGGCATACATGTTTGGTGCTGCGGTGTTTGCCACTCAACCCTGTGTGGAATGAGGAGTATACCGAATTATCGGTGCACACAACCCCTCGCGGTTCACATGCGAACCTATTCCAACTGCTTGCTCTTGTTCTCCTCAACTACACACAACCCCTCCCCGGCCTCCCTCCCCCCCCCGGCCCCTGCTCGGGTACAATTAGCAACCCATGGAGAAGCCCCGTCGTTCAGTTCGTCAGTTTTCCTTATTTTTACGCCCCCTGCTCAGGTGCCGTACTCACGCACGCGCAGCTAACCTCCAGCGCCGCGGGAGTGCTGCGGCTGCTGTCGCGCGCATGGACCCGCCACGGCCCCCCCACCGGCTGGCGGCACCTGTCGTACCTGCCCCTGGTGCACATGTACGAGCGAGTGGTGGTCATGCAGGTGGGTGGGTGGGTTACGGCAGGTGGGCGGGTTAGAGGGAGGAACGGGTGGTGGTGGTGGTGGTGGCGATGGGGTATTTAAGGCCGGCACCGGTGACTGAAGGGGAATGGGAGGGACGGGGCCATGCGCGGCTTCACACAGGGTGCGCACATTCATGCACACGCGCCAAGCCCACTTGCTGTTACATTATCGTGTCCCTCCTCTGCCGCATGCATGGAGGATAATGCATGTTACGCACCCCCCTTCCTTCTACACCCTTCCCTACACCCCCGCCTCCCCTCTACCGTCTACCCCCGCTCCCCCCCCTAGCTGACCCTGCTGGGCTGCTCGCTGGGCTTCTTCTCGGGGGACACGCGGCGGCTGCGGGAGGACATCCTGGAGCTGAAGCCGCAGGTGGGGGTGAGGGTGGGGGGACTCGAGTGGTGGTGCCCTGGGTGAGGGAGAGAGGTGGTGCTCGGGTGGTGGTGCGCTGGGGTGCATGCAGGCACGTCACCAGTCCTCCACGTTCACATGGGCGTGTGCCGAATGGAGGAACGCGTACTTCCGCATGTAGCAGTGCAGTAGTAAGCAGTGCAGTAGTTGCTCGCGTGAAGGCGCGGGTATAAATGGTGGCACACGGGTACATGCAGAGGAACACTGCCCGCCCGGGGTGTTAAACGGGGTGTTTAACGCCACATCATGCTGCCTCCCCCCCTCCTGCAGGTGCTGCTGGGCGTGCCGCGCATCTGGAACCGGCTGTACGACAACACCATGGCGGCCGTTGGATCTGGATCCAGCTCGCCGCTGTACCGCGCCTTCTTCGAGGCCGTCCTCCGGCGCCGTACGGCGGGGCTGGCGAGGGGGGAGGTGGCGCCTGCGGGCCTGTTGGACCGCCTGTACGACAGGTGTGGGCGTGCGGGCTGCTGCTAGCTGCGACACACCTGTTACTGGGTGGTTGCTGCATGGGTGCGCTTCTATGGTTGAACTTTGGATGCTCAGTGCGTGACACGATCGCCCCTCTGCCGCTCTGCTCCTCCCTGATACCGGTACCGGCAGGCTGGCCTTTGCCTGGGTGCGCGGGCGGCTGGGCGGGCAGGTGCGGCTGATGATGTCAGGTGCGGCGGGGAGAGGGAGGGGCGGAGGGACGGCTGGGGGGGGCGTGGGAGAGAAGGGCTGCGGCCGAGCTCAACAGAACAACACTCCGGACCTTTTGTGAACTCTCCCTCTTACCCTCGCGCTTTTCCTCTTCTCCCGCCCGCCCCCCCAGCCGGCTCCCCGCTATCGCCCCACGTGACCACCTTCCTGCATGCCGTATTCGGCTTCGAAGCCATCCTGGTGGAGGGGTACGGCATGACAGAGTGCGGCGTCATCTCCATGACCGCCCCGGATGACGTGGCTTGTCCGACAGCGGGGCATGTGGGCGGCCTGAGTCCCTCCCTGGAGGTGACGCTGGCGGACGTTCCTGACATGGGCTACACGTCAGCAGATCTGCCGTACCCGAGGTGCGTTGGGAGGCGGTGCGCGCGAGTATTTATGACTAATCCCAATCCCAAGAGCAAGGGAAAACGGCGTGTTTTGTTAGGGAGGACGGAATTCCAGGCCTACATGCCGTTAGTGTGTAGATGGTCGTTAAACGGCAACCACCCTCCTCCTCACGTGCCCCCTTCATGTGCCGTACTGTACGGCACACCCACCCCTGCAGGGGCGAGATCTGCGTGCGCGGTCCCGGGGTGTTCTCGGGGTACGTCAAGGACGAGGCACGAACCCGGGAGGCAGTGGAAGCGGGGGGTTGGCTGCACACGGGTGGGGACAGGGTGGGGAGGGGCTGTGGGGCTGTGGGTGGGATTTGAATTGTGGGAGGGAGCGCATGGCGGTGGCTCTGCGGGAGGTTGGAGGGCGTGGAGGTTGCCACGCGCGGCTTCCTTGCTTCACCGCTTAGGACTGCAGACGGCTATCTAGCAGCAACGCCAGGAACCTGCCTTCCTTGCCCTTCACCCTGCACCTGCTCCCTCGCACCCCCTCCTGCCCCGCCGCCCCCAGGCGATGTGGGCGAGTGGGTGGAGGGCGGGCGGCTCAAGGTAATCGACCGCAAGAAGCACCTGTTCAAGCTGGCGCAGGGGGAGTACGTGGCGCCGGAGAAGCTGGAGAACGTGTACCTCAGGTGGGGCTGGCTGGCTGCATGCTTGCATGGAAGGGAGGGGAGAAGAAGAAAGAATACCACGGGAGGGATGGAGGGAAAGGAGGGGTCCTAGTGCGTGCATGCTTGCCCCCCTCCCCGGGCTCCAGAGCCCACAGGGCCGGTACATGATCCCCCACATTCGAATGAGATGTGCAGCCCCCTGTCCACCCCGCTTGCCATTCACAAACCCCCTCCCCCTACCCACCCGCCACCTGCCCCCCCGCTTGCTGGTGTCGTACAGGAGCCCGCTGGTGCACCAGGTCTTTGTGTACGGCGACTCGCTGCGATCCAAGGTGAGTCCGGGGGGAGGGCGCCTCTTGCTTCCATAAGAAGTGCACCTAAGAACCCTCCTCATTCGCCTCCCCACCCGCCTCCTCACCGCCCGCAGTTGGTGGCCGTAGTGGTGCCCGAGCCAGACGCCCTGCTGAAGTGGGATGCGGAGCGGCAGGCCGGCAGCCGCCAGCAACCCATGCAGCCCCCGCCACCGCAGCAGCAGCAGCAGCAGCAGCCAGGGGCTGGCGGCTCCCAGCCGGACGAATGGCAGCCGGAGCTGGGTGGGGGCCAGCAACAGCACCAGCAGGGCGCTAACGGGAACGGCAGTAACGCCAGCAGCAGCGCCAGCAGCCAGGCGGCCCGTGTGGCTGCGCTGTGCTGCGACCCCGCTGCGGTGGCCGCGGTGCTGAGCAGCATGACGGCAGCCGGCAGGGAGGCGCAGCTGCGGGGCTTCGAACGGGTGAGGGGAGGAAAGGGCAGGGCAGGGGAGGAAGGGGGAGGGGAGGAGGGTTGGGTAGGCGGAGGAGGGGGCGTGGCAGGTGCGAGTGGCAGCTGCCGCTGTAATCCTCCACAGCCATGGACGAGTCTTTCTTGCTGGGAACTTCATGCTGGGGCGCTCCCAGTCGCGGCGGAAGGCCTCCTTGTCAGCCCTCTGCCGCCTGCCACCTCCCCCCGACAACACCGTCCCTTTGTCATTCCGCACACCCCTCCTCTTCCTCCTCACACCCCACTCAATCCCACCCCCCGCAGGTGCACGCCATCCACCTGCACCCCGAGCCCTTCTCCCCCCAGTCGGGGCTGCTCACCGCCTCCACACTCAAGACGGTGAGGCCCGCCGCCCGCGCGCGCTTCCAAGCCGCCCTGGACGCACTGTACGAGGGACTCCGGGAGTGAGGGGGGGGGCTGGTGTGGAGGGGGTTCTGCGGTATCTGGTTGTACTGCACCTCTGCAGGAGGGGCTGCTGATGCTGGTGTTGACGCGAGGAGGAAGGAGGAGGGGAAGGAGGAGGCACGTGATGGTGGGGCAGTTAGGATGGCGCATGGCGGCATTGGGGAACGAGTTGAGCCGCATGGGCCAAGGCAAGGGGTGGCTGGGGTTAGGGTTCTGGTGGTGCAGGCTTGCCAGGGCCGCACCCCGCTGCTGCTGGGATGGGGGTTAGGGCCAGGTGGGACTCTAACAAATGCCCTTGGAAGTTTTAAGGGCAGTCGGGGGGGGGAGATAGTTGGGTTGGGACGTGGGCTGTGCAGCGCCCGGATTAGCTAGGGTGGGCCGTTGCTATATGGAGGCGTGCATCTTCCAGGTTCCGTTGCGTGGTTCCAACTTGTGTAGCGTTTCCAGACCCTTGCGTGCATGAGGACTTACTTGGACTTCGGCCAGGCTTCCAGAATGGTTGATACTGCCTCCCTTGTACGCTTTGGCAGGTCGTGCATAGTTGCGGGATGTTGCCGTACATTCCGCATGTCGCCCTGTGGCGGGCTTGTTTCCCCGACGTAACGAAAAGTATGAAAGCCACCCCCTGGATACCATAGATATGCTTTTACATGTAAAGATTTGCTGCCACAGGTACCGCGTCTTGATGGAGTTTGCTCAAGAATGGCTGCAGTGGAATCTTTTTCAGCAGCCCGCACATTGGCCTACCACTGAGTTTCTTTGTTGCAAAACATATTCCCTATGTACAATGTGATTTAGGATGTGCCAGGCCGTTAATGATACGTTCACGATGTCTACAGGTATACCATGTGCGCAGCCATTGGATAGCGATGAATAATCCTGTGCCGACTGCGCGGCAATATTTACAGCAATTTATCGCTGCTGCGGTCTTGCCGTAGTTGATTGCCAATTTGCTATGCCTATGAACTATGCAAGTGTACGAGCGGTCTAGGCGTCTAGCGGTCCGATCTCCGATGGTACCACTGTGGCTCGTCCGCTGGCCAGCTGGCAAGAACAAATATACGGTAATATAGCATACTCGTAATACGCAACAGCTAGGGTTGCCAACGCCCATGCAGCCCAGCTAGTTAATTGTATCCAGACCTTTGAATCTGAACAAAAAAGACAGCCGAGGGCACCGTTGCGTAAGCGAAGTCCAAGAGTGCTTGTTAAGTAATAACCTACAATTGGTATGTAATGTTACCCAATGTGACCACTTTGGCCTAAACAGCAACACCAGACATTGCAGTCGCTCATGCGCAAGGATGGAGTACATAGCGGCGACATTTCGCTATCGAAGCATTTTGTTGACAGGTGATAGCCGTTCGGTTTGTAAAAGTTCAGAGCGCTGAAGTTTCCAGGAGCCAGAGTGCAATTGTTCTGGGCTCTGATTCCTCTGCAGGGGCAACGACTTTCCTGGGAAGTGTCGCCCTTGAGCAGCTGATACGGGTGTTTGGCAACGATATCACTCGATGCTATGTGCTGCTTCGTGGCCAAAGTGCGGCCAGCGCACAGGAGCGCTTAAGCCACCTCCTGGCCTCCGACCTTTTCTCAGTAGTACGCGAGCAGCGCAAAGAAGCGCTAAGGAAGGTACATACCGATACTCAGACACCCCCCACCTGCGCAAGTAAAGGCTCAAATGCTGAAATGCATGCTTGTAGAAGGATGCGGAAGCACGCATAGAAGCCACCGTGCTCATATGCTTACCTGTGTGTCGGCTGTCATAATTACCTGGCCACATGTCGCTATCATGCAACTGTGAATGCATGCTGCCCCTCCACACATGCATGCATACAGGTGGAGGCTGTGGACGGAGACATCACGCAGCCCGGACTGGGCCTCTCGGAGAAGGACACGCAGCGCCTGGCGGACGTGTCCGTCGTCATTCACTGCGCGGCAAAGTGAGTGGGGAGGAGGTGTACTTAGCCCTCACGTGTTACGGTTTGTGTGTCAGGAGGATTTGTGCTGTTCTCTCTCTTTCCATTGCGGCCCCATGCACGCCATGCATCTTACCTATTTTCTCCTCTCACCCTCCGTAGGATTAGGCTCTTTGACACCATCCACGACCTGCTGAACGCCAACTACATCGCCACCCGCAACCTGCTGGACTTCACGGTCGCACGCCTGCCGCATGTGGTGGCCTTCGTGCACACCTCCTCCACCTCGGTGGGCTTCGGACTCCCCTCCGGCTCCACGCTGGAGGAGGTCGTGTACCCGCTGCACCTGAACGATGCGCCGGTCAGTATGCAGGCTGGCATGATGAAGGGTTGACCTATCCTTCCTTTATGGACCAGCTGCTGGGCTGCACCAGGTGCTCAAAAACTTCATTCGTTCCCTTTCTCGCAGGGAGCTGCCACCTCATCCGCGCGCCCTTCCATGCATACGTACGTTCCTAAGCCCGTCCCGTCCTGCCCCTCCCGCCCTCATCATGCACCAGTGCTAACACTTCCCTCTCCATCATACCCGTCCCTCCCGCCCTCATGCACCAGGTTGACGACGCGCGTCTTGCCTCCGAGCTGCTGTCCATGGAGCCGCACGCCGCCGACGTGGCCGCCAACCACCTGGTGCGGCGCTGGGGCCTGCGTGTGCCCTACGCGCTCACCAAGCGGCTGGCGGAGCTGCTGGTGCAGAGATACCATGAACAGGGTGGGCGGGTGGGTGGAGGCGGAGAAGGGACAAACATGAGTCTGCACTCCATGCACCGCTTGCAAAGCCAGGGTTGCTTCCCCACATGTAAGCCACATGAGCGCTAGAGCCACGCCACCCCAACATGCTCTTCCTCAAGTACTTGTGAAGCCAGGTGCTGGGGCACATCTCACATGCTCCTCCTAAATCATGCTGGCGCATTAAGATATGCATGACCGTTTGACCGGGCCCCATGCCTCTTCTTTCCGCGCCTCGTCAGGCCTCCCCTGCGCCATTGTGCGGCCCAGCAACATCGTCGCGGTTGCCGGAGCACCCCGGCCGGGATACACGGGCGGCTACACTAGTGAGTGCGGGAATGGGCTGGGCATGGGCGGTTGGAACAATCCAGCAGCCTTCAAACCAGGTTTAAGTTTGTTAACAGGCTCTTTGAAAGTATCCCATGTCTGGTATTCCGTTGGCCCTCCACTGCGTTCACGCAGCATGGCGTCCTAATCGTTAATAACCGGCGTCCGTAAACGGAGTACGAGTCTTGCTACACCTCTGCTGTCCCTCCCAACACAGTGTATGCCAGCCTGGTCGCCGCTTACGTGAACGGCTTCTACTCGCCGGACGCATTCGCCGTGCGGCCTGGCTGCGTGCAGGACACCGTGCCATGCGACGTGGCGGCGGGGGTCGTGTTGGGCGCGGCGATGACCCTGGCGGCAGGCGTCCGCAGCAGGCGGCAGCTGCAAGGGGTTATCCTGCGTGGCCCGGTTGCGGCTCAGCTGAAAACCAGCGGGTATGGCGGCGACGAGGAAGACGACAACTGCTGCGCCAACGACGCCGGCAGCATGTTGGTTTTCCATGCAGCCACGTCGGTGGTGCAGCCGCTTCGCATGGCTACGTTCGTTGACCGCATGCACCGCTTCTTCACGGTCCACAAACCGCAACGTGCGTGGCCGACGCCCGGCCTGAACGCGCGCAAGTAGGTGTGTTGATGCCTGCGGAAGGGGGCAGAGGAGTTACTTGCATGCATGCATACGGACCTACCCTACACGTATCCACGCAAAGCGCACCAGCCGGGTCAGAACCTGCACGTTTTTTCACGACACAGCGCAAGAACATGGGAGCGCCATGAGCATTAAGGCTGCCACCCCAGCAGCATGGAGCATGCCACCAGTTCACTGACACTGCTGCATTGCTTCCCTCCTCCCAACCCCATTGTCCGCCCCTCACAGCCACGTTCGCATGGACCCCCGCTACGTGCCCGACCCTGAGCTCGTGTCGGAGGCCAGGCGGGATGCTCGCAAGCGGGTGGCTCGCACCACCGCCATGCTCAAGCTGTTCGGCAGGGTGGCTGAGGCAAACAAGTGCGTGACAGGGTGGAAGGGTATGCTGTTGATGGCCCACGATTCGTTATCCAGAGCCTACCGGAAGGAGGGACCCTAGGATATTCTACGTAGGCTGCCGAACAATCCTTTCCACGAAGACCTGCATGCGTCATGCCGTCCTTCTCCTTATTCGTTCCAAGCCCATCTTCCACCTTTCCCTGCTGCCTTGCACCTGTACCCTGCCCTCCCCCCTAGGCTGGTCACCAGCCTCCACGCCTGGCAGAACCTCAACAACGCGGACCTGGACGGCGACCTGCTCATCAGCGTGCGCAATACGCTGCAGCTGGAGCGGCTGCTGTGCGTTCGGCCGCCGCAGTGGAGCTCGGGCGGGGCGGCTGTGGTGGTGCCGAGCAGGGCCCCGGCCGCAGGAGGCAACAACGCACGCACGGCAAAGGGCCTGAGCCCGAGAAAGGGAGGAAGCCCCGCAAAGGGGTGCAAGGGGCATGCAAAGGACGACGGCGGTGATAAGGATACGGTCGCTGTGAAGGATGGTGACGACGGGTCGAGCATGGCGGAACCGGAGCAGCAACAGCAGCAGCATGACGCCTGCCCGCCTCTCCGACCGCTGCTGCCTGTGGTGTGGCGTGACGACTGGGGTCCGCTGCTGGATGCCTTCATGGCGGATGTGGTGCAGCGACTCATGCGGGTCAAGCTGGTGCCGCCGCCGCCACACCCCACGGCGCAGCAGACGAAGCCAATGGCGTTTCGATAAACGCATTAGCCAGGACTGAAGCAATGGTCATCCTCAGTGCTCTTCTCCCCACTTCCTGCCTTGGGCTGATGACTGCTGGGCATTGCTGATGGTCCTTGATTAGGCCATGATACGTGATCCGAACGCATCTTGGGTGTATTGCCGGATCACGTGCACCTTATGCGTCTGGTCGGCGAAGATTTAGTGCAACGAATTTCGTGCCGCTAGCAAGTACTGGTTAGTTTTCCTGGAACTTGTTTCATGGGCGTTTCCATCTTCCTACCGCTCTCTGTTCTTATCTTTATCCTCTTAGTCTAGATTTTTTGAGGGTTGGCATCCCTTTTGGCAGCGATGAGTAGGGCTTTCCTAATCATCTGAGCGAAGTTAGTCGACAGAAGAAGACATCGTAGCTTAACTGCAGCGCATAACACTTTGAGTGCACGCTGTATGACCCAAGGGTCTGGTACTCAACACTGCTCGAGAAAGCATGAGAGAGTTGTTTTGGAGAGTGATGACTGAATACGTGCCCCTTCGATTCGAATATCGTAGATAGTTAATCCTTCGGTAATGTTGTAACCCTAGGGCAGTCATATGTCTTTTTACGCTGTCCGTAATGTGACTAATGTCCCCTTACATAGGCGTAATCGGGAATTCGCCGGCTGTAACCTTGCAATGATGTGCAGCTATTAGGATCATAGCAAAGCGTCCCACCAAGCATTGCAGTACTTTCCTGGCTTACCTCCTCTTGACATACCAGCACGCCTGTGCTCACATTGCAAGCATTAGCAAGGAGAGGAGCGTCATCATTTCTATCAATTCCGAGGTTCGCACTCACACAGCGCTCTTTGCAGCGCAACAGGATCTACACATCTTTCGCTTGAACGATGGAGAACATCGCTTCGGCGTTCAACCAACGCTCAATCCTGCTAACAGGTGCACGGCTTCCGCATGTTCGTGCCGCTTTCCAGCGTAACTGTTACCGAGCTGTCGCGGCACCTTGTAAAGCGTTTCTGTGAACCGCTTGTTGCCCTTATCGCAGGAGGCAACGGCTTTCTGGGCAGTGTCGTCCTGGAGCAAGTCATTCGCGTTTTTGGAAATGACATCAAACGGTGCTTTGTGCTCATGCGCGGCCGCGGCAAAACCGGCGTACAGGAGCGCTTCAACAAGCTCCTGGCCTCCGAGCTCTTCTCGGTGGTGCGCGAGCAGCATAAAGAGGCACTGAACAAGGTGAGGTCGGTCCAGCTGGTACGTTCTTCTGCAGGCGCGAGTTCGGAGGTTTGTAGAAGGTGTGCTGGTTGAACGCAACAGCAAGAGCGTTGTTGACGCTTGGCGACTGACCCGTGGGTCGCGCCGTTGTGCAATCCGACGTTCTACGCGGAATGGTGCCGAATTTGCGCCCAAGCGTTGCGGCTATATATGACTAGACCAGACGTTGTTGCCCTGCAACATGACATCGTGAGAATAAACTGCTGGAGACGCCCCGTCATGCCGTGGCTTTGCTGGAACCTTGGCCCGCTGGGAATGCATGCTGCCCCACACACACATGCATGCATGCACACAGGTCGTGGCTGTGGACGGAGACATCACGCAGCCCGGACTGGGCCTCTCGGAGAAGGACACGCAGCGCCTGGCGGAGGTGTCGGTCGTCATTCACTGCGCGGCAAAGTGAGTCAGCACAGATGCCAAGATGCCGCACTGCCCCTTAGTGTTGTTGCTTAAAACCGGTACGCATTGTTAGATGTTGGCAAGGCGTGCAGCGGCATGCCATAGTAATTGTTGCAAGTATCCTGCATTTATTCATGTTTGTGGGTTGTTCTCAAGATCCTGGGTGTGGCCCGAGGTGGAAGATGATCACCTAGCTTGACAGTGACGCCTTGCTCCCTTCCCTTCCTCTTTCCCCGCCCGTCCTTTCCTTCTTTCCCATCCCCAAAGGATCAAGCTGCATGACACCATCCACGACCTGCTGAACGCCAACTACATCGCCACCCGCAACCTGCTGGACTTCACGGTCGCCCGCCTGCCGCATGTGGTGGCCTTCGTGCACACCTCCTCCATCTCGGTGGGCTTCGGGCAGCCGCCGGGCTCCACCATTGGGGACAGCGTGTATCCGCTGCTGCTGGGCGATACGGTGGTGAGTCGGCAGCTTGGCCTCGCTTGACTGCCACACTGCCTCCCACCCCTCATTAGCTCACCTTCACCCCTGCTGTGTTCGGCAGTGTAGAGGCCTTATCGGTTTCGCAGTTGCACATACCGCAGTTCGCCAATTCGTGTATAATCTACAGGTGGCCGTACGGCTGCACCACAGCTCCTCATGCCCAGCTCCTTGCACCTCTTAGTCCCCGCAGTCCTCGTCCCACTCGTTCCTCAATCCCCAATGCCTTCTGGACTCCCATGCCTTGCCCCTTGCCCCTTGCTCCCCCCCTCAGGTGGATGACGCCCGCCTGGTTTCAGAGCTGCTCTCCGCGGACTCGCACGCCGCCGATGTGACCGCCGGCTACCTGGTGCGCCGCTGGGGGCTGCGCACCCCTTACGTGCTGACGAAGCGGCTGGCGGAGTTGCTGGTGCAACGGTACCATGACCAGGGTGAGGGGGAGGGGCAGGAGGAGAAGGTCGGTAGGCATTGGAAAATGCGTACGATTCAACAGTTACAATCCGCAGCTTTCCTTTGCTGCTCGCCATGCACTGCAGATATCCGTTTGTGGGAACCGGTTGTAGACGGGACAAATGGGCGCGTACGGGCTGTGCGGTGCAGGGATTATTGAGGTTGGAAACTCCGCATTTGGAGTGCAGGAGAGGGAGCGTCGGACCTCGTACTTGCCCGGAAGCCACAGCAGGCAGTTCGCCTCGTGGTGCCTATCCTCAGTGTGTTCGCGAGCAATCCGAGCCCTTCCCGTGCAGGTCTCCTTCCCTGCGCCATCGTGCGGCCCAGCAGCATCATTGCGGTGGCGGGCGCACCCAAGCCGGGCTACATGGGCAACTTTGCGAGTAGGTCTGGGACGGGTCCTAGTGGTCGAGGTCTGGTAGGAAGGGGGATTGGAGGAGCCATGCACGGCTGCAAGTAATCGGGAATGTGGCATGCATGCATACTGACACGGGTAGCAAACTTGGCAAGACTGCACCGGCACGGTGCTACCGTTTACCCTGCCGACGGGTACCGGTACCACACCTTTATAACCTTGTGCTTTACTGCTTGATTGCGTGCCTCCATCCTGGCCTGACCCTACCCTCCGCACACCACCATCTTCCTCCGCCGGCTGTCCCATTACCCCGCCTCGCCCCCCTCCGATGAGTTTGCCCTAACCTGGGTTTCTGGTATATCTCTGACCCTGCCTCGCCCCGCAGTGTTCGCTAGCCTCATCGTGGCCTACGTGAGCGGCTTCTACTCGTCTGATGCCTTCGCCACCGGCCCTGACAGCGTGCAGGACGCCATACCATGCGATGTGGCGGCGGGAGTCGTACTGGGCTCCGCTGTGGCTCTGGCTGCAGGCGTCCGCAGCAAGCGCCAGCTGAGCGACTCCGCTGCTGCGGCTGAGGCAACAGCGCCCGCCACATCTGCCGCTGGCGGAGCCCGGAGTACGGTTACGGCGGAGCCCGCCGGCAGTAGCAGCAGCAGCAGCGGTGAAGGTGCCGGCGGTGCTGCCGCAGGAGACGGCGGCCGCGGCGGTGGAAGCCGCTATGGTGAGGTCATGGTGTTTCATGCGGCGACCTCGGCTGTACGGCCGCTGCCGATGGTTGCCTTCTACGACCGCATGCACGCCTTCTTCACAGCCCACAGCCCGCAGCTTCCCTGGCCGCTGCCCGGCTTGAGCCCACGAAGGTAGGGGGTCCGTCCTGTGTCGATGCGGCTGTGGTTGCCTTGGGGCGAGTTAGACAGCGTGTGAACCTGAATGTGGCCTACCGCTGCACGAGTGCGAACCGGCGAGTCGTGCCCTTCACGCCGATACCTTTTTATTACCGTACGACGTCGTCGTGCCCCGTCTCCCGCGCCGCTCCCATGCCCCCCGTCACGTACGCCCCTTCGCAGCCACGTGCGCATGGACGAGAAGTATGTGCCCAATCCGGAGCGGGTGGCAGCCGCCAAGCGAGCAGCCAGCAACATGGTGTGGCGCACGTGTGTGCTGCTCAAGCTGATGGGCCGAGGCGACGAGGCCAAGAGGTAGGACGTTGTAAGGATGGGGAGGGGCAGAATAAGGCTGAAACCAGGAGCATGGCTGAAGTTCGCCTTCACCTAGCTGCGTTGCTGAAAACGTGCAAAAGCCGTGATAACGTAGTCCTCCCGGTCTTGCAACGTTGTTATTTACCGGTATGTTGCGATGTATATGCCCAGCCATCGCCCCTGGCCCTTGAGCTCTGCTGCCCCCACTGCGGCCTCACCCACAAAGCTGGCCCCCCTGCCTGGGTGCACGCAGGCTGGACACGGGTTTTCGCGCCTGGGACATCATCAACAACGCCGGCTTGGACGACGACCTGGTCTTCAGCGTGCGTAGCGCCATGCAGCTGGAGAAGCTGCTTATGGTGCCCCGGCTAGCGCCCAAGCGGCAGCAGCAGCAAGAGGTGACCAAGGCCGCCGGTGCAGCAGGCGCGGCTGTGGACAGCGGTGCTGCGGACGGTACAAGCACGGGAGTCGACAGCAGTGGCGGCGCGCCGGGCAGCAGGGATGCTTTGAAGCAGCCGGCGGCTAGCAGCCCGCCGCCGCCCCGTCCGCTGCTGCCTGTGGTGTGGCGTGACGACTGGGGTCCGCTGCTGGATGCCTTCATGGCGGATGTGGTGCAGCGGCTCATGCGGGTCAAGCTGGTGCCGCCGCCGCCACAGCCACCGGCGCAGCGTGCGGTGTAGTTGATGATGAGGTTTAGGGCCGGCCTTGGCGGCAGGTGGGGCTTGGATTCTCCCTTCAAGGTACATCGCTCTGTTTCATGTGTTGCGTTTCAACAGGCACGCTTTCTTGCTGTAGTCGAGGTTTGACGGAACGACGTGGTGTGAGTTAGGTGTTATTGGTTAGGTTGATTGAAGCCTTTGCGTCTAGGTGGGCGGTGTCAGCATGGGTTGAGGCGGGGCATGCTGGTCCGTGTCGACGTGTCTCGACAAGGAACAAGCTTTCGTGGCATGTTAGGGTAATCTGCTGGCCGTTGTCATGGTCTGTGTAATGGGTTGGGACTTGGGAGCTTAACACTGCAATCAAGGAAGATGCTGGCCTGTATTACAGCAATGTGCCCTAGTTGTATGGTACAGACCTTGACCGGGTCGCCGAAGGTACCGGTACTGGCCATGTTTGGCCCTGCAACTTGCTCCCAATTCCTTGCTTACCAGCTGTAACGATACACAAGTATGTACGATGACGCGCAACGACTGAAACGCACCCACAAGCCGCCGGAGAAGCCCGCCAAAGTCTTAGTATGTACACTCATGCAATCCAAACCGCTCTGCACTCTCACATGGCTGGTTCTCACGTAGCTCAACACTGCAAAGAGGGTAAGGCGCTCGAAAAGAAGTATCATCATATGCAATCATCCACTCCATGAAGGCATTTCCCTCAAGGCAGGTGTACCACGTGCCTCCCCGGCGCTATGCCAGGCCTGCGACCCACGGGTCATAACCTACAACGTAACGGAACATGAACGGGTTTAAACACTCGCAGCACTAGAGATGTCTGGTGTTTCCGTGTCTTCCGTAGTTACGTTTCCGTGGTTTGGCATGGGCATGTAGGGAAGGGGTGAGGGGCGGGAGGGGGGGAATGTCCGGTGTTTCCGTGTCTTCCGTTTCCGTGGTTGGGCTTGGGCGCGGAGGGAAGGGGTGAGGGGCGGGAGGGGGGCATGTCCGCACCCCGTCCCCAGCCCCAGTCCCGGAAACATCTTCTCGGCTGTACTATAAAGCCTGTCGTGTTTCTGCTGCGCGTTTTAGTCCCCCTCTCTCCTGCTGCATGTACACCTATGTACCGGTAGTCAGAAGGCACTCCCAAGAAGAGAAGGCAAATCCAACGGCATGGTTACAGCTGCACTTAGGCGGCGCAATGAAGGCCATGAACACAAGCTCATCACTGACCCCGGGGGTCAGCGGTACCCAGCCACCCCCGCACAAACCAATCCTATCACCTTTTCAACCACCCCAAATCCACGGCGACCACTGCTAGGTTAGTTGCCGCGCCGGCGTGCACGTCAGCAGTACACACCGCCGCCTGACAGACCGTGCACGTCTGTCCCCACATCCGGATAAATTCTGTCATGCACAGGCACCACAACCTGGCCTATCCGCTCATCTGCAGTCCGAACTAGTAGCCCCCCTTGCGGCCACCCAGCACAGCACAGCAGCCACAATCCGACCCCAACCCAGCAGCCGCATTGGCTGCAAAGCACGACTCGCCTAGGCACCAAGTCCCATGTGCCAAAGCAGGTGTGCCTGATACCCTCTTTTTACTCGCATCACAGTCGCATCAAAGTCGCAAGCAGGTCAAAAGCAGCCGTTGAGTTTGCTTATGACCGCGCGACCTAATTACCGTAAACCCGCCGCCTAGCCTTGCCCCACGACGCTAACTTGCCTCACAGCAGCGTTCCCGGCTGCACCTTAAGATTGCATTGGATTTCACTCATAAGCGCTCGTCTAGAGCAGAGACACGTTCCACCTGGAGGGTTTTTCCTTCTATAAACGTCCAGTACCAAGGTGCGTCATGAAGTACCATGGTGCGTCATGAGCCGCACGCTCCCTAACCCCCCACCAGGCTATCACTAAACCGGAGGCTGCTTCTATAGCGTCAGTTCGGACAATATCCACCATCATATCCACGGTCAGGAAACCCCCAGGGACCCCATTCCAAGGTCTTCCATAGTTTAATCAGCAGCTCCCGCCGGCACCATAGCCTCCTTAGCCCCCCGTGGCCCCCTCTGGCCCGTACATACACCTTAAACACACGCATACACACTGCAACCAGCCATAACCATAACCAGCTCTCTTTCCTCCCCATCTCACTTCCGCGCACTCACTCACACGCCCCCTCCGCCGTGGCCTCCCTAAACACCGCCGCCACCACATCCCCCGCCGCGCCGCCGCCCCGCATGGTCTCCTCCACCAGCCCGCGGAAGTGGCTGCCCGGGTTGCGCAGCAGCTGCGCGGGCGTGTCGTACTCGGCCAGCCTGCCCGCCTCCAGCACCAGGATGCGGTCGCTGTCCACGATGGTGTGCAGTCGGTGGGCGATGGTGAGCACGGTGCAGTCCCTGGGGGTGGGGAGTGGGGTTTGGAGGGTGCGGGAGCCGGGTTGGTTGGGGGTCAGGAGGGAACCAGGTCAAGACTTGGATACAGAGTTGAGGGGCAGTGTGTGGGGAGTTGGGGGTGGGGGTGTGCGGAGTGGAGAGGATAGACTTTGCTTGTGGTTCATAGCGGTCTGGAAACAAGAGCACAGCGAGAGAAGAGGAGGCGGAGAGCACACGGTGATCAGGCACTGACACAAGGGTAGGGCTCGGTCTTCCTCCCCCCTTCCCCTCAACCGCAGCTCACTTGAATGCGGTGCGGATGGTTCGCTGGATGAGCGAGTCCGTCGAGTTGTCCACATTGGAGGTCGCCTCGTCCTGCACATGACAGGCGGGCAGGATTGGGAAGAAGAGGAATAACAGAGCCGGCACAGCTGCGGTCCGCCACAGCTGTGTGGAGGCAAGTGCACACCAGCCAGCCAGCAACAATGCCCTCGGCCTCTATGTAAAGCAGGCAGCAGAGCGTTCCCAGGGGCCGTGTCCTCGATGCATGCCTGCTTCTTCCTCTCGCTTCCCCCATCGCAGCTCATTCAGCTAACCGCCCCCCACCCCAGCTCAGTTCGAGCACCTCCCCCCCCACCCAGCTCACCAGCACCAGGATGCGAGTGGCTCGCAGCAGCGCCCGGGCCATACACAGCAGCTGCCGCTGGCCCACACTCATGTTGGCTCCGCCCTCCCGCACCTCCGAGTCAAGACCCTGCACGACAAGTGCACAACAGCGGGGTGGGGCGCCGGAGGGGGGGCCACGGCGGGGGCCAGTGATGACACATGCAGACGTGAGGACGTGGACGCAGACGTGAGGGCGCCGGGTGGCAGACGCAAGGGCGCCGGGGGGCAGTAACGGCGCCAAGTCATGAGCTGCTAAGAGCGAGTTTGATGATCGCCGGCAAGTCCCAGCACCATACGGGAAACCAAGAATACGCTCTAAACAAAAAACGGAAAGCAGCTCCCACGCATCGTATTGCGACTCTCGTAATGCCCCGTGCGCAACCCTATCTGCCATGGGCACCACCACCTCCACCTCTCCCGCCACCTCCACCTCACTCTGCAGCCCCATGCAGACCCCGAGATACCGCCCCCCACCTCCCACCCACTCACCTTCTCGTACCCACGAACCGTGACATCCAGCCCCGCCCGCTCCAGTGCCTCCCACAGCTCCTTATCCCCGCGTGCCTGCCCAAACGGATCCAGATTCGACCGTACGCTGCCCGAAAAGATCACGGGATCCTGCGGCACCAGGCTCAGCCGAGATCTCAGGTCGTACAGCCCCATTGCCGTGATGTCCAGTCCGTCCACCTTGACGCTCCCGCCGCACGGCTCCACCAGGCGATACAGCGTCATCATGAGGGTGCTCTTGCCGCAGCCGGTTCGGCCGCACACGCCCACCTTCTCACGGCCCGCCACGGTGAAGGTGAGGCCGCGGAGCACCGGGTCTAGCTCGGGGCGGTAGCGGACAACCAGGTCCTGGAGGGGGAAGGGGAGACAGGGGGAAGGGGGGGAATGGAGGGAGAGGAGATGGGAGGAGGAGGAGCAACAAGAAAGCGGATAACAGCACTACTGGAACACAGCACGTGTCCATTTGCACGCCCCCGCCTGCCTCTAGGTCCGGCGTACCAGAGTGCGCTGCCCTCCCGCTGCTGCACCTATCTTTAAAATTAACCGCCCGCCCCCACCTGCACTTGGATCTCTCCCTGGGCGGGCCAGTTGGCGGGCGGACGACTGCACTCAATGACCGCCGGGGCCTCCTCCTCGTACCTGCGGCAGGAAGAGGTAGGGGGGGCGCACAGGAGGAGGGTGGGGCAGGGGCTCGGAGCCAATGCAATAAACGACCGTTCGTACATGCCAGACAAGCCACTGCCGTGGAACGCGGCGAGCGGTGCATTACACACACTACCGCTACCTATCGCATCACCACCCGCAGCGCTCTTGCCTTCCCTCCCCACTCCCTGACCACTCCCTGACCACTCCCACCCACCCCAAAGTCTCACTCACCTGTCATACTCGATCATGCGCTCCACACTGTTCATGTTAACCTCCAGCTCCGTCGTCTGTCGTACCATCCAGTTCATAATGCCCGTCAGGTTGAGCGCACTGGTGATGGCCAGCCCCGCCAGACCCGCATTGCGTGGGAAGATGACCGCCACCGTGATGGCTGCGGTGAACACCACCAGCGCACCCATCAGCTCCAGACGCACCGACAGCCAGCGGTTGACCACTTGGATGGGCCAGTAGGCGCGGTTGCTGTGGTTCAGGTTGGCCTGTGGGCGAGGAAGGAGGGCGGGAGGGTGGAATTGGTGAGCCCAACCGTTTGCTCTCCAAACCTTTTGCTCCCCCAACCCATCAGTTTACCCCTCAGTTTACTTAGATCCCCCAACCCGCCTCACCCTGTTCTTGTCCATGAACTGGTCCATCTTCCTGAAGGCCCGAATGGTGGTCAGCCCCGCCAGGCTCTCCCCAAAGTGCTGGAAGATGGGTGAGAAGGCCAGCGAGTCCAGCCGCTTGAGCTCCCGACTGGAGGCCACGTACAGCTGCTGCACCCGGTAGTAGACGAAGAAGAGCGGCAGGAAGCACACGAGGGCAAGGGGGGTCACGATGACCACAACGACGACGGAGAGCAGCGCGGTGACAAAGGTGGAGAGGGCGGAATTGACGGCGCCGGAGACGTTGATGTCCAGGGCCTCCATGTCCTTGGTAAAGCGGTTGAGCAGCCGACCTGGGAGGAGGAGGAGGGGTTGAGAGGAGGTTGGCAGGTGTGGGTGGCGGTGGCGGTGTGGAGGAGAGGTCGTGAGGTGGGGTGAGCAAGGCAAAACACAGGGTAATAGCGAAAAGATCAAGAAGAGGAAAGAGGTTTGTAGGGGTCTCTCAACTTTCCTACTTAAACTTGGGACGACGCCACATCGGCTATCCCTCCCAACACCTCCATCGCAGCTCAGATTCACTCCTCGGCACTTCCTCCTCACCATTCCTCCCTCCCGCCTCCTACTGCCGCTACCACCCCACTCCCCCTCCCCTCGCGTGGTCCTCTGGCTGCCTGCGCACACACACCCCAGTTATTTTAACACCCCCTGGTCTTCTGGCTACCTCCCCCCCCCCACCTGTCGGCTGCTGGTCGAAGAAGCTCATGGGCAGTCGCACCACCTTGGCCAGCAGCCTCCGCGCCAGGTGGCGGGAGGCGCGGATGGAGCCCAGAATGAGCAGGAAGGAGCGCAGCAGCTGGATGCCGATGGAGACCAGACCCAGCGTGAAGTAGAGGGAGAGGTACTTGCTGCGAGGTGGGGTGGGGAGTGAGGAGGGCGAGGAGAGGAGGGCGGGGAGAGGAGAGGAGGTAGGGGTAGGATTGAGTAAGGAGTCGGTATAGACGGCGACGTCATGGGTGTGTCAGGGTCAGGGAAGCCTAGATAGCATCCCTTGTGTCTTGTAGTTCCCCTCCTAGTCATACAGCAACAGCGCTTGAGCAGCTCGTGGCGGTCACTCCCTCACATCCCACACCCACCCACCCGCCCAGCCCAACCCCTCACCCGTTATGCGCCGTCTTGTGCTGCTCCGCCGCCTGCGCCGTCTCATTGCTCCAGTCCGACAGCACAAAGTTCTGCCCCACCTGCAGCCCCCGCTCCCCCAGCGCAAACACCACCACCGACAGCGGCAGCAGGTATGCAACCGACCAGGCATTCAGGTAGGCGCCGTACACGAACCGCTCCACACGTCCCTTGGCGCGCTCCTCCACCTTCACCAGCTTACCGTCCGCCTCCTTACGAGCCATGGTGTCAAGCAGACGCACCCGCTCGGCTTCGTAATCGGTAGCAGCAGCAGCGGCTGCGGTGGTGGTGGTGCCGCTGTTGCCGGGGTTGGGAGAAGCAGCACCACCACCACCAGCGGTGCTGGTGAGGGTGGGGTTGTTCGCGGCGAGGTGACGCATGGAGCCGCCGCCGAAGCGAGCTGGCTTGGTTGGGGTGCCTGAACCCGAGCCGGAAAAGCTGTCACCGGAAACAGCAACCAGGGCGCCGGCGGCGGCAGTGTTGAGGGTCGTTCTGGTGGCAGTAGCGTGTGCGGTGGTTTTGTTGTTCGCGGCGCCGTCGGAGAGGAGCGGTACGGTTGATGCGGACTTGGTAAGCGGCTCGCGTTCATCGTCTCCATCGCCCTCCTCGTCCTCATCCTCAGAGGAGGGGGGTGAGGAGGGAACAGGCAGCCGGGCAGCGCCCGTCGCCCCGGCAGCAGACAGCGAAAGGCTACTGGGAGCGGCAGGAAGGCCGCCACCGCCGCCTCCGCTTCCAAAGTCCTCCGCCGTACCGGCGGCGCTGGTGGCGGCGGCGGAGGCGGTGCCGACGGCAGCGGCGGCGGCAGCGTCAGCCCCCGGCGTCGTGGTCGCTGTGCCCTTGTCCGCTCCTCCCCTCGCCCCCTCCTCCTTGCTCCCCTCCACCTTCCTCTCCTCCTCCTCCTCCTCCTTGACGAACTGGTGGAAGTCCACTCCGCGCGCCACCAGCTCCGAGTAGGACCCCACGTGCTGCAGCCGCCCGCCCTCCACCACCACCACCAGGTCCGCAGCAGCCAGGTACTGCAGCTGGTGCGTCACCAGCAGCCGCGTCTTGTCCTCAAGCAGGCCGCAGATGCAGCTCTCGAACAGGTGGCGACCCACGTGCGCGTCAACGGCGGACAGCGGGTCGTCCAGAAGGTACACGTCGGCGGCGGCGTAGCTGGGGGGAGGGGGAGCGGGGGGGGAGCGGAAGGCGGAAGTAAAAAGGAAGGGAAAGGAAGGAAAGGGGAGCATTTTAGCACTGGTGAAACAGGTTCAAAGGTGCCCAATCGGCACGGAGGCGACATTGCTTCAAGTGGGCGACCAGTGGTGTGCTGCTCATCCCGCGCTACGGCTGCCCTCCCTCTCCTCTCCCCTCCCCGCTCCCCCCCCGCCCCCCACTCACGTGGCCCTAGCCAGCGCCACTCGGTGCTTCTGGCCGCCACTCAGGTTGATGCCCTTCTCGCCGATCTCACTCAGGTCACCTGGGGGGCGGGGCGGCCAGAGGGGTGTTAGTGCATGGGAGGCATGCCACACGCATGCACTTTGTAACACACTTAGCACTACCATACCACCACCAGCACCCCACCCCACCCCGCCCACCTCCCGGCAGCAGCTCCAGGTCCGCCACCAGTGCACACGCCTGCAGGGTGGCCGCGTAGGCCTCCGTGTCCATCTCGCCGCCCATCAACACGTTGTTGCGCAGCGTGGAGTTCTGGATCCAGGGGTCCTGCGCCGTGTAGGCCACACTGCCCACCACCCGCACGCTGCCGGTGCGGCGGTGCAGCTCGCCCAGCACAGCAGCAAGCAGGGAGCTCTTGCCGGAGCCAACCTGCAATGCGCGCAGAGAGAGGCACATACACACGCACGCACGCATGTGTTTGCGATCACCATGCTAACTCGCTAAGGCACGAAGCTGAGCCCACGTGATGGGGTTGCACATGGGAACGTGCAGGGATTGCGTACTCTACGGGGTGGGTTGCTAGGAGGGCCAAACGCAGTCATGCAACAGGGAAGGAGACGCGTGGTGCTGCTCCAGCAGGTGGGGATGCAAAAGGGCATGCAAGAAGCCATGGCAACGATGACAATGACATGAGCGCATAAGGCCCGCAATCCCACCTGGCCCACAATCATGACCAGCGAGCCGCGCCGCACTTCCAAATTGATCCCTCGCAGCACCGGCTCGCTCGAGGCATCCCAGGCAAAGGTGCCGTCACGGATGCTGAGCGGCGCGGTGGAGAAGGCGAGGGAGGAGGAGGTGGGTGTGGAGTCGGGCATGGCGGGGGAGGTGAGGGCGGCGGAGGCGGAGAGCAGGGAGGTGGAGGAGCCGGCGGCGGCGGGGTGCGGGATGGAGGTGTATCCGGGTGCGGAGTGGCTCATCTCCTCCGCTTCGAGGAACTTTTGGATGCGTTGCAGGCCCACACGAGCCTGGATGAAGCTCATGATCTGTGCAGTGGAGGGAAGAGGGGTCGGGGAAGGATGGTTAGCTAGCTGGAAGGAGGGAAGGGAGAACGTGGAACAGAGTGCCTCCCAGCAGCTTAGCAACGCGGCTACCGGTACCTTTACAATAACGCGGTTCATCCTGCATAACTACATACATCACACTGTTCCACCATATTATTCATAAACTACCGGTAAACCCATCATGTACGATATACGCACACCCCACCCCACCCCATTTCACCTTCCGACATTCGCGGCCAGTTTTTCTTAACACACCCCGCTCGCGGCCAGCTTTCTTAACACACCACACCCCGCCCCACCCTCCCACCTGGCTGGGCAGCATGATGATGGGGAAACGCAGCAGGTTGAACAGCGCCAGCGCGGGGAACGCCACCGCCGCCGTCAGGCTGTACCCCATGCCCGCAAACGTGCCGAACGCCGCCAGCCCCACCAGCACCGGCCCCGACATGAACATGGCGGTGTTGAACATGGACAGCGCCTGCGTGCGCTTGATCTGCGCCAGCTCGCAGTCTCGCAGCTGCTGGATGCGCTCCACGTAGGGCTCCTCCCAGGCGTATAGCTTGATAGCGCGGATGCCGCTGATGACCTGATCGAGGGGCGGGGGGGGAGGGAGAATTTAAGAAGAGGAATACGCAAGGTGTTGAAAGAGGATACAAACCAGACGACAAGCTGGGGGGGATCGGGGGCCATGCACAGCAGGTTAACCATAATGCATGGGCCGCATGGGGTGTGTGAGGGCATGTATGCTGGATGGGTAGCCAAGGGTAACCCCTGAACACCGGATTAAGTGTAAACGGACAGCTATCACACAATGAATAATGGATACCATCTAGCAAATCTTAGATAGTATCTTGCCGCCGAAGATAGGACGCCGGAGCTGCTCCGCAACCGCCACCTCACCTCCGAGCACAGCTTCACGCGCTGGTCCGTGAACTTGATCTGCTCCCGCCGGCTCTTCGCCAGCGCCTTCCCCAGCAGCGCGGTCAGCGGGATCACCACAATGGTCACCGCCAGGCCCGCCATGGAGGGCCCCCAGTGCATGATCCGCACCAGCAGGAACATCACAATCAGGATCTGGAAGGGGCCGTTCCAAATGACGTGGAGGTAGAGCACAGTGCTCCACAGCTTGGCCACGTCGTTGGACTGCAGGTTCACGATGGCGCCGGTGCCCATCTCGGATCGTACGGCGGTGGTGATGCGGAGGCACTTGTCGTACACCAGGTCGATCAGCGCGATCTTGAGGTGCAGGCTCATGCGGAAGAGCAGGTGGAAGTACCTTGGGGGAGGGGGAGAGGGAGGGTTGGGAGCGGAGGGGGAGAGGGATAAGGGTGAGGGAGGGGTGAAAGGGGAAGTCAGTAACAGTCGCAGAGCTTCACATCAGCTGCCCCAGCCCTGCCCTCCTGCCTTCCTGCCCGCCCCTGTCCTCCCATGCCCGCGCCCCACCAGTTGACGGTGAAGTTCTCCAGCACCGCCATCGCCAGGATGGCCACCGCGATACCGAAGGAGCCGCCTGGGGGGGGAAGGGGCACATGAGGAGAGTGGAGGGAGGGAGGAGGGGTTGAGGTGGCAAGCCGGGGTGAGGAGAAAAGACTGAACATGCCAAGCAACTAGTTCACGGTAAGGCTTCCAAAGCCGTTGACCCTACGAACCGAAGACCCATGCTGCAGCTCCCCACCTGTCCCCCCTCCCGGCCCCCCCGCCTGCCCCCGCCTCACCCCTGCTTCCCCCCGCCCCCATGTGGTGCAGCAGCAGCTCCAGCAGGTACGGCGAGGTGAACATCACCAGGTCGTGCAGCAGCTTGATCACCCCCGTCACCAGCAGCGGCCGACCCCACGTGGACAGCATGGCGCGCCACACCACTCCCTGTGTGCCGGGGTGGGGGGGGAGAGGGAATGAAGCTAGGAAGGGAGCGAGGAGTATACCGGTATGCGTAACGTCAACCCGCAGTTTCTTCTCCTTTTTATAAGCAGTTTGGCAGGTTGCTTGCCTACTTGTCACAGACCCTGCCATCCCAACCCCATCCCATCCCTCCTGACAGACCCAGTCCTCGACCCAGTCCTCACCTGCGGGTGCTTCACGGGGTCGGCAGTGGCCGCCAGGGCCGCCTGGAAGCGAGCCGACACCAGCGCAGCCTCGTCGCGTGCCGCCACGTCCCACAGGTCCTCGTGCTCCAAGGGGCGCTGGCCGCCCAGCCGTACGAGGCCGTTGCAGTAGTTGAAGAAGACGTGGGAGAGGAAGCTGGCGTTTTCCTCGGGCACGTAGCGCCGACGGCCATCTGGGTGAGGGGAGGTTGGGGAGGGAGGGGTTGTGAGGGAGAGGGTGAGGGGTAAAGGAAAAAGGATGGATGTGTATTGGTACTTTGCTTGAGCAGGGTGTTGGGATGGACAGCATAATGGTAGATGGAGGGTTATGTTGGCTTTGGAGGGTGAATGCGGTGTAGGGGAATGGAGGGTCAGCACTGGCGTGGGAGAAGCCCCTTGCCTTGTGCAGCAGACCCAAGGGCCAAGTAAGAGAATAAGGTAGTGTTGCTTGGAATGGTGTTCCGGCCAACACTGTGGTATCAAGAAGTTGATGATTCATGATCAGTCCGAATGGGAGGTGTATGCTCCAATCTCAGGACCACGGCATCGTGGGTATGACAACACGGACCTGCAGCGGTCCTCGTCTCTTCATGCAGTCGAGAGAACCCATTGTGGCCACCATTTCCGAAGTGGAATGAAGCCTTGACGCCAGGGTTTCCACCCTTTCGTGAACTGCCCCAGCCTGAGGTATCCATCGCCGGCCTTTAACAGCTGGCGTTTCTAGATAACAACTCCTTCAAGTTCCTTGTTCCGAGTTATAGGGGCTAATTAATGTATGCCTCCTACAGGAAATGCAAGCATGCTTTGGCGGCAACGTTGCTCTGCTCGGCTGAGTTCCTCAGCTAAGCTGCATTCAGGCAGCCTTGGACCCCTAACTCAGCAAACAGGAAGGTCTAAGCCCAGAGCTGTCAGAAACTTCGCGAAAGGCGCCCAGCCTGTTGAGTGGTGCAGCGTTGGTTGGCGTCAATGCAAGCGGGGGCCAGCATTTGCGTTTACAACTGTGTGTAAGTCAATGTATTGACCATTGGGGTGAAGCCACGGAAATGCAGCGTTCCGTATAGCTGACATTACGTGCTGGCGGATTACGCACCCGCTTACCAGGAAGTCTCGGAGCCAAACTGAAACTTCAGCAGTCAGCAAGTCAGCAGCAATTGGCGGAAGAAGCTGCTGCTTTATGGTTTGCGTTTATTACCAAAAGAATGAGTTTATAAAGGCCCATCTCGAACGTGAAGGGGTGATGCTAAGTTCGCCATGCTCAGCGGCGGCCCTGCGTGCCGCCGCAGAGCACGCTGCCCTTGTTGCGACAGGTCACGGATGGCTTAATAGTCTCTTGGCATCCCAGTCGGCGTGCGGTCTCGGAGTCGCGGTATCGGCAGCTTGCAGCCATGCTATAAACAGCACTGGGCTCCAAGGAGCATGTCAAGCCTCTGGAGCACTTGGCAGCCATATCCTCAGCATACCAGAGTCGCGTCGATGGCTAAGCGATGGATGCGGGGGCCATTCCTTTCCTGATAGCTCATCCAGACCCTTACCTACAGCCAGCACAGCAGCGCGGGTACGGCACTGGGCGGTGCCCGACCCTCACACGTCAGCCCCCACCTCTCTCCTCGCGCCGCTGATGCCCTTGGAAAGCCAAGCTGGCGAGCTCTCGGGTCCAGCAGCCCCCTGCGTTGCCTTGGGTCATGCGCAAAGGCAGCGGGGCTGGTCTGGCAGCAGCAGCAGCAGTGACACCACCACCACCTCTCCAGCAGCATCCGCAGCAGCACTGACGCTCTCTCACCACGCCTGCCTGCCTTCCGCACCCCGCTACCTAGCACTTCGACGCTTCAGCACCGGCACCACAGGAGGAGCAGCAGCAGCAGCAGCTGGGCAAGAGCAGCAGCAGCAAGGGCAAGCGGCGGCGGGCTCTCAAACGCCTCAGCCGCCCTCCCAGCAGGGAAGCGGTGTCGCTGGTAGCGCTGCGGGTGCTGCTAGTGGCGCTGGTGCTGCCGGTCCTCAGCTGGGGTTCGTGGGTGGGCAGTACGACGTGGCTTCCTTCCCTCCGGAGCGCATCCGCAACTTCTCCATCATCGCACACGTGGACCACGGTGGGTGGGGGAGGGAGGGAGGGAGGGAGGGAAGGAGGGGGCGGTGGCAGCTGCTCGAGTGGTGCAAGTCATGGAGGACTACCGCCGGACGGAAGCATTGCATGCACCAGTGTTCCCACACCTACATGCTATACCACATACGGTACCCTCTGCAACGCACCTCCCCTTTCCGCCCCTCCGCTCCTCCGCCACCCGCCCTGCCCCACCTCCACCCGCCCCACCTCCACCCGCCTCCTCCCTCCCTCTCCCCCGCCCAGGCAAGTCCACCATCGCCGACCGGCTGATGGAGGCGACGGGGGCGCTGGGCGGCCGCACCACCCACAACGCGCAGTACCTGGACAAGCTGCAGGTGGGCGGGGGGGACGGGGGGTGGGTGCGGGAGGAGAGAACACCATGCCGTCCTCCTCAGTCGTGGCAAGCGTGGGGGGCGGTGTGCACGGGGCTGCGTGCGTGAAAGTGGTGCAGGAAGGGCCTGGGGGGCGAGGGGACTGCTTGATGGGTGCGAGAACCGGTGGGGCGAGCGGCCGCAGTACGACGAGGGCGCTCGTACCCGCGTGAGCCTCATGAGCCGCAGTACGAGCGGGGCCCCTTCAGCGGGACCTCTCACTCGCTCCCCTCACCCCTCACTCCCCCATCCCTAACCCTGCCCCCTACACCACCAGGTGGAGCGCGAGCGCGGCATCACCGTGAAGGCACAGACGGTGTCGCTGGTGTACCGCCACCGGGGGGTGCCGTACCTGCTCAACCTCATCGACACGCCAGGTGGGGGCAGGGCGGGGGCGGGCGGGGGGTGGGGGTGGGGTGGCGGAGTCGGGGCTTGGAATCAGGGCGGTGCGGCCCTTGCTGGGGCCATGCTCTAAGCTGGGGCCGGCAGGGGGACCGCCGGCAGGGCGCTTGCGTCACCTGCTCCCTGCATTGTCACCTACCCAACGCCCCCCCCCCCTCCCGCCTCTGCCCCTCTTCCAGGCCACGTTGACTTCAGCTACGAGGTATCCCGCTCTCTTGCCGCCTGCCAGGGTGCGCTGCTGGTGGTGGACGCCAGCCAGGGCATTCAGGCGCAGACGGTGGCCAACTTCTACCTGGCGTTCGAGCAGGCAGGGGGGGCTGGGGGGTTAATTTGGAGACAGAATCCGCATTAAGCTGGATAGTTGGGGTAGCAAATAACTGTAGTTGTTGTATAGTTAGTAGCATCAATCAATAACAACCGTATTTTAAGCTCCGTGGCGGCTGGGGTGATCTGAGATCACTCTGCATTGGCGAATAAAAGGCGGCTGCTACTGTGATATCCGGCTCCACTGCGCAAGACCTGATGTCTGCGCTGCAGTGCTGTCAGGAGCATAACGTATGTAAGCTCCGCTGCTTAGCTGGGGCTGTTATGCGGCTGTGTGCACCAAAGCATCCCACCCTGCCCGACCCTCGCAAATGACCCATGGGTCTAACAAAGCCCAGCCCACCCACTAGTGCGACCCCCGACTGACCTGCATAGCAAGGGATAATTTGAAGCGATAACGTACCGAAACGTTAGTTTAAAAGAAGACCTGTTGTCGAGGAGAACGAGGAAAAGCAGGCATGCGGCCCAGTGATGCTGATAGCTGGGGGGGGAGGGAGGAGGGGGAAGGGAGGGAGTGCGGGAGGCAGGGGCAGGGCGAGGGGAAAAGGGCAAGGGGAGGGAGGAGGAAAGGGGAAAGAAGTGGAGGACCTGACTCCCCCGCCCCTGGCCCCCACACCACCACCACCTCAACTCTGTGTCACCTATATAACCCTCCCCCGACCCTCTCTCCCCCCCCTTCCCTCCACGCGCCTCAACCTCTCCACCCCAGGGCCTAGACCTGGTCCCCGTGGTCAACAAAATCGACCTGCCCGCCGCCGACCCACGGGGCTGCGCCGAGCAGATGTCCGCCGCCTTCGACATCGACCCCTCCCGCGTGCTGTTCACCAGCGCCAAGACGGGGCTGGGCATGGAGGCGGTGCTGCCGGCAGTGGTGGAGTGAGTGCGGGGCGGGGCGGGGCTGTGCGAGGCTGTGCGGGGCTGTGCTGCGCGGGGTTGCTGGAGGCGTTGGGGCTGTCGGGCTGGTCGGGTTCCATGGTCGGTTGTTGCACCACAGTCATCAGTCGCATCTCACCTGTGGGTCGTTGCACCGTCTGCCCCGCAGCCTGCACACACTCGCACGATTCTCACGTGGACCTCCTAACTGCCTACCTCCGTACCCTCACCGCCCCATGGCTTTATGGCTCTCTCTCTCGCCCCACCTCACCCCACCCTCCCCATCCCCCTCCTCCCCCCGCAGGCGCGTCCGGCCCCCCCGCGGCAATCCCTCCGCGCCGCTGCGTCTGCTGCTGTTCGACGCCTTCCACGACGAATACCGCGGCGTGGTGCTGCTGGTGGAGGTGGTGGACGGGGCGGTGAGCGTGGGGGAGAAGGTGGCCATGGCCTCCACGGGCAGCAGCTACGAGGTGCTGGAGGTGGGGCTTCAGGCGCCGGAGAGGCACCCCACGGGGCGGCTGCTGACGGGGCAGGTGAGGAGGAGGAGGTGGAGATGGGGTGCGTGAGGGAAGTAAGGCAGAGGAAATACCCGTGTAAGGCGGGGGCTGCATGCATGGCTTCTTGGGTGCAGCATGGCTTCTTGGGTGCAGCATGGCACCGGGTGTAGCAGAACCGGTGCACGTGCATGGGGGGCGCGTGGATAGGCGGCTGGGGGAGGGCGGTGGGCATCATGTCATCCCCCATGCATCACCCCATGCATCCCCCCTGCCACCCCCCCTACTGCCAACCAGGTGGGCTACCTGATATGTGGCATCAAGGACCTCAAGGCCGCGCGAGTGGGTGACACCATGTTTGCGGCGGCACCGGGAGGAGGGGGCGGGGCGGGCAGGACACCGCCGGTGCGCCTGCCGGGGTTCAAGCCGGCCAAGGCGATGGTGGGTGGGGTGGGGGTGGGGGGCGGTGACTTGGGGTGGGGTGGTTTGAGGGGAGGCGGGATAAGCGGAGGCAGGCCTACGGTGGTTGGCTACGTTGGGGTGTGTAGACGGGTGCTGCGCGGGTGGGATGTGTGCGGTACGGCAGTACATGGGGACGTACAGGGCTGTGTGGCTAGGGGCGCAAACAAGCCTGAGACGTGCTGTCCAACGCTGGTGCCTGTCACACATGCAAAGCAAAGCTGTTCTCGTTGGTCTTCAGCCTAAAGGTGGTACCGCAGCCACCATTACTGACCCCATGTCATGTACACCCCATGGGTCATGTACATCTGCCATCATGCCCCCCCAGGTGTTTGCGGGGTTGTTCCCGCTGGGTGGCGACGGACAGGAGTTCGAGTCCCTGGCAGCGGCGATGGACAAGCTGCTGCTGAACGATGCCAGGTGGGGCGGATGGGGGGGGGAACGGCCGGGTTGGGAAGGGCCCTGCAGGGCGGATGCTGCTACCGTTGTCGTCCCTGTGCTAGCTCCGCAGCCCCTAGCACGTTCATTATCCACTCCCCTGCTTCCGTCTGGTCTCTAACCGCATTTCCCGTCTAACCCCGTCTGCCTCTCCCCGCCTGCCGTACATCCTCCTCCTCCTCCTCCCTCAGTGTGGTTGTGAAGCGGGAGAACAGCGACGCGCTAGGACCCGGCTTCAGGTGCGTGTGGGTGTTGAGAAAACTGGCCGCGAGTAGGAACGCCACAAATAAAGTAGAGAGAAGGGGATGCCATGCAGGGCCGCCTCAGGACAGCTGCGACCATGCTGCCACACACAACTGGCGGTTCCGTTGCCACCTTGTGGTTGCTTCCTCCATCTTACCCGACCCCCATCCTTACTCCTTGGTTTGTCTAGTCATTATACGGCAGTTGCTTTCCTCCATTACCCTCCCCTCCCCTGTCCCTCTTGCTGCGCGTGTCATTTATATTTTCCCTCCTCCCTCCCCTCCACCCTCCACCCCCTCCACCTCCACCCCCTCCACCCTCCACCCCCTCCACCCCCTCCACCCAGATGCGGCTTCCTGGGTATGCTGCACATGGAGATCTTCACACAGCGGCTGGAGCAGGAGTTCGGGGCCAGCGTGGTGACAACCACCCCCACCGTGCCGTACGTGCTGGAGATGCCCGACGGCACCAGCGTCACGCTGGAGAGCGCAGCGGAGTACCCGCTGGATAAAAAGGTTCGGCACCGTACCAGGGACTGTACGGCATATCTTCCGAACTCCTGTCTTTCCAGGGCGCTGCCCGCTCAGCTCTCGCTCCCCCTGTCCCCCAGCCCTTCCCCACCTGCCCTCCTCAACGCCCCATGCTTCTTCTTCCCCTCCTCCTCTTCCCGCAGATCTCCCAGATCCTGGAGCCCACCGTGACCGCCACCCTCATCACCCCCGACGCCTGCGTGGGTCGGCTCATGGAGCTGTGCACCTCGCGGCGCGGGGAGCAGCTGGAGCACTCGGCGCTGGGGGGCGGCCGCACGATGCTGCGCTACCAGCTGCCGCTGGCGGAGCTGGCTGGCGACTTTTACAGCGCCGTGAAGAGCCGCTCGCAGGGGTGAGTGGATGGGTGGTGGGTGGGGGGATGAGGAGGGTGGTGGGGTGGGGATTGAGGGCTGAGGGTGGGTGCGGGAGGGGTCGGAGGGCGGCTGAGGAATGGGAAGGGTCAAGGATGGATTTCGTCCGGCACCTCTAAATACTCCTGAGCGTCCGCATCCGTACGCTTTTGTATAATAACCCACTAACCCTCGCTCCCCGCCCCCCTCCTGCCTCCCCTCCGCCCTCTCCTCCCCCCCCTGCAGCTACGCCTCCTTCGACTACGAGGAGGGCCCCTACCGCCCTGCCGACCTGGTGCGGCTGGACATCCTGGCGCACAGCAAGCCGGTGGACGCGCTGGCCCGCATGGTGGCTCGCGATGAGGCGGCCACGGTGGGGCGGGCGCTGCTGGTTAAGATGCGGGACCTGCTGGACCGGCAGCAGTTCGAGGTGGTGCTGCAGGTGGGTAAGGGGGGGTAGAAGGATATCCAATGTGTGGTGTGATAGTGGTGGGGTAACATGCGTTTGGGGGGGAGTACCGTACTTGCAATGCCGGTGAGGAGGAAGCAGGGGGGAACAGATAGGGAGAAGAGGTAGGGGAGCAAGGGCAGGGCCAGGGTGGCTTGAAACCTTTGCTTGCACGCTTTGGGAGCGTTTGGGGAGTGTGTTAACGTGGGTTGTGGTGTGGGGTTGGTGTTCGGCATTCCTGCTGCAGGCCGCTGCGAATGGTAAGGTTGTGGCACGTGAGACGATCAAGGCGCTGCGCAAGAACGTGACCGCCAAGTGCTACGGCGGCGATGTCACCCGCAAGCGCAAGCTGCTGGACCGGCAGAAGGAGGGCAAGCGGCGCATGAAGCGGCTGGGCAGCATTGACGTGCCGCAGGAGCTCTTCCCGGAGCTGATGAAGACGCGGTAGTGGGTGGTGATGGTTGGCTGGTTGGTTGCTTGGGCCGCAGAACGGCAGACCTATGTATGTCACCTCGGAGCTGCCCTGTCGTACGACAGTACATGCTGCATGGCGCTTGGCCGTCCTTGTAAGGGCGATGTAAGGCGTGCGGAGTGCGTTCATCCACCTTTTGCCTGTTCCAATGTGTTGGCAATGATACCGGTAGTGCGGCGGCATTAGGTTACAAGTAGGCTGGTGGTCTTGCACCCACATAGAGACGAGTGGGCGCCCTAGAGACTTGGGGCCCAAGCCAGCTTGTCACGCAGCTGCGAAGGGTTACAGCTAACGTGATAGCTACTAGCCTACTACGGACCTTCAACGCTTGCATATCTTAAACATCATATGTGACGGCTCTCAAATGGCGGACAGTGGAGCACATGTCCCAGCATGCTCGTACAACTTTGGTCTTGTGGTGTTGGTACGGGCAACAGATCGCAACGTGTTCATCGGTGGTCACAGGGGCTTCCAACCCTTAGCCTTCTGGTTTTCAAATCCCTAGAGGATTTATGAGTCCTATGCTGTAAAACGTCGAGACAACGTCTACTCTCGACAGGTCACCCAACGCCCAATCAGTCAATCAACCTTGTACACAGCAACATGTGGCATGGGGTCCCATTGCAATAAAGTACGGCAACAAACACAGTCGAAAGTAACTAGCAAGCAAATTGTCAAGGAGGCTGTACATGACGACTTTGGCAAAGGTCCATACAGTGTGCCTCCCAATCTGGGAGATCACAGCTATGCGTGTCTTCCTATAGAGGGCCCAGTGCACTGTTGTTGTCACGGGTTGGACCGTTGGGTCGCGCACAATGGTGCTGGGGGTGGTCGCTAGGATGCATTGGCAGCCTCCTCGGCCGATCTTCAGTAGTTCATCTGCGTGCATGGGCAACGGGGGAAAACCTGCCTTCAGACAGCGGTAGCACCGATACCAGTGAAGGTAAACAGGAATGCAGTGCCTACCAATAAACGATAGGATCCCGCACCTTTCTCTTCATGCGCATCATGTCTCCTACGCAAACCCCGTTCGGGTGTAACCTGCCATTACAGGTACCACTCCCTCCCTGCAATCTCCTAACCACAGCCCCAGACCCCGCCCCGCACTCACCCTGTTCCGCACAGCGTTGGTCCTCAGCGTAAAGTGGTTCGGGCGGGTCTGCTGCTCTTGGACCAGGGCCAACAGGCTCTGCTCCAGCGGAGATAGGTGGGTGGGCGTCAGTCGTGGCTCGGGGGGTCCGGGAGTGCTGACGGGGGTCACAAGGTTAATCACTTCAGGGGCACCGCCCTCAGAGGGCGGCTGGGCGGGGTTGGCAGCGCCTGCAGCCGCCGACGACCCCGGATGCCTGGGCGCCGGCGGGTGCGGGGCCACACCGTCGCCCTTACCGCCCCGTGTGTTGCGCGCCAGGGCTGCGGCGCTGCCGGTTGTGGTGCGGTTGAGCAGCAGCATGCCGCCGTTAGAAGGCCCGCGGCTGGGCGCGGGAGTAATGTTGGCGGAGCTGAGGGGCGTCACGTCGTCGGTGGGACTGCCGCACCCCATGTCGCAGCGGCTGCCGCAGTGGGGCAGCGCGGTGTAGGGGCTGCCGATGTTGACTTGGTCGCTCAGCAGCGCCACCACGGTGTCCTGCTTCAGGCGGGCAACCTCGGACTGCAGCTGGCTGTTGATGAGCTCAAGCTGGCGGACCTGCGTGCATGTGGGGATACCGGTAAGGGGTTGGAGGGGGTGACCCATGGGTCATGAGGCGTGGCCTTGGTCATGTGAGGCTGTGCGCATGCCAAGCGTGAAGACATAAGGGCACATGCATGGTTCCATGGGCATCATACTCGTGATAAGGTCAGGGCAGAGCCAACCCGGTAATGACTAGGAGGCATGGAGACCAACAGCAAAGACGTGCAACCCACCAGCTTCTCCTTCAGCTCCAGCTGCCCCCTGTGGTCCGCCTCGTCCCGCTTCTTCTCCGCCTCCAGTTGCCGCACCCGCTCCTGCATCTGCTTGAAGGTATCACGCCGCGGAGCCGCATCCCGCTCGATCTGCGCTTCCAGCTTCGCCACCCGCTCCGAGGCCTCCACCTCCGCTCTGTGCGCCGCCTCTCGTAATGCAGCGCACTCCGCCTGCAGGCGCATGACCTGCTCCGAGGCCGCACCGCCGGCTTCCCGCAGCCGCTCACATTCCGCCTGCAGTCGAGTCATCTGCTCCTCAGATAATGTGCAGGTAGCGCGCAGTCGCTCGCACTCCGTCTGCAGGGGCACGATCTGCTGCGCTGCTGCAGCTTCACTGGCGGCACGCGCCTCCTGCACCGCCGCTGCCAGCGCTGCCGAGTGCATGCTGCCCTGCCGCGCCATAGCCGCAGCCTTCTCGGCAAGCTGCTGCCGCAGCCTCTCCACCTCCCCACCAGCCTGGTCTCGGGCGCCCGCCAAGTCTCCCTCCAACCGCCGGATTTGCGCCGTTTGCTGCTCAGACCGTGACTTTGCACCCTCCAGCTGCTGCTGCAGCGCCGCTACCTGCTGCGTCGCGCCCTGCTCCACCTCCGTCAAGCGGCGCTGCGCCTGTGTGGCTTGCTCTCGAGCCTCTATGAGCTCCTGGGCCTGTCGCTCGTATGCCTGCTTGGCCTGCTCCAGCTGCTGTTGCAAGCTGTGGACTCGCTGCTGCAGCCCGGATACCTCCGATGCGGCGGCGTTCCGGGCGGCCACGGCGTCCGCCCTGAGCTTGGTGATCTGCTGCTTGAGCTCCTGGTTCTCCTGGTTGGCACCCATCTCCACCGACGCCAGCTGGCCTTTCAGCGATGTAACCTGAGCCAGGAAGGAATCAGCGCAATGCAGTGCACCTCACCTCACCATGTGGAGAACACAAACACACGGGAGACGCTCCCCGTTACCTCCACACATCACCCTCAGCCCAGCCCAGCCCATTCTCACCAGGTCTTTCGCCTGCATCAGATGCTGCTGCGCCGCCTTGTGCTGCTCCTGCACCTGCTCCGCCAGCGCCCGCGCCCCCGCCAGCTCCCCATGCAACCGCGCCGCCTCCAGCCGCGCCTCCGCCAACTGCGCACGCAGGTCTGCAGTGGTACGGCGCGCCTCCTCCGCCGCTGCACCCATCATCACCTGCACCTCAGCTTTGGACCGCTCCGCCTCCTCCAGCTGCGTCCGCGTGGCGGCGTGCGCGCTGCGCTCTGCCTCCAGCGCCGCCTCCGCCTCCGCTTGGTGGCGAGCGCTGGTGCGTCGCAGCTCGTTGTGGAGCTCGGTGAGGCGCGTGAGCTCGTCACGCATGGCCTCCGCGTGCCGCTCGCGACTTTGGCGCTCATGGCTGGCCTCCAGGTCTGCTAGCTGCTGCCTGAGCTTGTTGTTGATGGCCTGGGGAGATCAGGAAGGGAAAGAGCACGCCGCAGGAAGCAGCGGTTTGTATGATGTCCCAGAACACAGATCCAAGGCAGCAATAAGTTTATGGCCTCTGATAACTCCAACCCCGTCCTATACCGCAACCGGCTCATTCCCTACACACAATCCTTCGCTAGGACTGACCTGCAGGGCCTGCAGCTGGCGCTGCAGCTCCTCAGGGCACGCCGGGCTGGGCCGCTTGGGTGCCACGTTGGCGACCGCATAGGTGCGCACGTTGCGGGCCCGCTGCGCAAACATAAGCGTGCCCTTGGACACGGTGGCGTCGCACTGGAAGCGGCTGACGGTGGTGATGAGCGCCACGCGCGCGTTGTACGGGTCGAGCCCCTCTTGCAGCACCTGTTGCATCGGGCATCATGATTGCTTGCATGATTATAAGTGCTGAGTGCTAGTAGAAGCGGCCTCCCAAGGGCCACGACGTGCCCAGCGTACGGAGGAAAGCTTTAGTAGCAGCCGTTGAAGGCATGGAGAGGTGCTATGCGCAGTACTACGGGACATAAAGCGAAGGCGCCGATGGACTTGGCAAGGGAGCGCCCACCTGCGTCAGGAGCGAGTCCCGGTACGGCACATGGGGGCTGCGGGTGCACAACGCGTTCACCACCCGCTCCAGCGCGTTCAGCGAGGAGTTGATGTTGATGGTTTCCTTCTGCTGCGTGCTGCTGTTGGCGTTATTGATGTTCTCGCTGCCTGCAAGATCGGTAGGGCGACGAAAGCAATACACAACACGGGTCAAGCGGCATCCCCGGAATACTTCAGGACGGCATGTCTCCAGGGTGTCTTAACAGCCATGGGGTGCTTTGTACTCCCTGCTTTTCGGCCCCCACCCAGGCCCCACCTGCGAGGTCAACCAGGAACAGCGTGGAGGACAGCGCCTGCTCCTCGGTCCCCAACAGCGACGACTGCTCCAGCCGCATCCGCACGAACGCATGGCTGCGGCTGCTGGTGGCGTTGCGCACCGTGGCGTCCCTGGCCCGGTTCTGCAGCGCCTCCAGCACCAACGCAATGGCCTCGTCCACTGTGCGAAGCAGGAACAGGCGCAGCAAGGGCAAGCGGGGAGCGTGACGTACACCGGCATTCCGTTTCGTAGGCGGAGGGGGCTGTTTGGGACTGTCATGCTTTGATCACACATGGCTCGAAGAGCTGGGTCCCTGCCTCTTACATCCGAACCAGCCCTTTCTCAGCTCTACATGGGTTGCGGAGATGAGGGGTTGTGGAAATGGGGGGTTGTGAAAATTCACCGTACCGTTGTTCATCTGCCTGGGCTTGTGCTGGTGATAATCCGACATTCCCTTGCTCAGAGACCTCCGCTCCACGCTTGCCGCGTCCAGCAGGCAAAACAGCTCCTCATTGTACACCTCGAACACCGAGATGCTGAGGCTGGCACGCGGCGACCCCAGACACACGCTCTCGTCCAGTTTGTGCAGCACCATGTGCAGCAGGCCCTGAGCCTGTGACATCCCGCATCACAGGCCGTGGGGACATCCGGTTAGGGACACGCCATTAATACTGGTTACGGGACAGAAAGGAAGTGGAACCAGGATATGTGTCTGTTGGAAAGGGCAGTCAAGTACAGGCCAGGCACAGGCGTCTTGTACGTGCTTAACTTTACCTTGATGTCCGGCTCATCGCAGCCGAACATGGAGTAGGTTTTACCGGAGCCCGTCTGGCCGTACGCCATGATGGAGACGTTGATGCCTCCCAGGAGCTGGGGCATCAGCCCCCCGCCAACGGCTGCGACCAGTGATACAGGCCATCGGGATTCGGTGTTGGGTTACGCTAATCATGGCTTCACCCATTCACCCAAAGTACAAGCATACCCAACGCCCCAGCCTTCACACCTTCGAACAGTTGCTGGTTTGTGGAGTTATCGAGGACGCCGTCAAAGTCAGTGAACCTGCGGGGCAACGGTGCTTGGGTTAGGGCCCGGGGCACGGGCATCCCAGCCTGGAGCCCCGCCCCTCCTTACCAGTTTTCCTTCCCGTTGGCAGCAGGAATTGCAATACCAAGCTTGCCGTCCCTGTCATGGATCGCAATTGTGTCCTTCGCACGGCCTACGCAGCAGCGCGGCTGAAGATAGGCAGCTGTCCATTACTGGCAACATGGACTTCTGTTCCATTACCTGTCCGGATATCCTCCTCCATAATTGGCTTGACTCGGACGAATACCTATGTCCCGCCGAATGTTTTAGTTTCGCTTATTGCTGGAACCAGTTTCATGACCGCTGGACTAAAGTCGTCACTTTGACATCGCACCTTGACAGCGTCGCCGCCGCCCGACGACCTTTTCTTTATTGTTGTCGAAGATTCATGCAGAGCCCCTGGGCGCGACGTCCTTATGCCCGTATGTGAGTGGCGAAGTGGCAAGCTGCGACCTAGCATTGCCTTCGGTGTAAGACTATCCGAGGCGTCTGAGCTTTCATCCGTGGCCCCTCTCGCAGAACGCCGAAACGGTGTTAAAAGGGATGCTCTCATTGTCACGGCAGTGCATCGCCTAGGCCAGCAGTGGCCCGGAGTCCAAGCAAACCACGATAACTGACAGCCCTATTCAGCAAATATACAATATAGTCAAGTATAGGAAGGTGGAGGTGAGAGGCTCACGCGCTAGCTCTCCGCGTCCCAGCATTCATACACGTACTTGGATCCCGATCCCGTCCGACCTTACATCTTGCCATGTTTCCACGCCCCTTCCACAAAAGATAAATAGGAATTTGTATGTATACACGCTTACAGTCTTAAGACACTTAATACGATGCTTGTTCGGCCTAGATGTTAGGCTCGACCCGCTGTCGGGAAGCCTGCAAAGCTGCCGTCAGAAGCCACTGGCGCAGCCGCCGCAGCACGTTGAGGGATGACACTCGGCTGCATAACCACTGGAGATTGCTGCGCCACTGCAGCCGGGATTTGCGCCGGGACAACTGTTGGCGCAATGGCTTGTGCAGCGGCAGCTGGTGCAGCCGCAGCTGGAACTGCTGCAGCGCCCGGTGCCACAGGCGACATTGCCGGCGCCGGTACAGGCTCTGTTGTTGTTGGCGCCACCGCAGCTGGGGCTGGGGCTGCACTACTTGGCGCTGCCATGACTTGCGCGGCGTCGGCTGGTGCAGACGGCGCTGGCGGAGCCGCACTAGCCTGCATAGCAGCGGGTACTGCTGCTTGATGCACTGGGGCTGGCGGAGGTGGCGCTGCTGGTGCTGGTGCCGCTGCAGCGGGTGCGGGTGTGGTGGGCTCCTGTGCGGCAGGAGCCGGTGCAGCAGCTGACGACACTGCTGCTGGTACTTGGGAGGCTGCAACTGCAGGCGCCGGGGCAGGCGCTGGGACCTCCGTTGGTGCTGCTTGGGGCGGAGCAGGCGCGGGCGGCGGAGCAGGGGCGGGCGGCGGGGCAGGCGCGGGCGGCGGAGCAGGGGCGGGCGGCGGGGCAGCGGCAGGCAAAGCTGCAACAGCAGCAGCTGCTGCCGAAGCATGGGAGCGCCTGCTGGCCACGGACCGGGTGCTTTCACGCCCACTGGCAATGGACAGGGCGGGTCCGCTGGCGGCGGAACGAGCGCTCTCCTGCCGAGACGGCAGCCGCGAAGCACGAGGCGTTTCCTCCTCCCCAGCTTCCCGCGGCTGCTCCCGGCGCCGCGCTGAAGGCCTCGCCACAAGCTCGCTCGCCTCACCTCGCGCTGCCGGCCTCACTGCTTTGCGGGGAAGCGGCGGCACGCCCTCCATCTCCTCCTCATCCTTCTCCTCATCGGTGGTGTCCGGCACGATGTATCCATCTCCCCGTTGCGTCACCTTGTTGGCCTTGATGTTGCCCGTCTTCACCCGCAGCTTCTCCTTGCCGCTCGCCGGCTGCTGCTCAGGAGCCGCAGGCTCCGCGCCCGTGCCGACCCCACCCCCTCCCTGGCGGCGCCATGACGAGGACGGCGACGCGCCGCGCGCTACCGGGGAGCCGCTGCGGCGGCGGCGACTGTGCTCCCTGCGTTCCCAGCGGTCAGTCCTGACCTCGCGCTCTCGGCTGCGGAACTCCCGCTCGCGGCTCCGGAGCGCACGCTCCCGACTGCGGTGCTCCCGCTCGCGGCTGCGGTGCGAACGCTCCAGGCTGCGGTGGATGCGCTCCATATCCCGGTGCGCCCGCTCGCGCTTGTCAGGGTCCCTGCCATCGGGCCGGCGGCTGCGGCTGCGGTGCTCCTCACGGCGGGGGCGGTCGTGGTGATGCGAGTGGTCCCGGTCATGGTGGGGGTGATCGTGGCGTTTGCGGTCGTGGTCACGGTGGCGGCGGTCGCTGGTTGCGCTATCAAGGTGCCGGCGGCTGTGCCCGCGAGACGGGCTGCGCCGGTGCCTGTGCCAGGGGACAAGAAGCGGCATGGGCGGTTATACCGGTACCTTCCAGACCGGAGCCTAGGTAACGCAAGGAAGTGCGGTCGTCGCGTGTGTGTGAAGGGCAACATATGGTTCGTGTTACACGTTCCCAACAAGACGTCCGGCTTTGTAGGTGAGTGCATGCTTCCGGCATGTGCCTAACGGGCCGCAGCCCATGTGTACCGGTGTACCATGGCGCGGTTCTTGCCAAACACAAACATTCGTTTCCCATTCCCATTTGAACACTGTTGACGGCAAGGGCAGCCGAAGCGCCACCCACCTGCTGCTTTCCCGTCTCCTGTCGCCACCGTACGTGGGCATGCTACGGTCCGACGGCGCCTCATGCCGCCTGCTCGACCGCCGTTCCCGGCTGCCATGCCGTCCACTCTCCCGATGACCTTCACCCCGGTGCCGGCTGTGGCCGCGACGGCGCCCCACCTCTTCGCGACTGGCTCGGCGCTCCGCCCGCCGGCGCCTTTCGCGCTCCCTTTCGCTGCTGCTCTCAGAGCCATAGTAGTCACTGCGCTCACGGGGACGGGGGTGCCGGCTGCGGCTGCGCCGCTCATGGCGGCTGCCGTGTTCCCGGTCCGGGCGGCGGTGGGAGGCGGACCTGGGTGCGAGTTCCTCTCGGTGGGGTCGCCGGCGGCTGTGGTGCCGGTGCTCATGGCTGCGGCCGTCGACCCTGCTGCGACTGTGGTGGTTGGAATGGCCGTGGCGGTGCTGACGGTGTTTTCGTTCCGCCTCCAGGGACGATGACGATGATGAACGGGCGGGGGAATGGTGATGCCGGTGCCTGTGGCGGCTGCGTTCCCTGTCAGCCCTGCGCCGCTCCTCCCTGTTGTCGCGCTGCCTGCTGTGCTTCTCTTTGCTGCGGCTGCCGTCCGAGCTGCCCTTGTCCTTGCTGTCGGAGCTCCGGCTGGAGCCGTCGCTACCGTCCTTAGAGGACTTGCTTTTAGCGGGCTCAGAGCCGTCTTCCTTGTCGCGGCGACTGCCGCCAGACGCTGCCGCGCCCTTCAGTGGTGCGGGCCGACGTTCCACAGCGGATCCCTCGTCTTCGGCTGGCACGCGGCCCTCGCCCTCCAGGTCACCGTCAAAGTTGTACTCAAGCGGGACCACCTCCCTGCAGGGATGCAAGCAGGCAAGCCGGGACGTTAGCTGTTGGTGTTTGGACACCATTCAGGTCACCTTTCGAACGTTCCTATGGACATGCACGGCAGTGGCGGGGGCTACTGCGCTGCCCCCTACACGACTGTGTAGGACTGAAGGGCTGCCTATGCGGCGTTATGGAGTGCACGTTCAGACGCCAGAAAGGGCCTTTGGCGTAGGCATGTGCGCCGGCTTTGCATGAAACAAGGCGGTTGCATTCAAGACGTGCATGGTGGCTGCACTCTGTCCTAAGTGACTGTCTGATGTGCGTGTTATAGGTTGTCGCTCGACATAGAAGCATGCTGAAGAGATTTGGAAAGCCCGGGCGACTCACGGGTGTCTGCCGATGTTGACCGTGCCATGGATCTTGAAGTTGTTGCCTGCAAGGATGGATGGGAAGACAGGCACGGAGGTAAAGCGCAAAGCAAGCAGCGACATGGCTGGTCGAGGAGGAGTTGCGTTAAGCCAATCGTCAGGGCTAAGCAATGGACTCATGCGGGCAGGCGAGCTGCATGGGGTTCACGGCGCCCTGGATAGCAACGTGCTGTTCGTGAGTAGGAATCGCATACGGTCTTACGTTGCAAGAGCTCCCTGATCTTGTTGGCATCCCGCTTGGCCTGTACGCGTTCAATCTCCTCGTTTACGTAGAAATGGCGGCCTGGCTTGTGCGCCTGTTTCATGTACTGCAGATGCGTGCAGGAGAACATAGTGAGATGAAGAGGACGCCCAGACATGGCATGCGAAGTGCTTGCGAACATAATGGTTTCCTTGCAATGTTTAGGTGCACGCACAACTAACTGGCGGTTGCGGTATCGGCCGCCCAGCATGGAATGGTGCACGGTTGGCATGCCAGCTGAGTTATCCTCCCCTCCGATACGCGTGCAGCGACCAGAAGCTAGTCTGCCCTACGTATTAAACCATCGACTCACCACGAAAGGGCCCTTCGCTTTCCGCTGCTTAATTTCGGGCTCCGTGGCTCGTTGCGCCAAGCCTCTCGTCCAGTCTTTATCTGGCTCGCTATGCGGCTCGCTGTCAACAATAGTTTCGCCATCGCTGCTTCCGAAGGCAACTTTCAGCAGTTCGACCCCCCTATACGTAAGAAAGCCGACATGGTCAGTTGTCCGTTGATGAGAGCCCTCTCTGTAGGGCGCTACTCAGGCTAGACCCTACACACGTGTTTGCACAGACAACAGGCAAAACTGGCCATTTGGGTATTGGCCGCTGTGATGCAGGACTTACTCATCGTCGCTCGACATGGCTGTTTCTCCTGTTGCCAGCAGGCACCTCTCAAACCAGAGAACAGGAACTCATATCCCGCTATGCTTAGAGAGTAAGCCGGCACAGCTCTAAGCGAAACGTGAAAGAGAAGCCTTGGAGCGGTTACCAGGAGGTTTCTGAGCTTAATGGTATGTTATGTACGCATGAGAGGTAAGACCGTCACTATATATAAGCTTGGTCACTTTGGAGTAGTCAAGGCGTTGTTATAATGTCAATTCATGCATGAGACCAAACCCTTACTGTACCGGTGGTGGATTCTGCTGCCAGTCTCTACATTTTCCTTATCATTTTCTGTTTCTGTTTCTTTACCAAAATTAACTCGCATTCCCTGTCTCTATGCGATTACAAGACTATCAGCTCATTGGGGTACCCGTATGGGCGTTGGCTTGCATAGTATCTTTATGGTTAATCACCCTGTCTGATGCTGTGTACACAAGCGCAAACTAAGCGTTTCCTTACAAAGAATATATCGGCGCTGTCTGCCTGCTGGCGGACGCGTCGTGGTAACTACCAGAACGCCGCACATTCTAGCAGGGGTTCAAGACCGCAAGCAATCGGTAAGATGACTGCGCTGGGGTTCAGATTAAAGTCTTCACCAGTTAGAATCTGCCATTACATCCCATGCCTTACACAACAGTCCCCTCACCCCACCCTATCCTCATGCCCGCCCCTTCTCACAAGCACCTTTGCCCCGTCTCCAGCATCCCAACAGGCACGCAGTTCCTGGCCACTTCCCATGGAGGATGGGAAAGCTCTACCGCGTGTCCTGTCCATACAATCCCATGTTGTACATGGCTACGTTGGCAACAAGTGCGCCGTGTTCCCTCTCCAGCTCCTAGGTCTAGAGGTGGGAGGCAAATCCGACCATGTTCTGCTGCTAGGGGCACCTAACTCCCCATGGCCGTCTCATCCTGTGGCTCCTCATGTCACATGTTACGCCCTCCATCCATTCACCATTTCCACCTGTCACCCCATTTGACCTGCCCATCCACCACGCCAGGACCCCCATCCATCCCCCGCAACTGCCCAGCCTCCCAGTTTTATTTTTCAGTATTCCCAGTCCTTCTTGCCGATTCCCAGGTACTGACCCAGATCATCGCACCTTGCGCTCCTCAACTCACTCCTCCCCGCAGGTCGACCCCATCTACAGCGTGCAGTTCTCCAACCACACCGGCTATCCCAGCTTCAAGGGCGCCGTGTTCGACGGCGAGCAGCTGCGCGCGCTGACGGCGGGGCTGGAGACCAACCAGCTGCTCACGCACACGCACCTGCTGACAGGTGGGTGTGGCGAGAAGGAAGGAGAGGAGAGGCGGGGCTGGGAGGGTGAAGATGCGGTGAAGGTAGGGGTGCAAATTGGAAGTCGTAGGCCACCTGACACATGTCTCAGGCTTGCGAGGTCAATTACCCGGGCTCTCCTCCTACCCTACCCTACCCCACCACCGTCCCGGCCCCTCTGCAGGCTACATCGGCAGCCTGTCGCTGCTGCAAGCCATCGCGGACCTGTGCGCCGCCCTCAAGCGGCATTCGCCCAACCTCACCTACGGTAAGATGCGCCCGGGCCGTGTACGGCCACTGTCTTGCTTTCCACCCTCCCATCCTCCATACACTATATCCGCCCTCCCATACCCCATGCATTGTATCCGCCCTCCTCCCAGCCCGGCTTCTCTGCACCACCTCTCCTCCCTCTCTTCCCGTCCCTCCCCTCTCCCCTCCTCCGCACCCTCTCCCTCCACACCCCCAGTCTGCGACCCCGTCCTGGGCGACGAGGGCCGCCTCTACGTGGCTCGCGAGCTGGTGGACGCCTACGCCTCCACCATCGTGCCCCTCGCCTCCGTCCTAGTGCCCAACCAGTTCGAGGCGGAACAGCTCACCGGCGGCACCCCCATCACCAGCCTGCGCGCCGCCCTGGCCGCATGCGAGCAGCTGCATGCTCGCGGCCCGCACACGGTGGTCATAACCAGCATGACGCTACCGGGCGACCCGGGCGGAATCACGCTGGTGGCATCCACGCGGCTGCCGCAGGCGGCGGGCGGCAGGCTGGGCGGCGCGGCGCGCATGTGCATGCGGATAGATCGCATCCAGGCGTACTTCACGGGCACCGGCGACCTATTCGCCGCGCTGCTGCTGGCGTGGATGCATCACCATCCGGGGGACCTGGCGGCGGCGGTGGAGAAGGCGGTGGGCGGGCTGCAGGCGGTGCTGGCGGACACGGTGGCGCATTGCGGACCCGCGGCGCTGGCGGGGGAGCGGACGGCGGAGGTGAGGGAGGAGGGTGGAGACGGGATTGCGGCAGGAAGAAGGGTGACATGGGATCTGGCACTTGAGGGTGCAGGGTTACGGCTCCGTGCTAGTTGCGGGTCGCCGCTTTGTCTCCCACCCAAACAACGGCTCCGTGGTCTCGTCCCTCCTGCACGCAGGTGTGTGCGCGGCGGGAGCTCCGGTTGATACCCTGCCAAGGCAAGCTGGTGGACCCGCCCATCACCTACCGCTGCCAAGTGATTGACTCCTGACGCCCTGAGGCAGCAGCTTGACCGCGGGCGAGGACTTGACATGTGGGCAGGCAGCATGCAGGGCTGTACAACATCCGCACGTGCCACACGTGCGTTTGCATTGGCGTGTGCTGCTGCACTACGGTGCTTTGCAGGGCGCATCGTGTGTGGAGGTGCTAGGGTTTCTCAGCCAGACGTCGTGGAATAACGTTGTTACGCCTAGTGTGCCACGGTGTGAAAGGAATAGGAGCGATGGAGAGGCATGCGAGTGACACTGCTGAGCGTTCTATTGGATGATGTACGGCAATTTCTGCATCCCGCATTTGTAGATAGCAGTGCGTCAAGCGTGCGAAGGACCCGTACATGTATGACCGTTACAATGGTTCCCTGAAAGGGAACACGGGTGATGAACCCAACCCTACATGCCGTACATGGCGACGCTGACCCGGGGGTCCGTAGAATTACATGACAGCTAGGTTGTTAGAAGACGACAAGCTCACTAACAACGTAGCACACCTGCACCCGTAGCCGTTTGATTGCGGCATCACATAACACGACACGGGGTGTCAGCTTCCTCAGCCACAGCCCCTCGCTGAGGATTGGAACGTATATGACATTTAGGATGACGGGACATGCGTATTACCAGTGACCCCATGGAACCAGCTTAGCATCTCAAGGCCCTAACTGCTGGAGGGCTTGGAGGAGGAGGAGGAGCTGCCGGTAGCCCGCAAGAGGAAGGTCCAGCAGAATGAGACCATGACGGCCAAGCTTTAGCGTCGCATTAAGGACGCATCGGTCGTGCTGGGGGGGGGGGGGTCGGAGTTCGCTGGCGCAGCTTGTGTTCGTCATGCCAGGTCGGCAAACGAGTTACTGCCTCCCTCCCTCCTTAAGTCGTATGCCCGAAGGTGCCCCTGGAGGCCCTGGTACGACAAGGAAGTTGCGCGAAGGTGTCAGCTCGCTTGAGCGACAAAGGCTGCGAAAAACTGCATTTTCCGTGGACTGGGACACCTTCAAAATTCACGCCGAACAGGATTTAGGCCTCACACTGCTTAAGAGTGTGGTTGCTAGCAATGTTAGGTATGGAACCCGAATCCTGTAGGATGTTGCTGCCAGTACATCCTGCAATCCTGCTGATGCCTTTAGCCATGCGTGTCAGGGCTGGTTGCCGCCGCTGATCTAGTAGCCGCACGAACGCAGCAGAGCAAAAACGTGCGCATGCCACACAGATCTTGCCGTACAAGAGGCCCACATTTGACCCCGATGCTCTTAAGCCCTGGGCCGAGACCTTCATGAGCCTCTTCCGCCAGCACCTCGACCTCCATCCACCCGCTTCCCCTGGCTCATTTTGACACGGATAGAGCGGTCCTTCGGCGGCTCTGTTCCGACTCCATCATTCCGGTTTCGGAGAAAAGCAGTCGACCCCCATTCCTATCAGCCCAGTACCGTGGAGGCCCGTGGCGCCGCCTATGCCGCCACCAACACCTCCCTTGCCCTTGGGGTCTACCGGCCAACGTGTCTGCGGGACTCTTGGCTCCCTGCTGGCGCCCCGGCGGCGCCGTCTGTGCCGCCGGTTTCCCAGGCAAGTTTCCCTGGCCGGGGAAAACTTTGTGTGGTTTGGGGTCGGGGCTGGGGTTAGGGCTGATCCCCGGCAGTTGGCAATGCGTGCGTGTGCCCCCAAACAGCGTAACCACCTCCACCGTAATCGTATCTACTGATACCCCTCCGACCGCAATCCTGTGTGCACCAGCAACCATGCGTACAGAGTCGGCTCACAAAATGCCAACGGGTAGGCATCCGTGCATACAACGCAGCAAACCGCTAACTTTGCATACAACAGAAGCCGCTACAGCAGATACCAGGGGCTCGGTACGGCGTTCCAGGATCGTACCCTGCGGCACCAGCATTCGTGCCCACGGCAGCCATAGCTAGTATTGTTACCCCCCAGCCGGCTCATGAGCGGACCCTCCACCCGCCGCCGCAGTGCCGCTGCAGGCATCATGAACAGGAGCGCCGTCATCAACCCCAGCGGCTCGGATCAGGGCGAAGCAGGAGGTGAAGGTGTGCAGGCGCGAGGGCTGCCCCTCCACGGTAGAGCAGATCTCCCCCTCCAATGTTCCGCCAGCCAGCTGTATTGCAGCAGCAGGGAAGGCATCAGGGCACGGGAGCAGCTGCCGTTAGGGTACATCGCGTGACATTGCCGAATCAGGCCGTGCTCGGGCAAGGAGGCTAACCGGCGGACCCGCCGCCTCAAACAGCCCTCCCAAGGTCCACTCAACTACCCAACACCCAAGCCATGCATCTGCCCGACAGCATCCATCCTTACCGCCGCCCCAGGCAAGCAGCTCGCCACCTCCTCATCTCCGAAGAAGGGCAGCCCTGAACACGACAGCGCCAGCACCCCCACCGCGCCCTGCGCGGCGGCCACTGCAGGCGGCAGCTCCTCCGAGTAGGCTCGCAGCCGCTGCCGCATGTGGCTCTCAGCGGCCGGGTAGTCCCTAGGCGGGGCGGGGCGGTGAGAGGGAAGAAGAGAAGAAGGAGCGAGGGATCAGGGGCCCAGCGCAACTACCTACCGGTAGCAGACCAACCCTGCGTGCAAGCAGGGCAGCAGGCCTGCAGCAAAGCTAGAACTAGTACAGGCTATGGGCGCGGGAGCGTCGCTTCCCTCCTTGCAAAGCTACCGGTAGAGCTAGTACAGGCTATGGGCGCGGGAGCGTCGCTTCCCTCCTTGCAAAGCTACCGGTAGAGCTAGTACAGGCTATGGGCGCGGGAGCGTCGCTTCCCTCCTTGCAAAGCTACCGGTAGAGCTAGTACAGGCTATGGGCGCGGGAGCGTCGCTTCCCTCCTTGCAAAGCTACCGGTAGAGCTAGTACAGGCTATGGGCGCGGGAGCGTCGCTTCCCTCCTTGCCCCTTCCCATGCACGACCGATTCCCCCCCTCCCACGCCCCTCGTCCCCGTGCCCGCCGCGGCCCACTCACTGCATGTGGACCTGCAGCAGCGTTCCCGGGGCGACGGGTGCGGTGGTGTTGAGCCCCAGCAGCGGCCGCTGCTGGGGACCCTGCTGGAAACCCCACCCGCGGGTCACCAGCTGAGGGGGGGAGCCGAGCGGTGGAGGGGGGGAGCCGAGCGGTGGAGGGGGGGAGCCGAGCTGGGGTGCTGCTGCTGGCGGGTGACCTGAAGCCGGCGACGGCTGGAGCCCTGGTGGGGCCAAGGACGATGGCTGCGTCGATTGTTGTGCTGGTAGTTGCGGATGGTGGTGGTGATGGTGGGTGTGAGATGCACTGGTGGGTGCAGCGGGATGGGAGAGGTGTGGGGCGGTGTGGGGTGGCCGCTGCGAATGGGAGTTGGCGTCTGCGGTAGTACTGCTGCTGCCGGGGCGACCAGCGATGCCGCTGCTACTGCTGGTGTTACTGCTGGTGGCGTCGCCCACCCCCATCTTGAGGGTTGAGGCGGACTCTCCCGAGTGGAGCGCCGCGGATATGGCGCGTCGGAGCTGCGAGGGGCAGAGGAGGTGCGGGCGTCACCGGCAGCAAGATGTGGCGTTTCGTGTGGTGTGCAAGGATGGGCTGCGAGGACTTCAACGGACATGACGATCCTCCCTTTTTCCCTGCACCTCCAAGAGCACCTCCCAGGATTTGCCATGACGCGATACCGTTAACCCCTGCAGGGGCTGCAGTTGTAAGTAGGCAGGTTTCTATAAATCAACCCGCCCCCCTCACCGGCTGCTGCACCGGCTGCCCGTCCAGCTCCATTACCAACTGCCCCCGCGCCGCAGTCACCCGCATGAGCGGCCCCGCGCCTCGAAACCCGGGACTGACCACCGTGTCGAACTGCAGCCAGGCGGGGAGGGTACCGGTACCAAGGAGGTGAGGCCATGGCGAGGGAGGAGGGCGAGAGGGGAGGCGGTGCGGAAGGGAGTCGAGAGGTGCGCAGATAGGTGTGTCACCAGGAGAAAACACACTCCTCGCGAGTTACGCACGCCGCTACTCGCCACGCCAGCCGGCTCCCCCTCAACTCCTCATCATGAAGAAAACAGCCGTCAAGGCCCTTGGACCGCACCCTGCCTCCGCCCCCAGCAGCCCACACACCCGCACCTTGAAGTCTCCCAGCAGAACGCAGCCCACGGCGCCCTGCGCGAAGGTGCGGTCGTTGAGCCACAGCGCGCCCCACTCGCTCTCCGACTCGCCCCACGCGCCCGGAGCGGTCACTCCGCCCACCACCTGCGGCAGGTAGCGGCAGGTAGCGGATGAAACGCGCTGGGCGAGGAGGCGGAGAAGGGCGAGAAGCACTGGCGGGCGGAAGGGGTTGAATGGGACACAGCCTCAGCACTAGACCCACTAGGCCGTACCGCCGTACCTTCATGCTGGGTGCCACCTGCCCGAACCGCTGCAGCAGCTCCTCCACCGCCAGGAAGTGCGGGGAGGAGAGCAGCAACGCAGCCGCCGAGGTCGCCCGTGGAAGCGTTGGCGGTGGTGGTGGTGGTGAGGAGGAGGAGCCCGCCGCTCCCCCACCCGCTCGCCCTATCCCTGCTACCGACGCCGCTGTTACTGCCGCGGTTGCTGTTGCCCCAGATCGCGCTGTTCCAACAGCCATCGTCGCCGCCGCTGCATCTCGCGCAGCCGGCGACTGCGCTGCGCCTCCGCGGCTGGCCAGCATGACATCCGCCCAGCTGCCGCCGCTGAGCGCAGGCAGCGACCCTTGGGTCGTGTGGAAGGTGAGCAATCGCACGCCGGGCAGGTGAGCCGCCAGCAGCGCCACCCCCGGCTCGCAGTCCGCCGGGCCGAACCCGCCTCCCGCCACTCCCTGTGAACAGTTATACGTAGGAAGAATTAGAGCGGGCATCTGGAGGAAGGAGGAAGGGGGCTTTCCGAATTATGGAACAGGAGGGAAGGAGGACGGGAACAACCAGACTCTCCGGCCTTCCTAACGCCAGGTCACAGCGGTTGTCACCAAGGGTGCAGAACCAGTCCCCTCGTGCCGCCGCAGAAGGCCTTCCCTCCCTCCGGCTGCACTCACCCTCAGCACCCCGCCGATGATGAGTGGCGGCGGCAGGCCCTCGTCAACCATCAGCGCTCGTACGTACTGCAGGGCGGCATGCAGCGGGGTTAGCATGTACCATGCAGCGTGTACGGCAGGGGTGAAGGGGGAAACCGGGGCCCACCAGTACCGGCATATAGTGGTTATGGACCTTTACGTAATGCATGACGGCGCATGCGACGCCTCCCAGGGACCGCCACGAATTCCGTCCAGGGCTGCAAAATTGGCAGAACAGGTGTGTGCGAGGTGTGTCAACAGTCGCCGTGGCCTCGCACCTGCGGCAGGTCCGCAAGCCCAGCTCCGTACTCCTGGTGTGGTGTAGCGAACAGGGTGACGAGGTGCGGAGGCCGGCTGCATGGGGGCGGGGAAGAGAGTAAATGATGAGGGGTAAGAATGCGGGTTGCGTACGTGGAGGTTACGTAAGTGGGTCATGTTGTGGAGAGAAACAAGGAAGACGGGACGAAAGGAGCCCGTGCATGCACGGCGGGAAGTACATGGCTGGATGGGAGGTAGGGCTTGCAAGCGCAGACAGCGCGAAGGACTCACCCAGCGCCCATAGCTTCCTTGACCCTCGCGACCAGCTCGGTGGCTGCGGTGAGGAGGCTGCGGCCGCGGTAGCTAGCAGACACGAAGAACAGGCCGCGTGCGGTGCCGGCACCGTTGCGGGCACTAGGGGGCCCTGGAGCTGCCGCATGGGTGGTGGCGCAGGCCCAACGTGCGGCCAGTCGGCACCTCATAGCCGGTGTTAAGGTTATGGAGCCGCTGCGGCGTGGCTACATGCGCTCAGGGCACTAAGTCGCAGTTAGGTTTGTTCTGGGTCGCCCCGGCCAGCAGATCTACCGAGCCCGCTGCAACATAAATAGCATTACAACTATTTCAACGAGTCATGGCAACGTATGTCTCTGCTTGGACAACGTGGTGCTCAACTACCATGTCGTCTCACGTATTCGTACATGTCATTTAGGCGTAGCATATGCAGCGGTCGTGACTTTATCGCAAAGGCAGTAAGACGCAGTGAAGCAAACTTTTGTTGTCCTTGTATAATTGTCGCTAAAGACATATCAACTAGGTGACCTGCCAAGGACCTGCTAGGCCTATTCACAGTCCAAGCGTTACCTTAATAACAATTACTGAGCACACTTATAGGAGTTCTACTGGAAATTGAGGTAGCGGGCTCGCTTGCTGGGCGCTAGCTACAAGAATGGGTTCCTCGCAATCCAGCGAACGAGCGAGGCGTCAAAGACCTGCGCAACCTGCCCCACCACCTCCACCTGTGTATAGCAATTTACCACCATATGCTCCCCCTCCAGTCTATCCGACAGCGCCGGGGCAGGTGTGTCATAATGCACAAGATGGCACGGGAAGGTGCTCGCAGCGACCTAAAAGCCGCGCGTAATGTCTGCAGTTTCCCCCGCCGCAAGTACCACCACCACCAGGACCTTACTTTGGGAACAATCAGCTACCGCCGCAGCCGTACCAGGTCATATACCGGGTAAGTGACGTATCTTGCGGTTTCATTTCGAAGGGCCGCAGCCGAAACCAACCGTTGTCCGCCATCGCAGCCTCCCCCACCAGTACCGGTGCAGCCGCCTCACTACCTGCAACAGCAGTTCGGGCAACCGCCTCGGCCGGTGCAAACCCAAGAATGCCAGACTACAGCCACCATCCGCAATCAGGTCAACTTGAATAAGCAGACGCTGGCGCTACAACCTACGTCACAGCCTGGGGTTTACAACATAAGCTTCAAGTTCGATGCGTCCGCGCCTTGCCGCGTGACGACCTTCGTCTGTGCACGCGAAGATGTGCGCAGGTCATGTAAGATTACTTCGCCAAGTCCACCTGCACCGGCTGTCAGCTATCCGAAAGGGGTAAGGCTGCGTGTGCAGGGAAGGGGAGTATATGGCAAAACGAAGCCGGGTGTTGCTCATAGCGGTTCCAGGATGCGTGTTTGGGTTCTCACAACACCTTGCTAACGATTCTCCTCTTTACTCCTTGCTGGGTTGCCCCTCCTTGCCTCACATGTTCCCTGCCCGTCCCTTCCCCCTGTCCTCCCCACCCGCACAGCTTTCCCACGCCTTCCCCAGCCCCTCCGCTGCAACCTCCTCCGCGCACGTGGTTAACACCATGCAATTTCCCGCGCGCGACCTCACCACCCCCTCCAACGAGTCCTACCCCGTCATCATCCGCCTCGAATCCCTGTACGAAGACGCAGCGGCGGCGGGAACAGCAGCAGCACCGGGCTCGGGGCCCTCCTCCGCGGGTCGCTCCCTGGAGTCTCTGGAGGTGGGGTGCGAGCTGCCGTCCTGGGTGCAGGCGCAGACCACCTACGCGCAGCTGGTGAAGGAGGACGACGGCGCGTGGGGGCTGCGGGTGATCAAGCAGAAGATCTGGGTCAAGGGGGTGGCGTACGAGTTGAAGGTGGGTGGCAGGGTGAGGGTAGGGGGTGGAGAGGGATGCGGCATGTGCGTGGGCGCTCGGGTTTCAGTTGGGTTGCAGCGAGGGGGCGAACGTGGTGTGTTCACGCGGAGTGCAGGTTAGGCAGGATTGCGACTGTGGGAGCCTAGGGAACCTGTGCACCGTCCTGACGCATCGCGCGTCCTCTGGTGCTTTCCCCGTGTTTTACTATTCACAGGAGATCTACGGCATGGAGGCTGGCAAGCCGAGCGGCAACGCCGACGAGAGCTTTGAGGACGTGGACGGCAACGAGTGCGTCATCTGCATGAGTGCGCCGCGCGACACCACCGCGCTGCCCTGCCGCCACATGTGCATGTGCCACGGCTGCGCCAGCGCGCTCAAGACGCAGACCAACAAGTGCCCCATCTGCCGTAACGAAATCGAGTCGTTGCTGCATATTAAGATAAAAAATAACCACGTAGCACCGGCGGCGGCTGGAAGCCAGGCGCCTGCTTAGGAGAATGGCGAGGGGCGTGGTGGCGGTTGCAAGCAAGGGTTTCTTTTGGGTTGACGGCGTGAGGCCCGAGGCTTGGAGCTTGTACGGTTGTCTTTACGGGTTCAGGAGCTGGATATTTTTCTTAAGCGCATTGTTGTTGCCGTCGAGTTTGATTTGCTACTGATAGCAAGGAATAAGGTAGTGGGGGCAGAGGATGAGGTTCGGCTTCAGGCGTAGATAGTACTTGCTGCCAGAAGAGAGGCAGGGAATAAAGGGGTTGGGTTTCGGGTGGAAGAGGTCGCTTGGTAGGTCAGCATACTTCGCGTTAGCATACTTGCCGACAGAGAGCACTAGCAGGATTCCCGTTTTGGTTTGGCTGTTAGTGTCAGCGGTTGCCAAGGATATGCGCCTGAGACGCATTGCTACCGCGCACGGTGTTTGTGGTCGCCGTGCTTCAGTCCACATGATTACAGTTGCCGTACGCAAGGACAGTATACCTTTCCATTGATTTTGCTGACTGAATGCGTATTACCTTACATAAAGAGGAACTCACGCGGCGTTAGGCGTGTCACGTGTGGGGGTGTTCTACTCCAGCATTACCCTAGTCAAGAGCTTACAAGTGAACGGAATTGCGACTGCCCTGGATGATACACAACACGCTGTAAAGCGGGAATTCTGCTAATTGAGGCCAATTGAGGGGTGCACAACTGAGGGGTGCACATTGAGGGTGCAACTAAGTGGAACGTAGGGTTTGGCGGCTGGGGCGTTGGAACCGGTTGCAAGGTGCTCATACATGTGCCGTGCGACACTGGGATTGAAGCAGCACACGGCAGCACGAGCGCATCGCCAGGCTACGAGGCTTGCGACCCTGGTCAAAACGTTGGTACCACTTACCTAAGCGAGACTGGTAGCGTGGCTCATGGCCGTCATGGGCTTTCCTGTCTGGAGCCTTGTACATTGTAGCAGTCAGTGGGGAGGATGAGTGTCCTCGACTCTCAGGTCACATCGATGGAAGATGGCAGGGGGTATCCATCCACCAGCCTTTCTATAGATGTCCGCACACGGTTGTTCTGGTCCAGCTTTGACATGGCTTGGCCCAAAAATTCTGTAGTCACAGCAGCATTAGAAGGCAACCATAAACTTACGGCCACCAGGAAGTGGGCTGCAAGGTAAGGGGCTTTAGGGTTGCCCTTGGAACTGTCAGCATGTGTATGGTGGCACCTGCCGTACCACGAGGTGCCACAAGGTGCTCCTGACCCTGCGTGCGCCATATCGGCCGCCAGAAGTAAATATGCGACGGCTGGGAGCCCTGCAGCGGGGGCGATATGTGACATGTTTTGGTCAGATACTTTTGTGCGTGGGTCCGTGGGGGCAAAGGTACTGGGTTAATTGCTCACTATAGAGCCTTGGAAACACACGGATGTATAAAGAAACGCATAAGCTATAAGTGCATGTGGTGATGGCAGTTGCGCAGGTGCTGGACAATGACGATGGCGGTTGTCCCGTCCTGATGAAAAAGGACGGAAATTTCATTATTCTCCCTTAACGCCTAGCGCCGCCCTGTTGGAAGCCGCTTTCATACTTCCTGTGAACTTTACCTGTATAGGCAAAAATGTTCCCAGGAATGCCCGGTGGCCCCGGGGCGGGGGCGTTCGACTTCTCTGCCCTGCAGAGCGCCCTGAACGTAAGAAACTTTGAAAACCTATGTTTAATACAATAGATTGTTTAAGCTATAGGCAGCGAAAGAGGCTCGGCAACACGCACCACATGACTGCCGGCGTTGCCTTGTGCCCTCCGTTCTCAGGACCCATCGATTAAGCAGATGGCGGAGCAGATTGCCAATGATCCGAGCTTCAAGGAGATCGCTAAGCAGATGCAGGAGAGCTTCGGTGCTATGATGGGCGGTATGCCAGGCATGCCGGGCGCCGGGGGTGCGGGCGGCGCTGCTCCCGGGGGTAAGTTTATGTTCCAATTGTGACAAGGTATTACGGATTTTGTTTTTAGGTTGTAGTCAGAGGCTAACTCGCCGGCCACATCCGCAGGGATGCCTGGTATGCCCGGCATGCCTGGTATGCCTGGTATGCCCCCTATGCCTGGTATGCCCGGCATGCCTGGTATGCCCGCCATGCCCGGTATGCCCGGCATGTTCCCTCCCAACTTCGACCCGTCGAAGTACATGGAGGCGATGCAGGGCATGTTCCAGAACCCCAACTTCATGTCGATGGCCGAGAAGCTGGGCAAGTCCATCATCGAGGTGGGGATTTAGGTCTGAGGCGCGTGCGCGTTGTCGCAGTAGAATGTGCGTTTGGAAGGCCGGTTGGGTGCGGCGGGTTTCCACAAGGGTTGACGCTTCCGTTTCTTGTACGTACGGAGGGCTTGCTGGACAGGCATGGGCTGGCCGGGAGTGATGTTTGTAGTTGCTCTAGAAATCTCACAAACACGAATCGTTTGGGTTGTTCCAGAAGTGAATGGATTAGGGACATGACTCATTGTTGGATTAGGAACAGGACCCATCCTTCACCGACCCAACTACCCGCGTACCTCCGCTCCCCCTGCGTCCCGCTCCTCAGCCGTTGATCCCTCCCATTCTTTCCCACTCCTTCTCCGCATCCAACCCTCCTGTGGTGTTCCCCTGCACCTCCGCATCACACCCCCCCTCCCGCCCCCTCCTCCTCCCGCCCCTCCCCCAGGCGGACCCCAACATGGCCAACATGATGCAGGCCATGCAGGACCCCGACTACAAGAACAAGGTGGAGGACGCGCTCAAGGGCCTCAAGGACGACCCCGAGCTGAAGCCCATCCTGGAGGAGCTGGAGAGCCAGGGGCCGGCGGCCATGATGAAGTGCGTAGCGGGAAGAGAAGGGGGAGGGGGACGAGGCAGGGGTGAAGGAGGATGAGTAGATGGGGGGTTGGTCACAGGAAAGGCGGGGGGAGCGGGATGGTAGTGGGGTTTGATGGATGTGAGGGAAAACGCCTGACGCGTAGAGCAAGGTCCTGACATTGTGTCACCTCCCACCGTTTGCGGCAGGCTGTGGAACAACCCCGACGTGCTCAGCAAGCTGGGCAAGGCCATGGGCAACGTGTTCGACTTCCCCGGCCAGCTGGAGGGCGGCGAGGAGGAGGGCGAGGGAGAGGAGGGCGAGGAGGGCGCCGCGGAGGAGACGGTGCACGGGGCGGCCAGCGCTGGTGAGTGAGGCGGGTGGTCGGTGGGAGTGAGGCGGCTCCGGGTGGACGACCTGTCATGCTCTCTTAGCCAGAGCCCTTTTGTAATGTTGTTGGGAAGGGCTGGGAGGTTACCAAAGTAAAGGGGCAGCGGGAGACGACCGCAAATGCGGCCGCAAGATGTCGCGCAGTCGTGTTTGACGGCACGCCTTTGCAGCCCAGCAAATGATGAAGCAATTCAACCGCCTAATCGCTCACCTGGCGCACCTCCGTGCATGTCCAGGCTTGTCTTACCCTCCAACTCTCCAACGTCCTCCCGCTCTCTCTGCCCCCACCTTCCTCCCCCCGCTCCCCGCAGGCGATATCGAGCTGCTTAAGAAGCTAATTGCGGACGGCGCCAACGTCGACGAGGCGGATGAAGAGGGCCGCACGGCGCTGCACTTCGCGGCGGGCTACGGCGAGCTGGAGTGCGTCAAGGCGCTGGTGGCTGCCAAGGTACGGGAGCGGATCGAGTGGGGCGGGGCGGAGTGGGGCGGGGAGTAATGGAGGTGACCAACTAATGGGAAAAGGCGGGTGAGAAAATGAGCAATCGGGGCTGCTTAATGAGCCGCGAGCTGGCGGATGGTGAGCTTGGTGTGGGTATAGAGGAACGGCAATGCAGGATGTAGGGACGCAGCCTCTTTCCGCTTAGCACCCACTATCTATTACCACCGCGTTCTTAGTGGTGTCCCACCTCGTACCATCCGTACCTGCTGCTCCCACAGGCCAAGCTCGACGCCGTTGATGCCAACCAGAACACCGCGCTGCACTACGCGGCTGGCTACGGCCAAGCGGAGAGCGTCAAGCTGCTCTTGGAGAGGTCAGTCCTGCAGGCGACCAGGAGGGCCTAGCAGGCTCTCATGGCTCCATGCATGGCCGCTGTGCATCCCTTTTCGAAAAAGCCATTTACCACCCCTACGGCACAATGAGACTCGCTTCTCCACATTGCGTGTCGTCGAAATCACGTTTCCTTACCGTACCCCACTGGACCCTATCCCCCTCCACAGCGGCGCCGACCGCACCGCCAAGAACCTGGACGGCAAGACGGCGCTGGAGGTTGCTGAGCTGAACGAGCAGGCTGACGTCATCGCAGCGCTCAAGGAGGAGCCGGCCAAGGAGGCGCCTGCGAAGGAGGAGCCCGCCTCGCCCGCCAAGGAGGAGACCCCTGCTGCGTAAGCTGGTTGGCGCTTCCGCTTATTGAGAGGACGGCTTGCGGCTTGGTTTTGGGTGCCGGCTTTCAATGGCTGTGGGTCGGCTTTACTTGGCGTCTTGCGTTCGACATGTGGGCTCGTTATGTGCGCTGACTGGGTAGTCGCTAGGCACCTTGAGGACTGTTGCTTCGCAATGGCGTTGGTCTGGACGGAAGTTTGGTCTCGGCGCTGTGCGAAAAGTTGACTAAGGGCTGGGAGGATGACTGTTGCTGAGACTCGTTACATGCAAGGGCGGTTTCTTTTGCGGCCTGGGGATGAATCCCCAGGCCCGTTTTGGTAGTAAATCTGCCGTGCGTGTGGGTTGTTCAAAGCGGGGTGAGAGAGGTATGAGGGCACGCGTTTTTGTTTGGAAGGTTTTGGAAGGGCCGCTAGGGGGAGCCGAGTCTCTTTTACACAGTGACACAAGGACTCTCCCGTCGCCCTTTCTTATGTAAGAAACCTGAATACTTCCAGTTAGCCAGTCCCACCACCAACCCTTGCAACAAAGCCTGTCAAGGGGTATCCAACCGGTGGTTACCTTACCTTCCACCGCACCCCGGGTGCGGTCCGTACGTAAGCTATTACATGTGTTTCACGCTCCCTTGCCAGGCAGGGTTGCAGCCTCAACGTCTCATTGCGTTGCAAGGTCCCATGGGCCCTCGGTCCACAGCAGCAGCTTTGCCCGCTGACAACCCAGGATCTTGCAGGGGTCGTGCACCCAAGTCGCTCCTCCTGCTAAGTACCGATATGCAGATTGCAGAACCCAGGCTTCTCCGTGCATGTGCTTCCCTCTTACTGTTACACGGCCGGCCTCGAGAGCCAAAGTAAATCTGCAAAAAATAACGTACATTGAGATCCTACGAATACCAGTTATTAGCATCCTGCCAGGTCCTCCAGCTCGTCTTCACCACCCAGCATACATCCATCTATGACTACTCAGTGCTTGCTCCTGCCGTCAATTGCCCAGGTCAGGAACGACCGATTCGGGGTCGTGAGCCATGCAAGCAACCATAACGCCGCAATAAACAAAAATATAGGGTCAAACTCCCCATGCAGCGGTACTACCAACTCTGCATCTCGCCACTTCCTGCAACATGCCGTGTGCCCCATGCAATGCCTGCCAAGCACAGCCTCCCACAATCCCCCACGGCCCCCCTGCCATTCACCCCTCCCCCAGCCTACGTTCCTGACCTGTGGACCGCCACGGCCATGCGCTGCCGTGTCAATGCCTCATTTCAATGCGGGCAAGGTCTGCATACACGAGCTTTAGGAGAATTCCCGACCTACATCACCCTGCGGCCCTGCCTGGCCATGCCTGGCCTTGCCCAGCCACTCCTCGCATCGGGACCAGAGTCATCTGCACCAGCCCCGGCGGCTGCACCCCCACTACCGGCCCCACCGCCCCTGGCACCGTCAGCACCTCCTCCTCCCACCAGCACCCCTTCCCCCGCAGCTCTCTCACTACAGCTTCTTTCCCAGCATCGAAAAGCCTCCCATCCGACGCCAATTCGGCACCCCCGAAATGAACCTGCTCTCACGCATAGCCCATCCCTGCACCGCCGCCGCCACAAGCACCGCTGCTACCCCCACCGCCACCCCCAGCCGCCCCCAACCCCCCACCGCCGCAATACCCTGGACACTCATCCCCGCCACCATCGCCATCACCGCCACGCCGCACGTCGCTAGCGCCGCCGCCGCCGTCAGTGCCGTACACACCCCCGTCACCAGCCGCAGCCCCTGCTGGCAGGTGACGCAGTGCCGTACGTGGCGTTCGTACCGCGACAGCGCCAGCTCAATCGGCATGTCCTCATCCGGCCAGTTGCCGTACGTCTGCCCGCTGTACCGCGGTTCCTGCTCCTGGGTTGCTGCCGCTCCTCCTCCTGCCCCCGGGCTACCCGCTGTTGTTGCAGCTGCTGTTGCCGCCGCTCCTCCTGGCCCCCACAGGCTAGCCGGGTAGCCGGCGCGGGTGAGCCAGCGGTTGATCGCTGCCACCCCGTCATCGGAGCGGCTGTTCAGGTAGTAGGAGCGGTAGTTCAAACCCTGATTGCGCATCAGCCGCTCCTGCCTGCGGAGGGACGTCAGGTTGCGGGGAAGCGGCTTCAGGGGCATTGTACCGGTAGCTTCGTGAGAGGAGTGGGGTGACAGGGTTTGTGGGTCGGGACAGAAAGCAGACGGCTCCCCTATCCGGTCCTGTCCACACATCGCCCCTAGAAGCGCTCCCCCGCCCCCGCACCTGCACATCATGAGCGTGTCTTGGTCCGCTGGGGGCGTCGGCGGGCAGGGGCGGGCGGGAGGCGACATGTACGTTAAGTAGCGGTAGAAATGCGGGACAAGAAGGATTGATGCCGGGGTGCAACGATGCACGTGGGGCATGCGGAATCATTCTACTCTTTTACTTACCAATAAGATGGAAGTCGATGAGCCAGTGCGGCAGTTTCTGGAGCAGGGCGAAGATGCCGCCGGAGGACGCAGCTCCTGTTTCGCTCTTGCCGTTGCCAACACCGCTGCCGCTGCTGCCGCTGTCGCCGGCAGCCGCCTTCAGGGGTTGAACAGTCGCTTCAGGGTTACCGCTGCGGCCTTGCTCCATCTTACCAGGTTGTTGTTGCTGCTGCCGTTTGCTCACTCCAGCCTTGAAGTACACTCGAGACACGCCAGGTCGTACGGGAACTTGCAACGTACAGATGTGTGTCGTACTGCAGTTGGGCATGTCGTACCGCACCCTGTGGCATCACACATTACACATCACAGCATCAGCTGTGGCGAGGACTTGGGTAGGCTACACGGGGCCCATGTGTGCTAGCGTCGCCGTGTCATACCGCAGCAATCTCCCTTCCTTCCTAGCGCACGGCACATCTACTGCCTTTCCCCTAGGGCCTAGGTCGGTTAGGTGCGGTACCTTGCTTAACCGCCGCCAATAGCAAGAATGCGGCCACCGCCCTCTGAACTGCATCCCGCGCTGCAAGCGCTTAGCCCATTACCCAACCGCTCTGCACCGCAGCCGCCCCAATGTTGCAACCCACTCAGGACTAGTACCCGGTACCTGATACCCACCTAAACCCCACCTGAATCCGAAGGGCGCCAGGAACTCCCGCGTCGCCTGCATGTCCTTGTTCTTCACTTCGTAGCCCCGGTGCTCCCAGCGCAAGCCGCCCGCCACGTCATCCGCCTGCTGCACCCGACCCGCCTCCATGGGCACCGCATTGCCGGCGCGGAAGGCGCCCACTGCATGGTGGTGTTCGCAGGAACGACGCAGAAAACATGGTGCATCAGCTGCTAGTAAGAGTGTGTGGGGCAGGGCTGTTCTCTAATCTCCCCTAGACCTTCCCTAGGTCCTGTACGAGCAAAGCCGGTATGCCAGGGGTGTTAAGCCTTCAGCCTGCATCTGGAGGATTCCAGCCACAGCCCCAGACTCACGCCCGTGGTGCAGGAAGTTGGCGTGCGCCGGGTCCATGCCCTGCTCCAGCCAGAAGCTGTTGGCCGCACAGACGTACGGCGTACGGCGTAATGTTAACGGAACAAGGGACACGGATGAGGACAGGATGAGGACAGGGCCGCAATAGGAGGGGCAGGAGCGGGAATCTGGGGAGGCAGCTAGGAGTGCAGCACAACGGCGTGCGTCCGCATAGGTCCGGACCTACAAGGCCCCCTTCACTCCCTTGACTTCGCTACCCACATCAGACACCACCCGAGCGGCCCACCTGTAATCATTGGGCAGCTCGTTCATGGTCCAATCCGCGAAGCACTTCGCTTCCTCCGGCATCAGCCGCGGCGGCGGGGTGGCGGCGGCGGCTCGGCGGCCCTCGGGTGAGGCGTCCAGCCAGGCGAGCAGCACCCCCTCCGCCAGGCGCACCGGGTAGGAGGTGACGCAGGAGCGGCCGCTGGAGCAGGCAGTAGCGGCGGCGCGGGCATCGGAGGCCAGCTGGAAGCGAGGAGAGGAGGAAGGGAAGCACGGAGAGGAGCAGGAGGCGGAGAAGGAGGAGGAGAAGGAGGAGGAGAAGGATGAGGAGGAAGGGAATGTGGAAATAAGTATCGAGTTATGTAGGAAGGGACGTCAAAGGAACGTCAGTGAAGGACACTGGAGGCCTGGAGTACGGTCCCAAAACGTAGCAGCCCTTGCCCAACCGGTTGTTAAGAAGAAAACTGGCCAAAAACTCGTGTGTTAAGAAAACTCGTGTGTCCGCAGTCACAAACACCGCCATGAGGCTGCTATTGTGCATCGCTGCTGTCCACGTCAGGGCACACCAGCCCAACCCATGCGCTCATGACCACCGCCGGCTCCCCCTACTCCACATTCCGCCCCAGGCGAGTGCAGCCCAGACCAGCCCCCGCCCCCCTACCTGGGACTCCGTTGATGCACTTATCTATAATTCTCTCCCCTTACCTGCGGCACCCGTGTGCAGGCGCCCGCCTCATTGAACTCCCAGCCGTGGTAGGCGCACGCCAGCCGCGTGCCGCCGCCCTCCAGTCGCCCCTCAGACAACGGGGCCAGGCGGTGCGGACACACATCGCGCTGCACCACCCAGCCCTGTGTCGCATGGTGCCATATCACCAGCGGCTGGCCTAGAATTGTTGCCGGCGTGGGCCGGCTGGGGTCGAGGTAAGACACGGGGATGATGGGTACCCAGTGGCGTGTCCAGATGAAGGGAGAGGGTGAAGGTGCTGGTGCGGGCGAGGCGGCTGGAGATGATGTGCTGGTGCTGTTATGGTCCTCAGCGCCGATGTTGCCAATGGGCGATTGAGCTGAGGCTGCAAGGGGCATAGTAAATGTAAGACGGCTATTTATTGAATTCTTATTAGTATCTAGGACCTGCGCGTAGGTTCATAACAACCGCATGGCATGGATGTTGCAAGCGAGGAAATGACTGGCGACAGTGGCAAGGCAAATTCGCCCCATATACATACAGATGTCATTGGTCGTAGTTATAAAGCATATAAGAAGCGCCAGTCGTCGCACACTTGCACACCACAGGCTTACTTTCCAATGGCTCGGTGACAGGAGCAGCAGCTTTTGCAGCAACTTGACGCCGCTGACCAGTTGAAGCCTTCCTCATGAAGGCTACCTGGTGGCTTCGAAAGCATAATGGGAACGTACGTGATCCTAACGAGCGGCGGAGAGCACGCGGTTGACCGCTACTCTGACGAATGGTCGCCATAATTACAGCAGCTAGTGTTTGTCCCAAGGCAGGAGTATGTAGGGCAAACCGCTTCGGAGCTACACTATGCGCTAACTGAACGATGGTACCACAGCTCTCCGTACGGTATCATAGTGCCGCGCACTTGCTGCACTTTCATCACAAACGTTCGCGATAATCGTTTCGTAATTGCAGGCTAAGAATGACCTTATTAATTATACCTGGCGTCGCTTGTTGACGGTGTACTTTGGGCCAAGGTCTACGGACGAATGGAAGGCACCACACTGGAAGAGACCACTGACAGGCTCCGGAGCCTATTACGCCAAAAGGTTTGTTGGCATTGTTTGTTAATTTGTTCCGGGTTCGCGCTCATGCACTTGGGACAGGGGATGGCTCTCCCCTCCGGTTTGCAATGAGCGCGCATCCTGTAGCCCCATCACATACCCAAAACATGATGCTCACAAACCACTCCCTCTCCCTCCTTGCCCCCCTCCCGTCTCACCCGTCCCCACCCCAATCTGCCAAGCCCACTCCCATTCCTCACTCCTTCTTCCCCCCTCAGGTTCCCGAGCTGCTGCTGCAGGCGGAATGCGGCGGGGGGCTGGAGCTGCCCTCGCCGCTGCCATGGGGCTTCGCCAGTGTGCCCTCCCTGTACGAGCTGGCGGATACGGCGGAGAAGGAGCTGTACGACATGCAGCAAATGTACGACAGCAGGCGGCGCCGCGGCGGTGGCGGTGGCGGCGGCTCCTGCCGCGAGGAGGAGCAGCAGCCGGTCCAGCAGGCCGAGGAGCAGCCGGGGCAGCAGCAGCCGCTAGAGCAGGAGGAGCAGCGACAGCAGCAGCCGGAGGCCTTCAGCGGGCAGGGAGGCGGGGAGGCCGGGGACATGCCAGGAGAGGTCGCATCCTCACCCCAGGCGGCTGGGGAGCCACCTCCTGTGGCGGTAGTCGCAGGCGACGGGGAAGCTGGGATTGCAGCAGAGACTGCTGAAGGCGGAAGCCTGGCTGGTGGTGAAGGAATTCGAGTCGAAGGGACGGAGGGGCAGCAGCGGGACGCGGCGGCTTCGTTGGAAGGAGGGGGAGGAGCCGCGCCTGCGGGGAGAGGTGCGGCCGGCAGCGGTGGCAACGAAGGCGGCGGAGCTGGGGGAAAAGCTGAAGGAGCAGGTGGAGGAGAGGGTCCCGGCCCAGAAGCCGCTCCAGAAGGTGGTGACGATGCGGAGGGAGCCGCTGAAGACCGCACCCTTGAAGCTGCCGGCACTAGCCCGCACGAAGGCCGGAGCTGCCTGCAAGGGTCGCAACCTTGCCCGGACGCAAACGCCCTCCTCCCTGATGAGCCACCCCGTCGGCCGTACGCTTGTACGGCGTTCTACGACAGTCTGCTGCAGAGTCGTACATATCGCAGCCCGCACTGCGAGGGGGCCATGGTGGAGGCGCTGGGGCTGGGGGAACTGTATGAAGGACTGGCGGGGTCGGGGCTGCGGCCGCCGCCTGCTCGGGAGCAGCTGGAGGCGCTGCGGGGGCTGCTGCGGGGGCACATCAACGCGCGGTGGGCGCTGGAGGCGGTCAAGCAGGGCGTGGCGGCGGCAAAACAGGGTACGAGGGGGTGCGGAAGGGTGTTCGGGGCGGTTTTGGGTTAGAGGAGGTTCATGAAATGGTGTTGGAGAGGCCGAAAAGATGCATCTTGTTGCTCACTCATCGCCAGTATAGTTATGGGCTCATCCTCCTCCACTCATCACCTCATACTGCCACCTAGGCTTCCTCTTCCTCCCACCGCCATCCTCCAGGCAACTACACCGAAGCTCACAAGTGCTATTCACGAGCCCTGGAGCTCGACCCAGGCAACGCAGAGGCCTACGTGGCCCGAGGCGCCGCACATGCCAACCAGCGCTCATTCCAGGAAGCGGAGCGCGACCTGCGGCATGCCCTGGATCTGGATCCAGGGCACCGTAACGCCGCCAACTATCTGGATGCCGTACTGCGTCATGTGGACGAGCAACAGCAGCAACAGCAGCGGCGACAGCAGGAGGAGGAGACGCTTGCTGCTGCGGCTGCGGAGAGGGAGAGGCGACAGCAGCAGCAAAGGGGCAGGCAGCAGGGAGGAGGGTGGGTGGAAGAGTCGCCGCCGGTGGGTAGGGTAGCAGCGGCGGAGAGGCAGCGGTTGCATGGGTGGGGGCAAGGGCCGCCGTCCGCCCCCAGCAGGCTGCAGCGGGAGCCCGGCAGCGCGGGGCGGGCTGGGGCGGCTGCGGGCATGGAGGAGGGGCTGCGGGTGGGGTTGACAGCGGCGGCGGCGGCAGCAGGGAGGGAGAGCGGCGGTCGGCGGCTCCACAGCGACGGCAGCTCGAGTGACGGCACGAGTAGCAGCGACGACAGCAGCGACACTGACACGCCAGGTTGGTCCGCTTGCTGTCCTCGCGATCTGGGTTGGCGTGCACGTGGTCCGATTCTGGCGTGAAAGCTTTGTCGGTTTGTGTCATGTCTGCTGGCTACTCCCTTGCTATCTCAGCAAACTTGACGTCATCATGCATGCCACCCGGCGCAGGCCCAGGCACCGCTGGCGCGCTGCAACGGCCCGGCAGCGACGACATCAAGCGGGCGCTGGAGGTTGTGCTGAAAGCGCGCAAACATAAGCGCAAGTCCAAGCACAAGAAGCATAAGAAGAAACACAAGAAACGCCGGAGGCGAGACTGATTTGCAACAGGGAGTGGAGAGGGAAAGAGGGGTTGCAGCTGGCGACCTGGTTAGGCACCGCTATGCATGGGCTTGTGGTGGATATGTTTGCCAGGTACTTCCTGTGGCTGCTGGGGCGCGACCTCTGCACCTCTCCTGCTCAATCCCATGGCTGTGCTCGGCACGGTTTCATGCATGGTCAAAGGACACCTACTCGATACAGAACCTTACAATTGACGGACTGTGGTGGGCGATGGTGGTACGGCTAGTGCAACGATGGCGGCAGGGCAGCCATCACTGGGTTCACTATTGTAAGGCGCATGTGTTCCACTGCCGGGCTGTCCCGTGTGTCGCCTGGCCTTCCTTGCCTCGCAGCGTCCTTGTGAAGTTCGTCTACGTTGAAGCTGTAGTAGTTAATGTAAGGCATCTGTAACCAGTCGCAATGGAGTAGGCTGTCCAGTCCCATGCTGTTGTCATAATCGGCAGGGTCATATGTAAGCTAGCTGCTGGGCAAGGAACAATGGAGGGTACCCATGCTTATGTCGTTTACATGTAAGCAACCACACTGACGACAGAAATCCAAAAATGTTTTATCGTTGCATGCACAATTAGGATTTTGCTACATCCCCGGGGGAAAACCCACCGGGTAAGTCAGACAAAGAACTGCAGCAGGACTTTCCTTACTGGACTAGCGCTGAAATACAGCATCCCTGGCGCACAGTTATGATTGGCATCCCCACCCAGGAACAGCTTCGGTATTCGTATCACTCATAACAACACCTAATAAGCAGACTACGTTCGGGTTGGACGCACGTATAATCCATCTTGGCATCTGCCCAAGTTCACGGACACCCAACAGACCCGTGCCGTGCCCGATACCTTTAAATCCCATGCATCCCAATGCATCATGACCGAAACAAAATTCTTAAAGCAACCTTTAACCGCAAGACACCACACGTACACATGCACGCAGACTAGCGGGCGTCATCAAAACCGCCAGGGCGGAGAGCCAGCAAAGCTACACCCGCCCGCCCGCCGCCGACACTGTTCACCACACCAGGCGCCAGCCAAGTTGGGTCCTAATTGCCCGGGGAAAGAATAAAGTTTGTGACGCGACATGCCCCGGGTCCATAAAGGACCGGATCGGCACGGGACCTCAGCAGACCGCGCCTAAAGACTTAGTAAAACGAATATCTAATGCAGTTTCAATTAAAAGAAGCACACTAAGAAGTTTGTAGTGCGGACCCAGCGGCAATCAGATGGGGGAGAAGTCGCACAATTGAGTGCCCCTTCCACCTGAAGCCACCAAGCCAGGCTCCAGCTAGAAGTCCCATCCACCGTCGTAGGCTTTGTTGCCAAGTAGCAGCATCCTTGTCATCACCATCTGCTACGAAAAAGATACTCAAGATTGAAGCCCCAGAATCCAATACGAAACCATCGTAATAAACGGGCGTAATCCGCCGCTGCACTCAATTCTCTTCATGACAAACTATGCATCTCTCCTTAACTTGCGTCGAAAGCCACGTGAACACCTGCTAACACTTGTCTGTCTGTCCACAAAAGCTAATCATTTGTCTTCTCAAACAGTCGCTCTCTCAAACGTCCAGCACCACACAATCCTTCACCAATCGCACCATACCCCATTTTCAACATAGGTGCAGTGACACCAGGCCTGACGGGCCAATGTGCATGCATGGCGGCAAGACACACCCGACGCCACACTCCAGTTCACGGCGGACTCCAGACGGGATACCCCCATAGCGCATAGCCCCCATACCGCCAACGAGCTAGCAGGGCCCACACATAGCCCCTTGCCCCACACACCTTATGTATCTCCCACATGCTTTATATATGCCCCGGAACACCAGACACCCCCCCCCCTCAAAACTCCAGAGGCTTCATCTCCACCACCAGTTGCGGGTACGGCCGCCCGGGGCTCGCTCGCCGCTTGGACACCGGCGCCCCTGCCCCCTCCAGCCGCTGCTGCTCCTCCACATCCGCGAGCAGGTGGTTCAGGGTGGCCACAGCCGTGGAGGACAGCAGGTGCCACACCGAGTGCACCAGCGGAAGGTCGGGCCTCACGTCTTCAAGGGCAAAGGCGCCGAGACCCAGCAGGCAGCAGGCGGCGTGCAGGCGCTGCGGCCCGCGCAGCTTGGGGTTGCGACGCGCGGCGGCCAGGAACTTGAGCTCCATGGCGGTGCTGTTGACGAAGGAGACGAAGAAGGGCTTGAACGGGGTTGCCAGCACGCCGGCGGCTGTGACGGCAGCCGGAACGTTTGGGAACCTGCGAAAGATGCGGCACCATCTCAGTGAAAGCTTGCAAATGTGCTGTGGGGTGGCACAGCTCGGGAAGACGTGTCGTGGATGAAGAAATGCACCTAGACGAATTGTAGCGCCACAGCGCCAAGCGTCGCCAAACTTACAGTGCGCGGGTCATGATGTTGCTGGAAGCGGCGATGGTCCAGAAGTCCAGGCGGCGACCCCACTCGCGGAAGGAGCCGTAAGAGCCGTGGAAAACAGCGCTGGCGATCCCCACCCCTACCATGCTGGCGCCCCATGCTTTTCCGCTAGCCGTGGTGCGGTGCCTGAGTGAACAGTGGGTTACGTCAATGTCAAGAAGCCCATACAAATCTAAGTATCGACCTAGCCTTTGGCACAACATCCGGCAGCTAGGAAGACGTGCAGCCAGGACACTTGACACGTAATTACCTGAAGGCGTGACAGCCACAAGCAATGTAAGGAGCCGATGTCGCTATGTTACAGCATCGCTCGCACATGTTACGGTCGCAGGTGCCTGGTCCCTGCAATCACACAAAGAAATCCAACCTTAGCACGGCAAAAACTGTCGCTCGTGTGGCAATCATGTGTTCTCCCAAGGCGACTGTTTCTGCAAAAGTTCCTTTCTTCAGACAGATGCGACGTGCGTGAAACATAGTATCCGCCAAACACATATCACCAACGTTGATTGTTACCTCATGTCCCGCCGCGTCGTTAGCAAGATTCACCAGACAAACAAGTAGTTGAGCGCAAAAGGAAGCCTATTTCGCTTTCCAAGCTTTTCGCGGTCCATGTAAATTCAAACGGCAATCAGAACCCTGGCGCACCTGTGGACTTAAGGCAGCCGCGGTAGCCTGTGCAACTGTTGCGATAAGGCCACCATAGGAAACGAGGCCCAGCACGGACGCCTTGAGGTCCACAGCCCTGATGGACGACGCCTGGAGGCTCGCCTTGAAGCTGCGTGCACCGGTGTCCCCACACGTGTCCACAACGGACCGCCTCCGCTTCAGTATCGCAATGCCATCCTGTCCTACAGCGGATGCCACTGCTGCCATAATCCCGGCGGGAGAAGGCAGGCGGATTTCCATCACGTCCGCTGGTAGAGACAGAGTAAGCGTCATTGTTCACTAGCGACAGACCACGGAGAACATATATGTGTAGTAGAAGTCGCTTGTGAAATAAGAAACGTGCTGGAATCCTCGACGGTTTGTCCTTCGCAGGTTCGCACATTCGTCGTATTCCCATGCAGCCCAAAATCGTGCATGACCACGTCGCAAGCAGTTAAAGTTTAATACAAACCCCTTCAGAACATGTATGTTTAGATCTATCCTAGTTTAATCATGAGCAGCGACGGGGCTGGGAGCACCCAACCCGCGAGCGCGGGTTTGGGCGAGGCAGGCGAAGTGTTGATCCGTGTTAAGACTCTAGAACCAGCTACTTACGAACTTCACTTAAGCAGACAGGTGAGGCGCTAACGCTTGCCTTGTTCCGCTGTCTTCGTTAAAGACCGCAGCTTTTTCCCTTGCTTATGCATAAGCAGAGCACCGTTGCGGATCTGAAGGCTCGTTTGGAAGGCCTAGTAAACAATGCTCCTGCAAGCAGACAGCGTATTATTTATCGTGGGCGGGGCCTGCCAGATGAGCGCACCATCCAAGACGCCGGTGAGTCTGCTTGTATGCAGTTCAGCCATGGCTGATCAGCGCCCAGAACACATGTGCTGGTGCTAGGATCTGCGGCAGTAAGAATTGACGACGACTGCGCAGCCTACCCTCTTCTGCTAACACCCTCTCACGGCTCTCCTCATGTTCATGCCCTGCCCTTGCTGCAGGCATTACCAACGGCGACACGCTCCACATGGTGCTGAGGCCCGTGGATGCACCCCCGGCAGGTGCGCTCTTCATCATCTGGGTGGGGCGGTGCAGGTCCAGTGACCCTGTTGAGCGACGTGCCATCGGGCTTGCCAGCTTTCCTGGTGCTGTGAGCAGCTTGGGGTTGGCGGTCGAGTTGGGAAGCCGTTCCGCGGCTTCGGGCGCTCCTTACAGCATGGAAGGGGAAATGAAAGTTGCGCGTACTAGAGCGCTTTCACTCGACGCTTCTAATGCAGCGGGCCTGCCGGAACCAAGTTGATTCTCGGGGGTGTACATGCCTGCGCGCATCGCCACTTTTGGCTGGACTCCTTTTACTCCACGGAAAGGCACCCTGGGGCTTCGGGGTGCAACATAAGCTATCACCCTGTCCGACCCAAATGGCTAGCTAGGCCCATGCTTACCCCCTACTGCTTACCCCCTATTGCTGTCCTTTTACTCGTGCCTGCCGCAGGTGGTCCGGCGGAGGCTCAGGGCCAGCAGCAGCCGCAGAACCGGCTGGAGGCGGACACGAGACGGGTAGGGACAGGGCGAAGAAGTATCCTAGATGCCTATTGTTTTACTGGTAGTGGGTACTCGCCTGGCCTGTAACGCCTGCCTAACGCCTACTTCAAGTGGTGTCATCTGCGCACCCGCGTACAACCTGCTCCCCGCATGTGCCCCGCTCCCCCCCCGCCCCTGTTCGTCAGTTCGTCAGTTTTCTTTACTTTGTCCCCGCCCCTGTAGATCCTGGACCAGATCAACCAGATGCTCAACCTCAACCTCGGATTGAACTTCAACCTGGGGGGCGGGCAGGGTGAGTCTGTGGCCGTGTGGGGGGGGGCTGGAAGCTACCGGGCGCGGAGCACGTGTACCTGTTTCAGGTCACCAGCTGGCACGCGCTTGTTTGGCTTGTCGTATTGTTGGCCCACCTCTTTCCATCATGGGTGCGCAGGTGCTGAGGGGGCTCATCCGGGCGGCGGTGGACCCGGCTCCCGCCCACAGCAGCAGCAGCAGCCCGGCGGCCCCGCGGCTCCTCCCCAGCCGCCGGTCGTGGAGACGCCCCACCTGTTCGCCACGCTGCACCGCTTCCTGCAGCGGCTGGGCGAGGAGGGCTACTCGCCGTCACCGATACCGCTCTACTCCAACGGTGGGCCGGGGTCGTTGCGGGGTAGTACCGGTAAAGGCGGTGTGGCTGGAGGGCAGTGGGCTGGGACGCTGATATGCGCTCTGCGCTGACATGCACTCGTAACGATGCCGTTAACCTTACTGGCCCAGGGGAGTCACGCCTGGATTTGTTCCGCGTGCCTTCTACCATCTCATTTGCTTGCGTTGGGGCCTTGCCATGTGTGCCGGCTCCGTTCCGCCCTCTCAACCGACCCAAACCATGCCCGCTCTCCCGCCGCTCCTGGCCCTTCACTCCCCCTCCCCTCCAGCCGCCCCGGTGGCCAACTTGCAGCCCGACTTCGAGTCGCTCAGCCGCGCCCTCACGGAGCTGTTGGTGGCGGAGGAGCGGGAGCTCCCGCCACCACTGGCGGAGCTGCTCGAGCAGGCGCGGAGCGACCCCGCGGGGCGAGGCCAGCAGCGGGAGCGGGAGCAGCAGGGGGCGGGCCAGGCGGAGGCGGCCAGCCAGCAGGGGCGGGAAGGAGAGGGCGAGCAGGCGGACGCAAGCACGAGCGGGGAGGCCGGGGCGGAGCAGGCTGGTGCGGAGGCCGCAGGTGCGCTTGGATGCTCCGGGGTCGTCTTGGTGTGCGCGCATGCGGACAGGCTCGCGTGCTGCCGTGCGTAGCATGACACCGTGCGTAGTATAGAGGCTAGCACATGCCTTGAGGCCCGCTGGTGCGGGGTTGCGGTTAAGGTTGCGCTGACTTGGTGTGAAGCCAGGGGGTGGTGGCTGCCTGCGAGTACATGCACCGGACTGCCGCCTAGCGCGTGTGCTGGCATGTGTGTCATGGTGCGCCCTCCCTGATGCTCCTCTTGTTCAGGTGCTGGGCAGGGTGAGGGGGCGCGGAGCAGGTCTCGAGGAGCCGCTGCAGCTGCAGCCCGCCGTGCCAGTCGCCGCCGGGCGGTGGGCGCCGGCGGGGTGGACGTATCGGGTGCGAGCTACGGGTACCGGTGAGTCGGGAGGCACGGCTTGGGAAGCAAGCGAAGCTGGTGCGGAAGCAAGCACTCGGATACGGTACTAGATTGCGCGATTGCATGTATGTCGTTGCGAACTGTGTTCTCCATTCCACCGAACTGTTCACACATGACTCGTTAGCAAATGCAAAAGCGCGTCTTGGAGGATGATGAGGAATTGGGCATTGGCTGAGCGGCGGCAAGTGCATGCTTCCGCGCTAAGGGATGAGACGCCTAAGTAATAAAGTCATCCTTGCCCTGACTCCAAGACAGCACTCATGTTTGCATGTCACAGCGATGGCGTACGGGGGATGATGAGGAATTGGGCATTGGCTGAGCGGCGGCAAGTGCATGCTTCCGCGCTAAGGGATGAGACGCCTAAGTAATAAAGTCATCCTTGCCCTGACTCCAAGACAGCACTCATGTTTGCATGTCACAGCGATGGCGTACGGGGGATGATGAGGAATTGGGCATTGGCTGAGCGGCGGCAAGTGCATGCTTCGGTGCTAAGGGATGAGACGCCTAAGTAATAAAGTCATCCTTGCCCTGACTCCCAAGGCAGCACTCATGTTTGCATGTCACAGCAATGGCGTACGGGGGATGATGAGGAATTGGGCATTGGCTGAGCGGCGGCAAGTGCAGCCACCGCGCTAATGAATGAGACGCCTAAGTAATAAAGTCATCCTTGCCCTGACTCCCAAGGCAGCACTCATGTTTGCATGTCACAGCGATGGCGTACGGGGGATGATGAGGAATTGGGCATTGGCTGAGCGGCGGCAAGTGCAGCCACCGCGCTAAGGGATGAGACGCCTAAGTAATAAAGTCATCCTTGCCCTGACTCCCAAGGCAGCACTCATGTTTGCATGTCACAGCAATGGCGTACGGGGGATGATGAGGAATTGGGCATTGGCTGAGCGGCGGCAAGTGCAGCCACCGCGCTAATGAATGAGACGCCTAAGTAATAAAGTCATCCTTGCCCTGACTCCCAAGGCAGCACTCATGTTTGCATGTCACAGCAATGGCGTACGGGGGATGATGAGGAATTGGGCATTGGCTGAGCGGCGGCAAGTGCAGCCACCGCGCTAATGAATGAGACGCCTAAGTAATAAAGTCATTATTGCCCTGACTCCCAAGGCAGCACTCATGTTTGCATGTCACAGCAATGGCGTACGGGGGATGATGAGGAATTGGGCATTGGCTGAGCGGCGGCAAGTGCAGCCACCGCGCTAATGAATGAGACGCCTAAGTAATAAAGTCATCCTTGCCCTGACTCCAACGCAACGCATCGCTGTCGCTTTCCCTTCCATGATGCATGTTGTGCCCCACCCGCCTCCCCTGCTCCTCTTCCTGCCCGAGTAATCCCATCCCCAATCCTGACCTGCACCCTTACCCACCTGCCCGCCAGCTACCTCCCTCTTGCCACCGAGGCGCTGGGGCAGCTGCTGCGCCGCTCCGAGGCGCACCTCACCGGCAGCCTGGCGCAGCGCCTGCGCGACACGGCAGCCAGCACCCGCGAGCTGGCGGCCACTCAGCAGCCGACACCGGAGGCGATCACGGCGATGCGGGTAGGAGGGCATGGCGGGCTGGGTGCAATACGGGCACTCCGAGTGCTTGTTGGTTCCTAATAGTGTTTGCCCTCTATGCGTGGTTTAATTGTGGCAAAAGGATGCATTTTCTGGTTGTAAATCTGGCAGAGAGGATGACCGGCGTTCCTGCCTTTCTGCCTGCAACCGCAACCAACTGCAGGGCCAGCTGCGGCGTCTGAGTGGGCAGCTGCAGGCGTCTTCGGCGCTGCTGGCGGACCTGTCGCGCGCCGTCATCGCCACCGCCACCTCCCTCAACAACATGCCGCTCTCCCTGGCCGCCAACACCTCCGCAGTGGTGCTGCCGGAAGGTAACAACACCCCGGTAGCTGCTGTTGAATCTTTGAAAGGTTCATGGATTGGGCCTGCTTTGCGTGCCTGGGGGACGCTGGCCGCTTTGTAGCTTGCTTACATATCCCGCTACCTGCTTTTCCTTCATCGCCTGCTTCTCTCGCGCTCCCAACTGTGCAGGCAACGATGTCGAGTTGCCGCCGCTGCTGCCCCGTCGCGCGGGTCGCGGAGCGGCTGCTGCCGGCGGTGGTGCCGGCGGTCCCATGGACTGGGGCTTCATGGGCCTGGGTCCCATGGGCCCCATGGGCGGCATCATGGACATGATCGGCGCGCAGTTCTCCCTGCCCGTCACCCTTCCCGAGGCAGCCCAGGTGGCCCGGGAGGGCGGTGCGGCGGCGGGTACGGCCGCCGGGACGGAGGGCGCCAGGCCGCAGACGCAGCCCGGGGCATCCCCAGCTGGCGGCGCTGGTGCTGGTACGGCTGCGGGCGTTGCTGCTGCCGTGGCGGGGCTGCCGGTGGGCGGCACCGTGCAGATCGACATCACCAACATGGCTGGCATGCCGGGTGGGCTGGGCGGCCTCATCGGCAACATCCTTAGTGCGGTCACCGGGGGCGCTGTGCCGCCGCCTGTGGGGGCCCAGGGAGCGGCGCAGCAGCAGGGCCGGGCGGGGGCAGCAGGGACAGACGCGGGTCGTGAGCGGCCGCTGCAGCTGCTGCTGCCGGCGCTGACGTCCCTGGCGGGCAGTATCGCCGCTAGCGTCATGCAGGCACTGGCTGGACGGGGGGTGCAGCCACATATGGTGAGTACCGGTTGCTGGGCGGCGGTGGCCAACGGGTAACATGAGCGCTGGAGTTTGGCAGCGTCTTGCAGAACACTTTACCTGGGTTGATGGGAACTGTGCGGGTGTAGTACAACAACCTCTTCCCGCCCTCCTCACCGCTCCCTCGCCCGCCCCGCTCCTCCCCGCCACAGCTCTCCAACGAGCTGACGCGCGCGCTGTCGCAGCACCTAATGCACGTGATGGACGTGCTGACGGCGCGGTGGGACAGCCTGCAGCGGGCGGCGGCACGGCGGCGGCGGCGGGCAGCTCGCACCCAGGAGCAGCAGCAGCAGCCGGCGGCGGCGGCGGCGGCGAGCGACCAGGTGGGTGCTTTCATGCAATCGGACGGTACAAGTCGGAACGTGGGTAGCGAGTGTACCGTATGATGTGCCGTAAGATGTGGCCGATGCCCCTTGGTTTCGGTGTACTGGGTATGTTTACCCTTCCCCTGGTCCCTAACCTGTCCGCCACTGTAACTGCACAGGCGACCGCCCCCGGGGAGCCTGCTGCCAGCGGTGCGGCAGGTGCCGCAACTGGCGCTGCCGCTGCTCCCGGCTCTGCGATGGATGAGTTCCGACCGGTGGCGGAGCTGATCAATGCGCTGTTCCCCTCCTGGGAGGCGGTGCTCAGTGTGCAGCCAGGTGGGGGTGGGGGTAAAAAGAGGGGGCTGACGAGCTGTATGACGAGGCTTTACCATGGGAAGGGGAGCCATGTGGGGGGGGGGGGGAGAGCTCAGGTGCACCGGGGAAAGAGCGGAAGGGGTCTGACGGGGCTAAGTGGTGCTGAGCAGCCTCGACAGTTAGGACAGTTAGAAAGGTACCCATAGGCTGCTTTGGTCCTGAACGTTTTGTCTAGCACCATGGTTTGAATGCGTCCCTGGTTTGAGTGCGCGCCCTGTCTTGACCTGTTCTCACGTATGCCTGCAGAACCCGGAAGCGATGAAGAGGACGAGGAGGATGACGACGAGGAGGACGAGGAAGGCTCTGAGAGCGGCGAGGAGGAGGGCGGCGAGGAGCCAACCGACTCGCGGCCGCCCGAGGCGGGTGAAGCGGGCCCGCAGCAGCAAGAGCGGCAAGCTCCTCGGCGGCAGCGGCGCGGCCCCGACTCCTCCTCCCGGCGGCGCGCTGAGCTGGACGAGGAGATGAGCGCCATGATGCGGCTGCTGATGCCGCCCATGGTTGGCAACATCGCCCGCTCCGTGGCGCAGAACGTGGTGGCGGCGGTGGCGCCGGAGGCGGCCCGCAGCGGCGCGCTGGACGGCCAACAGGTGGGTTGGGAACACTGGCCGCGTCGCCACAGGGCACCGTCCGCCTCTCTCCACATCACCAATCTTATGACATGACGAGCAACTTACCCCTTCCCTTCACCGGCCCCCTTTCACCGCCACCCTTCCCTGCCCTCCCCCGGGCGCAGCTGGCCCTGCTGGTGCTGCAGACGCTGGTGGGGCGGCTGGACGGGGTGGCCAACATGCTGCTGGCCAACTGGGGGCGCATCTCGGAGAACATCCAGCAGGTGGGGGGAGGGGAAAGAAGGGATAATACGGTACCCAGTGCATTGAATGAGGATGGCAAACAAGACGACGAGCTGCTTGTTGGGTGAGGGGTTGGAGGTGGAGAGAAGGGGTAAAGAGGAAACAACTAACTGACCGAGAGAAGGGGTGGTTAAAGGGGCATGCGAGGTATGGCGGCGGGGTTGAAGTCCACTCACCGCTCACGACCTGTCTGCCGGTTGACCTTGTACCTTCTTTCCTCCGTACTTATTCCCTTTGTACGTCCACGCGGCCACAGATCGAGTCAGAGACCGACAGCGATGCCGCCAGCGCCGCCGACGTGATGTCGCAGATGGTGCGGCTGGCTGCAAGCGTCATGGGAGGTGGTGCCGGCGACGCCGCACCGCCCCCGCCGCCGCCGGCCGCAAGGCCCCGGCCTGCAGCGGCGACCAACCCAGCGGCTGCAGCGACGACGACAGCACCTGCAGCGCCGGCTCCGCCAGCTGCTGCGCCGGCTTCCGGGCCCTCACCCCCACCACCAGCCGCACCAGCGGAGCCCTCCGCCCCTGCGGCCCCACCACCGGCTGCAGCGGAGCCCCCCGCCGCACCCAGCAGCGCCCCAGCTGCTGCTGCGCCTGCACCCGCGCCCCAGGAGCAGCCCGCACCGGCCTCGACAGCGGCGGCTGCCGCAACCAGCCCTGCTGCTGCGGATGCGGATGCGGCGGCCACGGTCCCAGAGGCTAGGGACACCGCTAGCCAGCCTAGCTCCAGCGCCCCAGCCGCCGCATCAGCTGCGGCCGGGCCCTCCTCGGCTCCTAGGGGTCTCGGCCTGGGGCTGCGGCCACCAGCACCCAAGAAGAAAGCAGCGCCCGTGGGCCCGTCTACGGCGGCAGCCAAGGCCTCGACGGCAGCGGCGCCGCCCTCGGCGGCGTCCGAAGCATCAGCGCCTGCGGCCACAGCGCCTTCAGCGGCCCCGGCGGCTGCAGCCCCAGCTGCCGCCGAGGCTCCGGCGCCGCCGCGGCAGCCCCTCGCCACGAGGCCGCCGGGCGGGGCTATGACACGAGGCGGCGGCGGTGGCGGCGGTGATGAGGGCCTGGGTGGACTGATGGACATCATGGGTCAGATGTTTGGCGGCATGTCGGGCGGCGGCTCCCGTGGGGGAGGTAGGCGGGGTGCGGTTTGCGGGGGGTGGGTTGCATGGCTTGTGTGGTGCTGTGGTGGCTTATCTGCAGTGCTTGAAAGGCGGTTTGATGCCCCCGGCGCTGGTAGGACCAGCTCGCTGAAAACGTGCCGTTTTGCATTGTTTGCAGGTGGTGGAGGCGGAGGCGGCGGCCTGGGCGGCTTGCTGCAGATGGCGCAGAGCATCGCGTCCGACCCCGCCATGCAGCCGCTGCTGGGCAACGTCGCGGAGGCGGTGATGGGCGGCGGAGGCGGAGGTGGCGGAGGTGCTGGCGGCGGCTTGGGCGGCCTCCTAGGCAGCTTGCTGGGCGGCCTGCCGCCGCCAGCGGCCTCGTCTTCCGCATCGAGTCGCGCTGCTGCTGCGGCGGCAGCAGCCCCCGCGGGGTACGAGGTGCTGGCGGAGGTACTGGGCTCGGAGGAGGGGGCCCGGTGGCGTGAGGTGATTGAGCGGGATGTGGAGGCGACGCAGCAGCACGTGCGGGCGACAGCCGAGCAGCTGAGCGAGAACTACAAGCGGGGTGTGCCCAGCCGACGGGCGGGGTTAATGTCGGTGATAGGAGGCGGCGAGGAGGGCGAAGAAGATCTGGAGGAGGAGGGACTGGAAGGCGAGGAGGGCAATGGCAGCGGCAGTGGATAGGGTAGTAGTGTGGTTTGAGGTGGCGCAGAGGTGTTGCGTGCAAGTGGGCAGGAGTGGCTTGCAGGATGCGTATTCACATTGCAGGGTTGCTGCTTTCTCCGAGACGTTGTGCTGTTTTTGTCGTGCATGAGCTGGACCGCACAAGCACTGTGGTTCGCTGTTCCTGCGGGGGCCGGTATGGCTATCAAGCTCAGCTTAGCTTTAGAATGGCAGCAAATCAAGTTGGTGACAGCTGGCTCCTACTTCTTTTCTTTTACCAACAAGGTAGTGTTACACTATACTATTCACCTCTGCTACGTTCCATGCTAGAACTGAACCAGTCGGATACTCGGTTAGGTACCCTGGCTGTGTCAACATGTAACCTTCGGAATCGCTGCGGGAGTCGCCACGATGTACGACAAACATGAGGATAGCCTAGCAAACAAGTTGCTACACCCGCCCGAACGAGTTACCATTACCCTTTCCAACACCAGGTGTGAGCCTCGTCATTGTTCCTTTGCGCACGGTTATGCATGTTCACATGAGGTCACAGGGTGGCGTGCAGCATGGCCAACGGGTTTTCCAACAGCAGGAAGGAGCTGTGACCCGTCCTATCCGGTAAGGTTGTCCGGAAAGATCGGACCAGATGTGGGAGGCTGGCCACTAGACAACGTGTACCAGGTGCAAAGCGTGGTGCCGCGTATAGCCAGGCTGAGCCTTGACGTCCGCAGTCAGCCTCGTCTCAAACTCTGTACTTCACCTCACCCCAGTGCCAGAAAACTCTCTGAACCAGCTACGAAGGTAATCTGGACATCCCACGACAACACGAATTGCTCGTAAACAAGACGCCTTTGGCGGCGATTGGAGCAATTAAACCAGGGATCTGCCACAAGCAGCTGTCCCAATTTAAATGAAAGGATAGCATGATGCCAAGAGGAAAACCACAATGCATGCATTCCAACTTTTGAAGGCTAGCTTGCTCGACACGTAATGCATGCAATCCAAAGCCAGCTCTCTGCGCTGCTGTGCCGAGACTGTCCTGCTGCTCCCCCAGCATCTCAAACTGCAAACCACCATACACTCCTAGTCGTCCTAGACATACCGTACATAAGAACATAACATACCGCCATGTCCCCCCGGGTCTCCTCGTGCTCCTCCTCCTCCCTGCCATTCTCCTCATCCGCTCATTGTCTTCCCTCATCCGCTCATTGTCTTCCCTCATCCGCTCGCCGCCGGCTTCTTCCCGCACTCCCCCTTGTGCCCCCCCGGCGCCTTCCAGTGCGCCGCCTGGCACTCGCGGCTGCAGTACGACACCGCTCCCCCACACCGCCCCGCACACGCCTGCAGCCGCAGCTCCGCCTCGCTGTCCCCCGCCAGGCTGCAGCAGCCCGGGTTGGAGCAGGCGGGCAGCCGCAGCAGCGGCGCCACCATGCAGGGCGGCGGCAGCAGCAGTCCCGCGCCCACCCGCGGAATGCAGATCCGCATGCGCTCCTCCATGCTCGGGCGCACCCCCTCGCAAACAGCATGCACGATCTCCAACGGCGACCTGGCGACGCGTCGGCCCATCAGCACGTCCAGCACCTCATTCGCGGGCACTCCTGCCAGCCGCAGCCTGGGCTCCGAAACCAACGGAACGCTCAGCGCCGCCTGCGTCTCTTCCGGGAAGGCCAGCGCTAGCGGCGTCAGCACGGCTACCAGCAAATCCACACGCTGCGTGGTGCCGCCGGTGCTGCCGTAGCGCTCCCAGCAGGACCGCAGGTACAGCAGCTGCGAGCGAATCAGCCCGAAGATGTCCACCTCTTGCAGCAGCAGCTTGCGCCAGCTGTCGGCTGCGGCGGGTGCGTCACTGGAAATGCTGGAGACGTAGGCTTGTGCGATGGAGGGAACCCAGCTGAAGACCAGGGCTGTCAGCGCGACCGCGGCACTGGTTCCGTTACGGGTGACGGCTTCGCTGTCCGGGCCCGGCGCGCAGTGGCTTGGGGCCATGCCGTGGCATGCAATGGCCGCCCTTGCCACCGCGGGTACCCAGCGCATGAGTGTGAAGGTGGTCAGCGTGAGGAGCCGGGTCGTGGGCTCGCTAGGACGCACGAAGCCGGCGGCTGTACCGCTGCTGCTGCTGCTGCCGCCCGCAGCGCTCACTTCTCCCGCGCTGCCGCCTCCGGCCCTGCTTCCACCAGTACCGCTGCCGCCGCCGCGACTGCCTCCTGTGGATACACCGCCGGCTTGAACGCCACCTACCGTGCCTGAAGCTTCCCTCCCACCGCCTCCGCTACCTCCGCTGACAGCACCGGCGGCAGCGGCAGCGCCTGCCGCATCACGCCCCCGCTTCCACCAATCCACGTACCGCTGACTCTCCGGGTTGTTTCCGAGGGCCATGTCAAACACGTGGAGCCCCGCCACAATGTTCACATCCGCGGTGGAGAACTTGTTCAACAGCTCCATCACGCTCGCCAGCGACGCACCCTGCTGCTCCCGCGTTTCAACGGCAGCATCAAAGCCCGCCGCGGCGCAGGTCAGCAGCTTGGCCCCCGTGGCAATCAGCGCCGCTACGGACCGCATCTCGCCGTACGCCAAGAGGCAGGACAGGCGGCCAAAGTCCCCGAAGTGCTCGAAAAGGGCCGCCGCCGCTGCAGCCGCGGTTTTGATGCTCTTGGTGTTGGCGTGGAGGGCGCGGCGCTGCAGCCGCTCCAGGCAGGGCACGTAGCCAGCCGCCAGCGGTACTGCGATGCTCGGATGAACCTCGGTAGGCAGGGGACACTGGCCTGAACAGGCAAGGTGGGGGCAGTAAAGGGACAGGGGCAAGTGTAGGGAGCAGAGCCTGGTATGTAGTGCCGGAGCACATGGGAGACTGCTTAGCAGGTGTGCAGGATGGAAAGGAGGCCAGTGGAGGTTTAGCCCTAGAGCCCTAAGGGTGCACGCTGACAGCTACCTGCGAACATAGATGCGGCCCGGCAAGGCCGCAACAAGCCTGGATCTCCGCTCGAATCCGCTCTCACCCCGCCTGGCCCACCCTTCACCCCTCACCCTGCCTTCTTCCCAACGCCTCCCACCCCCTCACCAGGCCGCAGCAGCGGTAGCCTGGGTCGCAGCAGCTCCTGCAGTTGCTCCGCCCCCAGCTCCTCCTGCCGCTCCATGCCCTCGCTCAGCGCGTTGTGGACGGTGCGGATGATCGGCACCCACAGCCGAGCCATGCCACCGTCGCCCTGCATGGCCGATGACACGGCGCACATGAGCGCACGACAAGCCAGCTGCATGCAGAGCGGTCGGTAGAATTGTGGCCGCGGCGCCGCCGCCGCTGCCGCCCGCTGCTGGTCTCTCGTCCCTCCCGTCTGCTGGCGGCTTCCTTCCTCGATGGAGGCATTCGCTGCGTCAGCCAGCCGTACACACAGCGCCTGCAGGGCGGCATCGGAGCAGGGCGGCCGCAGCGCGCCTCCCGAGACCGTACACGTCAGCCAGAAGTCCACTATGTGTACCAGCGGCTCGGCATGCAGGGCGGGCGACCTGGGGCCGGTCCACAGCACCGGAACCACCAGCTCCCCCGTGTTGGGGTTGCAGATCACCGGAGGGAGCTGTGCACCCGGCGGCAGACCGAAGGCGCTGCCTCCGTCCGCGGCACAGAGCTGCGTGACCGCCAGCACGAGGCAAAAGTGCTGCAGGCAGGGGCCGGAGAGGATTCGGGTGGCCCAGCGGGCGACCCGTGGGTCAGCCATGCCTCGGCACATGGTTAGGACCTCCAGCATGGCGCATAGGGCCCAGACGGTGGGCAGCAGGATGATGCGGGTGTCCTCGTCTCCAGGCCTGCCCGCGAACTTCCAGAGTTGCAGCATCACCGTGCGGGGGAGGTGCTCGAACAGGTTGCTGCGAGCCAAGGCGTCCATGAGCCCCAGTCGAGCGTAGTGGCCGGAGGCGCGGCTTCGGACGAGGCAAAGCAGGCTCTTCACCAGGTGTGCCGTATCGCCGATGACAAAGCCTTCAGACATGCGGATTGGGGTCCGGCGAACAGCAGCGCTGGTGGTTGCGGCCTGGCCAGCTGCCGGCGGCACGGCGATCTCTGTGGTTATCTTGTCGAGAAGCCTGCTAAGGCAGGACAGGTGGTCCGTTTTAATCATCAGGCGAACTATCTCGCTCTCCAGAGGATGAGGGACGGGCGAGGAGCCTTGCCGAGCGTCCAGAGTTGCTTTCGCCAAGCGCAAGACTGCCATGAACGGATACTTCCACTTTTGGCTTTCACGCTTCGAAGCTGGTCGCCGCTCTGAGAGGTTGCGAACCGCGAGAACCAACACTTTCATCAAGCCTGATCGGATGGTGGGTTGTGTCATGGCTGGTATAGCAATTGACGCCTCATCTTCCTCCTTGTCATCTAACGCTGAAGTCAGCCGCGAGCCAATATCACTCGCTTTGTCCAAGGCAGCCTTTGATGGACCGCCTCTTCCATTTATGCTGTTCCCAAACCGTGCGAGAGCGTCTACCAGTCCTGACGGTCCAGACGCCCGACGCTGAGCATCGCTGGCTCCAGCTCTTGACGAAGACGAGCGCCTAGACATTGCATGAAAGTGATAGGAATTCTGCCCAGCTGCCGCCAGCTATGTAGGTCGGGCGCTAATATGGGTTGCGGACGGAAGGTTATTCCTTCTATGTGCAATGATCTTCGTATGCCAATGGTCTTTCTTTAATCCAATGAAGCTGTTCGTGGCTCTGAAACGTGTAGAGGTATTACGGGTTTGCTTTCCCCATTGGCTGGCTGGGAAACTAGCCACAAAAAGTGTCTTTCGTTGGCTACTGCCTATGGTGACATGTATTGCCTTACCCCGAAGCTCTAGCCTAATGCCTGCACACCTGCATTGACACCTGACTTTGGTGCTTTTACCTGGGTCAGCCAACCGGCAGGGGCTATGGAGTACGGAACCATGTTCCGGTAAGGTACTTCCGAGTCGTCTGGAAAAGTGAAACTTCACACAAAGAAAAATTACAGCATGCCGATCCAAGTTGTGCAATGGAACTGCGAGCCCCTGACAGCAAACTCAGCAAGCTCCGTTTACCAAAAGTGCACACTTCGCTGCAGGACAAGGTGGCTGACGCTAATTCTGCGCTCTTTCCTACCTAATAGTTGGATGTCAGGGTGGACTCATGCCGCGACGGCTGGCTACGGCGACATCGTCCGTGTAACGCCAGACCGCTAGGATCCCAGTCCCTTGACGTGGAGGTGGCCATGGACCCTGTGGCACAGCTGCCAGCAAATGTGTTTCATCTACGGGCAGATGTACCTACCGGTATTGCGCGGATGAAAGTTTGCCTTGTACGGACAGCGCCAGGGGAAGAGGACAGCCGTACACAGGCAAAGCTAGAGCTAGAGCTAGCCGTGACCGCACAAGCCCGTCTGCGAGACAGAGATGTGCGGAATTGGGCTCGCGATTGCGGAAGTCAGGCAGCAGCAAACCAGGCAGCAGCAAACGTGGTAGGCCTGGGTCATTGCGAACTGCAGCGCGATTCAGGAGGCTTTTCCCGCGCAGTTTGGGCTGCACGCGTAGTTCGGGTCGCTCACCGCAAGGGTTGAATGGGCGAAAGGATACTTGCCGCTTGGGTGTTGCACGGGCCAACACCCTCCCTGTTTCCTTTTGCCTTCTTCCTAGGGGCTAGCTCAAATTTGGAGTTCACGCTACCGTCATACGCGTGCTTTGGCACAGCCGGTGACCCCTGGGTCACCTGCCAAAGCCAGTGTGCCTCCAAACTGCCGCGCCGGGCATTGCCGGAGTTCGTTTCCTACGTTCTTATCACATACAACGCCTGAATGGAGTATACTTGAGCATGCTGTACGAGGCTTGGCGCCATCTTGACCTCGTCAGCAGAGGGACAGGCCGCCCGACAACAGAAGCTTCCGTTCACGGTGCCGAAAGCAAGTCACACCCTAAGAGCTAGTAGTTCCCATCACTTTCACCTTCAACTTGTAGTAATTACCACAATATAGCAGCTATTCTAGCGCGATAAACAAGACTACTGGGCATGCATATCTTCATGGCAAACGAGGGGTTCGAGGCACCTCGCCCCGCACAAATACCCACGCCCTCTGCTCGTCCTCGCCAGCTCAGCAGCAGCAGCGGCCAGCCAGCGGCCGACCGACAACAGCATCTTTCCAGCAACGAGCCAGCCGCTGAGGTGCCGGAGCTGTCGCACGGCTACATCTCAGACAAGCTAGCGCTGCTATTACGCGCGCTGAGGCAAGTGGGCCGCTGGCTCTTCGTCAAAGAGCAACCCGTCGGGGCCGCAACTAGCAGTCCAAAGATGACCTTTTCGGAACGTCCTCTGGAGCCAGCAACAGCCGGTAAGCAAAGCATCCAGCAAACCACCGTATCTCCTGCGCTGCTAACACAAACGAGATATCAAACCTTTTGTCAAAGCATTTCTTGCTGCGGTACCGGTTGTGTTGTTATCAGTATGTAACAACACAACTTGCGCCTTGTTGTTGCGTCTATCGCGCAGGCGCCAAGGCAGCCCCATCGAGCCCCCTCCCGGAGCACCAGTCAGCACCCGAGGCCCCCGAGCCCGCCGGCCCCCTAGGCAGCCTGGCCGCCCAAGTCCACCACCACGAGCCGGCGGAGCGGCTGCACACGCCGCTGTCCACCACCGCCAAGCTGCGAAACGCTGTGGTGGGTGTGGCGGGCGGTGGGGGAGGGGGTAAGGGAAGACCCAACCATGGGAAACCACGAATTAGGGCAAAAGACGGGGGAATGGGAAGAGGGGCGTGGCGGTCCCTTTCCTAACTCTAGCCCCCCTGCCTTAATCTTGGGTACTGCATCTTTAATACCGGTTGTGCCCTGCACCACTTACTCCTACCCCTACCCCTTACCCATCCCTTCTCCCTGCCTGCCTCCCCCTTCTCCCCCCGCCTCCATCCCCCCCCCCCCCCACGCAGGTCAGTACCGTGGAGCATGCGCTAGACGAGGCGGCTGCCGTACAATCCAGTCTGGGCGGCGCCCTGGCGGAGGAGCTGTCCAAGTTCCGTCATGAGGGGCACGAGGCGCAGCTGCACCCCCACCACCTCCCACCCGCCGCTGCTGCTGCTGCTGCTGCTGCGGGGGGGCCGCCTGGCGGCAGCAGCAGCAGCGCGGGTTCCACTCCCGGTGGAATGGCGCTGGGGGGACCGCAGCAGTAGAGGTAGTAGGGGATTGGAAGAGATCCGAACAACGGCTTGTGATGGTGGAAGATGCGAAGAAGAGGGAGTTAGAGCTGTAGGAGTAGGTGCGAGGGTGAGGAGGAGCAGGAGTGGCAAGGGGGGGCGGGGGGAGGAGCGCAGTGGTTGTTGGGGGTGCATGGGAGTGCGGAAGGGGGTGGAGGAGGAGCGTGGCGGTTGTGTGTATAGGGGGCAGGTGGAAGGAGGCGCAGCGTAGGTGCTGCAGGTGGACGCATCACGTAAGAGTGTGCTCTGCAGGATGGGTTGGGTGCAGTGTACGGCAATTAGGGCCTGAGGGGCTGCGCGGGTTTTCTGTGACTGCGAAGAGGTCTGCAGTTGTGGTGGTTGGGCTGTATCGTCGAGTGCTTGGGAGGGCAGGCCCCAGGTCCCAAACAAAGGTTGAAGACGCCGACTGAGGGCGGTGGGATGAATCGTTTCTGCCAGCATGGAGTTGCGTTGTTGACCTGTTGATAGAGACGGTTGGCTGGCCGGGATAATAGATGTAAAAGCACCCATCTAGCGTATAAGCACATATGGACAAGGTTGCTAGCAAGGTTGCCGGTACAGGTGCTGGATAGATGCCGCAAGCAACATCCGCAGCCACGAGTCACCGGGATGCGGACCATCGTAACGGCCATTCAAATAAGCCCCTCAATACCTGCTCTCTTAACAGTAGGAGGTTGCACACCTGCAAAACACCTGCCGACACACAGGCATGCCCCTTTCTTCCATGCACACGACGGCAAGAAGCGACACACTTCTCCGCGCGTTCATTTCTATCCCTTTCTCTCAAGGCGTATATCTTTATCTTCTCATGTCACCCAGCAACCGGCCCCTTGCACAGCTTGCACCCCACGTGCCGAGGAGGAGGGGTGGCCGCTGTCGGCCGCAGCCCGTAAGCCCCTCTCCTGGTTCCTTCGCTTCAAAGCTGCTGCCCACAGCCTGCTAACATGCACCATCCTTCCATTGCGCAGGAAACAAGAGCATGCGGAAAGCGCATCTGCCAGCAACCCTACCGAACCTGCCTATAGTCGAACAACGACGGCCGCCTGCCAAGCCCTGCGCACAACCCAAGCGCCTCCCAATCCTGTTCCGCCAATCCCACATCCCACCATCCTCCCACGGATCTCCACTCCACAGTCCGCACCGTTATACCCCACTCCTCAAGCACTCCAGCCAACACCACCCCACCCATCACGCCCCCCCTCCCGCCTCCCTCATCGCCGCTTCTTGCCGCCCTTCTTCTTGCGACTCTGCCCCCCGCTGCCGCCCGCTGCCCCCGCGCGCCCCTGCGGCCCCGCTGAGGGTGCGGGTGGTGGCGGGCTAGCAGCGCTGGTGCTGGCCTGGGGTTGCGGGTATGTCTGTGCCGGCCGGGTTGGGACGGGCGGCACGTAGCGGGGTGGGGAGCTCTGCGGGGGGAGGCCAGCGAGGCGGAGGGGCGCATGTTGGAGCCCAGGAGCGCACACAGGGCGCACACTTACAGCAGTCGCCTCACCTGCTCCCTAGACGTCGCCGCTGCCGCCGATGAGGATGATGATGATGCTGCCATTCGTGCTTCCACCGCTGCCGCTGCTGCTTGGGCGGGGGTTGGCGTCACCACAGCCGGCTTTCGAGGCCCAGCCTTGCCACTGGCCTTACTTGACGCCAGCTGCCGTGTCGTTGTGGGTGGACCCCCCAGCACGAGCGTACGGAACTGCTCCACAAGCGGGTTCCGTGCTAGGGCTGCGCGCAATGGAGCGCCCCATCGTTGCCAAGCTACGATGCCCGATGCAAGTGCCGCCATTGCTAGAACGGGGCCCGCACTACCCGTCTCCATCACAGGGATGGGCAAACCGCGTTTGCGTAATTTGCGCTCTGCCGTGGCCCGAGCGATGGCCGCCTGAAGGCGGTTCTTGTGAACTTCATCTGACCAAGTCATATGCGAAGTTGTTCTATTTGTCAATGGCGTTGTTTTGCTGCGGGAACTACCCCTAAACGCACGTCAGGATTCTGCACGCTTCTTAAAGATCGATCGCGCTTACGTTGTGAATTAACAGCTACAAAGCACAAGCGTTAACACGCATTAGGCGTTCAATTGGCCAGAACTGTTTGCTCATGCTGCTGCGTCTCGTCCTGGCGGGTACGACCCGTACTTATGAGTCGGTAGGAACGCAGTTATGGCGATGTGGAACAACGCAGGGCTCGATAGTGTTCCTTGACGTGACATTTGCTAGTGAGGTGACATTTAGGTCACTGTTTAACGTTACGCACACGTTAGCACTCCTGTGAGGGCGGCGCCAACCCTACTTGTTTACTCCTTGTCATTGAGCTCCTTTTCAATCATGGGATCCGATAAGAAGGATAAGAAGAAGGATAAGGCCGAGAAGGCAGCCGCCGGTGAGAAGTCGGCCGCCACAGCCGCAGAGATGCCGGTGGGCGAGGTGCAAATGCAGACCGACTTCCTTATCCAGCCTGAGAAGACGGTTCCCAAGCTAGATACCAGCAAGTGGCCGCTGCTTCTCAAGAATTACGATAAGCTGAACGTCCGGACGGGCCACTACACGCCCATCCCTGCCGGCAGCACGCCGCTAAAGCGCTCGCTGAAGGAGTACATGTCATACGGTTGCATCAACCTGGACAAGCCAGCGAACCCCAGCTCGCACGAAGTCGTCGCATGGATTCGCCGCATGCTCCGCGTGGAGAAGACCGGCCACAGCGGCACTCTGGATCCCAAGGTGACGGGCAACCTCATCGTCTGCATCGACCGCGCTACTCGCCTGGTGAAGGCGCAGCAGGCGGCAGGAAAGGAGTACGTCTGCATCGTGCGATTCCACAGCAAGGTTGAGGGCGGCACGGCCGCAGTGGCCAAGGGCCTCGAGACCCTCACCGGCGCGCTGTTCCAGCGCCCTCCTCTCATTTCCGCCGTGAAGCGCCAACTGCGCATCCGCACCATCTACCAGGCGAAGCTCTACGAGTACGATGAGGAGCGCAACCTCGGTGTCTTCTGGATTAGCTGCGAGGCCGGCACCTACGTCCGCACGCTGTGCGTTCACCTGGGTCTTCTGCTGGGAGTCGGCGGTCACATGCAGGAGCTGCGCCGTGTTCGCTCCGGCATCATGGGCGAGTCGCGAAGCAACAACATGGTCACCATGCACGACGTGCTCGACGCGCAGTGGGCTTACGATAACTTCAAAGACGAGACCTACCTGCGTCGCGTGGTGATGCCGCTGGAGGTGCTCCTCGTTAACTTCAAGCGCTGTGTGGTGAAGGACAGCGCGGTCAACGCGATTTGCTACGGCGCGAAGCTCATGATCCCCGGCTTGCTCCGCTTCGAGAGCGGGATTGAGGTGGACGACGAGGTGGTGTTGATGACCACCAAGGGCGAGGCTATCGCGGTGGGTGTGGCGCAAATGACGACGGCAGTGATGGCGACGGTGGACCACGGCTGCGTGGCCAAGATCAAGCGTGTGATCATGGAGCGCGACACCTACCCGCGGCGGTGGGGGCTGGGGCCGTACGCGCAGCTCAAGAAGAAGCTCATCACGGAGGGCAAGGTGAGGGGGGGGCATGAGAGGTTGGGCGACTGGGGTGATGTGGTGGTGAGGGGGACTGGGGCTGGGGTGGGTTGGTATGAGGGATGTGGGGTGCAGCATGCCGGTGTCGCTCTGCCCCTCATCTCTCCCCACCCCTTTCACCTGCCGCACCCCAGCTGGACAAGCACGGGCGACCCAACGAGAACACTCCCAAGGAGTACCTGCGCTCGCTGCCGGACTTTGTGGCCAACGGAGGGGCGACGGCGGCGGCAGCACCCGCAGCGGCGGCGGAGGCAGCGCCCAAGGCCGTGGAGGCGGAGGCGGAGGTCAAGAAGGAGAAGAAGGAAAAGAAGGAGAAGAAGGTACGCCGGTGAAGGGGTGTGAGGAACCAGGGTGCAGGATCGCCTGATGGTGAGCCGCATCGGTGATGGATGTCTCTGGCACTTACTTGCTGCTCGTACATGTCACCCACCTGCAGGAGAAGAAGGAGGAGACGGAAGGGGATGTGACGATGGAGGATGCGGAGGCCAAGAAGGAGAAGAAGAAGGAAAAGAAGGAGAAGAAGGCAAGTGCTGAGTGTGCATATTCAGGTCTTCACTTCTGCGCAGGGTCTCGCTGCCTTTGCCTTGTATGCCACCTGCTAACGCACCCCCTGCTGTGACGCTGATGGTGCTTTCCCCCAGCCTTCCCGCTTCTTGCACTATCCGCGCCCCCTTCTTACGACCTACCTCCCCATTCGTTCAGGAGAAGAAGCGCGCAGCTTCGGCTTCTCCAGAGCCCAGCGAGGAGGGGGCAAAGCCAGAGAAGAAGAAGGATAAGGTGCGGGTTGCCGGGAACCATGGGTCGGCGGCAGATGGGATGCGGTTACGGCCTGTTTATCCTTGCTGAGTTACGCTTGGCGTCGCCAACCGCTCTGCACACGTTGCAACGGATGCTGCTCCTTAAAAGAAAGGTCATTGCTTAACAACGCAGCCACTAATTGGAAAACTTCCTCCGCCCTGGCCCCACAGAAGGAGAAGAAGGAAAAGAAGGAGAAGAAGAAGAAGGGCTCGGACTCGGAGTAAGCGGCGCAGCAGCAGCACTTCGGGAGCTCTGGGGCGGGCCTTCTCTCATGTGGCTGGGGCTGGGGCTCCCAGAGGGAGGGACTTCTCGCCTCCCTTCAAATAGCCGGGGCTGGGTAGCCGCTGGATGGGGCTTGGGTAGCCGGGGCCGGGTAGGCTGTAGCAAGCAGCGAGCGGCCTTCATGCGGCCGCCCGGTGGTTCTGCGCGTGGAGCATTGGCAGCATGCTCCACTCGTGTCGTAATGGGCTTGCGGGACAGAGGACACATGCGTTTGGGCGATGGGATGGGCCTCTAGTACACACGAACGTGGAGAGGCGGGGGGCTTTTGATGCACGCAAACGAGGCAGGGGGCGGGCAGAGAGCGCCAACAGGTGCGCGATAGCAGGGTTGTATACTAGCATCATGCGTGGTGGTGGGTGGGTATGTGCGTGCGGAGACCGAGCTGCGGGCACAGGAATGTGTGTGCTCAGCTATAGAATGGCGTGGGTAGGGAACGTCTAGGTAGAGTTGTTGAACGGACAGTGCATGAGTGAACTGGCGTAGCTATGAGGGGTTAGCGGGGCGCATTATTGGATGGTAGTGGGGGTTAGAGGGTAGGCAGGAAGGTGCTTGGTTAGATGATGACTTGGGTGGAGTTTACCGTAATAGCAATTGTATTGATCGTTGGACGACGCACAACGGAAACAAGCGAAAGACTCGGGGCGTGTTGTCGACAGGTGGGATGCGATGCCCTCCCTTACCGGATACGAATGCGGCGCGGCGTGGGTGCTGTGTGCTGTGCCCGCTGTTGTAGGTTGTTGCGCGGGTTGCAACGACGTGGACATTGTTGGATGGCTTCACGCAGTGTGTGTACACGCAGTGTGCCGTTGGGTTGGGGCTTGGAACGCGCTTTGTGCCTAGCCATATGTTGGCGCTTATGCGCCTGGATCGAGAGGCTTCAGGCCTTGACCTTGTAACGACAAGGTCAGCTCACTGTCGGGTCATATGTGACAGTGGGTCCCCAAGCACCCCCTGATGCTGACACGCGCCGTCCACTGCCGTTCCCGTTCATTGGATTGCAGGTCTCCCTACACCACTCATGCGTTATGATCCGTCCAAAGCATCAAGTATTGTTACCGTAACACGTGTCGTGCATTGCTTGTGGCATCCAAGTGGCGTCCTTTCTACAGCACACACCTCGCGACCCATGGTTCACACCATGCCCAAAAAACCCAACACAACCGCCTCTGCCTCAGCCCACGCACTACTACCGGTACTATCGCTTGACCCGGAACCCCTCCTCGCTCCAAACAGAGACACTGCTTCAAGCAGTTCCACGCTCGCAGGCTTCCCTCTGCTGCACCCAGCCACCCTTCCTCCTCCCCACCCTCGCCACCCGTCAAGGCAGGAACGACAGTCCTCGCGGCCTCAGCCGAGTGACGGCGGGTGCCCCCGTGGCCCCCTCCAGCGCCTGGTACTGCCGGGTGAGGTCGGCCACGCACTCGCGCGCCTCCTCGAAGCCGCCCAGCTCCATGTACTGCTCGTAGTGGTGGGTGTAGAACCTGGGAGGAAGCGGGTGGTGGTGGGGCGGGGTGGTGGGGCAGGAGTAGGCGGCGGAGGACCACATAGACCGCATGCTTCTTGCAGCGAATCTGTTAACAAGCTACCGTCGCTCAAGCATGCAGCACCCACCCACCCGCGATTCTCCTTCTTCGCCCCCACCCCCACCTGCGCTTGTACAGCTTCTCGAAGCGCTCCCTCATGGTGCCGAAGGTGGAGGCAATGGCGGTGTTGTTGGCCAGACACAGCAGACCGAAGGGGGAGCCCACGGGAGGGGTGCTGCAGATGCCCAGCTTGAAGCCCTGGGGCGGTGGGGAGGGAGGGAGGGGTGCGGGGAGCGTTACCAGTTACTGCGTTACCAGAGCGTTACCAGTGGCTGCCCAGTGGAGCGACCGCCGTGTGTTGGAACGTACTGTGACCGTGTGTGTATTGCCCGCTGAGCCCCTTGCCTCACCCCCGCTTTCCCAACCCCCGTCCCGCCCCCGCCCCCGCCCCCGCCCCCGCCCCCGCCCCCGCCCCCGCCCCCGCCCCCGCCCCCGCCCCCGCCCCCGCCCCCGCCCCCGCCCCCGCCCCCGCCCCCGCCCCCGCCCCCGCCCCCGCCCCCGCCCCCGCCCCCGCCCCCGCCCCCGCCCCCGCCCCCGCCCCCGCCCCCGCCCCCGCCCCCGCCCCCGCCCCCGCCCCCGCCCCCGCCCCTACCTCGCTGTTCCAGTGCACCATGTTGAGTTGCGGCCTCAGTCGGGCGATGTTGCGGTTGATGTCGGCGATGGTGGCGGTGTGGCCGCGCGCGATGAGGCCGCATGCCAGGTAGGTGGCGTGGCGCGGGTCGGCCCGAATGAGCTGGTGCTCCCGACTGAACACCTCGCCGAACACCTGGGGAGGGGGGTTAGCAGGGGGGCAGCAGGGGGCAGCAGAAAGGTGATGGAAACTAAGTGAAGCTGGCGCGGCAGCAAGAGGTTAATGTGTATGAGGGACAGCAGCAGGGGGGTGTTGGGTTGAGAAAGGTGGATGGCATACGAGGAGGTACAGCAGAGCCGCAAGCACAAAGCCAGAGACACCCCACCTCCCACCCCACCACCCACCCCACCACCCACCCCACCTGGTCCAGTGCTCGCGGCTGCAGCGCCAGCGCCTGCCTGCCCACATCCCTCTCCCGCGGCGGCGGCTGCAGCGGGCTCATGCTGCTGAGCAGGAAGTGCATGCGCGGGTAGGGCACCAGGTTCATGGTGATGTCGTTCAGGTCCACGTTGAGGGGCCCCTCGAAGCGCACGCTGGCGGTCAGGTGCAGCAGCAGGCTGGCGGCGATGCCGTTCATGCCGTCAAAGGGCTTGTTGGACTTGCCGGGACCGGCGGAGGAGGAGGAAGTGGAGGAGGTGGCACCGGCGGACGTCCCGGCAGGTGCGCTGAGGCTACCGCCTGCGGGGTGTAGCAGCAGAAGAGCGTGAGGAGTAGAAACATGGCACTGTACGTGAAGCATGCAAGTTCTCCCAACGGCTCAATCCTGCCTCGTTCCTCCCCCCCCGCCAGGTCCCACCTGCCGCCCGCTCGCGTGCCGTCTCGCCCCGGTTCACGATGTCAATGAGCGCCTGGTTCTCCACCGGCAGGCAGCAGTCCGCGTGCTCCACCAGCTGCCCCAGCGCCAGCAGCGCGTTGTAGGGCGAGGTCACCACATCGTCGTCCTCGGAGGGGAACACGCTGCCCGTGAAACGGAACACGCCAGGGAACTCGTCCTGAGGTGGGGGGGCAGGCGGGGGGCAGGGGCGGGAGGGAGGGAGGGAGGGTAAGCGGTGGTGGCAATGCCCACAGGTGTGGTGGGAGAGGATCGCAGGGGAGTGAGAGCGCGGCCGCAAAGGCACCCCATTGCGCAGTCGTGATGCCTCTTCTGACTCGTCTTCATCAAGAGCACATGGAGCTGTTGAGCACCCGCATGCCCGCGAAGTCCCCTCTCCCCCACCCTCCCCGGGCGGTTCGCCCCTCACCGCCAGCATCTGCACTATGTAGGTGCCCACACCGCTGCCAGTGCCGCCGCCCAGAGAGTGGAGCAGCATAAAGCTCTGGAGGAGAGACGCGGGGAAGGGGAGGAGAGACAAGGGTGGACCCGTGGGCGGGGTGGGGGGCGTATTAGTGGTGTACGGATGGGACCGCTGGGCTCACGGAGGAGTTGGGGACAGGGGGCGGGGCTTCACGGACATGCAAGGACATCACCCTGGGCTGAACGTGGGCGCGGTCCATGCCAACCTCCACCCTTCCCTAATCCTTCCGATCGCCTCCCTCCAGCGACTTGCCCTCTTACGGTACCTGCACTCCGTACAACCCCCTTCCCACCGCTCCCATCCGCAGCCCATAACCCCACCAGCCAGTGCTGCCCCCCCCCCACCCGGTCAGTCCGTTGTTGCCTCAGCTACCCCCTCCACCCCACCTGCAGCGAGTCGCAGTCCTCCGCCGTGATGCGGATCTTGTCCAGTATGGCCTCGTGGTACTGCGGGCCGTACAGGTGGTGCCCGTGTGCCCAGTTGTTGCCGGCGCCGCTGACGTCAGACACCAGCTGCCGGGTGTCGAGCACCTCACCCAGGGGGCCCTGCAGGGGGTAGGATTAAGGTAACTGACGAGGTAACTGATGAGCTGCATGACAAGGCTTCACCAGGACGGTGGGGGGGATTAGATAAACTGAGCCGCGGAAACACTGACGGTGGGGGGGAGGAGGAAGGAAGAGGAGGGAGGAGGATGGGTGCGGTGGGGAAAGGAGAGGTAGGAGGGGAGGGAAGATAAGCGACCGCCAATAAGGGGCCGCCAATAAGAGGCCGCCAATAGGGGGCCGCCAATGGGAAGCCTGAAAGAAAGGTGTTGGGTGCATGGAGGCGGGCTCGCCGTCTACCGTCCGCCCTTTTGCTCGTGTGCCCATGCCCCCTTGGCTTACAGCCTCTCCCCCTCCAGTCCCTCCTCTTCGCTCCCCCACCCCACCTTGAGCATTTCGTTAATGACGCCGCACTCCATGTCCACGATCACAGATCGGGCCTGCAGAGGGGGGCCAGGGCCAGGTGGGGGTGGGGTGGGGTGGTGGGCAGCAGAGGGCTACCAGTTTACGGTACCACATGGTGTCTGTGAGTGACGAATGTGTGGAGCACGGGTGGGGTGGGGCGGATCATGATGATGCCGGTACTGGAAAGCCATCATCCAGGCATCCTAGAGCACTGCGGCAGAGCACCCTCCAACAGGTCTCCAACAGGCCCCCGCACCCTCCAACAAGCTCCGCCCCAGTGCGCGCCCCCACCTTGAGTGTTCGGATGGCGCCCCGACCGTCCCCCACCGGCAGGTTCCTGGGGGCGGGGCGGGGCGGGTGGGCAGTCAGGGCGGGTAAGGAGGGAACTGACAAGCTGTGTATGGCACGGCTTCACAGCAGATAGGAGAGGGAGGGGGCTGCTAGGATCTGCAGGATAGCGGGGCGGGCAGCAGCGGCGGCTGGGAGGGAGTAGTTGGGAAGCAGAACCCCAGGCCTGCTCTTCACAACGGACCGCCCCCCCCGTTAGCAATGGGTAGCTGTGTTTGGCACGCCAGCAGCCGCACCTGTGGGGCTCCACACGCGTATCCACATTGCGGAAGAAACTGCGCGGGGTGCGTGGAAGGAAGGGCGGGTTCGGGGGCACGTCAGGAGTGGTGGGTTGCCTTGACAAGGAGTAGGATGGCTTATGAGGCGTCGGCCAAGGATGGGCTAGGCATCATGGGACACCACTGACGCAGTCAGGCAACCATTCACGAGGGGAGCGGGAAACACCTAGCTGTGCGCACGTTACCCGGTACTACCCGCACGCTGCTCCATTCATAATTGCTGTTGGGGGAAGACGAACATTATGTGGCTTTCGTCTACCCCCGGTCGCATGTCACCACGCAAGCCGCATAGCCCCCTCTACCCAGCTGCGGTAGCTGCCGTACCTGCTGAGCGCCTCATCGTAGACGCCCTTTGTGTTGTATGCCGCGTGCTCCCGCAGCGCCAGCTCCCAGAAGCGACACCCCACCTGGTTGCCGCACTGCCCCACTTGGATGGTCACCAGCTCGCGCGGCATGGCCACCAGCCCCGACAGAACAATGGAGCAGTCCCGCGGAGCAGGTTACACCGAAGGAGGGCACGAGGCCGCAAAGCTGAGCCAAACGTTTATAAGCATGTATAACTGTCTGGGATTACTGAAACATGCTTACTTAAACACTACAAACAGAATGCTGCGAAGATGGACTGGTCTCCCTCTCGTCCTTTCCTACGCTGAATCTTCTGTTCCAAGTAAAGCCTTTGCCTAAAGGATTAGGTCGCAGAAAACAACGTATATCGGTAGGCCTCAGGTGCTGTATTTGCGTAGCGTATTGACGTCGAGCAGAGTCCCGCCAAACGACGAGCACGCTCATACAACAAATAAAAGGAAAAACAAGAAGTTATTGAAGTTATGCAGGTACTGCCTCTATCTGCCCTTTGTGCCGAAGGTAGCGAACGACTGTTGCAACGACCCCGCAAGGTGTGACTTGCATGCATTACGCCGTAGTTGCCCCAGCTTGGCGCAAGGATGTTATTGGATTTGTTTGTAGAAACTTGGGAGATGGTGATTCAGGAAGTGCTCAGAAGCGCTCAGAACATGAGGGGTTTCGACGGATGGGACGAGCCAGCAAGGTAAAGGCCTTGTCATTTCGATAAGGTATCACTTTTGCAGTCTGCATCAGCGCTACCTACACTGCGCGCTAAGCCGTTTCCCTTCTAACGGCGTGAAACTGTGCTGTCCACCCTGCAAGGCCGCAACATCGCTGGGGCATCCGGGCGACCACTTCACCTCGCGTGCGTGTACTTCAAACCAAAAAGTCGCCTGTAGTATACCTTGCATATGACTATTATGATGAGTGACCAAGCCTAGGATTGGCTGGGTTGAGCCCCCAGGAAAATGCTCCCAATCCAAGGGAAGCCGGCTCGGCCGCTGCGCGAGCGCTTCCTATGCAGTAGGTTTGCCAGCCGCAACCACAAATGCCAGCGCATTTTGCCGCGAGCAGCAGAGGGCGAGCGCCTGCTTGCCGCGACGGCCGTGGCATTGCTGGTAGGACACGCACTGAAGTAGTACTAGCTCCAGAGGGGTAAAAATGCGCGCCCAGGAAAAACGCTATCATTGGTGTAATACGTAAATTATTGAAACGGTGACCCAATGAGAAGAAGTTGTGGCGTCGCGAGCGGCTGTGTTGCCGTTGGGTAACGTATGCTTGACGCCGGTCGCCCCGTTCCGTCGCAGGTTGAGATGTCATCAGCAACGCAGGTGTCTGCATTTGGCCTGGGACCGGCTGTCGCCTGGAGCTCGGAAGGTATGGTTGCCTTTATATTTCTCAAACCTCTCTTCTTGAAGCTTCCTCCCGTCCTTGAGCCCATCTTCACAAGTGGCCGCCACCACCCCTATTTCTTCCACCTTGCAGCAGCCACCCCCACGACCCTTATAGCGGAACCCCCCGCGCCTCCCGCGTCTGCGCCGCTACCTGCGCCACTGCCACCACTGCTGTCCGCGTCGCTGCCGCCCTCAGCCCCCTCGGAGGGGCTTTCAATGGCCCCCGCGGTCAGCAGAGACACCCCAATCACCACCAGCACAGTCAGTGGCGGCGGGGGCGGTGGCGGGGGCGGTTTCCTGGGCTTGTTCGCCGCCAGGGAAGCACCGCAACAACAGCGGCAGCAGCAGCAGGCCGCAATGGCGGCAGTGCAACAACAGCAGCAGCAGCAGCAGCAGGAAGAGGAGGAGGCGCCGCAGGCGTTAGCAAACCCCAATGCGGGGGCAGGTCGGAGGGCAAGGGAATCGGCGCGGAGGAGCCGCAACAACGTGGTGGCTGCGGCTGCCGCTGTGGAGGAGCCCCCTGCACAGCCCGGCAGGCAGCAAGCACAGCAGCAGCAGGGAGAACAGAAGCAGGGAGAGGTGCCTGCGGCTGCTAAGAAAGGTGGGTGGGTGTGCATTATAGCTGCACGTAAGTTGGAAGCCCCGCGTGATGCAGTGTGTAAAGCACCTAAGCCTCGTTCAGGTGACAGCGCTGATACATGCCGTACACGTAACCTGCGCTCTCCATGGAAGCGACCCAGCCTTCCGTCGTCCTTGAGTGCCTGGTATCACTGAAGCTGCCGCAACCAGCCCGCTGCTCGTCCGCCATCCCTGCTGTGCCTTACCAGCGGCCCGCTTAACCACCACCGCCGCCTTTAACGCACCGCCCTCCACAGGCGAGGGCTCGCTGCTTACATGGATCCTGGAGCGGGCGGCCCTCCTCTCGGTGGGCGGAGTGGGCGGTGTGGCGGCGGTGCGCGCCCTCACCTCGCCCGCCGCACGAGCTGTCAAGGTGGAAGATGCAGCAGCCCGGGCTGCTGCTGCTACTGCTACTCCTGCCCAGGCTGCTTCTGCCTCGACGGCTGCTACCTCTGCTGCTGCCGCGGCCTCCCCAGCTGCTGCCACTGCGGCGGCTGGGACCGCTGCTGCTCTGCAGGGCCAACCCCCGCCAGCTTCCCTAGCTCCCGAACGTCCCATCTGGGCCCCAGGTCGCGGCAGCCCAACGGGCTCAGCGGGTGACAGCATGGCTCCTCCTCCTCCTCCTCCAGCATCCCCGGCTGCTGCCGGCGCCCCTTACTACAGTCCCCCGCCGCCGCCTCCCTGGTGGTACGGCCGTTATCCCGGGTACGAACAATACGGACCGTACGATGGGCCGTACACCGCCCCGCCGCCTTCTGTGCCGTACAACCCGGGGTATGGCTGGCGGCAGCCTCCTGTTGCGCGCCAAGGTGAAGAACCCACAACAGAGTCGCCAGCGGCGGAGGTCGCTGCTGATAGCGAGTCGTACTATCCGTACTATTACCCTGCACCTGGGGGGTATTGGTGGGCAGATCCCCGGGGAGTCCCCGGGCAGTCGCCTCCGCCCACGCCGTACGGCCCCTACTGCAATCTGCCGTACGGGCCTTACGGAGGACCCATGCCGCCGTCGCCTATGATGCCACCGCCGACTGTACCGCCGCCGCCGCCGTCACCGCAAACGAGACGAGGGTTTTCTGAGCTGCCGTCGAGCTCAATTGCACGGAAGGGACGCAATCCCTGGGCTGTCTCGGAGGAGAAAGGGAGGCCAAGTGACGGCGAGCGTTTGAACGTAACGGCTGCAGTGGGGTCGGGGACAGGGACGACTGCGTTCCCGTTGGCGGCAGCGCAGCAGCAGCAGGGGTGGGATGCGGAGGGAGCTCTTCGCAGCGGCAGCGGATGGGGTGAGGAGCCAGCATCAACCACCCCCGAAGCAGCACCGTACGATCCTGATTACGATGCTGATTACGTCAGTACGGCGTATGCGGAGCTGGAGGACATGGATGCGGCGATTGCTCGGCTGCGTGCAAAGATGGAGGAGCTGCAGCTGCAGGAGGAGGAGGGTGCGGTCGGGGGCGGTGAGAGGGAGGAAGCGGGCGGGCGGGAAGGACGGCGAACTGTGGTGCGCGACTGGCGGCGACAGCTGCTTCAGGAGCAGGGGCAGGGGCAAGATCAGGAGCAGTATCGGGAGCGGGGCCTTGGAGAAGGGCAGATGGAAGGGGGTGACATGGGTGTGTTGGAGAACTGGAGCTCGCAGTCTGATGCTGCTGCTGTAGCAGCCTCAGCCACAGCTGCGGAGGAGGAGTACCGGCGGCTGCTGCGGATGTGGCGGGAGGCGCACCCGGAGGCTGACTTGGACGAGGAGGCAGAAGAGCTGTTGGGTGTTGATGAGCTCAGCGAGGGCGCTACTGGCCCCACCGCTAGCAGCAGCACCGCCCGAGATAGAAGCCGACCTGGAACCGATGAGAACAGGTGGAGCCAAGACCTGCTGGGACCCGAGCAGCAGCAGCTGCCGGCAGCACGGCAAGCAACATCCAGCGGGGATCTCACGGCTCCGCAACAGGAGGAGCAAAGAGGGAGAAGAAGAGAACACGAGGAGGAGGAGGAGGAGCTTGACAGGGACCGCCAGCAGCTGCTGCAGTGGCTGCTAGAGCAACAGCAGCATATGGGGCAAGAGCAACAGGACTTGTACGGTGCGGCAGGGCTGCCGGCGGCTGGGCTGGTTCACCAGGCGGTGGGGATGCGGCCTGTCGAAGACGCTGCTGCGCCGCCGTCGACCTTGCAAGAGGGCCCGCAGAGATCCAACACCACCCCGCCTGCTGCTGCCTGGGGCGCAGGGCTGCGCGAATCCACGAGCACCGGCGCTGCTGGCGTCAGCGATGATAGCGACCAGCCGGGTTCGGAGTCTGGTGGGGCCGGTGCTACTGCTGGTGCTCAGGCCCCTACTGCTCCAAGGCCAACCACCACCACCACCACACCCACCCTGAACACCCCCAGCTACACCACCGCTAGCACCAGCAGCACCACCGCCACCACCGCTACCGCCACCGCACCCAGCACCCCGGCTGCCAGCCTCTCGCACCTCAAAGCCACATCAGCGGCAGCAGCTGACCGTGCTGCTGAGACGCTGGCGCGCATCCGGGCCTTGCGGGCTGCCGTACAATCGGGACCGCCCGCTGCCGCCGCCAGCCTGCGTGGCAGCGCCGCCGCCGTTCCTCGCCCGCTGGTTGAGAGTAATGGAAGCGGGGATGCCATTGCTGACGGTGCCCCCGACAGGAGCGACGGCAAGGCGGGTGGTCGCGGACCCGGTGCTCAATGACGACAATGAGTGACGGTTATAAGCTTGCAATGGTGCCCCAAATGGCATCCTAACAAAGGTACCGACGCCGGTGCTGCAGGCAGCGGCGGCAGCAGTAGGTTGCACGAATGGGATGAGTTGCGTGCCTCAGTGCGGAGGTTTGGGGATGCGCGTGCGCTGGGGTAGAGGCCTGTTGCGACGGTGGTGCCCCTCCACCTGGGGGGTGTTCTCAGTGCTTGGAATCCAGTATTCGGGGCTGCGTAGCTCGCGCCAGTGAGGGGAAGGGAACCACCGGTTGCCTTTGTGTTGTGTCCGGTACTCTTTGATGCGGTGGCGTACCTATGCCGGGCCCCAGCGGCTTTAGATGCACTTGATGCTGTTTTCGCGGTTCGCCTCCCCCCGCGCTTACACTGCGCAAAAGGGAATTGAGTGGCGCCGGCGGTGTGTTGTAAACGTGCGTTTCGGCAAATGACTTCCGACCACCATGGTCGACTTGCTGTTAGCTCCCGCATGGAATGCTGCAACCGACTCATACCGTACCCAAACGTGTGGGGCCCTGTATGTCCACAGACTCCCCGACGGGGGTACGAGCTCTCTTGCCACCTTCTGCCCATGACGCCAGCGAACTTGCTGGCGTCGCTTGATGCCGCCTCTTTCGCTGCCCAAAGCGAGACAGCAGCCTAGCCCGCTCGCCACAGCTTACCAAGGTCCAGTGCCGCATTGCTGTGTACGGAGAGGGCCCCAACCAGACCCTGCTAGCCTCCGTACGTGAGGCGCCCATGCATCAGGTACACCAGCAGGCATCCGGTGTCACGCAGTCTAGATAGCTACCGGTAGCGCCAGAGACACGCTACGCAACCAACCTCAGCCGGGTTATCCTGCGCCCGCCCTCTCCTGTCTGTCACCATGCTACGGCCCTCCGCCTTGGTTCCACCCCAACTTGCTGTGCGTCTGGCTCGCACAAACACACACTGCGCCGCTGCCTTCAATTGATCCACCATAGCAGCAGCCCTGTCTAGCTGCTGCTGCTGCTGCCAGCAGCCCGGTCGATGGGGTGACAGCAGCTGCAAGGGCCCAGTGGCGGCAGGTCCGGGGGCAGCGACCTGCATGGGGGCCAGGAAGGCAGGGGGGCAGGGCTCGGAAAACCCACATGCGTGGTTAGGCTGAGGAAGGCCTCACGCACACACCTGACCCAGTGCGCCAGGTTGTCGGAGGCAGCCAGCGAGCGGGGCAGCATTCGGTCCACGTACAGGATACCCTGGAGGAGGCGGGGCGAGGGTGAAGACGCGGCGGCAGGTCAGGCGGGGGCCCGGGCAGGCGGGGGGCCGCAGTGGCCTGCTGGCCCAGCTGGTGCGTGCACATGCAACGACATGCAGGCAGGGCAGAAGGAAGGAATGGCCGGGCTGCGGGTACCCACCCTAACCCCATCCGCCCCTCCAAAGCCCAGCCCACTCAACCCCTCATCCCCTCCCGCCCCGCCTCACTCGCCCCCACCCGGTCACCTGCAGGTGGTCGCACTCGTGCTGCAGGATGCGCGCCCGCCAGCCGCTGGCCCGCAGCTGCAGCGGGCGCCCCTCGGGGTCCACCGCCGCCACCTCCACGCTGTGGTAGCGGGGCACCAGCGCCTACGGGGGGCCGGGGTGGTTGGGGCGGGCGGGGGTGCGTGGTTGGGGCGGGTGCAGAAAGCACAACAGGGTGTGTGGCTGGCTGGGTCACGAGCAGCATGTACCGATAGAAACATGCATGCATCTCCTTTGACGCACTGGACCCCCAACGTACATCCTTTCAGCAGTCCCAGCAGCCGTGCGTACCGTGTAACCCCGGACGCTGAGGCAGCCCTCGAAGAACATGGCGCCCTCCCGACCCGTGGGTCGCAACGTGGGGTTAACCAGGACGAGTGGGCCGAAGGGCTCCCGCTCCATGGACTCAAGTGTTGCCGTGTCGTACACTCCAGATGCGGCTTGGCGGGAAATGTACTCGGGACGGTCCTCCAAGACAATGACCTGTACGATGGTGGTCGGTCGTTAGAGTGCTGTTGTAGCTGGGTGAAAGATTGTCCACTTGATTGATCCCTAGGACCCTAGCGTGAAGAGCAGGAACTAACCGATACATAGCTGACATGTCGTCCAGCTCCTAACAAAGGCCTGACGTTTCTGGTAAAAGCTGGATCCTAGCAACCGAACACATGAAAGTGCGGCTGCTGCAGGCAGAAACCGCGCTAGCTGCCACGGCGAAGCTCGCATGCAACGGCTGCAAGCGAACTGCACAAACCCGCCACACTCACCCGCCACGGTTCGCCTATCTGCGGCGCCGCTAGCCCCACCCCTGGCGCTGCTCGCATGGTTTCTATCATCCGTTCCGCCAGGTTTCGGAGCCAGGGACTACCCAGCAGGTCCAGGGGCACCTCTCGGGCCACCTGCGGGGAGGGCGGAGAGGGCGGAGGGGTGGATGTGTGGGAGCAGGGGTTCAGGGGGTCTGGAAGGGCCGGTGGCGGAGCCGGAAGGTGGCAGGTGGCAGGCAGCAGGGGGTCCTTTGTGCGCGTTGATTGCCTGGGACTGACTGGTAGCGGCATGTACCCGAGGTGAATGAGTAAATGTGGCCAAGTTCATGACATATGAAGGCAGAGTGTGTGCCATTACCGGTTACAGCAAGTTACCGACGCACGCAATTCAATCTGTTTGCTCGACGTGACGCTACTTTGGGCTGGGCCAGATGAGCGGCTTGGGGTTGCGGGGCATCGTGCAACTAGAAAGCATCCCTAACCCAGGACCTGTCGTAGGACAGGCGCTCCCGCTTGCACAATTGGCGACATTGGTTTCTCCGCGGCGGGCTGCGGAGCGTCGGGGCCCATGCGTGAGGCCATTACTTGCATACGTGATCTTCGACGGCCAGTCGAGGGCCAGCGTTGCGAGGCCGATAGCCGCATTGGAGTTGTATCCAGTACCCTTATGCTAAGTCTTGTTTTTAAGACGTTCCGTGCCAACGTACAAAGGCCTAGCAGGCAATCCCGTATGCACCCGATTAGTAAGCTCACAGTGCTAAGGAGGGCTAGCAGTAACACACATCAATTTTAAAGCGTCTATCAAAACAACACCGCACCGAAGTTGTAACGCGACAAAAGCGCATTTCCCCAATTCGCTCTCACTGGTATTAATAGACAAAGACAATTTGTGCTCACCATGACAGCGTAGCGTTAACGGATGGCAGGTACTAAAAACACTAAGAGCACCTCTGAATGGGTTCCGTTATGAAGACAGTGGGAGTTCGGATGCAGATGCGGAGGGCGACTTGCTGGTCTTGCTGCTGGACCTGGTGCTCCTACGCCCGGACAATCCATCAGCAGCATACTTGGATGCGACGCCCGCTGAGATCTTGTCTCAGGTGATCCGGTTGACCTGCCGGCTGGCACCATCGGCACCCCCATAATGGACCATCTACTAACCTTGTGCACGCTTCGCACTCCCCCAACACAGCTTCTCGCTTTCACAAATGCCTACACGATGATGAGCAGCCATAACCTGCTGGCGGTATTTGCTGGACAGCACGACATGTGGTACGTGAGCTGATGCAGACATGTCCCCAAATTGGCCGAAGCGCGCAAAGCCTGAAAGCCTTCTCACTGGGCACCCTGCGGCCGTCATAGGACTGCATACAGAAGGCTGTTTCTTCTCAGCATGCAAAGCATTCACCCCTGGCTCACAAATGCCACCTATCGTTGGCCCTTCAATCTTACGCCGCCCAGGCCTCGTTTGCCATTATCATTCAAGAATCAACAGCATTGTTGAACAGCCCTTCTTTCCCCCGCCTCGCCCCCAGCCACCTGGTTCATCTGGGTCTGGTTGAGGAGGCGGCCGTCAGCTCCTCCTCCGTCTTCCCGGCCGCCAGCCTGCACGCCAAGCTGGGGGAACTAGTGGAGCGCTGCGGCAGGGCTGAGGCGCAGGGTGAGGGGCCGGCGGGGCAGGGCGGGCGGGTGTAGGGCGATAGGGGAGGTGTGCAGGCGGTGCCGCGCGGGGGGTTAGAGTGCACCCGAGGGATGGATAAACGGGATACACGGGCATCTCGGCACATGTTTTTGGTGTAGTTATGGATGTCGTGCAAACCTGCCGTAACTCTAGTACGCCCGCTTTCCTCGTCCATCTTGCCCCCACCAGTCGGCGCCCAGGCCCAGCCCGCCGCCTCCACGCCCGCCCCCAGCTTCGCTCTCTCCGGCTCCCTCTCCCGCGCGCTCTGCCTCATCCACCGCCTGCAACAGCAGCTCTTGGCGCAGCGCGGCGGCAGGGGGCAGCGCGGCCGCCCGCGCATCCTGTGCCTGCTAGGCTGCCCGGACACCTCCATGCAGTACATTCCGGTCATGAATGCCATCTTCTCCGCGCAGCGCGCCCAGGTGGTCATCGACGCCGTGGTGCTTGCTGCGGAGGATTCCAGCTTCATGCAGCAGGCGGCGCACCTGACGGGGGGGCTTTATTTCCGGCCGTCCAGTTCGCGGGGACTGCTGGGCTGTCTGATGAACCACTTTGTGTGTGACACGGCGACGCGCGGGCAGCTGGATGTGACGCAGGCGCTGGGGGTGGATTTCCGGGCGTCGTGCTTTTGTCACAAGTATGTGATTGAGACGGGGTTCGTGTGTTCGGTGTGTCTGTCGATCTTCTGTCAGCCGTCCAGGGAGTGCTCCACGTGTGGGACGCAGTTCGCGGGAGGGAGGGAAGCGGGTACGTAATTGTAGTGGTGGTGGGGGGCGCGGGGGGAGAGGTTGGGTGGCTGCACGGGAGGTGTGCATGCATGCGAGAAGGGAAGATGAGGTGCCGGTAGACGGGAAAGTAAAGCAGGGCTAGGGTTAGTGGAGGGAGAGGTTGGGTGTGGACAGCAGGAGGCAAGTTCCAGGCAGCAGGAAGGACAGGACGAGTCGGTTAGCAGTAGCTATGATGCGCTGATGTGTGCTGGAGCGGCAAACGCGCACGGTGTCAGGAAGCCGGGGCGTCCCATTGCTAGGTGCAGTTAGGCGCAGGTGTCGGGTTAGGGAGCAGGGAGCTTCAAGGGCGAGCAGACGCTGGGTTGGGGGTGGCTGCAAGCAACACCATGTATTGCGTGGCAGCGTTGCTGGGCCGCGCAGGAAGCGGTTTGAGATCGCAAGGGCCTTAGGGGTCACTGGCCTGGTTTTTCAGTTAGACACCTAACCGGATTGCTGTGAACGGACCGCACCGGACAGCCGTTTAACATTAAGAAACCGCCATCTCCTCCCCAGAACAGGGACAGCCGTACGCGCATGGACAGCTGGTTAACATTGCCGTTTCCCAGCCACGAACCGTTACCGTTAACCGTACTGGTATAAGTCATGCACCGTGATCACGCAAGCAGTGCGCATGTCAGCCCACACATCTCCTCCAGTATCTGCCCCATCATGCTGCAATGCCCCCTAGGGGACAGGGTGTGCGCGCGCGGGTGCCACCCAACACACACCAGCGGCCTCCTAGCAGCGAACAGGACACATGTACGCACCGAAACCACAATCCCCGCCTTCATTCTCTGCATGAATACCCGACTGCCCCGCTCTCTACCTAGCCCAGCCACTCGCTACGGGAACCCCGCACCACACCGGTGGCTAGTGTGGCTCGCCAACGCGGTGATGCTCAGCTCATGCAGGCCAGCTACCCAGCAGCGCCTTCGCCTGCCGCCGTAACCGGCAACGGCGGCAAGGTCCCACCTGACCTACCCTCTACCACCAACTAACATACCGGTAACGCGTCAAGCTAAGGGTTGTCCTATGTATCCCTAAAGCACGGCTAAGCCACTGGCCTGGCACGGAACGACGTGCCGCAGCCACCGCTTCAGCCCATGCTGCTAAGGCAGTGTGGGGCTTATGCACTCGTAACCTTGCGGCCTGGGAGGAATCATTTCCAGGGTCGGCAGGCAGGCATCCCAAGCGAGAGCAGCCCCACAACAACACCAAAACAACAGCTATCCACTACTAGAGTCGTCCAATCTAGGAAAGGGGTTCGTGGACTTCTACTGGCGCAGGTCAACGAGATAAAGCTGCGAGAGTCACACGCGGCCTCGCCCGTATGGGTAGAGCCCGGCGGGCCGCGTCCGAAATCGTCATCCGCTAACGCTGTGCCGCACCCCCCACACGCGCATACCAACACCTGTTGCATTAACTAGACATAATCCGGTGTGCTAAAGCGTCTGCTTCTTCGTATTGCCATAAGCTAGCCACCATGTCCGCTCGCCCTCCTGACCCAAAGCTCACTACCCAATAAGCTCACTACCGCCTTACCCTCTAGGAACTAGGATCCAACCGGTTCCCCAGCTAAGGGCCCCTGTCCGCATGTGAAGCGTGGTGCCAGTAACGGGCTACGAACGAGTGGGGTCAAGCCGCTGCAGGTAACTGCCATGGCCCTACACCTCAGCGCCATACCCAACCAACCTCCACTCTGCAAACATACGGTAACAAGCCCCGAACCAGCTAGCCACTGGAGCCCTAGGAACCTTCCTTCCCTTCCATTTCCCCCTTCTTTCCAAGTCCAAGCAGTCATGATAAGCCAACAAGGCGACCGGAGGATCAACAACACCTCCAGCGCCTGCTACTGTTCCCGCCGCTCGTATCCGCTCCTGCACCCCCTGCATCACCCTACCCGCACTCCACCGCCCCTCACGAAGTTTGTTCCAAGCTACGACAAGCCGTTAACCGTAAGCCGGTCAACGCGTGGTTACCGCGTGAAGAAGGAGCCCGACATGAAGAGCGGTGTGAGGCCCATCAGGCAGCCCACCAGCACACCAACCATGGCGCCCGCGAGCTTAGCGCCTGCGCGCACATGGACGTGAAGGGAGTGTGCATAATGTCAGGCTTCACCGTTTTATGTTAGGAAAGCTGGTCGCGAGTTGGAATCGTACGCGCATGCGGGGGCACAGGCGACGCCCGACTTAACAGGCCCACACAGCGCGTCCGCGTGCAGCGTGTCATGACCCTCATGGGTGCACGTGAGCACTAGGCGGTGCGTGTGCATGGCTGCTTTGCGAGCAGGTAGGGGACCAAGCCCACGTGCTCTGCCTCTGCGTCTGAAGCTATTCCCATGGTGCAATGCTTTTATGAGGGGCTCATACCCGTACAAGCCCCCATCCTTCGCCTTTGTTCACATCCATAACGGGTTCGCGCAGGGTTCGTGGACCAGTCCTGCCACACTACTCACGCTGCGTGCTGGGCAGTGCGTTCTGGAACTTGGACAGCTTGGGCTCTCTGACGAATGGCAGCCAGCGCACAGCTTGCTGCGGGACCAGGCAGGTTCGGCACACACGCATGGTGTTCATACCTTAGTCAGTGTTGTACGGGTTTCGGAGAGCCAACCCATCGTTCTAGGACCCCGCCACCTCTAGTACCGGTGAATTGCTCGTCGCAAGCTATGTGGTTGCGACTACACAAGGAAAGCAGAGTACGACCCACCTCAATGTACTTGGCCGCCCCAACGCCGATCACGTCCTGCAGGAAGGGGTGGCCGCATGACCCGGAGTTAGGCGTTACCAACGGCACACGGCCGTACATGGCTGTGTGCAAGAGCATGGATGCAAGCCCGCATTTGACAGTCCACTGCTACACTCTAGCTGACAAGTAGGTAGACACCCTGAACCCCCCAACCACCCAACCATACAGGCAACAACCACCTGGGGGTTGTTGCGATCCCACGTGACCTGCCATCTTACATGCTGGGATGCTACACACCTCCAACTCCGTTCGACCCTGCAACGCAAGCAGCCAAGCCCCCCACACTGCCTCACCGCAACTGCGTTCCCGAGACCCGCGGACGCCAGCGTGGACAGCCCCAACCGGATCCCGAACATGTGGTCAATCTCCTCGCCCGCAACCAGCTGCGACATGCGCCACAGAAAGGAGAGGGGCCAAACAGGGGAGGGAGGGCGCGTCAGAAGGACTGAGCCACAGGAGGGCCTCAAACCTGATCTGGGTCAGGCGTCGTGGTGCGTTGAGCCTAGAGCCTAAAGCGGTTGGCGCACACGTGTCACCGCCCACAAACGGGCGAGGAACACGCAGAGTCCAACCCCCGCTAGTACTCCACAACAGGGTTAGCGGCTTTCAAACCGGATAGAGCCCTGTTGCGCAACCCGCACACAAACCCATCTACCCGTCCACCCACCATTATCGCATTGTCTAGGAATCCGAACGCAACGAAGGGGATCGCGGAGGCCAGGAAGACCATCTTCAGAGCCGAGGCGGAGGGAGGTATCCGGTTGCGGTTCTCTATCAAGCTCGTGTGCGCCAACATGGCCGCTTGGAACTCCTCTCTGCATGGGGAGGATGGCAGTTGGAGGAGGTGGGAGCGGTGCGGGGCAAAAGGCATGGGAACATGCCGAGTGAGATCAAGCCTGTGCGAGGTGGAGAGATGCCGAGGAGACGAGGAGTGAGGTGGGTTGTTTGGGTTGCAGGAGAAGCATGTAAACTGGCATCGGGGAGTGCTGGCAGAGGTGGTCACAGAGAGCGCATCCCAGGCAACGCACAGTAAGTAGGGCGCATTTGCGGCAGAACTTTTGTGCGGTCCGTGCTTGGGAGGCCGGGAGGATGGCGGGCGAGAGGGGGGGGGTGACATGCAGCTTGGTTTAGGAGGCATCGTTGAGAGCAGTACAATGCGGCACGGTACGGGAGCGGAAGGTTGATCCTCGAGGCCGTGGCTTTGGCGCGTTACATGTTCATGCCACACGTCCTAACCTTCAGAAGTTCATCCTCCCACCTGCTCAGCGCGCCTGGCGAGTCGCCATCCGCGTTGTCGTGTGCTTTAAATAGCTCTTCCCAGTACTTTTCGTCGAGCTGCTGGACTTCCGTTTGCTGTGCAAGCGCGGAAGCAAGCACTGCGCGCTGGGCTGGGCTTAGCTTGGCTGCTAATTGCTGTGCCGCATTATGCGGATTCCTCTTAAATGCTTCCTCAAAGCTCGTCCCTGATGGGAGGGGCTTAGGGCTTGCATTGCTGTAGTACCGATGCTCCCGCCCCGAGCAGCTAGGAGCGGCAGCATCCAGCGCTGGCCCTCCACGCCTGCTGTCCGTACTGCCACCCGAGTATTCTCGTCCGGAGCTGCTAGGGGCATCGAGCCAGGCTGTGCCAAATGTCATCAGGGGGGCCAAGGAGTGGCCTGGAGGACGAAAACTACGCATAAGCATCTTTATTATATCTTGTTTCTATGTAATACGTGTTGCAGCGCAGCGAGCTTGGGAAATGTGCTTAGCGGCGGTTTCGTCGTAGGTTGCGAATTCACAAGTTACTATTATGTTATACCCGTTTATCTCACAGTGAAATGCGTGCGCTTAAGAAGTTAACCGAATCCATTTCGGCAATGCGACTTGGCGCAGTACGACTGCGGCCAGGATGGCCAAGTGGCCCGTTGCAACTGCAGTTGTTCAACGCTTAAGCCTATTTAACTATTCGTTACCGCCATCTACGGGAAGTTCAATTATCCCCACATCCACGAAACTTGCCGGTAACTTTTGCGTGCTCGCGCATTCGCACCAACACTGGGACGTTTCCTGATCAAACTTGCACACGCGTAAGATATAATTAAAACACCTGTTTGCTTCAACGTCGACTCGTCGCCCATCGGCCATCACGACACCCAGCGGCGGGAGATAGCCACGACGAATGTCCGCTACAACAGTTAACCCTGCGGAAGTGCGGTCAGCGCTGCGCGCGGTCCTACGGGCTGTGGACCGTCACCTGACACCCGTCAGTGGCAATCAGCAGTGGCGGAAAGAGGTCCTTGCGCGCTTCCGGGCGCCTCTTGTTTCTCAAGACGGCGCATCGGGAGCTCCCGAATGCGCACCATCAGCGGAGCAACCTTCCACCTCGGGGAACCCGGGGTCGCAAGCGTCAAGCCTGCCCATTGCACCGGCAGGCCAGGCGCCGACGCCAGCACAGGCCGTCCGGATGGCGCGGGAATGGGCCGCACTAGCGGAGAACATCGCACGGCACAAAGAGCTGCTGCTGACGTACAACATTGGTCTTGACGTGGACGAGCGCACGAAGCGTATGGTTGAGGCGACTGCCCGGCGTGTGGGCTTTGCGTTGCCACCCCTGGAGGACGAGGGGACAGCGGGGAAGCCCGCTCGGAAATAGCCGTGACCGGGAAGGCCCCGCGCGATTAGGGTTTGTGGATATGGCCAGCGGCTGCTGTGTATGCAGCTAGGCGGGCGGCAGGCGTAGGTCGCTGACTAGGTTAGGGTTGTCATCCGTGCGCATGCTTGCGGCAAGGGCTGCTGCAGGAGTGAGCTCGGGGTGCCGGGATGTCGGGCTGACGTCAAGGGGAAGGGCGGGGGCGGGAGATACTGCGGTCTTGAGTAAAGGGGCCCCGCAAGCGTAGGGTAGACAGGAGGCTAGGAGGCTGCAGGAAATGGGGGAGGCCGTTGTCTTATGACTAGCAGCCCGCATGGCGGCCGGCAGACATTCATTGCAGAGCGGGAGCACCGCGTGCGTTCAGGGCGTGCTACGGTTGCGGCTGTGGCGGCTGTGGCTGTGCGTGTGGGAGGTCTGAGAAGCCGAAGCGTCTGATTTGGTGCATGTAACGAACGGTACCCGCTGCTCAGAGCCGCGTCCCGCGTTCTGGCGGCATCCGCCATGCAGTGTAGGACCAATGCAATGGGTCACGAATGCCCCGACGCAGCCGGCACCGGTAGCAACGATGGGAGACCCGCCTCCTGGCGCCACAAAGCGCCTAACCGCCACCACTCGGCATGCAGCCTGCAGCCGCAGTCACATACCTCATCATGCAACAGCAGCCGCAAGCACCGCCCCCTCATCCTAGCGCTCCACTTCTATTCCTTGCCCCCTTCATTCGCCCCAGTACCCGGCCCCGCTGCCGAGCTGGTGCAGTCGAACGCCGCAAACACGTCGGAGATGATGTCATTGGACAACAGAAACCCCTCAGGATCCGATAACCGTACCCGCACCACCCCTCCACCGCCTCCCGACCGCACCCCCTCCTGGACCCCGCCGCACGGCGCCGCAGCCTCCCCCTCGGCTGCCAGCCCTGTCAGCTGCCTGTCCTGCTCGTCCAGCGCCAGCACCGTCCCACGGGTCACATGCGGCTGCAGCGCGCGCAGCACTACCTGCTCCGCCTGGCGGCCGAAGCGCTGTCGCAGGCTGGGCATGTGCAGTCCGTCCGAGGTGCGTAGGCGCAGCATGAGCGTGTCCAGCAGCAGCTCCTCCTGGCGGGGAGGTGGAGGTGGAGGAGAGGGGAGGAGTGTTGCAAAAGGAGGGGTGCAGCTGGAGGGGTAACGGGAAGATACTAACTATTTTCCCCTCAGCAATTCAGCTGGGACGTACCGGGACCCTACCGCCCATGCGCACCCTCCCACCCAGCGACCCCTCACTTCACCCCTGCAGCCCTGTTTCCACACCATTCACCACCCCTCGCTCCTCACCCCTCCTACCTGCGACTCCGCCGGCATATGTCCTCCAGGCAGCCCACCCTCTCCCTCTTCCTCCTCTCCTCCTCCCTCTCCCCCTCCTCCACCCGCCGCCGCCGCCTCGAACGCCCCCACCCACTCCACATACTCCCGCATGCGACCCGGCCGGCTGAAGCGCCTGCCCGCCAGGTACGACGCTGCGCCCATGCCGAATCCGTAGTACGGCAGCCCGCGCCAGTACACCATGTTATGGGCGCAGCGGTGGCCGGGGCGCGCGTAGTTACTCACCTGGCCTCCGGGGTGAGGTGAGGTGCGGGGGGTCAAATTAGACCAAGCCATATGAAACCACGGATGGGCAAAACATTGGTGCGGGGGGGGGGGCGCGGACGGGGAGAGGTAGGGACGAGGCAGCACGCAGGCAGGCGGATGGATGGGGTTTTAGGAGGCGGCGCCGCAGAGCGTGATGCACCCGGTAGAGTGCCCCAGCATGTGCTGCTATCCTGTGAGGCCAAGGCGAGCAGGTGCGCAGCGTGATTGCAGCTCGCCAGGCAAGTGAGCGACCCAACCTGGCAGCCCCCTCCGGCCCCATTCCGGAATGAGCACTCCCGCCCCAAACCCAGGCCAAACCCAGAGCGCTGCCCGCCACCTCTCCCCCCCCGCACCTCGTAGTGCTCGTACCCCGCCTCCCGCAGCAGCTGCGAGGCCTCGCCGTACATCTCCACCGCCGCATCGTCCGGCGGCAGGCGCAGCCGCCCCGCCCGCTGCCACCGCTCGAAGGGGGTGCCCTGCTCGACCTGAGTGGGGGTTGGGGCCAGGGGCGGGGGTGGGGGTTGGGAGGTCGACAGGTGGGGTTCGCCCAGCTTCTCATCGCTAGCAGTCACCACAGCCGTCTTCCCTCACCCGCTCCCCATTACCTCTAACGCCATTACCCTCACCGCCCCCACCTCCCTCCAGTTGCAGCACTTCTTATTTATTCCCCCCCGGCCCCACCTCCCTCCCCCCACCTGCAGGTCGTACACCGACACGTGGTCGGGCCCCGCCTGCAGCGCCCGCTCCAGGGAGGCCCGCCAGTGCTGCCGCGTGAGGCCGGGCAGGCCGCTGATGAGGTCCAGGCTCCAGGAGGGCGGCGGGGCGGAGTGTAGCGCAGCCACCGCCGCCTCCACGTCAGCCAGGTCGTGACCGCGGCCGCACGCCTCGAGCAGCTCCTGAGGGGATGGAGGGGAGGGATGGAGGAGGAGGGGGATGGAGGAGGGATGGAGGAGGAGGAGGCGGGGCGGTTTCGGGGGAGCAGGGTGAGAAGAGAGGCCGGCGGTACCTACCTCTACCAGCCCCCCCTTACCCCAGCCCTGCGCCAGCCCGACCCCGCCCAGCCCGACCCCGCCCAGCCCGACCCCGCCCAGCCCGACCCCGCCCAACCCCAACCCAACTGTTGAGCCTTGTCGCTCCGCCTGTCCTGTTTACCCACTCCCCACTCCTCATTTGCCATTCTCTTTCAACACACTGGGTATCCTTCTTTTCCCCCCTCCCCACTCCTCCCCACTCCCCCCCACCTGTTGGAAGGCCTGCACACCCACGCTCAGCCTCGTCACCCCCAGCCGCCCGTACTCCCGCAGCCGCGCGGCGTCGAAGGTGCCCGGGTCGGCCTCCAGGGACACCTCCGCGCCGGGGGCCAGACCGAAGCGGCGGGACAGCGCGTCCAGCAGCTCGCCCAGCAGCGGGGGAGGCAGCAGCGAGGGAGTCTGGGGAGGGAGGAGAGGGTGGGACAGAGGCAGGAAGAGGGACAGGGGATGAGGTGGGGATGTGTTTGGGAGGATGTGCGGCTGTGGGGGCTAGCAGTCCTGTCCCTGGGGGGTGGTACTCATGCCGCCGTGTTGCATGTGTGTATTTCAGTGCGTGGGCTGGGAGCACCGCAATGCGCCGCTGTTGCAGCCACGACTCCTGGTCTGGACAGCCTCTCACCGTGCCGACCTTGCAACACAGCTACCACCTTTGCTCGCTTCCACTCGCACCCAGAGCTGTTGTCCTCATGCCCCTCCACCCCCAACAGACTCCTGACCCACGCACCCCTCCTCCAAAGAACACCGTCTGCAGCGGCCCTCGCCCCAGTCGCCGAGTGGCCGCGATCTCCCGCAGTACGACATCCACGTACGACCGCATACGAGCCTCAACCTCTGTACGGCAAGGGCACGGGGAGCCCGGGACGCATACACAATCAGGCTGCGAGGAGCAAAGGCCGCTGCTAGGTGGATGTGGTCTGACCCCAGGACTAGGGGTGATGACATGATTAGGGGAGTAGAGGCGCGCTCATGCCGTACAGGAGGGTTAAAGAACCTAGAATACATTGCGGTGTCGAAACCTACATGACTAATTCCCATCTCCAGTGCATGAGTTGCGCACATGAGCGCCAATGGCTTCAGGGCTAGTTACCCACCATGCATACCCCGACCCCCCAACTCACTTGCAGCAGGGGCGTGCTGGCCAACCGCTATAACAGGGAAGTCACAGTAAAAGCATTTGCGCTTGCAGAAGGGCAGGTGGATGTAGGCCGAGCTCACGTCTGCGGCACCGCCGGCGTCCGGTGCCGAGCGGCCGCTGGTACTGGCTTCGCCTGCCGAACGAGCGGCTGCAGACGCTGCATCACAGACCGGGGCTGGCGACGGAGCACAGGCAGCTATTGCAGATAGGGACGAGTAACTTCGCGATGGGCGACAGACGCGGTGTTGCAGTCTAGGGCAGACATTCCTGGATACAGCCCTTGCAGCTCTCCTGACCGCATTACGCATTCTCAGTTGTCGAGGCTAGATGATAATTCAGAAGTTATGCGTTAAGAGTGTGATATGCAGGTGGGGTAGGCCGTCGCAGCATAAAGGACAAGGGTTGACAATGAGCGGACGTACGACAGCATGCGAGGGATGAAGCGTGCACAGCATGAGGTGCTTAACTTCCTAGATGTCTAACACTAAGGCAGTACTCGAAACGCGTGTGCAGGTATAGAAAAAATTAGTTCCAAAGCCCGTTTCAAACTACAGGGCAGCTTGCGTCGGTTGGCCTGCCTTGCCAATACAGTTTTCCGGTTTATGCCGTGGCGCCGATAATGCACAAATAAGATGTCTAAGAAGAGGAGGCGAGAGTCTCTCGGCCGAAGGTCAATCGGATGGCATTTAGGGCAAACCTTGATGGTCTACTCATTAGAGCACGCGGCCTGGTACAAAGGGTTAATAAAGGGTATCGATGGCGACACATTGCGTGTAAGTATGAGCACAGGTGGCCCAACAGTCGGCAACCGCCGTGGATGGGCATGGCAGGATAGCCACCAACGCGTTCGTGTGCTTCAATCGTAGATAACTTACCCTGGGTGGGGTAGTGATGCCGATGAGGACGTGCACAAGCTGTCGGACCGCCTTGACAACTACTCGGGGGGCTCGAAGAAAAAATGGAGGCACTTTGGCCGCGACGGCTACGCTTACAAACGCGTCAAGCCGACCTGGACCCCAACAGGCGCCCTGGAGGAGGGCCTCTCGCAGCAGCAGTACAGCCAGCCGATAGAGCCTTGCAGCGGCAGTGAGGATGAAGGCGTCGATGTAGGTGGCGTTGGCAATGGAGCCGACAGCGACGGCGGTGGAGGCGGCCAGGAGTGTGGCGGTAGCGGTGGCAGCGACGATGAGCACGTTACCCCGACACCCCGAAAGAGGCGCCGTGCCCGGATAGCAGAGGAGAGCGGAGACGACGCTTCACGGTGGGTTGAGGGTTGGAGATTCCTTATTTATCAGTCAAGGCTTTGGAGGTTTAGCTGGGTAGGAACCCCTAGGAAGGAAACTGGTAATGATTCTCTATAAGGTTGTACAGCGCCCGTAGAATAGGGGTGCGCCGCTGTTTGCGCCAGCTGCTTTCGAGTGCCGTTGTCATGTTGTCGGCTGCGCGCAGGCGCTTACATGGCGGACAGGAAGCTCATGCCGGAGCACCGGGTGTCAGAAGTGCCCCGCCTGCAGCCTTGCCAGGGGCTGCTGGCGGCGCCGCAGGTTCGGATGCGGCGCCACTCCAGCAGGCGGAGCCGCCGGGGTCGCTCCCGGACGCGGACTTTGGGTTCGCGAGCGCAGCAGCTGACGGCACCGAGAGAGGCGCCGATAAGGCTGTCCCGGCTGAGGAGGTCCGCAACAGTCCTCTGGCGTCTGCGGACGGGTTCCCTACCTTGGCAGACGCGGCGGCATGTCCGGCGACAACAACAGCAGGAGCAGCCACAGCGGCGGCGGCTGAAGCGATGGAGTTGGCGGGAGGGGTAACAGCAGGTCCGGAAGACCAGGATGCCCTTGAAGAAGTGGACTTTGGGTTTGTGAGCGAGGGCGGCTCTGAAGGCAGTGACACCGCTGGCGGCAGCGGCAGCCATGCAGAAGTGGCGGGACGCAAGGCTGCTGACGAGGCAACGTCTGCCGCAGCTGATGCTGCTTGCTCAGCAGCTGAAGAGGCTGGTGGGGAGGCTGTGAAAGCCGTTGCATGTAACCCTGCTGCGCCTCATACGGCGTCGGAGGCTCCCCCCTTGTTGGTCACCGCCCGACAGCATGAACCGGCCCTGACTTCTGACCAGCAGCCTGAGCCTCAGCCTGAGCCACTTGCCACAAGCAGCGGACACAGCTCCGGCAGCGCACATGCCGCAGGCGCTGTTGCAGGTGTGGTGGACGCAGGCGCTGCGCTGCCGGGGGCGGCTGGAATGAACCCTGCTGTGCCTGGGTTTGGAGCGGACCAGCCAGCGGCTGGGCTGGCGTGTCCGAACAGCAAAACGGGTACAGCGCTGCCGCCAGAAGCTGCAGGTAGCCTGGATGCTGCTGCAGCGGGAACTCCGGACCCGCTTGCAGATGAGCCAGCGGCTGAATATCATGAGGCTGCTGCTGCCGCGCCCAATCATCGCGAGGAGACTGCGGGGGCTTCAGCCGCGGAGGCTGTTGCAGCCCAATCCCTGCAGGGCACGTACGACATGCTTGTGACGGAGGTGGAGCAGCTGAGGCGGGTGACGGAGTCGCAGCAGTGTCGTATCCAGCAGCTGGAGCAGGAGCTGCTGGCCGCACGCGCCGAGCAGGCACGGTTGGAAGAGGAGGTAAGGATGCTGCCGGTATGCTATCGCTTGGTTTCATCACTACTGGTATTGCTTGACTTGGGGGCTTGGGATGTTGGGGTGGGTCATGGAAACTAGGCTCCTGCTAGGACGGTTGGTCACTCTCAAGAGAAGTCTTTGTGCCTTTTGGCTCCCTACCATTTGCCGTCTGGAAGGACACCCTGCAAGTTGCCTGCCCTCCTGTCGACCGGGTATTTATACCTTGTCGACAGTAGACATTCCTAATGTGAACCCGCCTGCTCCCCTCTCCCCCTTCCCCGGCCCCCTGCTCCCAGCTGCGGGCCCGGCATGGCGAGGCGGAGGCGCTGCAGGGCAGTCTGCGGGCTGCTTGCGACAAGGTGGAGCAGCAGGCGGAGGCGCTGGTGAGGAGGGCGGGGCGGGTTGCGGGGCAGGCAGGGCAAGATGCCTGTTGCGATGAAGCCAACACATTTAGCAACAAGCGCCAGCCCATTCAACCCCGCTGAGCCTGCTCCTTATGGACACTGCTCCCCCCCCGGCTGCCGCCCGCCCTGCAGCTGGCGTACGAACAAGCGGACTTCATAGCCGCGCTGCCGCACCCCGACTCGGCTGCTGGGGGGAGCGGCGGCGGCAGCAGCGCCGTGCTGCAGCTGTCCCGCCCGCTGGCCGTGGAGCTACCCGAGGGCACACTGCTGCGGCTGCCCGCTGAGGAGCTGGTGGGGGCTCCGGAGCTGCTGCGGGCGGGAACCCTGCTGGTGCCCGGCGACCCGCACGCGCAGTCGCAGGGCTCGGACGGAACTGACACCTCGATGTAGTTGTTGTAGGAGCAGGAGCCCTTTGGTGGGGTGGGGTTCGAGGCTGTACTTGTAGCAGTATAGGCAATGGTGAAGATATGTTTAAGTAGCGGGTGGGTTTTGGTTGCTTGATGTGCTGGTTGGTAGGAGACAGGGTGTTGCCTTCATGCAGCTGTGTAGCTGCTGTGCCAGGTTGTGTATGCAGCTGTGAGAGGCTGCTGCAAAGTCGTGCAGCCAGAAATGGCTTCCAAGGACGTACGGTTGGTAGGTTGGACTGTTGTGTTGTTGGCGACGGAGTGTTGTTGGTTAGGTATGGGTGTTGGCGGGTATGGGTGTTGATACGGTATGAAAGCATAACGCAGTTTTTTGAGCTTGAACGCAACTCTTCGTGGTTGTCTAGGACGGCTATCTCATGGCATTGCATGTGAGATGTAGCGGCAAGAGCCGGCATTCCCAGCACGGTTCCTAGCTTGACAAGAACACTCGAACAATGGCTTTTCCCATGTCCGTCCTGCGTTGCTGGGTTTCAGCAACCAACTGCTTCGTCCCCATATGGTGTTGTGTATAGCCTACGCCAGGATTTACATATAATGCAACGTGAAAGTATAGACGTTTGTGAACCACATTGGCGAACCTTTGCCGAACCATGGTTCGCCCGCCATTCACCGAGGCAGCAGATAGCTTCATACGGTATGCAAACGCTTCAAGGGCTAAGTAAACGTTTTACAAGAAGGGCAATGAAAATGAATACGCAGTTCATGCGAAGCGCATACTCCGATACTAGAACGCAGATTGCTCTTAACAAGCTTCATTTTGGAGCTCTACAGGGGAATTAGTATATACATAACATGTAAATGAAACTGTCCTTTCGATATGCGCCGGGTCATATGCTGTGCTACTGCCTGAAGAACAAAGGGATAGATAACGCATATAAATAACATGTGGGAACCATAGATCAGTAACTATCCTACCTGAAACATCTCTGGAAGCGGTAAAGGCGGGGTCTTCAAGGCTACGTGTCCCATCGTAGTCCCAGCGTAAGGCCCACCGGTCGGGCTTTGCCAACCCAAGTCCTGATGACGAATCGGTTTAGTGTCATTCCCATAGCTAGAAGTGAACCTTAGTCAATTAGCTGAAGGCTTTGCCCAAATAGGGAGCTCGGTGCCCCAGTAGCGCAAGCTCAGATCGCTAAGCTATACTAAAGGCTTGCTATTTTATTGGAGCACACCCGGTCTGACCTCTCCCTAAGGCAACATGGCGGGCTTCCGGCCGCTCAATCTCGTGCGGCCGTTCCTCTCGGTGCTGCCTGATGTGCAGCAAGCGGATCGGCGGGTCCCCTTCAGGGAAAAGTTCCTTTACACGGCGGTGACGCTCTTCATCTTCCTAGTCTGCTCTCAGCTGCCTCTATATGGCATCAAGACAAACTCAAGCTCTGACCCCTTCTACTGGGTGCGAGTTATCATGGCGTCCAACCGCGGCACCTGTATGGAGCTCGGTATCAGCCCCATCGTAACCTCCGGCCTAGTCATGCAGCTGCTTGCTGGTTCAAAGATTATTGATGTTGACAACAGCGTTAAGGCGGACCGCGAGCTGCTTAACGGAGCGCAGAAGCTGCTTGGAGTGCTGATCACCATCGGAGAGGCCGTCGCATACGTTGTGTCCGGCATGTATGGCGATGTCCGTGAGCTTGGCCCCGTGAATGCTATCCTCATTATCACCCAGCTGTTCTTTGCTGGCATCATTGTTATCTGCCTGGACGAGCTGCTCCAAAAGGGCTACGGTCTCGGATCCGGTATCTCGCTCTTCATCGCTACCAACATCTGCGAGTCCATCATCTGGAAGGCCTTCAGCCCGTACACCATCCAGAGCGCCCGCGGTGCTGAGTTTGAGGGTGCGATCATTGCTATGTTCCACTTGATCATCACCCGGTCCGATAAGGTGAGGGGAAATCGAGGGGAGTTATTGGATGGGTCATGTTTCTTTCTCCTCTTACCCGTTTAGCCTAATCGCCTTGTCCCCATGCCGTAATACACAATCTGAACGACTTGGGCGCCTGTCATGTATTCTTCTAGCTATTACGCACTTGTCCCCCGTGCACTGGTAGCCTGCCATGCTAACCATCTAGCACCTGCCACGGACCACTGCCTACAGCTTCCCTTTTCCACACCACCCCACCCCGCCCTGTCCGCCCCCTCGTGCGTCTGCAGGTCCGAGCCCTCAAAGAAGCCTTCTACCGCACCAACCTGCCCAACATGACCAACCTGCTGGCCACCGTGGCGGTCTTCCTGGTGGTCATCTACTTCCAAGGCTTCCGCGTCGACCTGCCCGTGCGCAACAAGCGCGCCCGCGGCCAGCAGGGCAACTACCCGATTAAGCTCTTCTACACCTCCAACATGCCCATCATCCTGCAGTCGGCCCTGGTGTCCAACCTGTACTTCATTTCCCAGCTGCTGTACAAGCGGTACGGCGGCAACATCCTGGTGCAGCTGCTGGGCCGCTGGCAGCAGACCGAGTACGGCGGTGGCCAGATGATCCCCGTGGGCGGTCTGGTGTACTACATCTCGCCGCCTAGCAGCTTGATGGAGGTTGCGGCTAACCCGCTGCATGCGCTCTTCTACGTGACCTTCATGCTCACGGCCTGCGCGCTGTTCTCCAAGACCTGGATTGAGGTGTCTGGCAGCAGCGCCAGCGACGTCGCCAAGCAGCTGAAGGAGCAGCAGATGTTCATCCAGGGCCACCGCGACACCACCGCCTCGCTCAAGAAGGAGCTCAACCGCTACATCCCCATTGCGGCTGCTTTCGGCGGCATGTGCATTGGCGCGCTGACCATCGTGGCTGACTTCATGGGCGCCATCGGCTCAGGCACGGGTATCCTGCTGGCCGTCACCATCATCTACCAGTACTTTGAGACGTACGAGAAGGAGAAGGCGCAGGCGCCAGGGTCACTGTTCTAAGCTAGTCTGCATGTAGGGATAGGCATTGGGATACCTGCTCTTTCTTATAGGAACAGTTCGGAATGTCGTCTGGTGAGATGCGCACGCGACTGTAGGTGCCATCTAGGGCTTCATGCGGGTTATGGCGTCGTGGAGGATTATGGTGCGCCGTGCAATGGGAGTTCAGACATGGGCCCGCGGGTGGGCCATGGTTTGGCAGGGCTTACGCGTCCATGGAAGTTGCTGCTGCTGCTTACGTGCCTGTATGCTGGCAAGTTGTCCTTTTTCGCCTAGACGCGGACGACCACTGACTAGCGACTTGACTAGTGTAAAGTGCCTGACTTCGGCGTGCGTGGCGGGTATTCGCTACGACGGGGTCTAGTTGAATGACTGCAGGATAAGTGAGCTCGACGTTGGATGTGTACCGGTAATGCGGTGAGCTGTTGTAGAGGTACGAGTTCGGACATACGATGGTAGGAAGATACTCGCATGCGGAGCTTACAGCTCCCTTGTAGGTGGCCTGTTACCAGAGGCCGGGTTAGCGTCCAGCCCCAATGTGATTTCGGACGCTGGCAAATAGATGACATAGCAGCGGTTACTGCGCTGCCTTGGATAAGCTGGGTACAAAAAGGAACTACTATACGTGCCCTTCATCATGAGGATAGTGACGTATGCCAAACCTGCGACGCATGCCTGTGATGCATGTCATTGAAACACAATACAATAAGCAATGCCCCTATTTCGACCATGCAAATACATTAAGACCACGCCCAGCAGAAATGCTTTCCATAATGCCCCTCGTCTGAAGAACTGATACAACAGATGCCACTACCTCGGCTACCCTGGACAGACACGGGTCACATGCTTTCTACAGCATACCAATACAGTTGGTGTAGATTCCTAGCTACAGCTTCGAAGTCATAACCCCCTTTCCTGCCACCTGCTGCCTGCCGTTCTTGCAGCCCTGGCCATCCCTTTCCTCCGCGGCTTCCTTGCCGCTCATGCCATTCACCAACCCTCCGCAACAATGGCACCTGCCTGTTGGCCCCAGTCCGGCCGCAGCTCCCACTCCAGGCACCGGTGCTGGCCCCCCCGCCGCCAGCAGCAGGTGCGGCCCGATGTCTGCAAGCGACGCGCAGCCCAGCAGCGCCATGGACAGCTCTACCTCGCCGCGCAGCAGCTGCAGCACGCGCTCCACCCCCGCCTGCCCGCCCACCGCCAAGCCGTACAGCACCGGCCGACCCAGCAGCACCGCGGATGCGCCCAGCGCGAGCGCCTGGTGTGGAGCAGGCCAGCGAGGGACAGTGTACGGTAACTGGATGAAAAGCTCTGTCGTACATGCCGCCATCCACATGCTACCGTATGCGCACAGCACTCGAACTCAGCCGGCGATTCACCCGGTTGACAGTCCCCTACCTTGATGACGTCTGTCCCCCGGCGCACACCTCCGTCCACCAGCACCGGCACGCGGCCCCGCACCGCCGCCACCACCGCCGGCAGCACCTGCAGCCCGCTGGGCGCGCAGTCCAGCTGGCGGCCGCCGTGGTTGGACACCACAAGCCCATCCACCCCGTGCCGTACCGCAAGCTCGGCGTCAGCGGGGGACAGCACACCCTGCAGTCGGGGGCACACCGGGTGTCGCAAGGCCGGCACTAGCAGCAGCGCAACATGCGTGCTCGCTTGCTGTGCATGTGCAAGGGGTAGTGCACCTTCGTCCGTATCGTTGGTACTGTACACGTCTGCATGCCTTGATTACATACGCTTCGTAAGGACTCCTCTCCCAGTGAGTCCTCAACCTCCCCATGCACTCCTATGACATCCTGACACGGCAGGCCTGCACTACGCTCCCCTACCATCATACAATTACAGTTACAGTCTGTACGCTCGTACAGTGTGTCCGTACGGGCCAAGGGTGTTTATTTCCCATTCACCCTGCCCCACCTTGACGAGTATGGGCAGCCGTGTGATGCCCCGCAGCCAGGGTATGAAGTCCCAGCTGAGCGAGTCGTCCACCTCCGCAGCGAACAGCCGCATCAGCCCCGACCCCCCGCCCTCCGTGTCGCGAGCCTGCGCGGTGGGCTCGCGGGACAGGTACTCCAGGATTCGCAGCGACAGACCGGCGGGCAGCGAGAACCTGGTGGGGGCGGGGCGGGAGGAGGGAGGGGGCGCGGCGGAGGGGAGGGGAGTGGGAGGGGGGGAGGGCAGGTGGTATGGGGACTTGAGGACATGCAACCGGACAACCCACCTTGCCCCGTGCGTCACAACAAACGTCACGACCGGTCCCGGTCCCGACTCGACACCCAACAAGACATATGCCGTTACCGTACTGCCCCATCACGGGCATCCCACGTCAAGCACGACCTCCTCGCTTGCAGCCCTCTCGCCTGCCCCTCGCCCCAGGCCCATTCAACACATTGGGTATTCTTCTCCCCCCCCCCGTCCCTCCTCTCACTGGTTGCGCACGTCCGCCTCCCGGTTGCCCAGCCGCTGCGCGTCCACCGTCACCATGAGCGCCCGGAAGCCCCGCACCTCCGCCTCCGCCACCCACCGCCGCACCACCTCGCGATCCCTGCAGCAGCCGCAACCATTGCCGGGCTCACCGCCACCGACACCACAACCACCGCAAGCAGTAACGTCCCAGAGTTGTGCTCGTACGGAAGGAATGGAAAAGGCAAAGAATGGAAGAAGGTCGCATGGGCTTGATGGGTTAGCTTCATTGTGGCATGATGGATGGCTTGCTGGGGAGCCTGGTCATCGTACCGGCATCCGCATCTGCGAAATGAGGCATGCAACGAACCGGCAACCACCACAACCGCAACCAACCTGATGACGTACAGCTGGAATATCGTGCCCGTGTGACCCACTTCCTGGATCTCAGCCATCGAGGAGGTGGCGACTGTGGAGAAGGTGAAGGGAACTCCGGCAGCTGCAGCCCCTCGGCAGGTGGCGACCTCGCGACCCACCGGGTCGGCCAGGCCGTGCATGGCCATGGGAGCCACCCACACCGGCATGCTTGAACGGATGCCTACGGAAGGGTGAGTTGGAGTTGTGGGGATTGGTTCAGGATGGGATGCTTTGGGGGAGATAAGATGAGCGAATGAGGTGGGGAGCAATCACACTGAGGGGAATCGGTGGGGTCCGCGAGACTGGAAGTATGTGGCGTTCAGGAGCTGTACCATGCCACGGACTCCTTCCTAGCTAACTTTGTGCGTGGAAGAGGCCGTTCCTAGCTGCTTGCAGCTTCCCTGGTGCTCCAGTATATTGTATGTCCTGTAGGAAATGACATCTGGCGTCTGTACGGCATTTCGGTTGTCCTGGTTGTTCGAGGGGAGCGCTGGCTGCGTAACGCCTACCCAATTCTGAGTTTACCGTGAAGCAACATATACTTACAACATCGCCCCCTACCCCTGTTCGTCCGCACCGAAGATCTCATGCGTTGTGTCCACTCGGCTCACGTCGCGCAGGATGCGGGGTAGGAGCAAGTACTTCGAAAAATACTCCCTGTTCTGTGCAACTGTAAAGCAAGTATCCGACCCAGTGCTGTAGTAATCGTAAGCCATTTTAGGGAGGACTTTCCGTGCCTCCTCTTCCACCTCGTCGAGGTTGAGGAAGGTCGGCATCGGACCCATCCCAACTACACCTATAGTGCAGAGGGTTGTTTTGGCTTGCCCCTATAGTTGTAGATGACCTGATTGTGATCGGCTGCGTAACTATCGAACAAACCAGACGCTCTGTGCTGTGGGGAAGCATGCACGGCACGATGGAAGATGGCGATTCATTGCGCTGAGCCGCACCACCTAGCGCAAGCATAGTCTGAACTCGGGACCATGGACTACTGCATGAACTATACTCTAAACGTCATCGCGCAGATCTAGTCTCAGGGTGCTTTGGGCGCGAACTGCGGGTTCCCCACGCGCATAGTGTGTTGCACAACTCACTCCGGTTAGGCGGAAGCAACAACAGTTTATGCTAGGGGCATCAAGTAGATCCTTGTTGCTTTAAGGCTTGCTTGCCTTTGTGGCCTGCATCCCTGGGCAACGAGTGCTCTGATATGTTTGATGTTCCGCGCCGCGAATAAGAAGATAATTTGTCCTTTGTCTTTACTTAGTAACAATCAGCTTTACGCTCTTGGGAACTAGCCGGACGTCCAGTTGAGTGACGGTTCCATTCCAATGCCTGAACCAAAGGAGGATCCCATGGATGATGTGCCGGTAAGCCAAAAACTATTAACCAAATGAGGCGCGCTCGGCCGCTGCACGGCGCCTTGCCCCCTAGCCCCGCTCTCGGAAAGTGATAGGCGGACATCCCCGCGATAATTCACCTCATATTTCAGCCATGTTTGTACCTTGGAGATGCCCGCGAGTCTTTACCGGGGCGGCTGCAGCTATCCCTTGCGCCTTACATGTATCACCTTGCATCCCACCCCCATCCCCCGCCGGCTACAACCTCCTGCAGGCGCTGGTTGACGGCGATTCGGATAGCGATGACAGCTTAACGGCAGGGCCCATCAACGTTGATATGCACCCTGGGCGCAACCCAGCGGCACCCGCTGCTGCCGCAGCAGCTGACGACGATGTGCCTTCCCTCCCCAGCATCTCCGCCGGCGAGGGGAGTGTCGACGAGGAGGACGACGGCGAGGTGTCTGGCGGCAACTATCCACACGATGGCGATGAAATCTACTACAAGGACGGCTCTAAGCGGGTGAAACACGATAGCCATGCCAACAAGCCGGAAATAGACGAGGTCACAGATGATGATGACAACGACGAAGATAGCTATGATGGTGATGACGATGATGATGGGGAGGATGAGGATGAGGAGAGCCTCGGGTCCAATGGAAGAGTATGGGTCGAATATGGGTCGGAGGGGGCTTCTGAAGGCGGCAGTAATGACGGGGACATGCCTTACCTCACGGATGATGATGACGACGGGGATGAAGATGAGCTTGCAGGGCCGCATCAGCATCATCGTCAGCAGCAGGAGTCCAAGGCGGCGAAGGCGAAGGCGGGAGTGGGAGCGGTGCCCTCCCTGCAACGGGGTGAGCGCAAGGGGCGCTGTGTTGCGATGAGTGGAAGAGGGGAGTGGGGAGGGTTCTGGAGTTTGGATGGGGTGTTGGGGACAGTGAGGCGATGATGGTAAGGACCCGCAACCCGGCCTGCACATCGCCCCAGCACAACAGCCTAGACAGCGCAGCCGGGATGACGGACAACGGACCGAAAAAGGCTTGCAGCTTGAATGCCCGTGCTCGATGCACTCCTTACTAGCAGCCTCACCCACATCCCACGTACGGCGCGGACCCCACCACAACCTCACGCTCTCGCCCTTCCTTCCCCTCCCTTCCTCTCTTTCTCCTTCTTCTCGGTCCGCCAGGCTTCCTGAACAAGCAGGCCACCAAGGCAGCCCCCGCAGCTGGTTCAGGCGGCAGCGGCGCTCCCGCTCAGCAGCAGCCGCACCCGCAACGCGCCCAGCGGCCCAGCACGGCCTACAGTAACGCGGGTGTTGGGCAGCGGGAGGCGGTGCGGCCCGCCAGCACGCCGGCCGCTGCTGCTGCTGCCGCCGCCTCCGACGCAACAGCAGCAGCAGCCGACAGGGAGCCGCAGCCCTACTCGGGAGGTCAAGGTGAGGGGGCTGCATGCAAGGAGGGGGGTGGCTGAGCGGGCTAGGCATGGAACGGGGAGCTAAACATGGCGTTGGGTCCGGGAGGTTATGGAAGGCGCGAGGCCTTAGGCACTGGGCATGGGGAAGTAGGGAAAGGATGAACAGACGCTTCCGACAAATCGGCTTTGTAGCTTGGGAGTAGGAACATCGGAGGGGCAGGGTTGCAGGGGTTGGCCAGGGTTGCGCCTACACATCACTCAATCAGAGGTTCCGCAGCTCCTGATGGCGTTACCCTTCGCCTGCGTTCACACCCACTCCGCCACCCGCGCCTCCCAGGTCAACGAGAGGAGGGACCCGACGTGTTGCGCCGCAAGCAGCAGCAGCAGCCCCAGCAGCAGCCGCCCTCGTCCCCCGCCCCCTCCTCCGCCGCGTTTCGCCCCATGCACAGCCCCCAGCTGGATGACACCGCGGAGGAGGGCGACATGCCGGAGCTGCTGGCGCCCTCCGAGACCGAGGACGAGGAGGGCGGCGAGGTGGCGGTCAGGCCACCCAAGGAGAGGCCGGCTGCCCCCCTGCCCGCACCCCTGCCCTCGCCCAGGGCAGCTGGGGAGGCGCACCAGGAGCAGGTGGGGTGGAGAAGGGCTGGGTGGGGGCTGGTGGGGGCTGCGGGTTCCTCCGTGCTGCTGGGGAGCTGGGAGGTTGATACTGGCTGGGCCGTAATGCTGGGCTTTACGCAACCGCTTCCGGGGCTAAGGGCTTTTTCGCATGGCATGAGCTGCTTTGTTTCCATGCAACCGCTCTCTGCGTCCCCACACCCCGGCCCCGCCCGCCCCGCCCCCTCAGGAGCGCACCAAGCGCAGCAAGCCCGCCGCCAGGCCGCGGGGGGCGGCTGAGGCGGCGATGACGCGGCAGGACTTCGCCAACGACGAGGCGTGGCAGCAGCACCTGGCAAGGTGGGGCGCGGGGTCTGGGGCGCGGGGGTTGGTCACCTAAAAGACGCGAGGAGACAGTGGGGCTCTTCCGGGGGCAAGGAGGGCAGGGAAGGGATACTGGAGGAGAGTCTAGACAGGCGTCCGTGCACGCGCGCGCACGTGAAGAGGCCTTAGTAGGAGGCACGAGGCCGCAACTTGGGCAACTAGGCGCATGCCGAAGTTGTTGCCGGACCCGGTAGCGGCAGCGCTGGCTGTCAAGAGCTGCTGCCGCCCCCACTGCTGCCTGTCATCAGGGAGCGCGAGGAGCGGGAGCGGCTGCGTCGTGAGCGCGGGCTGGTGGAGAGCGAGGGCCCGGCGGGGGGCGCCGACCAACCGCTGGGCTGCTGCTGCCTGCGGCCGGGCAACGACACGGACCATGTGTGCGATGAGCCGCGCTTCCGAGTCAGGGGTAAGGGTTTGGGGTCAGAGATTGGGGGAGAGGCAGGGACAGCAGGGAGGCGGGTCGTGCTGCTGCTGCGTGAATGGCTGCCCTGTGTAACTTGCTCGTCCCATGTTTGCTCCACAGTACGTTGGTGCTCTTGCACACGTGGCTCCCTGGCCCCCTGGTTATTACGCGATTGACTTTTGGCATTACCTCGTCCTTGCGTCTGTTTTGCTGGCTCTTTTCTTCACTCCTGCGCTCCTTCCCCCTTCCCATCGCCGCCCTCAGAGAGCCAGAAGCGCTACCAGCTGCACTGCACCCGCGGCTGCGTGATGCTGTTCCACGACAAGTGCTGGCGCCCCTTCGCGGACGGCATTGCGGCGCTGCGGGGGGACGAGTTCGACCGCACCTTCAAGGCCAACACCAAGGAGGTGAGGCAGGGGTGGCGGTGGGGGCTTGGAGAGTTGGAAGACCCGAGGGCTAGTTGGTTGGGAGAAGGATTCTGCACGTGCATGTGGGGCATGGGGAGTTGGTCCCAGTCCTCTTGAGCTGTGCACGCGAGTGACCCCCAGAAACACAGAAACGCGTTATGTGCTTTCCGGTATCTGTCCGCTCCTGGTACCTATCCTCACCTTCTGTCACCAGCCGCTTCCCTCACCCCAACTCACTCCACCTCACCCCACCCACCCGCCCCGCCCCGCTGCAGGGCAAGCCCAAGCTGCACCGCTGCCTGACGGACAGCTGCGAGGGGCACATCTGCCGCGTGTACATCCACCAGGGGCAGGAGGGGCCGGGCGCCAAGGTGCTCTACCACTACGAGCTGTACAACATGGAGCCGGGGGTACGGCAGCTGGCGGCGGCGGCGGAGGCGGCAAGGAGGAGGAAGCGGCCGCAGCAGGAGGCGGGCGGGACGCAGGTAAGGGGGTGGGGGATGGCTGGGTGGGGTTCTTGCGAGGGCAGGGGGTCGGCTTGGGGTTGGGTGCGCTGTGAGCCCGGTAGAAGGCAGTGATCGACGCTTCTTCTTTTGCTTATCATGTTGGTCCACCGGCCCCGACCTCGCTCGCCCCGCGGCCTCCTCCCCTGCTCGCAGTCCGCCACCGACAGCGCCGGCGGCAAGGCCCAGCAGCCCTCCAAGAAGAGCCGCAAGGGCGCCGCAGCGGCCAAGACAGCCACCGCAGCAGCAGCAGCAGCCACCAATGCCGCAGCCGCAGCAGCAGCCGCGGGCGCCAAGCCGGGTGCAGCGGGCGGCCGCGGGAAGGGGGGCGGTGCAGAGGAGCGGCGGCGGGGAGAGGAGGGCGCGGGGCCCGAGGGCGAGGGCAAGAAGGCGGAGTCGAGTGCGAGTGCGGCAGGCGAGGAGGCGTCCAAGCCTGCGGCGCCTCGTGGCATCAGCATTGTCAACCGTGCGAAGTTTATGCCGCGAGGTGGGGCAGGGGGGGAATAGGCGGGGAGGGCGTGGTGCGTTGTGTGGGGTAAGGTGCCTGAGGAGTAGGAATAACCCGATGCGCTTAATACCGGTAATGCGAGGCGGCTCCTGGGATCGGCCTAAGCACGCTTGCCGACGCCGTTCTGTTTGGTGGTCGAGTCAGGTGCCTGGAGAGATGACTGGAGAGGTCAATTTCCGGTCGCTTTGCACCTGCACCTCTGCAGCCCCCATCACTCTCGCTCCTGTTCGCGCCCCGCAGAGGAGGCCCAGCCGGCTGCCCGCTCCGCCTCGCCCCCCCGCCTGCCGCCTGACGACTCCCTGCTGCGGCCGCTGCGGCGGGGCGGCGAGGACAACACCGGCGCTGCCTCCCCCGCACCTGCTGCTGCTGCTGCCTCCACTGCCCCTCCCGAGGTACGAGGCGCGGCCGTCCCAGTACCGTGACACATGCATTGGCGCACAAGGCTTGAAACCCCTTTCTTGGTTACATTCCCCCTGTCCAACCGTACGCTTGGCTATATGGTAATTTCTGAGTTGATCTCTTCCCTTGCCCCTTCCTTGCCCGTACAGCGCGACTCCGCAGCACCCAACAGCACCACCGCTGTTTCCGCCGCCGCCGCTGCGGCCGCTGAAGGAGCCGATTCCGGGCCCGCCGCCTCCACCACCAGCACCACCACCACCACTGCTGCTTCCCCGGCCCCGGCCGCCAAGAGGAAGAAGAAGGGCATCACGGTACACCTGGACACCTTCCAACTCATTGGACCAGGCGCCTCCGCCGCCAGCAGCGCCGCCGTCGCCGCCGCCACCGCAGCCATGACGGGCGGAGACGAGGACGACGAGGGCTTCTACGACGCAGCGGACGAGCGACACGGGGCGCAGGCGGGGGCTGGTACGGCGGCGGCGCTGGCTGCTGCACCTCCGCCCCGCATGTACGACTTCCCCTCGCTTGAGACCGCTGTGGAGCTGAGCAGGCGGGGCGACGCGGCGGGGCTGTCGGTGCGGGACTATGTGCTGGAGGCGCTTTACCAGCTCAAGCAATGTGGGTGAACTGCGGGCCGGGGTCTGGATTGTGGGTACCTGCTACCTGCTAGTCGTGCAGCACCCCTTTTCCACACCTGTTACCACCTTGCATGCCCCCTTGCATGGGGTTGTTGGCGAGCCCAGCAACACGCACACGCGGCGCCTTACACATTTGTACCTCTCCACCCCTGTACAACTGTGTACCGAACCCTCCTGCCTGCTAGTGTCATGGGACTCCAGTGCTGCACGTCTACTACTCCTACTATACTTTCCTTCCCCGCCGCGCCGCGGCCCCCACCCGACCCTTATGGTTTGGTCTAATTTGACCCACCCTGCGCAGCGGTCAATGTGGGCGGCGGCACTCGCTTCCTGCTGCTGGAGTGTGTGGACGTGCGCCGCCTGGAGGAGCGCATCCGCCACGGCGAGGAGAAGGCGCGCGACGTGGCCTCGTTCTTCCGCCAGGAGCTGTCGAAGCACGGCACCGTGCTGCGGCTGCACGTGTTCCCGGACCAGCAGGCGGTGGCGGTGGAGATGGAGACGGTGAGCGGGAGGGCGGGAGGGGGGGAGAGCAGGGCAGGGCAGCAGCGGTGCTGGAGCAGGGGTTCGTGGTTCGGGGTAGGGCCTTAGCGCGCCGCTTGCTAATGACGTCACTGGCTGCCTGCTTCCTGCCTGTTTGCCGGGCGCCTTGGTGTCATTGGAACTTTACCCCCCCCCATTAGCTTTACCGCGTCTCGCCTGGTCCTCCCTCCCTCCCTCCCTCTCTTGACGCGTCCGTGGCTGCAGAGGGACGCCGCGGTGCACGTGTTCATCTCGCAGCACAACCGCGCGTTGCTGAGCAGGCGGCTGGTGCTGTCGTACCTGCAGGAGTTCCCCACAGAGGAGGTGCTGGCCAGGTGGGGGGGGGCTTGGGAGGGGGGCAGCGAGGGGGGCTGCTGGGAGGAGCGGGGCTGGAAGGCTTGGTGGGACCAGGCTCCTGGATGGCGGCCCCTTGCTGCCAACGGCCTTTCCACGATCACGATGCGTTTGTATGCATGCATGTATGCACGCTAAGCGACTGCGGCTGACTCACGCCTGCTGCGTTGCCGCACACACAGGAACCTGGCGCCAGACGTCGCGGAGCCGATGGGGGAGTCAGCAGCCGCCGCCGCCGCCGCAGCTGCAGCTGCCAGCTCAGTACTGTCCCTGCCGCCGCCGCCACCTCCGCTGCCGGGCCGCCTGCTGGCTGCGATGCAGCCCCCGCCACCACCGCCCCCTCCGCCGCCCCCCGTGGTTTCTTCCTCGTTGGCCTCCCTCAACCCTGCTGTAGTACGGGAGTTCAAGCCCATGGGCGGAGGCGCCGGTCTGCTGACCCCGCATGGTGTGCCGCCGTTGCCGCCGCAGCGGAAGCGGGTGCTGGAGATCCGCGACCCCGTGACGAAGCAGCAGCTCATTCCTGCAGCCCCCGCGGCGCCGCGTGCGTCGGGAGAGGCGTCGGATGGGGAGGCGGGTGCTGCTGGCAAGGTGCGACTCGCCGAGTGTTGCTTGATGATGTTACGCCCTACTGCTTTGACGCGCGCTTGTTAGGTTGCCTAGGCGTGTCCCCGCTAGTTAGCAAGGCAGCGGTGGACGCCAGTATCGTGAGATTAACTGCAAAAGTTGGCGCGTAAGCGCTCGAGACCCGCTAGAAAACGAGCCGAACGACATTAAAACGTCCCTACACTCAGGTCGTTTCCACCATGCCACCACACCCACACCCAGCGGCCCCCTCCTCCTCCTTCTGCTCCCCCTCCACGTGCTGCTGCAGGCCGCCAGCCGCTCCTCCTCGCCCTTCCTTAACATCCAGGCGCCAGAGTTCCTGCCACCGCCGCAAAGCGCAGCGGGCAGCGCGGCCAGCTCCGTCGCTGCAGACTCCCGCAGCACCAGCCCCATGCTGCCGGCGTCGGAGGCTGCGGCGGAGGCGACGGCTGCTGCTGCCGGCGGCAGAAGCCCTGCCGACGGACCTGCCGACGCCTCTGCGGCACCGGGCACCCAGCCTCAGACCGAGGAGGGCGCTGCGGCCGCCACCAGCGCTGCCGGAGCCGAGGCCGCTGAGGCTGCCGCGGGTGTGGCGCCGGAACCCTCGACGACGCCAGCCGCTGCTGAGGCTTCTTCTTCGCCGGAAGCGGCGGCCGGTGGTCCGCAGGAGGAGGCGGCTGCCGGGGCCGCTGGCGTTGCTCAACCCGGTGAGGCCGCTGCGGCTGCGGAGGCAGCGCCGTCTGAAGCCGCAGCTGCTCCTCAGGAGGCGGAGGCGGCAGCAGTCCGCGATAGCTCGGGGCCGCCGCCGGCATCATCGGAGCCCGCGGGAACGGCGGCGCAGGCGACCAAGGAGCAGCCGCCGGCGGAGGGGCAGGGCGAGGGCAGCACAGGGGCGGAGCCAGGACCAACCAACGTCGTGGGAGCTGCGGAGGAGGGCGCAGCTGCAGCGGCGGTGTCGACTTCTGCTCCCGCTGCGGCCGAGGGCGAGCCTAGGTAAGCAGCGAAGCAGCAGATGTAACCCTTGCTGTGGCATATGCACAGTGGCACTAGGTGTGGTGTTACGGACGGAGGTTCGGTTGCTGACCCGACATGGCTGGATTGAAGGAACAGGTCCCCATGGTGCGTCACTAATGGGTGGCGCCAAATGTGGCGTTATTTTGAAACAACTATTGCAGCAACCCTATAACCTTCTGCTACACCCCTGGTATACCTGGTACCTAGCATTACCGCCACCAACGTTCATTGGTCTTGTCCTCGCTCCTCTCTGCAGCGCTCCAGCTGTTGACACCGCTGGGGCCGCTGCTGAGAGCGCAGCTGCCCCGGGCGACGCGAAGCATGAGGACGTAGCTACGGCGGCAGAACCCGCATCGACAGCCGCCCCAGCCCCCGACCCAACGGCCGCTGAAAGCGCGGCTGTGGCTCAAGAGCAGGCCGCTGCAGAAGCGAACCCCGCTCCGGAGGTAGTGGCGGCAGCGGCGGCGGTGGAGGACGCCACGAAGGCAGCACCCGCGCAAGCACCGCCCGCCACCTCTGCACAGGAAACACCTGCAGCATCCGCGACGGAGTCTACGGCCTCGGCGCCGGCAGGGACAGCGGTTGCGACGGTTGCTGCACAGGAACCTCCGAGTGGCGGGAGCGGCAGCAGTGGCGGCGCAGTGCAGCGCCCGGCCTCAAGCGCCTCCATTGAGCCAGCAGGCAGCATCGGGCCGGCAGCGTTCATGCGCAGGATTGGTAGCAGCGGCAGTGTGGCCGCCGCCGTGTCTGCGGCCGGCGGCGGTGGCGGCAGCGCTGCCACCGCCGGCAGTGCCGGTGCTACCGGCGGCGCGCCTGCCGCTCCCGCCACCACGTTTACCCCTGTCGGCGCGGCGAGTCTGAAGCAGCTGATCGCCGCCGGGGCTCTGGGAGCTCAGCGGCTGGCTGCGGCGGCAGGCCGCGGCGGCAGCGCTCCCTCGCTGGTGCTCGGAGCGGGCGGGGCGCCGGCTGGGCCCACCTCGGGGGCTGCGGGGGCCGCCCCGCCGTACGGCGCCTCCGCCTCCGCCTCCGAGGTCTGGATGGCGTTCGACACGGTCCGCCTGACGATTTGCAGCAACGACACGCTGCCCACCTACCTCAAGTAGGTGTCCCGGTAGCTGTGCAGGAACAACGGTCGGCCGTGTTTGCGTGGGGTCTGTGGTGTGCACCTCACGAGGCAGTAAGGCGGCACATTGGCTTGCTTGCATGGGATGATGCGCATACATCGGGGTCCTGGGCATTGTGCTCTTGTGCTCACATGCATGACCCCGCGTGTCCCTCGTCTCCCCACCCCCCTCACCTCTATCCCCAATTCGTCGCCCTAACCTGTTGTTTTGGTATATCTCCCACCCTTCATTACTCCGCAGCAACCCCTCTTTCAAGCTGAGCTGCGAGTACTTCCCGCAAGCCGACAAGGTGGCTCGCTCCGAGCGCACCGCGCTGCTGCTCTTCAACGTAGACCGCGACGAAGTGATGGGGTTCTGGAGCGCCACGGCCAATGACGGCTCGTACTTCACCTGGCAGATCGTCATGCGCGTACCGCCCATGTCCAAGGCGGCCTTCCAAGCGTCGCCCGCCGGCTCCGTGTTCCCGCAGCTGCCGCCGCCTGATGTGTCTACCATGGCCACAGGGGAGGATGCTCGCACGGTGCTTCGCACGCTGGTGGAGCATGCGGCGGCTAGCATGGCTGTGCTGGCGGCTGGGGCGCGGACTGTAGCGAGTGGCGGCTCGGTTGCGATTGCGCCGGCAGCGACGCCAGCGGCAGCAGCACCGGGAGCGGCGGCAGTAGCGCCTGCTGGGACAGCAGCTGCGACGCCTGCAGTAGTGACGGGGCCCGTTGCACCGCTGACTTCACTGCCCCCGGGAGTAACACCCCTAAACCGAATCCTAGCCAACGTGCCTGTGGTGGAGGGCTCGGTGCCCGCCTCGGCCATCATGCGGCCCTCAGCAGCGCCGACTCCCCTCATGCGTGTCGTACCTCCCCACCTGCGCAGCGCATCGCCCCTGCTGGCGGCCGCACCCGTGGTCACGGGTGCACCTCCGGGGGCGGCCGCTGCCGCTCCTGTTGTTAACGCTGCCCCTGCTGCTAGCGCTCCAGCTGCAGCCGCCAGCGCCCCCCCAGGTGTCAGCACCCCGGTGGTGAGTGCCGCCCCCGCTGCCAGCGCAGGGACGGCTGCTGCCCCGGTGGTCAGCGCTGCCCCGGCAACCCCCGCCGCGGCGGCCGCCGTTGCTGGGAGCACCGCCCCAGCTCCCCAATCCTACCTGCCACCCTTCCTCTTCCTGCAACAACAGCGCCGCGCAGCAGCGGCGGGACCCGTCCCGCCGGCCGCGCCCAACGTGCAGGTGGTCCAGGCGGCTCCAGTCGTGCAGGCAGCCCCTGCGGTGGTGCAGGCAGCCCCCATTGTTCCAACCCAACCGGCAGTCCAGGCCGCCACCGTTGTCCAGGCGGCGCCAGTAGTCCGTGCGGGTAGTGTCGCTCCAGCAGGGCCGCCTGCAGGCCCCGCCCCGGTGCAGCTGGCGGTGCAGCCCGCTGCGCAGCTGCGGGCGGCCCCGCCGACGGCAGCAACAGCAGCGGCAGCAGCGCCCCCCGGGAGTGCGGCTGCGGTGGTTGCCTCCGCGGCCCCCGCCCCGGCCTCAGCCGCTGGCGCCGTCCCGGCGCCCCTGCGGCCGCCTGTCATGGGAGCGGTGCGCCCCTTCATGCCGCCCGCTGCCGGCGCCGTGCCGGTCGTACGGCCGCTGACGGCGCACCCCTTCCAGCCTGCGCAGGCGGCCCCGCTGGTGCGGCCGCTGCAGCCGGCGGCGGCTGCAGGCATCCCCGTGGCGGTCCGACCGCTGGCGGCGAGCGTGGTAGCTGCGGGCATTCGGCCTGCCGCCGCCGGTGCGGCCCCACCTCCAGCACCTGCAGCGGCACCAGCCCCCGCTGCGCCCCCACCAGCCCCCGCTGCACCCTCTCCGACACCCCCATCCGCCGCGCCCTCTCCCACACCCTCGGCGCCCTCCCCAACGCCGCCGCCCTCCGTCCCCGCGAACAATCTGACCTGCCCGCTGTGCCACGAGCGGCCGGGCACCTGGTTCTTGTTGAGCTGCAAGCACATGGGCCCATGCGAGGGCTGCTGCCCCAGCCAGAAGGACCTGGTGACCGTGTACCCCACCTGCGCCCGCTGCGATACGCCCGTGTCGCCCAAGCTGATTGTCAAGGCGCGTGTGTCGTGAGGGGAGACGGCGCGGACAGGAAAAGGGAAGGGCGGGACGAGCGGACAAAATGGTGTTAGCGTTAGATAATTTACGTAGATAAATTACGGTAGTAGAAGAAATGGGGACCGTTTGAACCAAAGTTGCTCAGGGTCAGCGAGCGAGCCCTGCATGCGAGGTATACAACGGCGTCTTGAAGGAGCTTGGCGTTGGCTGCGCTGGATGGGATGTGCAGCTGGGTCGGTAGTGGCTGCGAGTGTTGCAACAGTTGCTAGGGGAAGAACGTAGACAAGGTTGGGAACGTAGACCAGAATGTCGCACCCAGTGGTCGCAGGATGTGCAAGAATAGTAGCCCTTGGTTACGCCATCCAAGTACCTTACATGTGGGGCTTGAAGAGTTGTTTGGTCTGAAGAGTTACGATAGTTCCCAATGTGGTTTTACAGTAGCCGCTGCTTGAGTAAAGCGGCAACAGCGGTTCCAACACAGCTGCTAACACCTTAGTTGAAGTTATCGCCGCCTTGAGAGGGGCGCTAGCCCGAGGCTGCCCACGCATTGCGCCAGTCCCTAGCTTGCTTGTAATGCATCTCTGGAAGCCTGTCCTGTTATCACTCGATACGTAAGCATCACACCTGCAGTACGACTACTGTCGTACGTTCATATAAGGCCTGCAATCACGAAACCGCTCTGCTGCTGCCCTCCTGCGTAACCCAATCACTTTCGCGTTGCGATGCATGTGGCTATACCAGCCACGTGCGCCGCTGCTGAGCCTGGCGGCCCCGCCCCGCGAGTGGTAACGACAAAGGGCCGCCAAAAACCCTAACGATGCCACCACCTAGACCTACTCTACCCCACGCCCTTGTCACCAGGCAGGCACAGCACCATGCAAAGAGCAACACTAGCAACAGGGCCCACAGCAGCCTTAGGCCCGCTCCCAGGCCTAATCCGCTGCTGCCGCCCCATTCCCCTAAACTGCCCTCATCCGTTGCTAACGCGGCCGCCTGCTCCGCAGCTGCCCAGCTGCTAGGCAGCAGCCTCGCGGGCAGCAGCCGGGCCACCAGCGGCGGCTGCGGCCCCATGCCGGGCAGCCGCAGCGCCTCCGCGAGCGCAGCGCCTACGGGCCATCCGACGTCGCCCGAACCTGCAAAACAGGCGACAGCAGATGTTCAAAGACATGTATCTTTCAATAGGAGTTCCCAAAACTGACAACCCCCGGCCCGTCCTGTAGTAGCCCCATCCGCAGCATCAACAGCAGAGGCTGTGGCATCCCTCTTGAATGCAGAAGCTCCCCCACGCCGCGCTCCACCGTACCCACCTATGTCGTACTGCTCAGGCGTGAGCCCCAGCCCCGCAGTGATCAGGTGCGCCACGTAGGGCCCCCACATGCAGTACTTCTCCACATTGATGTGGTGCCCAAGTGTGGAGGACACCTCGCGCCAGGGCAGCGCGCAGTGGCCACGCGCGGCCCCCAGCACGGCGGCAGGCGCGTCCCCGCCGGCGAGCCCGAAGAACTTCCACACCACGTAGAAGCCCGCCAGGGCGACGAAGGGGCCCTGCAGTGGCAGCAGCGTGGGTGAGGGGTGAAGGGAGGGAGCAGATGGGGACAAGACATATGGAACCGTACGCACGCGGAGAGCGTATCGTCCATGCAGCTGCTGCCCAATATGTTACCTGGCGCATAGCGGTATCCAACAGCGCCTTTCAACGGTCACCTAGTGGCGGCCAAGGACCCCGCCTTTTCAGAAGACCCATCCGACGACAGCCATCATGGATCCACTAAGCCACCAGCATTCCCACGCACCTGCAGCTTCGGCTGCTCAGACCCCAGCACGCAGTGCCTGCCGCCTCCGCCCGCTCCACTGACTCCGCCGCAGTCCGCGGAAGCGTTCACTACGCGGGCCACCAGCGCCTGGCAGGCCGCCCAGTCGGGCCGCCCCTCCAGCTGCAGGGACGTCACTCCAGGCAGCACACCCGAGGGGTGGACGCGGGTGTAGGGCCGCGAGAAGCCTGCCAGGCGGCCGGGCGGGGGGCAGGGGGCGGCGGAGAACGGCGCGAAAGAGGAGTTAACAGCGGTGAACAGCGCCGCAGACACACCAACGCCAGTTTTCTTAACACACCAACGCGTGCACTGTGTATGCTGCCAACGACTCCGTGTGTATTTACGGCCGTGTAGGAGGGGTTCAACGACGCGTCGCAATTGCATGGAGTCAAAGCAGGGCCGTTTCCTGGAACTCACCCTCATGCAAGCAGGGATGCCGTACGACTACCGGCTGCCGTACACCCTGCCCGCTGACATCCTCATCGTCCCGACCAACCACCACCACACCGCCCCTGGAGCCCTCGACCACCGTTGCCGCGCCGGTGGCAGCAGCAGCCACGGCCGCTGCCGCCAACCCCGCAGCCGCCGCTAGACCTGCATCCGAGGCCTCTGAGAAGCGCTGCGTAACCAGACCAGCCGCCCTGGCTGCTCCTACTGCTTCAGACTCAGATGCCGCAGTCACGGCCTCTACCCCGCTCCCTGAGGAGATGCCGGCAGCGGTTGAGCCCTGTTTCGTGGCCAGTCGTCTCAGTGCCGCCGTCTCCTCTTCTCCCGCTAGGTTTCCCTTCGCAGGGCCCTCTTCACCATCCCAAGCACCCTCCACGTCTGCCCCCACACCGCCGGACGCAAGCAGAGACCTGCTTCTCACACCAATGCGGGCCTCCCCGCCGCCGTCCTTGCGATCTATTTTACCACCCGCATCATCCCCCGCAGCGACCCCGCTGACACGCCCACCAGCCTCCGCCTTGACAGACTCGCTACCGGCTGCATTACCTTCTGCAGCGCCACCGCCCCCTGCAGCTGCTGCTCCCGCCTCCGCCCCTCCAGCGCCTCCTCCCCCCACCTGCCCCTGCCCGTTCGCCGCTGCCAGCTGCTCCCGCACCAGCTGTATGATTCGCTCCGAGTCGCGCTGCTGCTGAGCCAGGATGGCGGTCTGGGAGCGCAGCTTGGCAGCCGCACCCGCGCCACCGCCCTTGCCGCCTCCTGCAGCGGCTGCTGCTGCTGCCTCCCCTCCTTCTGCGGTGCTGCTGCCGCTGCCACGTACCATGGCGGGCATGGCAGAGGCGTTGCTGGCCTCGCGCACAGCAGCAGCAGCGGTGAGTGCGGGTGAGGCAACGACAGCTGAAGCTGCTTCTCTTTTCTCCGCGCCCCGCTGGTGCTGCTGCTGCGGCGGCGGTGATGGTGCGGGCGGCGGCGAGCCCCCGGAGGCTGTCTGCTGCTGCTGCACGAGTGCTGGGCGCTGCGGTCGGGTGGCCATGTGACCCCCGCTACGATCCCCCTCCTGCCCCTGCAGCCCTCCGACTGCTGCAGCGCCAGCGGACGAACCTGACGCAGGCGGCTGTGGGCCGCTCCGCAGCTCCCGGGCATGAGGCTGCTGGGCGTCCTGAAGGGGGCGGTAGTGGCGGGCGGCAAGCGGGGCGGGGCCCGGTCGGGGACGGAAAGAAGCGTGCAGGTCACCAGCGACGGGTGGGCGTCACAGCGCGCACCGCGGGGGGTGGCTTTTCCCCACGTGCAAGGATTTCCGCCCGGCATGCCTAGCACGCCACCACGAGTAGCAGAGCTACACGAATCCCGCATGCGCCCTCTCAGCTCCGTCCATTTCTTGCCGGCCTTCCTTCCCCTTTCTCATCCCCAACCCCGCTCACCAGCAGCAGCAGGCTGACGGAGCGGTCGAAGGCGTCGTTGAGTCCGTATCGCTGGAAGGTGTGCGTGCGCAGCTGGAAGTGCCGCGAGCCCAGAACCAGACTGCGGCCGGGCAGCGCTGGGGGGGACGCAGTGGCTGCTGCTACTGCCTGCAAGGGGCCCTCACGCTGGGGCTGGGGCTGCAGGGCTGCCTGGTGTTGTTGCTGCTGCCGCTGGCGTGTGTGCCGCCGCCGCGGGAGCTCCCCGCCGCCCGCCGCCGCCTGCTGGTGGTGCTCCTGCTGCTCATGCAACTCCTGCCCTTGCCGCTGCAGCTGCTGGTGTTGTTGATGTTGGCTCGTGTGGTGCTGCTGCAGGTGTTGGGCCTGCAGCGTGGCGTGGTGGGCCTGCAGCGCGGCGTGGGCATGGTGCAGCAGGAGCTGCCGCTGCTGTGGGTGCCGCTGCTGCTCCTGTTCTGTCAGGTCCTGTACCTGTTCCTGCTGATGATGATGATGATGGGCCCGGCGCTGCTGCGGTGGGTCTTCGTGGTCGCTCAGCGGGGACGTGTCATCTGCCGCCAGTGTCAGCGGCCGCCGCTGCAGGTGCCGCAGCCAGTCGCGCCGCGAGGAGGACTCGGAGCAGTACACCATCTGGTGGAGTGGCCGGGCACGGCAGTGGGCAGGGTGAGAGGTCGGGATGTGGCCAAGGAGCGCCAACGTGAGGTGGACAGCGGCGTACGCGGCAGCATGACAAGGCACTAGCAACCATAGCTCGCAGAGCTCTGGTCATTCTCTTCCCGAAGTCTGGTACCGAGCCCTCTTAACCCCTTTTCCCGCCGCCACCACCGCCACGGCACGCACCTCGAGAGAGGAACCCCCAAGGTCCAGGGAGCCGTACGTGAGCCAGGAGGAGGCGGGCGGCGTTACGGTGTCCGTTGCAGACATGGTTTCGGAGCCGTTCAGCACGTGCTCAGATGCATTCCAAGATCCTCCGGCGCTCCCGCCACCGCCGCCGCTCAGGTTGGCACCGCCTGACGAGGCCTCGAGGCCGCCGGCGCCACTGCCGCCGCCACCGCCACGCCGGCCCATGACAACAGCAGCAGCAGCACCCGTACCGTCGGCTCCGGAGCTGCCAGTGTCGGCAGCGGTGCTACGGCGAGCTGCCTTGATGGCCGCAGCCGCCGCGAGACCCGTGGGTCCGTCCAGCGTCCCGCGCAGGTAGTTGATAGCGATCCAGCCGTACACGCCCTCATCCGTGCCGCTGATGATGCGCGCCCAGGAGGGCTCGAACCTGGTGGGTTAGGGAGGACACGGAGGGTGCAGCAGATCCGGCGGGAGCAAGGGGGGAGCGCCATGCATGGGCAGGGGAAACGGAAACACATGACAAGCGTGCCGTCCATGCCGGTCACACCCATACAGCCAGACAGCATCAGGGGCGCTCCATGTACGGTATCAAGGACGTCACACACGGGCCGCCCGGCGTTACCCCTAGCTTCCCGCGCTCCCTTCCTAGCCCTTGCCATGCTGCCCCCTGCCACCCCAGCACAGCCACACGCAGTCGCACCTGAAGCCCGACTCGCCCAGCACCCCCCGCGCCCGCTGCATCAGCTGCTGCTGCTTGGCCTCGGGCATGCGGCGCACTCCTGAGGCATCAGCACACACCGTGGTGATGATTCCGGGCAGGCGAGTGGGAGCAGGGCAACAGCGGGGCAGGTCTGGTATGGTAACGTCGCGTCACGTCCAGTGACAAGCGGCGGTGGCGGAGGCGGCAAACCCAGGTAAGCGCACCTACAGCTCCACCTGCCACCTACCGGCGGTGGCGAACAGGAAGAGGGGCACCGCGTGCAGCTGCCGGGCGGGCACCACCGCGCGCGCCCAGTCCAGCAGCGGCCCCAGCGCCCGCGCGCGCAGCTCGGCGGGGGGCAGGTCCGCGAAGGCATCCAGGCCCGGGAGCGTCTCCACGCGGTTGTAGGAGCCTGGCGTGAAGGGAGGAGGGACGGAGAGGTAGGTGGGGAGGACGGTGGGAAACGGGTAAGCTAGCAGTGGCTGGGGGCATGGTAATGGGTTGGCAAGCCGATGCTTTTGTTTGGTATTGGCATCGTAGTTTGGTGGCGTAGGGAGGACGATGCCCCATGGCGGGGAGCACATCCGATTACAGCTGTCCTAGGGATCACCAATGCAGGCGTACGGTTAGTCGGCTGCGGGTTTCGCTTAAAGTGGCTGTGAGCAACGCAAAGGATGAGAGAGCATCGTAGCTTCGTAGGTACTTGGTGTTTGCCTTACTCGTGCCAGACTTCTTAGGGACAAGACCCGGCGCTGCCGACGGAGGTATGAGCTGTAGTTGCGGCAAACCGTGCTTAAAGCTGGCATACTTCCAGGTAAACACGTATCTGCGATTACAATAGAACAAGGGTTGCCTACTAATACCATCAGCCTTGCAGAAGTGTCCGTGACGTAGCCCCAGAGCTTACATACGGCTGCCAGAGCTCCCGCAGTCAATTACGGCAACGTACTCCGCCCTGGTGGGCCCGCGTGCCCATAGGAGCAGCAGAAAGCAAGCTGCGAGTGCTAGCAAAGAGCAAAATAGCGATCCACAAGTGGTTGTATTTGTTTTAGGATTTAGCATCCTGCTTTAAGTTCCTTGGCTGCGCTCTCAACCAGAAACACTAGCCCTCGGAAATTGACATTGTCATCGTCCCATCGGCAAAACGTCCTACGCTGATTGACAAAATACAAACATACAATCCATTCCGCGTCTGAGGTGTGCCAATTGAATAAAGGGTGGGCCTCAATCGGCGGTTGCGTTATTGGATCCATCGTACACACGGACAGGTCCAATAACGAGCATTCCGAAATCACCTGGCATAGCACGATGTTGCTCCAAAGGAAAGGAGTGCAAGTGTCCCAAGACTAGACTCAATAAAGGCTCCATATAAATGACAACACCAGCTGCACTCAACAGTTAGCGCGCCCAACGCGTCCAGCGGCTAGTAGGCACGCATCTCGTCCAGTTACTGCTCAACAGGATTGGGCTCAATCGCAGCAAGCGCCAGAGCGGCCTCCATTGTGTACCGAGCGTCGTTTCCGCCGTTGTGCAGCATTGTCGCCGGAATGCCCAAGGTCTTGAGCAAGAGCCGAAGGCTTATCTGTTTTAAGCAGCGCAAGCGACATGCACAGCATACCTTAGTCAGTACCGGTACCTCAATCCTGACTACGTGTCTGATCCAAGCCTGCCCCTAGATCGCGGAATTCAGATCTCCTCCCCGCCCTCCCACAAAGGGAACATCTCTCGCCTAGGTATCAGACCTGGCCATCCAAACCCTAACCCCAAACGCTTGCAAAATATAGTCGCTCCCCCGCACCCTCCCTGAACTCTCCCCATCCCATCAGTCCTCACCGCTGTGCGCTCCTGGCCGGTGCCGCCCCCCAGCGCCGCCCAGGTTAGGTCCGCCGTGTCCAGGATGGCGGCCCCGGGCGGCAGCACCACCCCCAGCAGCCCCGACAGCGCCTTCAGGTCGCCAGACAGGCTGAGGACGTCAGCAGGCGGGGCGGGACAGGGAGGGCGGGGGGGAGTTCGAAAGCGAAAGGCGAAGGCCAGCGCCTCATTAACAGGCAGCACAGGACAGCCCACAGGCTGGACGTTGCCTGCAACCCCTGCCCCCCGAGTCCACATGCGTGCCCCGCAAGATGTCCACGTTGCAACCATGGACGCCAAGGCCCATGTCACCCGTCCAGCCCAGCCCACCTCCCACCTCCTCTGCTGCTACCGGTACCCGGCTCACCCGTGTCCCACCACCACCAGCTGCATGGGCGGCGCCGGAGGCAGGGGGCTCCCAGCCGCACCGCAGCAGCCGACCTCCCCTCCCTGCTGCGGCCCCTGCTGCTGCCCCTGCGAGGCGCACCACGCCGCCCACACGCCCGCCCCGTAGTGCTGCAGGTCGCGCTGCAGCGCCGCCGCGCCCTCCGCCAGCGGCCCCGTGCTGCTGGCGCCAAAGAGGAAGTCGTGCTTGTGGTCGGGCACGTGGATGCGGTTGACCAGCGCCTCGTGCTCCGACACGATGTGGTGCCTGCGGGAGGACGGGCGCGAGGAGGGGGTGAGGAGCGCGTAACATGCTAAGGAAGACTGGCGTGAAGGAAATACGGAACCCTGCGGCCGGCCGTCCTCTGCCCCCACTTGCATCCTTCCTTCCCACGCGGGTTTTCCCCTCTACTGTCCCTGCAGCGCTGTCCCCGCCTGCCCGCTCACCTGGACTGCAGCTGCCTCGTGAGGTTGTCCCACATGGTCCACCCGATCTCCGTCACACGGGAGCTGTCGCGCTCCCACCACTCCAGGTCGATGCTGCAGCACACCACCAACACGCCCTCGCCGCCGCCCGCACTGCCGCCACCGCCGCCCCCGTCATCGCCGCTGTCAGCGCCGCCGCAGTGGGACAGGGACCCCGACCCGTCCGTCCCCTCCTGCTGCGCTCCGGCTGTTGCCGGGTGGGCGGGCAGCGGGGCAGCGGCGGTGACCGCAACGGCCCCGGCCCCAGCAGGCCCCTGGGAGGCGATTGCGGCTGAGGAAGGGCCTGGGCCGGCCTCCATGGCTGAGGCGGAGGAGGCGGCGGGGGCCGCAGGACGAGGTGTAGTGGGGCCCATTGCAGGCACCGAGTCCGCCGCGTCCGCACCCCCTCTGCTGGTGCCCAGCACGCGTAGCGTTGTCATGGCTGATGCAAGCACCTCCCCGGCAGCTGCGGACGCAACCGCAGCAGCAGCAGCAGCAGCGCCATCCCCGGCGCCTTCCTCCGCGTCCCAGACCGCTGACCCTGGCAGCGGGTGCGAATGCAACAACGACAGCCCGCCTTCTCCGTGCCCCTGCCCCTCCTCTGCCGTCGCGCAACTAGCAGAAACACCGGAGCAACCAACGTCAACCGCTTCTCTAGTAACTGCTACTGCTGCACCCCCGGGGGCCGCTGACACTTCCAGTTGTGCTGCGCCACATGCGTAGTGGTGGTTGGGTTGGAAGGGTGTCGTCCAGCGGCGGGCGTTGAGCAGCAGCAGCTGAGCTGCTGCGAGTTGCCTGTTCTGTCTGTGGTGCCGAGCTACGCGCTTGAGCTCCTTGAACAGGGCTTTCACGTCCTCAGCGCCTAGAGCCGGGGTGTATCGGGGCCAGGAGAAGAGGTGGACGACGCAGAAGAAAGGCAGTAACAGTAAGTGCATGCGGGAGGATGTGAAGAGGACACTCCATGTGTAATTGTGTTGTTTGTCAGCTATGCCGGGAGCTTGCAAGCAAGTTGAAACGGGGTAGGGACATCGTGGACTGTTCTTGCTGCTGCGGTGCTGGAATTCTTACTTTGTAGCTGTAGTGGCTGGAGTTCCTCCACATCTTCTGCGAAGATATCCACAACCGGTGCTTGTGTAACGAGCAATGAGCCCAAGTGAGCCACCAGCTCCCGCGATACATTCTCGCCGCACGCTTTACTGCAATATACTGCGCGCTTTCTGCTTGCCTTGCTTGTCCCTAGCATCACAGTCAGCAATATAGTCTCGGGTCAGCGGCCGACTAGGCAGTTGGTATGGCTGACCTGCAGTTTGACGAAACAAACCTACCAGCATACAACCCAGAAAACGTCAGGTAAAACGTTGGAGCCTTGAAAAACGTTGTTACAGCGCGCTGGTATTCAGGATTAGCCGAAAGCCTAGCCCAAGCATTCTCAAGGCTGGCGACGGATATAAGTCGTTCGTCCATATCTACTCCCTATTTACACTAGCTGATGATGCACCCCGCATAATTAAGAAAACAGTCAAAGCTATGTACACAGTCACTGTACGGCAATGCATCAACAGTGCTGCCACGTCGACTTGTCCACCGCCCCTCCAGTGCAACAGGTCTGCTAGCCATTTAGGCCTTCGCCATGGCACATATCACACAATGCACTCAACTACAACCCAACATGAGGATCACCAGCAGCAGCCCGATGGCTCCATGCCATCCCGCCGGCGTCACTCTACTGCCAGCACCACCTGAAGGGGCCGGCGGCGGCCCAGGTGTTGCTACTGGTTGGGTATTTACTGCAGGTAAAGGAGCCTGCACAACCCTTGAAGGCGCACCTCCGTCCTGCATTGCGGCACCAACGGCAGCGGCCATGGTAAACAGAAACGCTGCAGCCAGGATTGGTGTCTAGTGAGCCCAAATGGCCGCACATTGCCCCTTTCACTTGTTGCTGTTTGTGTATTAAACGCAGTAATTTCAAATCATGCCGCTGTTTACCTCATCTTTACTGTACCGTCAAGCGGCAGGGAGCAGCCCGCATTGTCACGACAAGGGAACCCCCCCCACCTACCCGCGCTGTGGCATTGCCGCCGCTGCCAGCGGACCCGTTCGGCGCAGCAGCAGCACCTGGCGGCGGCGGCGGCGGCGCCGGCCCCCCGGCTCCCGGTGTAGAGCCCGAGCCATTAGTAGCCTTCGCCGTCTCATTGCTGCCGCTGCCGCCATAGCCGCCCCCTCGCCGATTGTACCCCCCTCCGCCCGCCGACGGCTGCTGCTGCTGCGCCGCCCACCCCGTGCCCCCGACGGCCCCGGGTGGCCCCGTGCCGTACCTCAGCGGCACCAAACCACCTCCGGGCATGCGAACCATGGGCGGCCCAATGGGGCCTCCGCCCGGGCCCCCTAGCGGCACTATGATGTGTTGCGGCGCGGTGGGCACCCCTGGCCCCGTCGTACCCAGACCCGCAGGTGGGCCGGTATCTCCACCGCCGCCACCGCCGCCTGGTCGCCTTTGTGGTGCACCTCCTGCACCTCCTGCACCTCCTGCACCTCCTGCTCTTGCCGGCCGCTGCCGCTGCGCCACCTCCAGCGGCAGCCCCGGCTGGGTGGTGATCCGCAGTGAGGCGTTGATGTGCGGGTAGGTGACCTGCGACAGCGGCAGGGGCTGCACGTCCTGCGGAATGCGAGCCTGGATGGGGGGGAGCGTTGGGGGACGGTTGGGAGGGGACAGGTAATGAAATTGAATTGCGCTGGAGCGGTTGAGGAGCGGTTGGGCTGGATAAGTAGAGGGGAAGGGGGCTGGAATCAGACTTGAAGGGATGTAAGGGGCATCACCGCACGGGCTTTGGCATTTTCTGTTCGTCATGCGCTGGGGGCATGACGCCCGCACTACCTCTCCTCTTCCTCCGCGTCTTTCCTGCTCTTCCTGCCCTACCGTCGCCGTGACGTTTGCGGTGATGTACAGGTCCGCTGCCGTGAAGTCAATGGGCGAGGACTCGGGGCTGATGGTGTAGCGGAAGGTCAGGTTGGACAGCTCCAGCGTCACGACCTGCTCCACCTGCAGGGGGGGAGGGGGGAAAAATTATATAAGAAATGCAAACAACTAAGTCCCAATCCCATATCCCGACTCATGCAGTGAGTGCATTCGGAGACACTATTCTAAAGACACGCATCTCAAATGGGGATGGGGGAGAGAGGGGGGTCAAAGACAAGGTACCATAAGATGGGAAGCCACAGGTTAGGGCAAAGCAAAGGGGGGATAGGCGAGCGGCAGGGCAGCAGCGGCGGGCAGGGAGGGGCCGAGCCGAGGCCGGGCTTGGATGCGAGCGGAGGGAGCGTGGGTGAGGTAGGGGCCACGGAACAGGCGGTTCTACACACTGGAATAATCGCCTTGTACCCGTAGAGCTATCTACTCGCAAAGGCAGGTAGCCCTCTCTCCCAACACACCAGGCCCACGCTTCAAAACCCCGCCACAACACTCCCTTCTCCTCTCCCTTCCTGTCTCACCCCCCATGCGCCCCCATGCGGCCCCCGTCCGTCCCCCCCCGCCCCCGCCCCCACCTGGTCCTGCGCCAGCGCCATGTTTGGGAAGCCCGGGTACGACACGCCCCGCAGGTCCGCCGCCGCCAGCGCCACCAGCTGCGAGGCCACCTGGACGGAGCCGCGCAGCAGTGTGAGGTTGGTGGGCACGGAGGGCGCGGAGCCCGAGGAGGCCAGCGAGGCGGGCCAGGGGCCCTTGTCCGAGTAGAGGAACATCTGCCGGCGTGCGGGAGTCGGGGTTGCAGAGGGCGAGAGGGCGAGAGGAGATCTTGTCGGGGAGGAAGATGAGGGAGGTCTGGTGGGAGTGTTGCAGCGGCTGCAGGAGCGCGGGCAGCGACGCGCCCAGAGCAACAAGAGCCAACCCAACTCCAAACCGCCGCGGTATCCACCACAGCACTGAAGATCCGCTGGCACCACCCTGCTCGCCTCAACCCTCGCCCGCACCACCCCTCCCTCCCTGCCGCCCCCACTCACCCGGAAGTCCGTCATGTTGGCCTTCCCCACAACCGCTCCCCCCAGCCCGCCCGCCACCCCGACCACCGCCAGATTGCCCGGCTCAGTGCCGATGGCATACACAGAGGGCAGCCCCGACACGTCCTCATCCTCATCATCATCCCCAGCCCCATACACTGCCGTTACATTGCCGCCGCCGCCAGCCGCCGCTCCTCCCGTGAGGTTGGCGGCCAGCCGACTGATGCGAGCACCCCTCCTGGCTCCGTTGCTGCTGCTAGCCGTATCGGTGGTTGTGTTGGCACTGTACGGCAGCGCTGCCCCGGGAGGGGGGGCCTCCCTGGCAGCAGCAGCAGCAGCGGCGGCGGCTGCCTCGTCCTGCACTGGGACGAAGCGCACCTGCCCGCGCTGCACCGCTTGCACGAACTCGGCGGTGGTGCGGGGGCAGGCCTGACCCGTCTCTGTGAGGTGGGGCGGGGGCGGGGGTTAAGAGGCGGGTTGAGGGGACACGGGAAGGGGAAGAAGGAGCTGGGGCTTGAAGGCTGAGGCGCAGCTTGACGTGTTTGGATGCGGCCCTCGGCCCCGGTCGCCCCTGCCAGTCCCCAGCTGGCACCCCCCAATGGCCCACCCATTGGGACCCTGGGTGACCATTCCACCGGTCCTCTCACCGTTGAATATGGCGACCGGGATGTGGCCGGTGGCAGGGATGGCCTGCGTGTTGTTTGCTGGCTTGATGTTCACGAGTACCGGGTCCTTCCAGCCTCCCCCCAGCCCGAAGGTGGACCGGTCGGGTTGCACACTCATCAACATCACACACACCTGCGGCGGCAGACAGCAGCAAACAGCAGATAGCAGCAAACAGACAGGAGACAGCAAAATAGGCAGGGGATAGCAGCCAGCAGTCACCAGACACGCAGGGGCCAGAGAGTACGGTAGACGGCGTCAGCAAGCAAGCAGAGGGCACACGTGGACGAGGTAGGCATACGTCACAGGCTCACAACGGACAATGGCGGGGCGGTTGCAACTTGCAACCATGGTTGGCAGCGGAGGCCAGCTGCGGAGACTCGTGGACAGTTGAAGAAAGCTGTGGACATGAATACAGACTTGACGCGGAAAGGAAATTATCCTTTCATATCGGTCACGAAGTACATGTGGCACATGACAAGTGGACCTGGGCAACGACGGCGGGGAACTCACGTAGCGCGACTGATTGCCCGCCTGCTGCATGGGGGGCGGGGAGGCTGGCGGCCCGCTACCGGTGGTGTTGCTGCTTGTGTTGCTTCCGGTGGTGTTGCTGCGGGTGGCAATTGTTGGGGGAGCAGCTGGTGCGGACGCGGGAGGAGGAGGAGGAGGAGGAGGAGGAGGAGGAGGCGGTGCAGGCGCAGCTAATCCCAGCGGCGCTCTGGCATGGGGGCAAGGCCGCCACGGTTGGGGGTTAGGGCAGGCAGGGTGGCAATTAGTCCGGTTTAGACCTTGTTGTCAGGCAAGTGCGGGAATGAGGCAAGAACGCAGCGGGTCGTGTATTTGGCCTTGATTGCAGATTAGTTCGCGAGCGAGGGGCACAGGTTGGGATACGTGTGCGCAAGCAAACGACGCGGTTGGCAAACTGCTTAGCTGGCAAAATGCGTTATGGACAGTTGAAAACCAGGATGCGCGTGAGGGTGTGCTACGCACCTGCAAAGCAGCTCGGCCCCCAGCACTAGCAGCGCGATGAATGGCGGTTTGCTGCGGAAGCGACGTCCTCGCGAGCTGGTGCTAAGTCGAGTTGCTGCCATTAACGCTAGGGCTGCTTGTAAGGTCTGGCACGTTCAAGGGCCTATCTGCTGCGGTCTGGAGCTAGGCGGATGGCCGAGGACTATCATGGGGTTTTGCTCGTTTTGATGGCTTGAAAGTTTACTTCCAACTGCTGAGATCCATGGGCCGTGGTCAACTGCTCGTGACTGCTCCTGATTCACATGTGCACGTCCTACTGTCAGTCAAGGTTAGGATGCGGATGTAGCTTCGGAAAGACGGAAGAGCGTGCGGTTGAATGCGGCTGGTACGGGGGTTGTGCTCCAAGGGACAAACAACAAAGCTTTGGTTGACCCGTGGGTCATTCAGGCGGAGGCTAGCTTAGCTTGGAAGGATGCAGTTATGCATGTTAATATTACAGCTGACAATTCTGTTGACAGGTTGTTTAAGGTAAATTTCGCCCCTTCGTACCTTGTATGCGTTCCATGGGCCGATAATCGCGACAGGATATACGCTGAAGAGATGCGCCTAAGACCGCTCGAAAGGAAAACGCTAACGTTAGGACTTATTGCTTAAGCGTATCAGCTATATTGTCGGTGCGTCTGATAAGGGCCTTCTTCAGACCATTGGGAGGCACGTCAGCAGGGTTCCCGCCTCTTCGCACCTTGTCACCACAAACAACCTCGTATGCCCTTTGTTGCCTCGGCCTGACGGTTACAAGGCGCCGAGAACAGCGCCAACGAGAAAAGAAGTTTGGCTGTAGGATGTAGCGTGATAGGAGCCATCATTTGTGTGGGGCTTTGGAAAGGGTTCGGAAGCGCGGCGACCGAAATACCAGCTTCGATGTTCGCTGCTGGGCAAATCGATGGACTGAAGCAGTCCAGGACGACTGGCTGGGCCACGGTGTACACTTTGTTACCGCACATTTTGGTTTTCACGAACTTGCGCTTGTACCTAGACGTCTGGCTATTTATTCACCGACCGCGCTCGAAGCGCCGTACTTCTTCGCCCGCACGACCTTGCATCGCGCATTCTCGCTTACATCCAATCAGCCTGAAGCGATTATAAGCAAGTTATCGATAAATCAACCACCATAAACTGCAAATCGGTCACGTACGGAAGCGCAATCCTCGAGACCGGGTAGCACTGTTATGCAAGCACGTACCCATGCAACAGGTCCATCCGACAAAACCCCACATCTACTCCAAACTTGCAATGCAAACCCAGCATTCATGGCGAGTCCATTACAGGACAAGGGCCACAAGCAACGCAAAGATAGTTCCCAGGGTGTACGGCAATTCCTGGACGGAGCTGGCACTCCACCCACCGGCCATCAACACATTCGCTCAACACACATGGTATTGCAATCGACAGACCCCACCTTGCCCCTTCCACCCCTGCATAGACCTCCTCCAACGCGGCATGAGTACACTGCTGCCAACCGCAAACCGCCCTTCGACAAGTAACTTGTACCCCGCACCCCGCGGCACCCTAGCTCCCTAGCCCTGCCATCCAACGGCGTGACCTAGGACTGCCCCTTTCCTGCATCTCAGGTGCAGCTCTCGACGCGGTGAGAGCATGCAAACCCCACCCCTTCCCGGTACTCTACCCAAACGCCCTTCTACGCGCCCAGTCCTCCATCCTCCAGGACCCCTAGCCAGGCCCCACGGGGACAGACGCACTGCACGCGCTTACAGACAGTAACTGTAGCTGCAGCTGCTCAGTAGTAGAAGGAGGTCATGCACCAGTTGAAGAGCGCCGAGCCTAGGATCTTGAGAGACACCTGCGCGGGGGCGGGGGGAGAGAGGGGAGGAGGAGGGCACACATGGCATACATACACACACAGTCAGCACAGGACAGCGTCTGGAGGAGCTGGGAGCCGAGCTGAAGGGAAGTTGGGTTGACTCAAGCGGGCGGGCGGGCGGATTGAAGAATCGTTGTGTCCTTGGTCACGCCCTCCCTTCAGCTTTGGTGGCCCCTTGGTGGCATGTGGGTGCGCTTTGTCGCGTGCATGCATGCATGCACCCCCTCGCAAGGGTCGCAACCCTAGGGCAGACGGGTCGCCCTCTTCGCCCTCCTCCCCATCTTGCTGTCCCATCTCGCGGCCCCATCTCGCTGCCTCTCACCCCTGTACAGCCACCCCTGTACAGCTACCTGCGAGCCCCCCCCCGCCCCGCACTCACAATGACGTTGGGCACCCCCGGGATGGCCGGCAGCGTGAGTCCGAACTGCTGCACCAGCACCTCGGGAAGGCTGAAGGCCAGGGTGCCCGCGAAGGTGGCGAACACACCCAGCAGGAAGCCGCGCACGAAGTTGCGGCTCGCTGGGGTGGAGGGGTGGAGGAAGCGGGCGAGTGGAGGGGTGGTGAGTGGAGGAAGCGGGAGAGTAGAGGAAGCGGGCGAGTGGAGGGGTGGTGAGTGGAGTGGGTGGAGGAAAGGGGTAAGTGGAGGGGCTGAGCGGAGGGATGGTGGTGATGGTGAAGGAGGGAGGCGGTCAGGGTGGAAGGAAATAGAGGTGCATCGCTGGGGAGCGTGTGCTCCAATGCGGTGGGGTGGGCCTGACGAGTGGCTACGAGGGCTAAAAGGACCTAGAACGGCGGGCAGGGAATTCGCAGCTGGACGATATTGTTGGCCTGGGCAGGTCTGTAGGAGCCCCGCACTGGTCACGCATGGGTCTGGGGCATGCACTCCTCCCCGCCCCTCTCCCCCCACTCACTGCGCCCCGCCTCCTCCTCCGTGGCGGTGTCCGGGTCCTTGGGCGGCGGCGAGATGGCGTTCTGCTTCATCACGTTGCCCACGATACCGATCAGGCCGCCTGGGGCAGCAGGCAGCCATCAGGGGGCAGGCAGGGGGTGGGTGCAGGTGCAGGTGCGGGGGTGCAAGGGTGCGGCATTCAGGACCGCTGGGAGCTGGGAGGGATGCCCGTGCCGCCCGCACCCCAGCCCTGCACATGCTGCTGCAAAACAGCAATGGTCACATGCGCCCCAGGTCAAACGCTCAAACCCCAACAGGCCTCAGCTCAAACGCATGCGCCAGGGGGGGTGGCCATCCCGCTGCTACCGTACGTCCATGGTACGACATTCACTGCTTTGTACTTTCCACCGGGCAGTGATGGTTGTGGTAAGACCCCCGGTAGCCCGGGGTGTGCGACCCAACACCCAAGACAGCCTCCCAGCCGGCACCCGCAGAGACTCACAGAACACGGTCTTGCTGAGTGCGGGCTGCTGGAAGCCGATGGCCACCATGGCGAGCTGCATGGCGCCGATGATCATGATCACGTTGGGGGTGGCGTCCCAGCGCCTGGTGGGTTGGGGGGAGGAAGGTGAGGAGGGCGGAGAGGGCGAGGAGGATGCAGAGTGGTTTCGTGGGTTGTGTCCTGAGGAGGGTCTTCTGTCCATGGTCACAGACCCAACCGCCTAGTAACTTACTTGGGACGCCAGGGGAATAGGGGCTCCTGGTCAGCGTAGGCTACTGACTTGCTAATGCCTTTCCCCTGCACCGGAGATGCCAGGTGAAGCCCGCTTAGCAGATGTGTATGACGCGAGGGTGCATGCCATGCGCTTCGCGCACCTTCTTCCGTGCTGTCAGCTGCGACAGCATAATTGAGCTGTGGGCCGACTCCACCTTTTGTAGCATTTCACTGTTGAACCTATATTCATACTTTTTTACACGGTACGCCTTGCCGATTTCCATGCTATCAGCTCCTCGTTCGACGCCCAGCAACTGCACCGCAATTGCAGACCGATTATCGTTAAGCGAATAGTTCGTTTCTAGATGTCGCTGATCGGCTGGTGGCTGCCTTGCCTTGTATGGGTCGTCCGACGGCGCAGCTCCGCAAACCACACGCGGCTGTTGTTGCCGGCAAGGCTTAAAAGGTGCGAAACGCACATTGTGCCGAAGCAGCACACGTTCCTGTCCTACCCTCAGCCCGGCTGCCCTCTGAACTTGCATTCTTCAATGTGAACGTCAAGACGTAAAAGCTAAATGATCAATGAAGGTTAATTGCGTAAACGTTTACTCCTAAAAGAAATAAGAAGTTGGGACAAGTCGGGCAATCTCCATCTTTACACGCATCGCCAACCGCGAATCGTCGCTCACGATCCCTCCAGTCTCCGCTGCAGCAACGCCACAAGCTCCGTTAGCCGGCTGTTCTCAACCTGCAATTGTATACCAGAGGGTAAAAGAAGGAGGCATTAAGACAATTGCTCGCGGTCCCAAGGGTCCTCAAATAGGGACATGCGACAGGGCTAATCAAGATTCAAGGTACATTGACCTTCCAGAGGCCCAATTACAAGCAAATTCCTATAGGCATTGCCAGGTCAGCCTTTGCTTTTCCCTTCCATCCACGTGCACTAGCATGCTTCCCAGCCCAGCCCACACCGCCTACATCGCCTCCCTGCCGCACCTCCAGCAGCCGCATCTGCTGCTCCACCGCGCCCTCCCACGCGGCCCCTCCCCGCGCCCCTCCACTGCCCGGCCGCCCGCTGCTGCTGCCCGGCCGCCCGCCCAATCCGGCCCCAGCTCCCCCCGCGCTGGCGGGTGCGCAGGAGGCCGCGGCGGCCGCACAGCGCTGCTGCAGCGCCAGAATGATCGCCTCCTGCCGGTCAATCTGCTCCTCCTGCTCCGCCACGCGCCGCCGCAAGGAGCCCAGCTCGCGCCACAACTCGTCGTCCGGCGAGACGGAGGAGGCGGAGCGAGACAGGGGCGCCCTGCTTGGGAGGGGCAACGACCCACATGGGAGGAGAAGGGGAGGGAAGGGGGAGAGACGCGAACATGTTTGGACGGACCCAGGGAGATACGTTGTGCACCTGTAGTGCGGTGCCGGGGGGCGACAGAAGGCGCGAGAGCATATGTGATGTCATCCCCTCCACCAGCAGAGGCCTGGCTGGCCGGGTTGCGTCTCACCCTCCGGGCCGCTCCGCGCCGCCTGCCGACCCCTGGGTCGCTCCGCCCTGCTGCTGCCCCTTCCTCAGCGCCGCCACCTCGGACTTGAGCGCCGCTATAAGTCGGTCATCCGTGGCCGCCTTGTCCAGCACCACCGACACCTTGGACTTCATACTGGACAGCTCGGTCTGATGGGGCGGGGTAAAAATAAGGAAAACTGGCGAACTGGATGACGGGGCTTCACCATGGGTTGCTATGGGGTGGGGTGGATGGGCGAGGACACCGGTAGGCCACAGACGTTCATCCGGTGTTGCACCGCTAAGTTCATGGGGGTTGTTTATCCCCCAGCTGGGATGTAGGGTTGGCGGGCGGCCCCACTCCCCCCCCCGCTGCTTCCGCCCACCTCCAGTATCTTCCTGCGCGACACCGCTCCCTCGTACTTGAGCCGCAGCGCCTCCAGCTCGCCCCGCACACCCGCCAGCTCGCCCGTCAGCCGCTCCAGCTCCTGCAGCAGCAGCAGGGGGAGGGAGGGATGAAGCGGGCCGCGTTGAGAGGGGAGAGGTCAGGAGGGCCAGGTGGCTGGTGCGCTCATGCAGCCAGGAGGTGGGACTGGACACCCCTCATGACGCCTGCTGCCCCTGTGCTGGCAACAGCCTAGCCCATGCAGTTACAGAACAGAAGGGCTCGCCCATCCCCTGCCCTCCCCGCGAATCCCTCTCTGCTGCTCCTCTCCTCCCGCTCTTGGGCCCCCCCCATCACCTGATTCCGCTCCCGGGATATCTTGGTGATGACCCCCTTGGCGGCCGCCTCCTGCTTGCTGTCCGGAGTGGCCTGACCCGCAGCCGCACGCAGCTGCTTCACCTGGGGAGGGGCGGGCGAGGGGTGGGGGGTTGGGGTTGCCGGCAGGAATGGGACTCACCGCGCGGAGCGGAGGGGAGCGGCAGCAGGAAAGCTTACTTGCCCCCCTTCCGCATGTGGCGAACATGGCAGCTCTCTGTGGAGACCCCTCTGTTGCCTCCAGCCTCCACCATGTCAGTCCTCCCCTGCTCCACCACGCCTTCCCTCCACCCACCCAACCCACCTGGTCCTTGAGCGCAATGATCTGCTCGCGCCGCCCCTTCCAGTCGCCGCTGTCGTCCAGCACCCGCGCCAGCGGCACCTCCTCGCCCACCTCCCGCACCAGCGCGCGAGTGAGCTTCTTGTTCTCACTCTCCAGAGAAAACACCTGCGGGGCGGGGCGGGGCGGGGCGGGAAGGGAAGTGAGAGCAGGCAGGCAGATGGCGGAGCAGGTGTGAAGGGTGGTGGTGGGAAGGAGGGGTGGGTTGGGTAAAGGTAAAGGGGCAACAGGGAGGACGCGAGGGCTCGTGCGGCCGCTGTGAAAGAGGGTGCGGGTGGGGTGCTGTGAGCTAACGTGTGGGTGTCAGGGTGTGGCTTCTTCAGCAGTCTCTCCGGGGCGCACCTTTTGCTCCATTTGCGAGATCTTGTTGGTTGTCTGAGCGAGCTTCTCCTTCCACTGCGCCGCTTCCCGCTGTGCTGCCTCCGCTGCCTCAGCCGCCTGCTCCACCATGCTCCTGGCAATCTCCTCGACGGCCTGAGCGCGGGGGAAATGAGTAAAAATGGCAAGCAACCGGGGTCCCAACCCCATGTCCCATGCGGGGGAGGGAGGCGAGACGTATGGCAGGAAGCAGGTACGAAACACACAGCTAAGACCCCCGGATCGGGAGGCTTCAGATGGAGCCGCTGGGAGGTTACGCCTCACCTCCAGAGGGGCCGCGGTGGAGCCATTGCCGGACAACGGCCGGGTTGCGCTGCTGCCAGCCGACGCTACCTCTGCTTGCAGCTTAGCCACACGCTGCTTTTCTCGTTCCAGCGCCAGGTTCAGGGCCCGGTTCTGCAAGGCGCGGCATGGCACCATTCTGACTCACAATTGTTCTTACCAAGTTCGTAGCATAGCAAGCAGCATACCTTCTTTGACAGCTCGATGATCTTTGCTGACTGCACATCCTGTGATAAGTCCTGGGCCAATTCCCGAAGAGTTGCAAGTTCGCTCTCTCTGTCGCGCAGTTCGGCTTCTAGCGATATGCATTTTTGTTGGAGCTCAGCGGCCTACATTCAATCATTTCGACAGGGTTACAACAAGTAATAGCGAAACATTAGTAGCAGTTGGCACGTACGTTCATTTCAAAGGCACTCTGTATATTCTCAGTAGGGCCGATGCCAGCATCCGCTGTGGTAAAACAAGTAGAAATTTAGACAACGACGCCGAAACCCTCAGGCAATGCGGTCAAAGGTCATCTACGATGCCGTACGGATACGGCCGGCGAGGATTGGCATACCACATGTCGGCGTATGTAAACAGCATGCGCCTCCCTCCTACGCCATCAACCTCAAGCTAAAATGCACGGGTTCTGCCCGCATCATCGTGTCTAAGCCATGCTAACTGGAGGTCCAGTCCTAAGCCAGACACACAGGGTCACCAGCGGCGCCCTACATTTGAGTAAACGCACTTCCGAAAGCGTCGAAAGCAGCAAGGTCCTGCACATCCCGAACAACAACACACAGTGAACACCATGACACCCAGTGTCATGTTACCGGTACGCGTGCCGCGACGGCCCCGCACAAATACCCTCGGACGCCACACCATGCCATGCTAGCTAACAGCCTCGAATCCACGCAACCCCGCACGCAGCGGTTGCGCCGACATCACTTCAGCACATCGTCAGCTACCCAAGGTGCGCACGCCGGCATAAGCGTGCATGCGGCGCAGCACACTTGGCATGTTTGGTAAAAAATGCAAGGTTAACTCTCCCATGCAGCAAACCCTCCTTTTGCATACAAGCGCGCTTTCTACCAAGTTTTGCACACGAGCGCGCTTCTCACCAAAGTCTACTACAGTACCAAAAATCTTCTCCATCCGTCTCCCTTCTCGCCAAACATAACATACTGAAGGTCAATCCGCTCCTCATCACACCCATAGGCGCCCGCATTCAGTTCCCGCCTGCAGAATGGCCTTGCCTGCCCAGCCCCTTGTTGTAACGCCCTCACCAGCGATAGCCAGCCGTGACCATGAACGCACTGACGGTGACTGATCATGTGCGGCACCTCTCAGCCAGGCCATTCCCGTCCATCATCGCCTCCCACACCAATTAACCAGCCCTGCCATAACGCCTCCAGCCCCCCCGCACCCCAGCCCCGCCCTCACAGCCACGTGTCGTCCAGCTCCCCCAGCTCCAGCTCCTCCAGCTGCAACGGCACCCGGGAGTCGTCGTACGACAGCAGCAGCCCGCCGCCGCCGCAAACACCGCCGCCGCCGCTGGTGTTGCCGTGCAGCGACGCAGGGGGCGGCGGCGGAGGCGGAGGCGGCAGCGACTGCGCGCCCTGCCCCTGCTGCGGCTGCAGCTCGGGACCCGGTGCAGACTGGCTGGGCTCCAGAGCCGCTGCGACCGTGGCCGCCGCCACATCCAGTGGGCCCTCCGGCTGGGGCTGTACGGGCGCGGCGGAGGAGGTCTGCGGTGCGGACAGGGTCGCAGGGTCGGACTCGGCCGTCGCCGCCACCTGCGCTGGCTCGGGTGCCGCTGCCGCCGCTGGTAGCCCGCATGCGGCGCCCGCAGCCGGCCCGCAGCTCCCCTCCATCTGCGCCTCCGCAGCCGGGGCTGCCGCAGCAGCGGACGGCGGCTCGGCCCCTGCTGCCGCCTCCTGCGTCTGCTCCCCAGCCGCTGCCGCCGCTGCAGCCGGCACGTCCCCCCCTTGCGCGCCACCTGCCTTTGCAGCGCCCTCTTCGCCATGCTCTCCCTCCTCCTCAGCAACAGCAACGGCTCCTGCCCCTGGGCCCGCCCCGACCAGTCCCGCCACCTCTTCTGCCCGCTCCCATGCCACGTCTATGCCGGCCAGCTGCTGCTCAGCGGCCGCCGCGCCCGGCCCACCGCGCGGCGCCACATCAGCGGACCGCTCAGCTGGCTGCGCCACCTCCGCCTCACCATTGCCCGCCATGAGTGCCGCTGCCCGTTCCTCAGCCGCCTGGGGCCCATCGCCTGTCGTGGCTTGTGCGGTGATCCCCGGCTGGCCGGTTGGGCGCTGCTCCTCCTCCCCGTCGCCCTGGCGCTCACCATCCCCCGGCTGATGCGCTGCATGCACCTCGGGACACGCCCCTGCTGCTTCTGGTGTGGTGGCTTCCGGTCCAGGCCCGCTTGCAGCGGCGGCCGCATCAGGCCCCATAGCCGCGTCCGTGTCACCAGGGCCCGACCCAGCACCCGCCATGCTGGGGCCCTGCTGCGGCTGCGGCTGCCGGGCAGTCTCACTGGGGCCAGTGCCCGGAGGCGCCGCTCCACAGCTGCCCTGTTGCTGCGGGTCCTCTCCGCCGCCGCCGCATGGAGCGGTGTCGACTGCGCTGCTCCCCGCTTGCTGCGTGGCCGCAGCAACTGCTGCTGCTACTAGATCAGGCTGGGCGGTGTTGCTGTTGCTAGTGCTGCTGCCGGCACCGTCAACCTCCATGCTCTCCGCCTGGAGCCCCGTAGACGGCCGGCTCCCCCCGGCATGCAGCCTGGGGTCCCCGCCCGCAGCCGCCGCTGTCGCAGGAGCAGCAGACGGCCCCTGCGCACTGGCGCCCTCCACAGCGCCCCTGACCCGCGGGTCACCTCCCGTGTCATCTGCTGCTGCTGCTGCTACAGGCACCACCGGTGCTGCCCCGCTGACCGCAGCAGGCGCTTCAGCTGCCCGGCCCTCAGCTCCCAGCTCCATTGCTGCGCTGTCCGCACCGTACCTGGGTCCTGCGCCTTCGCCGCTGCGTTCGTGGCGGGGCTGACGGCCCTCCGGCAGGTTTGGCGGTGGCGGCAGCTGCGGTGAGGATGGTCGGGACAGCTGCTGCTGAGGCTGCTGACGTGTATCCGCTGGCGCCGAGCCCGCTCCAAAACTGCTTTGCCGGTCCCCTGCCACATCATCCCCTCCCTCGTTCTGAGCCGCGGAGCACCACTGCCGCTTGGCTAGCGACGGAGGTAGCGGCGGCGGCGGCGGCAGCACCACGCCGGGTGCAGCTGCCCCGCTAGCACTGCCGCTGTCCCCGGCAGCCGCAACCGCCGGCCGCTTCTGCAAGGGCTCCCCTACCGGCCCCGCAGCAGCAGGCGGCCCGCCGCCATCGCGCTCCAGCTCCCAGCGACTCCGTCGCCCACCCGACCTACCACCCCAGGGCGCTCCACTGCCGCCGGAAGCTCCCCATGTAAAGCCCCCGCCCCCCCCTCCGCCGCCCCCACCACTAGCCGATGATGACCCGGCTCCATGCGCCGGGCCGCTCGGCATGCTGCCTTCCGCGCCACTGCTGCCCCGGCTGCTGCCTCCATTGCCGCTTGCGTTGCCGGAAGGAGCCGGCGGGGAGCCTGGCGGTGGCGCTGGCCGCGACGTCAGTCCCGGCGGTAAAGGCCCATGCGAAGGCCCTGACTCCTGTCCATGGCGCCCCTGCCAGCCCTGCCCCTGGTTCTGGCCCTGCCCCGGCCCAGAGCCCTGACCGTTACCCGGCCCCAGCCCGGGCGGTGTGCGTCCATGGGAATGGTGATAGCGGTTATTGTAGTGGTTGCCGCGCGGCCCTGGGCCTTGCCCCTGTCCTTGATTCTGGTTTTGGTTCCCGAACATTGGCTGCGGAGGGTAGGGCGGAGGGCGCGGGAGGCCCAGCCCTGGGGGCATGGGACCAGTCGGCGCCTGGAAAGGCAGGCCGCCGCCCAGCACCGCGCCCATAGCCCCGTTCATGCCTCCCCCCATTGCTGCCGCACCCATCGCCCCGCTCAGGCCAGGTGGCATGCCGCCCTGCATGGCTCCGGGCCCAAACGGACCCATGGGTCCCATGAATGCCGATTGCTGCAGCAGAGCCGCAGGCGGCGCGGCCATGAAGGCCCCCAGCTGCCCCTGCGTGAACATGCCTGCTGCCGCCGCTGCTGCGGCCGCCGCCGCCGCGGTCCCCGGTGCCATCATGCCTGCCGGCCCCACCGGCCCCAGCAGCCCGGGGGGTATGAGCGGCTGAGGAGGCGGCGGCGGCAGGGGAGGTGGCGGTGGCGGGGGTTGTTGCCGCGTGCCATTAGGGTTGGAGTCTGCGCTGTAGGGGTCCTGGCCCTCCGGCGGAGGCGCCTGCTGGTAGGGGCCCGCGGCTCCTGCAGCTGCGGGCTGGGTGCGGCCCCCGCCGAACCGCGGGTACGACTGAATGGCGCTGGAGCGGCCGCTGCCGGATGCGTCACCGAGGCCCACCTGAGGGTCCTGCTGGGGGGAAGGTCATGGGCGGCATGCGGGAAGGCCCCGGGAGGGTAGGAAGGGGGATACCGGAGATGGACCCATGGGTCTAGCACAGTTGTGCAGATGTGTCACTCCGCAATTGAGCGAAACGGCACCGCGCTGCACCGAAGCGGTGTAACGGCACAGAGCACTAGCCTAGGGGAAGGGACGAGCACCTGCATCACGTGGCAGAAATTCGCAGGCTGCCTGCTTGCACGCCCCCCCCGGACCCACTGCACCCCGTGCTGCCCCGTGCTGGTTTCTCCTCCTCCACTGCTCGCCCCGGGCCCCACCTGCGCGCTTGCCTCCGTCAGCGAGCCGCTGGGCGACTTGGAGTGCAGCCCGGGCGGCCGCAGCGGGAGTGCTGCGCTGCCGGACTCCACCTCCGCCAGCTGCTCCGCGCTGTACACCCCCTCCATGCGCCACAGCTTCAGCAGCTTGTCGATTTGAGCCTGAAGTGCATGCGTGCATTGTGCGTGCGTGTGTTTTGCATGTAAGCTCAACGCGGTTGAACTCGGTTGACGGAGACAGGGTCAGGCAAAGGCAGGGTGGCCGGAAGAGGAAGCGGTGTGGGGCATGGGCGTTGCTTACCGAGAAGTCAGGGCGCAGTTCGACGACCAGAGCGCCTGCTAGAGGCTTAAGGCGCTCCGCTGGATGGGGTGTTCCCGCGAGATTCGGGTGCACAGTTAGCGTTCATCAATTTGCAAGGGCAACAGCTGCGACTTACCATAACGATCGCGTGTCCCCTGCTGTTTGCGCGAAAGCCGCAGCAATGACGATACGCAATACAGAAGGTGCAGCTTGCCGCGCATGTTGGCCCCGCATTTGCGATGCTGCTTCTCCAGCAGGACCACAACATGCTTATAACACTGTTACCATGGCACAATCAGGATTGCAATACAGTTAGGGCCAACTTGTACCATGTGCGGGCAGGCACTTTGGTTTCAGCCCGGTAGCCCCTTTCTCATGCTTACCGTCCGTTCATCCTCGACTGCAATTGAAGCAAGCCGCTCAAGACGCGTTGTCGCGGCCTTTTGTATTGCCAACTCCAGGTCTTCCTTGTACTCCGCTTCTCGCTCCCACATTGGCATAAGCTTATGCTAAAGCGCTCAGGACTGGAAGCTAGATAAGTGCTTATTATTAGAGCCTTAAAGTTTTGGAGAACGCAGTCTCTTCATACAATTGCTTCTTTGCGGCCCGTAGCTAAAGCCTTTCACATATCAAGTTAACGAAACCCACTCTTGAACAACAAGGGAGGCGATTGTGCACGCAGCAGCGCCTGTTGAGGCAAGAGGTAGGAATGGCTCTTGTTCCGGAAGGCTTCGGAGCGTGATTCCTCTCAAAATGCACTCATCAAACCAAGTCAGTTTCGCAAATATCAATCCGTGATGTCGTTGTCCAGCATGTTCTAAAAAGCTCTTGATGCACGTTGTTCCCTATCTACCACCTCCTGTTTCCACTGAACTGCTCGGTTACCTGGTCGTACTTATCTGCGTCCAAAAATAGCCGTAACTGGCAGTGCGTGTACCACCGCTAAGGGATTACATACGAATGGGCAGGAGGGCATGGGCTCAGAGGGTGTTGTGGACCGGTTCATACCGTACCTGTTTGGTGTGTTGTTGTGTTTGCCCAGATGGAGCTTCTATCCTAGGCATATGATGCATGCAATCATGCCATATGCTTAGGGTAGGGCGGGCTCGAGGCTGGCTGATAACCGGATTGCTTGGCCGCAGCCACCCAGTCTGCCCCCGCGTACCCACCGGTGGTCCTCAAGGGTTGGGGCATAAGCGACGACGCTTTCCATCAAGTGGCATCTGCATGAAGTACTTCGGATAAATATCCTCTATACCTGCATGGGCGCTGCCGGCGTGACTGTGGAAGTTGGCGAGCCGCACAGCGCGCGTGAGAAGCAAAGGAGCATCTTAAGCCTACCGACATGTGAATGTAAGAGGTTATTTTAGGATAAACACGTGAGGGCATGGTGGCCGCTAAAGAATCAGCCTTGCAGCAGGAAGCCTGTAACGGGATCGCGGTTAAAAAGATTGCCGGACCGTACAAAGCTGATTCTAGTTCCATACCGGCAAGTCCTGAACTTTGTTTAGAGGAGTTGTTCTTAGTGTTGACTGTTTCAAGCCAATTTTAACCTATAGCACGGTAGCTGGCCTTTCGGAGCCATGTTGGCCAGTGCCTTGCCACAGTCATCGCTGCCGGCGAGGAGCCTAAAGCGGTATGCCTTGCTGAAATATACGCGCGAAATTAAAGGTTGCAATCTTTATGCCGCCAGAGCCATTTGTAGAGCTAACGTTGTCCATCCGTACCTTGCGGCTCATACGCTGTGTTTCTGCCACGCTAATACTCGACCACAGGGCAACGAGGGCTTCGCTCCGCGTCCAGGCGGTTGCGGCGCCTATTAAACCGTAAGTGCACATCGGCATTGCCGTCCTGTCATCTATCGCTGACCACCTTTTGGCCGGTGTTGGCCCACGCATTACCAACCTCACAGCTCTGAACGTCTGTCGCTGCAACCCGTAGTAAACCAGGGCATTCCGCTTTAATCACCTTATCTTCCTCCCGCTACCTGCACAACCCATCCAAACAAGGTCATCCATGCCCTTGCTCACAGCATTTCCCAACAATCCAGTCCTGGACTGGTGTCCATTCCAATCCCAACCACTGGCCCACACTCCATGCTACTCAGAGGCAACGGCGAATGCCCCGTGTTCAAGGACCCCAAGGGCCGGGTCATCCCCGCCATGTGCGCCGATTACGGGTTCCGCTCGGGCGCTGGGCGGCTGTACCAGGAGGGCTATGGCGAGGTACCCAAGGACGTATGGCAGCTGGTACGTACGGCATGGGCCCTCCCGGCCTTTGGAAGGGTGGCGAAGGGGAAGGGCCGCATGTGTACGGCATTGTTGTCGGCTAGTCGGCGACGGCTCCGGCGAGATGGCGGCGACGGACTGGTGGCGGGCCCTTCTTGTCTCGTCCGGCGACGATCCGTCTGGCCCGTCGTGGTTACTGCAGCTCGCAGGACGTCGGCGTGAGGGTGGTCAGCCATCTTGACCGGGCTCATGTGGTAGTGCATGGCGACGGTGTAGGGGCTGCAGTCCGGGCCGTCCAGCTCGCTCGCTGACCACCCTCACGCCGGCGTCCTGCGAGCTGCAGTAACCACGACGGGCCAGAAGGATCGTCGCCGGACGAGACAAGAAGGGCCCGCCACCAGTCCGTCGCCGCCATCTCGCCGGAGCCGTCGCCGACTAGCCGACAACAATGGAGTTGGTGACGGCCGCCGCGTGCTCGCAGGGTCCCTGAGCAGCATCAGCAACAAATGCTGAGCAGCGAAGCGCGCATTCGGTGTTAGGAACGCACAGTGCCGATGTCATACTGGGATTGGACGACTGCCGCCTGCTCCCTCGCCCCTTCCACATCTTCCCGCCCCCTCGTCTCCCCGCCGCCTCGTCTCCCCTCCACCCTCCAACCAGGCTAAGGACAACTACCGGCATGAGCTCGAGGCGCTTCGCCGAGCGGTGCGCTACCCCGCCCCTGACACCCGTCCGCCGGGCAGTGCGCTGGGCAAGGTACGGCAGGGAGGCCCCGGCTGGGCTGGGGTGAGCGGAGAGGGGCAGGAGGGTGGAGGACAGGGGGGTCAGGGATAAGGCAGGCCCGGTGTCGCCGCCGGTGTTGGGTGGCGGCCGGGAGGGGGCTTGCTGACCCAAGAGGGTGGCTGGGCAGAGGCCTACGGTAACTCCCTGCCCAGCCAAACCTCTCCATCCCTCCTTTCACCGCATCTCCTCCTTTCTCCTCTCATCCTCCCCGCCCAGTTGCTCCACGCTGCCGGCGGCGCTGTGTCCTCGGCGCTGCGGCGGCTGGACGGGGCGCTGGAGGGCGCCCGGGTGCTGCCGCCGCTGCAGCCGCCGCCGCTGCTGAGCGAGCTGGAGACGCAGGAGTTCAAACAGGTGGGGGGGAGGCAGCTGCATGTGCGGTAATGTGTCAGCGTTCAGCGTCCACAGTCTGAAATACAGTCGGGGACTAGCAACCGCGGACTTGGTGGCTGACGTGTTCTTGTGTATGAAGTACAGCCTGATGAACCGGTAATTGGCGCTGCTGACACTACCCCCTTGCCCCCTCGCACACGTCACCCCACCCGTCCCACCCGCCCCGTCCCTGCCCCTGTTCCGTTGCTTCGCTTGTCATTTATCTTTCGCCCCGCCCCCCGCCCCTGCCCCCCAGATCCGGGCCAAGCTAGACGCGCTGCAGCTGAGCACCGCCGACGTGGCGGCCGTGGAGGCTGCGCGGGTGGCGGCGCAGGGCGACATGGAGAGCCCGCTGTGGATCAAGGCGCCCTTCTTCGCGCTGTGCTGGCTGCTGGACGTCATGTACGACAACAAACCCATCGAGGTGGGGATGAGAGAGGGAGGGAGGCTGCTTGGGGTGGGGGAAGGGATGAACGCGAGAGGAGAGGGCGGGCCGGCCGGCCGGCTGCGGTCTCGCGACTTCATGCATAATGCCCGCTTGCCACGCATTGCCCATGCTGCTATGCATCTTTCATCGCCCTCACCCTCCCCTCCTTCTACCCTCGCCTCTCCCCTCCACAGAAGTTCTGGGTCCTTGAGACTGTTGCGCGCATCCCCTACTTCGCCTACATCTCCATCCTGCACCTGTACGAGTCGCTGGGTTTCTGGCGGGCTGGGGCGGAGCTGCGCAAGATCCACTTCGCGGAGGAATGGAACGGTGGGGGGGGGCGGGGCGGAGCGGGAGAGCTGGGAGGGGGTTGGTGGGTCGGAGGAGGATTGGTCGATGTTCACGTAGGAAAGGATTCACCTTCTCTTCTCCGCTGCAGTGAGCACCCAGCAAGCGTGGGTTGCTTGGCTGCCCCCTCTTTTTCAAACCGTATTCTAACCTGCCCCCTGCCCCCCCTGGGTCCCTGCTCCTCCTTCGCCTCCGCCTCCGCTCTCACCCGGCCCCACCGCGGTCGCTCCCGCCGCCCCAGAGATGCACCACCTGCAGGTGAGGAACCAGCTGGCAGGGGGGTGCTGTGGTGGTGAAGTGGTGGTGGGGCGGGTTGAAGGCGAGGGGTTGCCGTACGGATGCCGGGAAGGGGACTTTCTCCATCTCCGTCTTGGTTCTCTTCTCTCACCTCTCCCAAACACCCTCCTACTTCACCGCCCTTACCTCCCCCTCATCCCCCCCCGCATCAGATCATGGAGAGTCTGGGTGGCGACCGGGCCTGGTTCGACCGCTTCGTGGCGGAGCACGCGGCGGTGTTCTACTACTGGGTGAGGGGCGGGAGGGGGGCGGCAGCGGGGGGGAGGGAGGGAGCAGAGAGGAGGACTGGACAAGGAGGAGGAGGAGCTGCTAAGGACTCCCAGCGCCCCAGTGCCTTGAAGAGGGCATGCGGGCAAGGATGGTACTACGTACTTCACCGCATCGCAACCCGTCCCTGTCCCTCTCCCTACCCCCCCGCCCCCCCGCCCCCCAGGTTCTCATCCTGTGCTACCTGGTGTCTCCCGTGATGGCCTACAACTTCATGCAGCGGGTGGAGCTGCATGCGGCCGATACCTACTGTGAGTGGGGGGGAAGTGGGGGGGGGAGTGGAGGGAGTGGAGGGAGTGGGGGGAGTGGGGGGAGTGGGGGGAGTGGAGGCGGGGAGGGAGGGAGTGGAGTGGAGGGAGTCAGGACATGTGGCACTGCGCTAACGGCTGCACGAGACACGCGTCTCGAATGAATGAAGAGCCCTTCCAGGCGAGCCGCACCCACCCTCCCGCTGCTCGCCCGAGCCCCTCTTGAACCCTAGCATGCCGCCTTCGTTCCCTGCTTGGTCCCTACCCCGGCATCCTTGCTCCCTCCCTACCCCCGCTCCCTTGCTCCTCCCTTGCCCCACCCCTGCTCCCTCGCTCCTCCCCTCTCCTCCCCTCCCCCCCACCCAGCTGCCTTCGTGGATCGCAACCGGGCTCTGCTGCGCTCCGTGCCTCCCCCGATGGTGGCGCTGCAGTACTACCTGGCGGAGGACCTGTACCTGTTCGATGAGTGAGAGGGGGGTCAAAGACCATACCAAACCATAGGAGACCACAAGTTAGGGCAAAGCAATGGGGGTAGGAGTTGGCAGGGCGCCCGGCGTAAGGAAGTTGGGAAACAGGGAGGGAGGAGTGAGCTGGGAGGGGGAACTCCGGATCACAGCTGGGGCAGACAGGGTTACCGGAAACAGCTGCGACCTGTGTCAACTGAGTACGCTTTCTGACACAGCTCTCCCCCTCGCCCCTCCTGCCCCCCCGCCCTCCAGGTTCCAGACGGGCTCCCGCCACTCCCCGCCCCGCCGCCCGCCTTGCGACACGCTGCTGGACGTGTTCCTCAACATTCGGGATGACGAGCTGGAGCACGTCAAGACCATGGCGGCGTGCCAGCAGTCCACCATTGCACGCGACATTGCGGCGGCGGCGGCGGAGCGGGCGCAGCAGCAGCGGGAGCAGCGGGAGCTGGAGTAGGAGGGCTAGGAGGAGGGGCTAGATGGAATGGCCGGGAGGAGGGGCTAGGTGGGGGGCTAGGAGGATGGGGTAGGAGGGGTTACGGAGGGTAGCGGGATGGCTATTGGGGTGACCGTACTTTGTAGGGCCCCGTAGGGGGAAGATGTGAGGGTGGTGTTGGTGGGTTATGCGGCTGGCGCGTGATGAGAGGAGGGAGAGGGGCGTGCGGGCTGCCGGCGGAGGCGGGTAGAGGTACAGTCAGATGGCTTTGGCATTGTTGCTTTATGAGGGAGCCGAGAGCCGGGAGCTGGAGCTGGAGCGTTCCGTAGCGCGAGGTGTGCAGTGCCGTGCTGGGGTGCAGTGAGGGGCAGTGAGGTGGGGTGAGGTGCAGTGAAGTGCGGTGGGATGTGAGGGGGGTTGGCCAGCATGTGAGCAGCAGCTGCTGTGATGGCGTGGGATGCGGTCGTTAAAGAGGAGCGTGTCCGCGCGGGGGAGGGCAGATGTGGATTGTAGTGAAGAGGTGACACTGCTTGGAGGAGGGCCGAGGGAGGGAAAGTGTGTGTGTGTATGCATGTAGGGAGAGGTGTGTTGCGTAGCCGCCGATGCAGGGCACAGCGCATTGCATTGTGCGTGGATAACGGCATGCGCAAGTTAGGGCTGGCTGGTAAGAGTTTGTAGACTACAATGTATGCCTTGGTGCGAATGGTGGTTTGGTTGCTGTGTTGATTGGTTCTATGCTGTATTGTGCATTGTGGATAGCTGACGGTGCGGTTAAAGGCAAACGTGACCCACGGGTCACATGTCCATTATGAATGTGTATTTGGAGCATGTTGCGGTATTTGTTGATGAATGTGCCGTGAGTGTGTTGCTATCCGGATGTGCACCGCGCCTCTGTTACATTGACGTGGGTGCGGTGCTGTGGCTCATGCAGCTTGATGAGGAATGCCCGGGGGGAGCGGGGCAGGGACGAGGTGTTCGGCTGAGGGCATGATTATTCCGCAGCTGCCTTTGGCTAACCGCGTTGGAACTTTGAAGGATCTGTCACCTGCTTGCGTCCGTGACTCCACCAAGTGACGATGTTGTGCTCGTGTGGGACGTCATGCGTGATTACTAAACCTCCACAGTGCTTACAAGCACCTGCATGTTCACGTGTACGGCGTGATTTGCGTTCACTGAGAGGCAATTGCATGGCAGGCTTTTGGGTGTCGGTATACGTGGTGTTGCTACTTGGTTGTTATGTCAGGGTTATGTAGTCAAGCTGTTTGCTGTACCGGTATGTGCTGTACTGTTTTCTGAACGACTGGTATGAAACATTGTATGCGAGTGGTGAACTGGCCGGGCAAGTTCACCCCCCCCCCCCTTCCCGTCTCTTCATTTTACAGGAAAGTGTCCGCCTTGCAAAAAGCGCCCCTGCTTGTGTTTGGCGTGTGTTGGGTTTGCAGCGTAGCTGCTCGGATCACAATTGCCCAAAAGGTAAATATACCAATTCCCGCTCGCTCAAACATGCATCCGCTCATACCAAACCCATCGGGGTTTTAGAGGAGGTTATGACACACTCGAGGCCGCATGGCCACACTTGAGAGTTGACGCCACCGCAGACTCTGTACAGAGGAGTACACCTCCCCAGCAGGCTAATGGTGAATATGCATGTGTGATGTGTCATGTGTGTCACTTGTTTGTCTGTGCCCTGCCTAGACCGTGTTTGCTTGCACACACACTACGTACACACAGAAACACCATATCGTGATGGGTAATAGCAATGAAACGTATTGACACCTGTAGTTCCACATTTGCATACTTGCATTGTGCGCACAACAAGCTTACAACAAAACCAAGCCAAAACCTCCCAACACTAGTAACGTCAGTAACACAGCGCTCCACAGCGCACAAACAAAAGCAACGACGTAAGCATTGTTTAACCGAACCGCAAAAGAAGCAGAATATTGCCGAAAACGCAGAAATGTACGTACGTTCCACACACCCCTCCAACCAACACACAAAAAACTACTTGGCAAGAACCTGCCAAACGCACGCCACCATTCTCTACCGGTGTGCTTGCCGCCCCCGCATTTCTAGCAAAGCCCGTTGCGACGCTGAGCGGAAAAGCATGCCCCTGGAACGCGTCCCCACCTTGGGTTAGGAAGAGGCGCGTGCAGGCGTGTCGCCGTCAAAACCTGCCGCACTTCATACGGCCCTCCATATGTAACATGCCCTCCCATGCAGCCTATTTTGTCGCTGCCTTAAACTCTATCTTTCCCTCAAACCTCTCCTAACCTACACCCCCACCATCAACACCCCACCCCCACCACCATCACCACCGCTTTACCGCATGCGGTACTCCTGCGTGTTCTTGGCTTGCCCCCGCTCGCCCTTGAACTCGTAGTCTATCGTGATGTCCAGGTCACGAGGGTTCTTGGCGTTGGGCTTGCAGTGCATCTGCCCGCTGATGGTCTCGTCCTTGCAGCCAATCTGCAGGCGCGAGGGAGGGAGAGCAGTTGCGGGTGAGGTGGTGGCAGGAGGTGGGGTTACGAGGGCGCCAGTCCCCACCGATACCAGCCAGTCCGCACCCTCGCTTATCCACTCCCAGTCCTCACCCTTACCATGACACGCCGCCCAACCCTTAACCCACACGCCCCAGCGCTCCTCAACCCCTCCCCGCTCCTCAACCGCCCCCCCACCCGCTCCTCAACCCCTTCCGGCTCTTCTCCTACAGCCCCGCCCCCTCCCACACCCACCAGCGTATCCTCCAGGTAGAACACCGTCTGCTTCCAGTGCGTGGGGCGGGCCCGCGGCGAGGTGGAGAAGCTCAGCTGCTTGTGCCCCCGCGTGAAGGCGACATCAAAGTAGCCCACCAGCGCGTGCACGTAGTCGTTGCGCGTCAGGTCGAGCTGGAAGGGCACGGAGAAGGTCGCGTCCTCCTTCTTCATGGTGCAAATGTCCACACTGACAATGGTCTGCACGTTGGTGGCGATCTGCGCGGAAGGTAGAGGAGGAGAGGGTGGGTGGGTGGGTGTGGTAACGGTGCGTGTTGCAGCGGAGAGGACGAGGCAGGGCGTAGGTGGTTAAAAACAGGTCTCTCTAGCTCAGCGGTAGCGTGACCCGACCTCCCATGCAGCCAGCCCTGCTAGCCGCCTCTCCTCCCCCACCCCACCCCACCTCACCTGGCATATGCATCCCCCCCTCCCCTCTCCCCACCTGGTCGGGCTCCACAATGTCCACCAGCGGCTCAGCGATGGCCAGCTGGCGGATGCAGCTCATGTTGAAGCCGTACACGTTGTCCCAGAACTCAATCTTGTCGTGCTGCGGGTGGCAGGGGAGCAGGCGCGGGAGGACGGGTGAGTGGCGTGGTAGAGGTGTAGAGAAAGGCGACAAGGAAGGAGAGGGGCTTTCAGGGCGTCTGATAGGATCTAGGGTGCAGCGACCCCTTACTCCATGTTCATACTGCATCCCTTAATATCCCCGTCATGCAACCCACGAAGGAGCCATGTCGCCATGCGGCTATACCGGCAATTACTCCTTCAAGCACCCCCTCCCCCGCACCTTGTAGTCCCCGTCCTCGATGGCGCACAGGCTGAGGGTGGCCTTGTCGGGCATGATGATGCCGCCCGGCACCAGCCACTTGTCGCGCGCGTACAGCACCGTGTCCAGCATGGACTCGTAGAACAGGAAGTAGCCCATCCACTCGCTCACAATGATGTCCACCTGAGGCACCGGCAGCGTCACCTGCATGCAAGGGGGGGCGGAGGGGGGTGCATGGGAGGGAGGCGGTTGAGGGGTGGAGACAGCAGGGGGTACTGATGTGATGTCCGCATGCCGGCATGCGGCATGTTGCAGGGCGACACGGACATCCCGCTGAGAGCTCCCGCCTCCCACCCTCACCCCGCACCCCACAGGCGGGGTCAAGAGCCCCCCCGCACCCCTGCGCCCCCCGCGCTCACCTCCTCCACCTTGCCCTTGATGATGGTCACCCGGTCCTCGTAGCCGTTGTCCTTCACGATCTGCCGCGCCTGGTCGGCGATGGTGCTGCACTCGATGCCGTACACATGCTTGGCGCCAGCCTGGGCAGGGGAGGAGGGAGGGAGGAGCAGGAAGGCATGGAGGATGTTGGAAGACGCACGGGGATGGCCCGGATGGTAAAATAGTACCCGTACTATCCTGGGCTAAACGTTCGATAAGTCTAGGAGGCTACAGAAGCACAAATACTCAATGAAGGCTCTGCATCTTCTGTGGTAAGACCTTCGCCAGGCGATAAATTGAGAGCCCTGCAAGCGCACTTCGCACACCGTTTGCCAGCAACCCGCCGTGACTGACCCACGGGTCCCCGGGTCCCCCTCACCTTGGCGCTGAAAAGCGAGAGGATGCCGGTGCCGCAGCCAATGTCCAGCACGATCTTGTCCTTGAAGAGGAAGGCGTTGTTCATGATGGCGTTCATGTAGGTGCGGGTGCGCACGCTGTCCTTGAGCATCTCCTCATGGATGCCTGGGCAGCAGCAGGAGGGAGGAGAGGGGGAAAGCAACACAGGAAGGGCGGGGAAAGAGAGGGAGAGGTGAGGAGAGGGTGAAAAGGCAGGCGGGGAAACGGCAGAAGTGGAACGGGGGCCGCGAATGGTGGTGTAAGGTACGGGAGGTATGGTAAGGGAACCCTCGTAAGGTGGAAATCCGGTGGATTCGGAAACAGTTGCTCCCAACAATACGCTCCCACGAAATAAGTGACGTCTATTGTCGCTAGGATGCAGGCGGATGCTGCATAACCCAACAAGGACCAAGTCCCCGCCCTTGGGAGAGACGTTGACCCACGGACAGCGGGACTCATGCGGCTGTGCCCGCTAGACCAAACATGGACCATTATGCGAGGGATTCATCAAAACACCTCCAAAAACTTAAACAGCTGTGCGAGAGAGCGGCCGCGGCTTTCATGGCGGCGGCCGCATTCAATTCCGGCACTCCAAACGAGCCCTAAAGCGTTACGTTTGCCACTTACCAAAGTGAGAATAGCTGTCGAAGTAATAGTTGGCTGACGTGAGCTCCGCCTGCAGCATCAGGGAGATACGCATACCGGTAATATTGAAATGCCATATGCTTGAAACTAGCGCAAGACAGCGGGTTATGGGGATAGAAATATGCTATAGAGATGACTTCTCCGTTATAAAAACCTTAAAGCTTTGACTGAGCAGGCTACACACACCTGACCAACATTGTTGGTAGGACCCGTCTCCATCTGGTCGGCCATTTTGATCACAGTACGTAATGTATTGTGAAATGGTTAAGAAGTCAAGTATATATAGGAGGTCTTCAGGCGTCGACCGGCTTTTAACCAACCGATGCCATAGCCGTATGGCGGGACGAATGGCCCATGGACGCAAGTTGCACGGGCAAGTCTTATTCCGATCTTCTGTACTATCCAGTAGGTAGCTTTATGCATACGCTTGTACCATCACGGTGAGCCGTCGACCACATTGAAAGTCTTTCGGCACCAATGGCCAGCTGTCCACTAGGCTTTGGCGGCCCTCCTTCTGGGGTGGGCGAGCTATCGCATTACCATTGTGTACTCTGCCGCGGCTTGTTGCATGAACCCACAAGTGTAGAGGACTGCCGGCATTGCTTCTGTGCCTTTTGCATCCGTCGCTTTCGCGACTGCCCAGTATGCGGCGCCGACATCAAAAGCACGCACTCTGACACCGACCTAGCAGCGACCATCAACAAACTCTTAACCGGCCACGCAAAGCTGCTGGCCAAAGCCACCCATCCCCCATCCATCTCAGCCCCTGGAGTCTGCCCTGCTACTGCCAGTCCTGCATCCTCCGCAGCGCCTTCCTCGTGCCCGGTAGCGCACTCCGGTGGCCCCAGTCAGCTGTCCACACCAGCCGCTCCTTCTCCTCCCCTGGATCTGCCCTCTCTGCTGCTGCAACTCGCGCTGCAGTCACTCCACGGTGGCAATCCCGAGGCTGCCCTCGCCCGCCTGGACCTCTGCGCCGACACCCTCTGCGCCACCGCCGCCGCCGCCGTAGCAGCAGCCTCCCCCGAGACGGAGGCCAAGGCAGATCCCAATACGCCTGAAGGGGCTCCCGCCAACGGCAGCGATGGCACCACCACCACCGCCACCACCACTGAAGGGACTGAGAAGCTTGACAGCGAGGGTGAGGCCGCGAACCCAGCCGAAGCAGCCACCGCTGCTGCCGCACCTCCTCGGCTGCTCGCTGCCGCCCGCAGCAGCGCCGACACCGCCTGCCGGCTGGGTGCGGTGCTGGGTTGCCAGGCGGACTGCCACCGCAGGCTGGGGGACGCAGCGGCGGCGCAGCGCCTCTACGCGGCCAGCACGGCTTGTCTGACACCTTGGGCGGAGCAGGGCAACCGGGAGGCGCGGGCGGCGCTGTCCGTGACGCTCAACAAGATGGGAGATCTGGCGCTGCTGGGCGGTTGTACGGCAGATGCGCTGGAGAAGTACGAGCGCGCGCTGAGTATTCGGCGGCGGCAGCTGCAAGGAGCAGGAGGGTGCGGAGGCGAGGCGGAGGGAGGGCTGCTGGCGGAGAAGGCAGCGGTGGGAGGAGGTGTGCAGGTGGATGGGGAGGAGGTGGTGCACGACTGGTGCGACCTGGCGACCAGCTTGTGCAAGGTGGCTGACGTGTGCTTGGCGCTGCGAGAGGAGCAGCTAGCTGGGCAGCAGGGGCCGGGAGAAGGGCATCGGCGGGAGGGTCCGCAGCAGCAAGAGGAGCAGCAACAGCAGCAGCAGCAGCAGGAAGGGGATCAGGGGCGAAAGGCGGTCTGCAGGGCAGAGGAGTTGATAGTTGAGGCGCGACGAGCGCTACTGAGGCCCGGCTTGCGGCCGTACGCTCGCGCCTGCGGCCTGCCGCTCTTTGAAATTAGCACCGCAGCTGCTGCTAGGGTCGGGCAGGAGGACGCGGGTGCAGAGCGGGAGGCGGGTGCGCAGCAGCAGCAGCAGCAGGGAAGCGGGCGGAGCGAGGCAGAGGGCGGTGCTGGGGCTGGTGCCGCTGCTGCGCCACTGCCGCAGACGCTCGTGCAGCGGTTCGGTCGCGTATGGGGCGCCGTGGAGCAGTTGAGGATGCGGGTGCAGGAGCTGCGGGCAGTGTAGGATGGCGGGTGCAGGGGCTGGTCGTGTGGGCGGGCTGCATACTGATAGTTGGAGAGAGAGATTCACGTTGAAGGGGGTTGAGAGCTGATGTGTTTTCTGTTTTTGGAGTAGGTAATCGCAATTGCAGGACTTGAGGAACGGCATGAGGAATGGCAGGTTGGTGCAAAGCACTGTGAGAAAGCTGCACGTGCAACATAGGAGGGTTGGGCACGGATAGAGGCGGGCTTGACTTGTACCGGTAGCTCAGCACTGCAAGTAGGCAGCGTCCATCAAGGAACCCTCGGTTGCGCACTGTCACACAATTGCTTCCTGCAAACGCCTCTGTCGTTTGTATTATCGACGTGAACACGTCACCATTGAAACTATACCACCGGAGCACACACCTGATCCCACGCATGTAGAAGCAGTACAGTAACCCGTAACAGGAAGTTACCATGCAATCCTAACGGACCTGCTTAAGACACACATGAACGACATCGTTGTAAAGCCCCACCCGATCTGAACGCCAATCCTTAAACACTGTGATCGGACTCCTTCCCAGGCCGCTACCCCCGACACCCCGCCTAGGACCGTCCAGCAGCAGCAGCAGTGCGCCAAACTCCCATACCAGCAGCTAGTACCCACAGAACCAGTACGGCATCTGCTGCCAGCCTACATCCCTGGCGCAGCCCGTGCCTATGACGTGCACTACGGCGCCAATGTGACCTTTCCACTGATCTCCAGCAGCCACTCCAGCCTCCGCCGCCCCACGCTGATGCCCTCGTCAGCCTCCGCTGCGGCGTCCCAGGCCTCCTGCACCACCTGCATGCGGCAGCGGGCAGTGCACATACACCTGGACACGGCTCAGTTGGAACAGGGGCAGGCGGCTTGCGCCGTCACGCACATTTGGTGTCTGAAGACGGGACGTATCACAGCACCCCATTACCCCATTAAAGAGCACACTGCGCGTCCGTTAAGACCAGGAACATGTACCACAACCACCCCGCGTCCCATGTGACGCCTTCCCAGTTATCACACGTTCGTTAGCTGTTTCCTCTTTACCCCGCGACCCAAGTGGCTAGGACAACGCAATCCCATCGGCTACGCGGCTAGTCATGTGACTAGGCAGAGAGCTCGGTAAGGGTGTCTGGCCGCAGCGTCCCCCCACTGACCTCTTGCAAGGCGTGTGTGAAGAGCACCTCGGGCAAGTCATATAAGGAACCTCCTGTCATGTTCCCCGGCGGCCGCAGCATCACCACCTGCAGCGACAGCGCCCCCTCCGCCGCTCTCGCCAACGATACCACCGCCTGCACCACCTCCGCCACCACCTCGTGCCTGCACGCCAGGATGGCGGCGGCGGCGCCCGGCAGCCCCTGACACTGCAGCTCGCACCGATAGCCGCCACCTACAGCTCCATTCACACGCTCCTGCAGCAGCTGCACCCAGCCGCTGAGCACGTGGGCGTCTTGCGTCACCAGGGCCATGAGGGAGCCGCGCAGCAGCAGCGCTAGCTTCCCGTCCACCAACCGCACGTGGCCCGCTGGCCGGGCCCCGGCACCGCCCGATGCGTAATCCGAGGCACCTTCACCCACCGCTGTGACCAGGGTTCCTGCGGCGGCCAACCGCTGTGCTGCTGCTCGCGCCACTTCAACAGCGGAAGGCAGCGAGGCCTTGTGTGGCGGGTGCTGGGCAGCAGCACCCGCCAGCAGCGGCTGCCCGCCCAGGGGTGCCGTCACCGCTACCCGGATGCTTTGGATGAAGAAACAAGGGAGCTGAGGCAGCCCCACATCCAGGTGCTCCGGCGCGCCCAACACCTCCAGCCCCTGCAGCACTGCGGCCGCGGGAGCGTCGTTGTCCACCCACACGGCCCCCACCTCAACCCGCGTGAAGCACCGCTGCAGCGCCCGCTTGAGGTTCCCCAGCCTCGCCTCGTCAAGCACCGTGGCGCGGCTGCCGCTGAGTTGCAGCTGGCCGATGCGCAGGAGCTGCAGCGGCAGGGGCTGCTGCGGGCCCGCCAGCAAGCCGGCCAACAGCCCCTGGCTCAATTCGACCGCCAACTGTTCCAGTGAGACAACTTCGTATCCCCGCCGGTGTTGTTCGCTTGCGGGTGCTAGATCCACGGACGTCATGCGGCGGGCCTTCAGGAGCACCAGGAGGTTGACGTTGTGGCGTGGGCAGCCTGAGGCACTGCACCGCCGGAGCCACAGGCGCTCCAGGGAGGCCGGCAGGCTGCGCAACAGCAATTGAGGCGGTGAGCAGCTGGTCTCATTGCCGTTGCCTTCGAAGTGGCAGTCGGACAGGGTGAGTTCCCGCAGCTCACGGAGCAGCGAGAGGCCACGCAGCTTGCTGGCATCGATGTGCTGCTTTCCAGGCATCGCACGGCCGCAGTGGCTTCTGCACACGTGGAGGTACTTTAAGGGGCTGCCTGCCAGAGCATCCAGGCATGCTAGCGCAGCGCCGGATGACAGAACGAGTCGCTCGAGGTGGGGCAGGCACGCGAGGCTGCAGTACATGGTGCGTAGGTGTAGCCGCTCGTTGGATACTCCGTGCAACTGTTTTAGGTCCAACTCCCGTAGCCCTGGTAGACGATGCGCCAGCAGTGCTACCACTGTTTCGGCGCCAGACATGTAGTCATGGCTGGACAATGTCAAAGAAGTAATCTGTCGTCTGGCGTTGAGCGACATCTTGGTAAACGGGAGCGTGAATAGACCGGCGGAATCCAGCACGTTTGGCAGGTCTAGATGCGACACCATGCAGACCGTGTTGCATCGAGGCCAGCGAGCCACAGAAGGCAGGCGACCCGCTGTCCAGGTATCTGCGTCCTCAGACTTAATCCAAACAGTGATTTGCCTCACGCTGCTGTCAATAGCGTCACGCAGTTGCCGACACGTCAACCGCAGGGCCCGGATAGAGTGTTTCTCAAGCTGTTGGACCAAGAAGTCCTTTGCCGGGATGCTGAGCTCCCTAAGCACGTCAGGGAAGTTGTGCTGCCTTTGGCGAGGGGCTGCCACTTTACAGCTTTCCATTTTGACTTCTTAACAGCCTTGGTTGGTGGCTCAGGAACCAACAGGGAGCAGTAGGTATTTGTGCAGCAAATGTGCTTCTCAGCTTTCCTAAACGGGAACACTCTGAGCGTTCATATTGCCAATCCCATTTCATAATATGAAAGAACAATGTATTATAGAGTATGGATGGAACAATGGATGCGGGCCCACCAAAAAATCCAGATCCTATCGTATCCTTTAGTAAAAGCCTTAAGACCTGCTAGCAGCTAGGAAAACATGGTTTTCAGGCATGTCCGATCTGCTTTAATGCTGGAAGAAATAATTCGTGTCACCTGTCGCTGCGGGTTTGTTAGCTGCATGACTGAGGCACAGTACAAGTAGTCTCCCCAGCGACACACACCTAGTCCCACCTAATCCCACAGCACGCACCTAATCCCACGCATGTAGCAGCAGTGCCGTAACACGTAACAGGAAGTTAGTTACCATGCAATTCTAGCGGGCATGCTTAAGACCCACATGAACGACATCGCTGTGAAGGCCCGCCCGATTTGATCGCCACTCCTCAAACACTGTGATCGGATTCCTTCCCAGGCCGCTACCCCCGACACCCCGCCTAGACCGTCCATCAGCAGCAGTGCACCAAACTCCCATACCAGCAGCTAGTACCCACAGGATCAGTACGGCAGCTGCTGCCAGCCTACATCGCTGGTGCAGCCCGCGCCTATAATAAGCACCACGACCCCAAATCGACCTTTCCACTGATCTCCAGCAGCCACTCCAGCCTCCGCCGCCCCACGCTGATGCCCTCGTCAGCCTCCGCTGCTGCGTTCCAGGCCTCCTGCACCACCTGCATGCGGCAACGGACAGTTGTGCACCGAGACATGGCTCAGTTGGAACAGGGGCAGGCGGCATGCGTCGTCAGACACATATGGTGTCTGACGACGGGATGTGCCGCAGCACCCCACCAAAGAGCACAGTACATGTACCACGCGTCCCAAGTGACTAGGGCAACGCAATCCCATCGGCAAAGCATGTGACTAGGCAGAGAGCTCAGTAGGGTGCCGCAGCGTCCCACTGACCTCTTGTAAGGCTTGGGTGAAGAGCTCCGCGGGCAAGCCAGACGGGGACATTCCCGTCATGTTCCCCGGCGGCCGCAGCATCACCACCTGCAGCGACAGCGCCCCCTCCGCCGCGCTCGCCAACGTACCCGCCGCCTGTGCCACCTCCGTCACCACCTCGTGCCCGCACGCCAGGATGGCGGCGGCGGCGCCCGGCAGCCCTTGGAATTGCGTCCCGATGTAATGGTCGTGGCTACCTGTAGCTCCACTCACATGCTTTTGCAGCAGCTGCACCCAGCCAATGAACACGTTGAGATCTTGCGTCACCAGGGCCATGAGGGAGCCGCGCAGCAGCAGCGCTAGCTTCCCGTCCACCAACCGCACGTGGCCCGCTGGCCGGGCCCCGGCACCGCCCACTGCGCAATCCGAGGCACCTTCACCCACCGCTGTGACCAGGGTTCCTGCGGCGGCCAACCGCTCCACTGCTGCTCGCACCACCTCATCAGCGGAAGGCAGCGAGGCCTTGGCTGGCGGGTGCTGGGCAGCAGCACCCGCCAGCAGCGGCTGCCCGCCCAGGGGCGCCGCCACCGCTACCCGGATGCGGTCGCTGAGGAACCCAGAGTGCTGAGGCAGCCCCACATCCAGGTGCTCCGGCGCGCCCAACACCTCCAGCCCCTGCAGCACTGCGGCCGCGGGAGTTTTGCTGTCCACCCACACGGCCCCCACCTCAACCCGCGTGAAGCACCGCTGCAGCGCCCGCTTGAGGTCCCCCAGCCTCGCCTCGTCTAACACCCTGACGCGGCTGCCGCTGAGTTGCAGCTGGCCGATGCGCAGGACCTGCATCGGCAGGGGCTGCTGCGGGCCCGCCAGCAAGCCGGCCAACAGCCCCTGGCTCATTTCGACTGCCAACTGTTCCAGTGAGACAGCATCGTATCCTACCCCGCTTGTGGGTGCGAGGTCCACAGACACTATGCGGCGGGCCTTGAGGTGCACCAAGAGGTCGATCTTGCCATTTTCGCGGCGAGGGATACCGCATCGCTTAAGCCGCAGGCTCTCCAGGGAGGCCGGCAGGCTGCGCAACAGCAACTGAGGCGGTGAGCAGTTGGCCGCATTGCCGTTGTCTTGGAGATGGCAGTCGGACAGCGTGAGTTCGCGCAGCTCACGAAGCAGCAAAAGGCCACGCAGCTCGCTGGCATCGACCTTTTGTTTTTGAGGCAACCCACGGCTGCGGTGACTGCATACGTGGAGGTACTTTAAGGGGCTGCCAGACAGAGCGTCCAGGCATGCTAGCGCAGCGCCGGATGGCAGAGCGAGTCGCTCGAGGTGCGGCAGGCATGCGAGGCTGCAGTACATGGTGCGTAGGTGTAGCCGCTCGTCGGATACTCCGTACAAGTCTTCTAGGTCCAACTCCCGTAGCCCTGGTAGACGACTCGCCAGCAGTGCTACCACTGTTTCGGCGCCAGGCATGCGGTCATAGCCGGACAATGTCAAAGAAGTAATCTGTCGTCTGGCGTTGAGCGACATCTTGGTAAACGGGAGCGTGAATGAACCGGCAGAATCCAACACGTTTGGCTGATTTAGTTGCGACACCATGCAGACCGTGTTGCATCGAGGCCAGCGAGCCACAGAAGGCAGGCGACCCGCCGTCCAGGAAGCTTCGTACTCCCAGTTAACCCGAATAGTGATTTGCCTTACGCTGCTGTCAATAGCGTCGCGGAATTGCCGACACGTTTCCCGCATGGCTCGGATGGAGAGTTTCCCAAGCTGTTGGACGAAGAAGTCCATTGCCGGGATGCTAAGCTCCCTAAGCACATCAGGGAAGTTACGCTGCCTTTGGCGAGGGGCTGCCACTTTACAGCTTTCCATTTTTGCGTTCTTAACAGCCTTGGTTGGTGGCTCAGTAACCAACAGGAAACAGTAGGTATTATGCAAATGTGCTTCTCAGCTTTCCTGCACGGGAACACTCTGCGCGTTCATATTGCCAATACCATTGTGAGAACAATGTGTTATAGACTATGGATGGACGATGGGTGCGGGCCCGCCAAAAAGTCCAGATCCTATCGTATTTTTTGATAAAGCCTTAAGACCTGCTAGCAGCTAGGACAACATGGTTTTCAGGCATGTTCGACAGCCGATCTGCTTTCATGCTGGAAGAATAAATTCGTGTCACCTGTCGCTGCGAGTTTGTTAGCTGTGACTGAGGCATAGTACAAATAGTCTCCCCGGCAACGGCACCCGATGCTAGTTAGGGAACGAGATATTAACCAGATCCAACCTACTCCGCCATAATCTTACATTTATGTCAAAGGACATCAGCACGGTTGCTGGTTGACAGCTGCGCTAGCGAAGGGCAGGATCGCCAGCAACATAACCACTGCTCCACAAATCACCACGGTAACATAAAATGCCCTCTAAAACCCATGATCTGGTCACGGTGATGCGGGAGCTGTCGACTGGAGCCATCGACGCCATCATTGACAGCTTACAAGATGATGTATCATTTTGAGTGTCAACTAAAAATGGGGTTTTGGAGCGCATGTACGACAGGGAGCAGAGCAGTCGCCACCAGGCTTGCGAGTGGACGGTGCTAGACGTTTTGACCTTGGTTAAACAGTTTGCCCTCAGCTGGCCTTTCAGGTCTTTGCCGCTGAGTTTCCGTGCGCAGTTAGGAAGGCGCTGACTTTTGCGTAGTTGCAGACAGTTCTTAAGTATGGCTGCAGCTGTAGGTAGGCGAGCCTTTTGTTAAGGCTAAATTAGCAGATATTAACCAAGAGCTAGCAGAGCTAGGTTTGACCGAAGCAGACCGAGCTCAGGTCCGCGAGTACAATTGGGCGGTAGAGCAAGCCGAACAAGCGTATCAGGCAGCCATGGCTCCAGTGGGACTTACCAGGCCTAGCCGTGGCAGCGCGGTAGCAGTTAGCACCTGGCAGGAAGCCCATCAGCGGGCCAATTCAAACAGAAACGCTAAACGGAGGCAGGCTCGCGAGACGCACAGGCGCGGTTATGAGTTGCTATCACGTTACCAGTCTTGAGAACAGCTTCGCAATCAGGGGACAGCTCTGCAAGAAGAATTGGCCGCGCTCCCAGGGCCCAGCAACGCAGCGGCCGGAGCAGCGCCGGCTCACATCCACAACGCCGAAGCAGAGGCACCGGAGGAAATTGACAATGGTGAGAACGGGGCGGAGCAACGGCCAGGAGGGTCCAGGGGCCGGCGGGCAACAGCGGCTCGCGTTCGGGCAGACAGGGGACGGGGGGGCACTCGTGCAGTCCGGGAGGCTTTCCAGGCGACCCCCGGCCGTCAGATAAGCCACCGGCACGCCACCACTGCTTCACCTAACGCGCCTGACCCCGAGACCTTGGGCGTAACTGGTCACCCAGATGCTCTTGCTGAAGATTTCCTTGCCACCCAAGCAACGCCACTGCAGCACACCGGCCCTCCCGCCATGCCCGGTACGGGGTCGCCGGCAATCGCAAGGGCAGCGCCGGCGAGGGACGTGGGTGTGGCACCCAGCGCCGTATCCGTCCCACCGACAGCGGTTGTACGGGCTCTCGATCGCCTTGAGAACGCGGGCTTGAGCGATGCAGCTCGCAAAGTACGGCGCCTCGCGAGCCTGGAGCTGGCAAGACGGGAAATCAGGGAGCCTGTATCCGCTGACGAGGCAGCGGAAGTCTGGAGGACGGTGCTAGAGCGGCAGCTGGCGGCTCTGCAGGACGAAGAAGACAGCGAACAGCACCAGCCTCAGCGCCAGCAACGGCAGCAGCAGCAATTGCCGCAAGACCGGCGGCCGGCAGTCGCCACCCTGCAGAACGACCAACGGCACCCTGCCATAGGGAACGCACGCTGGAGTGCCGGCCTGAACCTACAGGGCCTTCCCGGCAGCAGCAGGCTGCAAGCATTTGGGGCAGCGTCAGCAGGCCTGGGAGGCCTAGGGGGACTGGGCCTCACGCTGGGGGGCAGTGGCGGGGACTTAAACAGCAACTCTTCAGTGCTGGGCCTCGGCCACCTACCCCTCGGCTTAGCACCGCCGTCCGCTCTGGGCCCCCTGGCGGCAACCGTTCAGCGTGAAGGGGCCTGGGCAGACGTGTTCGACCGCATCCCAGGCCTCAGCAGCCTGGTCTCGCTGGCGGACGTCAGCTTCGCATCCCGGGACCAGGCGACCTTCACGCACAAGGCAGACAGTCATCTCCGCTCCCTGCAGCATCTCGCGTCCCAGCTGGAAGCGGCCAAACACTGCGCATCCTCTTCGGAGGAGCTCTCGCTGCTCTTGGCCAAGGCCGCGCAGGTGTGGGAGGAGGCTTTTCGTACACAAGAGGTCCTCCGGCAGGTGCAGAATGCAGCCCGTGTCCTGCCCTTCAAGGACGTCATGGACGTATTCAGCAAGGGCTCTCCCCTCACACAGCAGTTCCTAGCCGCCCTGTCGCAATTTACGGACAGCCAGCGCCAGCACCTCTTCGGGAAGTTCGCCTCAGCCGCCGCTCCCGCGGCGGCTTACCCGCCGCCCCCGCCTCTTCCACTCCCGCCGGCCCCGGCACAGCCCCGTGCCCCACGCGACAACGGCTGCTTCTACTGCAAGAGGCCCGGACACAGCTACCGCGGCTGCCGAGAGTTGCGGTCGCTGGAACCTGGGGCCCAAACGGCAGCATTCGCAGAATGCGCCAAGCAGGAGCAGGCAGCCCGCCGGCCGGCTTAGGACGCGGCAGCGTCAGCTGGGGGCGAGGTCGCCCCGGCGCCAACGGCGCCCCCCCTCCATCCAGCCGCCGGCAGTACGGCCGGCGGTGGGGCAGCTGACGCAAATACGGCAGGGATGGAGACACCAGAAGGTAAGCGTGTACGCGACCTACGGCGGACTGGGGCCCTGCGCGGGTGACAAGCAATGTGCTGTTGCGTGTGTCCATGTGGCGCGACCCTGCCCGAGGGGAGAAGGGCCTGCCTGCGTCTACCTGCTGTCTAGTCTGTGGTGTACGCGACCTACGGCGGACTGGGGCCCTGCGCGGGTGACAAGCAATGTGCTGTTGCGTGTGTCCATGTGGCGCGACCCTGCCCGAGGGGAGAAGGGCCTGCCTGCGTCTACCTGCCGTCTAGTCTGTGGTGTACGCGACCTACGGCGGACTGGGGCCCTGCGCGGGTGACAAGCAACGTGCCGTTGCGTGTGTCCTTGTGGCGTTACCCTGCCCGAGGGGAGAAGGGCCTGCCTGCGTCCACCTGCTGTCTAGTCTGTGGTGTACGCGACCTACGGCGGACTGGGGCCCTGCGCGGGTGACAAGCAATGTGCTGTTGCGTGTGTCCATGTGGCGTGACCCTACCCGAGGGGAGAAGGGCCTGCCTGCGTCCACCTGCTGTCTAGTCTGTGGTGTACGCGACCTACGGCGGACTGGGGCCTTGCGCGGGTGACAAGCAATATGCCGTGGCATGCACCGGGGTCGTGTGGCTCTGCCTGAAGGAAGAAGGGCCTGACGGTGTTCGCATGTGGTTCAATCGGTGGTGTACGCGACCTACGGCGAACGGGGGCCCTGCGAGGGTGAACACCCAAAGCGTAACCTTGACCTGTGCCTCATGCAGTTTTGTGGATGCCTGACTCGGCGGCGGAAACGCCGTCGGCCGGCCGCTGGTTCGGCCCAGGGGGCGTGAAGCTTAATACGGCCGCGTGGCAGCGTCACGGCATCGACACGCCTGCGTCCCGTAACGAAGCCAGCTGGACCTTCCACACCACGCCGCCAACCTCGCACCACTTGCGCAACTACCCATCCGTGCGCGAACACAGCGAATGGTACGCCAGCCACATTGACGAGTTACTGCGCCAGGGCCTGGTGGAGGCGTACGACAGCAAGCAGCATGGCCCCCTGCGCAACTTTGCAGCCACTATCAACCCACTGCATGTTGTCAGCAAGGCGGATGGCAACCTGCGCCCGATCATCGACCCTACCGCTTCGGGGGTGAACGACTGCATGACCAAGCTCCCCTGCCCGCTGCCCGACCTCGCCTCAATTCTGGAGCATTTGCCGTTCCAAGGGGCGCTAGGCAAACGGGACCTCGCATCTGGTTTCCACCACATCAAGTGCAGCCCGGAAGCACGCCGGTACATGGCCTTTAGGCATCCCACCACGGAGGCAGTCCTGCGTTGGGTGGTGCTGCCCTTCGGCGCCAGCCAATCGCCCCCAATCTTTGTGGAGTTAACCAACGCCGCGTGTGCCATCTTCCAAGCGGAGTGCGACCGGCGGGGGCTACGGGTCAAGCTCTTCTGCTTCGTCGACGACTACATCATCCTAGGGGTGACCCATGCAGACGTCGTTGGCGCCTTCGCGGTCATGGACGAAATAGGTGGCGAGCTGGGGCTGGAGTGGAAGACCAGCAAGGACCGCGGACGAAACGAGCACCTGCGGCAGCTCGACTTCCTGGGTATGCTGTTCGACACCGAGAAGATGGAGATGCGCATCTCGCCGGACAAGCGGCAGCGCTACGCGGCGGACGTGCGCGCCCTCCTGGACGCGGCAGCTACCGGACCAGTGCAGCGGCACCTCCTGGAGTCCACCGCCGGCCGCTTAACGTTCATAGCCCGGGCATGCCGCTGGGGTTTCACGTTCATGCAGGGCCTCTACGACAGCCTCTTCTGCCCCACCCGCCCGCCGGCCACTGTCGGCCTGGCGGCGGACGCAGTAGAAGACCTGGCTTTCTGGTGGCAGGTGCTACGGGCGGATTCCTCTGTCTGGGACGGGGTAAAGCGCTCAGCGGGCATCGGTTTGGACCTAGTGAGGGGGGAGTTTATCGGCCAGGATGGGGCCGTCCTCTTCACGGACGCTAGTGGGCGTGGGTTTGGCGCAGTCTGGGGGGAGGCGGAGGTGCAAGGGGCATGGTCAGAGGAGGAGCGTCAGCTGCACATCTCGTGGCTGGAGCTCAAGGCGGTCCTCAGAGCGCTGCAGTCATGGGCCGCCAGCCTTGCCGGGCGCCGGGTGCTGGTGCGTTGTGACAACACCCAAGCCGTAGCAGCCATCAACCACGGCTCCACCCGCATCCCAGAGGGCCGCAGCCTTAGCCGCCAAATTGCAGAGCTTGCGATTAGCTCAGGGTTCGAGGTCCGGGCTGAGCACATTCCCGGCGTGGACAACGGCCAGGCCGACCGCCTCAGCCGCCGCCTTGACAGCGCCCAGGATCAGAACCTGCGGCTGAAGGCCAGCATCTTCAGGGAGCTATGCCGCAAGTTCTCTCTCCGGCCCACCGTCGACTGCTGCTGCGACGCCCATGGCTCCAACCGGCAGCCCGGCTGTGAGGTGTTCTACAGCGCGGGGCGGTCGGTGCTTGGCCAGGAGGCCGAGCTGGCGGGCAAGGCGCTGTGGGCCTTCCCACCCCAGGCCCTGGTGGGGGAGGTGCTAGCGACCCTCGTGGCAGCGGCACGGCGTGACTCGCGGACGCGGGCGGTTGTGGTGGTGCCTTTCTGGCCGGAGCGGGGGTGGTTCCGGGCCTTCGTCCGTAGCCGATCCGCACCATTCCGGGTCGCCCAGGTGCTGCCCAGGGGCGGCCGCCTCTGCGTTTGGCCCTGGGGCGACGAGGCGGGTCCTTCTCCTTACGATATGCTGGTCTTACGCCTGCCCTGACCGAATTCCGATCCGCGTTTGCGCCCCCATGGCGATTGTAGAGGGTGGCGGGAGCTGCGAGGCCTGCGTGCGGCGCACCTCCGTGGGGGACTTGCGCTGTGAGACATGCGACATACGGGCACATCGCCGCTGCCTGGGACTGCCGCCGGGCTCGTACCCCGGCGGCTGGTTCCGCTGCATCCACTGCATCCTGGCGGCGGCGGGTTTTCCGGCAGGGGCTGCGGGCGGTCGGCAGGAGGCACTCGCGGCGAGGCTGGTGGCGCTAGCGGGAAGCGCCGTGTCGGCGGGTTCAGCAGGGACGTACGAATCCCATCGCCGCCGCTACGCGGCCTTCTGCGCTGCTCTGGGCTTACCCATGAGGGCGGCTTTCCCACCTGCGCGGGGCGCGGACCTCAGCCCCGAGCTGGTGAGCCTGTTCATCGCCCATGAGGCCGACCGTGTGGCCCCCTCAACGTTGTCAGGCACCATTAGCGCCCTTGCGGACTGGCAGCGCGCGAAGGGTTTTCCGGCGGAGGCCTCCATCCGCCGGAACCCATTGGTGCAACGCACGCTGAGGCAGGCGTGGCGTGCCCGGGCGCCGGCGGCAGCCGCCACAGCTGGCGGCGATGCAGGGGCCGAGCCGCTGCCGCAACGTACGAAGGAGGCGTTCCCGGTGCCGCTTCTGCGGCTCCTATTGGGCTGGCTGGCAGCGACGGCGGACGGGGCGCCAGCGCGCCGAGCGGAGCTCGAGCAGGATGCGTGTTGGCTGGTGGTGGGTTTCTTTGGGATGCTGCGGAGAAGCGAGCTGGCGGGGCTGCGGCTAGGTGACGTGCATTCGCTGACTGGTGGGGTTCACGTGGTGCGGATAACGAGGAGCAAGACCGATCAGGTTGGGGCAGGGGTGGATGTGCACCTGGGGGCATCGTCTGGCAGCGGAGTACGCATCGGGCGCATTATAGGGCGCCACCTAGAGCGGGCCCGCTCAGGGGGGGCGGAGCCCAGCGCGCCGCTCTTCACGCGGGGCCCCCAGTGGGGACCGGGGTCGGAGGCTTGGCGGAAGGAGGGGTTTACGCGTAGGCTTAGGGCGCTCTTAGGAGAGATGCAGCGCGCCCTGCCACAAATAGCCGGGCGGGTACCAGATTACGCGTCCCACAGCCTGAGAAGGGGGGGAGCCACGGCTGCAGCGGAAGGGGGGGCCTCTGGAGAGCAGATCAAGGCGCACGGGAGGTGGCGGTCGGAGGCGGTGAGCGCGTATATCCTCCCCTCCGCGGCGGCTAAGGCCCGCATTGTGGGGTGCATGTGAGGTGACGAGGCGTGCGGTGGGTGACAGGGTAAGGGGGGTCCTCTCTAGGCGTGCATGCATGCGGAAGCGCGCCTAGAGCCTAATACGCCGGGGCGGGTTTTGGGGGCTAGAGCCCATCCGCGCCCGGCTGTTGGTTTTCCCCCTCTCCTGTTGTTCCCCGGAGAGGGTAGGGTGAGGTATCGGCTAGGTAGCAAACTTGGTTAGTTACAGAGTTGGGTCTCTTAGACGCTGTTCGGAGTCTGGGCCCGCAGGCCAGGTCCCAGGCGGTGTAAGTTGATGAGGGGTGCGACTCCTCTGGCACTGGAGTGTGTGCGACAAAAGTATCATTTTGAGTGTCAACTAAAAATGGGGTTTTGGAGCGCATGTACGACAGGGAGCAGAGCAGTCGCCACCAGGCTTGCGAGTGGACGGTGCTAGACGTTTTGACCTTGGTTAAACAGTTTGCCCTCAGCTGGCCTTTCAGGTCTTTGCCGCTGAGTTTCCGTGCGCAGTTAGGAAGGCGCTGACTTTTGCGTAGTTGCAGACAGTTCTTAAGTATGGCTGCAGCTGTAGGTAGGCGAGCCTTTTGTTTCCCACCCTCCCACCCCTACTCTCTCCGGGGTCCTCTCTCCGCGTGCATGCATGCGGAAGCGCGCCTAGAGCCTAATACGCCGGGGCGGGTTTTGGGGGCTAGAGCCCATCCGCGCCCGGCTGTTGGTTTTCCCCCTCTCCTGTTGTTCCCCGGAGAGGGTAGGGTGAGGTATCGGCTAGGTAGCAAACTTGGTTAGTTACAGAGTTGGGTCTCTTAGACGCTGTTCGGAGTCTGGGCCCGCAGGCCAGGTCCCAGGCGGTGTAAGTTGATGAGGGGTGCGACTCCTCTGGCACTGGAGTGTGTGCGACAAAATACAACTTTCTGGAGTTGCGGGAAGTGTGCCGTGAGCTTCGCGACATCGTGGATAACAGCGTTCAGGAGATCAGCATTGATACGGGAGCCAAAAGCGTACGGTTATGGCAGGAGGGTTTCCGGATGCCGCTTGCACGCTGGCCTCACTGCAAAGCTGTAATACTGACCTTGCATTACTCTAAGGGTCTCTACCAGCAGGCGTCGACGCTTCTTTCTCTACCGTTTGCCGGCCAGCCAGTGGAAGCCAGGCGCCGCATCACCAGCCTGAGACTTTATGACATCAGGGGTGACGGCAAGTCCGGAGATTCGAGGAAGGCGCAGCCATGTTTGCTGTGGCGGGACTGCTCCCGTCGCTGCAGAAGCTGGACTTGGAATACTTTAACAACAGCATGTGTCACACCGCCGTACAGCAGCGGCTGTTGTACGATGCGCTTGCCACCTTGCCGCACCTGGAGCACCTCATCGTTCCCTACACCAGCGGCCTGCAGCATGTGGGTGCCCTGGCTGGCAGCTTGAAGGACCTGGAAGTCAAGATAGATTACAACGAAGGCGGCCTCAGCCAGGCGGACGTGGCGGGGATCCTGCAGCTGCGGCGCTTAACATACCTGCATGTCAGTGGCCTCTTCCATCCCATGGACCGCGACGCCACCGGTGGCATGACACCGCTGCTGGAGCGCGTCTGCTGCCTGGCAGGCACCTTGCAGCAGCTGGAGGTCACTCCCTGCTGCCTTGGGGACCAGGGCGGGCTGGTCCTGAGCCCGGCGGCCATCGACAGCATTGCCCGGCTGCAGCAGCTGCGCAGCCTGCGCATCGGCTGGTGCTCCCTCAAGGACAGCGGCGCCGCCGAGCCAGCTGGTGGCGGCATTCAGAGGCTGCTGGACAGGCTGCCTGCCTCGCTGCGGGAGCTGGTGCTCTGCCTCCACTCGCCTTTGGGCCCGCGGACGAAGGTCACGGTGGAGTTCGACCCTGATGGCTGCTTTAATAACGTTTCACTGTCGGAGGGCGCGGTCCTGATCAGCGCAGAAGAGTGCACCTGGCTGGCCCGCATGCTGCTGTCCAACCGAGCAGCCCGGGGGCGGCAGCTTGGATGCCTGCGCGTGTGGGAACTGACCGTGAAGGAGGCGGTGCTGTTCGAGACCCCGGAGCAGCTGCAGCCACTGCGGGAGCTGGCGGGGCGCTTTGCTGGCGTTGAGCTTAAGAGTCTAAGGCTGTGCGGCGCGAAGCCTGACACTGTCACAAACAGTCTTGCGACATGTGACGTCCTCGGGATCCCTGAGCAAGTGCGATTTGCACCCGCTACACAACCGGGTCCATCGCTAGGCATCCGGCTTCGGGGGCCTGGGGTGCCGGCTCCGCTGGCGCCTCCACAGCCCGCTGCACCAGCACAGCTGCAGCCGGCGTCACCACAGCAGAAGGACCAGCACCCAACACCGGCTGCAGACGTAGCTGCAGGCTTATTCAGGCGGTTGGCGGCGGCCCGTGGACGGATGTCTTGCTTCATGATGCTGCACGGGCCCTTCATGGAGATCCTCTTGGAGCTGCAGGAGCCGCTCACAGCGTTCTTACGCAGCCTAGAGGAGCCCGCACTGCCGTTGGTTGGGGGCGACTCGGGCTCCTCTCGCCCCTTTGTGGCCTACCAGAGGCTCCCGGCAGCGTCTGCGCTGCTGGTGGAGTGCTGCAACCCGAATGTGTTGGCCGTCACGGCGGTGTCGGCAGAGGCCATGGTGAAGGGGGGCCACAAGGCGAGTGCGCTGCAGGTGGTGCCGCTGAAGATGAAGTCGGAGACGTACATGCAGTCCTCCTTCGGCACGGACCTGTACAAGGAGGCTTTGCAGCAGGTGTGTGCTGGGGGCGACCTGCTTGCCGCTGGGGTCTACTGGGTAGTTAGCGCGTGTTGAGGGGCCATCTGCGTGTCGGCAGGGGTGGCTGTGCAGGGGGTCAGGTGCGCTTTCGACGTGATAAGATTGGGTGGCCGTGCTGGAGAGCGTGTGGCTATGCATGCTTTAACTGTGTGCGCATACTAAGGATTGCTTGAGGGTGTAGGGACTGACGCACCTACACGTGTATATGCATCATTTTGGGATTCAGGCTTAGGGGGAAGGCTAGGGATGCAAGAGAACACGGTTTGCGGTCTTTCTTGCCACCTCCAGGTCATAAGTCACAGCCAGCCGTGACTCGCTCTCCTGCATCTACCACGCCCTGCCCTTCCGGCCCCCTGCTTCACTTTCCGTGTATTTCCGCCTCCCTGCCTCCCCCAGGAGCTTGAGGCCATGTGGGGCGACGCGGGCGCCCGGCGGCTGTGGGGCGACCGGGAGTGGCTGCGGCAGCTGCTGCAGGCGGGCGGGCAGCTGGGGGAGCTTCCGCCGGCGGTGAAGCTGCAGGCTGCATGACGAGGTTGGAGGGCATTTGCTCGCGGAGGGAAGAAATTTCGGAGTGAAGAACCAGGTATAAAGGCGTGTGACGGGGCCTGCTGAATGTGAGACAGCTGTATTCAGAGGATGGTAGTCGGTAGCACATTGGATCAGGCAAGTCCATGGGGACTGGTCAAACCCTAAACTTCGTCCGAGCGTAGCTGCACCTGGCAGGTGCTATGGGTGCATCTTTGCAGGTTAGGTTAGCATCGACCCCATCCCAACACCCTATTAAATCTTGTGTCGTAGCAGCTGCAGTATGCACAGCTATACCTTACGTATGTATTGTCGTAAACCCCGGGGGAGCTGCCGCCAGAGGTGAAGCTGCGTGAGGACGCAAGGCCGGCTTAGTACTGCGCAGGCGGGCATGGGGGTGTGATGTAGGCATATGCGATTGCGCGTTGAGTACATATATAGCTGCGGCGGCTGAAGAGAATTGAGAAGGTTGCACTTGCATGGTGGTGATCACTCTTGTGACAAGTGTCGGTGCAAGTAAGGGATCTGCTGGCGCTAATATCAAACGAATTTGATGTTACTCGCATCTGTGGTTGCATAACATCATTTCCAATTGTTTTTGTTCTATGTCATGTATGCGAGTTGTATGCATACAGGACGTTGCGTAATGCAAGGGTGTCGCAGGTAGGGATGTGTTAGTGAGTACCGCTCACTACTTCTGTTGGTATGTAAATTCGAGCTGCCGTACACGGATGTGACATTATGGTGTAGTTAATTGAAACGGTTAGTTAATTGAAACGGTTCAGCATGTAGGCTGCGTAGGACAAGTCAGATAAAGGTTACCAACAATTTTTTGGTTACAGAATGCACCCACGTGAGGCATCTTGCATGCATTCTACATCTACTCGACAAAACACCAAAGACTACTTCCTCGTCACGTACGCCTATGCCCAGACACCTCCATTCCAATGGAGTAGGTAGTTGTGCGAAGCACAGGATGTACGTCAGGAATAAAAGACAAAGAATACACAACCGTTGACCATAAAATGTACGGAGGAGGTCCCAGATCCAATCCCAATGGTCAAACTGGAAATCGTGGAGGGTATCTGCACCATAGTTGCTGACCCCAAGGAGAAACTCTAAAGCCCACGATCGCATTTTTGCAACCCGTCTCGCTCGGATTGTAAATGTTTAGTAATTTACTAAGCAACATACATCGCCTGTTCAAGTCTACGACACCATGCACACACGGAATATGGACAGATTAGTGAGATTACGGTATCCAGACTCCATAGCCGTCGTTGCCAAACATGAACCGTTACTCAGCTTATTATCGGGTGCAACACAGTCGTATGGACCTTCGAAATAGAAAGGGATCCAGGCAATATGCCCTACACATATCCTCAAGTGACCCACGGGTCATCTCCCGCCCGCTCGTATCAACCATTCCGCGGCGTCGTGATAAGCTAATCTCCATTGTAACGCCAACATAATGCATAGCATACAGCAGGGCAAAAATAAAGTACATATCCTTGAATCATACCTACCTCACCTCAGATTTCCTCCTCTGTCCCTTCATTCATCCCTGCAAACATATCCAGACTTCCGGATACCAGCCGCGGCCAATTCAACGCAATCCCATGGATGCCGCCTCCACAGCTCCCGCACAGCGACGTAGACGCATGTGCAGGCTGTCCTGTCCTACAACCCTCCCTAAGCGTCTTATTTCCCGGGAAAAACATAATGCAGCAATGCCTACGAATACAGCCTTCATCGCAACTTGCGCGCCACAATACAACCCCTTCTCCATCCATCCATATGCATCCTGACCGCCCACATATACTAGTAATCGATGTCCACCTCCCGGCGCCGTCCAACTACTGCACCAAGCCCGGTTAGCCAGCGCATGCACCAATGGCCATAACAGATTAGTCCGCAAACCCGTGTACATAATTGGGGAGCAATTGGCGGTGCAAGCGTTCTGCGACCGACCCGTGGGACGCTACAAATATACATGTTCGGCCATGCCGACGTGCTGCAGCCGGGAGCTACCTGTGACCACAGAACCTACTATAGCCTGCTGGCCGAAAATACTTTTCTGCGCAAACCGCGAAATACAAGGAAGTGCCGATGTCCATCTATCGACTGCATGCGCCCCTGCACAGCCCTTTTAACATACAGGCATAGACTTAACGGGACACATGCCCTTACACAGGCATAACACTTAAACAACATGGCCACCCAATGAAAGGCTGAAACGTGTTGCACTTGCTCCCCCCAATCAAGGAGGGAGGCGCATAAAGACTGTGACGTGCTGGCAACCTTCTATAGCCGCGCTGAATATAGCATGCAACCAAATCCCGGCCTTGGAGCATGGCCCTGCCTTCATACCCGGAGGGCCTACGTTCTGCCACTGCAGCCTCCTCCCAACCTATAAACATGGGCTTCTAAGCGGCCAATAAGATTGCAACAGCTAACGCTCAGACACTCTTCTCCGTAATCAATTGCAGAGACAACAAAGCTGGCCCACATTCCCGAAACCAACCTTGCATCCAACTAAAGCAACGAAATTAGCTTCAGTATGTGGAAAGGCGCTGCCTAGCACCCACCACGTCGTCTATTACGTCGATCATGTACATAACTAACCGCATTCCGAATCCCAGCCGCCTCCTCCTTCCGACATACAAGCGGCCCGTTTACTTAACATACAAACGCACACAAAAGCAGGCCCCAACTGCCTCGCGACAATCGCAATTCCCCAGCACATCCTCTGTCCCACTCCCCATACCCACCGCAACCAACCCCAACCACCCAATACAAATCGAGGACATAGTCGCACAGCCCCACCTAACCACCTCGCCGCCCATTGCTATCAACTACCCTCCTTCCCCCTAAGCCGCCATCAGCTCTCCCTCCCCCATCACCACATCCGCCTGCTGCCCCCGCCCTTCTCCCTGCTGCCGACCCCCGCCCACCTCCTCCTCACTCGACTGCCCCACCCGCTGCGGCGCAGGTGCCGGGGTAGCTGGAATCGGACTACCCATACCCATCAAACCACCACCACCAGCACCCACACCTCCACCAATCACGCCCTTGTTTCCGAAAGCACTGAACAGCTGCATGGCCGCATCCGCTGCGCCACTGCCGCCCATGCCGGCACCGCAACCGCCACCCATGGCCCCATTGAGCAGCATGAGGCTGGAGGTAATGCCATGCGCATCACCCTCGTTACACCCCTCGCCGCCGCCGCCGCCGACACTGCCGCAGCTGTTGGCGGCAGGGGGCAGGCTCATGGGCATGGGTAGCGGGAGCAGAGTCTCGGTGCCGCCGCCGCCACCGCCGGGGCCGGTGCCTTGCATTGTACGGGACATCTTGTACGGCGGTGACGTCAGGGAGGCGCTGTGACGAGCGATGCCCCGGCCGGTGGGTGATAGCAGGGCGGCACGCGAGGGGGAGAGGAGCGTGGCTGCGGCGGCAGGTAGGGCCTGCTGCGGGTGGTGGGAGGAGGGGAGGCATGGCGGTGGGGTGTCAGCAAGAAATGCGGCAGATGGGAGGCGCGGGTCAAGATAGGCACCTTAAGAAACTAAAGCAGCTGACGGCACAGGTCACCTGACAGCACGACTGCAAAGTGCGCACCCGGATGGCAAGTCAACTCCCAACCACCATGCTGACCCACCCAATCAATCGCAGCGTCCTATACCGGTACCATACCCGTGCCAGCTCCCAGCAAACCCCATCCTCCGCCCACCTCCGCCCACCACCACACCACACAACTCACCCTGTTGTTCCCCGGGTCCGAGGTGCGCCCCCACAGCCCGGCTCCCACCGCATCCACCGCACTCTGCAGCGCGCTGCCGCCGCCCCCGGGTACGGCAAACACACCGCCCACCTCCCCAGGGGACAGCGGGCCACCAGGAGACATGGGATCGTCGGCGCCTCCCGGGCCCTGCGGCCGCGGCGTGCCGAAGATGGAGCCGGGCGGCGCGGCGTGGATGAAGCGGCAGCGGTTGCCGTACTGACAGCCTCCCGTGGCGGCGAAGGTACGGCAGTGCTGCAGCGAGGAGGGCGGAGGACGGTGCACAGGGCGATAAGTTAGGTGGTGGGCGAGGGTATCAGAGCACAAGGCGTGTATGTAGTTCAGCAGGGACGGTACAGCAGATGGCTGGGTCATTGCCCACGGCCTCCAACAACGACAACAACGACGACAACAACACTGAAAGCATGGAGCTGCGCACGCCTGCATGCACTGCACCCCACACAGCATGTACTAAGCCACCGCCCCAGCATGGCAAGTTGTATCGATGTGCCGTACTGCTCCAACCCCCGCAAAGCACGTACCTCCGTCTTGTACTTGGGGTGCCGTACCACGGGACGCAGCTCCTCGGGACCGTGCGCGAACTGCGGTGGTACGAGGGGCGGAGGCGCACATGGAGGGGGCACCGGCGTGCGGCGATGTGTGGCTGGGGCCAACGCCACAACTCGACTCTTCTGAACGCCATTACTTGCTGGCAGAAGGCAGCGCATCCTAACTGGCAGATGTACGACTACGGTAGATGTACAGCCGATGCGCGACAACACCTGACCGCTCCTCCCTTCCGCCCGTCGGCTCTGGCCCCCACCCCACCTGGCACTTGCTCCCGTAGCGGCAGCTGCCGGTTTCCGTCCAGGAGCGACACATCTCGGTCTGAAGGGGGAGGAGGGAGGGGTGGTTGAGGCGGCACAGGGGAGGGGAAGTGCACGTTGGTTAAGAATAAGGGATGTTAGGCAAACGGTACGGCCAAGGAAAACACTTAGCGTGCGGGCATGTTCTTGCAAGGTACGCAAGGGCTGTGCAACAAACTGCAAGCTCCTCATCTGTCTGCATGCATCAGCCAGAAAGGAGGGTCAACATGTCTCGGCACGGTAGCACGACACACCACCCGGCACCACTTACCTTGTACAGCGTGTTGTGTTTGGGACCCGTGCCACGAGGCCCCGGCGGACTCGCCAGCCCCGCCAGCAAGCCCTGCGGCGCCAGCGCCGCCGCCGCCTGTGTCGTACGCGCCCCTCCTGCCGGCCCCGGGCTGCCCAGCGAAGCCAGACTGCCCATCTGCGGCAGGCCCCGCCATGAGGGACTCCTCCAGGTACCGGCGGAACCGGGGCTTCCCAGACCCGCCAAGCCGGCAAGCGAACCGCCGGCCGCCAGGCTGGCCCGTACGGCAGCGGCGGCGGCGCCGTTCGCCGCCGTCAGCCCCGGCGGCGGGCTTGTGAAGGCGGGCAGGCCGGCGGTGGCCGCCTGGGAACTGGTGGTGAAGATGCCGGGGCTGTGCGGCGAGAGAAGGGCAGAATGGAATCCTGGCGGAGGGCCTAGAGCGGCGGCGCCGGTGGGCGTGGCGGCGCCGCTGGCGGATCCGGGAACGGAGGTGACGGACATGGACATGGGCAGCGCGACGTGCAGCCCGGCCGCCAGGGCAGCGGCGTTAGCGGCGTCTAGTGCGGAGACGGGTCCGCCACCGCCGGGGGTGTGCATGCCGCCGCCGGCGGAGGCGGCAGACGGGGTGGAAGCGGCGGAGGTGCCGGCGGCGGCGGCAGCGGCGTCGATGACGCCGGCTGCTTGCGCTAGGGCTAGGACGATGTCGTCGGGGAGGCTGCCGTTCGCAAGTCCCTCCTGGGTTTGTGTACGTGCACGGAGGTAGAAGTGTTATTGAATCGGCATGGCTCTTGGTGGGTATAGTAAAGAAGAGTAAGCAGGGCATATAATTAATTATTTGTCTTGCTGAAATCTCGGTAACTGAAGGCCCCAACTGGGACGATCCTGGCTCAGCAAGACAAGCTTTTCCTATCTGTCAACCCTCACACCTCCTCATCTGCCCCCCCCCTCATCCCCCCCGCCCACTCACATCCAGCAGGGCCGCCGCAGTAGCAGCATCCAGAGAGCTAGCCAGCGTCGCCGCAGCCGAAGTCCCGCCCGACATCACGCCTCCACCGCCGCCGCCGCCAGCACCCGCCGCTGCAGACCCCGTCGGCGCCGCGCCAGCTCCTCCCGCCGACGCCAAAAGCATCAGCAAGTCAGCCGTCGACATTGGACCCGTCGCCGAACCATTACCAACGCCGCCGCTGCCGCCGCCGCCGGCTGCATTGCCTGCAGCGGCGGCGGCGGAATCCGCTGCCGCCGCCAGCCGCGCCAGTGCCAGCGCGTTCTGCTGACTAATGGCGGCGGCGGTGTTGGCGGCCGACGCCGCCGCCGCCGTCGCGGCGGCACCGGCGGCGGCCGACGAGTGGCCGCCGCCAGACGGCGCGGCGGCGCCCAGCAGCGACAGCGCGGAGCGAGCAAAGTCGGCTGCGGGCGAGGAGTTCTGCTGCTGCAGGAGGGAATGCTGCATGTGCTGTTGCTGCTGCTGCGAGGCTTGTTGGGCGTGCAGGCGGGACGGCTGCTGTGCGCCGAGGAGGGCGGGAGCGGAGGCGCCGCTGGGCGCCAGGGGGGTGTGCGGCAGGTCCAGGCTGCTGCGAGCGCTGCCACTGCCTGCGGGGGTGTGGCCGCCGCCTGCGGGCGCGGAGAAGGGGATGGCGCCGGGCGTGCTGGGGGCCAGGGAACCCGGGGTGCTCGAGCCTGAGGTTGGTGGGGGGGAGCAGGAGGGGGTAGTGAGGGGCAGTGAGGTGGGAAAGGGGCTATGGTACTCACAGGCAGGCTTGCCTGTGGACGATGAATTGCGTCCGTGTTGCCGAAGTCTAAAGGATGTGGGTCATTACTATCCGCACGAAACCAGGCATGACTAGCTTGGGATCAGTTATGAGCAGAGAGGCACAGCACAAGCCTACGGTATTCCTCCACCGCCTCATCCCCTTACCAAGGCGCAGTGCAGTGTACGTCACGCCCATGCCTCCCTCCTACCAAGCCGCGTACGCACCTCCCCTTGCCCTACACCGCTCCGCCCCGCCCCCCTGCCCCCTGCCTCCGCCCCCACCTGTGGCCTGCGCAGTGCCCACCACCAGACCCGTGTTGTAGTCCACCACAAGGTAGACCTGGCCCGACCCCAGACCCGCGGGTCCGCCGCCGCCGCCGCTCGCTCCGGAAGCCTGCGGCGTGGAGGAGCCCTGGCCGCCTGACGTCGCCGCCGTCGGCACTGGCAGGGGCACGGGTACGATCACCTTGTTGGGGGGCAGAGCGGGGGCCGGCGTGCCGCCAGCCGTTGAGCTGCCTGAGGCCGCTGCGGCAGTGGCGCCGCCGCCGCCGCCGCCGCCGCGGAAGGGCGAGCGAGGCGCGTTAGCAGTCGGGGAGTTCTCCAGGGAGCCGGAGGCGACGGAGGCAGCGCTGCCGCCGTCGCTGCCGTGACCGCTGATGTCGCGGCTGCCGCCGCCGCCGGCGGCGCCGTAGTTAGGACTGGCGCGGCCGCTGCCAAGCGGCGGCGACCCAGGGGTCACCCCGCCGATGCTGGTACGTGTCGAGCCGAGGGCGGCGCCTGCGCCGTCGCCGCCGTCACTGGTAAGGCTGCGGCCGCCGACGCTCGGGAAGTGCTGCAGGAAGGGCGTGGCGCTGAAGAGCGGCGGGATCCTGCCGCTGCCACTGCCGCCGGACGTGAGAGATGTGCCGACAGCAAACGGGCCCGCTGGCACGGCGCCGTCGAGGCTAGCCCGCTGGGAGGCAGATCGGGACCAGGGCGCCGCAGCGGCGGCCGGATGAGACTCGGGATTGGTGACATCTGGTGTGGAGGTTTCGTCCGGAATGTCGGAAAGTCCGCGCGGAGTAGTGCTGGTTTGCTGCTGCTGCTGTTGAAGTTGTTGAGACTGAGATGAAATAAATGCGTCGTTATTATTAGTTTGCAGGCTGCCAGGGCTCTGCTGCTGCTGCTGCGGTGTTGCTGCGCTCTGCCTCATTACAGTGCGGCCCCAGGAAGGGCGAAGACTGACGACATCTGCTGTGGTGGGCTCTTGAAGGCCGCCGCTAAGCGCGATGTTCGCGGCCTGGTGAGACTGAGGGCCAGCAGGCTCGGCCGCAGAAGGGCGCGGCGTTTCAGGGATGGTCGCCATATCGCGTCTTGAAAGAAGTGAAGAAGCAGGAGAAGGAGCAGGAAGGCGGGCTTTTTTAAACCGACGGGCGCTTCTTGAGATAAGAAGATCACGTCGCGCCTGAAAAATGCCCTGCTCCTTATATTTTCTGTTAGAGCTTATATGCTTTTAAGTCGGCAAAGCAAGGCAACGTTGCGCGCGAAATCCACGAGAGGGCACCCGATCGTGATGTTGCTGACCCAGGGGCCTCAGGGCAGCCCAAACAGCGCAAACGGCCAAAGCAGAAGACCTCCAAGTTACTGACTTAGAAGGCTGGCAGCTTATGACAGCAATAGCCACTTTCCGAGGAGAGGTGACTAGGCCTGACCCAAGACGCCAGGCTGCTACCGTGGGCGGCTACAAATCAGAATGACCGGGGAGTTCACTGGACAATCAGGTCACAAGGTGGTTGGGGCATAGAGAGAGTTTCCTTTACGGAATAGAATGGTTTGCAGCAATTATATAGGGTGCCCTTTCCGAAAGCTGAGAAGGTCCCGGCAAGACGAAGCCCGTACTGCTTCGTCATCGGAGTCATCCAACTCCAAACCCAAAACAACTTCCAAACTTAGCCCCTCCACTGCACCATAATGGGTTGCAACGCTGCGCTTCTTGAGCCATCGAACGGCCAGCAACGATAGCGCATTCAAGGCTTTTGCGTGAGGGTTCCCGCCATCGCGTCATACGCTTTAGCGCGCCAAGCCCAATCGAGCATGCCCGCTCCCGCGCTTATGATCAATCCATTCCGACAATGACCTCCTGAGCAATGGTCGTATCATATCAACCTCCTCGAGCAACTCCGACTCACATCATTACTAACCTCCGGGATCGCGCTCACAAACCACTCTTGCGCCCCAAGCTGCCTGCCACAGGCGCGCGCGCGTGCCTAAGTCACATAAGCGGCGCCCATTTTGCTTTTGCCGATTATGCACTGCAATCCAATCCGACGCGAGCTGCATGCAAGTAGCTTTAATCGTAGTGCTTGAGCGACTCGCATTCCAATCGGAGGTGGTTGAAGAGCACTGAGGAAAGGTACCTGCGAACAGCACGAACCGGGCGACGCAGCCGCAAAGGTATATAACTCCAGGTTCATTACGGTTTGCGTCCTTTCTGTGCTGAACACATGATGCTACCGATATAAGCGGTCGCCAGCGAGGCCCTTAGGAGCTAGGTTGCATCCACACAATACCCGTGTTCCCTTTCAGAGAACCATTGCAACTGTCACACAACATGCATAACGAGCACGCCATGGGAACCAGGCAGCAGGTCAAGGAAAACCGGTGAAGAAGGGGGTGAGCCCAACACACCTCTCGCCAAACGACGGCAGCACCACGGCTACCAGCTTGCCGGCGTTCTCAGGCCGCTTAGCAACCTGCATGGAGAGAAGGATAGGGATGTCGAGGGTTGGCTCCCCGGGACATGAGGTGCGAATACCGTACATGAGGCGCACGCCTAGCACACCCCCGCACCCTACCTGCACCTCACAGCACCGCCGCCCCTCCTCCCCCATCCCACCCCTCTTGCATGTATCCCTCTCGCATGAGAGGGACGGTTGGGTTGCTGTCCTCCGCCGTATCTCCATCCCTTGCTCTGCCCTTGCCCCCTCGCCCCCGCACCTTGACCGCCGCCGCCACCGCCGCCCCCGAGCTGATGCCGCACATGAGGCCCTCCTCCGTGGCTAGTCGGGCGGCCATGGCCACCGCGTCATCGCTGCGGACCTGGGATGGCAGGTTGGGCGGGAGGCGGGCAGAGAGGAAAGCGGGGAGAGGGCAAGGGAGGTTAGGAGGTTGGGAGGGTGGTTGTGCGTGTCAGACTTGCTGGATAGTTGGTGCAAGGTGAGTGGGAGGAGGAGCTAAGCAGTACGGCAGCAGCAGCTGCTAGGGCCGGGTAGTCGCGTGCCAGGCATCCCGCTTCCGCATGAGCCCAAGCTTGGGGGCTTCGCCATAAGTGTGTGCGTCAGCTAATACATCCCCAAACCGGGATGCATGGAAGCTACTCTGAGCCCGACCCACGGGTCACTCCCCCTCGCTTGGAGGCCCCACCTGAATGACCTCGTCATACACGGTGGTGTTGAGCACGGCGGGCACGAAGCCGGCACCGATGCCCTGGATCTTGTGAGGTCCGGGCCGGCCCCCTGCAGCAGGGTTCTGAGTTCTCAACTTCCCATTGTTGTTGCGGGGGGCCCTTCGTCTCGTGTGAGCAGTTGGCAAGGTATGCGGAGTTACGCAGATGCGGCACGACTACCCTGTGTGTGTGTTTGTATACAACACCAACCAGCTCCCACACCTTCCCGTTTTCCGCCTTTTCCCCCGCCCACCCAGCCGCCCAGTTTTCACCACACTCCCACCCACCCGACAGCACGGGGCTCTCCGCGGGCTCCACCGCCACCACCTGCACGCTGGGCTTGAGCCCCTTCAGGTACTCGCCGGTGCCGGTGATGGTGCCGCCGGTGCCCACACCCGCCACCAGGATGTCAACCTGGCCCGCCGTGTCGCGCCAGATCTCGGGACCTGGGGCCGGGAGGGTAAGGAACGGGGAACTGAGAAGGCAACTAACGAGCTGTGTGACATGTAGGCTTCACCATGCGGGGGGGGGGCGGCATGGGGCGTGAAGCGGAGTGGATGATAGGGCAAAGGGACTGTTAAGAGGGAGCTAACAGGGACTCCGGACGCGGCCCGCTGGATTCATTAACGTGGCCCTCCCGCAGGTCCCGAAGCTTCCGTGCAGGACGCCATGCTGCAGAGGTGGCACAGCAGGGCTAATGCCGTTGTCCCCCACATTGCGGTGGCGGCCCCGCAGCCTGCGGTGTACCCGGCTGGTTCTTTCCTCTTGTTCCCACCCACCCACCCCACCGGGAACAGCCTCTTCCTCGCACCCACCCCACCTGTAGTGAGGCGGTGCACCTCGGGGTTGGCTGGGTTCTCGAACTGCTGCAGAATGAAGGAGTTGGGTGTGCGGGCGGCGATCTCGTTGCACTTCTCCACCGCGCCGCGCATGCCCTTGGCGGGATCTGACCGGGGCAGGCGCGGGGGTGGGGGAGGGGGTGTGAGGTGGAGCGGGGGCGCAGGACGGTGTGCGGGGCAGGCAGGTGGGGTCACATGGACAGCGGCAGTGGCAGCAACAGTGGCTGACAAAGCAGTGCAACCGCTCAGCCCACATGCAAATCATCCACCCCCCCCCCTGGTGAAGCCTACATGTCACACAGCTCTCGTCAGTTGCCTCGTTAGTTCCAATCATCTCCCCCCTCCCCGCTCCCCGCTCCCGCTCCCATCCTCCCGCACCCCCCCTCCCGCCCACTCACCCGTGAGCACCAGCTGCGCCCCGAAGGCGCGCAGCAGCACCCGCCGCTCCAGGGACATGCTGGCGGGCATGGTGAGCACCAGCTGGTAGCCCTTGGCGGCCGCGATGAAGGCCAGGCCGATGCCGGTGTTGCCGCTGGTGGGCTCCACCAGGGTGGTCTCGCCGGGGCGGATGAGGCCGCGGCGCTCCGCGTCCTCGATCATGTGGCGGGCGATGCGGTCCTTGGGGGGGCAGGCGGGCGGGGGGCGGTGGTGGAGGGGGAGGAGGGGATTAGATAAACTGAGCCGCGAGGGGAGGAGGAGGAGAAAGCGCGCACGCACAAGGTGTAGGGTGTGTGGTGGCGGCTGGATGAATAAGTTACGGTATGTACGCGTGTGTGTTTGTATGTTGTCCGTAGGTGGCAATGGGGCGCCTGCTGGTGGTGGTGGTGGTGCTGCTGGTTGGCAGTGGAGGGAGAGGAGAGGAAGGAGGCAGCAGGAGGGCGCGAGCTTACCTTGACGCTAGAGCAGGGCTGCATGATCTCCAGCTTGGCAGCCACACGGGCTGCGCAGCCCTGCGTGGGGGCAGGCGGGCAGGCAGGCAGGCGCGGGCAGGCAGCACACGGGCTTTTGAGCGTATGCACGGCGTGTTGTGGGTTTGGGGTGTTGCGTGCGACGTGCCGGATACAGGAAAGGTGGTTGTTATGGTAAGATGGGCTTCGAAGACAACACTCCTGAAGCCGAGGGTGCGACAATGAGGGTTCACAGGTTGGGCGGACCGCGCCAACTGCCATAACGGTCAACTTAAGCAGCAGGGAACACGACTTGCAGTAACAAACAAACCAAGCTGGATTTGGCTGTCGCCTTGTTCGTAAGCATCCAAGTGGAAGTGGCCGATGCAATCTATATATGCTTGCAGGCTCGCCACTAGCTACTCGCCTTCGTGAGACGGTTAAGATAAACCATGGGGGTGTTGCCAATTACTTCCGTCGCGTCATTGCAGATTTTGCTAGTGCTGATAGGAGTGTCACTGGGTAACTGCGAGGGGGACGTGGGCTGTGCCTGCGCCCGGATGAGTAGCTGTCGCCGCCCCATATGTCGGCAGTGCCCCTGCGTACGCAATAACAATGCGTAGGATGAAGAGCATTATATAATGCAGTTATCCGCCCATAAGAACGCACCGTGCTGCATGGCCTGGAGGCCTGGCTTGCTTTCAGAGCTGAGCGCATTGTCGACGTGTTGCTCTATCCTGCTATCTTAGTGGTATTAGGTCAACGCAGTGGTGCGTGGAGCAAAACACAGCTATTAAATAGCATTACCAAGCAAGATGCAGCATGCCCCCAACAAGCATGATGCAAGTCGTGCTGTGTCCGTACTTGCTGAGGATGCACTGGGAAGAACCCTAACTGCAAATTATAATTATGAGCCAAGTGGATGTCTGCGTATTATCTTAGCATCTGCTGTCCGCCAGTTACGCGACGAAGTGCATGCTTAATTGGTACTTGAGCGCAAAGGCCACAACGGCATGCTTTCCGCACGCCCGACAGGCTTCATAAAGCTTCAAAGATTAAGCAATAGAGCTGGCCCGGTAGTCAGGGCCCAGCCTTCGCAAAGACCTCCTTCGGTGCCGAGAACCCCTGTGCCGCCACCGCCGCTACCGCCTAGGAACTCTCAATACAGCAAAGAACAACCTTATCAGCATAGCGAGCCTGGGGGACAGCAGAGCCATGCAGGATACGCACCAGAGCTCGAGCAGACCGACCCAAAGAAGCCAGGGCTGGGTGGCTACGCGCAAGCTCTTGTTGCGGCGGCGTTTGTGCTTGGTTTAGGCATTGGGACGTGGTTTGACTCGGAGGTGAGGCACGAGGGCGTATGTTGCGCTGGTATTCCTGGCCCGAAGCTTAAGCGTCGCAATTACGCCAAGGTTTGAAGACTGACAATATTGCTTCGCATCAAAGACTTTATGATATGTACTGCTGCTTTCCATTTAGCTTAGCACAAAACCGAAAGACCGCGCTCGGCTTCAACTGCTGCAGGTCGTCCTCACGCCGGCCAACGTGAGCAGTACGGAAATCATCGATCGTGCGGTGCCCAATGCCGACATCTGCATGGCAAACGGCTACTCGGCCTCCGTGCTGAGCATGAATGTGTTCGTCACCTACAACCCGTGAGTGGCAGCGAGTTGGGGACTGTCTGGGTGCGGAGTGGGTGTGTGAGCCGCGAGAAAGGCTGCCAAGGCAAGGGGCGCTGCTTCATGCAGGCTAGCTGCCAGCCTCCTACCTTCACCCGCGCTGTACCCGCTGACCCGCATCTCGTCCTGGTGCACTGGGACCACCGTACGGTATTCCCAGCCACATGCGGTTCCCAGCTAGCCGCTGCCTGTGCCGCCCTCATGTGTCGACAAGACACATCCCGTTTCCCTGTCGCGACACGCCCCCCGCCCAACCCCCCCCACCCCCGCTGCCCAGTTTCAATGTCTACATCTCGCAGCCGCAGGTCAAGGGCGGCTGCGTGCTGCGCCGCTCCAACGTGGGGCTGCTGGAGCGGGAACAGGTGCGTAGTAGCGGGGCAAGGAGTAGTAGCGGGGCAAGCGGGAACAACCCGCGGGGCGGGTGGCGCTCACAGGCGGGGCGGTGGCCGTCTTCACGGCATGCATGCGGGGCGGCAGGCGGCGGGGCGGGTACCGGTGCCCTGCTGCTGGCACCTGATGCGGGCCAAGCACCATCAAGAGCACCCCCAGGGGGCATGTGGCCATGATGACACCCTGGGGACCATGGGGCCACCGCGCACCGTTGCCAAGCGAGGGTATGGCGAGCGGGCAGTGCTGACTTACCGCTTTGAGTCCTGACTGGCGTGACGGGACTTAGCTCCCTTCCTCCGTATACCTAACATGATACTGCCGCCCTCGCATCGCCCTCCCTGCATGCCTGCATGCCGCGCCTGCATGGTATGGTCTGTGACCCCCCGCCGCCCCTCCCTTCCTGCCAGCTGGTGACCCCCCACGAGGTGGACCTGTGCAAGCAGCGCATGAACACCTTTGCCTACGTGGGAGACCTGAAGAGCGAGCCCGAGGTGGCGTGCGTGTACCACAGCGAGGAGGTGAGCGGGAGGAGGGAGGAGCAGGGGGGAGGAGGGGAGGGGAGGAGAGGGGAAGCAGGCAGCTTGGGGCAGGGGGCGGCGACGACAGCGGGGCGGCTCTACGAACCCCCCCTAGGCTATGTCTCATGCTGCTGCTGCTGCTGGGAAGGAGGGTCCTCGGTCGCGGGTGGTTGTGCATCAGCCGCTCGCCATTCGAGGGGCGGCAGCAGGCAGGGGGCGTGCGTTCGCTGCTGGGCCTAGCTGGCTTGGATGGCTCACCGTGAGGCCCCCAGCTGCCCGGCTCCCAGCACCTGCCCTCCCGGCTTCATGGACTGAGGAGGACTGCCCCCCTCCTGACTGCCCCCCTCCTGACTGCCCCCCTCCTGACTGCCCCCCTCCTGACTGCCCCCCACCTGCTCCCGCCTCTGCAGGCCGAGAACCAGTACCTCGAGGTGTTGGGCAACCGGGCCAAGATGTCGCAGCTGCTGACGCAGCAGATACCACCGCAGCAGCAGCAGGCGGGGGGGGAAATAAATAAATAGGTGTAGCAACGAGTGTAGCAGCAGGCGGGGGCGGGAGAGAGCTAAGAGCTGCTGCTGGCGGGGCTGCCGTACTGCAGGTGGTGCAGCTGAGGGTGCCGTGAGGGGGGTGGTTTAGAGAGAGCAGCTGATGCTGATGATAAATCGGGCACTGCTGCTGCTGGTGGGAGAGTAACGCTATGAGGGCGGTTTGGTAAGACGCATGGAGAACTCCAAAGAACAGAAGGAATGGGATTGAGTGTGTTGTGTTATGCATTGAAGAACTGGTGGGGTGGGGATTTCACATCGCGCTGATTGCCGGCGGGGCGGCGTCGGGGCGGCGTTAGCATTCTTACAGCTAATCAACAGGTAGTCAAATGATAGCAAGCATGTTAGGGCTTAATGTTACGGCAAATTTAACAGTCGGTTGCTAACAACTTACAAGGTGCCCTGCATGACATGCGGCATGTCCGGCATCACCCCCGCGTGGTTACCTTACGGTGGTTACATCCGCGTGGTTACATTAGTTGTATGAGCTATAGATTCAGCATTTAGACGAAAGGTTGTTCTAGGGGCCGAGGGAGACGTGGGGCAGATTGCGCCGACTAGCTGTGGGTTGCTGCATGCATGTGCACATCGCCTGCATGGACACACTTTCTTGTATGTTGTAACCCTTGTAAGGTAGATACCGTTGTAATGTAGCCTGAGCCGCGCATGTGCGGTGCAGCGTTGCATGCGCCCGGGGTTGGATGCGGCTCGTCACGTGCGCAGCCAGACGCGGTGGATGCTGACAGCATGCATCTCTCTTAGCCTCTAACATGCAGCCGTCAGTATTACACACGTACGGAGTGCACACTCCTTGAACACGCAACCTTCCTTCGTCCGTATTGCCGAAAAAGCAAGACCGCCGCTGTGACCCCACGCGGACAACAGCTGCACCTCCCGTCTGACATCAGACACCAGAGCATGTTATGGAACTTGGTCGCATGTCACAACGTCACGCAGAAGACCCTTACTCCATATCATCCGGACTGGACCCCCGCACCAACTCGATAACATCGCACAAAGGCAGCTTCTCTCGCACCGTCTCCAACACCGCCTTCCCCATGTCATCATCCAACCCATAAGCCGGCAGCGACAAGAGCTGCAGCCGCTGCAGCGATGACAGCACCTCCACCTGCTCTGGTTGTACTTTCCCGCCAGCGTACGGTAGCCACCGCAGCTGCCTCAAGTTTCGGAGCCCCGTTAGCGCTGTCAGACCTGCACCTGACAACCAGCCACCGCCACCATAACCCGCCTCACCACCCGCACCCTTTTCCACTGAAGCCCCGTCCGCAGCCCCCTCCTGCTCGCCCGCCCCCTCCTCCTGCTGCTCGCCTCCTTTGTCCCGGCGCTGCTCGCATGCCGGGGCTCCCGCCCCTGCCGCCACCATCGCATTGCACACCCTCGCCACCTGCTCCACACGCAGCGTGGTGAGGGCTGTCAGGGCGGAAAACGCCGCGCAGCAGCCATCCGTGAGCCTGGGCAGCGTGTGGCCCACCTCCAGGCTCCGCAGGCCGGGTGCGGCGCCCAGCAACGCCCCCAGCGACACGCCGGGCCGCAGCCGGACATACCTCAACGCCAGGTTCTCAAGCGCAGGGAGGGCCGGCAGGCTGGGTGCAGGTCCGCTGGGGGCATCGCTGCTGCGGTCGGGTGGCGAGGTGGCGGCCTGCTGCTGCTGCTGCTGGTGGCGGTGGTGGTGGTGCTGCTGCTCTGCTGCGCCCGCATCTGGAATCATCGCTGGTGCCTCGAAGGAGGAGGAGGAATTGTCGCCGGCTGGCTCGCTAGTTGCTGCTCTGGCGCAGCAGGAGGAGCCCCTGGTAAGGGTCAGGTGGGCTAGGTTGAGGTTGGTGAGGCTAGGCGGCAGGAGCGCCGCGTCGAGCGTGACCCGTGGGTCGTAGGGAAAGGGACTGCACAGCTCCAGGGATTCCAACTGCCGCCAGTTGGACACGTAGGCGTTGAAGTTAACCGGCGGCAGGCGTGGTTGCCAAACCCGATGCATCGGATTAAATACCTTTAGCGATCTGAGGTCAGTCAGGGCAGCCGCAAGCGCCGTAACGTCACCTTCCGGAATGGGAGGCGCTCCGTTGATTTGCAAGTGCAGGCATTTTAGCCGGGTCAAGCTGGTCAGCGCGGCCCAAGGCCTAGTACGGCGTTGCCGTACGGCTGCTGCATCGCTGTGGTTGGCCCCGTTCGGATCTTGCAACCTGGTCCAAGTGCAGTCTTCCAAACTCAAGGACGTCAGTGGGGTCAGCAACGCCAGCCGAGACAGCAAATCCGCATTCAAGGTGCAGCATGACACGTTCAGGGACTGCAGAACCGGCCGCTTTACAATTCCCTGCACCAGCTGATCTAGCATTCGCATTGCCAGCGTCAGCCACATGACGGTGCCGGGACCCTGGGCACCCTCGTCCTCGCTGTCTTCCTCATGTTCGCTGTCCTCCTCGTCTTCGTGCAGTTGCGGCGGCGGCTGCTGCTGCGGCGGCGGCAGCAGCGGCGGCTCCATGTCGTGCGGTATGGGGACGTCGAAGCTCTGGTAGTGCAGGCTCAGCCGCTCCAGGGTGGGGTGCGAGAAGAGGTCGGCCAGGTGGTCGGGGTAGTTCACCACCAGACTGAGCTCCTGAGGAGGTGGGCGCGGGCGGGCACGGAGATGGAAGGGAGGGAGGGAGGGAGCGCAGAGGTACACACGCTTAGCGACGCCACGGCACTGGGTCAACGATGACCGGAGAACGCAACCGCTCTCACCCTTCCGACATCAACTTGCACCTCCTCCCAGTGCCGCGCCCAGCCACCAGCCCTAACAAACCGCTTCCCACCTCCTCCTCCTCCTCCCCATCCTCCTCCCCCCTCCAACCCCCACCTGCAGCTCCCGCAGCTCCCGCAACGCCTCCACCTCCTCCGGCCCCAGACTAACCGCCGAGGCATCCAGCTGCAGGCAGTGCAGCCCCCGCAGCGGCGCCACCGCCCGCAGCGCCTCCTCCATCCCCGGCGGCCAGAACTCCTCGTTTTCCAGAAGGAGCTCAACTTGCAGCCGCTGCAGCTGCGGGCAGGCGGCGGAGGCCAGCGCCGCCAGCTCCGAGGCGCCCAGGCCGTAGGCATCTCGCCCCGATAGGAGCTTCAGGTCGCGCAGGGCGGTCAGCGGGGGCAGCACGAGGGGGAGCTGGGAGGCCTCGGGGGAGTCGCCCTGAGGGTGAGGGTGGGCGGGGGGCGGGCGTGGAAAGGGAAGGAGAAAAGAGGGCGTGCAGCGGGCCTGGGACTGCATGAATGCAAATTGAACTGGTGTGGTCTTGCGTGTGCGTGTGCCGCCAAGTGCCCATGCCCGCTGTGTCCCACCGCCCGCCTCCTAGACACCCCCCCGCTGCCCACCCCACCGCCCGCTGCCCACCATGATGAGGTACAGCGTGCGCAGACCCGTAAGGCTGCTGAGCGCCGGCTGCAGCTGCTGCAGGCGCTCCCCCAGCACCGCGTCTCTGCCGTCGGGCTGCAGGAAGCGCAGCTCCAGCTTGGTGAGGCCGGGCAGGCGGGCCGGCAGGCTGAGCAGTTGCGCGCCTAGAACCGCGGAGGAGACGCGACTGCCCGCGTACACTGGCGGCATGGGGGGGAAGGGGCGGGGAGGGGGAAGGGAAGGGGAGACGGGGGTGGATGAAGTCGCGTTGGGTGGGAGGTTGCAGGTGGGGCACTGTGATTGGCGCCGTGAAAAAGGAAGAGGCGGCGGATGGTTAGGTGTTTGCAGAGCTTGCTGGGCTGCTGATGAGTGATGACTCACCCATGACCTCGGAAAGGCGAGGAAGGCAGGCGGTGAGGCCTGCCAGCGCTGCATCCCACACGTGGCCCCGCTGTTTGGGCTGCGCGTCCAGCTCCGCCAAGTCGCGCTGACCCGGCTGATGCGCGTGTGGCAAGTGGGTGACCATGGACCCCACGTGCTGGCGCCATTGGCGGCAAACCAGGCGGGCGGAGAGGATATCACGCAGCGGAAGCTCGCAACCGACACGCTGCAGGGTATTGGAGAAGGTGAGGCTGTAAAATGTGAGCGTAAAGCATAGAAGCGTGGGAGTAACGTGTTCAGCAACGCTGATAGGGCTATCCTGAACGTGCAAGCGAGACGCGACACCACTATGCGAAAGCTTACTTCTAGTATGGCATCAGTCAGAGACGCCCACTGTAATCCAAGCTCTTCCAACGCCACTGCTTCAGCAGATACTAGTTCCATGAGCTTAATGAGGCAGGACTTCCTCCTTAAAACGCCCAAATTGGACTACCAGCGGTTTAGCATGTTGTCATTGGTCGGCGGTAACTCATGCTGACTTAAGAGTCCAATATAGTTCTCCGCATAGCGTGCCGTGCTTCCTCACGTTATGGCTTGCACAGATTCCTCGCCCTCTGTCCAGCGCCGGCCAGTTAGTTCTAGCACAGCCTATACAACCTTGCCTAAGTCAACGCTGCCTCGGTGGAAAACCGCCTCTTGCGCTTGCAGTATGAGAACATGGCGTACGACACATACTCCGATCTGCTTGCTTCCTGTGAATGGCCATAGGCGCGCCGTTATAAGTATGCTTCTGCAATTATGCGTATAGCCTGAGCCCAAAATGGTTTTAACATTGCCGTCTGCTGCGGCAGTTGGTGTTGACCTGTTACGCTCAATCTTGGAAGACCCTAACGTGCAGCAAGCTAACTCTGACTTCGTCGCGAGGATCGGCGAAAGCCCTGTCCCGGCAACATGTCGCGCGGCCTGTGCGTTAATGGGGGAAGAGGCCCTGGTGGATTTCAGCGACGACGAGTGGCACGTGGGCAGCACGGATGCCACGACATGCCTGATCGCCGTCCTGGTGTGTCGCACGAGCCGCAAGGCCTGGTAGGTGGCAGAGGGGGCTCGCAGCTCGGTGGGACACCGCTTCATGTCAGATAAGAAGGAGCCTTCCGAGCACCGACGCATCACTACGTGTCCTCCCGCGCTCAGCATTGCGCTGTCACGCCGCTACGCTCGACTCTCTTCGCATGACGCCCTCCCTCCACGATCGTAGGGCCGCGCACTACAACAGCCACCTGGCGCGCGTCGACACCAGCATCACGCAGCTGCTGCCGCGCCACATGCAGCACCCGGAAGTGTGGCTGGTCGGCTCCTTCCTCGAGCCCACCGGCGAGAGCGCTGCCACGCTGCAGGCCGTGTTGCAGCTGCTTCACGCCTGCAGGCTGCCCTGTGTGGTGCGGCTGGCCTGCGTGGCGGGTGCCAACACGGACGGCGCGGGTGCGCCGCGAGCCCTGCACCTGGCGGTTGGCTGCTCGCCGGGTGACGCTGGGGTGACCGTGTGCTGTGACGCCAGCCCAGCAGGCTTTGCCGACCGTGGCCCCGAGCTACCGCGGCGCTTCGCACATGACCACATGGCGGAATCGCGCGGCGATGTCAGCAGCGGAGGAGAGGAGGGCTGTGGCAGCGATGGGGAAGGCGACTGTGGCAGGAGCATCCTTCGCAGTGCGTTGAGGGGCATCGTGGACACCGCAACTGGCCGGCTGCGTGTGCCGGGCCTGCGCTGTCGCCAGCTGCACCCGTACTACGTGGCACATTACGCACAGCTGCTAAGACTGCCGGATGCCGCTTTCCTCCGGAGGAACAGCACCAGCCCCGACCATGAGCCCCCCAACTTTGTGGAGGATATCAAAGCGGCCTACCGGTACATGCTAGAACAGCACGCAGTCGGGACCACGTACATCCCCAATGCATGGTTTGAGTGGGTGGGAACGGAGACTGGACAATCTGTAGCGGGCAGTGGTGAAAGCGAGGTACGTAGCTGTTGGCGAGCTGTCCAATGACGAGGTGTTGCAGCACGCTCGCTTTCGTAGGGTCAGGAGGCTGATCCTTCACCGTTCGCATCATGGGGGCTGAGGGCTATCCGTACGCCGTTTATTGCTGAATTTTGGCGTTACGACATTATAGAGAAGTGAGAGGAGCATTGGACAATGGCCCTGTCAATCGAGGCACTTGAAATGACGTGGAATTCTTACAGGAAGGATACGACCTCCGCAACTGCTGTCCATTACTTCCTGTCACAGCAGGAGTCCAAGTAGCCAGTGCAGCATGCCCATGTGGCACGCCACGAGTTGGGCCGGGTCAACAGCTGGTAGATACCATACCCTACTAGTTTTCAAACCGAGGCTTGTCACAGGACGACTCATGGTCCTCACCATTCACTTCGGCCAAAAACCAGCAAAATCCCGTAATGTGTATGCGGCCGAGCATCCACGCTTGCACCGCGCGTTGGTGAAAACACCCAAGTAGGTGGGTTAGATTGTTAAGCCAAACAATGCAGTTCATGTTAGGTAAACTGTAGCGACAGCATATACCGAGAACACCTCTCGTAAAAAAATTGAATAGCAGAATGCATACACATCGCCGCGTTAACAAGAAGCTCAGACTAGCGTCAGTGAAAATCCTTGTCCGGCCTCCCCACAGAGGTTCAGGCGCTTACGCACTCCCGCGTCAAGTCCAGTAAAAGCGCATTAAGCGCCGTAATACACGCAAGACAGTCGCCCCGTAACACCATTTACTTCTTCTTCTCCTCGACCGAGCCGGTGGTGGGCAGGCCCATCGACACCTGTTGATGGTGGCAAGCGGGGAAACATGTGTCAGGACGGCCAGGATCCGGGTTCGGTTGGGACAAAAAGTGCGGCTGTTTCTCGTGGGTCCCCCGAGCGGTTGCGCGACAAGAGGTGTGCGAGCCGCTTCCCAAGAAGAACAGTTCGACCTGAACCCAGCATGCTGGGTTTGCATAAATGGCTGCCCAGTAGGGATCTCGTGATGAGTTGGCATTGATGAGTGGCTAGCGACTTTTAGTGATCTAATTGGGAGATGGGTATTGCAGCGGCCATGAAGCCAGGGACAACCACCCCACGTACCTTGAAGGCGTCGTAGATGCCCCACTGTAGACCGGTGAGCGTGCCGATCATGATGATGCGCAGGCCCAGACCGCGAGTGAACAGCGCGTACCAGCCCATCTCCTTGATGATGTCGCCGGCAGTGGCGCCCTTCTGGGCGTTGAGCTTCGACACCAGGTTGTCGGCGGGGTGCGAGACAACGGCGCAGAACACACCGGCAATGTAGCCGGCGGCGAACGAGACACCCAGCTGCTCGCCCTTCGTGCACTCCGACTTGGGCTTGGGCACAACGTACTTGTACAGCGCCTGCACGGTGTTCTCGAAGGCACCGAACTTCATCATGGTGTAGGGGATCTGGCGGCCCCACAGAGGCTTGATGCCCTTGAACAGGCTGCATTACATGGGATACGTGGGGAGGGGACGTTAATGAGGCGGGACGGGCTGCCTGCAGACACGGATGCCGCAAAACCCGACATACCATACACGGCCAACCTTTGCAAACTCCCTTTGCAAAGCCAACCTACCCAGCAACGCCCTCCTGCGCGACGAACTTGGGGAGGCCATCGCCCATGCCGCGGGCGAAGCCGGGCACGGTCTGCACCTTGACCTGTAGAATGACAGGCACCATGTAACATGATTCAGTTCTCCTAGTGCGTAAAGAACATCCAAGTGTGCACAGAACAATACGTAAATCAGAAGCACACACAAAATAGAAAGCAACAGGCCGTAATTACATACCTTGACGGCCTCGAAGGGGCACAGCGCAATGTCAGCGAAGAACTCAGCGCTGGCAGAGCCCGCCAGGTAGATGGCGCTCTGGTACTTCTTGGCAAGCTCCTCACCGGCCATATCCGAGTAAGTCCTGCGCACGTTTAAGCGAAGAAGTCGTCAGTCGGTTACCTACGATTAAGGATTCGCGATCCCCAAGACTCACTTCTTGAAGTACTCGTAGAGGCCGAACTTGCAAGCACCCTGGGCGGAGTAGCCGAGCAGGGTAGGCACCCAGCCCCTGAACAGGCCGGCAACGCCAGCCTCCGACACCAACACCTTGAAGCCGTTCGAGATGCCCTTGTACTTGGCCGGGTTGGTCTGAATGTTGCACTTGACGACATCCAGAGGCGTCACAGCCATGTGGGTAAGACCGCAGCTAGCCACGCCACCAGCAGCGCAAGTCCAGTAGTACTCGCTGCATGCCGGAAAAATGGGTTGATTGATGAGAACAGGCTGGTCAAACGGAACATCGAAATCGCATACAGCTGGCTATCTCCTATCCCCTTACTTGCTGTAAAGCTCAATCTTGCGCTTAGCGGGCTCCGCCGCACTGGCCGCAACCATCTTGCCCAGCACACCGGTGTTCAGCGCAGCGCTGAAGCTGGAGGGCGCCGGAGCAGCCTCCTGCTTGGGCTGCATGGTGGCGAAAGCCGCCGAAACAGCGCTGAGCTGAGGGGCCATCTCGGTAAACGGAGTAAGGAGACGGTAACGTAAAAGAGATGCACTGGCAAACAGTGCACTCTGTTCACTTAAAGGCACTGTAGCAAGGAAGCAACCAGCTATTTAAAGCAGGCTGGGCATCATGCAAATCGCCGTACCACGGCGTTCACTCCATGACTGAGCAGCACGCAAAGCGCAAACCACGATGAGCTCTTTTATTGTGTTCGGCAGCGATCAAAATACTAAGGTTTTGGATATTAAACGCATTCTGCCGAGGTCTCGACACGCAACCGCACGGAATGTTCGCAAGTTGTTCCTTACATAATCTCTATTAAACGCACACGCTAGCTCCTGGCATGCTATTCCCACCTAAAGGCATATTGCAGCTGGTATGGCCTGCGCTTTCCACCTTCGGCGGTTTGCCCGTCCAGGGTGTTCTCCTGCAAGCAACACGGAGTTTGCGGCGGAGTGTGGCGGCGCGTAGGCGTGAGCTGCAGGAGGAGGTGGACGATGCTTTGTTGCCAAAGGTGCCCGAAAGGGAGGAGCACTGCGGCGTGGGGTTCCGTCCTGCCGTGACTGGGGTATACGGTAGCAGTGCTACTTGCAAACCTTGCCGTCCTGAACAAACTGCGGCAGCCCAGGGCATTCAGAACCAAACCTCCCTGCACAAACCTAGGAATCCTTCGTTTGGGAAATTCGCATGGAGGGTAGGCTTTGTTATCTCAGCAGCTTGGCAACATGCAACATCCCTGCTGCGCCTGCATGGGCGGCCACCTGCTGCTTCCAACCTCCCCAACCCGCACTTGGCCCACCCCCCCCCCGCATGTGCTCCCGCGCTCAGGTGGCGCTGGTGGGGCGGCCCAATGTGGGCAAGTCTGCCCTCTTCAACCGCCTCGTCCGGCGGAGAGCAGCGCTGGTGGGTGAGGGTGGGCGCGGGAAGGGGCAGCAGTGCGTGCCCCTGCACCAGGGCACCCCAGATGGGGCATGGGCATGCAGCAGCGAAGCGCAGCAGGGGGGCCTTGCAGACCTGTACCAACGGGTCCTAATGGCCCTAGCTATGCCCTGCCAGCCTTGCCAGGGACTCCGTGTACGTACACATGAAGCCGTGAGCCATGGCCGGAGCGTCCCCAGCGTCGCCACGTACGGACCCCAGCCGGGCAGGGCCGCCTCCCCTGCCCCTGCTGCCGCCCCCATAACACCCCGCCCCGCCGCACCCTCCCTGACCCCTCCTCCCTCCTCCTCCCTCCTCCCTTCCCCCCCCCAGGTGTACGACACCCCCGACAGCCACGTGACACGTGACTACCAGGAGGGTCGCGCGCGGCTGGGCGACCTGCAGTTCCGGGTGGCGGACACCTCGGGGCTGGAGCCGCGCATGCCGGCCAGCGGGGGGTCCATACAGGTGCGGGGCACGGGGGAGGCGGGGAGGGGAGGGGAGGGGAGGCGAGGGGGGAGGAAGTACGCTTAGCGACGTCGTACGGCATTGGTAGTGCCGCTGTGGAACGTCTTGCGCTCTTCCATGCAAGCTGCCAACCCTGCCCCCTTCTTTGCCCCCTGCTGGGCCCCTGCCCCCTGCAGGCTCGCGCCACCGCCATCACCGCCCGGCTGCTGCAGCAGAGCCACCTGGCGCTCATGGTCATCGACGCAAAGTAGGGGGGAGGGATGGGGAGGGAGAGAGGCACCCGGGGGAAGCGTGGGGCGGGGTGAAGGGGCTGGGAACGTCTCCGCCGCGACGGCCAGCTGCGATGGCCCGGGTCGCCTGTCCATGGCTGCTTATCCCTTGCAGGCGGCGCATGCTGACAGCCCCGCCCCTGCCCCCGCCCCTCTCCCCGCCCCTGCCCCCGCACCCCTCTCCCCGCACTCCCCAGGTCCGGTGTGCTGCCCGCCGACGAGGAGCTGGCTGACTGGCTGCGGCGCCACGTGCCGCGGGACCAGGTGATGGTGGTGGCCAACAAGGCGGAGGGGCGCAGGGCCAGGGAAGGTGAGAGCGGAGCGGGCGGCGGCGTGAGCGGCAGCTGGGAGCAGCGGCGCGGATGGGGTTGCGTGTGGCGGACCCGAGCAGTTTAGGGTGGGCAAGACGCTTTGGACCTTCCTTTCCTGCCATCCCTTGCACTGCACGGGTAATGGCATCCTGGTTTGGTGTGCAGCACCCGGACCCGCCGTGCGCACACTCACACCCGTCCGACAATCACAGTACGTTCCTACTCGCGACCAGTTTTCTTATCACACCCATCTGCCGTACACACCCCTCAGAGATGCCGCAGACCGTGTACGACTGCTACCGGCTGGGGTTCGGTGAGCCGGTAGCCGTGTCCGCCAGCACGGGGGAGGGCATGACGGACCTGTTCGCGGCGCTGCAGCCGCACATCGACCGCATCCGGGGGGAGATGGAGGAGGCGGCACGTGGGGGCGCCAGCAGCAGCAGCGGGGAAAAGAAGGAGGAGGAGGAGGAGGGGGAGGCTGCGGAAGGAGGTGGGGGTCGGCTGGGGCGCAAGCGGAGGTTGCTGTTCAGCAGGGGTGAGCGGGCAGCCCCGGCGGCGGAGCTAGCGGAGGCTGCTGGCGGGGAGGAGGATGAGGCGGAGGAGGAGGAGGAGGGGGCGGCTGCAGGCGGGGCCGGCGGCGTGATGAAGCTGGCCATCATGGGGCTGCCCAATGCGGTGCGGGCGGACTGGGCGGAGGAGGGAGGGTGCAGCTCTGGGAGGGGAGGGGGGCGGTCGGGGTGGTAAAGCAAGTGTCTGGGTGCGCTTGTGTGCTAAGAAAACTGGCCGCGAGTAGGAACGTACTGGGATGTCGGAAGATGAAGTCCCCACAGAACCGCCGCGCGCTTGTGTGCATGTGCATGTGCGCACAACGCAAGCTTGGGTAGCAGCCAGCAGGATTGCACGCGCCGGGGCAGCGGTACTGCTGTACATACCCCATCCTTCCTGCCCTCCCCCCCTCTCCCCCTTGGCGCCGCAGGGCAAGTCCACGCTGCTGAACCGGCTGCTGGGCGAGGAGCGCTCGCTGACCGGCCCCGAGCCCGGCCTCACGCGGGATGCCGTACGCGCCTCCTGGATGTACGGCAGCCAGCCGGTGGAGCTGGTGGACACGGCGGGGTGGATCGGGGTGGGGGACACAGCCAGGTGGGTGCATGGGGACAGGCAGGCGTCCACCACCAGCAACAGTCGTGACCCATGGGTCACTTTGGGGTACTACACTACGTGTTGTTGCTACCTCTGCATGGAGATCCTGTCCGTCCGGGTTATCAGCCAGCCTTCCCGTGCCTGTTGCACCCTCACGCCTCACTCCTCCCCGCCTTGCTCCTTGCTCCCGCAGCTACGACGACGTGGGCGGCGAGGTGGCCTCCATGTCCCGCCGCGCCGCCTTCAAGTCGCTGGCGCAGGTGCATGTGGTGCTGCTGGTGGTGGACGCCAGGAGGGCGCTCAGCAGCCAGAGGGTGAGGGGAGGGGGGGGGAAAGAAGAAAACCCATTGTTTTGAAGAGGAGGAGGGGGGGACTGGGGGATGACAGTGAGAGAAGGAGAAGGCGCTGGCTTGGAGGAACAGGCCGGCAGGAACAGGCTGAGAGGGGTACAGCCCTGTTATCCCGCCCTTTCCCCCCCGCCCCTCCTCCCGCCCCGCTGCCCCGCAGGTGCTGTCCCGTCGCGAGATCTCGCTGGCCCACTCGGTCATCCGCGAGGGCAAGGCGCTGGTGGTGGTGGCCAACAAGGCGGATGCGCTGTCGGCACACGAACGCAAGGTGTATGTGGAGGTGAGCGGGGTGGGGGGGTGGCAGGGGTGGGGTTGGTGGGAGCGCGGGATAGAGTAGATGGGCACGTGCGCGTTCGCTACCAGCCGCAATCGGCACATGCTAGCACGTTAACCTCCGTTGCTCCGTGCATCCCAGACCCCACACACACCTGCACTCCCGCGCCCGCGCCCGCGCATCCGCTCTCCCGCTCTCCCGCGCTTCCTCCCCACCTCCCCACCTCTCCTCCCATCTATCCTCAGGCTCTGCGTCGCAACCTGTCGGAGCGCTTCCTGGAGGCGGGCCACGTGCCCATCCTGCAGGTGTCCGCGCGGGAGGGGCAGGGCGTGGAGCGGCTCATGCCCACCGTGGCGGAGCTGTACGGCGCATGGAACAAGAGGTGGGGCGCAGTACATGTAGACAACAACCTCCGCCGGGTCAAACAAAGCAACCTCCTTCTAGGCAACTTGAGAAGAGAAATTATGATGACGCGGCACGCGCCTTCCGTAGTCTCACCTGACCGCTGACCTGCTCCGCCCCCCGCCCCCCCCCCAGGGTGTCCACTGCGCGTCTGAACCGCTTCGTGCAGCGGCTGTCCCTGCGCATGGTGGGCAGCGGCATGGACTCCACCATCGCACGAATCAAGTTCATGGCACAGGTGGGTGGGTGTCAAGACAACTGGTGTGTGGGCGGGGATTAGATAAACTGAGCCGTGGAAACACTGACCCTGACCGGGGAGGGGAGGGATGCGCGACAGGACGGGTACTGCAGCCCACTACTCCCTGCTCCTCCTCATACGTCCTGCGGCGCACCGCATCCCTACCGCTACCTGATCTTTCCTTCAATACCCTGTTCCCGCCGCCCCTCGCCCCCTCAGGTGAAGTCCCGGCCGCCCACCTTCAACGCCTTCGTGTCGGGCAGCCGGCAGCAGCCCATGCCGCGCAACTTCGAGGCCTTCCTGGCGCAGCAGATCCGCGAGGTGATGGGCTTCCAGGGGGTGCCCGTGCGCATCTGGTTCAGGTGAGGGCGGCTGGGGTGCGGAGGGGGGCGGGAGGAGGGAACAGGAGGAGGGAGGGGACGGGTGGCGAGGAGGAACGAGGGAAGCAAGCCGCCTGACCTGTATGTGACTGCATCGTGTCTTGATGCGGCGACTGATGCGGCTGTCTCGGCTCGGACAGCTTTGCTTGTGTTAGGTAAAGTGGCCTTTGTGTGTTGAAAAGGACCAACTTCGTGTGTGTGTTTCGACCTTTTGCGAAAACAGGTACAAGGAAACGCGTGTGGAGCGGCAGAAGCGGCTACGCGCGCTGGCTGCCAGCCGCAAGACGCTGGGCGGGGCAGCTGCCGCCAGCGCGGCTCGGGAGGACGCCGAGGGGGAGGGCGCTGATGATGATGATGATGGTGAGGAGGAGGGCGGTGGCAGCATCATGGCTGAGGCGTTGCGTCGCGCGGAGGAGCTGAGGCGAGATGACGACTTCGCTGAGGCGCCCGCTGCTGCTGCTGCTGCTGCTGCGGGCGGTGTTACTCGTCGTGGCGGCAAAGGGAAGAAGCGGGCGGAGAAGGAGGTGGAGGTGGAGGAGGCGGGCGGTTGGGAGGAGGATGAGGAGCTCGTACCGGACGAGCGGAGGAGGGTGCGGTCGCCGGCTGCCGGAACCCCCAGCGGCACTGGTATCACCCCTGCGCTTGGAGGCGAGGAGGAGGCGAGGAGGGCAGGCGGGCGGGCAGCATCTGGATCGGGAGGAGGGGCAGCAGCAGCAGCAGCCTCCTCGGGGCAGCTACGGCAGTTGGACGCCGGGGATGATGAGTGGGAGTGGGAGGACGGCGGCGCCCCTGCGGCTGCTGCTGCTGCTGCTGCACAATACGGAGGAGGGCGGAACATGCGGCGCGGCGCTGGCACCTCGGCAGCTGCAGCTGTAGCGGGCAGCAGGGCCCAGGGGGAGACGGCTCCTGGCACGCGACCAAGCCAACAGCCTCGGATTCCAAGCCACAAGGGCCCCAAACCTGCAGACGATGATGATGATGATGAGGAGGAGGAGGCGGCAGCGATGGGTTACGGCGCTGCTGCTTCACAACGAAAAAGTGGACGGTTAGGAGGGCATGCTGCAGCAGCGGCGGCGGCGGCGGCGACAGCGGCAGCAGCCGGAGTGGCGCTGCGGCTAGGCAGCAGCGCCGCACTTAAGAAGCAGCAGCCGAGGTCTCCTGCTGCTGGCGATAGCAGCAACCGTGCCGGAAGCAAAGCCCAGGTGGCGGGGGCTGCTGCGTCCTCCTCCTCCTCCTCCTCCACCACCAACAAGGCGCTGCTGTACCGGGCCATGCTGACCTCCCGCAAGCCCACGGCGCCGCTGGTGCCCCTGCGGCAGCCGCAGCGGGCGCAAAGCAAGAGGGCCAAGACGGCGTCCTCACGCTAGAGCTGAGGCGTCAGGGAGGAATGCTGTGGGCGAGGGGGCCCCGGGGCGTCTCCTCAGCAGCGTTCCTCTTATGCGCAGCCGTCACGACACGCGTGGGCAATGGCATGCGCCTGGGTGGCATTACGCCATGAGGGCTGTGTAGGTTGTGGGGGGTGACTCGAGGCCAGCGATTTGGGATTTCTTATTCCAAGGCGCAAGAAGCTGTGCAGGAGGCACGTTGTGGACGCGCTGTGCCGGCGGGCGCTGTCCGTGCGAGCTGCCGTACCGCTGTGTGTGCGCAAACGTGTCATGTGTCACGATGTAAGGCAAGGGTTCTGACGCGGTCATACCGCTCCACGCATTTCACTCGCACCATGCCATGCTTATGTCCTCATGCCTTGCCATGTCCACGCCATGCCCTCACCATGTCTTGGAGGACGGGCGTGCAGCGTAATCGACGCGCCATAACTCCGGTAATGGCCCCCATGAGCAGCACACATGGGCCATATACCACGCTTCCTATACCGCAGCGGTAAACTTAACAAGCCTTGCGGGGCCTGATGGCCAGGCCGACCAATGCAGCATCCATCCGCAATGCGCCCCTCGCCACCCTGATACACACCATTATGCAATACGGACCATGCCGTACCATGACTCATTGCATGGCACTCCGACCCTGAAAGCGGTCTTACACCGCATACGAGACACATGCTGACGAAAGGCTTCAAGCCCGAATGGTTCCTGACGGGAGCTCGTTCCTTTGGAGCCGCTCTCCTGCAGCCCCACACCCCATCCTGCACACACACGTTCCTACTCGCGGCCAGTGCTTCTTACCACAAGCTGGGGTGCCCCGTGATGGCGCTCCCTCGCGCCACCCCTCGTCCTCCTCCACCCGTACGCACGTGCGTCACAGTTTGCTATTCTTCCTCTTCATCCACAAAACCTTGCTCCTCCCTCCTCCTCCTCCTCTTCTTTCCATCCGAAAGCAGCATCACCTCCTCCTCCTCCGCAAGCGCTGCTTCCAACGCTCCAACAAACCGGCCCGCGCACCACCTCAACAGCGCTGACAGCTACTCCCGGCGCGCGCGCGCGCACAAACCACAAGCTACGCATCCCCAATACCCTAGCTTTTCTTCTCCTGCCGCAACCTCCTCCTCTCCCTCTCCTCCCATCACTCGCCCTCCTCCTCCTCACCACCACCACCCCCATCATCACTCCCCCACCCCATCCGCGGAGGGTCTGAGCCACCTGCGTATGTTGCCGGTGTGGTCCACCGTGAAGATGGAGTCCGAGGCGAACAGCAGGTCGCACATGGGCTCAAGGTGCAGCCTGGGGGGGTGGGGAGGTGCGGGGAGCGGGGAACGGGAGGGTCGCAATAATGGAGAGAGATATTATTGACTGCAGTCGTGAACAACAACGAGCGCCCCAGCCTTCCACAGATAGATAGCCCACAGAAAACACGGGCATGCATGCACGCACGGTGGGAGCACGCGCCGGGCGCTTCAATCCTTTCGCCTCCCGCCCCCTTCCGCCTCCCCGCCCCCTCCCACACCCACTTGTGCTCCATGACAGGCTGCACGATGTACATGTCCATGCGCGGCAGCGAGGGGCAGATGTTGGTGCTCTTGCCCAGGGAGGCCTTGCGGTCGTGCAGGCTGGCGGCGGGGGGCAGACCGGGACCGCCCTCAGAGCCGCCGCCAGCAGCGCCGGGGGCGCGACCGCCGATGCTGCCGTTGCGCCTGACAGGGAGGCAGCAAACGGGCGGGAAAGGGAGGGAGACATCGCGTGGTTTCGAGGTGCGCAGGGGCATGCTGCTGAGGTTTTGCGAACAGCTGGAGAGTGGGGAATAGAAAGCGTTGCATGTGTCCCTTGCAACTAGCCCCAATGCGCATGCTCCTCCCTCCCCCCTATGAAGTCCCATCATACAGTTTGCCAGTTGTTTCCTCTTTTCCCTCTCCCCCGCTACCTCCCCCCCCGCCCCCGCCCGCCTCACTTGGCGCCGCTGCCCATCATGCCGGTCATCTGCGCCAGCAGCGCCGCGCCGCTGTTGATGTCCCCCTCGCCGGGCGCCTGCACGTCCCACAGACACAGCTGGCAGTCCTGACCCGCCGACCCCAGCCGGTAGATGTGCAGCGAGGGCGCCAGCTGCTCCGACAGGGCGGTGCGGGAGCGGTCGCCGGGCTCGGAACCAGCCCTGGGTGGGGGGGCAGGGTGGGGCAGGGGTTGCGTATGGCGCAAACGCGCGTCGGCCCCCAACCTGCCAAGAACTTGGCCCCTCCCATATCAACCCATCCCCTTCCTCTCTCTTATGCCCACACAATCCCAACCCCTCCCGCCAGCCCCCCCCCCGGCCCCCCACCCACCAGGGGTCCCACGCCACCCTGCTGACCCAGGACCGGTGCCCCTGCCCGTGCACCACCGGGTAGCGCTCCTGCAGCCCGTACACCGCCACCAGGTCGTCCTCGCCGCCCGCCGCCACGTACTTGCCGTCGGGGCTGAAGCAGCAGCACAGCAGCGCGCCGTAGTAGCTGCAGAAGCCCGCCACCACGGCGCCCGAGCCCAGCTCCACCACCCGCAGCGAGCCGTCGCGGCAGGCGGCGGCCAGGTGGCGACCGTCGGGGGAGGGGGCCACGTCGTTGACACCGCCGCCGCCCAGCTGGGTGGGAGGTGGGAATCGTCGGGATATGAACCAACATGCATAGGAGGGTGTGCCAAATGTTGTGCCGGTTGCGGTGTGCCTGGATAGCAGCGTTATGCCGTGGCGCTGCACGCTACAAAGGACACGCCCCCAAAGGAGGACAACCCCTGCACATGGGCCCTATGATGTGGGAGCATGCAGCGCTCCGCCGTACATACCCCCCATGCAGCCGCCCTGCATGCCTGCCTACCGGAATGATGCTGGGCGACTGCGATTTGGAGCTAGAGCCCAGTGACAGGCTGAACTTGCCGCTGCCCTCCCCCGTCACCTGGGCCTGATGGGGCGGCGGGGAGCGAGGGAGCAGGACGTCGGGGAGAGGGAGCGCATCTCGGTAAGGGACAAGCAGAGCCATGCAGGGAGGTCTGTAAGGGCTCGCCTCCAGTGTGTCCTGCTGTACGATTAAAAGGTGGGGCTGGGCTCACCTTTTTGTACATGTATATGTTCCCGGTGTTGTACGACGCTACAAAGAGTCCCGACTCCGAGCGAGGCACCCATGCCACTGCCGTACAGCGAGTGCTCTCTGACACGCCCTCGGGCTGCAGGGTGCCCAGTACGACAGGCTTTGTTTGAAACCCGCTGTTTTGCAGCTGGGCTCTCAACGACATGAGGTAGACTGCGCAGGAGTAGGCACAGACGTGAGTCGTTGTAATGTGGGCTGTGGGGGTGCTGGCATGTTGGAAGGTGAGGGGTCTCCCGAGCTCCCGTGCAACATACCTGTCCCGTCTCCCAAGCCCACCAACAAATCCACGCCGTCTCTTGCAGACAAGAACGCATGGCAAGTGGGATAGCCCGTGCGTACAGGGGAGTTGTTGAACACCAACGATTTGTACGGTTCCTGCAAGGGTTGTAGGCATGGCGAGATCGGCCACGTCCACGCAATAGCTTTCAGCCCTAGTGAAGAAATGCTGCTACAACGTTCACTTAGGTGCAAGGCACAACCGAACATGGGAATCCATACCTTGTGCGTCATGTTGTAACGCGAAATGTGCACACAATCTCTGACGTTGAAGAGAATCCATGACCCTTCTTCTGCCCCGCCTTGCAAGCTCGCCAACGTAAGGCGTGTTGAACGCTGGTTGCTAAATGGCTCAGGAGCTGTGACACGTTCCGTGTGCAGGTGAAAACGTCCCTCCTGCATATTCGTCGGCAACCATAAATTCCCCGCAGTTGCTCCATCAATACACGTCCAATGCTTATCATCTTTGGTTGACTTACAGCAGTTTTAAACCTATCTCGAGCAACGCGATCCCCAGAGTAGTTCATGTTTCATATGCGCGCAGGCGCTAATCGCTGGCCATGCGCAATCAGATTGTATCTATCCTTTCATGGTATGTAGTTGTGATTACGCTCCAAGTTGGGGCCACAGGCGCACGGCGTGTCTAAATCCTGTTTCGCTTCAACAGCTCTAACGTTAACAGCGTCGTCAGGGACAGTGGTAGAATAACAAAAGTGTAACACACTATCCTCGATAGTCCTAAACGCTAGGTGATCGCCGGCGAAGGAACCAACCTGCAAGTCGTCGTCGTACCTGAAAGAGTTTGCCGACGCTGAGGCGTGTCAAGCGGTAGATCCGAATACGCTGCTACGACCCAAGCACCGCTAAACACTTGATGCCCTAGCTTTGCGGTAGCTAGGCATACGTTTCTCCCCAAAATATACACCAACTCGTCCTCTTGATCCTGACCTGTGGACAGCTCTACATCTATACAATGCAACGTCATTGTTCCTGTCTGCGTTTATCCTTTATGGGATGGTTGTAGCGTAACAAGTACGCGATCGACGAGCTATCCAGGTTGTGGGCTTGTGGCTAAGCTGCCCAACACGACGTGGACCGGCAAAACATTACTGCCTAATTTAACCGCTAGGGATCATTTTGAGCTCTATCGCACAACTTGCCTAAGCAGCAGTTTGGGCGACCTAAGCTTGCTACACGCCCCAGGCAGCTTTGGGTGGCACACCGGAATGTTGCTAAGGCGATAAGTAGCCCTCTGCATTACGGCCAGCGCTAAAGGGCAGTTGGCGACGGTCGAAAGGTATTGACCATGCAGAGCTCACAGCCCGACAGGGCGTTTGACGTTTTCGTCAAACGTACACTATCCACAATCCAAAAGGAGTCTTGGGGCCGCAGCAAGGAGTGCAAGGAACTTCGCGAACAATGCCAGGTACGCTGGTCCTGACTGCTGCCATCTTCTTCACGCACCCCCTCGGACGCATGCTTTCCCATGTTTACACCTCGTCCACCTGTGTCTAATCCTTACAAACCGCTACCAATCACCCCTCCGTCCTCAACCGCTCCCAGCGACCTCTCACCTCCCGCTCCCTCCTCTTCCTGCCCTCCTCAGCTTCTCTCCCTCCCTCCCGCCCCCCGTATGACCCATTTCCCCTCCCCCCCTCCCCCCACGCACAGAACGTCCTCAACCTGCTCCACGACCACGAGCAGGGCCACCTGCAGTACGCCGGCAGCCTCGCAGTCGCCGTACTGGACCCCCTCTACCTCGCCTGCGCCAACGCCAACCCGCGCATCCTGGACGCCGCCCTGGGCTGCCTACACAAGCTGGTCGCGCACGCCTGGCTGCAGGGCGAGAGCTCCTCCGGCGGTCAGCCCAGCGATGCTGACGTGGTGTCGCGCGTCATTCGCACCGTGGTGCGTTGCGGCGAGGGCGCGGCGGCGGAGGGCATGCAGCTGTCGGTGATCCGCGCACTGCTCACGTTCACCACCGCGGAGCATTTTGTGGCGCATGGGGACTGCCTGCTGGCTGCCGTACGCATGGTGTTTAACCTGGCGCTGGGGGCGGAGGATGACGTCATCAAGCGTACGGCAAGCAATGCGCTGCTGCAGATGCTGAACACGATTACGAAGCGCGTGACGGCGTACCAGATCTACGGCAGCAGCAGCGCGGCGACCAGTCGGAGATCCTCCCTGGACGGCTGTAGCAGCAGCCATAACCTGGGTGCGGCAGGTGGGGTTGGGGGGACGGGCTATGGCTACAGTCGGCAGCTGTCGGTATGCAGCACGCCGCCTGGGGCCCCCGGGGGTGCGGCTGGGGGCACGTCGGGGCATGGGACAGCGGGCGGCGCAGCACCCGTGACCACACAGGTCAGCGCGCAGTTGCACGCCTCCGCGGGGCCGTCGGTGGAGCTGCAGCGGGCGACGGAGGCGGCACTGGCGGCAGCGGCGGCGGCAGCGGCGGCCCGCTGGGCTGCCGCTGGGGAGCAGCGGCAGCCCTCCACCACCGCCGGTGGCGGCATCAGCCGCTCCATGTCGGGTCAGTCCCTGCACCGCGATGCCGAGCTGGACGGGGCTGCAGCCGCTGAGGGCGGCCGGGAGGGCGCTGCCGGCGGCGGTGAGGCCAGTCGAACGGCGCAGCTGGCTACGCTGGCTGAGCAGCGGGACCTGGCGGGGTTGGAGGCGGCGTTGGGGGCGGCGGCCAGCTTGGATGAGGGGCTGGGGGCCGGAGAGGAGGAGGGGCCGGTGGTGGGGCGCGTGAGGTACGCCTCGTGCGTCGGCACGGGGGCGGGGGGGTCTGCCAGAGACCTCACGGCGGTGGGGACAGCAGCCACAGCGGTAGGAGCAGCAACAACGCCGTCTGGGGATGGCGGTGGTGGTAGTGCTGCCGCAGCAGCAGCCTCCACAGAGCCCAGCCCCAGCTTGCAGACCAGCTCCACGGGCATGCCTGGCCTGCCATCCGGCTTCTCGCAGCCCTCGCCAGCGCCCCCCCTTCCGCCGCCACCGCCCCAGGGCTCCTCCTCCGCTGCTGCGGGCGCTGCCGGCGGCCTGCGGGCGGGTCTCTGGTCGCCCGCAGCGGCGGCCTCAGGCGCCCCCATGGGAGCCAGCGCTGAGGCCGATCACTCGCAGCAGCACACGCCTCGCATGGGGGCAGGTCCGGGTGAGGCGGCATCGTCACTGGGGCTGTCTCCCAGCCCCTTCCAGAGCGCTGCCGCGGCGGCACACCCCGCGTCCCAGCCCGGCGGTGTTGTCCTCGCCACCCTGCCGCAGCATCAGCAGCCCCTGCATGGGCAGCAGCAGCATCATGCGCCGCTGCCCTCGCCCCCTCGCGGCGGCCCCGCCGCCCGGGCGCTGCGTACCTCGGAGCGCGACGTGCTGCTGGTGCTGACGTCGTTCTGCCGGCTGGCGTCGCGGGAGGCGGGCGTGACGGAGATTGACAAGTACCTAACGGTGAGGGGCGGGCTGCAGGGCGGCAGAGATGAGGGGGGGCTGTGGGGGCAAGAGGTGTGGGGGAAGGGGGGAAGGTGAGGAGGCTTCCAGCACAGCTTTGGGTCACAGTCGTGGGAGCGTGCTGGGTATAGCCATGCGCCATGCACGGTCAGGTCGCCAGCTCGCTTGGTATCCGTCACTGCCTGCCTCCCCAGTCAAACGTGAACCCCATTCACGCCCTCATCTCTCCATCATCCCTCTCTCACGCCCGCTCGCCTCCCCTCGCCTCCTCCCCTCCCAGGCCGGCAAGCTGCTCGCGCTGGAGCTGGTGGTGAAGGTGCTGCAGAACCCCATACACCAGTGAGGGCAGGGTGCTGCTGGGAGGGGGGGAGGACGGGTCGGAGGCGGGTGGGGGACCCTGCAAGCGCAGTTGTCTTTTGGCTTGGTTTGTGTTTGGTTGGTTTCTTGGGTGCCTTGGTGAAACGCGTGTGGCGGTGTACGCCACAGTGCCACGGCATGACCACATGCAGCAGTCCGCATGCCACCCGGTGCTGTGTTGCTGCCGCTCTGCACCTCATGGCCCCCGTACATTGCTCACTGTACGGCACAACCCCTATAGCCAACAACACCTCCCCCTTCCCCCACCCCTCCTCCGCCTCCCCCCACCCCAGCGGCTGGGAGAACGTGCGCGAGGAGTTCGTGCGGCCGCTGCACCAGCCGCTGTGCCTGGCGCTGCTGCGCAACAGCTCGCCCGCCGACCCGCCCGCCTTCGGTCTGGCGCTGCGGCTGCTGACGGCGCTGCTGATGCTGCCCAAGCTGCGCAGGGGGCTCAAGGTGCGGGTCTGCGGGAGATGACACCAGGGGGCGGGACAAAATCACAGAAACGAGGGTCCGGCAACAACTCCGCCCATTGACACCTCCCCTATCTTGCCACCCCCAGACAGCTATAGACCCCTTCCTGCACTCCCTATGAAGGCGGTTCCACCCTCTTTCCTGCCCCCGTTCCCATTCTTCCATCCTGTCCACCCCTCCTCCCCCCGCCAGGCCGAGCTGGGCGCCTTCTACCCGCTGCTGCTGCTGCGGCCGCTGGAGGGCGAGCAGCTGGGCCCCCCCGAGCTGCCCGCCGCGGCCGCCTGCCTGCCCTGCCTGGCGGCGCTGGCGGGCGAGGCGGCGCTGCTGGTGGACCTGTTCGTCAACTACGACTGCGACCTGCGGGCGCCCAACCTGTTTGAACGCAGCGTGCAGGTGCGCGGAAGGGCGGGGTAAAATAAGGAAACTGAGGGGCGGTGTGCGGAGTGGGACCAGCCCAAACCATAGGAAGCCACAGGTTAGGGCAAAGCAATAGGGATAGGGAACGGCAGGGTGGGGAGTGGAGGATGCGACGAGGCGGGAGGGAGGATGGAGGAGTATACCGGGCTGGGCTTGGGAGTGCTGAGGCTGCTGTTAGTGTGTGTGCTCACCCTTTCCCCCAACCTGATACCACCACCACCCCTGCACAGGCGCTGTCCCGCCTCTCCCAGCGCTCCGAGCTGGACGGCCCGCCTGCCGCCTCCGCGCCCAAGCAGCAGGAGCAGTCGCGGCAGCTGACGGCGCTGCGGGAGGGGGCGCTGCGGTCGCTGCTGGCGGTGGTGCACTGCCTGGACGCGTGGGCGGGGCCGCTCAAGGAGGCAGCGGGGCCGCCGGCAGGGCCGCAGCTGGGCAGCAACGGGGCTGCGGCGGCTGGTGGCGGTAATGCTGGCGGTGGCGAGCAGCCGCAGCAGCAGCAAGGGGAGGAGGGCAAGGAGGGGGATGTGGGTGGCGGTGGTGGGGTGCTGGCGCTGCGTATGAATGGTGGCGGAGGTAACGGTGGCGGTGGTGGCGGTGCGGATGCGTCTGAGGCTCAGCGGTTCGAGGCGGCCAAGGTGACCAAGAGCAGCCTCAGTCGCGGCATGGCGCTGTTCAACGGGGGCAGCCCCGTGAAGGCCATGCGCTTCCTAATCGCCAGGTGGGGCCCGGCACCGCGGCGCCGGGCAGTACCGGTGCAGAGCTCCAACACGACACCACACTACTGCATCATTCCACCCGGCGCCACCCGGGTGCTCTCTTTTGGCATTGGATATCTGTATTCCCTCCTACCTGCACCAGCCCAGGCACACCTAGCCTTCTGCTCGTGTCGTGCTTACCCACGCAGCTTACACCTCCCCATCCTCTGCCCTGCCCTCCCCTGCTCCCGGCCCCCCTCCCCCTTCCTCCCCCCCCAGCGGCCTGGTTGAGTCCAGCCCGGTGGGCGCCGCCGTGTTCCTGCGCGCGCACGTGGCCGACCTGGACCCCGCCGCCCTGGGGGAGTACCTGGGGCACCACGAGGACTTCGAGCTGGCGGCCATGCGGGCGTATGTGGACATGGAGAGGTGGGGTGGGGGGTAGCCGGGGTAGGAGGGAGGGGAAGGGAGGGAGGCTGGGTGTGGGGTAGCCGGGGTACCGGGGCTTGGGTTGCACGAGCGTGTTCAAGGTGCCTAAGCTTGTGCCATGCCGTGCGATATGATGTTCGGAACCCTTCCATGCACCCCCTCGCACCCCGCACCCCCCCAACCCACGCAGGTACACCGGCATGACCATCGACGCCGCGCTGCGCTCCTTCCTGTCGCCCTTCCGGCTGCCCGGTGAGGCGCAGAAGATCGACCGCCTCATGGAGGCATTCGCGGAGCGATTCGTGGCGGACAACCCGGGTGTCTTCCGAACCGCTGACGCAGCCTACGTGCTGGCATTCGCAATCATCATGCTCAACACGGACGCACACAACCCGCTGGCGGAGCGCCGGCTGGACCGTGCGGGTTTCGTGGCCATGACGTCACTTCCGGCGGAGGATGGAGGCGGCGGGGGAGGTGTGGGGGTGTACGTGCCGGCGCTGCCGGTGCCGCAGCTGGAGGGGATCTACGATCGGATCGTGGCGCAGGAGATTGTCGTACGTGCGACGCCTGGGGGTGCTGGGGGAGCAGCGGGGGGAGGGAGGGGGAATGGCGGGGCGGCGGGCGGCAACGGCGGGCGGGGGTGGCGCAGCGGTAACAAGCTGGCGGCGGCGCTGGGGCTGCGGGCGCTGGTTGCACCCTTCCGCAGCGCGGGCGCGGGGGACCGGAAGCAGGTGAGCGATGCGGAGCGGCAGCGGCAGCAGATGATGGAGCTGGCGGCGCTAGCGGTCACCCGCGGCAGCGGAGGCGGTGGCGGTGGCGGCCCCTCCGCCGCCTCCTCCTCCTCCCTCAGCGGCACCTGGCACTCCTGCACGCATGCAGCCCACGTGCGGCCCATGCTCACCGTCAGCGGCGAGGCGCTGCTGGCGGCGCTGATGGCTGCCGTACAGCGCGCGGCCGACGCGACGGCGGCGGAGCCAGTGTTGGCCGCGCTGGTGACGTTGGCTCAGTTGGCAGGACTGGCGGGGCTGGAGGAGCTGTGCGAGGCGGCGGTGGCGGCGCTGGCGGCGGCGGGCAGTGTGGCGGCGCCGGCGCCGTTCGGCACCTCCGCCGCCGGCAAGCAGCTTGCGGCGCTGCGTGCGCTGCTGGGAGCGGTGGGCAGCCCGGAGGCGGGGCAGCTGGGCAGCGCATGGGCCATCATACTGAGGACGGCTTCGGAGCTGGAGGCGCTGGTACGCGTCGTGGCACGGCCGTTGCAGCCGGGGGAGACGGGGGTGAGCTTCCTGTCGCCTCCGTCGGCGGCGGCGGGTGGCGGCGGCGGTGTGGACTCTCCGCGGGCCGGCGGCGCGGCGGGCGGTGGTAATGGTGGAGGAGGAGGCGGGCTGTTTAGTAAGATGTTTGGTGGGCTGTGGGGGACCAGCAGCAGCAGCAGCGCCGCGGGTGCGGGTGGGGGTGCGGGCGGTGAGGGCGCGGTGGTTAACGGCACGCCGCGGGTAGGCGGAGGTGCGGCCGGGGCGGGGCGCAAGGAGGAGCAGGGAGGGGCGGCGGCAGGCGGAGGTGCCGGTGGGGGCGGCGGCAACCTGCCGCCGCCGCCGGTGCGTGTGGCGGCGGGGGCGGCCACTGTGATGTGGGCGGTGACGGATGGACGCCAGATCATTGAGCAGGTGTGTGAGAGCGGGAGGGGGCGGGGGAAGCTGCTTGTGTTGGGGGAAGATTCACCGCTTCCGTATCTGCCCGTGCTACAGCCTTTCCTCCCACTCCTTGCCTTTCCTGGCCCCCCTAATAAACTGCTTCATTCTATCCCAAATGCTTTGCTCCACCCTATCCTGTATTTTGGTGTAGTCTCTGATCCCCCTTTCCCCTTCCCCACCCCGCCAGGTGTACACCCGGAGCGCCAGTCTGGACGGCGACGCCGTGGTGGTGTTCCTGCGCGCCCTGTGCGCCGTCAGCAGGGAGGAGCTGGACGCACCGCTGCCCCGGGTGTACAGCCTGCGGAGGCTGGTGGAGGTGAGGCGGGATGGCGGACGGCGGGCTGCAGCACCAGGTCTCCCTGTCCGGTGTCTCCTACAACCCTGTCCCTGCTTTCGCTCCTCTCATGCTTGATGTGTACTTGCCCCTTACCGGTATCGTTGAACTAACCTCCTAGCACCCTCCGCACACGCCGCACCCCCCGCAGGTGGCCCACCTCAACCTCTCCAACCGCATCCGCCTCATCTGGTCCAAGATGTGGACCGTCCTATCCGCACACCTCGTCATGGCTGCATGCCACCCGCAGCAGCCCATCGCGGCGCAGGCAGTCGACGCGCTACGCAGCCTCGCAGCGCGACTGCTAGAGCGGGAGCAGCAGCTCGCGCAGCGCTCAGCCGCCGGCGGCGGCGGCGGCGCCTCCGCCTCCGTCAGCACCGCCGGCGCCGCCGCCGCCTCCGGTGGCCACCCGGGCCAGGGCTTGACGCACTCCACTTGGGGCTCCGCAGAGGGCGCCTTGCGGCCGTTTGTGTCTGTGCTGCGGTTGTCGGATGACGCCAACGTGAGGGCGATGGCGCTGGCGGCGGTGGCGGGGGCCATGACGACGCATGCGCGCGGGCTGGGGGCGGGCTGGAGGGTGGCGATGGAGGCGCTGCGGAGGGCGGCGGAGGACCCCGCGCCGGCGGTGTATGAGCAGGCCATGGGCGCGATGGAGGTGGCGGTGGCGGCGTTGTTCAGGACGCCGGCGGCGGTGACGATGACAGCGGCGGTGGCGGCGACGCAACCGCCGGGTCATGATTGCTACGCGGAGACGTTGCGTGCCGTACTAACGGCCATTCGCAACCCACACCACCCAGATCGAGCACCCTCTGTCGTACAGGTGTTGGTACGGTGTGGGGAGCGGTTGGCGCAACGACCGCCGCTGCCGCCACCGGCGGCGTCAAGTGCCGCCGGCGCCGGCCACATGAGCGGGTATGCGTCGCCGTACTCTTCACGGCACCGGCAACTGGCCCCGCAGCAGTCCTGGTCACAAACACAGCAGCCATCAGCGGACCCCTCGGCGCCACTCAGCCCGCATCAAACCAACACCTCCGCCGGCGCCGCCGCCGGCTCCGGAACCGGATCCCTGCTCGACCAGCTTGCCTTGTCGTACGCCTCTTCCTCCCGGCCTTCCTCGCTAGACGAGTGGGCGCTGCTTGTGGAGGTGGTTGCTGACGTGGCGGCCACACGCAACGCCCCGCGCCTGGCGGCGGCGGGGCTGGAGGCGGCGCTGGATCTCATGCGCACCCACAGCGGGCTGTGGGGGCCGGCGGCCTGGCGCGTGATGCTGCGCAAGGTGGTGGCGGCGGTGGCCTTCAGGGTACCGCCGGCGCTAGACCCCGCCAGCTACCCGGCGGAAGCGGCCGCTGCCGCCGCCGCCGGCCTGCCGCATGAGTCCATCTGCGCTGGCTTCGTCGCCCGGGTCGATCGACTGTTCCCGCTCATGTGCGCGCAGCTGGCCCCGCTGGCAGCGGCGGCGGCGGCGGCGGACGAGGAGCAATCTCGCAACGGCGGCCGCCGGCGGCGGCACCCCCGCAGGGCTACGTACGACAGCAGTAGCGATGAGGATGCGGGTGACGACGGCGAGTACGGCAGCGGGCCGCCGCCGGATCTGCACCGGGAGCTGCTGACGCTGCTGGCGGAGACTTGTCTGGGCTGGTTCCGCCACCCGGCGGAGGCGGTGGCGCGAGCGGGGCTGAGCAGCCTCTCCCGCCTGCTGGACGCCACGGGCGGGGTAGTGCTGGCGGGCGGCTCCACTGCTGCTGCTGCCACTGCGGCGGTGCCTAGCCGCGCAGCAGCCACTGCTACTGCGGTTGATGAGGACCCAGCGGTGCTCCGCGGTTGGGAGGTGCTGCTGCCCCTCATCTCCTCCACGGTGGATGCCGAGCTCACCCGCGTCACGGACTTCACGGAGCGCCTGCGCCGGCAGCAGTGCTCGGCTGCTGCACCATCCGCTGCAGCAGCTGCAGCACCAGCGGCAGCCTCCCCCGTCACGGCCCCCGCCGTTCCCGCGCCCGCCGTCTCCGCGCCCTTCTCCGGCGCAGCTGGCAAGGCAGCTCAACACTCGCTGGAACCGGACGTCCGGTCGCTGCGGTGCCGCTGCCGCATGCTGGTGCTGCTGCAGCGGCTGCTGGCGGAGTTTGCGGCGCGGCACGTGGCGGCGCTGCCCTGGCGCGTGACTCGGCAGCTGGTGGGGGTGCTGGCGGGGGCGGCGAGGCGGCTTATGGCGTTCAATATGCGGGAGGAGCTGCCGGAGCAGGGGCAGCAGAAGGAGGAGGAGGAGGAGGCAAGGGCGGGAGCAGCAGCAGAAGCGGCAGAAGCGGCAGCAGCAGGGGATGGGGAAGAGCCGTCTGGGCGGAGTACGGGTGATGGCTGGGGTGATGGTTGGGATGAGGATGAGTGGGATGAGGATGGGGCCGAGCAGCAGGATGCTGCTGGGCCGCGTAGCTCGGAGGCGGCGGCACCGCGGCGGCGGCGAGCGAGCGGCGCTGGGGGGAGCGGGAAAGGGGATGGTCGTGCCAGCGGGCGAAGTAGCAGCACCGGCGGCGGGGCGGAGGTAGTGGAGGCGGCTGCGTCCGCCAGCTCACGAAGAGCGGGTGAGGAGGCGGCAGATGAGGACGCCGGTGTGGATTCGGTCATAGAGGCGGCGGGGGCGGTTCCCGTTGTGGTGTCACCGCCACCGCCACATCCCATCATCCTCGCATCAGCCCTCACGGCGGCTCCGGATGCCGCGGCGGTAGCCGCCGCCGCCGCCGCTGCACCCCCGTCGAGCTCTTCCTCCGCCCGAACCCTGTCCCGCGCGCCTGCCAGCACTGCAGCTGTTGCCACCACCGCTGCATCCCCCTCGCCCGGCGGTGGCGCCCTGGCAGGCGCCCGGCTGCAGCTGGCGGCTCCGCAGCTGCAGCTGACAGCCGCCACCGCTCACGATTCCATGCGACCCGCACTGGCTCGGCTGGAGGTGGAGGCTGCAGACGCAGCCATGACACTGCTCCTGGCGTGCGCCTACTACAACAACAGCAACAACCGCACCACCACCACCACTGCTGCCGCTGTGGCCAGCGGGCCGGAATCGATGTCGCCATCCAACGGTCCTTTCGCAGCCTCGGCCGCAGCTGTCGCAGCGGCGGCGGAGCGGCGGCGTGAGGCCGGCGAGCAGCTCTACGCGCTGTGCCGCCTTGTCGTGACATACAGCGTGGCGGCGCACTCGGCAGCGGCGGCGGAGGCGGCGGCGCCGCACTCGCACGCCGTGTCCGCCGCCTTGCCGCTGGAGCCTGCAGCGCTGGACCCCAGCCTGCCGGGCAGCAGCTGGGACCATGCGGTGCGGGCGGGGGTGCTGGCCCGAGCGCTGAGGCTGCTGCTGAGGGGGGTGGGGGAGCCGGACGCGGAGGAGGAGGGTGTGGCGGGCTGCTCCGCGGCCGCTGCGCGGTCCCGTCGTGATGCTGCTCGGTTGTCGCTGCTGCCGGACGTGTTGGTGCTGCTAGGGAGCCATCAGGCGGTGGTGCGGGCGGCGGTGGCGGATTTCCTGGAGGAGGTGATGGGGCCGGGGGTGCGGAGGGTGGCGCAGGCGGAGGCGGCACGGGAGCAGGAGGAGGAGGGGGAGCAGAAGGGGGCGTGAGGGGAGGGTGCATGGCAGGCGTGGGTTGACGAAGCAGTGTAGGCAGATGGAGCAGGTTGAGGAGGTGTAAAGGACGGAGCTTCTCCCTTGGGGGTATAGGGTGTTATAGCGAGTTCAGGGGGGTGTGGAGGGAAAGGAGGGTGGTGGGGTTGACCAGTTGGAGGTACCGGTAGGGCAGGATAGTACAGCACTTGAAGGCAGCTGTAGTGGCTGTGTAGTGCACAACCCCCTTGGCAAGTGTGGATGTTTGGCAATGCGAGTGAGAGCAGGAGCGGGAGGGAAGTGGGGAAGTCTGCAGCAGCATCTATGCTCACGAGCGGGGGCTGCTGAGCCGTCTATTCCTCTTATCCGTAGTTAGTGTGTGGTGTTTCGTGTGGTTTATGGTGGTTTGCTAGTGCGTTGTTTCCTTGGTCCTAGTTGCGGAAATGTTGTGAACAGCACGGCTATCATTTCCCTCAATGGCTGAAAGATCTCTGGCGGAAAGAGATGGGGACACGCGAGGCGATAGACTTACACATAGACCTAGACCTAGCATTACCGTACTTAATGCTTTGCCGTACTAGGCCACTATGATAGGTGGTGGTTGAGTACAACAGAATAGCAACCACTAAGAGGCAGTGTAGATGTGCATGACTTGTATAAGGCGCACGCTTCTGGCAACGGCCGTTTCATTCATGACCGTTACAACGGTACAATGCTCCCCCAAAAGGGAACACGGGTATGGAACCCCCAATCCTTACCAATACATGCGCGCAAGTCCTCAACACAGCGCCGATTGCATAGCTCATTACAGGTTTACAGCCCTCATGCGGGACATCAGCTCACAGTCGCAGTCGCATGGGAGCGTCCGACCGGCACCCCTCCTGCCCTCATACGACTACAGGACAGCCCGCACAAAGAGCCTCACGCCGGAGACACCGCAACACGCGCGCAAAGGTTCCATGCGCATTTGAGTACGACAGCGCTTACCGTCATGAACCGTAGCAACACATTTAGGGTACAAATGCCGTGTGTGTGCAGTACAATTTCAACTCGGCAAGAATTACCAAAGCGTTCCATCTCTCCTCTACCCAACATACAGTACCGGTAGTCCAGCGGATTAGTGCCTCACACCTTTGTCCGCCGCCGCCGCCTTTCCCCGCATCTTCCCAATTCCGAGACATTTCGCATCCCAACTGACACCGACACCAACACGTGCTCTCTCACACTTTTACACCATCCTCCTATACAACAGGATCCAGCGCCCTGGCCTGGTGGCCTTAATATACGCCCATCTCCCTCCTCCTCCTCCCCCCCGCTCCTCCTCCAATCCCCTCCTCCTCGCCCCCCCTAGCCCGTGTTCCTCATGCCCGCCGCGATGCCGTTGATGGACAGCAACAGCGCGTCCCGCAGCCGCGTGTTGCCGGGGTCCTGGCGCAGTCGCCGCAGCACCTCCACCTGCAGCACGCTGATGGGGTCGATGTAGGGGTTGCGCATGTTGATGAGCCTGCGCAGGGTGGGGTTGCTGGCCAGCAGCTGCTCGTGACCCGTCACCTGGGGGAGGGGGGGAGGGGGGGAGTAGGGGAGAGAGGAGGGGGTGGGGAGAGGAGAGGGGACGATGAGGAGGATCTGGGAGGGCAAGCGCTTCATGAACCCAAACAGCATGTACTGTACAAAACCTGGATGGAAGCCTAGGGGCATGGCGCAGACAAACGCGGATAAACCGCAGAATACCTTCCAACACACAGCTACACAAGGCCGGCCCTTATCAACTCCACCCACCCGCCCCCCTACCTTGAGCAGTGCGCCCTGGCATCTGGCTAGCCGCTCCCGCAGCTCCTGCCCCAGCCGCCGCTGCGCCGGGTCCTCCACCAGCACCGCGTCGTAGCGCGCGGCGATGCGCGGCTCCGTCTTGGCCAGGATCATCTCGATGAGGTCGAGTGTGGATGTGAAGAAGGGCCACTCGCGGTACATGTCGCGCAGAGTGGGCAGGTGGCCCTGGGGGGGGGCGAGGGAGGCGAAGGAGAGGGGAGAAGGGTGGATCACATGCCAGGAATGCCATGCGTACCACCACTAGTGCAAGAGGCGGTGTAATGGCCCTGTGTGACCCCGCTCCCCCCCGCTCGGGTCCAATGCAGCAACCCCTGGTGAAGCCTCGTCATACAGCTCGTCAGTTCCCTCTTTTTAACCCCCACCCCTCGTCAGCTTGTTTGCTAGCATCATTCCAGGGGATTCTTCCTTCCCCCTCACCTGCTGCATGGCCGCCAGCAGCGCCGCCCCGATGCCCAGCCAGGAGGGCAGGATGAGGCGGTTCTGGGTCCATGCGAAGATCCAGGGGATGGCTCGCAGGGTGGAAATGGAGGGGTCGGCGCGACGCCGGGAGGGGCGGGAGCCTGGGGGGGCAGGTGGGGGAGGTGGGGGAGGTGGGGGAGGGGAGGGGGAGAAGGGTGTGGTTTGCAGCTTTTGGGCACCTGGAGTGGGGAAGAGTGAAGCAAGGAAAAAGACCGACCCATGGTTCATCACACCGTCATAACGGTCGCATGCACTCTCTCGTACTCCTCTCCAAACCCAAAGCACCGCCTACCTATCTACCGGTACCAACCACCCAACCAACACAATCCATGCAAGATCCCCTTCCAAACCCCGCCCCTCCTCCTCTCCTCCCCCTCTCCTCTCCCCCCTTCTGCCCCCCCACCTATGTTCAGGTTGCCTAGCTCCGCCTCCGGAGTGGCATGCTTGAAGTACTGCAGGAACAGCGGGTTGTGGTGCACCACATTGCGGTAGCTCTCGCAGCTCACACGGCTCAACATCTCCATCACCGCGCGCCACTCCTCCCGGCGAGGCGGACTGGGCGGTCGCAGCGTGGCCAGCAGTACGGCAGTGGTGTACGTCTCCAGCGTGCCGAGCGCCACTCCGCTGATACCGAACTTGGCTTGCACCATCTCGCCCTGCTCCGTGATACGGAAGGAGCCCTCCACGCTGCCGGGCGGCTGGGAGAGGATGGCGAGGTGGGTGGGGCCGCCGCCGCGACCCACGGTTCCGCCGCGGCCGTGGAAGAGGGTGAGACGCACACCGTGGGCCTTGCAGAGGGCCACCAGGCGCTCCTGACACCTGAGGGAAAAGAAGAATCCCAAGGTGTTTAATGATGATAGCAAACAAGCGGGGGCGGGGAGGGAAGAGGTTAAGTAGGGAGGGTGGGGAGGCTAGTCGTAAGGTGAGTAGGTTCAACCTCACCCGCGTCTCACCTCTTCCCAGGCCACCGGCCCTACACTCTGCAACCCTCGCACCACCCCCCCCCCCGCCCTCCTCACTTGTACAGCGCCCAGTTGGCTGCCAGCCGTCCCGCGTCCTTGCCGCTGTCGCTGTAGCCCAGCATCACCTCCTGGTGGTCGTCGTGCGCAGCGGCCAGGTGGGCCCGGTACCAGGGGTTGGACAGCAGCCGCGTAACGATGTCACCCGAGGCGTCCAGGTCCTGTGCAGGGGGGGGGATGCGGTGCAGAGAGGGGGGGAGGGATGGGTAGGGAAAAGGCAGGAGCGTGGGGGGGGGGGTAACTTGGTGCATGCTGTTTGGGCTGAGCGGCGGCCATATGGAGGAGGTACATGCAGATAGGCAGCTAGCATGGTGCACGGAGCCGTGCGGGTTAGGATGCCCGGTACGCCCTAAGCCCCGCCTCCCTCCCTCCCGCGCCGCCCCAACCACTCCTCCACCCCCCTACCAACCCCCCCCCTCCAGCTCACATCCAGTGTCTCAAACAGTGGCACCACTCGCAGCGCCGCGCTGTCGTCCAGCGGCCGACCCAGCTCAGCGGACACCTGCGTGACAGCAGGGGGTGGCAGGCAAAGGGGGGTCAAAGACCATACCATAATGGCAGTGATGAAGAAGCCCGTAGCGAATCTGAAGCCCCACCCCCTTCAAACCCCCCCATCCTCACCCCCCCACCTGCATCCTGGCCTCCCGCTGCAGCAGCTCCACTGCCAGCACGTCCGAGGCGCCGCGCGTCATGCTGATCACGTAGGCGCCCAGACTGCCCCGGCCCAGCCGCGCAGCCGCCTTGAACGTCTCCAGCACCTCCGCCACCTCGCCGCTCATGGGCATGTCGGCGGGGATGAGCGGACGCCGGCCCTGTGCGGGAGGCGAGGGAGGCGGGAACAAAATAATCAATATGGATGAAGCAACCGGAGTCCAAATCCCATGGAGGAGGAGTGGAGGGGACGGGGGCAGGCAGAGGTGGATCCGTTCAGATGAGCAAGCGGCTTCAAGCAAGCGACCGGCCTGCTTTAGGCACATCCCAATCCACCCCCACACCCCATCACCCCGCACCTGCAGCTCCCCGGTCAACCACTCCAGCTTCCTCTCCTCGCTCCACTCCAGGAAGGCCCCGTAGCCCAGGTAGCGAGTCACCGCGTCCAGCGCCTCCGCGTGGCGGCTGCTCTCCTGGCGCAGGTCCAGCTTCATGAGACACATGCCGAAGGTGTATACGCGGCGGATGAGGTCCAGCAGCCGCCCGTCTGCGATCACTCCGCCGCCGCACTCCCACAGGGACCTGCGGGCAGGCGGGCAAGGGGGCGGTGGTGGTGCGGAAGAGCAGTGTTGTGGAAGGGGGGAAGGGAAGGGTGTGTGCAGTGCAGTGCAGCACTGTTGTCGCCCGTTTAACTAACGGGTAGTTTCGTACCCAATCTACCGGCATCCTTCCCACCACTCAGCAGCAATCCCAGCAACCCCAGCAGCCCCCACCATCCCCCTCCCGCATCCCCGGATGGTTCTTCTACCGTTCCCCGACCCTCACCCCTCCTCCTCCCACCCCGCACCAGTAGCAGGCCATCAGCGGCTCCGCCAGCTCGTCCTCGTGCTCGTACCACATGGGGCGGCCCGACCCGTGGGTCGGCGGGGCGGGCTCCCGGCCGCTGAGCACGTCCTCCATGCGGCGCCGGGTGGCGGCTAGGCGGTCGCGAACCTGGCAGGGGGTTAGCGGGGGAGAGGGAGGGAGGGGGTGGGAAAAGAAGCTGGCAGGGAGGAGTGGTACATCTCGAGTGCTGTGACGTGCTGAGCGTGGAGCATCACTCTAACCCGCGCGCGTCGGCGTCCCCTGTCCCCCCGCCCAACCTCGGCCTCGTACCCCCACCACTCCACCACCTTTCCTTCCCCCCGCCCCCCCCAATAGCTCACATGCCCCAGCACGATGCGGTAGGGGTGGAAGCCCGGGTGCTCGTGCGCCCTCGCGAACTGCGCCGCGGTGGTCCCCGTGCGCTGAGCCAGCAGGCTCCGGCGCATCAGGGTGGGGTCGCAGCCGCAGCTGATGGTGCGGTCCACCTCACCCAAACCCACTCCCACACCTCCGTCAACGCCGTTAGGCAGCGCCGGAGGCGGCGGGGACCCCGCCCGCACGGCGCCGTCCGCAGCAGCGGCCCCAGCAGCACCCGCAACACCGTCTTCCTGCGCCTCCGTTGCGTCCTTGAAGGGCGACGACAGCAGCAGCCCAGCGGCGGTGGTGGCGGAGGCGGAGGCGGCGGAGGGCCCCTGTACGGCATCCGGCGTGCCGGGGCAGGCGTCCGGCGTTACGGGGCGGTCGGGGTCGGGAGCGCGGGTGTGCTGCAGCGCCGGAAGCGGGGGAGCGGGAGTGGTGGTGGTGGTGGCGATGGAGGCGGCGGCGACGGGGGTATCTGGGATGGCGGCGGCGGGCGGGAGGTGCGGGGGCTGGGCGGTGTCCAGGGCGCCCTCCAGCGGTCCGTCCAGTATGGGGTGCGAGGGCGGGTGGGTGAGGGAGGGCGGGTGGGTGAGGGAGGTGGCGGGCAGCTGACCCTCACCCGACTCGGAGTTGCGGGCGGACATGATGAAGTCGAACTCCGAGCCGCCCTCCACATCCTGAGGGGGGAGGTGCAGGGAGGGAGGGAGCAGGGAGGGAGCAGGAAGGAGGGAGGGAGGAGGTGGAGGGGTAAGCAGCCGGAGAGGCAGGAGCAGCGGAAGGAGAAGATAAAATGCAGCAGAAACGGCAAAAGACCTAGAGCTGTTCAACAAACCCTTCCCTCTTCCCTCCCTCCCCCCTCACCCCCACCTGTCCGGGCAGTTCATGCGGCACCGACACCTCAGCCGCCGTGTGCGCAGACACCGGCTGCGTGCCCAGGATCATACCCCCGGGGAACGCAGCGCCCTCGCCGCCGCCCAACACACCAGGACCGCCGTCGGAAGACGCGCCGGCGGTACGGCGGCGGGCAGATCGTACGGCAGCAGCGGTGCCGTTGGTGGCTGCTGCTGCTGCTGCGGCGGCGGCGATTGCGGTGGCCGCAGCTACCGAGGCGCCCACATGCGCTGCTGCGTCCGCTGCGTCCTGTGTTGCCTCGGCTGCCTGCCGGGCCCGTACGGCTCCCGCCTTGCGCGTGTGACCCTCGCTGATGATGCGGCGAGCCATCTTCCACACGGCGGCACTGCACTGACTCATGGAGAGCTGAGGGGAGGCAGGGAGGTGGCGAGGCGGGAGGAGGAGGGTTAGTTACAAGGAAGGAAGGGGGGAGGAGGGGAAAGAAGGAGCAGGGGTGGTGGCAGGAGCGTTAGTGGGCGGGAGGTGCCCGGCTAAGCAAGTCGGCAGCGGCGTGTGTTGTTGTACATGATGACAACACGATCGCAATCACCAACACTAACGGCCCAGAACAACCCCACCACCATTCGCCCTGACCCAGCTGCTGCACTTCCTAATGCTTCCTCAAGCCCTCTCGGTTTACGGTAAGCAACGATTCGGTAAATTTGAGATGCGTGTTCTTAGTGCCTCCGAATGCGCTCACTGCATGAGTCGGGATATGGGATTCGTTGTTTCACTTATTTAACTTTTTCCTCCCTTCCCTCCTTCCCTCCCCCCCAGCCTCGTCATACAGCCCTTCAGTTTCCTTCTCCTTACCCACCTCGAACCTCAGCGTGTCCACCTCCCGGAGGTACAGGTCCGCCGCCATCCACCTCGCCAGCGCCGTCACGTGCGCCGTCACGCGCGCCGTCACGTTGGGGTTGCCGTCCCTGTCGCCGCCCATCCAGCTGCCGAAGCGGAAGGGGGTGGCTTGCAGCGGCAGGTCGTGCCCGGTGTGCTTCTTCAGCGCCGCACTCAGTCGCCGCATGTACTGCGGTACGGCGGCCCACAGGGACTGCTCCACGATGTGAAGACCGCCGCGGGCCTCTGGGGGGGGAGGAGAGGAGGGAGAGAGAGAGAGAGAGGGGGATTGATCCGGATGAAGATTCCGCATAGAGGGAGGGGGAGAGGAGGAGGAGAAGGGAGGGAAAGCGGCAGTATTAATTACGGGTTTGTACATGTACAAGGTATAACAGGCTATGATAAGTCGGTAGAAATGCACGAAACGTTAGTGACGTCACTTGTCCCTAGAGTCCTAGCCACCCCGCATGCCCCGCAACCCTTCCCCTCCCTCACCCCCCGCTCCTACCGTCCAGCGGTGTGGGCTTCTGCCTGCGCAGCTCGTCCGTCTGCCACAGCGCCGCCACCTCGCGCTGCAGCTCGCACACCACGTTGCGCCGCTCCTCCGCAGTCAGGTCCGACCGGTCGTGCTGCTGCAGCAGCGAGGCGATGCGCGCGTGCTTGTACTGCAGCGTGCGCCGGTTCACCTGAGGAGGGGAAGGAGGGGGAGGGGAGAGGTCAGGATTGTGATGGCTTGCCCGAAGGCTCATTCCAACAACCAGCAGCTCACACGGGATCTGCCACAGCGGGTTGCTGCCAGGGATGGCGATGCAGTCGCCCGTTTGTTCGCCCCTCTCGCTCCTCTCCACCTCCACACTAAAGCACAACCGCTCCGAATGAATACCGCCCCGGCCCCCCCACCTGCGTAGGGTGAGCGGTGAGCACCACCTCCACCTGCTGCTCGGACACCGCCCGGTACAGCGCCTCGGGGTCCACCCCCTCGCTGATCAGCCGCGAGAACACCGCGTCGCAGCCGTTGCCCGGGTCACGGGAGGAGCGGGCGCGGCGGACACTGCAGGGGGGGGACAGGGGCGGAGGGGGGCCGAGTGCGGGTGCGGAGAGGCAGCTAGCAAGGATGGAGAGAGGTGTGCGAGACCAGCCGGCGCTTTCCTACAGGCACAACCCTTTGCCCCAGCCTCCCCCCCGCAGCCGCCCTCCCCTCCCCCAACATGGATAGGCTACCATGTTTGCACCCCCTCCATGCTGAAGCCTACATGACACACAGCTCGTTAGTTGCCTCGACAGTTTCCCTATCCTACCCCCCCCAGCCCCCCTCCCCCCCCCCCCACCCGTGGTGCAGCTCCGCGATGCCGCTGAGGTTGAGGTAGTGTCCGCACGCGCGTGTGAGCGGTACCGCCTGCTCCATGTCCAGGTGCATCAGCTCCTCCGCCAGGCGCTGGGAGAGCAGCGAGGAGGAGGTCTGGGGGGGGGGAGGGGGGCGGTAGGGAGGGTGCTTGGCAGGCCGGGAGTCAGAGGGGCTCCTTAATTGTTGAGGTGGGGAGCAGCAACTGCAGCAGCCGCGAGTGGGTGGGCCCTGCAACGGGCGACACGACATGACATGGCACCCGGGCAGCAGCGGGCACCCTGCCACGTGTCATGCAGCGTGTAGCGGTGAGATCATGCATGCTCCGTCCAGCCTGACCTCCCTCGCACGCCACCTGCCACGCCCCCAGTAACTCGCCCTCCCCTCGCCTGTCCTCACCGAGTCGCCCTTGAGGGACAGGGAGCATGCGCACTGGGCGAGCGTGCGGATCCGCTCGATCTGGGGAGGAGCAGGAGGAAGAGGAGGAGATTAACAGGGGGAAAGCAGGGAGAGCAGGGAAGACAGAGGGAGAAAGACGGCGAGGGAGAAGGGAGGGTTAGGAGCGTATGGCGACACGGGTAGAGGGCAGGGAGATACAGTGGGGGCGGAGGCGTGATCTTGGCAGTGGTGGGTCCAGGCGCGAAGGCGAGGACACGGCTGGGAGCCCCGGGTTGCTCGTTGCGTTTACTGCGCCGTTAGGCTGGAGTTAGTGGCCAAGAGGTGAAACTTGCGGCGACAAGGTGCTGGCAATGCAGTTTCGTAGCATCTGGTACGGTAAGGTCACGGGGAGGAAGACAGGGCCCTCACGGGCCACACCACCCATTCTAGAGCGGTAGGTTTCTCCGCTACAGGAGCCCTAGATTGTATTGAACGCACTCGCGAATGTCCTAATCCATTAGAACTGGGGCGAATTTGAAGACTAAACACTGCATAAGGAAAGATGCGAACGAGCAAGCAGACGTTGTTTACTCCGGTCATCCGGCGTAATTGTCGACGGATTAGCCCTAATGATGCCATGAGCACAATCTTTCAGCAGATCACCATTATTGGCATCTTTACAGCACCTAGCGACATCTTCGCGAACCTCTACAACCGCAGCGTCGCCAACATCTACCGAACACCGCACCTTCTTGAACAACTCCTCGCCGACCTCCACCCGCAAGCACTCATCAAGCAGGCTGCCGAGTAGCTTGCAGTCATCCTCAAGCGGCGTGAGGTCGTCCTGTGGAAGTGGGCGCGGAGGGTTCCATCAGCCGGCAAGAACCCTCGGCTACCACAACACCCTACACAATACCTACTCTGACCGCGCCGAAGTCATAAGTGGAGTCAGTCATATTTCCTCCTCCTGCTTCCGGGCCACCAAGGACCCTTATCCCAACACGTGCCCTGCACTCTTCGTGATAACGTCGCCTGAATTTTACCGCGAACCAAAGCTTCACTTCAAACAATATAGTGCAATTCCTGGTGCACTATTAAGCAGAGCTATAACCACAAACCATAGGCGACGATTTGGTTCAGCCTTAATTCACGACGTGCTCCGAAGTCACGTGAGCTGACCCATCTCGCTTATCCATAACCCTTTTCGGCAAAGCGGTCTGTCCACAACAGTTGTGACCCAGTTGCAATCATGCTTACCGCAAAGCACGCCCAGGCCACTGCCCGCAGCGTCCGCGCCAAGGAGCCTGTCATGGCAGGTAGGGAACTTGCCATACGGAGACTCTATATAACGATCTTCGCCACCTGTTGATCCAGCTAGCAAGAAACTCTTTTGCATAGTTGCGATGTCTTATGCGTCGCAACGCTTGCTCTGATCGCTCGGCGGCCGGTACTATTAACCTGTGGCATGCAACCTGGTATCTAGTGCTCTCCTAGATTACTGGTAGTTGATAGCCCCGTTGCCATTAGCTCGCCGACAAGCACAAGCTGCGTGACGCTGACCTGTCATGTCGTTGGGATGCAATTGCTGGCGTTACAGAGCGCTCAACTCCCGGCCGTTGCCAACGCCTCCTCCATACATTAGCCACTTTCCCCGTTCTCCTCACCCATCACTTCCTCATTTCCAAGCCATCGTCATGTCTCTCCTAATCCGCTCGGCTTCCCCTTGAGCCGTTCCTGCGTTCTAGCGCCCCTCCGCCCTGCAGTTGCCCTCCTCCTCTCACCCCACCCTGCCCCGCCCCGCCCCGCCTCCCTCCTGCTATACTCTGCTCCGCAGCCGCTCTGCGTGCAAGCGTGCGCCCCTTCACCGCGTCCCGCGGCCGGGCGGCCCTCAGCGTGGTGGCTCAGGCCGGCGAGGGAGCCGCGGGTGAGCTGAGCTGAGCTGGGGTAGCGGGAGGGGCTTGATGTGGGGGCGTGGCGCAGTGCAGACCCCCCTCCCCCTCCTGCAAGACCTGCGCAAGTCCCCCATTGCGTCGCTCCCCTGTAGCGGTGGCTGTTCCTGCAGCGGTGGCTGACCCCGACTGCACCACTCAATGACCCCGACTGCCGCGCTTTGCGGTACCTTGCGCCTGGTGTGCTGTTGCGCGTGTTAGCGTGTGTGTATCGTGCCGAGGGGCGGACACAGGTGCCCAGTCCTGCCTTGTCCCCCGAGCGGTACCCTGCAACCGGCCCACCTGTGAGCTGCTCTCACGCCGCCTAATGCCCTCCCCTCCTCCCTCCCTGTCCTTCCCCTACCCTCCCTGCCTCCCCCCCTCAGCCGAGCGCCCCGTGTGCCTGGTGACGGGCGCCTCCCGCGGCATTGGAAAGGCCATTGCGCTGGCACTGGGGGAAAAGGGCGCGCGGGTAGGGGGGTGGGGGTGCGGGGTGCGGAGTGGGCGGCCTGAGCGGGCGGCGACATTGGAGGGAGGACAGGGAAGGAGAGAGACGGAGGAGGGCCGGGGGAGGGGCAGGGGGCCAGGCGGGCCTGGGGTGCCTGGCAGCGCCCTCCAGGGACGGCTGGTCCGGTGCACAGCGGCGTATCCGTCAGCGCTAACCCACGTTTCCCTCTCCCCCCCTCCCCTCCCCCCCTCCCCCCCTCCCCCCTCCCCCCCTCCCCCCCTCCCCACCCCCCAGGTCGCCATCAACTACGCCTCCTCCGCCGGTGCCGCTGAGGAGGTGGCTGCCGCGGTGGTTGCTGCGGGCGGCGAGGCGGTGGTGGTGGGCGCCAACGTGGGCAAGCGGGAGGACATCGAGCGGATGTTCAAGGAGGTGACGGACAAGTGGGGGCGCGTGGATGTGCTGGTCAACAACGCAGGTGGGGGGGCAGGGGGTTGGGGAGGGGAGGGAGTGGGGGTTGAGAGGAGGGGTCGGGGCAGGGGCGTAAGGTTGTCTTGTGCTGCCGCACAGCGCAGGTCCATGTGCCCTGCCCGGATGGTCTTCTCGCTGGCTCGCTTGCTCTCCTCCGTTTGCCATTCTCCTTTAAGACACTGGGTATTCTTCTCACCCTCCCTCACCCTCATTTCTTTTTTCCCTCACCCCGGCCCCCCCCAGGCATCACCCGCGACACCCTCATGATGCGCATGAAGCCGGAGCAGTGGGAGGACGTCATCAACACCAACCTCAGCGGCGTCTTCTACTGCACGCAGGTGGGCGGGAGGGAGGGGGAGGGAGGGTGCAGTTGTGTGCAGGGGTGCAGAGGCGGTCTGCGGGCGGTGCGCCGAGCGCTCCCAAGCAGTCAGCGTGACTACCGTGCAGCCGGATTCCCTCGCGTGACGGGGTTGCCATGCCATCGTATGTAACACACACGCATGCAAGCATGCTCTACTTCGCTTTCCCACCTCCTCTCCCCCTCCCCCCCCCCGTTAGGCCGCCACCAAGCTCATGTCCAAGCAGAAGAAGGGCCGCATCGTCAACATCACCTCCGTGGTGGGCCTGGTGGGCAACGCGGGGCAGGCCAACTACTCCGCAGCCAAGGCGGGTGTCATCGGCCTTACCAAGACCACTGCTCGCGAGTTCGCGGGGCGCTCCATCACCGCTAACGCCGTGGCGCCCGGCTTCATCGCGTCCGACATGACGGCTGCCATCGACAAGAAGTACGAGGAGAGCATCCTGAAGGGCATTCCGCTGGGTGGGTAATGGGCGTGGGGGTGCTGTGTGTGGGGAAAGAAGAAATTCCAATGTGTGGTGTGCTGTGTGGGGAGGGGGTGCGGTGGGAGGAGGTGTTGGGGGAGGGAACCTTAGCCGCGCCTTGGTTGGGCTCGGGTGAAGCCTGAACCGTGCCTGGAGCATACCTAGCTGGCCTGCTTCCGCTGCCTGTGGTTCCGTCCTTGCAACCCAAGCGACCCAGGCTCTGACTCCCCCACCTACATCCGCCAAACGGCCAACATGTTCCCCCTCCCCCCCTCCGCCCGCCAGGCCGCTACGGTCAGCCGGAGGAGGTTGCGGGACTGGTTCGCTTCTTGGCTCTGGACCCCGCGGCCGCCTACATCACCGGCCAGGTGTACAACGTGGACGGCGGCATGGTCATGTGAGCGACGCCGGCAGGAGAAGGGGGGGAGCAGTTGCAGCGGCGAGAGAGGGGATGATCAGCTCCGGCAGCACACAGCGTTCTGGAACCTAGACGGGAAAGCATGCGGTTGGGGTGATACGGTTTGATGCGGGGGGTGCGTTGTGAAGATTAAGGGGGCTTGTGGCATGTGGCATGTCCCGAGGCGGCGGAGATGGATGTGGAGGTAAGCGGGAATAATGCAGTGGGTTACAACGTTACATGGCCCGACGACGTGCATGGACGCGACACTGCTTGGGGTGCGCGGGGCGGCTCCTCAGTCCTCACCAGCGGGCCGGGCGGGTGTCGTGAAGCATGCTGCGGACGAAAGGGCAGGAGGAGGGGTGCAAGGACTCCTGAACCGGTTGGACTCCTGAGCACAGGAGGGCGACCCTGAACGGCGTTGTAGGGGAGGCTCTGAGCCGTTTGAGAAGAAACACCAAGTTGTTGCAGACATGGCAGCGGCCACACACTGCTAACCGGTATGCGTGCATGTAAGGAAGCGCACCGGAAGGCACCGGTCGCGCTCTGGGCCCGCAGTTGCACATTCGGATGCAGGGCGGCGGGCAGCGCATGGGGTTAAGTACCGGACGCAGCACGGCTTCAGGGGAGGGAAGGTACCGGTATTGGTTGGTGGTTGCATGCATGGCAGTGGGCCCACAGCGTGGTTGGCACCCAGCGATAGATGCGCACCTACCGATGCTTGCCCGCTTGACCCCACACGGCTGGGCGCCTCGCGGCGGCCCTCCTGTCCCAGTCAGCTGCGCCGGCCGGTCGCGTGCGGGTGCGTGGGAGGTGCTGGGGCGGATGTGCTGATCGGGGGGATGATGGGATTGGACGGGAAGACACGAGGAGGTCTCAGGTCGCCAGATGCAGGGTGAAAAAGAGCACATCCTTTTTGCCACAGACAGCCAACAAGGTAAGCACTTGCGGATGCATGAGCGCTAGGGGAGCATCCGTGAGGGGGCTTTCTTCCTGCCGTACATGAACAGAGGACTTTCAGTCGTTCCGCAGGCCGTACACACACGGGTTCCCTGCCGTACGGCGTTCGTACACCTACCCGCCGAGTGGTATCGCAGCTCGTACAGGATCTCCTCCATCTCAAACGCCGCCAGCAGCGTCTCGATCAGCACGGTGGCGCGGATGGTGCCGCGGGGCAGACCCACCATGTCCTGAGCCGTGTTGAACACGTCGTTCCACAGCCTAGGGCGGGGTTGATGATGACATGTTGGGTAAAGAGGAAACAACTAGCTGGCCGTGTGGAAACAACCGTGGCCTCATCACGACATGTTGGGAGGCAGCGGTTGGACAACGCACCCGTAATCACAACTTTACTTCGCGCAGAAGCGGAGTCTCACCCGGCGGAAACCCGAAACCCCAACCAAGGCTGAACATGGCGTTCCCCACACGATCAGCCCAGCAAGGAGAACCCCAGCGCGGCATCCGGATGATCCCTTCATCCGTGGCCTCGCTCTTCCCATAACCACGCTGCCATGCACCGTCAGGGTCCACCTACCCCCAGTCTTCCATCTGCCCGGTTACCCTCTAACCCAACATAGATGTTTCCTCTTTATCCCCTCTCCCCTCCACCCCCCTTCTCCTGCCCCGCATGGTAATTTTCCTCTCCTTTTCTCTCCCCTCCGTTCTCTCCCCACCTGGCCTCCAAATGGCTCTCCACTGGCGAGGTGGAGGTGGAGGAACGACCCGGTGGAGGATACAAGAGGCTGTGGACTATGCCAGCTATCGCGCCCCGCGTACGGGCGCATGCATCTCAAGTTACAGGGGAACAAGGTGGCATGGATGCATGGCGACAGGGGACCCCGGCACCGCACGGCAGGGCGGGAGACCGGGAAGCAGGTGTCACACCTGTGCACCAACACACCACCGCACGGTAATTGGTATCCAGCCGCTCCATGGGAGAGGAGCAGAGCAGGCTCGCCGCCAGCCATCATATGCATAACATTTATTAGCAGTGGTGGCAATACCACAGGTGCCACCTTGTTTAGGTGCTGCCTCCTTGTCAGCACGTGTCAGTAAGAACCCCCATCTTCAACAACCCGATGCTGCCCCAACTACTGTGGTCCTTACACGCACCAGGCAGGCGGCCCTCCAGCGGCCCTTTCCTCCCCTCCTTCACGCCATCCTGCCGCCTCAGTCATCTCGCAACCCCCCAACCGGCAAGACTGGACAGCCTGCAGACCTGCAACAAACTCTCCTCGACATCACATACGCACACCACCCTTGGTAGGGGCTATAGCAGCCTTTGCTTTTGGCGTCCTGCGTAATGCGCGCCTCCTAGTGACCCACGGGTCATGTTCGTATCGGACCTGCTGATGTACAACAATAAACAAGACGTCGTTGTCATAACAGTATGTATCCGACGGCGTGGCGTGGATGACTGTAGCACAAGATTGTGAATGGATAAGGGGAAGAGTTTCGCCGCTTCCCCACACCTTGCGTTAACCCACCCACTCACCCAGGCGCCGCCATCTGTTCTTCTTCCTTCCGAGTGTCGAGAACGCAGACAACATCACAGCTGTCTGCAACACCCCCCCTCCATGTTCATTCACTAAACTCTTCCGCTCGTGTCAGAATGTAAAGCTGCACCCCCTCCGCTAGAGAGGGCGCGCTCTGCTCACCGGGCTTCAGTGTCACAAACGGAGACTGTGAGACTCCACAACGGATGTGCGCCCTTCCCACTCCCCTTCCCATCTTGTTACCAACCCACTGTCATCCAGTCTTCAAACAATACCATGTACACCGCAAGGCAGAGCGAGGGCCCTACGTCGACTGTCAGCACGAGACGACTTCGCTGCTCACATCCCATCCCGCGGCAAGGGCGGGCGTAACCCCCAGCGATGAAACCAGCATCCTTAAGCAGCTTATTACGTATCATAGTGCGTCGTCATCACGTCGCACACACACCGTTTCACACACCGTTTCAATCACAGTACGTTTCGCCTCGCGGCCAGTTATTTTAACACACCGTTTCTCCTCGCGGCCAGTTATTTTAACACACCGTTTCTCCTCGCAGCCAGTAATCTTAACACACCGTTTCTCCTCGCGGCCAGTATTCTTAACACCCACGCCAATACACAGAACAAGTCCCGCGGGTCAACTGAGGGTGGCACATGCACGAACCCTCGCATACAAGTGTGTTCCTGCCTTTGCACCCCCATATAGTTCAGTTTCCTTCCCCGGCGCCTCAACTCCTATCCTGCCTGTCAACACAAAAAACATTCACCCCACACCTTCTTACCCCCACCATTCCCCACACACCCACCATTGATTCCCTCCTCCTTCTTTCCCCCTCTCAACCCCTATCCTCCTCCCCCCCCTCCTTATTTTACCCCCACCCCCGCCCTCCCCGCTCATCTCTCACACCCTCGCCGTCGCCGGCCGGCGTATCAGCTGGTCAACATTCAGGTTAATCCCGCCCTGCGACGCCACCCGATCCAAGCTCTTGGCGTACCTCAGTTGCTCCATGGCCTGCGCCAGCTGCTGCCGCGCCATGCTGGCCGCCATGTTGGTCTCCTTGCGCGCGCGCATGAGCGACTGCCGCTCGCGCATGATCTGCCGCGTGCGTTCGTAGTCGTCCATGATGCGCTCCAACAGCGCCTGCCGCTGGTACAGCTGCACCTTGCTGATCTCGTCAACGCGGTCCAGACGCCGCTTCAGCTCGAACTCGCGCTCCACTCGCCGGATGTCCATCTCGCGCTTGCGGCTGGCAGCCAGCTCGGCTAGCTCGCGCTCCTTGGCCTCGGCGCGGTCGCGGAGGGCCTGGCAGGGAAGGGGGAGGGGGAGGGGGAGGAAAGGCAGCGGGGGGGTTCAGCAATCACGGTTCAGCAAGCGCGGCAATAGCTCGGTAACCTGTCAACAACCATGCTAATTCCTTTCATGCACAGCTTACCGGTAACAGCTATGAGCTATCCCTCCCATCCCCGCCTCTCAGTAACCCAACCTCTTCCCGCCCGCCTCCCCTCCTCCGTACACACCTTCTTGCGCTGCTCCTCCAGCTCCTGCGCGGTGAGGTACTTGTGGTGCCGCTCCTGCTCCCGCTGCAGGTCCTGCTGCCGCTTGGCCTCCAGAGCCAGCGCCTCCTGCCGCTCCAGCTCAGCACGCCGGGCGTCAGCGTCACGTTCGCGCCGCATGAACTCCTCGCGCTTCTTGCGCAGCAGCTGGTGGTTTGCGGCGAGCGTGCCTTTGCGGGGGGGAGAGAAAGGAAGGGGGCCAGGCGAAGGGGTGCGGTGTAGGTCGGACGGTGGCGGCCTGATAGACGGGTGTTGGGCTGATGCTTTGTCCCCCGTGCACAGCCATCCCTGCCTTCTCCCCCCCAAGCGCTTACTGACCTACCTGAACCCCCCTACCTCTCCCCCTTCCCGCCTGCTCCCCCCCCCCTACTCACTGCTGATCCGCTCCTCCGCCTTCTTCCGCTTTTCCACATTGGCCAGGTGCCGCTCCATCGCCTCCTGCTGCAGCCGCTTGGCGCGCTCCGCGTCCGCAGCTTCCATGGCCTGCTTGCGCGCGCGCACCCGCTCAGCTTGCTCGGCCAGGATGCGCTCCGTCTCGGCACGGGCCTCCGCGGTGCGCTGCCGCCGCTCAATCTCCCTGGGGAAGGGGAAGGGGAGGCGGGGGGGGGGGGATAGATTAACTGAGCCGCGGAAACACTGACCCTGACCGTAGGTTACCGGGGGTGTGGGGTGAGGAGGCGAGTACGCGTTACCACTAGGTGGGCAAGAGTGGGGAAGGCTGGATGGACCGTGGGAGGGTTGTGGGTCACCTGGGGTGCCGCCCCCGCCTCCCTCCCTTCCTCCTCCCTCCCTCCCTTCCATCCCACACCCACCTCGCATACGCCTCCTTCTTCGCTCGCCGCTCCTCCTCCTCCTTCACCCGCTGCGCTTCTCGCTCCCTCCGAAACCGCTCCTCCGCCATGCGCTTCCCCTCCAGCTCCAGCTCCTTCTGCTCGCGCAGCCTCTGCAACTCCAACTCCCGCTGCTTCGTCATCCACTCCTTGTCATGCTCCGCCTTCTGCCTTGCCAGCTCCGCCGCCCTCGCCTCCAACGCGTCCACCTTGCGCTGTTGCTTTTCCGCCAGCTCCTGCCGTTGCGCCTCATGCGCCAGCATCTGCGCCACCTCCTTCTCGTGCCGCTTCTTGAGCACCTCCAGCCGCTGCCGTTCCTTCTCAACCATGGTGGAGGTATTGGCGCGCCCGTCGCCGCCGCCGCCCGCCGCCGGCTTGGCCTTTGCGGCTGCGCGGCCCTGCTCGCCCGTCCAGCCGTCGTCCACCAGCCGCTTGCGGAGCTCGATGAGGCTCTTGATGCGCTCGCGGCGGACCTGAGGGGGTGGGGCCGAGAGGGGAGGAGGAGGTGGAGGTGGAGGCGGGCAGAATTCGGCGACACATGCTTTGCTGGACGCTAACCTGGACGTTGGGGTAGGGTTGCATTACAATAGAGTGCAGAGCCGCTGTGGTTTTGCCCCTGGGTCCTGTTCCCATGTGCCACCTGCCATACCCGCCGCCTCCTTTCCTCTGCCTCTCCTACCAGGTATCGGTACCTCCCGCTACGGTATCCTTTCCCTCTTCCCTACACCTTCCTCTCCCCCCACCTGCTCATGCTTCTCGTATCTCAGCTTGGCTATCTCGTCCGTGTCCCCCGTGTACTTGTAGAAGGCGATGGGGTGGAACTGCAGCTCCAGCGGGTCAACTCCCAGGCGGAAGCAGGCCTCCACGGAGCGGGGGGAGGTGGGGATGAGCGCCTGCTCGGGGGCGTTGGGGTCGTTCACCTGCAGGGAGGGGGACGGTGGGGGGGGGGAAAGGTGAGGGAGGAGGGGAGGGAGGTGGGGGAGAGAGAGCACCGGCAATGCAGTGTGCGGGGAAGGAGTGAAGAGGTGGCAGGACAGAAGTGGGCGGACGGAGGAAAAGCCGATGTGATGGGGAATTAGGGCGCCGACTACCCCTGCCCCGACTAGTAAAGCCCAGGTGGTTATGGACGTTCTGCACAGCCCCTCCAGTTCGAAGGGCAGGAGGCCGCCATGCTGCCCAAGTCGAGGTCGACTTTAATTGTCCCCGGGGCGACTGGGGCGCAAAGAGAAGCTGTTCCAGGGCTGGCACGGTGGGCCGACCTCCTCACCGACCCACCTTTTCGATGAGGTCCTGCGGGGGTTGGGGGAGAAGAAAAGCATGCGTCAGCCACATCTCGCGGGTTTTCGTTCACTGAAATCGGGTATAGTGCATGTGGCTTTGAAAGGTTTGTGCGCGCCGTCCAATAGTCTTTGGGAACATGCCCCTACACGTCCAGAAGCAACATAGGACGTACTGGCGAAAACGGTGATTGTGCGCTCTGCCGCATCTTACCTGTATTGTAATCTTCGGTTTCGTCCCACTCATGCCCTCCAACTGCAATGCAAACAAGGGATGAGGTAGGTCGATGTCTCGATGATGACGAAAAATACGGCCAAGCTTCCTTCGACGATGTGCCCTCACCTTTGCTCGTTGGAGGTCTGATAGCCATGCTACCGCTGGTCGATGTTGATACATATTTTGGCTTACGATGGTCATGCTTTCCAGCCAAGTCCGAAGAGCGACAGAGTAAGGAGACCTCTCCCAATGTAGGTGTTAAATTAAAGCCGCACTAACGGCGAAAACGCGTGACAGCGACCCTAGTGTACACGCGAACGGCCCGTTAAAGGGTAGGAGCCGCTATGCCAGCCGGCGTGTCCCAAACTGTAGGTGCACAATCCTTTACTCCTCGTTAATGAGCGCATACAGGTCGAGGTAAGTGTGACGACCCTGACCAGTATGTTTTATCGTCCGCCAGGGTTCGGCAATGCGCTATAGATTTTACGTGTAAAGTACCAATTTGGTTTATATATTGTTACAAATGTGTAAAAGCACTGTGCGCACTATCTGTTTGTGTTAATGCCGCGCCGGACGGTTTCTATAATCGTTGACGACCCTTAGACATCGTGGACGATTGCAGCAATTGCCGAATAATTCTGCGAGTCAGCTTGCATAACAAGGCTGGGCTATAAATACATGTTACCTTGCTGGCAGGCTTTGCGCCTCGGTAACACACAGCGCCCGCCACTCACAAATGTCGGTGAGCTAATCATGAACATGCCGTCCCTATCGTATGCCCACTAATAATTATCGTCCTCACAAACCTGTAGTGAAAATAAAAGCGGCGGAAGACCCATTACAGGGTCATCTCCTGCCGGTTGCAAGTCAGCAATGCCGCCATTCCTCCTGCTTCAAGCTATGTACTCCATATTCCAGACTGAATTTTATTGCAATAGTGTTTTCCCCATGCACTGCTAGAGAGAAATACAGCCTAGCTCACGACCATACAACTGTCCCATGGGACGGCTCACATATCCAAACTATTTCACACAAGCTTTCACTGCCGCACGCCATAGAAAGAAAGATTCAGTTGAGAACCTTGCGACACGCCAGAAACGGAAGCCCTGATGTTGCCAGTATCCGTCACGCTCCGAAACGGCGACTGCGGCCGCATAGATTGCGATTGCGACAGCGAAGCGCCAGCAGCGCCCCTATCCGAGCCCAGGGCCCCAGCAGACGCCGGGCGACGGGAGGCCGAGGAGCTCCTGCCCCCTCCTGCAGCGCCCATGCTGCTGCCCAAAGCACTTTCATCAGCCCCGGCCCTTGCAGACACCATATCCAGCAAACCCCCACCTCCCATGACCCCTACACGACCCCGCTGCGTGAGTGATGACCGAGCCAAAATGCTTCCACTCCCAACCCCAGCCGCAACCCCAACCCCGGACGCACTGCCGCGGCCACCGCCAGCACCGCTGTCGCTCGCGTACCCTCCTGCTACCCGTCCCCTGCTTGAAGGCCTCGACAGCGAAACGCCATGCGAGCCCTGCTGCGCCGCAGCCGCCCCTGCACCCGCATCTGCTGCAATGCCCCCCGCTACCAGCCCAGCGCTCCGCATAGGGCTTGCGGGCCGCTGCTGTGCCTGAATGGGCAGGGCTGCCGAAACGCTGGGTGCCAGCTGCATGCCCGCCAGACTGGCCCCCTCGCCGCCCGCTCCTAGCCCCTCCAACGACCGCAGAGCTAAGAGCGACTCGGGGGCCCCCGAGGCACGAGGGGCGGACCGGCTGAGGCTCAGGCTGCGCAAGGTGGCTGGTGCAGAGGGAGCGGCACGCGCTGCTGCCACCCCTGCTCCCGCATCTGCCAGAGCGCTTGGACCCGCCAGCGAACTGGCACGTCGAATGAGTGGTTGAGGCGGCTCCACCTGCGTCCGCAGCGCTGATGGGTGCTGTGGTTGCTGCTGTTGGGGCTGCTGCTGGGAAGGGTATGCCCATCGGGTGATGTTGCCTTGCTGCGGCTGCTGCTGCGCCGGCGGTGGCGGCGCCAACACCTGACTTACGCCGCTGATCCGCGAGACCGTGGGCGTGGATTGAGCGCTGGTCGCCGCACCAATGTTAGTGGTGGCAGCGCCTGCTGGCAACATGGGGCCAGCCGCCGGGCCGGCTGCACCCAGGCTTTGCGGCTTGGGTGCCCGGACGGCAACGGCGCGCGCAGCAGACGGCACCGCCAGCCCCGTGTAGGAAGCGGTGGCTGAGTGCCGAGAGAGCGGCGCCACTGGCTGCGGTAATGGCTGGCTTGGCATCGCTGCAGCCCAGGCACCAGGCATGGGCTGCACCGGCGGCGGAACAGGTGCGGGTGGTACCTGCAATCGCCGCGGCGCGGTGCTTGAAACAGAGCCGGAAGCGATGGATGAGGCTAGGGCTTGCAGCGCAGAGGTGGCGCTCTGGCGTGACGGCGGTGGCGCTGACGGTGCTGAAGCCAGCGTGGTGGGCTGGGTGCGGGAGACGCTTGATGCCAGGGTAGGAGCGGGCGCGGGCGTGGGGGCGGAGAGAGTGGGCGGTGCGATGTTGGTGGGTCCTGGTGTCGCTGGCACCCGTTCGAGTGTGGCCAGATCGAGGCGGCGGCGGCTGGAGCTGTCGGTGGAGGTGGGGCTGCCGGGGCGAGCCTGGGAGCGCCAGCGGGCGAAGCCGGCGTGCAGGCGGCTGGAGTTGGCGGCCTCCTGTTGGTCCAGGGAATGCGTAGGGGTGGGGAGAGACGTGTTAGGGCCGAGCAAGCCACTCGTGTGATAGCAAAGGATCCATGGATTAACCGAACCTGAGACCCAGGTGCACGCGCCGTCCGTGCTGCTCGGTCCTAACAAAGTGACCTACACACGCCTAAGTTTAACACCATTGCTTTAAGCTTCCAAGTATTCGCCCCAGCTCAGCCCCTGCTCTCACCAGTAACGTCTGCGACGCCGCGTCCGCATCCCATGATCTCGACCCCACCAGCGGGCGCACCGTGGTGACCACATGCTGCCCTCCCGCCGCCACCGCTGCTGCCGCCTCCTGGGCCCCATACCCCCCTGGCGCGCCCAGTGTCCCCACACCGCTGCCCCGTACACGCGAGCTCCCGTCCCCCGTACCGCCCGTACTGCGGTGCAGGTACCACTGGCTCCACGCCGCCATCAGCAGCCGCCGCAGCTCTGGATCCGGCTCAGAGCCCTGCGCCCGGGGGCTGCTACCCCTGCGCGCCCGGGGGCTCTCGCCCTGCGCCGGGTAGCGCTGCTGCGAGCGCAGGCGGCGGCGCGACTCGCCGGCTGCGGCTCCTCCCTGCGAGGTGATGGTGGCCGCATCCATGGTTCGGGTGCTGGTCTGTGTCGCAATGGACGCCGCAGCGGTGGCGGCGGCCTCGGATGCACTGTCCGGGAAGGAGTCCGAGGCGGATGTGGAGGGCGGGCCGGCAGCGGGCCTGGTCAGCGGTGCCAGCAGGCCCAGCAACTCTGCCAATGTGCGGCTGAGGCCGCCGGCAGGCGCCGCACCTGCCGAGGTAGACCCACCGGCTGCGTCCTCCGCCGTGGCCCCGTGTAGCAGCGGCGGCGCGGGTGCTCCTACCACCAACACGCGGCTCTGTGTTGTGGACCCGGGAACTTCCGGCGGCCGGAATAGCTCGGAAGAGGGTACAGACGCAACGGTGGTGGGCTCGCTGGGTCCCGGAGAGGAGGGCGGCGAGGAGTATGACGACGGTAGCGACGGCGGCGCAGGCTCTGTGCGGGAAGCCTGGGGCACCGCTGCTGGGCGTTGCAGCGGTGCAAACAGCCCAGCTAGCGACTCCTGCAGGGTTGGCTGGTTGGTGGGTGCGCCTCCGTTCGGCCGAGCCGCGGACAAGGCCGCAGCAATGGCGGCGGACATGGCGTTTGGCGGAATGGCGAAGCGCGGGCCGCGTCCTGGTGCCCTGGACGCCCGAGAAGACGACGTGGAGAAGGAGGCAAGCGATGACGTCGGCGCCCCAGTGGAGACGGATGAGGGGCCGGGCGGCAGCTCAGCGCTGAATGGCATGGGGGCTGCGACAAACTGCTCATGCGGCTGCGGCTGCCTAGCATCCGGTACCGCGGGCTGCTCCGCCGCCGCCTCGATAACCTCATCCGCCCTCGCTGCCGGCAGCTGAGCCAGCAGCTCCGAAACCACGTCCTGCAGCTCCATCCGCTCCAATTCCCGAGTATAGCTGGCGCATAGCTCCTCCACGCCAACCGTGGGCACCTCCGACGGGTCGTACGGCAGTGGCCGCGAGCGAGGCGCCTTCCGGTCCAGTCGCGCAGGTGCGCCGCGAGGTGTGCCCACGCCCACGCCACGAACCCTGTGCCCTCGCGGCGAAGCAACCTCGTCTACATCCACGTCACCCGTCGCCACGTCCACACCGTACTCCTCCTCTGCCATGTCTTGCGTGTACTTGGGGTTGGCCCCGCCGCCGGGCTCCTCAGGCGGCACGTCGGCCGAGCAGCCGCTGGTGCTGCTCGGCCGTGAGAGCAGCGCAGACAGCCCCGACAGGGCAACAAGGCCTCGAGCAGCGCCTGCTGCGGCACCTGAGATGGCACCGCCAACCGTCGGCAGGGACCGGGTGCTCAGTTGTGCAGGCGCTTCTTCCGTCGCGTCGCCCACAGTAGCACCTGCCGAGGAAGCCGGACCGGGCGCAGTGCCCGATGCAACGCGTTCCACGGGCGGTTGCAGGCGTGCGGCAGGTGCAGGTGCAGCGCCCGCAGCCCTACTAGACCTGGCCGCAGGCGTGCTGGCAGTCGTGCCCACAGCTGCGGGCTGCTTGGCGGATGGCGTGGGCGGGCTGGAGCACTCGCTGGGCAGGAAGCTGCTGCCCCGGTTGGGTGCCGCGGAGGAGGCGGTGAGGGAGGAGGCCCGCAGGTCCAGCAGCCGCTGCAGGGACTGCCGGACGCGGGTGGCGCCCCCGCCGGTTCCTCTGCTGCGGACCGAGTCGCTGTCATCGGCACTGCCACCGCCAGCACCGCCACCGCTGGGTCGTGTTACTGCCGTGTCCTTGCCCGCTACGTACAGCTCGCTCGCAGTGGGCTCCTGCTCAACGCCCTTGACGACGCCCTTGGTGGCAGCCACATGAGCAGCCTTTGGCGAGCCGCGGGGGATGCCGCCCACGGGCTGTGGTTGGACGCGACTGCGGCCCTGGCGGTCTATGTCCGCGTCCTTGTCGCCATGGGAACTCCTTCCCGATAGGGACGAGGGTGAGGACACACGAAGCAGCGGTGGCTGGACCGGGTCGGCACTGCGTGGTAGCCGCGGCCGCCTCATGGGGGACTTCGGCTCATGAGCCGCAGCCCTCCTGCCGTACCCGCCTTCCTCCTCCGCATCTCCAGCCTTCATCCCCGCGCCCACATCCACATCCTCGTCCCCTTCAGGCAGCACCAGCGCGCCACTAGCCCGGCGTGCGCTGTTGCTTTCAGACACGCTGCGGTGCGCCCGCGCCGCCTCCACATAGCGCCGCTGCGATAGGGTGCTGGCGGCGGCCGAAGACGGGCTCATGGCGCCGCGGGGGACAGAGGCCGCTGAAGGGTCGCCATCCAAAACGAGGGGCTCCGGGTCGGGGTCAGACGGGTCATACGGCGCGGCTGCCAGGTCCTCCTCATCTGCCCAGTACGGCGCCCTGCGCCGAGCAGCGCCAGCTCTGGCACCCCGGCTGGCAGTGCCGAGATGACGTGGCGAGGTTGCTGCTGTGAAGACGGCTGTTGCCTCGTTACGGTGACCGTTGCTGGCAGCAGCAGCGGCGGCGGCGGGCCTATGTGGCTGCCGGCGCTGGCGTCCCCCACCGCCACCGCCCCCAGCAGCCCGAGCGCCCAGCGAGCGCCGGACGTTCCCGTCAGTCTCATCAGCTTCGTCGCTGCTGCTGCGCCAGCATGCCGGCTCGCCGCTGTGTCGCTTGAAGGGCGAGTCATCGTCATTGTCCACCGCGGCTGGTCCCGGCAACAGCCGCACCAACCGCGAAGGCGACAGCGAGCCCGCGGCTGCCGCAGTTGCTGCGCACGGCTGCGTGCCACGGCCACGCATAGCACCAGCCGGCTGCCCCAGCCGTTTGGAAGCCGCAGCAACCCCTGCTGCTGTGGCTGCTGGCGGCGCCAGTTCCGCTTCGTCAGCTGCCTCCGCAGCTCCACGTCGGCGCCACGCCGGCGACTGCTTGATGAAGAACGTGTCATGCGGCAGCTGCAGGACGCCGTTGGGGCTGCCGACGCGGAGGTCGCCATGCGGCCCTGCTACGGCGGCCACGTCGCCTCCGCCAGGCTCCGGCATGTCGGGCGCGTCTAGGCTGAGAGGCGGCATGGGGATGAGGTCGCCCGGCGCTGCGGCGATAGGGGGCGACTCGGTGGAGTCCTCACCCGCCGGCGCCTCCGCCATGACAGCCGCCAGCTGGCGCGGCAGCCCGCCGAGCCTGCTGGGGGCCGGCGGCTGCAGGGCGTCGCCACCGTCTAGGGGCTTGGTGTGCCGCTCCGCGACCGGGGCAGTTGCGCCGCCGCGTCGCGGACTGGGCTGCGGCTGGCGGCCGCCCGGCGCGCCAGGTAGTTCAGTGTCGGCGTAAGAGACGTGAAGCTGGGTTGCAGCCAGACCGTCAGCATCCGCAAAACCTGCGATTGGGGTCCACAAGAGGAGCGGTTGGGATGAAGTTTAGCGCTTGGCCAAGCGTATGCAAGCCGCAAGGGTGCTAAGCTGGGACATGATAACGTGAAGAGCACTCACGAAAGCAAAACAGTGCAAACCCTACAGTGAACTGATCCACCGTCCCGACCCACCTGCAGACCGGCGCTCCGGCCGGTTAAGCCGAGCCCGCCGCCTGGCACGCCGCTCCTCTTCCTCCCGCTCCTCATCCGTCGACGTCTCAAACGGGTGTCCCGCAGGCGCCAAGTGCTCCAGGTGCATCAGCACCTCCCGCGTCAATCCGCCACGACCCTCAGCCCGACCCGGAAGCTGCTGCGCCTGCGGCCCTGCTGCTGCCGCCACCACCGCCGGCTCCGCCGCTACCGCTGCACCGCCGCCACCAGACACCTGCCCGCGCCCTGAGCTTGCAAGTATGGGCGACGCACCAGGCGTGGGCCGGCGGCTGTTGTACGACGTAACTCGAGATGCGGAGTACGTCACGAGATCCACCGGCTCGTCGTCGATGACCACCCGACCGCCTCCAGTGCTGCCGCGGCGGCTCAGGCTGCCTGGCCGCCCAACCAGCCCCCCGCCGCTGTTGCTAGGCCGCCCCGTGGCAGAAGCGCGGCGAGAGCGGGCGGGCGTCACGTTCAGGTGCATCAGGTCCCGCGCCATGCGGGGCCGAGCCGGGGTGGTGTCCCCCGCGCCGGCAGCAGCCAAGGCGGCGGCTGGGGATACCCCGGCTGGCAGCTCGCGGGCGGGTGCCGCCATGCATGAGGTGTTGAGGGTGGCGCGGGAGGCGGTGCCGCGGAAGAAGTCCGCTGCGGTGCAGATGGAGGGCATGTCGGGCGGCAGGAGGCTGTGGCCTGCAGCAGAGCCGCCCGGACGGGTCGATAGCGGCACCACAGTGGAGAGGAAGTAGTCGCGCGCAGTGCCCAGCGGCACCGGCGAGGTGGTGTCGGTAGGGGCTGGTGCTGCCGGCGGACCCAGGGGGACAGGCAGAGTCTGCGTCGCCTGCTCGGCCTTGCTGGGCGAAGTCTGGACCGAAGCTGGCGGGCATGCGTGTGTTTGGGTCCGGGGTGAGGCGGGCGCTGAGGTTTGCGGCGACACTGGCGTCGAGGCCTGTGGAGATGCGGGCGCCGAGGTGCGCGGGGAGGCCTGCACGGAGGAGCGAGGCATGGCGGCTGCAGGTGCCTTGGGAGAGGTGCCGCCTGGCGCCCGGGGTGTGGTTGCGGCGGGCGCGTTCACGGGAATCGAAGCTTGATGGCGGGGTGAAGGCGGCGCCTGAGCACGAGGCGACGGCGGCGTACCGGCCCGCGGTGACGCAGCCGCTGGCGCTGTGGTGGGAGGAGTGCTGTAGCCGGGCCGCGACAGGGTGGCTGAGGAAGCTGACAGGGCTCTGGGGCGAGATAGGGCAGCGGCTGGGCTTGCAGCACGGTCGCCGGGTGAAGGGCTGCTGCCCGCAGCAAGCTGTGGATGGCGCCCTGGCTGCGGCATGCTGACGCCTCCCGCTGTTGCGGGACGAGCTATGAGCGGGGCCGGGCTGCCGCCGTTCATGTTGGCATGCATGGCGCTGCCGGCTGCGGCTTTGGTTGGCGGAGCATGGCCACCCCCCACCCCAGCCATGGGCCCCACGGAGGATGACGACGAGCAGGACCGCTCCACACCGCCCACGGTGCTGACACGCTTCGAGGCGGGCTTGCTGCCGGCTGCGGTGGCGTCATCATGACTCCCTGCAGGGCCATGCAAGGAAGCGACGCTCAAGCGGGTATTCTGATTCTGCCTGCTGTGGTAGCTGAAGACACAACAACACAAGGACACATGCACATATGCCATGGCTCCCAGATTACCCGCTCGCAAAGCCATCTCCCTCCCAATCCTCCCTCTTTCCTAAGCCACGCTACCGCCCCTCACCGTCCTCCGATCCTGCCACCGACATGAGCGCCGCCACAAGGTCCTCCGGGCTGCCCCACCGCCGCTGTGCAGCAAACGTCTCCACACGCGCCATGATGCGCTCCTTCAGCGTCTCGCCGCTCAGCGCCAGCGACGCAGCCGCAACAGGGTCTGCTGCATGCCCGCCGCCGCTCCCGGGCGCAAAGTGCGACACCAGGCTGGCCACGCCCTTTTGCCGGAAGCGCTCCCGTACGACCTCCAGCAGCGCCGGCACCATGCCGCCGCAGCGGGCTATGTCGGACTCGGTGAGGGTGATGCTGACGCCGGGAATGGAGTGCCGGGGCGAGGATGGGGCGCCAGGCGTGGAGGCGCCGGGGGTGGTGGTGCCTGCCCGGCTGGCGGCGGCATGTGCCGAGCCGGGGCTGGTGTTGGGGGCGCGATGCGGCGACGCCGGGGCTGTAGTTGGTCCGTGGGCGCCGGTGGCCGGTGCCGGAAGACCCGCAGCGGAGCGGGCGAGACTCTCACCACTGGTTGGGACATGGGGCAAGGAAGAAGGGACAAGGAAGATGTTACAGACCGTTCATGTAGGGACGTTCAACTTTCTAAACTTCTATAGGAGTTTTGGAAGCCCACTCTCACCTGCTAAACTGGCTCAAGCTGGACGTACGCCCGGGGCTCACAGACTGCCCGCTATCCCGGCTCCCGAGCACTGCCTGGCCCGTCGGCCGACCTGCCGCCGAGGGCGACAGCGGAGCCGGACCAGCACCGGGGATGGCTGCATCCGCCGGCCCTACCGACTTGCGTCCTGCGCTGCCTGCCGCGTTGGCGGCCGTTGCAGCTACCCCAGCAGCAGGGGGCGCGCCCTGAGATGCGCCGGCTAATGAGCCGGAAGCCGCTGTTTGGCGGCTGGCAGCGCCAAATGATGACCCTCGCTGCTGAGACTTGCTAGACGCCCTGCTCTCCAGGTCGTCCCCGCCAGCCTCCTCCTCGTCGCTGCTTTCCTCCCAAGGCAGCTTGCCGCCCGCCTCCGGCTGGGAATCAATGGACGGCTCAGAGTCACGAGTGTACCTGAGACCCAGGGCGCGCTCCTGCTCAAAGTCCCCCACCAACAGCCCAATCCTGCCCGCAGCGGCGGCGGCCGCGGAAGCGGAACGCTGGGCGGGATCCGTGCTCGATGCAATGCTGCTGGCGGACTGCTGCCGCTGTGCCTGCACGCGCAGTGCTTTTGCGTCTGCATCTGCCATGCCAGGCGCTGATGACCTCTCCGAGTCAGACCGCAGCCCGGGTCGCCAGCCAGAAGCTGACGACGTGCTGTCGTCGTCCACGTCCTCCTCCTGCACTGTCTGCAGGCCGCGCGGGGAGGAGGAGGTGTGCCGGCCACTGCCGCAGCTGGCAAGCCGGTGATAGCCAGCGCCGCTGCCGCTGCCACCGCCCCCACCGCTTCCGCCGCCTCCGCCCGGGTTGCTGGAGAAGACCTGTGCGTTAATGCCGAAGGAGAAGGCGCCCATAGGCACGCCAGGAGGCGGCAGGGCTGCCCCGCCGGCGGCAGTCGCGCCGCTGGTACGATGCCGCTCGCCCGCCGCAGTCTGCACACCCATCATGGGGGAGTCCACGTTGGCGTCATCGGTGACGCGTTCCTCGAATACCGCCTGGCCGGCTGCCCCGTCCTTGCTGTCAGGCAGGGTGCTCCCAGCACTGGCTGCGCCCAATAGCAGCGGCGGCACCGCAAAGCCCAGGCCGCCCGCCGGCAGCTGCCCTGCTGCGGGGTCTATGCGGAAGCGAACAGTCTCCGTCGTGCGCAGGGGCATGGATGCAGGCGGGCGACTGGGCTGCGGCACACTCTGAGCGGCTCCCAGCACCAGGCGCGAATCGACAAGTGGTAAGCTGGCGGCGCCAGGGGGCGTCGCCTTCCCTGAGACGGTGTTTAGGACATCACCGCAAGCAGTTTTGCCACCTCCCATAATTTCAGGCGGCGGGGTGAAGCCGATAGCCGACGGCGCCTGCGCAGCGCTACCCATGACCTCTGGTGGTGGCACGAAGCCGACAACCGGTGCTTGACCAGCCTTGGGCGGCGACGGCGGCACCTGCGGCGCAGCCCCGCTTCCCATGCCGCTGAAATGTCCTGCCAAGGACTTCGAGGACTGCAGCGGAGAGTTGGCGAATGGCGAGGGCCATTCCGCTGCGGCCTGCCCCGAGACGTCTGGATGCTGACCACCCTCAGTACGGCCACCCGCCGTGCTGTGGGAGAAACCGCTGTCGCTACCGCCGCTGCCGTACCCGAAGCCGTCCCTGCAAATGGCCTGTGCGCCGCTGAAACCATCATCTCGATTTGACGTTGGCGCATAGCGTGCCGGTGGCCCAAAGGCACTTGGAGCTGCTCCAGGGGAGGCCTGCATCGCATTCGCTGACCCAGATGGCGAAGGTAGCGCGGCAACCCTCAGCTCCTGCGCCCCTGCGGATGGCTGGATGTCGAAGCTGCTTCTTCGGGAGCTACCAGGCGAATACGCGCCGTCGTCAGTCCTTGATGCCCTGCCGAGGCTGGACAGCCGCAAGCCCGCAAACTTAGAAGCCGGTTGATCCCCAGGGGCACCGCCGAATGCCTGCAGGCTATGCGCGACGTGCGCAGGTGGTGACGCATGTAACGGGCTTGCAGCGCCCGAGCTGGCTGCGGTGCCTGGGTCAACACCAAACGGTGCTAAGCGTGCGCGCGACAAGGATCCAAAAGCCATGCCGCCGTGTTCACCGTCCTCACTGGAGAGGTCCATGCTGCCTGAGGAGTGGAACGTCTCAGCACGACCCAGTAAGCGCCGCTGGATGGAGTCCCCCAACGCTTTTTGGTACTGAGTCCGGAGTTGCTCGCCGTGCGTTGGAGTATGTGCACCCGTCAGGGCGTTCTGCACGTACGGCGAAATACTCTGCTTTAAGCTCCCCAACGCGGTCCTGAGCGACGTAACGGGCGCCGCTTGCGGAGCGCTGCTGCCAGCTATATTGCGCGCGACGTCTGAACGAGCAGACGCCATGCTGCCCCGAGCTTGGTCGTCTCCGTCCGGGCTGAGCGAATCACTGGAATCGGCATCGGCGGAGGGGTCCTCGCGCCAGTCCTCGTCACTTTTTGCTGCCCCTGCAATTCTGGTAGAGTTGTTCCTGCTGCATGCTGAAAGGCTAGCGAAATCGCCATCCTGCTTTCTAGCTTCGGTGCCAGAAAGGAAAGTTGCAATGCCCGGTCGTCGTTTTCCAGTACCTTCCTCGTCTTGCTTTGGTAGCAATAGTTTCGCAACACCGCGTGACTGAGCCGGACGAAGAGGAGTTGGATGCTGCTGGGGCTCAAGTCCACCCGGCAAGGCTGAAGAGCTGGACACTACCTCAAGAGTATCGACACAGGTCTGGAGCCTCTGCTGAAGCTGTTGTACCTTATCCTTTATATCTGCTGCAGTGCTAATGACTGCAGAGCCGTCGTCCCCGGCCATCTGCTGTTTGACCGTTACTGAGAATGCTCCGTAAGGAAACAGTTTCGACGCTGCATAGAGCTATGCATATCGATAGAATATATAGTTACAATAGGTAGGGTAAGCCTAGGCCAGCAGGTAGGGTAGCGTCCTCGACCTTAGCTCGGAAGCTATGCCAAGCGGTGTCATTATCTGGTGCATGAATACCTACACATGTTTGTCTATACCATAGATATTAGCATGCAGACTTCGTCCAGAAAGGTAAGTGCTGTTCCGTACGAACCCCGGAGCCCACCATCGACCATGCAACAAGACGATACTGGGTACGCGGATCAAGCAAGAGCTTGCGGCATGGGCCGTGCCTGCTTGGTAACTTTGGCTTTCCCAGTCCCTCCTCTCATCCGCGATAGGGAACTATAAGAATCATGAAGCCATCCATCCCAACACACACATTTCAAACGCTAACAGCCAATGAAGCATGCCACACAAAGCGACAACCATTTACGCAGGTTGTATGAATAAGAAGCAACCCCAGCACTATTCATGGCGCGCATTACTTGCTTATGTGCAACCCACCTGCGCCTATGCACTGTATCAATTCCACTAGGTACCACCCGAGTACGCGGTGCGCAATTCGGATGCCAATGCCGCTTACAACACGCTCCATGCCCTCTAAACCAAACACATTCCCGGGAAGATGGCCGGGACCTACGTCAACACGGCAAGCGCTAGTCCTCCTTTGTGTTAGGGCAGTACCAGTGCTATGGGAGAAGCTACGTCTATGAATACTTCAATTACGAGCTTGCTGCCACCCCCACGCGGCCAAGGCCTAGCTAGCGCCTGTCGGCGCAACACGCATGTGCTTCCCACGCATTCGCCCCTAACCTTCGAAAGCGCCGCAGACGTCTCGCGTTAGTTCTCGTACGAACCGGGGCCCTGTAATGAAAGGCAAGGCAAGCAGCGCAACAGCGGTTAGTCGGCATAGCTTAAACTGACCATAGGACAGCTGGTGTGCAGACAACTGACAGCAATCCCTGGTTACTGTGGTTAGGAACCTACGGCGGGCCCCAATGGGTACCCACCGGCGTCTGGCTTGTTTTAAAGACCATGCGTGGCTGCGTTCCGAAACCGTACGACGGCACGCTGGTCTTAGCGCTGAGGCTCTGCTTGCCGAAGCTGGTCATGTTGTTGGGTTGTTGACGGTCGTAGTTGGCGGGCGAGAAGTGCCCTCGGAGCACCTTGGCGTGCTGGGAGGTGACGAAGCGGCCGGACTCCTTGTCACGGTCGCTGCTCCCGAAACCATAGGCTGGCATGGTGCGCGACAGTGACAGCGTCTGTTTCCCGATCTGCGGGCAGCATGCAAGTGAAGGAGGGGAGCCACAGGGTTGGGTCCCGCGTGCCACGAATGGCGTCCTCACTGCCAGCACAAGGGTGGGCGTACGAGCCACGCCCTTGCATGCGGTGCTTGGCTAAGGTAGGCAGGCGGGAAAGCAGGAACGCTGGAGGCGTAGTACGCCAGCTACTTACGCTGTTCCACGTCTCGTACTGCCCCGCCCCGGGCATGGTCTTGGAGAGCGCTTCGTATCTGTCCCTGTTGGCATGTACGGAAGGGGTGGTCAGCTTGCTGCGTTTGCAACTCCACGACCTATGCGTGGCTCCAAAGCTAAACCGCAGCCCTCCGTAAGCCTCAGCCTTGGCATCCAAGCCGCCGGCCCCATGTTGTGCTCCACACACGGAGTTCTTCCCAATCAGCGGGTCACCACCAAGCCGCTGGCTCCAAGTATCCCATTCCTAGCCGTTACACATCATTTCCCTCGAAGGCTACAGTTAATGCTGTTATGCATGCAGCAAGCAGCAGCAGTAGCCTTACTTTAGCCGGTCTGTCCGCGGGAGGGAGTAGGAGGGCGAGCTGGGTTTGCAGCTGGCCACCTGTTGCCCTAGCGCCCCAGGCAGGTCGTAGGAGCCTGGAGGTGACCCCATCGTGCCGCGCTGCTGGGCTACGTGGCCGGCGGAGAGGAAGAGCTTGCTGGATTGGTCACGTGTGGCTGACCCAAATCGTACGCGCGCGGGGCTGATTTTTGCCGACAGCTGCTGATCCCCGATGGCGCTGACGACTGGCTGGTATACGCCTGGCCCCGGGGTTGCGTTTTGCTTTTCCTGTTGGGGCAAGGAAATAGATAGACGGGTGGGTTATGCCGTACAGTTGCCCAGCGGCTCGTGGATAGGTAAATTTAAGCCGCTGTTTACCAAGGACTTGCGAAAGAAAGCCATATGTCCAGTTCTTACCTTCAGTCGTGCTGAGTGCGAAAACGAGTAGGACGCAGCGGACTGCTTACGCGCCTCTGCCTGCCGGTCCATCGAACTAGGCAAGTTGTAGATGTGGCCAGGGCCTTCGCGGCATTTCCGGTCGACCTGCCGGGAGGTAGACGATGCTCAGTTCGACTGTACATGCCGGGGCTTCAGCACAGCAGCCATCAAAGAAGCCTCACCTCCACGTGTGATTGTGATAGGAACACTTTCTCACGACCTTCCCGACTTCCACCCATCGAGAAGCTGGGGGAATTGTTCTTCTTGGAATCTGCCTGCCTTCCAAACATCGATCTCCCTGAAGGCCTGCCCCATGGCTGCTTAACAAATGGTAGCTGCGAGTCGTGCACCGCCATAACGGCGGACCACTACCTCGCTGTCCTAGAGGATGACTCGCCGGCACAGCCTACAGCTATTCCTATGAAAGTGAAACCCTGAAATCCTAAAGATTTCGCTCTTCTAAGCTTTCCTAAATGCTATTGGGTTACAGTTACGATAAGACAAGGCCTGAACTTGGAGGATGTCATTGGGGAGTGACTGTGGAGTGACTTGGCAATCAATTGCTATGGAGTTGGAAGTAAGCTAGTTCTACGTAACGATTACTACCCCTTTTGGCCATCATGGAAGGGGCGACTTCGAAGTTTACAGCGGCAAAATACGGCAATTACTCAACGTATCATTCTCATGCACTCCCAACACGCAACACTCGCCGCGAGACCGCCACTTACTGTTTGCCACTATCGTAGGCATGTAAAATATCGATAAGTTTAGGCACCTGCTTCTTTTGCCAGGGATGCAACACCAAAACACGATGGGTCCCTTAGCACGCACGTTTGATAGTTTCCTTCCTCGCAATATTGCCAGCTTTCAGTTGCCCACACGTCGCCTCTTAGCATGGTCTGATAACACGCCGTTCGAGAATTGGACCTATGTTGTTGCCTGCCTTTTCCTCACCCTCTTTGCGGGGATCATGAGTGGCTTGACGCTGGGTTTGTTATCTCTAGATACAGTGGAACTGGAAGTCCTTCTGCGTTCCGGTACAGCCAAGGAGCAAAAATATGCTCGCAAGATTATGCCAATTGTCTCCAACAGCCATTTTTTGCTCGTAACACTGCTGCTTTGTAATGCTGTGGCTATGGAGGCTTTACCTCTATTCCTAGACAACTTAGCGGACCCAGTGACCGCCGTCGTCGTGTCTGTGACCGCGGTGCTTTTCTTTGGAGAAATCGTGCCGCAATCGGTCTGCAGCAGGTGCGAGTTGGATGCCGTCTTCCCATAACCTCAAGCGCACTCAATTAGATGCCGAGGTAGCTGACTCACTCCACGGCACCAACCACCATGCTCCTAGTCTTGCGGTCCACCACACACATTCTCCGCACTGCGCTTGCTCGCCCCACCACTCCCTCCTGGCCACACCTTCACCATTCCAGCCCTCCCCTGCTCCCCTGCTCCGTCTTCCTCCTCTCCCTTCCCTTCCCTTCCTCCTCCGCCTCCCTGCCTCCCCAGGTACGGTCTGCGGATTGGCGCCACGCTGGCTCCCTTCGTGCGGCTGCTGATGTGGCTGTGCAGCCCCATCGCCTGGCCCACCGGCAAGCTGCTGGACCTGCTGCTGGGGGCGGACCATCACACGCTGTTCAGGAGGCGGCAGCTCAAGGAGCTGGTCAGGTGGGAGCCGGGCGGGGCAGCACAGGGCAGGGCAAGGGTAGAGGGAGGAAAATTATATAAGAAATGCAAGGGTAGAGGGAGAGGGCAGGGAAGGCAGAGGAGGGCGGCGGCCGAAGAGGCAGGAGGGTGACGATGGGGAAGCGGGCAGGGGCATGCTCCCTCTCGCTTCCCTGGCTGCTCCCTGTCCTGCGTTGACTTGACCATACTTTGTCCCGCCCGCTGCAGCATCCACGCGGAGGATGCGGGGCTGGGCGGCGCTCTGACCCGCGACGAGATCAAGGTGATCACGGGCGCACTGGACCTCACCAGCAAGGTGGCCTACCGTGCCATGACGCCGCTGGACAAGGTGCGGCAGGCGACCCACGGGTCTGTGGGTCTGTTTGTATTGGGTTAAAAGCCCCAAGTCATCAGGCCAGGGAGCAGGAGGAGACCTGAGGCAAGCAGCTGACGACAATACACCGACAATGACGACACGGGACTGAGTTATATGAGCTCATCGGCCACGCCACCTCCTCCCGCATGTCCCCATGCTTATCCCCCCCGCCCCCCCTCCCCAGGTGTTCATGCTGTCCAGCTCCGACCGGCTGGACGAGGCGACGCTGCGGGCGGTGCTGCGCAGCGGTCACAGCCGCATCCCCGTGCACGCGGCTGGGGAGCGCAGCCAGGTGGTGGGGCTGCTGCTTGTGAAGGAGCTGCTGCAGTACCGGCTGGGCAGCAGCGAGGTGGTGCCGGTGGACATGCTGAGGATGCGCAGCATTCCCAGGTGCGCAGCCCGCCGTACTGGCGCGGATTGATGACCGCAGGGCAACCGTCAACCTGCCCCCGTGCCGTACACCCTACACCGGCCCCCAACACCGCCCCCCTTCCCCTCCCCCTGCAGGCTGCCCGCCACCACGCCCATGTACGACATGTTGCGCCTCTTCCAAACCGGCCGCTCGCACATTGCCGTACTCACCCAGCCGCCGCGCGGGGAGCTGCGGCGACTGCTCAAGATGGACGCCACCGCCGCGCGCAGCGGCCGCGGCCCCTCGCGCGGCAGCGGCATGAACCGCGGCAAGAGTGCGGTGACCGCCGTCGACGACGGCGCGCAGTCGGCTTTCCCCGACGGCGCCGTCAGCGACTTGGGCCCATTCGGTAACAGCGCGGGGGCCATTGGTGGTAATGCGGCGGCGGCGGCGGCGGGGGCCATGACGCCGCCTACCTCCGTCGAAGCTACTCCCGAGGCAAGGGGCTCAGCTCTGCACGACGACCTACGCTCCATGGCAGGAGATACGGAAGCCGGGTACGGCGACCCAGAGGGATACACGTCGTACAGTTTGTACGGCAGGCTTACGGACGGCAGTACGTACGCGCCGAGTATGATGGACCGACAGGACAGTTACAGCGGCGTCATCGGCGGTGGCGGCGAGAGTACGACAGGTGGGGAGTACATGATGACGACGCCGCTGCCACTGAGCCGCCAGGGCAGTGAGGCGACGGAGGCGAGTGCGGTCAGTCGTCAGGGCAGCGCTCCGGAGCCGTTGAGACGGTTGGACGACGACTTGGTCGCCAGCGCGGATTTGGAATCCACGTCGGCGGTTAGGACGACCCCCGACGGCACGCCGGCGGCGGCGGCGGACGCCGGCGGCAGAGGAGGAGGCGCGCATTCGGCTATTCATCGGTCGGCGTCAGTGCCGACGACGACGGCTGGGCCGCACTCGCACCGGCGCACTCGCATGGGGCTAGAGGCGGACGCCGCTGCAGCGGCGGCGGCGTCAGCATCGTCTGGGGTTGGCGGCGGCCTGGGGAGTATATGCAGCCCCGGCGACAGCACCCACGGGACCCACGGGTCTGCACTCTTTGCGGCGCTTGAGGAGGCAGCCGGCGGCAGCGGTGAGGGCCAGGCTGGAACCTCCAGTGGGCATGCTTACGCGGTGCCGTCGGCGACGCCGGCTGCTGCTGCTGCTTCGGCGTCAGCACGGCTTCATTTGCAGGAGCATGAGGAGGGATGCCATGATGCGGGTCTGGAAGAGGACCCGGAGGAGCCTGAGGAGGGGCGGCCCATTGGCATCATTACCATTGAGGACGTGATTGAAGAGGTAAGCGGGTAGGCGGGAGGGGTGGCCGTGCTGGGGGAGGGGGTCTGCCGTGTACCGTAATGCAGGGGGGGGCGGCATTGGGTGACCCGGTGAGGGCTGTGTTTGGTGGAGGAAGGTGTGGTGTTGGGCCGCGTGCTGGTGGGAAAGCGCTGCGCTTCTCCAGGTTGCTGCCAAACCTTGAACCCTGTGTCGGCTGTGTGTAACAACACCCTCCTTGCCACCCCATGCCACGCGCACACATCTCACTTTTCCTGAACACACCTCACGTTCCGACTCGCGGCCCTTTTTCTTAACACACCTCACTTGTCCTGCGCCGTACAGCTCATTCGTACGGAGATCGTGGACGAGACGGACCGCTACGTGGACAACAACCGCCTCATCCGGGTCAACCCGGTGCTGCTGGCGCAATCGCTGCCCGAGCACCTGGCGCGTGTGCTGGCGGTTGCGGGGGCGGGCAAGAAGGCGGCGGTGGCGGGGGGCGGCGGGGGGCTGCACGGCCGCAGCGGGGGAATGACCGGGACGGGCATGGCGGGGGGCATGGGGGGGCGGAGCTGGTCGCATGCGGGGGCGGGGCCGGCGTCGGGGTCCGCGTCGATGTGGGATTTGTCGATTGGCGAGGGAAGCGGGTTGTTTGGAGGGCTCGGACAGCAGCAGCAGCAACAGCACTATCATCACAATTACCAGCAGCAGCAGCATTACGGGTCGCTTCGGGCACCGTTGTTGCAGGTGGATCAGGTGTGAGGAGGAGGGAAAGGGAAGGGAAAGGAGTGAGCTCGCCACAATGTAGGACAGGAAGGTAGAGGGGGTTGAGAGGCTACGATTGAGGGACAGGTTGAGGGGAGTAGGGAGCCTCCGCAAGGTTTGACTTTTTCGTAATGTTTGACAAAAAATGTTCTTGCTTGCTAGGAAGCTTTGCCATGCAAAGGCGGTACACCAGGTATCTATGACAGCTCTTGGACTTGAGGGTTTGGTTGCATTCTTTTTTAGTTTTGATCGAGCGTAACAGGGTTGCTGAGTGCCTAACCTGACACACACAGCCTATCTAGGTGTGAAAGCTGGCTTCTTGATACGCATGGCGACGCCCTGCATAATCCATTGCTTAGCTTTGCCGCAGTGTTGGCCCTGTAAGGAGTACGAAAGGCGTGCTTGGGTCTAGTCACTTGGTGGGCGAAGCGGTTGGTCGAAGTGCTGTCCGCGAATGGCAGCCGGAATCCGGTGGCCGTAAAGCTTGCTTCGCGGTTAGCTAGGACTCCAAAGCGCGTAAGAAGTGGTGTGTGCAGCACCTTCGAAAGGATTCGACACTCCAGTCGATGCGGCTGTCCAAGGTCGTCAAGGAAGTGCAGGACAGGTGGCTCGATTAAGGAACCGTGTCGAAAACAGCGTTAAGATTTCGCATCAGGCCTTTCATGCCAGCAACGTATTCCTTAGTTCTACTTATATGCAGTGAGAATACAGAACAGATCAGTAGAGTGTGTGGTAAGTTCTGGAAGAAGGAAACGGACACGCCTTTCTTTTCTTTGACGGCCCGCTTTCAAAGCTTCAGCGCAGACTGACGTGTATAGCTGTAGGTGACGTTGCAGCAGTTTATTCACTCACAGGGGAAAGTAGCAAAAGCTTTTGCGCACACAGCAAACAGAATGAGTTGTTTCAAGGCGAACGTACCAGGTCGGCCCACCTCACCAGCCTCCCTCAGCACGGGAACCTCTAGAAGTGCAAGCGCTCATGACCTGGAAGGTAGGAGCAAGCAGTAAGAGGGCTCTCGAGAAGCCTCCTGGGCGCCGGTTGCAGCAAAGCCCTTCATTCACTTGCTACCCTTTCGTCGCGCCACACGTGCCGTAACGCAGCTCACATTCCTAGCGCCCTAAGTGCTTTCCTACAACCTTCCTGATAGCAGTCTGAACTACTGCCTCCCTTCGTTTTTCGTTTTGTCTTTTGTGCTAACCAATTTATATGACTGAGCGCTCATGATGGCTGCAGGTCTGAATGGAGCCCTGTTGGGCGGCGAGGAGACTGGCCCACGGGTCACCGGCGACGTCCGACACCAACTGTCCATCCTAGACGCCCTCGCTGGCAAGGCAGTCCTCATTACAGGTGGGCGGGGGGCGAGGTCCGCAAGAGATGCACGTCTTGCACCCTTGTAGCAGCCATCACTCCAGCACCCTAGGATACCAGCACCCGCTCTCTTCGCCCCTCCGCCCGCCCCTCCACTCTCCCCTCCATGGGCTATATCCTCACTGTTTTTTCCCCCTCATGCTGTCATGCGTAGCATATCGCGCGCACTCGTGCTCAACAAATATAGAAATATATGAAAAACAGATAAAATGACTCGTGCTTGCCACGCACTACTCACTGTTCCTGAATTATCAGGTATTTTCTGCACGTCTGATACTTGACTGCCGTTCAACCTCTCCACGATCACTCCCACTCCCACCCCTGTGACACGCACAAACACTCGTGAATCCCACACCTGCCACCGCTCCCCGCTCCCGCCCCCCCTCTCTCTCACTGCATGAGCCGGGATATGGGATTGGGACTCGTTGTTTCGCTTATACAAAATTTCCCCCCCTGCAGGCGCCACCGGCTACATCGGCGGTGTGGTGCTGGAGCAGCTACTGCGGGTGGTCACCACAGTGGGTTCAGTGTACGTGCTGGCGAGGTCGCGGGGCGGCCGCAGCGCCCAGGAGCGAGTGGGGCGGGTGCTGGGCTCGGGGCTGTTTGAGATGGTACGGCGGGAGAGGCCGGAGGCGCTGCGGAAGGTGAGGAGCGGGGGGCAGGCAGACTTGCAGCTGTGACGCTGCATCTTGGCCATCCGCTTTTCAACCGGACATGCTTTTTTACGGACGTCCTGGCACATGTCATCCATCCTCAGCTCTCCACTCGTACACCATCTCTTGCTGCTGCTTCCGCCGTCAAAACCCCACTGCCCCCACTCCCCCCCCCCCGCCCCTCATCCCGCCCCAGGTTGTCGTACTCGACGGCGACCTGTCGTTCCCCGGTCTGGGCCTCACGGAGGAGGCGCTGGCGGAGCTGCAGGCGGAGCCCGCAGTGGTGGTCATGCACAGCGCAGCAAGGTGTGTAAAGGTGGGGGGAGAGGGAGGCAGGGGCAGGGGCAGGGAGGCAGGCGGGTGCAAAGAACAACCGTTGTTCCCAGTAGACCACAGCAACGCACTGCGGCCTCACATCGTAACAGCTCGTGGTAATACAAGCCGCCCTAGTCAAGACCCAACGTGAAGCCGTGGACCCTCTCCCCTCTCGACAGTTCCTCCTTCCTTACCTCTTCCCTCCGCCCCTGCCTGCCCCCTGCCCCCTGCCCCCTGCCCCCAGGATCGCGCTGGACGACCCCATCCAGGACACCCTGCGCAACAACTACGAGGGCACCAAGCGGCTGCTGGCGCTGCTGGAGACCCGGCTGCCCCGTTGCGCCGGCTTCGTGCACGTGTCCACCTCCTTCGTGGGCATGAACCTGCCGCACAACAGCTGCGTGCCCGAGCGACTCTGCCCCCTCATGTTTGGAGACCAACGGGTGAGCGCAGCGCATGCGGGGGGTGGCGGACTGGTAGTGGGCTAGGCGGGCGGCCGGGCCCGGGGCGAGGGCAACCACGCGTTTGCACTAGCTACTACCCACCGCAGCTACATACCCACACCAATGGCACGGTTCATCTTGCGGTTCTAGCCGGGGTTGACGGACCGCTACCCGGGCTCCCCTTCATGCTGTGTGTCGCCATCTGCCAACTGCAAGCGTGCGCGTGCCATGTGTGTCATGCAGCTGCTGCCCCAGCTGCCCTAGCATGGGTCTCCATTCTCTTTCTCTTCACCCTCCTCCTCCTCCTCCCCTCCTGCTGCCCTCCTGCCCCTCCTCTCCCTGCCCCTCCCCCCCAGGTGGACCACGCGCGGCTGGCTCGCGAGCTGCTGAGCGCGGACAAGGAGTCGGCGGACCTGCGGGCCACCCTGTTGTGCCGCAACTGGCACCTGCCCAACACATACCTGGTACGACATGGGGGGTGCCGCACTGCTGCATGGGGCGTGGGGGCCGGGGTGGGATACAGACAGTGGCTCTTGTGGTTTGAGTGTCGTGAACGTCTCTCCTTAATGGAACTGTACCCCTGAATTCAGGACCATACAATAAAAAATATAATAAGCAGCGCGATTTCGTGCCACACTCGCTCATCCCCTTCCTCCTCCTTCCCCTCCCCCCGCCCCACCCCCCAGCTGGGCAAGCACCTGAGTGAGGCGCTGGTGGAGCAGTACCACAGCGAGGGGCGGCTGCCGGGCGGGGCGGCCATCGTACGACCCAGCCTGGTGTCGGCCATTGCGGGGGCACCCTACCCAGGATACGTGGGAAACCTGGCAGGTGGGGCGGGCGGGAGGGTGTGGACAGCCCTCATTCGGGTGCTGATTGACCCCCGTCCGACTACTGGATTTCACGCATTCACGCATCCACTCCTGCCTCTGCCCTGCCCACCTGCCCTCCCGCCCCCACACCCCAGGCCCCTCCGGCTACATGACCGCCTTCGCACTGGGCTTCTTCAACAACGACTCCGCCGCCTGGCACGCATGGCACCTGCTGGACTCCGTGCCCGGTGACGTCGCCGCGGGCGTCATCCTGGCTGCCGGGGCCACCCTGGCGGCGGGTATCCGCAGCCGCGAGCAGCTCCATGCGCTGACGGAGGCGGCCGCCGCCGCCGGAGGCGGCCCATTGCCGCCGCCGCCGCCGTCGCCGCCTCCGGCGCTGCCCGAGACGACCGACTCCGTCGGCGAACACAACGGCGCGATAGCGGCGGCGGCGGAGCCCGAAGGCCCCTCGGCGCTGGAGGGCTGGAATGAGAGCTTCCGAATGCATGACGACCTGCCGGCGCATGCGCCGTACCCGCACCCCCGCAGCACACATGCGAACGTGGCGTCTCCGGCGCCGCCGCCGACGCCGCGGCGTGCGCAGGTGGGCGAGATGCTTGTATTCCACGCCGCCACCTCCACCATCAACCCCTGCATGCACTGGGAGGCGTACGAGCTGGCCTACCGCTTCTTCACCGTCAACAAGCCCAAGTACCGCCTGGGAGGGTGAGCGGCGCGTGGGGGGATGTTCGCGGAATGACCCACCTCACCCACCTCATCCACCTCACCCACACCTATCTCACCCACCTCATTTAACTGCAAACCCACCTCACCCGCCCCGGGCAGTTACGTGCTGCCCCCCAGCCCGGTGGACTACCGACCCATCCCCTGGAAGGTGGCGTTCAAGAAGCGCATCACCGGCATGAAGGTGTCGGCGGCGGCGGCGCTGCTGGGCTGCTTCGGGGACAAGAGGTCGGCCAGGAAGTGAGTGAGGGGGAAGGGGCCCGGGGAGGGGGGCTGGGAAGGAGGCTAAGGGGTTGCCAAGTGCAAACCGCTAACTAAACCTGCTGTCTAAGGCCATGTGGTGATTCCGCCCTCCCTGCTAAACCCCTCTCACGGATTCCACCCTCGCTGCCCCCTTCCTCCCGCCTCCTTGTCGTCCCCCTCCCTCCCCGTCAGGCTAAAGACGGGCTTCACTGCCTGGTCTTACGCCAACGACGTCAAGCACGACAAGACGCTGTTCTTCTCCATTCGCAACGTGCTGGCGCTGGAGCGCTGCCTGCCGCCCGAGGAGCGGGCGCAGCTGCCGCTGGTGTGGCGGGGCAGCTGGAAGGACTACGGAAACACGTAGGAGAGGGGCGGGGGTGATGCAAAAAAGAGGAAACTAACGAGCTAACGAGGGTGGGGGCCGAACGCGGATGGGGAGGGCAGTGCGTACCTCCGCTATCACCCCCGTTACCCGCTTGCGTGCCTGCCTGCCTGCCTGCCAGCGTGCGCACTGACGCTTGCATGAATGCGTGCTGCGCTGTTCAACTTGCCTCTTGTCCCGCTGTCTTCATACACCCTCGCTAACCCAGCCCCCGCCTCCATCCCCGCTTCACTCCCGCCCGCCCGCCTCCCCCCCCCACACCACACTTTGGAATTTCTTTTTTCCCCCCGCCACCTCTCAGCTACATGGCCGGAGTGTGCCGCCTCTTCATGGGGCTGCCCGTGCCGCCCTCCACCCCCGAGCTGCAGCACAAGTTCGTCTACATCCCCTACGTCATCATGCCCGAGTCGGCGCTGCCGCCGCTGGCAGGCACACGGGGCGTGCACGCCGCCAGCCTAAACAACAACATCACCACGGGCAGCGGCGCCGCCAGCGCGCCGGTGCCGGTGGCAACAGGAGGCGTGGGGATCACGGCGCCGGCGCCCGCGGGAGTGGCGGCGGCGAGGGGAGTGGTGGGGACGGGCGAGGGCGGCGAGGAGGTGGTGAAGAAGGCGGGCGGGAAGGCGGTGCAGCAGCCTGTTAAGATGCCGCCGGGGGTGGTGGGGGTGCGGCCGCCGGGGCTGGTGCAGATGACGCCCGTTCCGGTGTGAGGAGGGGTCGTGGGGAAAGGTTGATGTACGTCGGAGGTTGTTTTGTGTTACAACTCCGCAATGCAGATGTTGCCTGCGCGGAACGAATAAGACGCACAGCGCACGGCACAGCGCGTCACCGCGGTAATTGCGGGATGAGGACACAGGTTGCGGTGGTGCAGGACACGCTGCTGGGCGCACGGGGGCAGCGCACCGCGACATGTAGGTCAGCTGGGCGGCGAAGACACTGGTTGCTGCTGTGTGCCGTGATGGAGCTTCTGACGGGTTGACGTTGGTGCAGAAGTGTTGTCGAAAGCAAGGAGTTGCAGAGTTGTTGGTGCGCCCTTGGGTGTGCAATGGGGCATTGTTTTTGCGGTGTGAGATGGTTGCAGGCGCATAGCCTGGGAATCCAAAATCCTTTTTTTGGAAGGCGGGATGACCTGTTGGCTGCACCGGTAGCCGCAGCGGGAGTTGTCGGCGAGTTGGGAGGGACAGGTATGTGGCTGGAGGGCGTTGCGTCGTGTTTTACTTGTTGTGCTAGGTAGTTGCACCTGTGGCTTGCTGCTTGGTGAGAGGGTTGTGTATTCGAAGACTCTTGGCAGTTGGGGTTGGTTGGTACAAACAGGATGCGGCAGCATAGGGCGGGTTGGGACTTGCAGCTAGGGGCTCAGCGACATGCCTCCGCCGGTGATTGTCGATAAGCCGTTTGGGCAACCAGCCGTTTGAGCGGCTGTATAGGGTAATGGCTATTGTTGACGCGCACGTTTACGTACTGTCCTCCCACGCACCGGGGAACTTGATTGCGTTGAGATCTCATTGCGTTGCCTGGGGTAGGGTAGGGGGCACCTACTTGGCACTTAGCCCATTTTGCGCGGGTCACAGCGGCGTATGTGACATTTGACATGCATGGTATTGGCGACGCTCGACGGACGGCTACGCGTGTTGAAGCAGCAGGGAGGTAGTAGTTCGGACATGCAAAGGCCACATATGCGCGCTACGACGATTGGGGATTTGCTGCGTTGATGTTAACGCTTACGTGCCGTCGGCCCTCAGCCGCGTGGCGTAGGCACTCAGGTGGGCGCGTGGCGGGTTGTGGTTGTAGTAGATGTGGGTGATGGATGTAGGATGGGCTGTGCCGTTTTGAGATGGGAAGGGCGGCATGCGTCAGCTGACGAGGACAAGGGGCGGACGTGGGCTGGGAGGAAAGCTGCTGTGCTTACGCTGACCTGTAAACGTTAGCAGCACCCGTCTTGTTGGATACAGCCGGTAAGCCGTAGTTTATACCAGCAGTAGACTAACCTTAATAGCTGATGCCAGGGGAAAGGAGGAGAGTCAGCACTCACTTCGTTGCAGCAGGCTACGTACGGAAACCCATATCGCTCCAGCGGCCACAGCCCGCTCGCAATCGTGATCAGTTGGTTAGGGCAAAGATACACCGGGGTGCAATTGCATCAGATGGGGCCACAATGTTGGAAGACCCCTGCACGAGTAGAAGCCTCACAAAGCAACCATCCTCCAACCGCCACCGTTGTGTGCTGCACTCTTGACACATCGGCCGCCAGCCCCGCTGCTGTGATCAGTGCCGTTATGCGGCTGGTTTGGAATAAAACTCGACTTAGGCCACAACCCAGATCACTCCTAACCCGCAATCGGTACTGAGCTGCCACACAGACTGCTTCTATAACACCCATAATGAGGTTCCTGTTGTGTCATGCTATAATAGGTCATTGTATCACAGTGTATCACTGCAAAACCACGTAACATCATCCCAGCGGCAACATCCGCACGCCCAAAACATCATACCGTATCACGATAGGCCAGTACACGTTATAGGTAAGCTCACGAGGGGCACGCGCCATCCACACCTCTAAACATGGAGGCCCTCTCCAGTGCTCAGTCACCAGCTCGCAGCACGCTTGCATGTTACCTTTCTGTAACCCAATCGCTCGACTACGACACGTCGCGCTGCACGCACATGAATCCCTCAGCAGCCTCGACCAGAAACCAGGCTGAGGCCTGGCCTGCACTCCAAGCAAAGGGGGTGCAGTGCTGCCTTGGGGCAATCCCTGACAGACGCTGCGACACACTCGGCTCTATCACGTTTTTGTAGCTCGGTGCCCGATATTCCCCCCTCAGCCGCGGCCATGCAGCCAGGCCGGCATGCCGTCGTGTCCGCTGAGCAGCGCCCGGGACATCACGCGGTCGCTGAGGCACAGCGTGTGGCCCTCGGGCCACGTCTGTGGCGGGGAGGACGAGGAAGGGCGGCGGGCAGGCAAAACGCATGAGCACCAGCAGTTAACATGGGTGCTGAAGGCTAGGTGTGTTCGTAGTTGTTGGGTTCAAACAACGTGACGCATTCATACATTCGCACATACCAGTACCGCCATTGGGTTCAGCCGCCAACACACTGGTAAGTGAGGCAAGGTATGCTTCTGTCTGTGTACGGCAACGCAGCGACTTCCGGTTCAGGACAGTGTACGGCAGTCACGCGCCCCCCCCCGCCTACCTGCAGTGTGGAGATGGAGAGGTCCCCCCGCTGCAGCGCCATCACGTCGCTGCGGTCCACGGGCAGGATGCGCCGCGTGTCGTACGCGTTGTTGTACAGGATGGGCTGTCCCGCAGCCAGCGCCTGGGGTGAGGGAGGGAGTGGAGGGAGGGAGGTAACGTGCAGTGGGAACATGAGACCGTAGGAGGGGTAAGAGGGCGGCGCTGTCGCGGCGAAGGCTTAGTCCGCGACCCTTGGTGGTAAAAACATGGAAGAGAGGGTGGGGTTGCCGCCTCCAAGTTCTCTTCGCTTAGCCATAGCGCCATCTCTCATCCAACCCTCTTTCCTCCTTCTTCCTAAGCTGCTGGGAACACCTGTCCTGTCGCTTCAACCCGCCCCTCCGCGCCCCACCTCCGCAATGTCCTCCACCACCGCGGAGGACTCCTGATCAGGCTCCGCGCAGCAGCCGTCGCCCCGGCTGATGCTGCCGCTGCAGCTCGCACCGCCGCCGTTGCTGCTGCAGCCCAAACTGTGTCCGTTACCGCTGCCGCCGGCTGCTGCGGTTACCGACAGGAACTGCCGCTCCTCCCTAGTCACCGCCGCTGCTGCTGTTGTTGCCGTCGCCACAGCTGACGCGGTGGCTGCTGACGCCCTGGCCCTGGCCGCTGCCAGTGCTGCGGGAGGCTTGTTGGGCACTCGCACCACGTAGGAGTCGCGGTAGAACATGAGACCCAGGCCTTGTGGGGGCAGGCAGCGGGAGGGACGGGCCGGGTGAACTAGGTGTGGCATGTGGCATGTGCTGGTGCTGCTGCGATGCGGGTGGGGCACGGGCAAGCCAGCCATCAGGCATGCCGCCTGTTACCACGCATGTCCCTTCCGTCTGCTGCCCTGCCTGCTGCCTGCCAAATCAGCTCCTCCCAACCTCGCTCCCCCCTGCTCCCTCCCTCCTCCTGCCCCCTCACCCGTGGTCTGCACGTTGCCCCGGCCCGGCTGCCAGTCCGCGGGCACGTTGAGGTTCAGGAAGACGTCGCCGTCGCGAAACGCCTCCACCAGCACCTCCTCCACGTCCATGGCCCACTGCTGCGGAGCCGACTCGTACTCGCACGTCGAAAGCGAGTGGCGCCGCCCGCCCGCGCCGATGCCGCCGGGGATGTGAGTGCGCGGCCAGTTACGAGCCGGCTGGCCGCCTAGCGCCGCCAGGGCTAGGGTGGTGAGCTTCTGCGGGCGGTTTGGGGGGACGGGGGGGCACGGGAGGGCGAGGGAGAGAGGGGGGCGGGAGATAAGAAGCTGCCCGGCGTGTATGTGGCACTACCAGCCCTCGGCATGCGTCTGTCATGCAGGCTCCGCTACACACCTCTGCCCGCCTTGGCAACACCCAGGCAAGATACAGCACGTGCCCTGTCCTCCTGTCCGGTCCTCATCGCTCCCCACCTCGCTAGCGCCTCCATCCCCGCACACCCCACTCACCGCGGTCGCCTCCACCGCATTATCCAGAGCCGAATCCTTGTCCATGCTGGTGCTGCTGGAGGCGAGGGCGGGCACGCCGTACAGGCCCGCCGTGCGAGCAGCGCCAACCGTACCGCTGCGGGCCGGCAGAGGCAGGAGAGCAGATGGGAGTGAGGGGAATGAGGAAGGTAACTTAGGCATTAACAGGTAATTATGGATGGAGGACGGGTAAGGTGAAGGGTCTTCGCGGACAGACATGAGGTTAACCTGAAAGTTGACGGCATGGCATAAAGATCTGCACCCTGCCTATTCGCCTTCCTGCTGCTACCTGTGAAAAGTCCGCCCCTCCATCACGCCGTGCTCATCCTACACGCGGCCCCAAAGCCAGGGCCGGGACCCATCCTCATCCAAACGACACAACCTCGCCTGTCCCTCTTGCTTCATTCGGTTTGGTTTCCCTCTGTCTTCCACTTGGCTTTCTTCATCTTGCTCCCCCACCTCACCTGAGCAGCACATCGGTCCCCATGTTGGGTCCGTAGTTGGGTCCCGACAGCGCCAGCAGGGGGTGCAGCTCCAGCGCGCGCAGGAGCCCCCGGGTGGCGTCCAGTGCCACCATCATGCAGTCGGTGGGGGTGCCTGCAGGGGGAGGGGGGCAGGAGGGAGGAGGGAGCGCGGGAAGGGAGCGGAGGTGAGGGGGTAAGGCAGGGGCGGAAGAGGAGGAGCAGGAGGAGGATATACAGAGCTAGCCCTCTTGCACACCATCCTGTTCTGCACTGTCGCTTGCCCCTCTTTGCCAGCCTCGTCCCTTTTCCGGTCAGCATCGCACAGCTGGCCGCCCCCTACCCTCCCGCCCTCCCCTTCTCACAAGGCGCCAGCTTCCCCAGCTGCACCCACCTGTCAGCGCGTACGTGTCGGGCCCCAGGTCGGACCGCACTCGCAACTCCATGTCCTGACGCAGCGTTAGGCCCATGCTGCCGCCACCAGCCGGGTGGGGGTGAGATGGAGTTGCAGGGCCACGGGAAGGAAAAGGAGTAGATTGGTAATCGGCAGGCGTGCTGAATACGAAAGGAAGCAGGGCAAACAGGAGGAGGCTGGCAGCAAATGGAAAAAGGCGGATGCAAGGAGAGAGGCGCTGTGAGGGGAATGCCCGGTTCCTTTTTGCTGACCCCGGGGTCTGACCCCGATCGCCGAAAGAAGTTAAGACTCAGTCGCTGCCAGGACTAACAGCAGGTTGGCCTAAGATCGCTGCATGCCGGAAAAAATGGGGCAGGCTAGAGCCCTGCCTACCTACCGTGATATGCCGCCGTGGCCGCCCCAGCTTACCTCGCTGCGCTCTTGTTGCGCGCCGGCGCAACAACCACGACTCTGTGCCCTGTATCCTGGCGTAGCCTGCTTGCCAGAGACTGAAGAGCAACGCTTTCAACACCATCATCTACAATCATAAGGGTTCGGAGGTTAAACTTGCACGGGTCAGATTTCCCTTGCTTGCAAACATTGATTACCGTTACTAAGCACCAAGCAGGGCTGTGTCGCCTGCGCTTTTATAGCTAATGAGCGCGAGCGCGATAAAGAGAGGCATTGCCGCCCATGACGCTGTATGATTGCAGCTATAGATTGTCCCTTCATAGCAAATCTGTGCATACTCGCTAAGTCAACAGAGGCAAAGGTCACATGCAAAGCGCCATGCAAGCAACGGAAATGGCGACGCTAATATGACAACGCGTATACTCTAATGTTCTACCTTTGCAGCTTTCCTCTTCAAAGTATGAAGGAGGATTAGTAAACGTTCAGGTTTGGCAGAGGGTCCGATGTTGTACGACTATGTTGTCATGCGGGACGGAAACATGCCTATGGCGCGAACATACAGCTCAGCGCGGGACAGATAGCTATACGATTCCCCACCAGAACCGCTCCTTCTCGGTTGGGAGCGCTTGGTCGCCGATCCGCTATGATTGCACCTCTTGTTTACCCCCTTCACACTTCAGGATCACAACGCAGTGGAGTCTCCCTTAGACCTAAATAGATAACACCATCCACGGTGACGCTAGTGTGCTGAATGCAAACTCCCTAGTATGCGCTACCCGCTATGATGGCGTGGCCACCTGACCCCGGGGTGCATATACTGGTAGTACGACACTGCCACTGAAGCAAACGGGTGAATGGATTGCGTTCTCCATATGGGAGAAAGTAACAACCGGGACATTTTACATTCCATAGTTCGCCTTCACAAGGCAAAACACATGGCGCGTGTGCCCTTGGCCGATAAACGCCCCCTTCTCAAGTGGGCAGACATCATCCTCCGTCCTCCCAAGGCAGGCGAGATGTTATAACCTCGTTATACAGCCGCCAAGGGTTGGCACTAGAAAGACATCTAGAATATCATCTATATCGTCACAGCTACGACAATGTTTGACCACATGGCTATAGCCGCCAGTGGCCAAGACCGCTCTCCTGACGAGTTCAGCCAGGATTCACGAGCTCACTTGAGGTCAAAACACATTCGAATGGTTTTCCTGAGACCGTATGCCGAGAGCCGACAGCCTTCACCCTTTTTGAACGACTTGCAAACGAGCAACGGTTTAACGCGAGACATTTGCATGGCCAGGGTATGTCAAGGCCTGTAAAACACCAGCATGCTCAGGTGGTAGTTAGACAGGTAAAATGGAAGCTGTCAACATGGCAATGCAGCCACTATACTGGCATTGCCTCCGAGTTACCTCGACATCCGGTAAAGCTACACATAACCGCGAATACATAGCGAGCGGAAGAAACCAAACCACCGCCATCCCAAAGCATGCAAATCACTGAATCCCTGAATCCGATCACTAATTCGGATCAATGAACACAATTGCAACATATGGCACACGCAACGAACGCATACATACGAAATAAGCCGGAGGCATGATCACATGAGCACAGCCTGTAGAGTGCAACTGAGCAGGTTTGATGCTCGCTGGGAGTAGTGGACAACTGTTAGGTCGCAGGTTCCAGTTAGCAAACACACAGCCGACCAAGCCGCAAGGCTCTGTTTCATGAACACACCAAAAAAGCGCGACACAAGGTGGAACCGCGGTCGCAACATTAAAAGGAGAAGAGCACTTCCACATGCGCCTTTATGTATGTGGGTTTGTGCACACGCAGAAAGCACTCCATCCCCATCACATGGGCAACACATGCCCTTCATCCACTCCTTCCCTTCGACCCCTTACTTCTTCTCAATCTGCTGCGCGGCCGCCGCCTTGGTCACTGCGTCAATCTTCTTCTGGAACTTCTTGCCCAGACCGCCGAACGCCATCGAGTAGGTGGTCGCCATGAAGAACGCACCGCCCACAATGTTGCCGGCAGTCACGGGCAGCAGGTTGTTGAACACAAACTGGTCCCAAGTGATGGGGGCGCCCAGGGCCATGCCCATGGGGATGAAGAACATGTTGGCCACCGAGTGCTCACCACCCATGAGGATGAAACCCATAATCGGGGGCCACATGCCCATGATGCGGCCGGCGAGGGTGTTGGAGCACATGGCAACCCACACGGCGGCGCACACCATCCAGTTGCAGATAATGCCACGGGTGAAGGCCTGCGAGAGGCGAGAAGAGAGGGTTCAGTCATGCGTCCAAAAGGGGCGCTAACTTGAGGATGGACACGCAGGCAGGCTGCAGGAATAGCTACTGTCAATGCCGTTGAAAGTGCATTGCACATTAAAGGTTTGTGAGTCAATAGTTTCTGCCCAAAGCCTCTCACCTCCATGAGCGGCAGGCCGCACTTGAACGTCGCCAGGGTGGCGGGCATGGCGTTGTACGCCAGCACGCCGCTAGCCGACAGCAGCGCCACCACAAACAGACTGCCCGCCAGGTTGCCGGCGTACGACAGAGTCCAGTTCTTAATCAGGTGGTTGATCTTGGCCTTGCCCTCGTAGATGGCGGCCGTCATATAGGCGGTGTTGCCGGTGAAGAGCTCAGAACCGCACATCATCACCAGCAGCAGACCCAGAGGGAAGACACCGGCAAACATGAGCTTCTGCACGCCGGGGTTGGCGGCGGCGATGGCTGGGATCTGGCCGGCCACCTGGCAAGCGAAGGTACCGCCGAAGGAGACGTAGAAGCCGGCCGCGCAGCCCAGGATGAAGGTCTTCCAAGCGGGGGCATCGACCTTGTAAGCGCCGATGTTAACAATGGCATCGTAGACCTGGGCGGGATTCAGGGTGGCCGGGGGCGCGCTAACAATCTCCACCTTGGTGTTGACGGGGGCTGGGGGCGCGGCCTCCTTGGCAGCAGCGGGAACGGGGGCGCCTGCGGGACGGAAGGCGAGTGGAAACAGATGGGACGAGCTAAAAATGTTGGACATCGAAAGTGAAAACAGAGGAGAACGATCGTGCTTGGGGAGGATGCAGTGAGTGGAGATGTGGGCGTCCGTCCAGGGAATGGACGGCAGGAGACTGGATGCACTCATTTGCTTCTACGCCCGTGCATGTTTGGGAATACAACGTGCTCGACATGGAGAAATTACTAAGCGTTCCTCTCAATCCTTTGTAGGTTCACCGGTGCACAGGCACGCTTGCGAAAATGAACCGATACTTGCATTTAATAAGCGGCATCATGCTCAATGACTTTCGTATTGTTTCCTGGTGACTTACTGAATTGACGGGTCTGCATGTCGAAAGGAGACGTGGAGGGCTTGGCAGCAGAGGTCAGACCGAACGGGGCGAACTGCGAGTATCGAAAAAGCACTAGCATTAATAAAGAGGTAGTTTGACATGCGAACCTTTGGTCCTCTGGGTTAAGGTGTTAGTGACGTGTCAAGTGCAGCCACAAGCGTAGCAGCAGGAGGCAAGTATCTTACCGTGCGAGACTGCAGGGTCTGCTCAATGGTCGCACGCGTCTGGGCTGGGGACTGCGACTCCTGCGTGCGTTAAGCCGTCACTATTAAGTTTCGAAAAGCTGGCGCGTTTTCCGACAGAGACGCTAGCGGCTACCTGCTCCTCCTCGCGTCCAGAAAGGGCCTTGCCCGCAAGGAACTGGTCATTCTGAGGCTGGGCAGAGAAGAAGCGCTTCGAAGACAGCAAGCATGCCAGCTTGCTGGAGCGCTGCCTCAGGGGAGCAAGCATTGGAGCGGCCATTTTTGACTATGGTTGTGTGCTGCCTCAAGTATTGCAACAAACAACATAAGTAAAAATTTTTATGGAGCCAGCTCCGTTTTAGCCAATGTCAGAGTCGTAATCCCGTGCGGTATTACTCATACCCTTTACACGTGGTAGCCGTCAGACTTTCTTGTTTTGGGCTGCCCCAATCAACTGAACATGGCTTTTACTATTTGTAGAGGGTGATTTGGGGTATGTGTGGTGCACTGCTGGACATTGCCAAAACGTAATACCGCCATGTCATAACTATACAGGCCGTTGTAGGATACATACAAAGGTACTCAGCCTGCGCATTAGGCATGCATCCTTTTGCCGCCAAGTTCTCTCCTGCGCTAACTCAGGGGTTAACTAGTGGTTAAAGTGCTTGGCATTCTGCTCTGTCTTATGGGAATGCAGGCCCGGCGCGCAGTAGGAGAGCATCAATTGCACTTATCAACATTGTTGTTTTGTCTACATTTGTACGCGTGTTTGCAAGTGGCAAGCATTAATAACTCGCTCTTAGCCAAACGCGCCTTTACAGCAGTATACTTATCATGACTCTTTCATGTCATTACCTGATGAAATATCTGATGTTTTGGATACAGGAATTGCTTGTTTGTGGGATCTGCCGGCAGCATGCAGCATTGCCGACATTACGCAGCTAGTAAGCGTTCTCCCCGCAGCAACGCCGACATTCCTAGCCAAGTACACTTTATGCTACGTACTCAATCTCGGAATCTATTGGCATAACACTGGCCATCGACACACACAGCAACCACTTCTTCTGGCCCATGGGTCTCACGGAATCCTACGAGCGAGTACCGGTAGTCCATTGGGACCTAAGCAGCGAACTTGTCTCATTATTTCAGGTTGTTGTAGCGGTCGCTAACCCTTGCATAGCTTCTGCTCCTCCTACACCGTACCAACTGTCAAGGCCCATGCATATACCAGCTAATTTTGGCATTATTGGCAACTGTCTCCAACGTTGAAGCACGTTAAGGACCTGACGGCACGGTCCATACGATGCATAGTGCAGCTTCCGAGCTATTCCCGCCTACATCGACGCCCTAGAAGACTCCAATACGACGCTTCACAATTCCAATGCATGGCGTCCTGCCAACATGCCTATAAGAGTTAATCACAGCACACCTGATCTCATGCGGATTGGCCCCTGTGTCCAACTGCTTTGCCGCAAACCCCCAGTGCTCCTTATGTGAGTCGCGACTACCCGCAGTAGTGCTAAATCTGCTGATGCTGCGCGTGCGGGTCCAGGTGGCTATGACTGTGCTGCAACATCTGCTGCTGGTGCCGGTGCTGTGCCGCCAGGCGGCGGCGAGCCATCTGGCGCAGGGTACCCAGGTCGTCTGGCAGGCTGTGGTAGAGCTGCTTGAGCGCGGTGCTGCCCTCCTGCAAGCGGCGGGACGGGGCATGGGAACTTGAGACAGCATGGAGGGGCGCGGCGGGGCGCTGGGATGCATGGCGGTCTGGACGGCACAGAGGAGTTGTGGCGTGGGTTACCAGCAGGTCAGCAGTCTCCTGACATCACCCCAACATCGTTACTTGACGCAAACGGCGCCATGTTGTCAGAGACCACGCACTACTACATGCGCAAGACCCCGTTCAAAAGCTACTCTGTAGAGTCTGTACCCAGCCTGCACGCGCACCTTGAGCTTCCTGTCCACGCTGCCGTCCGGCTCCCAGGCGTACAACCCGAACTTCATCGTGTAGCCGGTGGCCCACTCCAGTGCATCCACAAGGGTCCTGCGCATGTAGGAGCAGGGGAAAGGGGCACATCTTAACGGACCATTCGCGAGCATCACCGTCGTCGTTTGATCGACACATCCTGCACAAGCGTATCCTATTCTCACAAGGATATACGGCACCCATGCAGCAATCCCCACTGCAACGCGCGTTCGTCCACAGGCCCATCCGCATGCCCCCACTTGCACGCCCCCGCAACGCACCAGTAGTAGACGCCGCGCACATCGTAGCCCTCAGCCACCGCATGGAGCACCTGCGCCGCCATGTGAGGTGCTACGTCACACGAGGCGACATGCTGGCACTCACTTGACCTCACTTGACTTCACTGCTGGCATGCGGGCAGGCATGCAAGGACACAACCACAATGCAAGTGGCATGCCCGCAGGTTGTCCAGCCAAACAGGAACCGCCAGGCACACTCTGTAGACCCCTGCCCCACACCCGTGCCCCAAGCGCACGGCTGCACACCCCGCATCCCGCATCCCGCACCTGCTGAAGGTAGGACTCGATCATGATGGCGCGCCGGTCGTCCCGCGCATCCGCGATGCCGGTCTCCGTGATGTACATGGGGATGCCGAACTGGGAGCACCTGGTGGGGGTCAAAATAGACCAAACCATTGCAGGAGGAGGAGAGGGGGAAGGGCGGTGTGCATGGGAGGTTAAGGACGTCTCCATGAGGCTAGTCAGGAGGCCCTACGGGACCATAGCTCCAGGTGAGGCCATACATGCGTGCATGCACAGCCCGAAGACAAACAGCAAAGACAGACGAAGTCAGCCAACGGGTAGCTGCGATACTCCAGCCCACCTCTTGACCGCCTCGTACATCCCCTCCGGATACACCGGATAGTACATGTCCGTCATGACCTCCTGCTGCCGGTTCGTGGGTGTGAGGCACCAGCTCACCACACCGCGCGAGTAGTAGTTGATGCCCCACCAGTCGCACGGCGGCCGGCCGTCCGGGTCCTTCCACCGCTGCCACACGCCCAGCAGCGGAACCCTCCAGATGAACTCCCCCGTCAGCATCCAGTGCTCCATCACGTTGCAACCCACCCAGTACGTCAGCCAGTCCGCAACCACCCTGAGGTGCCGTACAGCAGGATTGAAAAAAAGTCATAAAAAAGTCATACGGCGCTTTAACATATTTGCAATTACGCCTCGGCTGCTTGCATGAGGCGGCAACAAATGAATTCCCCCGGTACTTGCTGATGTAGTTGGGGTCGGTTGAGTCTTCATGTGATTAACACTCACTGCTGCACGCCTCTTGCGCCTCACCATGACCTCCTGCGCCCTGCCCGCCGAGCCTACCCGCACCCAACCCATCCACAACTTCCCACACTTACTTGGCCACAGCAAACAGCAGCCCCGAGCTCTGCGGTTCGAAGGTGATGTGGTGGTTCACCAGCCCCACCTGCGCCTCCGCGCCCCCCGGCATGGCCTTGATGGCCCGGTAGGCCGCCACATGCGCCTTCAGCATGGTGCTCAGCATGCGGCCCGCACCCACAAGGTCCATGAAATGGCCCGGGGGCGAGATGCCGATGATCCAGCCCAGGAAGAGGTAGCTCTGCGGGGCAGGGGCGGGCAGGGCTGTGTTGTCAGGGCGCGGAACTTCACGGGAGGCGCGGACTGAGGGCTGTCCAGGCAAGCCTTAAGAGAAGACTAAAGGAGGGCTCTCGTCAGATCTCGTCCTGCCTTCCAAGGGCCACGTGGGGTGGTTTCCGCAGCGCACGGCGTACGGCATTCGCCAATCGCGCCCACCGTAGGTTCGTTTATCGTGGCCCACAGCCGGATCTTGGATCCGAACCACTCGAAGCAGCGCTTGCTGTACTCGACGAACGCGGGAATGTTCTCCTCGCGCGTGAAGCCGCCCGCGTCCTCGAACCAGGTGGGGTGCACGAAGTGCCACAGCGTGGCGTTGGGCTCCAGGCCGTGGGCGGCCATGCAGTCGAGCATCTGGTGGTACCTGCGGCAGGACAGGGGCGGGAGGCGCAGGTGGGGGGCGCGCGCACAGGCGTGCAAAGGGGTTGCCAGCTTCTGGCTGTGCTGCGGCAGGCCGGCAGCAGCACACTTTACCCGCTTTCTTCCTTCAACAGTGCTGCCGCTCCTCCCGCCATCCCCTGTCACGACTCCCTTCTACTGTGAATCCACCCCTGCCGCACCTGCGCACCGCCTCCATGTCTATCACGCCCCGCTCCGGCTCGATACGCGCCCACTCGATGGAGAAGCGGAAGGTGGTGCTGCCCAGCTCCGCAGCCAGCCGGATGTCCTGCTCGTACCTGGCAGGGGGCGGGGGAGGAACAGGCGTGTGAGGACGTGTGGACGAGGGTTTCGTGCGGGCGGCAGCCCGTACTGGGCTGTGGAGGTGAAGGGCTGAAGTGTACCGGTAATGCCGTCCTTAGGGACGAATGGCTTGATATGCGCACTTGGACCAGGATGGTAGCTCAATGTAAGAGGAAGAATATACAACAGCCAACAGGAAATGGTCAGAAGCGAAATGGGTTTATCGCGTTGGAACGTCGCATCGGAGAAGGAAGCCAGACGGTCGCGACCGGTAAGTAAGCAGCCCAACCCCATCATAAACAATACGCCCTCAGCAGCAGCCCCGCAACGCGACTAAGCGCGCTCTCGCCTGTCCCAGAAGCCATTTGGAGTGTCGATGCTATACTTGCCGCGAACGGCCCGGATTCCGAAATGGCGCAACGGCCAGCGGCCCTGCGCGAATCGCGTCCAGTTGGAGCCCTTGTCGCCCGAGCACTGCCACACTGACAGGCCTACGCCCTTTAGGAAGCATGAGCGCAGGTCGGGTTTGGTGACGCCGTTAATGCTGGGCGGCGTGAGGACGAAGCCATTCAGACCGTCGTGTCCCTTGACTAGTATCTTTTCGGGGACGCTTGCAATGACGGCCGGCATTTCTTGTTGATGAAGAGCACTAAATTGGTTATGAGGTTGGGCAATTGCGTGCAGCGGCGTGCGCGCGACTGCTATACGCGAGCGAACGAAGCCGGATGCGCTAGCAGTTGGCCTGAAGGTTACAGCTGGCATCGTATACTGACATCCACATAGCACATTAATACGTGCTTCAATCCGGGTGTAAGTTAATGAAGCTTAAGAATACGGCGAAAACCCGTTCTTGACGCGTTGTTTGACCGCCCGCGTTGTCCCTTGGTACGGTGTAGGACCCCTGGGTCACCGCTTCCTGATGCCACTGGCGCTGGACCTGAGAGTAAAGCGGTAACGTAAGTTGCGTGAACAATGAACAATAATTAATGCAGACAAAGCGAAGAGCATTGGTCCAAGCCGCCATCGTATGATGGCAAAGTACAGCACTTACGACAATGCGATGTTGTATTACGCCATTCCAACGGTATGAGGCTTCCATTATAATGATCTTAGGACCATCTGTTACGGTCCGTTATCTTTGTCCCATACACAAATAGACTTTGCCTTGTGTAGGTGCCTGCATCAGCTAGATATTTTGTACCTGGAGAGCCCAGCAGCACTGTGCGCCGTAGTAAACGTTATATATCCTGATAGCACCGTGCCACTGCTTGGCATTTAGCATATGCGCTCTTGAGCGGAAATTTGATACGTAATAGGACAGGACAGCCATGAACGGTGTTGGCCACCAGAATGGGCCAGTTGCCAATCAAGAAAAGGAGCCCATACGCTTTCTGAAAGGTGCCGCGATCAGCGTCTGGCAGAACTCAGGCGATGGCGGTTCAAACTGGACACGCTTTGCGAAGAGCCTCTGGCCTTTCCGCTACCTTGGTGTAAGCGCTATTCGTGGGAAGTACAACATCGACAAATGCAGCGACTTTTGGAACAAGTGAGAGCACCAGAAAAGTTGCAAGCGTTACGGGGTTGGTTAGCTCCTAGCGTGGTGAAATCTTAAGCCTGTTGGGAGGGCTTAGGAGCCCTCCGCCTTGGCGCACCGGCCTTCGGTTTAAGGGAATAACTTTGGTTCCCCGTCGTAAAGCAGCAGGCTGCCTTCAACGCTTCATGCCATCCCAACTGTCAATTCGCGCGTGCCTCTTCGCTGGCTTTGATCCGTTACTCAGGGCTGTTATTGTTTTGCCTATCCGCGTTTCTAACCGCCTGATTGTACCTGTCATGGTCCCATCCCCAACTACCTTCGCCACCGACAGCTATGAGAAGGACATCAAGCTCGCAGCCGCCATCGGCAGCACCACCTTCCGCTTCTCCATCGAGTGGGCGCGTATCGAGCCGGAGCGGGGCGTGATAGACATGGAGGCGGTGCGCAGGTGCGGCAGGGGTGGGACCGCAGTAGAAGGGACTTACGACAGAGAATGGCAGGAGGAGCGGGGCGCTGGGGAAAGAAGCAAGCGAGCCGACCATGCTGTTGTCCAGCACAGCCGGTAGCTGGCAACGCCTGTGCGCGCGCGTTCCACCTGCGCCTCCCGCCCCTGTCCTGCCGCAGGTACCACCAGATGCTCGACTGCATGGCCGCCCACGGCCTGGAGCCCAACGCCACGCTGTGGCACTTCGTGCACCCCACCTGGTTCGAGGACGCGGGCGGCTTCACGCGCGAGGAAAACATTCCCGCGTTCGTCGAGTACAGCAAGCGCTGCTTCGAGTGGTTCGGATCCAAGATCCGGCTGTGGGCCACCTTCAACGAGCCCACGGTAAGGCTTGCTGGGGCCCCCAAGCCAGCCGCACAACTGCCGTGTTAGCCGGCAGTCGCCGCGTGCGGGGAACTTGTAACCGCCGCGACGGGCAAGCCTGCTTTGCTAGGCTGTTACGGTGCAACCCAGCCCGCTTGACTACCCCTCGACCGCACCCCTAGCACTTGCCCAAACCTCCTCTTACACCACCCTTCCACTCCCACCACCCTCCCTGCTGCTCCCCACAGTGCTACATGTTCCTGGGCTGGGTGGTGGGCATCGCCCCCCCGGGTCGCATCTTTGACCTTGTGGGTGCGGGCCGCATGCTGAGCACCATGCTGAAGGCGCATGTGGCGGCCTACCGGGCCATCAAGGCCATGCCGGGGGGCGCGGAGGCGCAGGTGGGGCTGGTGAGCCACCACATCACCTTTGAGGCGCAGGGCAACGGACTGCTGCACGGCGTGGCCAAGTGAGTGATGGCTGGCCTCCCTGGAGGGCGTGGGAGGTGTGGGAAGGATGGCCCGGAGGAGGGAAGCAAGTAAAGGACAAGGAAAGGGCCGCCTATGCCCGCTCAGTTAACCTGTCAAGACTAGGGACAAGATGGCGCGTGTGCAACTGCCCTTCCCTAGCTGCGGACGGAGCGCACCTCCTCCTTCGCCGTTTCGAGCCTTCTCCATGCGCTAACTGCCAGCTGTCCACTTGGCATCTTGCGCCATAACCTTCCATAACCCCTTTCCTACCTCCCTTCTTGCACTACCCGCCAGGCTGGTGTCGGACTGGATGACCTACTGGTGGGGCTGGGACGTGGTGGAGCACTGGATGCTGACGGGCGAGTTCGTGTGGAAGCTGCCCGTGATGGGCGTGTGGCAGCGCTGGAAGGACCCGGACGGCCGGCCGCCGTGCGACTGGTGGGGCATCAACTACTACTCGCGCGGCATCTTCTCCTGGTACCTGCAGCCCGCCTGCCGCGAGGAGGAGGTGATGACGGACATGTACTACCCCATCTACCCGGAGGGAATGTACCGAGCCATCAAGAGGTGGGAGAGCGGATGAGTCAGCTCGAGTAGGGTGGCGTGGGGTGGCAGCCGGTAGGGTTGGCCGGCATGCAGCAGCTGCCCCTTACCTTCATGTAGCCTCTGGCGCTGCATGCTTGGCCATGCTAAGCTATGCCACGGGTGGCCGCCTTAGCATACTCATGCTGGCCTTCGCCTCCAATAGGGCCCCCCATGACGCCCTTCACCTCCCATGCACACCTCCGTTCCCCTTCTCCCTCCTCCTGCCACCCCCCCCCAGGTGCTCCGAGTTCGGCATCCCCATGTACATCACCGAGACCGGCATCGCGGACGCGCGGGACGACCGGCGCGCGATCATGATTGACGCGTACTTCAAAGAGGTGGGCGGGGCAGGAGGGAAGAGGGGGATGGGGTGGAATGGAGGAGCGAGACGGGTCAGGAGGCGCTGACAGGATGTGACGGCAGCCTTTGAATAGCTCCTAAACTGCCGAGTGTGGCAGTATTGTGGGCGGCGGGTGCACGATGCTGTGGTACCTGCTAACGTCCAGCCCGGGTGGCCCCCGCAGGTGCTGCGCGCGGTGGCAGATGGCCACGACGTACGCGGCTTCTACTACTGGTGCGTTGCTGGGTGGGGTGGGGTCCGCTGGGGTACCAGCCGTCCGAGGGGTTGAACGCCGTGAGCTGGAGTATGAAGGCCGGGCTGAGGCGCCTGCCTGCATGTTTGTGACCTTGTATGCGCCATGCAGCTGGGTGAATAGGGGCTCCCGAAAAGGGGCGCATGTTTCCGTGCAGCGCAAGCGCACGCACTGCTAGAAACCAGCTGGGTTTACCTCTGCCGCCCATCGCCGCACGCGCGCAGGACGCTGGTCGACAACCTGGAGTGGGCCACCGGCTACACGATGAAGTTCGGGTTGTACGCCTGGGAGCCGGACGGCAGCGTGGACAGGAAGCTCAAGGTGCGCATGCAGGGAGGCTATGGGGCTTGCGATTTGCGACCCCGCATGAGCGAAGGAGGGGCCCCCAAACGTGGAGGCATGCCAATTTTTATGCATCTTCGGAAAGCCCCCTAACGGCACCGCCTGTTTCCTATCACGTCACTGCTGCTCTTTCCAACGCCTCGTTTCCATTCCCTTTCCAACCTCTCACTCGCCCCCTCTGCAGGAGGGCAGCAAGGTGCTGATCCGCTACTTCCGCACGCTGCCTGACGACCTGGCCGGGGTGCGGGAGGCGGCGCGGCGGGCACAGGCGGTGCTGGGGGCGGACATGGGGGTGGAGGCGGAGCTGGAGGAGGAGGGCTTTGTGCGCATGGGGCCGGAGGGGAAGGAGGTGATCAACGAGAAGGGGGAGAAGGTGGGCAGGAAGGGGGTGGGCATGGTGGCTATTGGGTGAGGGGCTGCTGCTGGGGAGCTGGGAGGTGGGCGTGGGAGTGGGGGCAAGGGCGGGGAGGCAGTGGGAGATGTGCGGGAGCGATATGCAGGGATGGGATAGTACCATGGGGGATGAAGGTGGACCGTCTAGGGTCCGTGGGTGTAGTGGCTGCCGTAGCGTCCTGGGGTGTAACTTCACGGACCGTAGACAGGGACGGGCTTGGCTGTCAACGCAGAGAAAGGAGGGATGGAAGGAGCTGTGCTGGTCGGTGAAAGACGTGAAGCGCACGGAGTGATTCAGGTGACAAGTGGGCTGCGCTGTGCAGCAGCAGGAGAGACTGCCCAGCTAGCCATGAAAGCGAGGCGGGCGAAGGACAGTTCACGCCCAAATGCAGGTCGTAGCTTACTGAAAGGCCGTGCGTTTGCATGGTGGCAGGATATGTCTGTGTCGCTAGCAGGACGGTATTGGGTCCTGGGCGACGCCAGTGCTGATGGGGAATGAGAACGTATCGTGCCGACGGCAGATGTGTAGTAAAGGTGGGAGATGTGAGCCAAGAGTTTTGGGCCCGGAGAGAAAATGGCTTTGTGGAATGGAACGAACTGATGTTGTATGGTATGATCTTACCTTCAGGCACTGCTCCGGCCGTACATTTGAACTATAATCGGTTCATTGTAGGCATTGCGTCTCTGCTGCAGCGACCATGATGTGCCCAGTTGAACTATGCAGGATGTGGTTAGCAGACCTTGGTTCTTCCTTTCGGCGATGATGGAATGTCGAATGGGGCAGGGGTACAAGATGTGAAGAACGCTAAGGATGCGTGCTATGCGATATTACAAGACTCGGGGCACTTTGGCTAAGGCCGTCCATGCCCCTGCTCTCTTAAAGGCAGGCCGTAATGGCTAGTTCAAGGGTCTCCCTGTACACTGCCATGTGTATTCCTGCAAGACGTAATGTACACCCACTGCAGTAGTGTATAATACAGGCCCCTGATGCCAATGTTGAAAGGGCGATGCAATCCATGGTGACGCATCCAACACCAATCAACTCGGTGCCACGGCTTATTCGGCGCCTTACTGCCCAAAAGCCAACACAGGACAGCACCCCAGCCATGTGCACCTACATGGCGCGCAAGCACCGGCTTTTCACTGACGCTCTTCATCCACTCCTTTTGCATTCCATTGTCTTTAATACGGTACCATGCATCTCCCATGCATGCATCAACCGCAAACCTTATTCCACGTTGAGCATTCATCCTCCCCCCACCGCCCCCTGCCCCCAGCCACCCCCTTCCCCCTACAGCTTCCCCTTGCACCCCTCACCCCTCAGCTTCGCACACCCACTCGCCCCGCTACACCCCCCACCGCCGCTCCCCCCGCACGCTCCTCCAGTCCACCCGGGCGCCTTCACCTGCACCGGCAGCCCCTCCCGCACCCACGCCCGCATCCCGCCCGCCATGTTCGTCACGTTGCTGAACCCAAACACCTTTGTCAGCCGCACCGTCGCCTGTCCCGACCTCATTCCCGAGGCGCACACCACCGCCACCGGCCGCTCGCGGAATGCTTCCAGGCTGCCCGCCCGCACCGCCGCCGACAGGTCCGGGTCGAGTGGCAGGTTGAGTGCGCCGCCGATCATGCCGCCCGCCGCCACCTCCTCGCGGCTGCGCACGTCGAGGAGCAGGGAGATCTGGCCGGTGGCTAGTCGCTCAGCTAGCTCGGTGGGGGAGATCTCCTGTGCGGCATGTAGGGTGGAGAGGGCGGGCGGGAGGCACAGTGTGTGTGTTAAGAAAACTGGCCGCGAGTAAGAACGTACAGTGTGTGTGTGTGTGGAAAGTGGCGTGGAATGGGGTGCTGTGCCGGACGCATGCTGGTATATACCAACAGGCTTGCTGACAGGCCGTACGAAGCAGGGCGTGTTACGCAACACTCGTCACGCTCAGGGAGCTCTACACTCTGCTCGCAGGCAACCCCAGCACTGGCTCCTGCATGCCAATCCCAAGAAGCCTGGTTCCAGCCTGCATCCCTGAGCCCGACATGGGCCTCTGCGCCACTGCCCCAGCCTCACCTGGAAGCCAGCCTCGGGTGAGTAGGCGTTGGGAATGGCGCCAGCGGGCAGCTGCCCCCGACCCGCAGCCTCGCCCTGCTCCTCCTCGTCATCGTCATCCAATTGGGGCATTACGGCAGCTAGCGCCCGGCTGGCTCCCGGCCGCGCTCCTTGCAGCAGGGCCGCGGACTCGGGAGACAGGGCTGGGGTGCTGGGGTCATCTGACTCGGAACCGGCCCGGTAGTCAATCCAGGACTGGGTTCAAAAGAGGAGGGAAAGTAAAGGGGACGATATCGTGGTGGTCGTTTACTGTGGTTTAGGTTGTCGGTGTGAGTTGACATGGGGAAGCGCACCTAGGTGGTCCGCACTGCGCTAAGTGTGTCAACACGTATGATGGAAACTTGGTAGGGTTGCGCAGCATTGAAGTGTGCGGGAGAAAGACGCGAGGACGCCGATGTACTTGCATGTACTTCTTTGGTAGGGTTGTCCGCCAGGATCGGGGCCGCTAAAGGGAACATTACCATCATACGAATATGCCTCACCGGTTCGTTCTCCAAGCCTTGAGGGCCGCTAGCAGAATCCTCCCAGGCATTGGAGGTTGGGACCTCGGCTTGCACTGTGTCGTCTTCGTCGTCGCTGTCACCCCACACTAGCAAGTGCGACTCTCTCAACGGGTTGAATTCTGTAAGGATGGCATTCACGTCCAGGAAGCGTTCGGGTGCTTTCTCGGCACCGGAAGCAGAATTGGCAGGCCCGACGACCTCCGCGACCTCCACTACAGAAGCTGCGCCGTGCTTGTGTTTGCTTCCCTGGTAGTGAATTGCTAGACAGGGCGCTCGTGCGTACCCTCGGGCAACATCTAAACTGACGCTCCTGCTTGCCCATGGACACTGACGATGGGCGTTACCCAACACAGATGGTCCGTGCAGACAGATAGAAGTGAGTGACATGGTGCAGTTGTGCTATGCCTCGTGACTGGCAGTTTCCGAAATCTACTTGATGAGGGCGATTGTACGGTTGTAGGGCCCAAGAAAGCTTCAAAGACTGCCGCAGTGCCCAACGCCATTTAACAGTAAGGGCGAGCACTCATCCTAACGCATGCCTACCTTTGAAGTCCATCTATCTGACCATCTGTATGTATGTATGTTACAAGCTTCGTACCGAGCTCGTAAGATCCGTCCGAGCCAGAAGGCTCATGGATCGCGAGCACAAAACGCGAAAACAACCAAAAGAAGAAAAGTAAACAAAAGAGACAACAAACAGAACGCTAATCATATGATAAACCCTGTCTGCGCAATCCTGCGACTTCGCATGCTAGTGATTACGCTAGCAAGCAATGCCTGATTCTCCATGCCCATGACAGCAATCATATCAGCATCCCGTGGGACACCACTTTCCCATATCTTATCACGCAAATCATCGTAAGCGGGACATTCAATGAGGATGTGTTTCTCATCTTCCACTCTCCCCGGCGACCCCTGCACGGCACACATAGGACAGACACGCGCTACTCGTTGCCTACCCCTAGGGCGATTGGCTTCAATGCCCCACACACACAGCCGAAAACGCATCAGGTTCACATGCTGCCGCTGAGTAATGTACCCCCTGTCAACCGGGTCACCCATCCAATTTTTGTACCTGCACATCTTAACTCCAACCCCTGGTACGGGGTCTACTGGGTTGAAAAGCCGCGGGTCATCTTCCAAACTCCTATCCTCCCAATCCGCATCCATTCTATCAGCAAACTTTTTAGTGAGAGCAGACACATTTAGCTCCGTGCCAGCAATACGTTCCACACGCGCATTCAAGTCCAATTCACCCCCCAAGGCCGTCAAATCCGTCCCTAGCATTTTCAGAATCTTCAGCACCTTAGAACCCCAGCCATCATAATGCTCAGTACTGAGAGCCGAACGAATTTCACCTCGCAACGTCTGGTGGTAGACCGTGTCCTTCTGCTTGACCAGGTCATTCCAAAACCTCAGAAACAGTTCCAGCCAGAAGACATGCAAGGGACGCTGGTTAAACTCCTTAAACAGCAACTTATCAGGCGAGACTTTCACACCCGCAATCTCCCGAAGAAATTCCCTTTGTAACTGCACCATTGGGTCCCGCAAGGATCTGTCAAAGTACCTCGCGGAATTCTCGCAGTCCGTCATTAGCTTCAGCACCACATCAGGCCCCCACACCTGGACACCGTACGACAAGATGGAGCGGACTTGCACGTCGAAGCACTTAACTGCAACAGCAGGGACCAAAAGACCTAGGCGTTTTAATTTACGCTGAAGAGAAAACATAGCACGTCGGCCAGAGGTCAACAGTTCCTCTGTGCAGGAAACAAACGGTGTGCCAGGACCAAAGTGCAAACCAAGGTAACGGGCTCGTTGTACCCAAGGAATAACCATAGGTACTCGCGCATTTCCCTCAATAGAAGTCCACACCACGGGGCAAAGGGCAGCAAAAGCCTCGCGGATATTGGCACGAGGGTGGAAAACCATCAATTCACATTTACGAACATTCACCCGCATCCCAAAGGCCTCACACCACTCTCTCAAATCAGCAAGCAACACAATCAGCCGTCTGTGCGTCGTAGCGAAAAGGCTGAGGTCGTCGGCATACAGTTCCAACGGGATACGCCGGCCATCCGCATGGGGAGTCTGCTGCTTAGCGCGCATAGCATCAGGGAGCCACTTATCCTTAGCGTCAACATAGTCAGCAAACCCCTCGCCAAAAATCCCGTAAAGCGTAGGGCTGAGAGGGCATCCTTGCTTGACTCCCTGCGAAGATTCAAAAGGATCCCCCGTCACTCCGTCTACCCTGACACGCATCATGACCTTGTTGTAACAAGTCTTGAGAGCCTCCAGCATAGCGCCATGCACACCATCTTGGCCATGCCAGAGAATGTCGTACAACCACCGAAGTTCAACAGCCGTTCTGCGCTACTAGGCTACTTGTACGCTTTGAAGTTTCTACTGCTGCGTAGGCGAATCTGTCTGCTAATATCACCAACTGAACGCTCCTGAACGTTTTCCACTTACTATTGTGGGCTAAGTCATACGTGTTTGTAAATAAGTAATATAAGAGATGAGGCAACTTAAACACCATGAGCAGAAGCTGCTTAAAAAGGTGGACTTCCTACGATGGAAAAGCGACGACAACGTTCGCGAGCTTCAGGTACAGGTTATCCCTTCACATACGCGGCATGGAAAGGCTAGTTCCAGAGCAAAAAATATAACTTTTCTTTTGCCATGCCGCCGCCACTGGTAGGTGATGCGGCGATACCACATTCAAGACCGCGACGACTACAAGAAATACAACAAAATCTGCGGCATGGTGACAAAGCTGACGAACATGCTAAAGCAGCTAGACCCAAAGGACGCGACGCGGATAGAGCTTACAGACCAGCTAATCGAAAAGTGAGAGGCTGGTGACCCGGGTTTTGCCCTTCACGATATGGCATGGTCATCGTGTGCATAACTGTCTGCCTAAATATGCCTACAGGCTTCACAGCATGGGCGTTCTCCCGACGAAGAAGAGCCTGGTACAGTGTGACAAGCTTGCAACAGCGGCCTTCTGCCGGCGGCGGCTTGCAGTGGTGATGGTCCGGCTTAAGATGGCTGAGAACCTGCGGGAGGCGGCCACGTTCATCGAGCAGGTAATAATGCGCTTGTGCGCTTGTAAGTGCGCTCCTGAGCAGGCAAATACTCAGGGTGGCCCACGGGTCAGGCTTGACACCCTCCTTCGATGCAACCCAACTACATGGTTTCTCGCTGCGCCGTGCAAAGCGCGCTGCTGCTGCATATAATGCCCTTGACGATTAAATCTCCCTATCCCATGAACCCCGCTTCACCTTCCAACCCACGCGCCCCCCATGTTGCCTCCAAACCCGCTCCACAGGGCCACGTACGTGTGGGCCCCGACACCGTGACGGACCCCGCCTTCCACGTCACTCGCTCCATGGAGGACTTTGTGACCTGGGTGGACACCAGCAAGGTGAAGCGCAAGGTGCTCAAGTACAACGACAAGCTGGACGACTATGACCTGCTCATGTAGAGCTGTTGGGGAGGTAAAAAAATATATGTTGGGGAGGGGGGCTGTGTGGGAGGAGCTGAGGGTTGTGGGTGGCCTGCGTGTGGGCTGTAGGGAGGTGGCCGCAGGTGGGGTGCAATAGGAAGGAGGAGGTGCGGAGGGTGGCTGGGAAGGTAGCGCAGGGTAGTGGTTACCGGGGGGGGGAAGTGGGAAGGGGAATGCATGGGTAATGGGTAGGGAAGAAGAGGGGCGCGGAAGAGGAGTGCAGGGGGAGGGAGATGTAAGGTACGTGTGTGCAGCTCTGGGTGGACACGTTGTAAGCTGCGCTGTAGGTGCGGTATGCAATTGAAACGATAAGGAGCGGGAGTGAAGGTGCGTGTACTGTGTAGGCTCCTAGGCAACGGAGCCCGGCGGCAAGCATGTCTTTACTGTAGTAGGACAGCGTGGAACAGTGTCGAGCAAAGCATGCATGATGCCATGTTGCCGGTAGTGAAGTACCGGTCGTGTAGAGACGTGGGTACTTGAACCGTTAAGGGCAGTGGCCCGCATAGCTGCGAGCCTGCCTGTTGAACTCAACCTGCAAAGCCTTTTTATGGCTTTAGGCTGTATGGTGCAGTGGAGTGGAGTGGTGCAGCGGCTGATAGCGCACCGTGCACACCCACGTAATAGCAACACGTTTTCTTAAACCACGTCACGCGCTTTGCTGCCAACTGCTTGGATTTATGGGGCAGCACACATGGAGTTCCTTTGAGCTTTGGTGGCTAAGGAGGGGGCCAGAGAAGACGGAAGGGGGATGCGGGGGGGCCCGTGCATGGTGGCTTGGGACCGTATATGAGTACGGGGTGTGCTGCGACTGATGAGGGCATTCACTGAGGAGGGTCTCAATACGGGGCGTTCCCGGCTGTGGGCAGGTTACGCCTCGCGGTGGCCTACGGACCGACAAGGTGCCCCATACAGTCTTAACGGCTATGGTGCTTTCTGACCAAAGACAGGACACCCAAATTAGGAGAAAGGGTGTTGTTGAATGGCATACAGCATGGGGAACAGGACAGTTCAGGATGTTGCCTAACGACGATGAGACAAACCCAAGACGCAACCACCCGTCTGGAGCTCCTTAGCCTCCACTGTGCTCACTGCAATCACTGAATCCTCATCTGACCATAAGCAAGAGCGCCACAGCTGTAGCGACCAATATAGTACCGGTATCCTGATGAGGCTTTGTGACATCTAAACCTAAATCGTCTTCCCGCCCTCGTTGAAACCTGGAGTCGCGACAAGACAGCAAGTGAGGAGGCCTAAAAAGACACCTCGCATGCTTCTTTAACTGATTGCACTCGGCTCGATGGCTACCGCTGGCAGTAGTTGTGTCGCCTCTTCTATCAACCACCCGGAGCACTGTGAATTGTGTGAAACCTGCGATCTTCCGTGTTCCCCACATTCAAGCTTTTGTAGCGCTGTGACTATAATACGATAATACCGGTAGACAAAGGAGATGCACGGGTAGTCAGACGGAGCGGCGGAGGTGGGTTTGCAATCCTAGTCGAAGTTGCCAGCTTCCACCTTAATCTACAACATCATCACAGAGCTTGAAAGCATTCTCTTAAGAAGAGTGGCCGTAAGAAGTGCTGTTATAGGGCAGGATAACGAGAAGTGTGACCTTGACCATGTACGACGTTTAACTGCTTGTGCTTATTTAACTCCTTCGCTTAAGACCTAGCCCAATACATTTACCTGCACAAGAGAACCCCCTTTCATTTTTTCTGAGATTAGTCTTTTCACGTTTGCCGTTCGGCATCCGCAAGCATGCATATGGCTTCGAAAACACACGTCGTGGCCCTTGCCCATATTGTAGCATTTCTGCTTGCGAAAGCGGGTGCCATTGGTAATTCATCATCAACGGCGGGACCAGGTGAGCGTCCTCAAAAAGGGGGACGATTATTTACACGATTACCATTTGCAACCGTCGGGGCCGGCCGGCTTCCCGCTAGAAACTGCTTCCCGTTTCAGCTTCAACTCCTTTGATTATACCAGCCACATACAAAATAACAGCCTGTGAGATGTGAGACTTCGGCTTAGAGGCGCTGCTGACTACCGTTAGCCATCCCGTCCATCGCATACTTCGTTCCATACGACGAACATATCGAGGCTCGCATATCTTCAATTCTGCACCATGCTTATTCTTGTGAACGCAGGTGTGCTTATATGGAGCGATGAGTTCCAGTACTGCGGCAAAAAAATGGGTTGCAACAACGGCTTGAACACCTCCATTTGGAGCTACGAGCTGGGCGACGGGACGAAGTATGGCCCTTACACCAAAGGTTGGGGGCTGAAGCCCTAAAAGCTGCATCGCAACAGTAACCCAATATCGGACAGCGTAGTGAGGTGTAAATTTGACACGAGTATCCAAGGAATGCTAAACTTAACTTGCTAATTACATCTCTGGTCATCTCTACATGTGCACTTGGCTGCCGTACTCACAGTGGACCACGTCCCTTAACATGCTGACAGTCTGTGCCTGCATTTTGGTCCCCTGCCGGTAACGGCACCCAAAGGCTGGGGCAACAATGAGATACAGTGCTACACGGACAACAAAGAAGACGTGAAGGTGGGGTACGACGGAGTGCTCGCGATCCATGCTAACTTCCACAGGCGTGGGGTGAGCTGCTACAACCCCGGCGCCAGCAACAGCACCCGCTGGTGGACCAGTGCCCGGCTCATCACACGTGGGAAGGTCGCCTTTGGCATTGGTTCCTCACCAATCAAGATCGAAGCCCGAGTCAAGGTGCCTAACGGTGAGGCACCGGTGCCAACGGTTCCAATCTTTGCTGCAAATCCATCCGAACAGCGCCCTGGCTGCCGTAACCACACACGTTGGGCTTTTGTCTAGCTGTAGATAGTCTAGTCACCAATTCCGTCCTAATCCTATAAATTGGAACCCAACGAACTACAGAGATGGGGGCGTGGCCCGCCTTCTGGATGCTCCCTGACACCACGGACACCAGCTGCCTTGCTTGCGGGGCGTACGGCAAGGGCTGGTGCCTGTCCGGCGAGATCGACGTGCTGGAGGCTCGCAACCGAGATGGAGTCTTCATGTCAAACGTCGTCTATGGTGGCTGGCAGAGCGAGCCATGGAATGGGTGCTATTTTGCTAAAGGTAAGCCGCGCAGCTTACACTTGATGATGCAAAGGCCACATCAGCGTCACACCTACCCTGGCTTACTTACCTGGCGGAATTGCCCGACATCTTGCCGTACGTTGTATGTCGTACTGCAGGTACCTTTGACGCCTCCGCTCACACGCCGTACTGGAACCGCGTTTCCGTGGTCATGGCGCAAAGCGGCATGAGCTTCTACGTCAACGATACGCTGGTACAAACCTTCGGCTCAGACAAGTGGTTCACGGGTGGAGTCCTGGACAAGAGCACTAACTTTCTAGCGCCATTTGATCAGCCGTTCTACTTGATCCTCAACATGGCAGTTGGCGGCAACTACCCCGCCGAGCAAACCGACGGACTGGTCATAACTGACAGTAAACATGCACCGTACAAGTTCCTGATTGATTGGGTGCGCGTGTACAGGTTGCCATAACAGGTGTAGAGGTTGCCATAACGGGTGCAGGTTAATAACAACCATAGATGCATGGAAACAGCCTAACTTACGGAGCGATGTGCATTTGCTTGTGGGGTATCCACTTGGATTGTCTGGATCCGCCATTGTTGCAGCTAGCTCTGGTTGACGCATCTCAAGGCCATGGAGTAAGGCAGGTAGATACGACCGTGTGTACACACGATACGATGAGGTAAATATGACCCGTGGGTCAGCTTGTAACTATGCGTACAAATTAGAATCATGCCGCACGTCCGTTCGGTACTTTAAGAAACCCGCAAAACCTCTTATGGCAGAATACTCCTGACTGGCAACAACACTAATGGCAAGCTCCAAGGGCATGGCGTCGTACGTGGGGTTTGCGCATGCATGGAAGTACTTGGGCCCTGCACCACTAGCCCTCTCTATCTCGTCATGTGGTATGAGATAGGATGGACCTAGAAGAGAGGGGTAGCAACGCTTACAAAAAGTATACAAGAAACGCACGATGACACCGCTGTGGCGTGGGGTGAGCTGCTACAACCCCGGCGCCACCAACTGCACCGGTTCACCTGAGGAGGTGGCCTTTACATTGGGTCCTCATCACCGATTAAGCTTGAGGCCCAACAACCGTTCGGACACGATTAGATACTGTACGGCACCCCGCAGCTGCCGTACTATAGGTACATATTACATAGGCCCATATTACATATTACATATTACATAGACCCTGGCCGTGTTTTGGTGGTCACGCAGGGTAGCAAACCTGGTGGGATGGACTGTCGCCCTTACAGCCCAGCCACCCTAACAAGTCCACGGCCTGGTGGTGACCCTTGCTTGTAATATGTTGGCCTTGCTACCGTGCCCGTGTTCTCAGTGGGACACGTAACGACGGCCATTGCCTAGGTAGGAGCGTGGGGAGTTGGACAGCCCCTTTACTTATGCAACCTTGCTTCAGGGCCGGCTTTTAAATAGAAGGCAGTGAGATAGGAGCACAAGAAACACGTGTTTAACTAGATCACCCCGGTGCCGCTGTGCTATTTGCGCGGGCGTCAGCCGACCGTACAACCGAATGGAACGGTTGCCGACTACACCCGACGCTCCAGCTGCAAGATGCAAAATGAATAAATAATAGGTACTTTAAGTGTTTCGCAGCGTCTACATTACTCCTTATTAGACTATATTAATTCACGCTCAATAAGGTAAAGGTGCGAGTCGGCCCTGGGCTAACAAACAAGGAAGATGGCAAATCACGTTCTATCCCTTATTTCTATTTGTCTACTACTGCTTGCTGGCGCAAATAGAGCAGGTGAGGAAGCAGGAAGTTACGCATGCAATCACCGACTTGCAGCGCGATCGATTCAGCCACATAACTTGCTTCCCCATTGCATATATTTCGGGTCGTCTGAACATTACTATAATAAGTAACGGCTCCCCGCGTTTTATGTCACAAGGGAAGCTTAATGGACTTGGAACCCATTCTTTTAGGCAAATGCTCTCTTGCACCGTTACAACACCGTAAACACCGCTCTACATTGTCAAACGGTCATGCATTTCTGCGTTTAGCTTACACCAAGGACTCATACCCTTGCGTCTCGTCTGCTCTTAAACCCAATCCTCCGTATATACAGGCGGGATTCCCCAGTTCCAGCTAGTCTGGAGCGAAGAGTTTGATCCTTGCGTTCCTTCACAAAGCAAGGACTGTGTTAATGGCGTGCGAACGTCGGTTTGGAGCTTTGAGGAGGGAGACGGCGGGAAATACGGAACATCCCTTATTAGTAAGGAGACGTCAGCGCCCAGCCTTCCTCTATTCTTTGTTGCTGCGCGCCTGTGTTACCTGGTGCCTGGCTCCAACCGACCACACGACAATGACAGTTCTATTCACGTTGTTATAAGGCTGTAGCCCTGCTGTAGCCGTCGAGAAACCTCTTAGCCGTGTGTGCTATAGTCCTAACCACGTGCACCCCTGAACAACCGTGCACCCCACAGACTGGGGAAACCGCGAGGCGCAATGCTACACAAGCAATGCCGAGAACGTCAGAGTTCTGAAGCAGGCTAGCGGGGCAAGTGGCGTGCTAGCCATCCAGGCACACTTTAATAGGAGCTCATTCGCCTGCTACAGCAGTCCACTAAGCACCAGCAGGCGCTTTTGGAGCAGCGCCCGGCTGATCACCCGGGGGAAAGCCGCCTTCGGCCTATCTACATTCAATAACAAGACTTTCAAGATTGAAGCCCGTGTCAAAGTCCCCAACCGTAAGCAGAACAGGATCAGTTTCGAGTCGTTAGCGTGGGAGGACGCATCCTACTCGTACATCCACATGTTTCTGACCCATGGGACGGTTAGCATCGGACACATGTGTCAAAAGTACCTTGATGCAGTAGGTAGGGGGCAGCTCTTGTCCTTAACCCCCAACCCACACCAACTTACCTGAACTCCCAAACCAGCACGCTGACCCGCCGCAAAGCAGCCTCCCAACCCCTTCTAACAGCATGTTTGTAACGCCTTCCTGAACTGTCCGTCCTCAGAGCTGGGCGCCGCGGCCAAGTTCTGGATGCTTCCTGAAACAAATCGCACGGACTGCCTCGCATGCGGGGACTACGGCAACGCTTGGTGCCTTTCCGGCGAAATAGACATCTTGGAGACCAGAAATCGTGACGGCAACTTTACGTCTAACGTCATCTACGGCGGGTGGCAGACCTCCCCCTCACAAGGGTGCTATACTAAATCAGGTGCGGTGGTGTAAAACATGGGATCCCCCGCAGAACTGCATGTTTGACGCTTGTCGGCACCAGTAAAAATGTGCAGAACGTGCCCACTGCAGCCTCCAGTTCCCTGTCCTTGTAGTAGGGCCGGTGAGGGAAGTGTCCTTCATGCGTCCGTGTGGGCCGGATGTAAGGACGCTTGGAAAGTCTTCCACGCCGCCCAACCTCGGATGCTGAAGGTGATAATGCATTCCACATGTGCCCCTACGCAGCTTCCTTCAACGCAAGCGCCTCCGTTGCTTATTGGAACCGTGTTTCAGTCGTCATATCTACGGACGGCATGACTTTCTACGTGAACGATACCTTGGTTCAGAGCCTTTCCTCGGGGCTATGGTTCACCGGCGGTTTTGAGAAGACCACGAACCCATTGGCGCCTTTCGACAAGCCGTTCTACCTAGTGCTCAGCCAGGCCATTGGTGGTCAACATGCAATCGAAGGAACCGGGGGGACCTTAATTACCAACACACGGAATGAGCCGTATAGGTATCTCGTAGACTATGTGCGCGTCTATAAAGATGTCTCAGCATCATAGCCTGCTTGGGCTAGCTCTGTTGGTACTTTGATTATGAGTGAGGTGTGAAAAGTACTACTGCCAATGGTGTGCAGATGTGGATGTCTGCACAAACTGCGAACCTAGGCAGAGCGTAATTATATGATTCATTGTATTTTATCCTATGTTTGCCATCGGCAGCCCAGCACGATTTTTATCACTGTACGTACAGGTGTTGCACTGTTGCTCCTCCAACTAATGGTCAACACTTGCACACCGCAATGTAATCGACAGTCCCTATTTATGTAGAACTAGTGCTTGCCTACTAACTTGGATATGCAGTATGCAAGCTTGGGGCTGCAGAGCTAAAGCCGACATCCCTTCTTGCTTGATGTCCCGTAGCTTTGTACAGGTCATTATGGCTGAAATGTGTCTATTCTCACTCCAGTTATGAATATAATTGTAAACCGGCATGAAAGAAAGGTGGTTCGTTGCTGTTGAGCTAGCAGCAGGTAATGAACGGTCACGCCTTACTTTCGCGCCTGCTCGTTGTCAAATGACGACTACATGCGACTTTTGTATGCGAGGCATCCCTAAATATAACTAAACCACTGTAGCCCAAAACATCGTGCAATGGGATGAAGCTATTTTAAGCATGCAAGAAGTAATGCTCACTTAAAACAAGACCGCTCGCCACCCGCTCACGGCATTGTATTATTATGTTACGAAAACTGACATAATGTTAAGTAGTATCCTTTATGGCCTGGTTGGCCTATCTTTCATAATTACCAGCGTTCAGGCAGCAGGTATAAGAAAAGCTGAGCCTATCCTCGCTGGGCACTAGCCCATACAGAAATCATGTAATTGCAGACGCGCCTCAGTATAACTTTGAACTGATGTGGAGCGAGGACTTCGTCCCATGCTACAACGGTTGCGACTGTGTCAACGGCTTGCGAACCGAAGTCTGGGGCCTTGAAGAGGGTGACGGCAGCAAGTACGGGCCTGGTCTAACAGGCAGGTAGCGTGAACAGTGTCTTCGCAACATCAACTAGGTATGGGCTGCACAAGACTCCGTACCGGAACCTCCTGAGCAGGCCGTACACACTTGAATGTTGCGCATTCTTTCAGTACAGTCTCACCTGCACTAAGCCAATCGCAGGCTGGGATAACGGTGAGGCCCAGTGCTACACCGCCGACCAGCGAAACGTCCGGGTGGTTCGGCAGGCGGGAGGAGCGTGGGGTGTGCTGGTCATCCAAGCTCAGTTCCATGAGGAGGGGATGAGCTGCTACAACCCCGGCGCCAGCAACAGCACCCGCTGGTGGACCAGCGCCCGGCTGACAACACGGGGAAAGGTCGCCTTTAAGTTCGACACGTTAGCTATCAAGATTGAAGCACGAGTCAAGGTTTTTCAAGGTGCGGCATGAACCGCATAATACTGAGATGCGCGGTTGAGATTGTAGGATGCCACTGTTCCCGTGTTTCCAGCCGTTTGACTGCGGTCAAATGCCCGCCAAATGTGGGCAACCTCACTGATGTCTTATGTAGTTTGCCCAGGTACTGACTGGACCCCCGACAAATTCCCCTTGGTTCACGTACAGAGCTGGGGACATCTGCTGCGCTTTTGATGCTCCCAGACACCAACCGCACGGACTGCCTAGGATGCGGGGCCTACGGTGACAGCGGGTGTGCCTCAGGCGAAATCGACATCATGGGAACTTTGCCTAGCGGCTTCGTCTCGGCCCTGAACTACGGAGGGACCAACGACAGTCAGAGCTGCGTTAGGCAAATAGGTAAATCTTGTGAGCCCAGATGCAAGGCTGAACTACTGCTCTGACATGCACTTTGCGTGCTCGGTCAACTGCCGGCGGTAGCCCATAAAGCCATACCGGTAATACATGAACTCCAGACAGAGCACATACTGACGACCCAAAACCCCATCCCGTGCAGGTCCTAGCCTTGACACGGAGCCCTACTGGACCGTTGTTTCAGCTATCCTTTCTCCAAGCGGAATGTATTTCTTCATTAACGACACCTTCAGGTTCACAGTCCCCCAGAGCCAATGGTATACCAGTGCAGTGAGCAAGACGAGAAAGCCAATGGCCCCTTTCGATCAGCCCTTCTACCTCCTGCTCAACATGGCAGTCGGTGGCACGCATGCTGTGGAAGACACCCATCTTATCACAGACACGCGCGAAGCACCATTCCGGTACTTGGTTGACTATGTGCGGGTGTACCAGCAAATGTAGCGTGACCCGTGGGTCGCTCCTGGGGGTTGGCGGCAGACTTAGCAAGGAACCGTCCGAGCTTATTGGCCTGCTGCTGCCCGGCGAGCGCGCCCATTGATGGGTCAGTGGGACCATTATTTGGGCAGAGCGGCATACACTTGGGCTTGCTTGGGGAAGCCGAGCGGTCAGGAGTGTGGAAAGCACTTTGTTGTCTAACCTAGCTTCTCCTGGACAGATGCTATAACCGTGAAGGTGGCTGAAGCTGCCAGTTTCGGCTTTATGGCAAAGTGTTGGCGTGGACCCAACTACGCTGTAAACTTAGCGTGCGTTTAGGGAATGCCGGAAAGCTGATAGTAGAATTGCATGCAAAATAAGTTGTCCTTTCATCGCTCCTGCGACAAACGGGTGGGTGCGTGTATAGTGATCACTACTGCTAGAGACGTTGCGGACGACTCTTCTCCCACAGTACCGGTACTAGAAGCTGCTTTCTAAAGCTAGTAGAGGATTAGACATGTCGGAACGATACGTTATGCGACTTACATGACAGCTGATTGTGGTCAATCCGAACAGGCCAACTTCGCTGCTCTGCGAGGACAAATGCAAGCCAATCCTTTCGCTACCTTTAGGCCCGGTTTACGCCTACAATTATGCCCTTTCTCTTCCTTGGATTGCCATCGATTTTCCATGAGCTTCCTCGCTTAGCTTGTGCGGGCCTCAACAACTCAACTCCGCCATAATAATAGGAACATTTGATATTATCAGCGAAGGCTTGTAATGTGCATTGGAAACCGGTGCACTGCTATGCTAGCATTCGACTCGTTCAACCGTAGCAACCGCTGGCAGGTAGACAGTCACCTTACTTATGGTCTTGGTTGACGACTGACTATATACGCTTAAGCTGTCAAAGAAAACAATTTGTCTTCCACACCTAAGGAATAAGGTAAACGTTGGGCCTTTCCACACTTACCAAACAATCAGCAGGCGCTAACGCCTTCCCACTGCATTCTACGTCGCTTTGCAGTTTCAGCAACTTATAGCAATGCTTATTAACGTTCTTCGTCTTCTATTCGCTTCATTATCCCTGGCTGCTTCAGTGGCAGGTACGGGAGCGCTAACATCGCAGCATGGACGGGCGCAAGTCGACGACAATGCGCGAGCTCAGCTGCATTGTCACCATGAGCCTGCCTAGGTTATGCAAAGTTATACGGGGTCGCTCAGCTGTCGGGTGTTACCTTGCCTCCGCAGACGTACAACCCAAGTATAGTTTACTATGGAGCGAGGAATTCACGCCATGCTTGAAAGGCTGCAACTGCATCAACGGCTTGCAAGCTAACATCTGGGGTATTGAAGTGGGAGACGGCGCGCAGTACGGGCCTGGTCTAGAAAGTAGGTGGCGCTCTGGTACAAATAACGAGGCACGAGCTCTTTCACGCAGTCCTAACCGCCCCCTGGTATCACATATCACTCAGCAACGGTGACTGGGCCCCTAAGCACATCCCTTGCCCCACGTTAACCCTCGTGTAGACTGGGGTAACAACGAAGCCCAATGCTACACGTACGAGCCGGGGAATCTCCGAGTGGTTCGGCAGGCAGCAGGAGCACGTGGCGTGCTGGTCATCCAGGCCCAGTTCCATGAGCAGGGGGTCCCGTGTGGAGCCACCAACAGCACCCGCTGGTGGACAAGCGCGCGGCTCACCACACGTGATAACATCGCCTTCCAGTTCAACTCCTTACCCATCAAGATCGAGGCCCGCATGAAGCTTCCAGACGGTGAGACACGACCCGGGCACGGTTGGCAAAGGGGGCATATGTGCTAGCAAGTGGGCTCTTCATTGATTGATCAGCGACGTTGGCCGCCAGGTGTACGCCGCCGCTTAGGAGGCCGCTGAGCCTTGTGGATGGAACGATACATGCTAACACTCAAATGGGGCTTTCATAGTCGTATACCTGGTGTCTCCAGCCAGACTTCTGAAACCCTCGACCCTACCCGCCAACCCATCCTCACACAGAACTAGGGGCGTGGCCAGCCTTCTGGATGCTTCCAGACACGACCCGCACAGACTGCCTTGCGTGCGGTGACTACGGCAACGGTTGGTGCACCTCCGGCGAAATAGACATCATGGAGGCTAGGAACCGGGAGGGGAAGGTCTACTCTACCGTTCATTATGGAGGGCGGCGGGACGCCAACTACCTTGATTGCCAGCAAGATTCAGGTGAGAGCCTTGATCTGATGCCGATACAATTGCTTGTTATCCGCCGCCTGGGCTCACGATGCCATGCTGGCGCTTGGTTGATGACTGCGCAAATCCCCCATGCACCCCCCTGCAGTATCGTACGACATCGCCAATGCAATGCCGTACTGGAACCGCTTCTCAGCCATCCTTTCTGGAGCTGCCATGTCGTTTTACGTCAACGATACTTTGGTTCATACAGTCAAGCAAAGTGCATGGTACACACCCTATGTGAACAAGACAGTTAATCCTGTAGCTCCCTTCGACCGGCCGTTCTATTTGTTGCTCAATTTGGCAGTCGCCGGCCGGTTTGCTTCAGGAGAGACCGGTGACTTTGACATCACAGATGCACGGAATGCGCCGTACCGGTATTTGATTGATTACGTAAGAGTGTACCAGCAAGTTGCAGGGTGAGGTGTGGCGGCGCCCACATGGCACTGCATTGGAGCAAACCTTCAACAATGTGGGCTCGAGTGATAGGGCTGTGCTACGGTGTGCATGCATTATGGAAGTAATGCCTGGCCGGCCTGCGGATGTGCGTGGGGGTCCCGTCGTCCGCTTTTCACCTAATATATCTTCAACTGCAAGGCCCGAGGGAAGGAGCATGTAAGCGTAACTTGGTACATTCCAAGAAGCAGATCTGTTCAATCATGCGAGAACCTTGCATAGCAAGGCAGACCCCCCAGCTTAGAACATGCGTCCTTCCGCACAGAATAAATGCAAACCACCACTTTCACGCCCACCTACCCATCTGTACAAGAGAATCCAAATAATTGTACACCGCGTGCTAGGCCCCCCACTTCTCATCAGATCCCTCCACCATCAAGCTACGAGGCCACATGAGTCCTAGTCCAGCTCTTGCGGCTAGACACACATCCGAATGAATGGTTCCTAAGCTCCCAAAACGGCTCCTAGAGCGGCATTGCAGCCGGGCTAACAGTGTAGCTCCATGATTTATCCGACCTCAATGCGTTCTGAGTTCTTGTCTTCTGTTCCTGTCCGTGTGAGGTCTGTTGTCGTAAGGCAAGGCTAGCACCTACAGGGGCAGTCCTAACGCTCCATTGCCCTGGCACACCTCTTTCGCTGGTACTAGCGACGCTGTCCTAGCGCGTATCAACCAAGTCTGTAAAGCTAGGTCACTGAGTTCACTGCTCGGGGGCAATCATCAGCTCTGCACTTATTTTACCAGTAACATCGTAATGACAAAGAACACAAGCACCGACTACAAAAACGAACAAAGGATGAAGGACAAAATGGCGCCTCGTTTGCCCCGTTGCGTACATCACCATCCTCGTATACATACAGGGTGCCCCTTGCATGCGCGGACTCCAATACCCACGCAGCCTTACCTACGGCAATGCAAGGGCGGCATCTTCACTCCACTCCAGTCACCCCGCACCCCCTTCATGGAAGAGCCCCCACGCAGGGCAACCCGCCCTGTCCAACCGGCCCCCCACCCACCCTGGCTAGCTAGCTGCGCCGTCCTCCTCGAACGCGAGCTGCTTGCCGGCCGCTACGGAGATGGCCTCACGGATGGCGATCGCCCACTCGCAACACTCCTCAACGCTAGCAGCCTGCATGCAGAGATGCAGCAGGGGGCCCGGCGCGGGGGGCAGGGACGGCAGGAAGAAGGGGTTCGTGTCCGCGGGTAGCTGACAACGCAAGGCAGTGCGTTGTGAACAACCGCCGTTTCGCCGTGAAAACAACGACTCAACGACACAAAGGAAGCCCGCAATGCAGGCAGGTAGACAAGCCACCCCCGCCCCCTCCGACACCAGCATGATGTCCACAGCGGCCACACCCCCCACCACCCCGCCCCACTGACTCACCTGGAATGTGACTCGCCGCCCGCGTATGCCGCTGAGCCACCCGGAGCCCTTGCACGTCTCCAGGATGTTAAACCGGGGCGCCTGGGCGGAGGCCACAGCAGCAGCAGCAGCACAGGCGGTCAACCCCAGAGCGACCTACGCCTACTCTTACGTTGCATTTCGCTCGTAGCCACGCCACCGGTAACTGAAGCCATTATCGCATCATCTGTTCACCTTCTGGGCAGGAGCGCCCCGCACCGCCCTGTCCATGCCACAACCCACCCGCAAACCCAAGCCCCCCCACCGTCCCACCTTGCCCGCTTCGAAGGTGCAGCGCCCCAGTGCCAGCCCATCCAGCGGCCGCACGTCCTCGGCGCGAGAGAACCAGTGCAGGTAGCCTGGGGGCGAGGAAGGCATGCGGGTGGAGTCCAGGGGCCGGCTGACACGCGCTTGGGGCGGCCAAGGACCCGCAGCCGTGGTCAAGGACGCCACGGAAGGCACAGAAAGCAAAGAAGGGACACGCAGCTCACACACCTGGGGACATTCCAGAAGAACCGAAACCTACAGCTCGTCTAAAGGACACGGCCCTCCTCACCTGCCCTCGTCAACACGAAGTGGCACTTGCGCCAGCGCTCCCCCGTCTGCTCCCAGATCTGAAGGTCTCCCTGCCGTACGATCTCCGGCGAGCAAAACCACTCGTGGCAAACGCTGTGCAGGCATTCCGCCTGGCGAGCTGCCAGCCCCTCTGCGGTGCGAGTGGCTTTGGCTGCTAAATTCCGCAGGTTGCTCAGCTTGCTGTCGGGCTCAATAGCGCGCAACGCCGACTGCAATTGGTGACGGTTCGTGGGGCGCATGGGTCAAGCAACAAACAGAGTAGTGCAGGGCCTTACAGCCCCGAGCCTGCGCAGCTTCCACGGGTGGCTTCCTGGGCTAGCACAAGATTCGCCCCAAACCCGTTGCTGTGCGCTGCTACATCGACTCCGCAGCGTAGTGGCCTGCCCTGCGTACCGGTGCTTACCGCCCCCCCGTCACCACTCACCGACATGGCTTCCAGGTCGTGCTGCAGGGGCAGCAGCGCAGCCCGGTAGCTGTCCACCGCAACCGTCATCGCCTGCACAGCGACAGAATCGGGCGAGAGGAGTAGGAGTTCGTTTAGGGGCTGGCAAGCCGTACCCTGCATAACCTGGCACCAGGACGAGGGCAACACCTACCTAGCCTGCCCAGCACACACCAACAGTCATTGCGACCACGCAGGGCAAACTCCCGTCCTTTCCGCCGACCCACACCGCATCTTATCCTTTTCCATCCGGCACCCCACACCTGCGTCGACAGCTCCAACCGCTGCTGCTCCAGCTCCGTCACCCTCTCGAACCCCGTCTTCAGCAGCGCCCGCTCCCGGTCCTGCCACCGCTGCAGCGCCTGCTGCTCCTGAACCAACCGCCCCTCAGTGGCCCATGGGTCACCCTCGGGCGCCCGAGTCGGCTGCCTCCGCTGCCGCTCCGCTAGCACCGCCTCGAAGCCCCGGCACGCGCTGACGTGCTCCCCCAGCGCTGCCGCCAGCTGGCTGCGTGTCGCGTCGATGTTACGCTGCGCCGTGGCGGCCTCTGATGAGACCTCCTTGGCTGCGGCTCGGTAGCGCGCCAGCAGCGCGGAGACCTCCTTGGAGAGACCCGACAACGTGGACTGAAGAGGACTGCGGGCGGTGCAGCGGGCATGGCAGCGTGTGTGCATGCGTGCGTGCGCGGTGCTGTTCAGCAGCGGAGCTGCCGGGTGCGGCGCACAGATACTACCGCGGTAAGGTCGGACTGAAGCTCGTGGAAGCAGTCCCTTGCCCTCTTCCCATTCTTCCCGGCGCAAGGGACCCAAGTGCCCCACTCCCTGGCGCCCATGGCTGCTGCCCCACCGCCCCACCTCACCGCCTCCTCCACCCCACCTGTGCGCCTGGTTGACCACGGAGGGCAGCCGCATGAGCGCCTCCCCCACCGCCCGCAGCTCCCCGTCGTCCGCCTCCAGACCCACCAGCCGCACGCGCGAGGCGGTCGCCATGGCGGCGGCGTAGGCGCACTCCGCCTGCCCCAGCGCGGACAGCAGCGACGCCAGACCCTCCAGGATCCTGCATGGGGCAGGCCAAGAACCAAGCGAACGGAGGACGAGCAACGGGAAGGAGCCCGTGAGAGGGAGGACGCGAAGGTTTGGTGGGGAGGCGAGGCGCAGCATAGCTCGCCGCCACCCGGATCCCTTCTAGCACCCCCGCTTTCCAGCCTCCGCAGCTCGCACCCTGTCCCCTTCCCCCCCACCTACTTGCAGCTGTTCTCCAGCCGCTCTATGATGCGCCCCGCTAGCTCCCGGTTCACACGGGTCTCCTCATCCACGTCATCCTCCATGGCCGCCAACGCAGCCCGCTGCCGAGCTATCTCCGCGTCAAAGGTGCCGATGGAGGACACCGAGGCCATCAGCATCCCGGACTGCAGGCTGAGGCCGCTGGGCAGCCCGCTGTGGCTGTTGCCGTTGGGAAGGCAGCCGCCGCCGCTGACGCCGCCGGCGGCCCCGCCGCAGCTGCTGTTGCCGTCATCGGAGCCAGCAGCAGCGGCGGCTGGAGGGTGGGGGAATAGAGGAGGAGAGGGTAGCATGCGGGGAAGGGAGGGGGGCGAGAAGGAACGGCAGAAGGTGTAGCTATGTCGTTGGGGCAAGGCACCGGTTACGGAGTATGCTTTTGTAATGTGCGTTCACCCGCCCCTTGGGGGTAATTGCCTTGGGATCCGCCGCCCAAGCGACTTGCCTGTAGTGGAAACGCTGCAAAAAGACGAAGCCACATCCATCTCCCGCCGTGCTGCTCTCCCGATGCTCACGTTGCGAGTGATCTGGCTCATCACAAACGGCTCCGCGAACTTGGGGCTTGCTCTGGGGAGGCAATCCCAGGGTGGCGATACACTTCGGACCGTCGCAACGGTATGGGCACATGGGCACCAAGGCCCTTGGGAGCCCTAGTAACTGGGGGACCATACACAGAGTACGCTATGGCCCTCAGCAAGGTTTTGTGACAAACAGTATACGCAAAGCCACATGCCATGGGCTCCCTTGGAACGCACGTCAGGTGCGCGCCTGCGAGACGCACACACCGGTCCTTACTTGAGCAGCATTTCAGCCAGCACGCTTTCATCCAGCTCGTCTAAGTCATGTTCTGAATTGCGGGCTTTGCACGGTGTTCTATCAGTGCTCCTTATGGTAATAGGCGGGCTCTGCGTCGCTTTCCTGATGGCCTCCGCTTCCTTAGCACGACCGGCATCGACGTCATCCGCCAGCTCGAGGCGTCTTTCACTGTCCTCCTGCTTAATGCGATGACATACATGTAGTGGGTAAAGAGCAGTGATACGTGTATCGGGAATAATGTAAATTCCTTACCTCTTGAACTGGGCTGCAGCTGGCTTCTTCGCTGGAAGAAAGCCGACTGTTTGGGTCTTCTCGTCTGTCTGTATTCTTCATCATCTCCAATTGTGTTTAGACAGTATATGATGTGCAGTGGTCAGAGCTAATGACACCTCGTTTGAATATTGGACGTATGCGCTTTTTGTACCATATCGGTCGGGGCTCGCGTTGTTCATGTACGTTAGCATCTTATGCCAAATCAACCGTCATGCTTCTGCTGGACGGCCGTGGCGCAATAGACTGCTGCGGTGGATTCGTACGGTGCTGACTTGCAACCCAATCCGTGTGCATTTAGCGTTTTAGGACCCAAACATTCATTGCAACAGCGTTAATTGGACCTTTGTTACCACTAAGACTCTTTCACGGAAGAGCCGTACCCATCCGCTTCTGTCTAGGAGCGTGCCACCGGCAACACCGTCGGAATCCAACGTGCACCCTCTGTTGCGCACAACGACCCAGGAGGCATCGCTAGCCTGGGATCGCTGCTGAAGAACGAGCATAAACCAAGCTCATGCCTGCTACGTCGCGACGCAAAGCGCGAGAGCGCCAGGATCTCAGCCAAGCGCAAAAGAAATCCCCCTATGCAAATCTCTCACCCACATACCGGTACCAACCAAAAACACCTGCGACGCCCCCTGCTGCCGGCGCCCCATGACCCACGCGGGCTTCATCGCACCAAACACCCACCATCCTCTCTTCGTCAGTGTCTCATCATATATATATTTTTTTATCCTCTCTTCCCGCCTCCCATCCCCTCCCTCCTTACCCGCCTCCCCGCTACCACCACACCCCAGCCACCCCCATCGGATCCGCCGCCGGTCCCTGCACCCCCAACGCCGCCCCCATCGCCCCGCCCAACAGCCACTCCCGCGCCTGCTGCACCACGCTCCTCCCCGCCGGGTCCGTCGCCTCCGCCACCACCGCCGCCACGAACCCCAGCATGGCTGCCCGGCCCAGCCAGCGGTGCGCCCCCGGGTGCAGCAGCAGCCCCCGCGTGCGCATGCGCGGCTGTAGCTGCCGGTGTACGGCAGCCAGCAGTACGACAAGCGCGAAGGCGGCGGGTACGGACAGCGGGTGGCGTGCGGCCTGCTGCGCCAGGGTGGGGCTGGGCTGGCCGGTTGCCTCCTGCAGCAGCCCGGCGGTGAGGCCGATGAGCGCCAGGCGGCCGTTGAGCAGCTCCACGGGCCGCCAGAGGGCCAGCTGGCAGGAGGAGGGGGGAGAGGCGGAAGGGGGCAGAGGGAAAGGAAGAGGGCAGAGGGAAAGGAAGGGGGCAGAGGGAAAGGAAGGGGGCCAGAGGGTTTTGCGAGTGTGGGATGCAGGCATACAGTGGGGCAGGTGTACAGGGGGAATGTGATGCGACGCGCGGATGCCCAGAAGGCCTCTCAAAGCTCTGCTCTCGTTCTCTGTGCCTGTTTACCGTCCTCGCCAGCACACGCCCTCTTGCCTCCTGCGCACTGCGGCGCGGCATGTGCGTCCTCCTTGCCTCCTTCTCTTCCCCCTTCCCCAGTATCCCGCCTCGCCCCTGCCTCGCCCCTACCCGCCTCACCTGCATCCTGATGAGCTCCCCCTGCAGCCGCAGCACCTGCAGCTGCATGACCACATGCGCTACCGGGTGGTCGCTCCACCACTCCTCAAGCGCGCAGCACACACGCACCTGCTCCCCCGCCGCAGCCGACAGCGCAGACAGCGCCTCGTGCGCCTGGTCGGCGGTCAGGATGGGGCCGCCGCTGCTGCTGCCGCCGGGGAGGGCTGCATGTGCGGCTGCTTGGCTTGCTGCTGCTGAGCCGCTGCTAACGGCTTCTCCAGTGACAGCGCTGCCCCCAGGTTGCTCCTCCTGCTTGGCTGCCCTAGCCCCGACCTTGCCAGCGTCATCGTCATCGTCATCATCACCGTCCTCGTCGTCGCCGCAGTCATTGGCGGCGGACGCACCTCGGCGGCCCAGCAGTCGTGTCATGATGGGCGGCAGTGGAGCCCTCGTCCTCCTGCCGCTGCTCCTGGAGCCGGGCAGCAGTCGCAGCAGGCGCCCGGGCAGCAGCGCGGCGGCTAGGAGCTGCCAGCCTGGCGAGCGTGACCAGGGCGGGGAGGAGAAGGCGCCGTCGTCATCGTACATGGCAGATGACGTCGCCGGCGGCAGCGGCGGCGGTTGGCGCCTGCTGGGTATGAGGCCGGGGGCTGCAGCGAGGTCCCGCGGCTGCGGCTGCGGCGTGCCATGAAGGCTTGCGGAGGCCCAGGGAGCTCCGCTGGCGCGGCCCTCAGCCCCTGAGGCGGATGGAATAACGCCCGGAGGTGCTGCTGCTGTCACGTGCGGAGGTTGAGGTTGTTGCGGCGGAGGCGGCGTGCGGGCGCTGGGTGAGTAGTGCACCACGGCGGCCGGGGGCGCCGCAATGCCGCCATGGCGTGAGGGTCCACCGCCGCCGCCGCTGACGCTGCTGCCGGCGCTACTTACAAGGACCGCAGTCGCTGCCGTCGCCGCGGTACCGGCGGCGGGAGCAGCGTCAACCGGTGTGTCGTACAAGAGCTCCCGGTAGCGCTGACCCAGCTCGGCGGGCGGGCGGGAGGTGCGCGGCAGCAGCAGCCCAGCCGTGGTAGCTGCCGCCAGAGAGGGGAAGCCGGAGCCCACTAACGCGGGAGGCCCGCCTGCACGGCGGCTGCCGGCGGCGGCATCCCCACCGCCGCTGAGCATGTTGTACATCATTGTACGACGGGCGTCGCTTCTTGAGCGGTGCAGCCGCAGGTGGCGCTCGAGGGCCTCCCTTGCCGCCGCGATGGGCGGATGGGCTGCCTCCGCCGGTTGCCGTGCATGTGTCGGCAGGTTAGCATGGCCGGGTGTGGGGCTGGTCAGGGGCCTGGGAGTGGTGGTGGCTGGCGGTTGCGGGGGCTCTTGAGTTGTGCGTGAGAGCTCCGTGTGTAACGGCGCGGCTGCTGCCGAAGCTGTAACCTCGTGCTGTGCTGCTGCGGCTTCTCCTTCTTGCCCTCCAGGAAAGATGAAGTTGAAATCGTGACCGGCTGGATGTGTGACCTCGCTGGCAAATTGCAGAGCACTTGAGCTGTCAGATGACGGTGCAGCAACTGAGCTGTGGTCAATAACCAACTGCTGCGCGGTGCTTTCGCCATCTCCGGAACGGGCGTAGCTGGTGGCAGCAGGGAAAGTTACTGAGGAGAAGGTTGTCGAGCCTTTGTTATGGGTTGTTGTCGGGTTGCCTTTGTTGTCTTCACAATTTTGAGCTGCGCTTGTTTGGAAATTGCTGCTGCTGACATCGCTCCTTTCACCCTTCTTCCTGTTGTGTTGGTCGAGTCCGTCAGGGCTGCGAGTAAATTGGCCGCTCAAGTTAGGCCTAGCAACTGCTATGCGGCAAACAGAAGCACCGCGCGGAGCGATGACCTTGCTATCTTTCCGAAACTGATACCGGTTATCAAGGCGAACGCCCGGGGCTATCATCCTGCAGTTTGGAGCCTTGGCGGTTAAAACATGAGATCTCTGCGTGTCTTTCTGTTGCCCTTTACCTTTCCCGAGCAGAAGCTGAAGGACTTGCTTGTTGTCGTGGCGGTGACACACAAGGCCGATGCCATGTAGCAGGATTTCATTCCCGCCATGCAGCGCGAGCAGAACCTGTAAAGTAGCGCCAACTCGTCTGAAGTTTAAGCGTTAATGTCTTGAAGTAACTCGCATAGCAACCGCGCAAAGAACAAGTACTATAGTAACAAGTGACCCACGGGCCATAGTTCGAAAGCTGTGCGCCGGCGATCGCACTCCAGTCGCATAGTAGATGCGCCATTGAGCCATGCGCCATATCAAATGCTGCCATACCACACCTACGTCTGCATTAGCCTTTAAAGGCTCAGGGCTCAAGCGCCAAGTGGCCACGGCGCGAAGATTGAACAACACAACGGTGAGCACCCGATGCGTAGCCATCGTATAATACTAATACATGCGTAACTATACAACCATTATACCATTGAATGCCATCTTCAAGCCACAGCGCCCCCAGTAACTCCGTGCCGTGGCAACAACGCACCTGCCGCGAACACACCCAAGCCGATATGCCACCAACGACATCCCTTCCCACAGGCCGCCGCCCCTCCGCCCGCCTGCAAGGTTCTGTTCGCCGCCGCAGCAACCGACGCCACAGCGGAGCTCCCCTCAACCGCCATGATGTACGAGTTACGCGGCTGCCGTACATCTTCTGGCAGCCCGCCGCTCACGTTAGCTGCCTGCGCCGCCGCCTGCGCCGCCGCCGGTAACACGCCTGCCAGCTGCTGCTGCCGGGGCACCTGACCGAGCTCGTCAAGCAGCGCGATGGCGGCAGCCGCATCAGATGTCCCGGGGACCGAGCCGTTCGAATAGGTTGCGTTGCCCACACTTGCGTTACCACTCCCAGCGTTACCGGTTGCGTTATAGGCAGTCTGGTTGCCTCCGCCGCCACCGCTGGTTGCGTTTCTTGAGGTGTTGTGCACGTTCGTTGTGCTGTTGTTGCTTGCTGCTGCTCCTGCGGTTGCGGTTCCCGTTGCCTCCCGCTGCGCCGCCTGCAGCAGCTCCGACAGCTCTGGGGCCGTTTGCAGCACACTCCAGCTGGCCTGCTGGCTCAGCAGGGTGACGAGCTCCGTGGAATAGCGCGTAGTATAGGTTGAGATATAGGGGTAGTGCCGTAGGTCGCTGGAAAGAGGGTGTGGCAAAACGGGGGTCAAGGTCGCGGCCATTCCAGTATTGCAACATCGCTTGGATTAGCAACCTGATCATAGCCATGCATCAAGGCTGTTGCCAGGCGATGCAGGGCTAAAGGCGTAGCGCAACCTAGCTAAACGCACCTGTCCTTGTCGTTGCGGCTGTCATTTAGGAAGGTTCGCGTGTCATTTGGGAGCTGATCTTCCCACTCGCGGCTCTGCATGTTGATCAGCCAGAGTACCTCCACCTGCCAGCCGCCGGTGATGGCTTGGGCGGCGTTGTCCAACACCGGGTACGACGCGCGGTGTATGGCAGGTTGGCCCATCGCCAAGCCGCCGTACAATGCACCGTACAGTTCAGCATAGCCCTCTTGCGGGAACACCTGCAACGAGGCAACAACGTAAGGGCAACGCGGCCGGGACAGACCCCTAGCAAGAGCATGGACGGCAAGGCTGGCGTTCAAGCCAGGTTCCTGTGAAGGGTGGACCCTCAAGCCTCCTCTGGGCCCAAGCAGTGCTTCTGCCCAGCAGAGCACCGCACCTCTCATGATGCTATGCCATTAACGCCCTTCCTGCGTTCCTACACGCTGGCTTCCGCTTGCATACGTTGTAATGCATGCACACCGTACTTGCACAAAACACAATGTACTGATATATGTGATTATTCTGATTAATGCCCCCTGCAATGGCGCCCCGCCCACCTGCAGGGCCTTGTTGAACACGCCCGGCTGCACTCCCATGATGCCCTTCTTCATCCCCTCGTAGCTGGTGATGTTGGGCGGTACAGCACCGAACAAACCCGCCACGTCGTGCTGGGCTGTATGCGCGGCGTATGGAAGGGGCCACGGGGAGGAAAGAGGCGTGGCATCGTCAATTCGTCATTGCGACGAAGCGCAAGGGCACGATATGCTTTGGAGGACAATTGCCAAACACTACGCAGTACTGAGATCCCCTGCCAAATGGATGCCATGGTCACACACGCAGAGCTGTCATGCGCTGCTTTCCTGGTGAACCCTCCACCCTTCGCTCCTTGGGGTTCTGACCGTACCTACGGCCCAGTCCGTGGGCGAAACGTCGGCGGAGTTCAGCGATGCAACGCACGCCACGATGTGGGTTACACGGCGTCGCAGCAGGGGCGTTATGGCCAGGTTGTCCACTCCCGCGCCGTCCGCAAATGACAACGTCCCGCCCTTGTAATCTAGCTGGTTCCTGCCGGCGCGGGTTTAGAGAGAAGGTTCAAAAAGGAATGGGGTCCAGATCATCCAAATATGGGCCCATGCGGCATGCTTCTTGTGTTTGGTAACGGCTCAGACTGCGCTGAGCCGAGGCACCGAGTGCCATGTATCAGGGTATGTACTGCTGGGTCCACCGCTCCACTTTGGTCAGCCTTTCGCAGCCCAGAGCCTTCTGATCCCCGTATTGTACGGCGCGTCCTCACCAGTACTGCAGCCGTTCCGTTCCTGTGAGCGCAAACGCCGCGCTGCTCTCCGGGCGCACACCCTGCGCCACGAAGCTGGAGGAGATGCCCACAAAGGTCGACAGCGGCACAAGCATGGAGGGTGTGACGTTCACTGCGCCCTGGTGGGGAAACCAGGCAGGCATCAGCCTGTCAGAGACAGGAAGACCGTCAGGGAATGCCAAACCGCGCCATGCACCGCCCCACCTGCAGTCCCACCGCCTGCCCCCCTACGGGCCGGGTATCCGGCGGGGCGCTGTTGAACCCCAGCGGCTCCACGAAGCCGGCTCCCAGCGCTGGGGAGGCGCTGGTATTGCGGGCGGGGTCGCCCAGGTAGAGCGGGGTGACCTGGGGAAGCAGGAATTGAAGTAGGTGTCACCTGACAGCACAATCGAGGAGACTGAGCAGCTATGGGGTGCGTGATCTGTGCAGCTACCGTGGATGAGACAGAACGCTGGCGTCGCACTGCCATATTACCGGAGAGCTGCCAAAGCGCCTTAGCCTCAAGTGCCCATGCTGGTCACACCACCCCCCCACAACATACCCGCACCTCCATATCTCCTACCTCGAAGGGGTAGAACACCTGGTCAGTCAGCACCCGCATGATGGACCCCAGTATGATGGGGAAGGGGCGGTCCGGGGAGCTCATGGCAGCATACAGCGGCACACCGGGGTAGGCGGCAGCAAGCCGGGCGCTCACGTTGCCGCGGGTGCCCTCGCACGTCAGGCTGCTGTTCTGCGGGAAGCAGGCGGCAGGCCAACTATCGGTGAGGTTACGGATACGGGCGGAGGGTTGGAGCTGCTCAGGGCTTCTTATCAGGCACATGACCACCGCCGCACCTGCAGCCCTAATCCGTAGGGGTAGTAGAAAGCCTCAGCGATGGCCGCCGTCCAGCCGCTGAAGCTCCCACGGCCCGGCACGACTGGCAGGCGGGGTGGAGGACAGGCACACGTATAGGCAGGAGAACACGGTAAGCGGAGGCAGACACATATGCATGGCTAGTGCGTAGGAGAAACCACGATGTAACATTCAGGGAGGCCCCTGCACACGACCCCAAAGCTTTCTATCTCACACAGGTCTTTCAGCACTCCCTTGATCGCATCGGCTAGAATATTCTTGGCTGCAAGCGTGTCCCCGAATGAACCGGGGGGCAGCAGCGAGGGGGAGCCTAGCACGTCGCGGCTCAGGTTGGCTGGCGGCGAGTAGGGCCCCAAGAAAGGGCCCAGCGGGAACTGCAAGCACGGAGAGGGGTGCCGGTTCTGTCATTGCTGAACTGGACACGGACAACACTCTCCCATGCACTCACCCCTCCAAACGACATGACCCCATTAAACCAGCTGCCTCCCGAGTTGGAGCTCAGGTACCTCATGTGGGGCAGCACGCCGAGCTGCAAGGAGGGTAGGGAAGCAGGGTCAGGGTCAAGCACAGTCTTGTCAGGCATTAGAGGTGCGAACGCCTATCTCACCATGTGCAGTCCCCGCACCCACCCCAGCGAGAGGGTTGCTGCCCGGTACCCGCCCCCGCTGAGCGCCAATCCCAGGTTGGGCTTGGCCTGCAGCGCGGGCACCCCCCACTCCCCGCTGCGGCTCAGCTCGGGGTACTCGAAGCCGGGCTGGTCGGCTCCCGACCACACGAACACCGAGGCGGGAGCATCGGGACGGTGTACCTGCGCGGCCGTTGGGAAGGCAGTGGTGGCCGGGTGGCCGCCGTTGTGGAAGAAGTTACAATGCGCAATGAAGTACTGCAGTGGCTGCAATCCATTGCAATTGCATACCTCTTATAATTATTGGGCAGGTTATCAGGCCTTACCGCTGCGCTAGTCGAGGAGGCCGAGAGCCAAAAGAAGCAGGCCGCAGCTGCAAGCACCGTCATGACTGTCGAGCAGCCAGGGTTGCCTAAAGAGGTTAGCATATATACACTTGTATGTAGAACTGAAATCTAACCGCGCCAGTTCACAACTGTACTTCAGCAACGTAGGCGGCGTGTCCCGTGGTTCGCCGAGGGATAATGTAATTAGGGGACCGCTGCAGCCGCAATTAATCTCAACATGCAAATAAACATTTACATTTACTGTTGTTTAAAGGGCATGCAATGGACGCACGCAAGCAAGGCTCCGTCCTACGTTACCGCACGCCTCCATCCGCTATTGATTCGACAAGCAATTGAAATCACTTCATAAGCCGCTACACAATGTATACTTGCAAGACGTGCTGTGCCCCAAAAGCACGACACCGTTGCAATCACGTGACCAGAACGCCGCCGCCAAGCGGCCGTACCGGCTTTATTTCCACTCCAGGCTAGCGGTCGCACACCGTACATCAGCTGCATTATCCGGGAGCATTAGTTGGGGCCTCTATTCGGTGCCTACGCGCATTGCGACTGGCTGCCGGGACCCGGCACTAGCAGGCCGCTCCAGGTCTGTGTACGTGTGTAGCCTTGTTTGGCAGTCCCCAGCAATGTCCCGCATTGCATCCTGCGCCGCTGGATAGGCGCGGGGACGCCGCTAGGGAAGGGGTACCTGCAAGTAGGAAAGTGTGTCTCCTCGAGGGAATGGGAGGCGAGTAGGCGGACGCATGTTGCGTGTTGCAGTAGTGCAGTACAGCAAACCCTACGGACAAGCGTGTTAACCAGTCAGAAGCTCGGCTTCATAATTGTAATGGGCCAGTACCATAGGTAGGGCCACCAGGAAAAGGTAGACGAGGGAATTGTTGCCAAAACACACACGCATATGTACACAGCCCGATTGGGACTAGCTTTGTTACAACACACCCAAGCATGCATATGCGCACCTTGCCACCTCCTGCATGTTGCAGCACTTACTGTGTCAATAGCGCCCAGCGCGCCCACCTACCCCCTAGCCGACCATCACATTAAGCTTGTTAACAGGAAGTTTGTTGCCAGGTAGGGGCTTCCAAGGGATTATCGCCCCACTGGGGTTTGTCTTCCCGTCCTGCCTCGGTAACATTTCACTATCGGAAATACCGGTAATTCAACTCGCATGTCTTACTGCTTGGTGGCCCAATGTATCTCAGGGCAAACAAAAGAACGCTTGCATAACTTAAATTCTGTCGAAACCATCTAGTATCACTGTGGGCTCACTGATATAGCTTATTAGGCAACTTGTTTGCAGGCTTTGCTACTGCAAGCTAGTTGCGCGTGGATTACTTGGATACGCAGTACAACAAGCATTACATCAATTGAGGTCAATGGGGAGATCAATGTAAACTTTATTTAACCAACGCATGATCTATATTATTTTAGGTCCCCAAGCGATTGAAGCGGCGTCGGTTGACAAGTGTCGGTAGTCCAGTACTGCGGGATCATCTACCATTGGAGTTGCTTATTAAGATTCTGGTTATAATATATGTTTTAGCTGTGATAGCAACCTTTATGGCGGGTACATGGCGATGTCTTCAGGTTAGTGCCGGTTAGTGGCTTAGTGCATATGTCAGGTGCCAATGCACTGCTTTGATAACGACATCCGTGTTTCGGTCAGAGTCATACGTTTTCGTGTGGTAGGCCGTTAACTTTAATAGTCGCTTACGGATGCTTACCTAAGCCTTGTGGGACGAGCATCTCCGTAGTAACAGGCGGGCATGGCAAGTTGTATTAGAGCTATTGTAAGAAGGTTAACAGAAGGACACGGATACTAGTTTAAGCGTATAACAACCTTCTCAGGGTCCTTTTGTCATCTTCCATATAGGGATAGTAAGCACCTCACTCCTCCGCCGATCTATCGCCAGGGAACTTGTCAGCAAGCACGATCGAAATGCGACCACATGGTACGTCTATATGGCGTTGCCGGCTACCAAATCTGCTGCCGCCGACTGAATACCGTTCGAACTTCACTTCACCTTCACTTCACCTTCATTTTTCTCCATGATAGGCATGCATGTCCCAGTGTTCTCAGTTAGAATTCATGCATCGTGGCCTTGGGGCGCGGTTCAGTGGCCCATACGTACCTCTCTGCTTGTTCGTATCTCCTCCCTATATCCCTTCTGCATTTACTTCAATGTAGATACATGCAACTGTGCAAAACGGGGGAGTTCCGTCGCCCTAGTTACGCTTGCGCTGCTTGCCTGCAGTCTCCGGTAGGTCTAGTTCGCTGCGCTTGCTATGCCCTGAAGCAACCTCCCGAACACCCGGATCATGCATGCTGGACCCTCATGCAAAGCACGCCGTGTGTGGCGCTGTAACCGGGGAAGCCCTTTGCCTGCTGTCCCTCTACATATGCGCCTCCGCTAGCTGCGTCCCTTCACATCCTCCATGCAACCACAACGGTTGCACCTTGCAACCGCCACGTACAGGTTCGCAGGTGCCGCCACTGTCAAGACAAAGACCAAGTATCTCTACGCGTGGGCAGGCGCCCAGGATCCAGCCCTTGCAAGGGACTCGCTCTTTGTGTTCAGCGTGCAGCCCGGCCCTGATTTTGGCAAGCTGCTAAACATTGTAGAGACTCCTTACAATGGACTGGTAGGTTGCTGCCCCCTCCGTCCGGGGATGGGGCGTACTACACTGGATGCGGGAGGCATGCATGTAGTCAGGCTGTCAGGAGTTTCTCCTCCTTGGGGTGCGCGCATAGGTCTTTGCCTCCCACTACATTCCAACGGTTATGGCTGTGCTTTTCGGGCCTTCACGTCCTCTTAAATGCATGCAAACAGCAGTTTGTATGACCCTTGGCAGTACTACCAATACCAGCCACCACTATTGGCAACATAGCTTAAGAGTTGCGTATGGTTTGCAGCGTGGTCCCTATGCCCTGTGCGTAGTACCGGTAGTTCCGGCCGTCAGGCTGCCGGTTTGCTTTTGCTGTCACCAAACACTTAGCCTGCGCGGTACCTGTGATGCAGTAGCGCATGTGTTGCTGCCAGCATGCAGCTCTGCGAATGGAAGCCAATCAAGCAAAGCACGGGCTATCTATGGCATCCGATGCCGGCTTGCCTGCCAGGTTTACCACCGCTTTGACGCCTGAGCTCTTCACCCTGCGCCCCATGCCGCTCTGCCACGTGCTGCCCCCTGGCTGCTTTGTCACGACTCTGTTGGCACGCGCCTGCTGGTCCCCCCTCACTCCACGCAGGAGCCGCATCACTGCCGGACCTCCGTCACCGGCCGCTGGCTGGCCTGCAGCTGCATGCTGGCCGTCTTCTTCAAGCTGCCTTCCATCATCTTCTTCAGCCTCGCTGATCCCGCCAAGCCTGTGATGCTGACCAATGTCACCCTTCCTATCCACAGCGCCGTCGCCGACGAATTTGTAGCCACGCCGGATGGCGGTTTCCTGGCAACCATGATGACCAATGCCAGCGGCTGGGCACCTGGTAGGGTGGCGCGCTATGATGGGAACCTCAACTTGGTCGGAGAGTACCCACAAGACCTGAGCGAACTGGCCCCCGCACCCGGCTTCAACCCGCATGGTGCGTGGGATGTAGGCCGGCTCATGAGTAAAGCACCTTTTTGCAGCTAGGCTGGAGCAGGCTAGGGGATGGCATGCTGGCCCCTGCAGCAATCGCTTTGTTTCTTATGGGGCTGACCTGTATTTGTTAGCTTGGCAGAGTGAAGACGTGCAGCTTACTTAGCACGAACGGTGCGGGTGAGGTTGATCGGCAGCTGCGAGGTTGGGGCAGAGCGGAAGATCATTACCCTCATTAGCAGGACACCGGGTCTGACTGCACAATGCTGCAGCTCCATTCTAGCACGCCATGCACTCATCGCAGCAAGGGCGTGCATACCGTGCACCCCACCTCATGCAATGTGCCACAATCGGACTCTTGCTACTCGGATGCTTAGCTGTGCCTACCTGCCAAACGGTTTCCCCAGGCATTGGCGCCGACTTCAAGCATCAGACGATGCTTACCGTGGATTACTTGGAGCCCGCAAGTAGCCTAGTGGGCAACACTCTAACGTACAGGAACACCGCGCGGCTGTGGAGCCTGAAGAACATGAGCATCATTGGAACGTACGTCCTGCCGAAAACGGAAAAGTCGAAGGGCGCAATGGACGCCGTCGCCATTGGCGAGACAGGTATGGGGCGAGGGCTGGAGGTCGCTTACCGGTACGCAAACCTAAAGCGGCGGTGGTACATAGACGACGGAGTGTCACTGTCTGTTCACGACGACCGGTATTTGAACCATGCAGTCGGGGCAATTCAGTGCGCGTGGATGGCGTGTAATGCGTCCTATTGATCCCCTGCTGCCTCCTATTAATCCCCGAGCGTGACTTTCCGTTCCACCACCTGCAGGAGCCTACTACCTCACAGGGGGTAACGGCTATCTCTACTACCTGGACGGCCAGAAGGGGAAGAAGGCAATGCCGGAGGTATGCCCTTGGAGCTCTTGAGCTATCGGCTATCATCGACAAGCAAGCCCCTTAACCTGCTGGTTGCATTTGGATGCAGATTGTCTACAACTCTGGAACACGCGACTCGGTGTCCTGCATCCTGCAGCCCTTCCGCGGAGGCACGCGTCTGCTGTTGGCCATGTTTGGCTTGGATCGGGTGGGGGCCAAGGGCCGGGCGGGCCTACAACCAGCACCACGGATACACGCGTGTGGCCTGTCACCTAGATTACGTACAGGGGCCAGTTGAGGCCCCGTCGCTGTGCTACAGCTGCCACGCAAGCTTGTGCTGTGAGTTGTCGGCCCGTCTGCTTAGTTTCCTCAAGAGCCATGCCTTTCCCTAGCTGTTTCTTCTCCCGCCATCATCTCTTGCGAATCCGCCGTCAGGTGCTGCTGATGGATACGACCAACCCCCGGAAGCCAATGCTTCTGGACATATACCAGTTCCCTCTTGGCACCGGTAAGGCTTGAATTCCTATCATTATAATCCGTTGGTTTGTATTAGAAGGACCGGGATACTGTGGGAAGCTGCTGGCACGTGTTTCAGACCGGTACCTGCTCTGATGACGTACGGTTGTACTTGGCGTCTAGTGGGTGTGAGCAAAAGCTATAGGAAGACATGTTCACCCGTGCATGCACACACGCACTGCACACATGTCTTTCCTTGGCATGTAAGCATATAGTTTGGGGAAATCCATCGCATCATGAAAGCCCCCTAACCCTGGGAAAGCCTCAAGGCGGCCGCACTCCATTGCTCGACCCAATCGACCCACTCCGCACAGGCGGACACGTGGTTCGAGTCTCCAACAATGAGAAGCTTGCTGCCGTCGCCACTTACTTCTTGGAGGAAGGGGCCATTGGACAGGTATATGGGGTGCTGGCAAGGGTCTTGTGCCTTATACAGTTGGTAAGCATGGAAGGTTGCCAGATCCAACCCTATCACCTGTCGTTGGCTCCTTCTTCTTGCGCATTTCTGACATCAAACGTACGGCGGTGTGCCTTTGCCTTTTACCCTCGTGATGCCCCCAGATTCATCATCCCGGCGACTGCACCATTCGCTTCCTGAGACTGAACGCACAGGGGACACGGTTTATTAGGGATGAGTGGCCCTATACCCGCAGCCCCGTGATCAACTTCACCGAGCTGTTTCCCGGCAAGGGAGGATTCCGCACCCACGGGGTGGCATTCTTGTAGATGGGTCATGCTGCTGTCGACATAGTACCGCATGATGACCTTACTAATTATGCAGGTTAGGTATCTGTTTGGCACCGCCACTTACGCGTTAAGGCGCGATTGCACCTACATACGGAGACGTCCATAACAAGGTAGCCTCATTGCGGAGACAGGGTTGCATGCATTGCACGTGCATCTGCAGGTCTGCATGCATGGCATGTGCGTTGCGTTGTGCCTCCCAGCTGGGCCCTTATTTGCTGCTTTGAGGGTCGTACCAAGGTCATGGCCCGTTACTGTGGAGCCCTGCTTTGTTGCTGGGCTGTGTTAGACCCTTATAGTGTTATAGATAGGACTGTGTTGTTTCTTGGTTGAAGAAATCCTCGTCATTGTGATAGCCACTTTTACATAGATCGGATAGATGTATGCGCCGGAAATGCTCATAGTGCATATGGGAGCGCATGCGGTATGCTGGCAGACTCGCTATGTGTGCTGTGCGGATGTTCAGGGCAGACGTCGAGGTACGGTATTGCGTAAGTTAACCGGATTATCGGCTAAGTTTGTGATTCGAGTGTTTCGTAACGCTCCGCCGGGGTCCTGGTGCCGTGACGGTTGAAGGAGAAAGGCGGTTAGAAGTTCTCCGGTAGGTATGAGTATCTGCAACCGAATAGGGTATTGAGTTGCTCCTTTATGTAGACGTGCGTTTTTGTATTGTTTTGTATTAAGCATATGTCAATGTTGATAACATGTATTATTGAAGCTCGCATCGAATCGTGCCGAGCGAGGGCGTTCGCCTAGTAGAAGGCGTGGGGCAGATGGGTAGCCGGTTACTCTTTCGCAATTGCCGCACATCAGTAACATGGGGTAGTTACCGTGTTGCGCGGTGGCCAGCTGTCAACTTATAAGCCAACATATGCCTCTTTGAGCAGCCGCTAGTGCAAAGAAATAGGTTTGGGCTTCACATGAAATACCATGGGTGTATGCACGAGGTCCAACCTAAAGGCAGAACCCGCCTTTCATGAAATCAAACTGAAAACCTGTACTGCTGGATCCGCTGGGTAGCTGTGGTCGTAATTGATAGCATTTCGAAACACACTGCTCCGAGCCAGGATTCTATCCTAATCCTGTGTACGAAACAGCACCAGCCTACCAGCGCATGATACATCACGTGGTGTGTAAGAAACTGGTTTCGCTAATTGCCCTGTACAGCAAGAGCTGTGGGTTGCTAGGGAATATGACATTGCAATTGCTACGGTTACGAAGCGGCAAAGAGCATAAGGGGTGTGTTGTTGCCGAATTTAATATCATTCAGAAAGCTAGAAGGAAATTAATGGTATAAGTAAAAAATGTTCTATAACGATCTAAGACGCCAGTGGTTAATATCAACAATTAGAGAGCGAGCATACGGGACGCAAACTTCACGTGGATGCGCAGTACAACGGGCAAAATCATGCCCGTTGGCAGCACGGGAACAACGGGGAGCTCGATGGAAACTCTGTTAATAAACGCAATGCTTCTTTTTGCAGATCCAAAGCAGCTCAAGAGGCGACTAGTATCGTTAGTACTCCCAGGGGCAATCTACCGGTACGCTTGGAGTAGCTTAACCTGACTGTTACCAACTTACTTCTCTATGAGTTTGTGTTAGCAAGCTCGAAGGCGGTTAGAGGTAGGCGCAGGGGCACATGCCATAGTGGATACCGGCGCACTGCTTCGATAGTGTATTAAGCAAAGTAGATATACAGTCCACCTATTGTTGTCGCCTGTTTGGCCGTTAACTTCGGCACTTGTTTCCAGGTGCTTACCTAAGCCTTAGGGACGAGCATCTCCGTAACAACGGGCGGACATGCCCAGTCATGTTCAGGGGCACCATGTGGGTGGTCTACAGCAGGATAACGGATTACATTTCAGCAAAAACACCCTGCCAAGAATCTGTTTCCCATCTTTCATACCGGTTTAACGTTATAACGAAAACACCTCTTTCCTCTGCCGACCTCTTTCAACAGCGCTCTTGCAACAGACAAGATCGAAATGCGTCCATATGGTACGTATGGCGTTGCCGGCCACCGAATCTGACCACCGTTCGAATTTCACAGCCTGTGGCCATACTCCGGTACCTTTGTGCTTGTGCTTATCTCCTTTCCTTACTACCATCTGTTGTAGATACGCGCATCCGTGCAAGGCGAGGGCAACCCGTTGCCTTGGCTATACTTGCGCTGCTTGCCTGCAGCCTCCGGTAGGTTGCTTGCTAGCATACCTTGCCGGTTTCTCGTCCACTGCGCTTGCCTTGCCTTGTAAAGGCTGTAATCACCTCCAGAGCACCTCGCTTATGGGCGGCTAAGGACTAGGGAAAGCCCTTTGCTTGCTGCTGTTCCTACATGTGCATGCATGTCCTCTATTTGGCACACAACCTAGAGGCTGTTGACATCCTCCATGTAAACAGAGCTACCGCCAACTGCAGGTTCGCAGATGCTGCCACTGCACCCGCCAAGACGTCCAAGTATCTCTATGCGTGGGCAGGGGCCCAAAACGCTTCCCTTGCGAGGGACTCGCTCTTCGTCTTCAGTGTGGAAGACGGCCCCGACTTTGGCAAGCTACTAAACATTGTAGAGACTCCTTACAACGGACTGGTAGGTCGCTGCCGCTTCCGTCCGGGGCAGGGGCGTTGTACGCTGGACGTGGGAAGCATGTAGCAAGGGTGGACTTTAGGATGCGCGCATGGGTTAATACCCCACAACAGGTTGCAACGTTCACGGGCCATTTGGGTCTCCCTATATGCCTAGTTTAGATGCATACCAGCAACAGATTGCGCGACTCTTGGCAGCAGTACTACCAAAATCATCACGACTTGCAACATTGCTCTGGAGTTGTGTACGGTTTTCAGCGTGCTCTCATTGCTCCGCCACGCCGGCGGCCACCAGGCTGCAGGCTGGCGTGTGCAGTCGCCAACAGCTCATCTGTGCGGTATCTGTGATGCTGCCAGAGTGGAGCTCTGGGATTGACGGTCAAGCTAAGGAACTGAGGCATGCGATTATTGCCAGCCTCCTTCCATACTCGTGCATACTGTTATGACTCCTGAGCCCTTCACCTCCGGCACCAACGCATGTCACCCCGCATGTCAGCCAACGTCTCCCTGGCTGCTTCCCCTTGCCTCCCCCTTCAGGAGCCGCATCACTGCCGGACCTCCGTCACCGGCCGCTGGCTGGCCTGCAGCTGCATGCTGGCCGTCTTCTTCAAGCTGCCCTCCATTATCTTCTTCAGCCTCGCTGATCCCGCCAAGCCCGTCATGCTGACCAATGTCACCCTTCCTATCCACAGCGCCGTCGCGGACGAATTTGTAGCCACGCCGGATGGTGGTTTCCTGGCTACCATGATGACCAATGCCAGTGGCTGGGCCCCTGGTAGGGTGGCGCGCTATGATGGGAACCTCAAGCTCGTCGGAGAGTATCCTGAAGATCTGAGCCAGCTCGCCCCCGCACCCGGCTTCAACCCACATGGTGCGTGGGACATAGGCATCTCCATGCGTGGCCCGAGCTTGGGCCCTCCAGCTGGATACATCTAGGCTAGAGCGGGCTAGGCATGCATGGCATGCTGGCCCCTGCGCTAGCTAGGCGTTTGTTGTGACAGCGTGGCCAGGTTAGCGAGGCCTGAGCGGCTCATCAGGCGGGGTTTGTCAGCAATATTGGGGCAGCAGAGCGGGAGCCATTAGCGTGGCAGCGGGTTACTGCAAATGCTGCGGCCCACCCCATCCTTGCATACCAGGCATTTCGCGCTCGGTCGCAGCATGGGTGTGCATACCGTGCACCCCGTCTCACGCACTGTGCCGCACTTGGACTATGGCCACTCGGATGCTTATCGCTACCACTAACCGAACGGGTTCCTCAGGCATTGGCGCCGACTTTACGCACCAGACGATGCTTACCGTGGATTACTTGGAGCCTGCGAGCAGCCTGGTGGGCAACACTCTGATATACAGGAAAACCGCGCGGCTTTGGAGCCTGAAGAACATGAGCATCATTGGCACGTACGTCCTGCCGGAGACCCAAAAATCAAAGGGCGCAATGGACGCCGTCGCCATTGGCGAGACAGGTATGGAGGGCTGGAGGCAAAGCGGTGATTGCATCTTAGTGGAGTGTACCTGCTGTCTGCTGTCGCTCACGGCGATTCGGCTCTTGCACTTGGCAATCGAATGCGCGTGACTTGGCGTGCTATACGCCAGGACCTTTCACATTCGTACTGCCTCCATCCCCTGCCTCATATTCGTCCCCGTCTCGTCCCACCTCCTACAGGTGGATACTATCTCACAGGAGGTAACGGCCGTCTCATGTATTTGAACGGGAGCCTTGGGGAAAAAGCAGTACCGGAGGTATGCTCTGGGAGCTGTGAAGCCAGCTGGCTAACGTTGCTGTCACCGACATACATGCTCCTAATTTTGGCTGCATCTGGCACGCAGGTCGTCTACCATCTTGGACCGAAAGACGGCAGTGCCGTGTCCTGCATCTTGCAGCCCTTCCGCAGGGGCACGCGTCTGCTGATGTCCATGTTCGCCTATGGCTATGTGAGTACCAAGATCCGGGAGGGGCCCTACAATTAACACCATACACCCCGGCTATATTCGTGCTGGGGGCAGCTGGGGCCCTGTGACTGTACGATTAAGCATGAATACTTGTCGGCTCATCCGCCTAGTTTCCTCAAGCCACGTTTTCTGCTTGTTGCCCATTTCCTAACGTCACCCCCTACTGATTGCCATCAGGTTGTGCTGCTGAATACGACTAACCCCCGGAGGCCTCAAGCGCTTGACGCTTATACGCTCCCTTATCGCGCCGGTAAGGCACTCTCCTTATCTTTTTCGAGGCTGCGCAGCTGTGGTAACCTGCTGGCTCCTGCTGCTAATCAGCAGCGCACATAACGTTGTGGTTGCACATGGCGTGAGTGAACAAAACCTGCAGGAAAGCTGTATCAAAAGGTGACCATTGGTAAAGAGTACATTGCATGCATGTACGGCTTTCATTAGCAAGCAAGTAACTGGGGTTCTCTGTCATGCAAGCTCTCATTCTGTGGGAGGGCATCACGGCGTACTGCACTCGGCTCTGCCGCTTGATCCCACTCTCACAGGCGGACATGTGGTCCGGATCTCCAAGGATGAGAGGCTCGTCGCTGTGGCTACCTACTTCTTAGACGAGGGAGCAATTGGCCAGGTGTGTGGGGTGCTGGCAAGGGGCTCGTACGTACAATGTCAGTTGGTAAGGATGTGAAGTGCCCACGCACAAGGCAGCCAACTAACCGTGCCCCGCCAGCCAAGGAACAGCAGCAGGTAACACATGGTCTATGTCTTTACAAGTGCCATCCTAGGTATGGTTCCAGGTCGGATTGCGTCACTTGTTGTCAGCGTCTTTTGCTTACCCGCCCTGAAATAAGCAAGGCTGCACCTGTTCCCTTTCCCTTTGTGATGGCCCCAGATCCACTACCCGGGTGACCGCACAGTACGCTTCATAAGGCTAAACGTTCCTGGAACGAGGTTTGTCACCAAGGAAGAGTGGCCTTACAGCCGGGGGCCCGTGCTTAACTTCACCGAGCTTCTTCCGGGCAAGGGAGGATTCCGAACCCACGGTCTTGCATTCCTGTAGATGCTCAGGCCTTGCATGCTGCTGTCAGCATACATCAAGATCCACAATGATCGTTTCGCTACTGCTACCCTGTATTTGCGCGGGAGGCCTGATTGCACCTACGTACGCACGGAGGTCATTGCAACCAGGTGGTCTCATTGAAAGAGGAGTGAGAGCACCTTCATCTAAAAAAGCGCATGCCACCACATTATTCGTGCAGCCAGCATGCATTGTATTGGGCCTCTCAGCCCGGGCCCCTCCACACTGCTTATGCGCTCTTTTGGAGGCATTGAGAGCTGTACGGGAACACTGTCCACGGCCTGTGACCATCTGTTACAGCCGGGCCCTGCTGTGTTACTGGGCTATGTCGGTTATTCGTAGATAGGACTGCGTTGGTTTTAGCTTGAAGAATAGCCATTGCCCCTTTATGATTCTCCCTCATGTTTACGCTTGCCAATTCGTGAAGCGGTATGCGCTGCATATGCGCACGCCGCACATCAGGGCATCTGCGATATGCTGCCAGCATACTGACCATGTCTGTTGTGTACATACACGGATGTTTCGGCAGACAAACGAAGCCATCTGTATGAAGCTAATTGCTAGGCCGTGCGTGGCATGGTGGTTCTAGTAACGCTCCGCCGAAAAACCTAGTGCCGTGTGACGGCGAGGAGGCGGTTAGTTTTTCAGTAAGCATGGGAGTTTTTTTACTAAACAGACAGGGTGATGAGTTGCTTCATTTGGCGTGCTTCCTCGTGAAGTGCAATGTAGGGTAGAGTGTTGCGCCATCAGATGTGCGTCAATGTTTGAAGCGGGTTTCGATGCCCCGTGCGTTTGGCTCCTTCTAGGCGTGGGGTACCAGTTCGATTTCAAGTGGCGCTGGAAGTCTTGCTTCTGTGATTCAGCTGGCGCGCCTGCCTAATGGTGCAGGAGTCTGCCTGCATGTAAAGTCAATGCGCTAATGTAGATGCATGTCCTGCCAATTTTTGTACACATACGGTGTTGTCAGTTTCCACGTGTCGCGGCTCGCTGGTAAGCAGTATGACACGAAGTCAGCCCCCTGTGCGGCTTTCAGGCAAGCCTACCTAGGCAAGCCTAGCAATTGATATAAATAATACCCGCCTGTGCCCCTTTGTCTCCATGACATCATCAGTGTAGCCGTGTCAATTTCTCTCCCATTAACCGCACATCAGAAGTATAGGCCAGGCTAGGCGATGGGACAAGCTGTCGTCTTCTATGCCGGCGTAGAGCTATGCCTGACAGAGCAGCCGCCAGTGCACAACGATAAATTTGAAAACACAACGAATAACCACGTATGCATGCACGAGTTCCTTGCCAAGTCCGCTCTCCATAAAATCAAACTGAAATCCTGTACTGCTGGATCCGCCGGAGGCAACCACTGGGTAGCTGCGGGCTTACTCTACAATATCATTATCATGTCAAAGCGCATTATTCCGAACTAGAACTTCTGTGTGCGCAAAAGCACCAGCCCACCAGCGCGGAGTACCTGTACATCACGTGGCCCGTGGTTTATCCTAGCAACATGTACTGCGGAATGGTAAGGATTTAAAACATTGCAATTGCTAGCTATGGCTACCAAGCGGCAAAGAGCAAAAGGGCGGATCGCGGGCATAGCCGGGAAACTGGGAGTGCGTCGTTTTAGTTTTCGTGTTTGCGTCGTTTCTTACGGTATTAACCAAGAAGCCTAGGGCCATAGGGCGCCGATGATTTGTACCAGTGAGGACGAGCATATGGACGAGCATCTCCGTAACGACGAGCAAATGGCGGGTTCGTGTCGGTTACAACCCCGTATATGGAACAGGCAATATAACAATAATTTGAAGCAACTTAGTACTACGATCCTGCAACGATTGAGTGCGTGTCGTTTGCGTTTGCGAGTATACCGTTGAGGCACCTCTTCCCTACATCCATTGCTGCGACAGCGCTTTAGCAGAAGACATATTGTCGAGAATGCGGGCACACGGTATGTCTGTTATTGCTGATGGCCTGTTGGCCTCAGGCTGTTGCCACCGGCGGACCATTGGCCGGACTTCGTCTGGGCTTCGCACCCGGGTGTTGAATGGAACAAGTGTTCTCAATGCATCTCAATGTGGTCGTTCCGTTTTCAACATGGCACCTTATTGAAGAAGCGCTATAGCTCGAGCTATCAGTGCCCGCATTGCATCCGTCCGTAACGTACATAAGAAGGCACCCCTTCTCTACCCACTTCCTGCAACCTCCGTCATCCATTCGTCGGTGCCACTGCAGCCATTGGCGCTTTATCCTTACGTTATCCTACCGTCGCTCTGACTGCTCTTGTTCTGCTCGCCTGCAGCCTCGGGTAGGTTGGCGCGCATTCTGCCTGTTCCCCGTCCACTGGGCTTGCCATGCCCTGTAACCTAGCAACCTAGCGCATAGCTTGCTGACGTCTTACTATATGTATGAAGACCGGCTCCCTTGTTGGCAAAGCCCGTTAGCGGCAAAACACGCTGAGCACTAACTGAGTCCCTCCGCGTCTCCTGACCCTGTAACCGCCACTGCAGGGGCACGGCTGCGGCCTCAGTACAAGCCTCGAAGTACCTCTATGCGTGGGCAGGGGCCCAAAACGCTTCCCTTGCAAGGGACTCGCTCTTCGTCTTCAGTGTGGCGCCCGGCCCCGACTTTGGCAAGCTGCTCAACACTGTTGAGACGGGTTACAATGGGCTGGTAGGTTGCTGCATTCTACGCCTGGGGCAGGGGCACGCTACATGGGATGTCGGAAGGCGTATTGGGGCAGGGTTCTACCTGCCCTGTTGAACACAGCGGGACTTACCCTTCCCTGGGAGCTGTCACGTCGTAGTGTTACCTGTACGCATGCCAGGGGCACAGATGATGGGGCCCCTGTCGGCACTGCTAGCTGCGATAGATATACCAGGGGCAGCATGGATGTGGTGATTGTTGGAGTACCTTTCACAGTACCTTAAACCCTGCAAGTTGGCGGGACCTTACTTGGTGCCCTGCACAGCCAACTGTTGTCTTGCGGTTACTGCCCACTAACATACAGCAGCTCATCGGCCTCTGAATCTTTCCTAGCAACATACGCACTATTGGCTTGAAAGTTATATCTCAATGACAGCCAACTAACCCAAACGGCTGTACGTGACCCCGTACTTCCGCTGTCATCCCTACCTGCTGCTGTCACGCAGGAGCCGCATCACTGCCGGCCCTCCGTCACAGGTCGATGGCTCGCCTGCAGCTGCCTGTTGGCCGTGTTTTCAAAGCTGCCCTCCATCATCTTCTTCAGCCTGGCGGACCCCGCCAAGCCCGTCATGCTGAGGAACGTCACCCTCCCTGCTCACAGCGCCGTTGCCGATGAGCTTGTTGCTACACCCGACGGAGGCTTCTTCGCAACCATGATGGCCAATGCCAGCGGTTGGACGCCCGGCCGGGTGGTGCGCTACGACAAGAACCTCAAGCTCCTCGGAGAGTACCCACAAGACCTGAGCGTCCTGGCCCCCGCACCCGGCTTCAACCCACATGGTGAGGTGTAGGCGGCTGCATGCATGAGGTGTCCGGCGGCATGGCAGTGGGCGGGTCCCTGCAGCTGCTCGGCTGCTGGACGCGTGCATGCGCGCGTGGCTGCAATGTGCACATGCATGAGGCAGCATGGCAGCAACCGCACACCACACACGCACGTGCATGAGCACCCTGCTGTACGGTGGTTCCTAACGGAGCGTCCTCCCCAGGCATTGGCGCCGACTTCAAGCACCAGACAATGCTCACTGCGGACTTCTTGGAGCCTGCAAGCAGCCTGGTGGGCAATACTCTGACGTTCCGCAAGACCGCGCGGCTTTGGAGCCTGAAGAACATGAGCATCATTGGGACGTACGTCCTGCCGAAAACTGCAAGCACGAACGGTGCCATGGACGCAGTGGCTATCGGCAACACAGGTCCGGCGGGCGGACTGGGGCTTGTGGGTGCTTACTTAAAGTGGTTGTGCTTGTGTTTGTGGTAGTTGTGGTGGTGGTCGTTGTGCCGGCCTGCTCACTGCGTATGCTGCATGCGCTTGGTATAATTGCTTGCGTGCGTGCGTGGCATAATTCGTGCGATGGTCCTCCTTCACGCACACAGCCTTACACCGTTGAGCCCTGCAGCGACCCTCCATGCCCATGCATGCACCTACTTTGAAACCTGTCAAGAGCTGCTGCCCCGTTGCATTCGCTACAGGTGGCTACTACCTCACAGGGGGTAGCGGCTACCTCTATTACCTCAACGGGAAGCATGGCAAGAAGGCAGTGCCTGAGGTATACCGCTGAACACCTAGATCCAGCAGGCTGACGTTGCTGTTACAGGCAGCCCCTTAACTCTTGTTGAATGCTGTGTTGCAGATTGTCTACGACGTCGGAACACGCAAGACGGTGTCGTGCATTCTGCAGCCCTTCCGCGGGGGCACGCGTCTGCTGATGGCACTGTTTGCCTTGGACCGGGTGGGTGCCAAGGTCTCCGGGGGGCTCCGTATAACACCTACCTACCATGGACATACCGGTGTCTCATGCCGTTTATTGGTTTTGCACGCACCCGCTGTGCATGCGTTGTGCATGCACTCCTGTCGGCCCACATGTGCAGTGTAGTGTCTCTCACAGGGTTACGCTAGCAACACTGTTCGCGACCCAACCCCCAGCGACCCTTTCACTGCGTCCTGACAAACCGCTGCCAGGTTTTGCTGCTAGACACGACCATCCCCCGGAAGCCAAGGATTCTGGATATCTACCAGTTCCCTCTTGGCACTGGTAAGCTTCCATCCAGCTTGTTCCTTTATGAGATAGACTCAGCAACCCCGCTGTCCACGTGTCCATGCGAATGCTGGTTGCTGTGTGCGGGCGTCGGCATGGCCGTCAAGTACATGCATCTGCATGTTTTCTTGCGCTTCTGTACATGCTTTCTGAACCGGAAATGCTCCCAGACGCCACAAGACATGACATGGTGAAGCCGTATGGCACAATCGCACCCTCACAGGCGGACATGTGGTCCGTATCTCCAATGACGAGAGGCTCGCCGCTGTGGCCACCTACTTCTTGGAGCTTGGGGCAGTTGGCCAGGTGTGTGTACAGCTTGCCGTACATGCATTGCTACTTTGGATACTGGTAACAGTGGAGGAGGCTGCTGCCTGACGACTGTCCTACCTACTGGAGCTTACATAGAAGTGCACCCCCTTGCGCGTCCTTTCCCCTCACTCCCGCCCCAGATCCACTATCCGGGCGACTGCACCATTCGCTTCCTGAGGCTGAACGCACAGGGGACACAATTTGTGAGGGATGAGTGGCCCTACACCCGCAGCCCCGTGATCAACTTCACCGACCTGTTTCCCGGCAAGGGAGGATTCCGCACCCACGGGGTGGCATTCCTATAGGTATACAGTTTATGCCGTAGCATCGTGATTACCGTAGCACTGAGAGCATGCAGGTTTGTATGCATGTTAAATACCCTGGTATGTGCCTTCCATAACGGGCGAAGTCATTGTTTGCAGCTAGATGGACTTAGCACCCTCCGTCCAGCTATTCTCAATGCAGAAGGGGTGTCATTGGGGGGAACATTGCTGAGAGCTCATGTGTTTATAATTTGCACAACACTGCCTGCATGCATGCTTTGCATTTGCATGGCAGTGCATGAGGCGTGATGGATTCCCGTACAATTCATCCATGTCAGCCCCCATGCATCTTATCGCGCTTGTGGGAGCTGTACGAAGAAATCCGTTCATGGCCCGAGGCCCACTACTTGGTACTGCTACTATTGGGTATTCATTTGACCGTGTCTTGGTTTGGCTTGGAAGGACTCGTCCTTCCCCTACCTTTAAATCGGACATCCTGTGTTTCATGCTCGTGAGTTAGGAGATATGTGGGCATCACCTGTGTTACACCGGGAGGTACATCAGCTTATGGCGCTGTACTTGGACTGGTTGCATGGGTGCAGCTGACCTGCTGGATGAAGGTGGTATAGAGCTGCACAGTCGTACATGTCGTGCGTTGGCATGGGTAGGTTGATGGTTGTTGGTTGTGGTGGTAAGTTTGTTGTGGTGTGGGCCACGCCGCTTGCAGGGGAACATCCTGTTCGCCACGTTTTGACATTGGTAGTAGCAGCAGCGGTTCAGCGGGGTGCCCTGATGCCGTGTGTCGGCAAGCAGGCAGGCGGCCATACCGTTAGTTTTAGCGCTCAAACCCTCCGGTCAATTTGTGTGCCGTACATGTTGGTGAACTTGACAAGTTGAGAGATGTGTCGCGTTGGGCTCGCCTTAGCCCAAGGGTATGGTTGTATGTTGTCCGTTGTCGGCTCGTCCATTACTACGTTGTAAGGATTATCGGCGGGCTACATTACCGGTTGGCCTTCGAGACGGCGCAAGTGAGCTGACGGGAAACAATATGTAACCGTACCGCCGTACAGTTCGTGTGTGAAGTGTGTAGAGTCCAATGAGTAAGGTCTATCCGTGCGCTCGGTTAGCGTTGGCGTTAACGTTAGTCGAACGTGTGTAAGGTTACATAGTTCCAACCCGCAATCCGGCACACCAACTCTGCGAGGTCCAAAGCAGCAACATACGAGGTCAACCGTGCCACATACGCCGCCACCAATGGCCCGACCGTCCAGCCCCTCCCGTTCCGCTGCTGCCCTGTTGGCTGCTGTTCGAAATTGTGGTGACCGTCACAGCAGGCGGGATGATGATAACAGGCGGGGATCCAGGCGGCCCCTCAACCGCCATGATGTACGAGTTACGCGGTTGCCGTACATCCTCTGGCAACCCGCCGCTCACGTTAGCTGCCTGCCGCGCATCCATGACGGCCGTGCCATTAACAACTTCCAATGCACTCGTACCGCTCGTAGCTGAGATGATCGTGGTCTGGTTACCCGTACTAGTCTTACTGCTGACGCTTGTTGTCGGTTTGGGTGCCGCGGCGCCTGCAGCACTTGTGGTTCCCGTCGCCCCCGCTCCCTGGCGCTCCCTCTCCCGCTGCGCCGCCTGCAGCAGCTCCGACAGCTCTGGGGCCGCTTGCAGCACACTCCAGCTGGCCTGCTGGCTCAGCAGGGTGACGAGCTCGGGCGTGTAGTTGGCAGTGAAGGTGGAAATGTAGGGGTAGTGCCGCATGTCACTGGGGAGGGAAGGCGAAGACAAGGCAGGAAAGGGCAAGTGTCGGCAATGTTGGAAAGGGCCCTATGTTGAGTGTCAAAATGGTTATGCTTTGTGAGAAGGGGAGAATCCCCATGGTCTTTTGACGTATGGACTGCATGCCAAGGCCACGCACCTCTTCTTTTTGTAACGGCTTTCGTTGAGGAAGGTTCGTGTGTCGACTGGCAGTTGCTCCTCCCAGTCGCTGATCTGCATGTTGAACAGCCACAGCATTTCCACCTGCCAGCCGCCGGTAATGGCTTGGGCGGCATTGTCCAAGACAGGGTACGACGCGCGGTGTACGGCAGGCCGGCCCGCTGACAAACTGCTGTACAAGGCGTTGTACAACTCGGCATAGCGCTCCTGCGGAAACACCTGCACGTGAAGGGCGGGTGGGCAAGGGGCCAGATATCGGTACGTAAGCCAAGGTGGCAGAGGCAAACACAAGAAGAATCATGACACCTTGTGTATTTCACCCAAGTCTGGGCCCACTTGCTGCCCTAGATGCGGCCACACATGGGACGCACGCACCTGATGAGCCGCATTGTACACGCCCGGCTGCACCCCATTGATGCCGTGCTTCCGATACTTCTTAGTGTTTGTGATGTTGAGCGGTACGGCACCAAACAGGCTTGCCACGTCATGCTGGGCTGTGCGAGGAGGACATACAGGGTTCCGGGGCAAACGGGCGGGCATGGGAGGCACGGCATGCAAGCGCATCAAGAGCAGCCGATGCAGTGCAGGTATGGCACGAAAGGGCAGAATGCGGCCATGCATGGCATGGCATAACCTGAGTTTTCCTAGAACAGGCATCATACGGCAGCCTTGACGTGCGCAATTCTGGACCTCAAGGCACGTATAGAAGACGGTAGAGCAACCACCCTCGATTTTATGCACCCTACCCGAGCAAACCATGTCAGCGTCCCATGGGTCACTTCTGTACCCCATCTGCGGCACTTCTCCTTTTGCAACCCTGTTGACCCAAAGGGCCCCCCCACACAACGCACCTATCGCCCACTCAGCAGCCGATATATTGGCGGGATTGACTGATGAGGCACAAGATACGATGTGCGTCACACGGCGCCGCAGCAGGGGCGTGATGCCTGAGTTGTCAGCACCAGCGCCGTCCGCAAAGGGAACCCTCGCACCGCTATAGTCCAGCTGGTTCCTGCGAGGAGTTGATACAGTTTGCAGGGCGACGTACTCGCAAAGCGTTACCGGTGTGTATATGGGGATGAGCAAGGAGGTTATGGCTTTAGCAAGCATGGGCTGGACGCTTTCCATCCCACGTATCTCACCAGTACAGCAACCGCTCTGTTCCTGTGAGTGCGTACATCGCGCTGTGCTCCGGACGCACCCCCTGCGAAATGAAACTGGACGAGATGCCCACGAACGTCGACAGCGGCACCAGCATGGAGGGCGTGACGTTCACTGTGCCCTGGTGGGGTGGGATGAGGCGCGAATCAGGGTGATAAACCACTCACGACAGAAGGGGGTGAGCACTCGGCCCCGGCCACACGGTCAGACATTGCTCGTGCACCCCTGTCCGCCTCAAACCCGAAGACCCCACCTGCAGTCCCACCGCCTGCCCCCCTACGGGCCGGGTATCCGGCGGAGCGCTGTTGAACCCCAGCGGCTCCACGAAGCCGGGGCCGAGCGCTGGGAAGGTGGTGGTGTTGCGGGCGGGGTCGCCCAGGTACAGCGGGGTGACCTGGGGAGGCAGGCATGGCATGTGAGCAATCCTACCAAAAGACGCCCTCACGACATGCCATTCGAAGCGCACCGACAGGGTAAGAAGGCATGGGCTAGCTGCATGACGTTATTCAAGAGCGTACGCGTCTTAACAGCTGCAGCTCTGCCGCCCCAAAGGCGCGAAAGCGTGGGAGGCCATTCAGCCGCATCCTAGCCTCACACGCATCCCAGAGTCACACGCCACATCTCCAGGGCATTTTACAACACGTCCTACCTCGAATGGGTAGAACACCTGGTCGGTCAGCACCCGCATGATGGACCCCAGTATGATGGGGAAGGGGCGGTCCGGGGAGCTCATGGCGGCATACAGCGGCATGCCCGGGTAGGCGGCCGCAAGCCGGGCGCTCACGTTCCCGCGGGTGCCCTCACACGTCAGGCTGCTGTTCTGCGGTCGGGAAGCAGGGTCCCAGCAGCAGGTGTTGCTTGGGGAGCGCAAGGGCTGGTAATAGAAGTGCAACAGAAGCCCCTAACGGGTCCTTCCGGCGCCGACAGAGGATTAGGGATTACAGCTGCCAACAGGTGCTTAGGCATGGGCGCAAGGTGACATACATATCACCGCCGTACCTGCAGCCCTAGTCCGTAGGGGTCGTAGAAGGCTGCAGCGATGGCCGCCGTCCAGCCGCTGAAGGAGTTGTGGCCAGGCTTGACTGAAAGGGGAGCGGAAAGGAGGCAGGGGTTGGGAAAGGAGCGCAAATAATTGGCAGCAGAAGAAGGGACATGGTTGGGAGGAGGCATGACGCCAGCCCTGCTGGCTACAATGTTTGCGGCTAAGCGCACAAAGAGCAAGCGAGCGCATGCGGCCCATGACCAACTCCCACCACCTTGTCCCACAACTCTACAATGTCTCTCACACAGGTCCTTGATGACTCCCTTGACCGCTTTCGCAACAATGTCCTCCTTTGCCAGTGTGTCCCCGAATGAGCCGGGAGGCAGGAGCGAGGGGGAGCCCAGCGCATCGCGGCTTAGGTTGGCTGGCGGCGAGTAGGGCCCCAAGAAAGGGCCCAGCGGGAACTGCAAGCACGCACGGAGAGGGGTGGCGGATTGCAGCGAATAGGGCATTGTAAGGCGCGCCTAGGTGGCCCCCATGCACTCACCCCTCCGTACGACATGGCCCCGTTAAACCAGCTGCCTCCCGAGTTGGAGCTCACGTACCGCAAGTGGGGCAGCACGCCGAGCTGCATGGAGGGTAGGGAAGCAGGGTCAGGGTCAAGCACGCAAGGCATGAGAGGGTGCGATAGCCGATCTCATGCCCTTCCCAGCCTCACCATGTGCAGTCCCCGCACCCATCCCAGCGAGAGGGTTGCTGCCCGGTACCCGCCCCCGCTGAGCGCCAATCCCAGGTTGGGCTTGGCCTGCAGCGTGGGCACCCCCCACTCCCCGCTGCGGCTCAGCTCGGGGTACTCGAAGCCGGGCTGGTCGGCTCCCGACCACACGAACACCGAGGCGGGAGCATCGGGACGGTATACCTGCGCGGTTCAGTGAACCAATTCGACATGCTAGTAGCCGTACATGCTGTACACCTAGCTGTACGGCAAGCAGTAAAGAGATGATGCTTCCCAGCCCGCACCGCTGCGCGTGCGAAGTGGACCTCAAGCCAGATGCAGAACAGGGTCGCCGTGCGGAGCCTCCAGATAGCCCCCATCGGTGCAGGATACTTGTTTGGTTGTTTAAATGCTGAAAAACCACTTGTCTGCGTGTGTGGGTTTGTATTCAAGATGATGAACTAATTGCGCAGCCCTCAAGCGTTGCCTGTCCCGTGGGTCAGCTCCTCGCCAACTAAAACGCCAGCGAGCAAAAATCTTGGCCACCAGGCCTGGCCATCTGGCCAGTTTTGCTACCTGCACAATCCGTATTTACATTTCAGAGCTAACATTGGTCGTGGTTGGTTTGGCATGCGCGCTTGAATCGGCAATTAAGGTGCGCTTTCTTCGCCAAGCACCCAATTAATTCGTACAAGACCGGAGTGCGCCGCAGCTTCCAACTTACCCGCTGAGGGTTAGATTTCTATGTAAGCGTGGGCCCTTCTACCATCCTGAATTCACATCAATCTTAAAACACCTGGGTGTTGCGCCATATTGCATTTTAGATGTTAACGGAATCCGACGGTGTCACAGCATCGTAGGAAATTCTGATTGCAATCTAGCCCTTAGGTTCCAGGGTAGGAATTAACTTAGCATTAGTAGTCACATGTCACGTCGCTATGTACGAAAGTCCTTCGCAGCCCACACGTGTGTCAACACAGCGATGAACGCAATTCTGACATATATGCTATGATACAGTTCAGTCCTATGACGCTATGGGAACCCTATACACCTTAGCCCCATTCCCAGGCCACGACTTCATCTCACCACGACAGACACGGCAACATAGCTCATGCACGCAAGCGCAGGATGCTGGAGCCGTCCGGCTCCCCAACAGTGCCATCGGCAACCGTCCTAAACCCATGTGATGCACAGTCTCCCAGCGCGTCGGTCGTCCCCAGAGCAAAACATACCGTTACGACGGACATCCAGGTGCCCTTCCCACCTCTGCAGTGGACGTGACGTACTGCATCCCGTCATCTCCTCCGTCCTCCCCTCACTCCAGCCCTCCTGACCCTAGCCGACCCAGCAACTCAGCACCATTCCGACCCGCTTCCACATCACCGGTACGCGGGGGACGTGGATGCCAAGCCCCCCGGCCGGCCCGGGTCCCCGCCAGCTCGCCCAGCCGCCGCCTTCTGCGCCCTCAGCGCCGCCTCAAAGCCGTCCAGCTCCTCCTTGGACAGGCTCTGCAGCCGCGCCACCACCTCCTCCCGGCTCACTGGGCGGCCGCCGCCCGGGGCGGCACCCAGGGCCAGCGCCGCACCGGGCCTCCCCGACGGGCCCGCGGCTGAGGGCCCGCCCATGCGGGATCCTGACGGGCCAGCGCCCGCACCTAGGTTTCCAAACCCGGAGGGCATGCGCATGGGTTGAGGGGGAGGGCTGGGGCCAACGGATGGGTTGCGCAAGCCACGGCCTGCAGGGGCAGGAAAGGGAACACCAGAGCACAGCAGTCGTATGTTAAGCATGAAATGAACAGCGTGACGGCTAGTCGCAGCTTCTAGCAGCCTGGACTAACCAGTGCCCCATCAGCAAGCCAGCCATCGTGACTCTGCGACCCCGCCGGCCCACCTGCGCTGACGGGCCGGGCAAACGCCGCTGCGGTCGGCACCCCTGCCACGGCTTGCACATTGAGCTCCCCGTCCGGGAAGACGGTGACCTGGTCCATTGACAGCTTGTCCACCTGCGCGGAGAGAGGGAGAAGTGCTTAGATGAGCGCGGCACTGCTCAGCAGCTTGCCACTCATGATTGGAGTCGCCGCACCGTACGCATACCACCGTAACCGGACGAATGCTCCTGTAACGCTACGCCAGGTCACGCACTGACGCACACTAAGGCGTATGCACCCTCTCCACACCCCTCCCACCTGGTAGAGCACGTTGGGGTCCCGTGTCGCCGCCTGCGCGCCCACGCCGCCCTCCACCAGGTCCTGCTTCATGGCCCGCACCAGTGCGTTGAAGCTGCTGCCGCCCTTGACCAGCATGCGGTTGCGAGCGGCGCCCTGAGCGGGGGGCACGGCAGGAGCGGAAGGCATGGGCCAAGCAGGTGTGGCTTAGCGATCGGAGATAGTGGGGAGAAGCAGCAAGGCTGCTTCAAGGAGTCCGCTTCAACTGTAGAAAAGCGCCATTACCCAAGACGGCTAGAGTGGCTACAGAGGGCGTGCCGGGAGAGCGCGCCATTACAGCGCCGTGCCCCAGCCCCCTCGTGCAGCACTTACCCCCAGCATCATGCGCTCCTTGAGCGCGCGCATCTCCTCGTCCTGGTTCACCTTGGCCTGCTGCACGGCCTCGTACTCGCGCCGCAGGCTCTGGATGAGCTTCAGCAGCGCGTCGCGCTCGCCCTTGAGGATCTCGCCTGTGAAAGGGGGGTCAGGGTTAGGCAGTGCTTGGTGAAGCGTGGGGCCATTTGGATATGTAACAAACATCACGCGAGAAGCGATACCCCTAGAAATGCCCCTAGAAATAGCAATCAGAGAGGTGTCGCTGCCAGGAGATAGCCAAAGAGAAACATGCGGCCGGGAACCCAGTAGCGGGTAACAGGCCACACGGTCCGCCATGCCATTCGGCCCTCTCTCGGCCCCCACTTCCCCATCGCCGCCCGCACCTGCCGACACCAGCTCCGCCACTCGCCCGCGGCCCCACTCGCCGCTGTCGATGAGGCGTACGAAGCGCTCATTGTCGCGGCGCAGGCGCTCGTTCTCCTCACGCAGCTCCTTCACCGCCACCTGTGGGGGCCGCGATGTAGCGATACCAGTCGGGAAGGGACCCGTGGCCGGAGCGGAGCTGTTAAGATAACTGGCGGAGGTGTGTGCTGAAGGGAGGAGGGAGGTAGGGTAGGTGTCCCATGGCTGGCACGCATCAAGCTGCGCAGGTCAGGCGAACCAGGACTGACGCAGGAGGACCGACCGCAGGAGCCGGGTGCAGCTGCGGCTTTCATGACAAGGTGCAATGCCAAGGCGCGGTGCGGGCGTCCTTAGGCGTCGTGGGGGAAGGGGTTGCGACAGTAACAACAGCGCTAGATGCAAGACCCACCACGAGCTGCTCCTTGGTGGTCAGCTGCTCCTCGATCTTGCGGTCCTCAATGGCCTGCCACCATGCCTCCCAAGCCATGACCAGCTGCTTCTTGGTCAGCCGCAGCGCCGCGCGCTTGAGGATCAGCCGCATGCGCTTCTGCCAATCCACCATGGCCAGCCAGCCGCGCAGCGCTCGTGCCTGCAAGGGGAGAATGTGTCGCCGGCAGCCGCAAGGAAGCGTTAGCTCATTCCAGCTGCGCGTGAATGCGTGTTCGCACGTGGGCCTCGTCAGCCATACAGCGCTAGCCGCATGACTTATGTACCACCCCCATACAGCCCTTGTGCAACGCTCAACTACCCTGTGTCCCTGGCTCGTGCAACTGAAGGCCAAATGCCCCCGTTAATCCCGGTTCACTGCCCTCCTCCCGGGCTCCTTTCCTTTCCCAACTCCTCTCACCAGCATGGGGTTCTTCCAGCGTGCGATGATGATCTTGTACTGCCGCCGGTACTCCACGTAGCCGCGCCACTGGTTCCACGCCTTGCCCAGCGTCGCATTGAGCCAGAAGCGCAGCGCGCGGCCCCGCTTGGCGTCCTCCTCGCGCCGCGCCAGCACCGCCTCGTACCACTTGTTCCAGGCGGACACCATGTGGATGTTCTTAACCTTGAGCGCCGTCTTCTTAATCAGGTTGCGACGCCGGATGCTCTCCTCCACGAATCCGCGCCTGGCATGGCGGGGCGAGCGTGCAAGCGCACGGGAGGTTGGTAGGATTGGTGGGCAGTTGACGAATTGAGGTGGGTGCACGGACATGTACAGTACATGGAGAAGGAATGAGTCCTCTTGCACAACATGCTTGGTCGCAGTCTCTAGTTTTGGAAGGATCTTCCTAGGGAGTTAAGGGTGGTCCAATAGGTATACCACGCAAGGGTTTACACTATCTCCAGTTGCCAGCGTGCTTATTTGGTGAATGGAATGGCCAAGTCCCTCGGCACACCTACCAGGTGTTCCAGGCCTTAATGTACGACGCGTTTCTCCAGTGCATCACCGCCTTCAACCGCCGGAGCCGCTTGCGCCGCCGGTTGACGCTTGCAGCAAACCAAGCCTGCAGCCCACGCCAGTTTGAAGTGGTGCATCGTCAGCACGGGTGCCTGATGAAGGCAACAGCATGCGCCCGCGCACGGAAATGCAAAGGGTGACGAAGGAAGACACGCATGCTTGACACGGTCCCGGTAGCAACTGGCAGCGCAGCTACGCCCTTCGAGCCCCAACCCTTTCCCCGGTCCGCACCTCCATGAGCGCGTACAGCTTGCGTCTTCGGATCACCACGATGGGTCGCCGCTCGAAGCCCTCCACCTTCCGCTCCAGCGCGTGGATCTGCGTACGGTAGCAGCATGCAGTGCATTGGGCCCAGAAACCTGGGTTTGAACACCTACGTACAATGCGCCATAACGTGTCCCATGCCACTATCCACAATTCTGCTTGTTGCGCTGAATGCAGCCCTTGTTCTGCAACCTTCTTCAAAGAGGACTATCACAGCAGGGCCACAGCAACCAAACGACCCCGCATGTGGGTTCCCACTGCGCAGCTTCGGCGTACCTGCGCGTCCCGGGCCCCCAGCTGGTTTTTCCACCAGCGCTCCTCGCACAAGCGGCGCCACTCCAGGAAGCTGCGCTTGAGCCGACCCCGGTTGATGGTGGCCGTCACCTGCGGGCAGCACGACGTATGGGCATGTTGAACTATGTAAGCGACCAAACCCCCAGCAAGGCCCTGTCTGGTTACCACTAGGCACGTTCATTTGGTAAGCGATGACCCAAATTGAGGATTCACCACATTCACCTCAGGCACCGGCATGGTGCTACGAGACCTTCCCTACATGGCCGGGTACGGCCTCTGGTCCCATGTACTCCATACAACCCCTGAGGCCTATGACACATGTCAGTGAAACCACTTAGCTTTACTGATTGCCTTTCCTAGGCATACCTGATACCTCCCATGCTCCCAACCGACCCATTAACCGAATTCGCCGTACACAGGTCCCCACCCTCCGCTTCTTCTTCTTGAAGAAGAAGACCGACCCACCTTTCTCCGCATGGCCAGATACTTATCCACCAGGTGGAACTTGTCCTTCCACGCCAGGAAGGCCCGCGCCAGGATGCCGCGCTGCAGCCGCGCAATGGCGCGCCGCAGCAGCTGCTGCTTGGCCACCGAGCCGTACCTCGCCGCCCGCCAGGCGTCGAACGCCTTCTTCATCATGGCGCGGTCCTCCATGCGCACCCGCTTGGCGAACACCGCACGATTGTGCTCGATGGCGGCTTGGACCTGGAAGGACAGGACAGGAGCAGGAAGGGAAGGGAAAGCAGCCAATGCTCGCCATCCTTTCCTATCAGTGTCCGTGGAAGAAAGGTGCAAACATGCGCAGCGCATCATGGCCTCGAGGAGCGGGAGGCTACGTTTGTGTCCCCGAGCCCCCACGCACCTTGCTGGCCATACCCGCCAGCGCGCTGAGCTGCTCCAGAGCAAAGCGGTTGGGCAGGTCGTCCGCTATGCCCATCGTCTTTGGCGCCGTGCCTTCCCGCCGCATGGTTTGCGCCCGACCGTACAGACCTAAGCACGCCAGAGGTGAGACGGAGGAAGGTTAGTGGTTGTCATCATGCGGTTCAGGGTTTCCCAGCGCGTAGCAGCCCTTCCCCGTCGATGTCTTACACGGCCAGCCACTCCCGGCTAGTTCCCGGCTACGATCACCCATAGCGGCAAGAGTAACACGAGCAGCCTAGATAGTAGCTTACCCGCGTTGTATGCCAGGGCTCTGGTGGCTTCCTCCGTGTTGAACGCCGCACGAGTGTCTGCCTCCGACCCCCGGGGGCTGAGGCCGCTGCTTAGCGTGTATTCGCTCTCGCTATTCGAGACGTCCCGGCTGTCAATCCTCTTGCGGCCCCATGTGCTGACGTCGCCCTGGTATCTGCAGGAACAGGGGATAGCACTGTTCGGCAGGTGAAATTAGGCCAGCCCAAATGCACACGCCAAAACCCAACACTGGTTCCACGACTCCGTATTGATAAACACTGCCCCATTCCATCCCGCAGTACCTCTGGCCCCTTCTGTCATGTGATTCGTAGGATGTGCTCGTGTGGGTCATGCTGGGGCTACCACGACTGTCGTAGCTACCGCTGTACGAATCGCGACCGGAACCGCTTTCATCTGATTCGTAGTCGGAAGAGTATTGGTCATCGCTGCGACTATAGTAGGATTCATCCGATGCCTGGCGCCGGCGCCGGTCGTCGTCGCTGTAGTCTCCATGGCGCACGCGTCGCCCTGCGAAAGCACCCACATAGGTAATGCTCGCAGATTCCTGAAGTATACCACAGGACACCCTTATATACCTTCTTCCCCATGTCGCCGGTAGGAAGGGCTGGAGGCTTCAGAATCTATCACCATGTCGCGAACAGAATGGCTATAAGTGGACTGGTCTGGTCGATTGCTGCGATCGCTAGGGGAAGGAGAATGCCTCCTTCGTGACCCAGAGCGCACTGTTGATTCGCTGGGTGCTATCTTTGGGGAGCTGCTGGCCCTGATGTCCCTGAGGCAGTAGCAGTAATAATTTAGGCAAGGAAGTACTACATGCAATCACGTCCTTGCATGATAACTTCTTAAACCAACCTATGGCTTATTCGGCCCTCGTGGGTGTGCACAGAACTTGTTCCCGACATTTGTGGGAATTGCCACCACCCGAAAAGTCGCAGGAAGGAGTTAGGTCATGCTAGAGCAGTATACATATATAGCAGAAGTAACTTTAGGTGCATAGTATCCTTGCTTTCTCTGGGTATCGGCGTATCGCACTTGGCCAGGTTGGGAACCGTACGACCCCTTCTGTAAGCTCAGCTTCCGTGCAAACTTCTGACAAATCCCGTTGACGTCGATATTAAGGAGTGTTGCACGAGCACCTTTTTATGTCTCTTGGCCCTTGATTCCACGCTAGGCATTTTCGGTGCCAACCGACGCGCTTGAAGGGCAAATTTCTGCTGTCATCATTGTATCTGGGAGCTGCTTCTAAATGTCTTACACGTTAGATCAGCAGCATAATAGGCCAGGTAGCGGGACGCCAACGGTCCTGGCGATGAAACCACTGCCCGTATTGGACGCAACCGGCGCACGGCCACCGCTCGCTCAGACGGAATGGAGTGAAACCCTACCAAGCACGCTCGACGACGCACGTGTGGCTGCCGAGGCGCTACGAAACCTGCTCCAAGATGCTGTATTTCTGGACGAAGACTGTTACAGCAGCGCCGTGGACCACAGCCAGTACCAAGACAAACTGCACGTAAGGGGGACAACGGGTTGTCCTGGATGCTGCACGCATGCTTAGTTGCTCGTCGACGCCTCCACATGTCGGCAGTTGATCGTCTTAATGACTCCCCCCTGACTCGTTGTTTCACTTATTTAATTTTTCCCCCACTCCCCCAATTCCTCACCGCTTAGGCGCAACAAAAGCACGTGCACGACCTGGAAAATGAGATTGCCGCGCTGCGTGTTGAGCTGGAGCGTAAGGACGAGCTGCTGGCCGCAGCGGCATCCCGGCAACGAGAGGCGCAGACGCAGATAGGCGAGCTACAGCAGGAGCTAGAAAACAACGCGGGTGCGGCATCCCCTTTCTGGTTATGCGCTTATGTCTTAGTCCAACAAAGCGCAAACGAGTCCCTCCGCCCTTGGCCTTTTTTTCCTTGCAGTTGTGTTCCGGGTCCACTACCAGGAGTTGCTGACGCGGAATGAGGAGATCGAGCGGTTAAAAGCCGTCATCGAGGGCCTGCAGGGCGGCTCGTAATGGTACCGGTACTGTGCATGTGCTGCAGGAAAAGTGTTGCATGGGAGCTGGATGACTTCTGCTCGCAGGCGTGTCAAAAGCAGCCACAACTGGCTGAAAAGTTTAGGAGCCGCCCGTTTTGGGGGTTGGTACTGTTAACGCGCATTCATGTAGCAGGTGCTGTTCGCATATCCTTGTCTTGCATCATGGTTTTGTTCATTGGGTCAAGAGGCTACCTTCCGTGTGCAACCGGTAGAGGCAGGCAGTTGGACAAGTTGACTGAAGTGTGGAGACTCAGGTGCCATGACCCATGGGTCCCGTGTTGTCACCAGGTGCAGATACAGCTTCAGACGAATGCCGAATAATAGGGACGAATATAGGGCTACACATCATTGCATATTGTAGGCACGGAGGACGCTGAGTCCCTGCATTTGCCCATCTTAGGAGACACCCAAGGTCAGCACACCTATCCATTGTCCGTTACATGGACAAGGACATTAGGACAGCCCGCTGCATGGGTCGACTGAAGCTTACCCGCATCCACCAAGAAAAGCAACATACGTTTCCTTGCAGCCACTTGTGACAAGCACCGCCATACACACCCTCTCGCAGTAAGGCAACATGGCAAAGAAGCAATCCACCTCGTAGCATGGATGCGAACAAGTGCCACCAGTATTTTCCAGTGTTCCATACATCACGTCATGCTGGAACTAACCCCACTAAGCGCCGCCAAAGCGCAGCACTTGCACCGGTGCAGCTGCCCGGAAAACAGCACAGCGTAGAGCGATGACCAGTGACTATTACCCTCCTATCCCACCAACCCAAGGCAAATAGCCATGCAGACCTCGACCCCGGCCGGGCAGGGCCCCTCTATTTAAGTTCCCAAGACTTTGCCCAAGCGCTGGTCAAGCACACCCTTGTTCGTGCTGAATAACACACGACGCCAAGCGTGTCAGCCGGCACGTATCCCTCTCCCTAAATAACTCATCACCGGCCATCAGCGGTTACCCCCGGCACGAGACGACCCCATGCATGCATCTCCTGCAACTAAGTACCGTGTTTCTTGTGAAACGAATATGCAACGTGCAGGTTAGCCCAAAGCTACTCGACCATTATCAACTCAACATACAACGTTTGTCCACAGTCGCATGTATACCATACAATCAGACACGCTTACTCGTCGTCAGAGTCATCATCGTCGTCGTCACTATCATCCGAATCCTCTGGCTCAGGGGCTTCCTCGCGCAGCTTGGTAATCAGCTCTGTAAGCTCGTCCAGGACCTCCATACTCAGACCGGCCTTGTCCAGCTTTGCCTCGTAATCTGCAACGTTTGGACCAGGCCAGGGGAGGGCACAGCGCAAACGGAGGGTTATGTTGTTAGATTTTTATGATGTATTCCAACGGTACCTAAGCAACATGCCTTCCTAGTCAACGCGTGGACGGACCTTCCTGGTTATTAAAGGTTCTTCCCACACGCAGAAGACCTAAAGGCACCAACCGACTTTACCTGTTAGCGACTTCAGGAGGTTGCTCCACTCGTCCTTGTCAAGGCCAGCAGCCGCGACAACACCTGCACACCGGGCGTTAGAAAGGACGTGAGACTTCCTCACACGCCACCGCAGGGGGGTAGGGTGTAGGGTACAATACGTGAAAGGCAGGAACACCGGGGCAGCCGCGGGGCAGGGAACCAAAACTGCACATCATGCGTTACCTGGCTTGGACAGCACCTCCAGCCATCTTGACCCCACAAGGCATGGGAACTCCGCATTCTCGCCGTAAGAGTGACCGCCAGCTTCAGCCCAGACCTCCGCGTCATCGCTGGTTAAGTCGAACGTTCCAGGCTTGTCGCTAATCGACTTGGTAACCTCAGTAAGCATGGTGATTGCGCGGTTTAGAGGAGCAATAGCAGCGTCGTCGTATATCTTAAGAACACGGCGGATTTCATATGCAGACGCCGCCATATCTCCAACTCGCGTGAAGAAAGATATAAGCAAGGTAATACAATGAATGCAAAAGTAAAACGAAAATGACTTCCCTCTTAAAGTTCATAAGCGGAAAGCTGCGTGTAGGTTCAACCGCTGCTGTACGGAATCCAAGCACGGTGCCACACTGCCACGGTGCCACACTGCGGTCACTGCCACTTAGGCGCAGTTGCCGTCAACAAATCTGCTAAGGATACTCTCTAACACCCGAGGATTGTCTAAGAATGGCCGAAGCGCGTTTGCGCACACGCCAGCGTCAATACGCGGAAGTCCAAGCAGCTTTTGCATACTAATGTTAGGAATTCCGGCTTTAAGCGCGGCCGCCTGTATAATGTGGTAGTCATTCTGGTACTCTTCGGCCTTGCTAGCTAGAGCTGCTTCCGCGCGTGGCTCATGCGGATCCTCTGTTAGCCGCAAAGGCGTGGGTTTGGTCTCCTGCACCAGCGGCTTCTGTTCAGCCTTCAATTCGGACTCTCGTCGCGCCTGGCTAGGCAAGAGCCGAAGGCTACTCCCATTGGCCCCAGCCAAACTACCGGATGTTCGGACCCCTTGGTCGGCTTTGTCGAATTGAGCAACCATTTCTTGGAACTTCAGCTCCAGCAGGTTCAAATTGCGCGGAACAACCTGGAAAACATAAGGACCCAATGTTAGTCTTGCATCAGCTTGCATCCCATAATTATCCTAGTTCTATCACCCACCTGGTGAGGCACTGGCTTTACGGAAGCCAAGTATGCGGGGTCCAGCACTGCACTGACTAGTGCGCCGGGTCCAAGGCAAGGCATATCTTGTCCTTGTTCTCGCTGCATGGATATTGTTCGAGCCGTTTGGTCGTCTGCTTGTAACACATAGCAACGATATTGACGAAGCATATAACAATGGAGAGTAATTTAAGCCATCGTATCCGGGTATCCGCAACCGATGTACGGAAACGTAGAAATGTGCGACCACTGATGCATACGCGAGTGCGCGTACGCATAGGAGAATGACAAACGTTTAACGGGATAATAAAGAATTTAGTCCAACCCTGCTAGGCATCCTACTAGACCAGACGCCTCACGTGGTACCCACGGTGATTGGTATCTCGGGAAACGTGCTGCTGCGAGTTCCAAAAGCTGTCGTCAAGGAGTCACATCCCTGGTGCTAATGGCCAGCACACACTACCATGTTGCCCAGAGGTGCTCTGTAAAGGAAGACACTCAAAGGTCACCCCAACACCCAATTTGGCCAGTCAGTTCGTGTGTAAAGCCCGGTACACACTACCAATCAAAAGCTCGTGTTTTTATTGCTGCTTTATATCTATAACTTGTCCCTCCTCTCGTGTCAACAAACCCATGTAACCCTCACTCTCAGTCCGGTGTAGCCCTGGGCCAGCACCCTAACGTGTCCCACGCTCACACAAATATAAACGTCAGTTCCCATTCCCTGCTCAGGCCCCGCCTTCATGCTTCACGGCCACGTTAACGGGTATTGTGCCGTTAGTGGCGGGTTGCACCGCCGAACCCTGTCGTGACATGCTCACCGATGGCATTACTGGCATCCCTGCCGGCATAACCCCCTGCATCACCGCTTGCTGCGCTGCTGCTGCTGCTGCTGCCGCCGCCGCTGCTGCCACCGCAGACCCGCCGTCCGGCAACGTTGGCGTCGGCAGCACCCCAGTCGGCATCGGCATACAGCCCATCATACCCGGCGGGCCCATCCCCATCGGAAACTGCGGCCCATGCATGCCTGCTCCCATAGCTGCGGCGGCCGCCGCTGCTGCTGCCGCTGAAGCCGCTGGATTCAGTGCACCCGCCATCATCGCCGGCCCCAAGACGCCCATGGCACCCGGCATCCCCCCGCCGAAGAAGGAATCCATCGACATAGGCGGCATCATGCCGCCAGGCATGCCCGGCGGCGCCCCAAGCCCCGCCGCTGTCGGGTGAAAGGGAAATGGCGGCATCATGGGCATCAACGGCGGCGCCGTGGCCATGGGCAGTGAGGGTGTGGAGCCCGGCAGCACCCCAACCGGCGACGGTCCCATGGCTGCTGCGCCAGCAGTCTGAGGAGCGGTCGCCGCTGTCGGCATGGCAACAGGCATGGTGGCGGGTGCCACAGGCGGCAGCGTGGGCATTGCCATTGCCGGCCCCGCACCCAGTGACGGCGGCAGCTTGCCGGCGGCCACAGGTGGAAGGAACTTGCTGGCGAGGTCAAAGTTGGGCTGCACCGGCAGCGGCGGCATCTGACTCATGATGCCGCCGATACCGGCCAGCTGCTGCTGCATGGCCAGCAGGTTGTCCCTGTAGCGCACCAGCAGCTCGGTGTTCTCAACCACCTTGAACGCCGCCATGTTGCCCCGAAACTGCAACAAAATGCCGTAGTTCTGCTCCATGAGCTGCGTCAGAGCAGTAGGCACGCTGGGCGACAGGTCGTCGCCCGGGGCGGCTGCGGCGCCGGCGCCGGCCCCTGGTGGGCCCGCGCCGCTGCCTTTGCTGGCCTGCTGCATCCCTGGCCGGCCTGGCTGGCTGGCGCCGGCCTTGCGTTTGGCCGAGTCGTCGGCGGGGCCGCGGCGGCCTTTGTCATCCAGGCCGCAGGCCTTAACTCGCAAGGCTACGTCGCGCGCGGTTTTGCTTGGCAGGCTCGCTGCAACATGAATGTACCGCTCGACGGGTGGGTACTGGGCGGTTCGTGGGAGCAAGGGTAAAGTGGGAGGGAGCGGCAAGGAGTAAGGGCCTAGCAAGGTTAGCTGTGCTGGCTTGGGGACTGATCGTAAGGGTTGGACATGGACAGGCTCGCATGGGGACTGATCGTAAAGGTTGGACATGGACAGGCTCGCACATGGTTCCATACCCTCGATCGGAGTGTTGGCAGCCCCGGACACCGCCTAGACGGCTACAAAGTTAACGGGGACACTTCTATCCTCATCCTGCATATCCCCCATTCCTGTTTCCAATTTGGCACTGGTGTTACTCGACTGATACAGTCCCGCAAGCGCCTTCGTGTCTTCCCGGAGGCCCCCGAAACTGATTCCACGGCACCGGTACCTTATCGGCCGGAAAGCGCGCAAGAGCGCTCTCCAGTACGACCAATTCCTCCGGCGTCCAGTCAGAACCGCTGGTGCCTTGTAGCTGAAACTCAAAGTCTGCGTCGAAATCTTCCCCGGATGCGCTGCTCCCGTGGTTCACCGGGGCGGCCACCTGCTGCTCCCGAATTGTCGTGTTGCTTTTGTCGACGGAGCTTTGGGATGATGTATGGGCAGCTGGCAAGTCGATTGCCGCGTTCGGTCTGAATTGCGCATGGGTACACCCGTCGCGTCAGCCCATATCGGCGGCTAGGACTTGCACTTACCACCCACCTGGCTAGTGTGTTTGCTACTGCTCCACCAACGCTGGCCATGCTACGAGATTATAGAAATCGGTGCCCTTAGCTGTGTCTCCTATGCAAACCAAGTCCCAACATGCTTGGCTGCACCATAGTACGAGATCGTGTGGTAAAAGTAATACTTATTAGTATCCAAGAGGTCAGCAAGATAGGCCGATTGATGGCTTGCACGGCCAACGTCAGGTGGGTCAGAAACAACGCGCTGCCTCTTAAAGCGTCCAATTATTCGTGTACTGTGGGCATCGTCGTCGTGAGCTAGAAAGCCAGGATAACTGCATGCTGTCTGATTCAGGCGAATTGTCGTAAAACCGTACCTTCTAGCTCCCAGGGCTCTTCTTCACATCTCCAACACGGAAACTGTTATAATCGAAAGTTAAGAATAAAAATTGACAGGAAGGGGCTACTGCCATCAGTCATCCCCTTGTTTGCCAATTATAGGATCAACCGCACCCCGTACTGGCAAAGCCTTCTGCAGCCGCGTTGTGGCACTCGGATGCTGTTATGAAAGGCGTGTAACACCAGTTACGTATTGCGCATTGCTATAATGGGACGCAAAAGCGCAGGACCGGCCAAGCCTTCCGGACCGATAAAGACTTTTAAGTATGGCATGCCTTTGTATGGACTAGCATGGCCTGAAGGAGCAACGTTTTATGTATGTGGCGGAGGCGGTAGCGTGTCTAGTGGCATTAAGAATCGCCTTGTTTGTGCTGAGGCACAGAACGGATCACTGACGGACCAGACTGCAGAGTTCCACTTCGGCTTAGACTGCCCAACAAGGTAATGCTTTTATTAACCGGAGTGCTGCTGGAAACACAGGGCGACGATCAATCTCCCCATGTTGTTTGACCTGCAACCGCTACGCCCTGATAGGCTCGCCGTGTCTCCGGGAGCGAAGTCAATCGTTTTCGCCATGGGGAAGGGAGGCATAAAGCGGCTGGACGTGGATACCCGGGGAGCGGTTCTTCGCTTCACGGAACTGTCGGGTAAGCGTGTCCTAGGCGGCCCCTCTGCAACAACCCACACACAGCACCCGCCACCAATCTTGCAGCAAAATCTGTGTGCCCTCCCAGCATCTTCCCTAGTGGTACCACGTAGCCTTCTAACACACCCCCTGCCCTGACCGCGTTACCCTTCATCCTCTCCCCCTCTCCCCCGAACCGAGGCCCCTTTGCATTGCCGCGTTACCCCTCCACCGCTCCAGTCCCCATGCACCTCCTTGCTATTCCTCCATGCTGCTTCCTCTGTGCTCCTGCAGGCGCGCAGGAGGAGCGGCTCAGGTCCATCACCATGGACGTCAAGGCGCTCTCCTTCCACCCCTCGGGGGAGCTGCTGGCGCTGGGCGGCGAGGATGGCTCCGTCGTGGTCTACGAGTGGCCCTCCCTGAAGGTCAAGCTAGACCTCAGGCAAGAGGCCACCTGCGAGCCCGCTACGTTAGGACTGTACCAAGGCGGCGTCACATGGGGAAGGGCCAGTTACTTCTATGCTATTGCGTTCAGTGCATCCCTGGGCATACATGGGTCATATCCACTCCTGCTGCACACCGCCCCTGCGCGCACCCTCGCATGCGACACACTTTGCGACGGAAGCCCACAAGGTGCTTATGCTACGGTAGAAGCTCCGGCCACCACCAACTCGAACCCTGTCACCGTTTCGTGCCCCCGCAGCGGCGACCGGAAGCTCTCCCAGGAGGCGATCAAGGACCTGGACTTCGCACCACTCCCCGCAGCAGCGGCTGCCCCGGCAGCAGCAGCCGGGGCGGCGGGCTCCAGCGGCCAGGCGGCAGGCCGGGCGGTGGCGGTGGCTGCGGCGGGTGCTGGCCGGGCCGGCCGGGCGCTGGTGGTGATCCTGGACAACGGCTCGGCGGTCGCGCTGGACTTGGAGCAGGAGGGGGCGGTGCTGTGCAGGGTGCAGCTGGCGAAGGGTGCGGCGGGGGGTGGCAGTCGGCTGGCAGAGGGTTGGCAAAGGCAGGGACGTGGGTTGGGGAACATGCATGCCAGCATGAGAGGTGGCCGCGAGTAGCATCAGTGCATGCGGGGACGCGTCTCACCGCCGCCTTGGACTTGCCTGTCCCCCTGGACGGCTGCTGCGCGGCTAGGCCAGCGCTGCGGGCATGCCCGACTTGCTGTGGGTTACGCCTTGTGTGGTTATGTCCCCACTGTGTGAATCACTGATCAGCTTTCCCCACTGGCTCTGCTGTGTGCCTGCCACTGGCAGGCGAGTTCAAGAATGAAAAGGTGATGCTGGTGTCGTCGGAGGACCGGCTGCTGCTGCACCACCTGCCGCCAGGCAAGACGGGCTGCACACGGGGCTGCAGTAGCAGCGCCACGCAGGGACTAGCATACATGTTCAGCCGACATTTTGAAGGCAACGGGCAGGCAACGTGTAACCCGATTCTCGGAATGCGAGCATGTTTCCAAAGTATGTAATCCGCTCAACTAAACACGCCGCTGCATGCCTTAACTACCGAAACCCATGCATCCTTGCTGACCTCACCTCCTCCTCCTCCCGCCTCCCGGCCTCCGCACCACGTACATACATGCAGGCATGGAGAACGCGCAGTTCACCCGGGTCAAGTGCCGGACTCCTCCGGGCGGGGAGCGCGCTACGCTGTACTGCCTTATGAACAACCGCGCCGGCTGCCACGTGGGGCTGTGGGAGCTCGGCGAGGATGGGCTGCTGGCCATGCGGGCCGCGTGCAAGGCGGCGGACGCGCCCGGCGCCTGCATGGACGTGAGCGGCGACGGCGCGCTGGTGGCGGTGGGCACCTCGGAGGGGGACGTGGCGGTGAGTTGGGGGGGTGAGGGCCAGGCAAGCATGGTGGGCTGCAGGGCGGTGACGCTGTCTGCCGAAAGGTGTAATCTTTCTCACCTGGCGGACCCGGAGCCATCCCCTGTTTACCGGGGTGCCGTCCACGGCTACGGTGCCTATGGTGTGCCCCCAACCTGTGTGCGGTCATACCGGCGCCCTCGACCTCTCCCCTGCCCCTGCCGCCCTCCAGCTGGTTGGCTGCCGGCCGCACCTGCGCGTCGTGCGGCGCTTCCCCAAGGCGCACATGGTGTTCACCACCAACATCACCTTCAACCACGACGCCTCCTGCGTGCTCTCCACCTCCGCGGATGCAAGCGCCACCCTCAACTCCACCGCCCTGCCGCCGCCACCCAACCTCAAGAGGTGGGCGAACGGGTGTTCTGCTGGCGGGAGGCAGGGCGGCATGCGAAGCGGGCGAACAGTAGACGATGTGCATGCGGTCGTTGGCGGGATGACATGGGGTTATGTGTTGCGCATTGTAGTATTGCCTAGTTGTGATGCCGGTAGCGGCATCACCCTGGCGTGTAACCTTCCTGTTACAGGCATGCGAGCCTGGCTTGTGCCCCACACTGCTTGGTCTCAATCCCTCCGCTCGCAGGATTGTGATGCTGGTGTTCCTGCTGGTTACCATCTTGCTGCTCTGCCTGCTTCAATACGTCCGCATGCTCAAACAACGAGGCATGACAAACGAGGAGATCTTCGCCATGTTGAGACTGCGATCCAAGGAGGAGCTCTAGGTGGTATGGCTGACCCATGGGTCAGGCGAGTCACGCTTGCTTCACAGACCAGTGTATCCAAAAACTGCATGCATAACTTCATTGCTGACGGTGTCACTGATTGGCTGACATTATGATTTCGATCACGGTTGCTTTGTTTATTGGGCTAGATTCCATGTCAGGTTGCTGCAGCTGGATTCTGGAAACGAGTCTTTATCACAAGAGGCATGACGATTGCTGCCATGCAGCAGTCCTGTTGTGGGCAGATGGTAAGGATGGCCAAAGCGAAGAGCATTCACAGGAGCATCGTTGGCGAGAGTACCGTTACTCTGCACAAAGACTTCCGGTCTCGGCGGTACTGCTAAAAGTGTTCCCGTGTCGAGACACGGCTGTCGAAACACGGCTTTTGCCGTGCTCAAAGGTTCAGCAGGAAGAACAGCGCAACGTGCACTACCGTACGACCATAGCCAACAACTACAGCCTACTACTAACCACAGTCTGCTACTAACCACAGTTTGCGCCGGATGACTGCCCAATGGGGCGGTGTGTGTCCACTCGTAACGTCACACGCATATCATGCGACGCACAAAGTGATAATGCGAATGGAAACGAATTAAGGAGTGAAGAAAGAATTGGCAAAGCACAGGCACGAACAGTTACTGTCTGGAAAGGACGGCTACAAGCCTAGCCGGGCATGGGGTAAGACGGATGTGCGGCTACCGTAACGCTATTTTCCTCCTCGTAACCCCAACGTAATGTAATGGTCGTCCCGCACACGGGCCATTATTAGTAGGTATACTATGATAGTACGTAAATCAGACTACCTGTATACATGCGAACATGCCAGCTGATGTGTATCACAGAACTAATGGATGCATGGTGCACCCACCTCAGGGGCGACCCTAAGAAGTGAACAATCCTCACATAGGCATCTGCTAACAGCGCGAGCAATGCTCAGTACCAGGCCTAAGATAACTAGCAGTGCCACGAGGCGTCTCAGCTAATCCAATACCACCACTGTAATGCATTGAGAAACACGCGCAGGCCCAAACCTGGCTACAATTTTCCACCCTCGTTCTTGGAACGCGGGTACGTCAGCTGGTCCCAGCAGCTCCCTTTGCTGCTTGTTCCTGTGCCCCATCCTCAAATCCGGTGTCTCAACGAGGAAGGCGGCTTCTTAGTCGCCTTCTTTGGTGGCGTGGGTGACGGTGGCGACGAGGGCGGTGGCGGGGGTTTCGCCCGGGGATCAGGGTTGTACTTGCTGACAAGCAGCCCCGAGAAGCAGCCATGCACCGTGAGGGCGTAGCGCTGCACATCCGACGCAAAGCGGGAGATGAAGCGTGAGTTTATTGCCGTACCCAGCACCCGCACCTCAAGCGTGCCCGTCACGTCTGAGCCAATGGTCACCCTCTCCACGTTGTTCCGATCATCAGCGCCGCTGCCATTGCTCGTGCTGTTCACGCCGCCGCCGCCGCTGCTGCCGATGCCCCAGTTCCTAGCGCCGATACCACGGTTCCACCCAGGATTTCCCCATACCACAACCGTCTGCGTTGCATTGCTGCTACTCCCAGTCGCGCCAGCGGTAGCATTCGCGGTCGCTGGTGTAATCACTACCTGCAGGTCCAGGTTGTTGACGAGCGCCACGTCAGCCCGCAGGTCAGCAGGGACGTCCACCCACACCAGCGTGACCACGATGGGCCCGGCAGCCCGGGCGGTCAGGCGGTAGGAGTGCACCGCGCCCTCGGATATGGGCACCAAATCTACCAGCTGTAGTCGCGGGGAGCAGGTGGCTGAGGCGGTTGTGGTTGTGGGCGGCGGAGGCGGGGGAGCGGAGGCTGTGGTGGGGTCGTCTGAGAGCGGCAACGACCTGGAGAGGTCGACACGACCGTAACCCTGGGTGGCGGTAAGGGGCAGGGCAGGATTTGAAGTGGGTTAAGGGGATTGGATTTGGGGCTTTGAGTTACGGGTGATAGAGGTGGGGCCGTGGGAAGGTTGGGAATCTGGGAAAGAGGTAGGATGCAGGGGCCACCTTGTAGTGAACTACAAGGTGCATATGCTCCCGTACAAGACACGACAATAAGCAAGGTCACGGCACTTAATAAAACAGCACGTAGGTAAGAGGCAGGCGTGTACCCCGGTGTGATACGGTAACACCGGGCTGGGCTGACCTGGAGGGCCGATGGTGTTGGCTGCAGGGGCAGCAGCGTCTGCTCCGACACGCCACTCATGTCGTATGCGCCGCCGATCAGCACCGCCTTCAGCAGCATACCGCTGGGCGCGAAGGGTGCGGCGCCTGGCGTGTCGTTGCGTCCTGTATGCAAAGAGGAATGCAGGCCTTGTAAGGACTCGCCGGCAAGGCACGGCAGGTGCAGGTGCCGTGTGCAGACACCCGCTCACCCGCTTCTCGTTGAAGCCCATTACCGGTAACCTCAAGGAGCCTTATGAGAGTTACGATCGGGACCCGACTTTTACTTATCCAAGTTACCCCAAACATCCTGTATGTGTCCACCAAACCAACCTACCTAGGGGATAGAATCCCGTTGTAAAGTACTGCCGTGCCAGCGCCGCCGCTCCCGCCGCCAGCGGTGCAGACATGCTCGTCCCACTGAGCCGTTGCCGCAACTTACACCCATCACTCAAACCCGCCGCCACAAAGTCCGTGTACGCGGACAGCACATTCACCCCCGGCGTCACCACATCCGGCTTGATGCGGCCATCCCACGTGGGCCCATACGCAGAGTACGACGGAATATTGTCGTACAATGCTCGCGGCTGCCAAGATGCGCGCGCAAAGACCCGTAGGCCAGCTGACAGCGCCGTTATGAGCTGCTGTCCCACCGCCTGTTGCAACCCTGCAACTGGCAAAGTTGCATTGTTAGTGTTGCCGATTAGCACAGTCTGAGGCCCGGGGCTGTCATTCGCAATGGCCACTGCTGCCGCGCCGGCGGTGGCTGCTGCTGCAACTTTGTTTGCCAGTGCGCAGCTGCCTTGCAGTAGTACAGCCAGCTTGGGCAGACCAGAGCTGGCAGCGGGTTTAATCTGCGCTGCATTGGTCAGCTTGCGGCAGGCGGTGGAGGGTGCCGCAACTACGATTTCCAGCACGCTTCCATCCAGGTCACGAAGCGTACGAAAGTCCGACGCTGTGGTATTTAGCTGGAAATAGAGGTTCAGCTGTAAACTGGCATTGATGCCCGGAGGTGGGGCAGGCGCGGTGCTGCCATTCGAGCTAGCGGCAGCATTAGCACTTGCCGGATCCGGTCCGCCTGTCCAGAGCTGCAGCCACAGGCTGCCCTCGTTGCCGCTGCTGCTGGTGGCGCTGACGGAGGAGCCTACCGCGACGCTGTTCTTGGCGTTGGCGGGCGCGGAGACGGTGCCGTTGGGCGGCGGCGGCTGCGTCCTGCCGTCGTTGCCCGCAGCGTTGAGCACCAGCAGCTGCGGGTAGTGCCAGAGGAACTCATCCAGCTGCTGGCTCAGGCTGTTGTACCAGTAGGTCCTGCGGGAGGGCCGGAGAAGGGAAGGGAAGAACGACTCTGAAGTGGATTGTGCCGTGCTAAGGAAACGCGCCACTATTGTGTCGTCCGAGCGTTTGGCCTCGTCGCCATCTGTGGCACCTTGGAAGCCTCGCCCCACCTTAGATCCCCGTCTCCAGGCGGTGCATGCGGTACATTTGGAAGCGCCGCGGCTCACATGCACCCCTCAACAGGAACGGTATCCTGTAGCCTTTAAGGAACAAACGTCCCCGGGCCCAGCCAAACAGCAGCACCACCAGTGACAGAAGCACGCTTGCATGCCGCCAACATTGCCCCTCTCCCCGGCCAGCCCACTCACTGCTTGCTGCCCCAAGAGTCAGACTCAATCAACGCCCCAGCCCCCAGCTGGTACGACAGAAGGTCCCCGTACGGCGGCAGCCCGTACGTGCCTTGTCGGTCCATGATGTCGTAGAACGCCAGCCGGGCACCCGGGGCCATGCCGGTGGCTTCGTCCACAATGTACGGCAGCTGCGATTGTACGACAGTGGCCGCCGGACCAGCAGTACTGCTGTCATCAGTGGCATTTCCAGGTGGCGGTGGAGGGCGGCGTTTGGGTTTGGGAGGTGGTGAAAGTGGCGGGGAGGGCGGGGTTGCAGGGCTGGAGCAGGCGCCAACTGCGATGCCGGTGACGTGCGTTCCATGACCGTCAGCATCTCCAAAGTCTGAGGGAGCAACATGGTTTGGGTGCATGAGTTGGGTGGTGTATGGCAGCATGGCGGTGTTGGATTGGAACAGCCGCAAATGCACCGTGTCATCCATCACGTTACCTGGGGACTAGAGAGGACCCCACCTCGTCATCCCGCTGTCCCAAATCGCTGCTCGTGGTGATCGCACCTTGGAACGCGCAGTAGCTGGCGAGCTTCCGGTGTGCGGCGGTGTTGAGGACTTTACCGCAGAGGCCCGTGGGGTCGTACACCATCCGGCGCCACACGTCGGGGACCTGGAAACGCACCGAATACCGGTGAGTTGACATCAAGGCAGGATGCGGGGGTGATGGCACAAGGCGATCACTCTCGCATCCCACATTGCAAGTATACGCCCCGGTTCGTCCGCAACTTCCACACACCCGCCGCCCTCCTCCTCGCATTAGGCACACCTCCGCCACCAGACCTCACTCACCAGGGGGTCAAAGAAGTAGCAGCTGTCCGTGTCCAGCCCGGTGTCGGATATCCCCACCACCTGCGCGTTGCCATCCAGCCCGCGAGACCAAAACCGATGCCCGGCCACGTTGGTCGGCTGCGCGTACGCCGCCTCGCCCAGTCCGCGACCCCCTGCCTGCACCAAAAGGTCCCCCCAGATGTCCCGGCGGGTCAGCCGCGGAGTGGGCTCCAGCCAGTGCACTTCCGACCGGGCTGCCAGCCATGTGATTGCAGTGGCTGTGTCGCTTGCGCACACGACCGCCTGCAGCAGCTGTCCGCGGGCGCGCAGCCTGGGCGTGCAGGCGGCTGCAGCGTCCTGGGAACGATTGGGTTCGGCTGCACGGATAACGTCCGCCAGGGGCTGCAACCAAGACGCTGCCAGCTGCTTTGCTAGGGCCCGAGTGGCATCTGAGTTGCCAAACGTGGCTGGGCTAAAGATCTGCGCGGTTATGATGTACTTCTTCTTACCGCCTACAGGGGTTGGCAGCGGTACCGGTGAGGCGTGCGGGTCGGTTAGATATAGGTTGCTTTGGCACTACGCACTCGGCAGCAGCAAAGTGTCCTAATTAGGACACCGGGTGAACGCTGCATGGCCATCAGGGAAGGCAGGCATAGTGCTGTAGAAACGAGTGGGGGGAGCATGTAACACTCGCCTTCGTTCACAGCTGAGTTTTCGAGAGCACTCGCTGCTGCGCTACTGCTTGAGCCGCTAGTGCTCCCGCTGCCCGCCACCGCCCATCCACTGGCGACACCACCGTCTTCGAGCAAGCCCGACCACTCGGGCGCAATTTTGTGCTGGGACGTGCATGGTACCTGCAGGGTGCGTGGAAGGCATATACCGTTGGCGGTGGCAGTACATGGCTCGCATTTGCTGTGCGAACTGCAAGCCTGGGACCCTGAACTCACCGCGTAGACGGCCAGGCCTTGTTCCAGGACAGCGGAAATGACATAAGTGGTTGTATGTACGAGCCAGGTGTTGTCAGGAACGTAGCTGTAAATAAGTGCGGCCTTCCGTGTGAGGTATTGATGCAGTGCATCGCGACTCGACGCGTCGGCATATGAAACATAAAAAGATTGCGCCCGCAACAGAGCGGGAAGGCCTGCCGGTAATGAGTCAAAATCTTGCATAGGTGGTTGCTGCGATGTCGACCTGTGGGTTCCGAAATGGGTCAAAGCCAGTGTTGGGTCGTTAAGTTTGCCGCCGACGCACCTTTCATTTCCAAGCTGCAATATTCCGGTTCTGAGGTACACATTGATACTGGGGTGTGACCGGCACATCGCGACGCAGTTAAGGATAACGACGAAAGCCGGCAGCAGCAGCGGCGACCACCATCCTGGTTGGCGACGAAGTGACATCCTCATCTTAAACGTAAAGCAACATATTAGCTACTACACGTTCGCGCAAGGGGATGAATGGCATGGGAAGTGCCCAGCCCTGCAAGCGATGGGTCCAACTACTCCGAACATAGGAATGTAAGGCGGATTCCGCTTAATTCAAGTCTTTTAGCACTTCCTGTATTTACAACAAGAGCGCCGGAATTGATTGGTCTCCGCCTTTGCCCTTGGGGAAGCAAGTGTCGTACTTAGCGTCGACTCGGCCACTCAGGTCACCTGACAGCCTCCGCAAAGCTGGACGTCACAAAAACATGTATTACAGCAAGATCGAAAGCAACCAAATCTCTACCGCGTAGCAATTGGTGGAAAGATACGCATACCTGCTCGCGCCCGCTCGCCTGCCCTTGCGTACCGGTACGTTTATCGACGCACTTACGCATCCACTCTGACTCCTTCTATACATACCTGAGCTACTAGGTGCTATTGTAGCATGAACAGCTATAACTGCTGAGGCTTTGGTCGTGGCTGCCAACAGCCATGCGTACAGTTCCATAGGTAGAGGCGGTTTTCCAAGTGTAAGAAAGCAAATCCTTCAATCAGACCTTTCTACTTAAGCTGTGCTGAGGCCAAAGCATGCCGCCCCAGCGCAAGTCGACGTTCTTCCGAAGGGGTTCAAGAGTAGCCCAACAGAACGTCCAGCGCACAAACAAGACCAAAGCGCTTCAGGTCAGGATACCGCGTATCACAAACTGTAAAGGTATGTCCCTTACAGTGGCTCACAGCAAACAGTACTCGCGTAACAAATGCAGGCTGGTAATGTGAAGCTCTGTTACGCTTGCTGTACGGTTGCGGGGATGGACGGTGAGGACGACAAGGAAAACCAGGCAGGTGTGCCCGACGCCTAGCCAGTTTCATGGCCCTCCCTGCTTGCTGGAAGCATGCCGCGCAGTAATATTCCTGCAACGCTCGGCATCGGAGAAAACAATATCATTCACATATCCTGGATGCAGCAAGCAACCACACCACCGTAGATTTTGCCAACCCTCCGGTTACCACCGGGTACCTCTCCTCCTCTCTCCTTTCCCTCCACCCGTGTGCACCCGTGTTGCTGCACTTACCGTATCTTTAATTTTCAACCCGTGTGCCTATCCCACGTGCCTCCGCAGGACAGCTGGGCGGTGGAGGTGCTGAAGCCCGAGCGCGACCGTGATGCGGCCCCGCTGGTGCTGTTCGGCGTGTTTGACGGCCACGGTGACCAGGGGGACTCAGTGGCAGCGCTGGTGGCGGAGGAGCTGCCGCGCTTCGTGCAGGAGGAACACCCGCAGGTGAGAAACATACAGCGAAATGGCGTTACAGCGACGTGACGGCGTCATGGCGACCGCTTGCGCGAATTCTGCGCCTCACAAGTTTGGGGCCGCTGTGATGGGTGGTACGCGCCACTGCAGGAAACCTGCATGGCCTGAGCACATGACATTCCCCTTGCAGCACCTCTGCTCCACGTACGGAACCTGACCACTTTCCTCCGTACTCCCATCATGCCTTCAGGGCAAGAACGCGGCCGCGGCGCTGACGTCGAGCTTCGCCAGGACTCAGCAGTTCCTGGTGCAGCAGCCCGACCTTGACTGCAGCCTGTCCGGCTGTACGGCGGTTGTGGCGCTGCTGGTGGAGGATACCCTGGTGGTGGCGAACGCGGGCGACTCGCGCTGCCTTGTAGGTGGGTAACCAGCAGGCTATTGTTGGCGCATGGGGCGCGTCAGTCCTGTGTTTTCCCAAGTTTCCTATCCCCTAGGCTAAATACCGGTATGGGGCGTTACGTGCACGTTGGAGATAGCATGGCTAGTGGTGGGGAGGGGTCCATGTGAGGCCTGCTCCCCTGGCTGGGAAGTTATGGAATGGCTTTACGGCAGGCTTGTGACACGTGGGCTTGTGAGCTTCTCTAAGCGCTGCCTTGCCAGGTGCTTGTGCCGTTGGTGCCGCTCCGTGCATGTAAACAGAGTACCAAGCAGGCCGTCCTCATCCCACCCCCGCAGGCCGCTTTGAAGGCCCCGATGACGTCGTAGCGTACGAGCTCACCAACGACCACACGCCCTGCCTGATGCACGAGGCGAACCGCATCCTGGCCAGCGGAGTGAGTGGGAGGGGCCCTCCATGCAGGCTACGACTCCATGGGCTGCCATGCGCGCTACCGGTTTCATACCGATTCTGGCCACTGCTTACTTGTTCCTTCCGCCCGTCCGTCGCGCTTTACCCTGAACCACTTGTGCGCCCGTATTCCCCAGGCTCGTGTCGCGCCTTTTCAGTACGAGGGTAAGCGTGTGGGGCCTCCGCGCGTGTGGGAGCGCTGCGCAGACAAGCCCGGCCTGTGCATCACCCGCTCCCTGGGGGACAGCATCGCCAAGCGGCTGGGCGTCACGCACGTGCCGGAGGTGGCCTCGATGCAGCTCAACATTGACGACAGGTGCACAAAAGGGATTGTGGGTTGCAGCGGGGACCGAGGCATGCCAGCACTACACCACAACAGCAATGCGCTGCATTGACACCCATCACGCCACATGCGCGGCAGCCTTACAACACCGTAACCCCCAACCCTACCCCACCCATTCGCCCCCTTTTGTGGCCTGCCGCTGCTGCAGGTACCTTGCCCTGGTGTCTGACGGCATTACGGAATTCATGAGCAGCCAGGAGATTGTGGAGTCGGTGCACAAGTGGGCCGCCAAGGGCACCATGCCGCACGAGGTGGCTCGGAGGCTGGTGTGGGAGGCGCGCTCGCGCTGGAAGGAGCGCGGTGGCGATGGCGTCATTGATGACTGTACGGCGCTGGTTGCATACCTGGTGTTTGATCCGGAGGAGCAGCCGCAGGGCAGGGGCAGCGAGGGGAGGGGGAGCAGAGCTGGAGGGGTGGGGTGGCGGCGGTGGTGGGAGGGGGGCTGGGGAAGGTGGGCGACGGAAAAATGGGAGGCGGTTTCGGGCGCGTTGCAAGGTGGGTCGAGATGGCAGGGAATGAGGAAGGCGGGGAAAGAGGGGCAGGAGGAGCTGCAGCCGGTAAAGGACCGGAGTGCGGTCTACAAGGTCTAAACAGCCTGGCACGAAGGGCAGAGGAGGGGGGTTACGTGCAGCGGCAGCAGAAGCATGCAGGATGTCTTAATTCGGAAATGGGAAATGAAAGCCAGCAACGTGCATACGTGCCGTGTACTTAACAGCTATTGTGGCGTGGGCAGGGTTTGGTTCTGCGGAGGCAGTGCCAGATTAATACGGCCGAGGCAGTGCCAGATTTATACCATAGGTGGAAGCGATACGACCATTTTATACTAATTAATGAAGTTTGAGGAACTGCCGTGACGGTTGAAATCCACTGGTTGGATGGTCGCCGACCCCATCGCTTCCGCGGGACGCGACTGTGCTGTGGATGGCGAGCGAGAAGCTGACGAAGGATGCGAGCAGGCAGTTACCGTTAGTCCTCGAGGCCAGACGTGTTACCGAACTATCTTGTAGAATGCAAGCCAGACACTTGCCTTACACGTCGCGGAAGCACTGCTGACGCCCACGCCCAAGATGCCCAGGAGTGCTAAAGGGGTATCCCCCGATCTTGCTCCTAGATGCGCGCGGAAAATATCAGTACCGGCAAGCCTACAAGGCATAAAAAAGCCAGGGAACATGCTTCTGGCCAACTTTGTAATGTAAGGTACGGCACCGTCAAACTAACCAACGCACGTCTTACTATCTGTACCCTCTTAGATAGCGCCATACTCTGTTCTGACTTTCTTACTCCTTACACAGAACGCCCGTCCAACCTTGAACAACTTGGTCTAAACATCTCCACTTTGCAACTGTAAAAGGAATGGGAAATTGCCTTAACGTCGACGTCAAAAGCAAGTATGCAGTAGGCGAGGTCGCCAGCAGGAATCCGGATTCTGAAGGCGCAGCCGCTGCTGTTTTGGCCAGCTCCCTAGCAAATCGTACCTGGGTCGAGCTCAGCTTGCGATGCACCGACCTTAAGCATGCTGACTTGCTCAGGTAGACGGATAGGTTTACGCTCTCACACGGAAACGATTGTTTTTGCTTATACACTTGCGTCGGCGGTTATTTTTATTTTCGCAGCAAAACCGATCCCATGGGGATACTCTACTGCCTCCAAAATGGTGCATGGATGGAGGTCGGAAGGACGGAAATGATTGCCAATCAGTACCGTAAGTACTGTCGCGGGTTGACAGTTGACAATCAACGCCCGTTCCGCTACTCACGCATACGCTCTCTTACCGCATGCGCCCTTGGTCTTGCAGACCCATCCTTCGTCCAAAGGTTTAGGGTATTGTATCATTTTGAGCTGGTGCAAAAGTTCCGGCTCCTCTTAGTGGATATTGACAAGGGGCAAAACCCGGCCACCGTCAACCCGGACAGCTGCGTGAGTAGGGCTAAGGGTAGCCGCTGAAATCCTGGTTGCGGGCCTACACGGCATCCGCAGATGCTCAAGGCGGGTGCGGACCCATAACCTACCGCACGAGTTACCCTGCACATCACATACTATCTGTATCCGGCACAACTCGCACACGGGATCCACGTGTCTTGCATCCGCCATTCATGTTCCCACCCTCTTACACGCCTAACCACGCACCCCAATACTTATCTCTCCTCCCTTGGTATCCCTCTCCTCCATCCCCTACCTGAGCGCAGAAGTTCCTGGGCACCTATGAGTTCGATCTGGGCGAGGTGGTGGCGGCACGCGACCGCAAGTACGTGCGCCCCCTGGCCGACCGCGATGGCAAGCCCGGCAAGTCCACCATGACTCTCATCGCGGAGGAGCAGTCGGGCTGCAAAGACACCTACCGGTGGGTAAGGAAGAAGAGGCAAACCAACAAGGCTCCACCATGGGCCGCCGCCCGCCGCGGAGGGGCTGTGCATAAATGGCCATTACAAGCTGGATTGGGCGCCATCAAGCTGTGCATGTGGAGGTGGTTATCGTGCGTGCTGGCATGCTGGCGGGTATGCTCTAGCGGGCAGGCTGCTTCCCCTGTGTTCTTCAGGTCCCGCGGCCGCAACGCGGGGGTTAAAGTCGTGAACGCCGCTGACGCCAATGCACCCCGCCCATGATGCAACAGGATCCGGCTGCAGGCCCAGAACCTGCAGAACGTGGAGCTACTGGGCAGGTCCGACCCCTTCCTGGAGATATCCCGGTGGCAGGTGCGCAGCAAGGCAGCGGGGAATCTGCGCTGTGGTTAAGAAGTCGTGGACATCATACGCGCTTCATTAATGGCACATGACGACCTCTTTTGCCGTCGATGTTGCTTCGCGGTGCTGAGTTTGGCTAGGCTGGTGGGGAATGAGGCAGGTTCGGTCAAACCTCGGTCGCTACAAGTTGCAGGAACGTCTGTGCGCACGCCGCCGCAATCCATGGCCCTTTCCATCTCCATTCCACTTCCTTAACCTGCCGTTGGACCCACTTCCGCGCACTGCAGGACGACAACTCCACGCTGCTGCCGGTGTACAAGACGGAGACGCGCAAGAACAATCTGAGCCCCGCCTGGAATGAGATCTGCGTGCGCGCCACGCAGCTCAACTATGGCGACGTCAACAGGCCCCTCCGCATTCGCGTAGGTACCGGCAGCCCTGCCGTACCCAACTGCCGTAGCATCTAGCATGTTTTCCCGCAGGACATCAGGAAGGGTGGTCAGGCCACAGTGTATGCCCATAGCGTCTGAAGCTAAGGATTATACTTTGGCTGATTTCAGGTGTACGACTATGAGGCGAATGGCTCCCACCGCATGCTGGGCTTCTGCGACGTGACGACCCAGAAGCTGCGCGAGATGGCACAGCAACATGGCGCAGTCATCAGCTTGCAGCCGCCACCCGGCAAGGGCCCCGGCAGCTACGGTACCTTGCAGGTTGGACATCTGGGTTTGCATCTGCCTACGCCCAACTACGCTGCAGGATTCTCCGGTGCTAGGCTTCCAGTTGCGCGGCTGTGTCCTTGATGCATGCACTGGGCGGCCATCTGGCCAACTCGTGCTCCTGCCGTATCTTGTGTCGTACAGGTGTTGTCCTTCCAGACCGAGATGCAGCCCACCTTTCTGGACTACGTGACTAGCGGCACGGAGATAGGGTTCGTGGCGGCGGTGGACTTCACCGGCAGCAACGGAGACCCTAACCTGCCGCACTCCAAGCATTACGTCTTCGGAGGCAGGTGGCGGTTGTGCACCGGGGACCGGGGATGGGGTTGCTGTCCCTAGACAGTCCTGCTTGCTGGGTTCCCTTGGGTATGCCGCCTGGCGGGGGTAATGGGACAATGTCCATACCGTTATTAAGCGAGTCCGCCCCCTTGCGACTAATCCACCTGTCTGCGACGACAATTCCTCACTGCGCGTTGGCCTTGCCCCTCGCCAGGCCCCACGCAGTACGAGCTGGCAATTATGGGCATTGGGCAAGTCATCATGCACTACGACTACGATAAGGTAGTATTGCACGTTGCTATATTGTTGGTCCATTGCCGGAATGAAGCATTGCTGATAGCCAGGGCTAGCTCGAATGGACGGCACTAAGCGTCACGTGCCATGTTTGTCTACAGCGTTGCCCCCGCTGTCACTGACTCGTTGTTCCCCTGCAGATGTTCCCGGCTTTTGGTTTCGGTGGGCGGAAGGCATGGGAGAATGTTACCAACCACTGCTTCCCGCTCGGCGATTCGCCCGACGGGACGTGCGTGGGCGTCGTTGGTCTGCTGGAAGGTTACAGGTTAGACGGCACCGGAATCCTGTCCTAATATGGTGTTTCCAGTAAATAAGCACCACGTTTGTCGATGGGTCGAGGCCACGTCAATGGGAAAGAGGAAAAGCCAGAGGTCTCTGTGAGTTGCTCAGTGGGTTTCCAGCCATTCGCTAGGGATTAAGTTTGGCTGAATGCCAATTTGCTGCACTCCTAAGTTTGGCTGAATGCCAATTTGCTGCACACCTATACCAGGGGCGCTGCTCTTGGCTTTCCACTTTCCTCTCTCAGCATTGCCTCATTTCGCAATTCGCAGGAAGGCGCTGCGCGAGTGGAGTCTGTCGGGTCCCACCTACTTCGCGCCAGTCATCCGCAAGGCCGCTAGCATGGCTGCGGAGTCGCTGCAAAGCGGCGGCATGCCCAAGTACACCTGCCTGCTCATCCTGACAGACGGGTGAGCCAGCGGCTGCTTGGAGCAGTCGCGCAATGGCTTGCACAAAGCACAATCTCCATATGCAGTTCGCGCCCTCGCCGCAGCAGTGTGACCCGTGGGTCGTCGTAATGCTACCACCGCCACTAAGGCGAGCTACCACGCGGTGTTTCATGGTTGCCGCTGATTGCCCTAGAGGAATTTGCCAGCACCCAACTCTTTTCACCCGCACCCCACCCCAGGGAGGTAACGGACATGGACGCAACAGTGGAGGCCATCGTGGAGGCATCCGGGCTACCTTTGTCCATCCTTATCGTGGGCATCGGCAACGATAACTTCACCAAGATGAAGGTCCGTTAGTCGGGCACCGGGAGGCGCGCTTCTTGCCTAGTGTTTACTAATTTTGTGCTTGTTAACCCGTAGCATGTGCACATGCGCATGCCGTGGCCTCGCGCACACGTGGGCTTCCGTGTCCCAAGCAAAGGGCGTGTGGGTAGGAACATACAGCTTTCCTTAGCGCTCCGGGCCGCCTACCGCCGGTATCCGCCGTGGAGCCGCCGGTATCCGCCGTGTTTAGCCCCCAACTGCACCCCGGATGCCTCTGCGTGTGCCGTCTGCAGACCCTGGACAGCGACCAGAAGCGCCTCACCAGCAGCACAGGCCGCGTTGCGGTGCGCGACATCGTGCAGTTTGTGGAGTTTAACAAGTTCGCGTGTGACCAGAGCCGGCTGGCTCAGGAGCTGCTGGCGGAGCTGCCGGGGCAGCTCGTGGAGTACTTCATGGGGCAGCGGATACTGCCGCGATATGCGCCCGTTGACGCTGGGCCGGCTCCGATGCCGGCATCTTTTGCTGCGGCCTAAGGAGGGGATGGGGCGTTGGCATGGAATTGCATCTTGGTAAATGGCGATAGGGAAGTGCTGAACTTGTTGTACATATCCTGCTGCTGGCGTAGGCCAGGCTTTGCTGGCATGGGTGAGCGGCGTTTTCTTCGTATACCTCCTATTCATGCATTTTTTGACTGTTGACTGCTTCTGACGTGGCATGGAACACAGCTGGTGTTTGCTTGGTGGTACTTGGCGTTTCTCTGTGCTGACATGCACAAGGGCGCATGTATTACAATGGGTATGTTGGAAAGCAACGGGAATGGGCCATAGACAAGGGCGGCAATAAATGACGTATGCCAGCGTGTCGCTTGCTATCCAGCACGGCAGATGTTGCATTTCTTGGGACGGCAGATGCATCAAGCCTAGAGGTAGCGATAACACGACCGCCGTATTCCGTTGCTCTGAGCTTAGCCGGACGCCCACCCAACGTTGTGTCCGGCCTGCTGTAATTCTTAACGTTACGCTCCAGAACCCAGCACATGGAGCCCTGTGCCTACCATACCTATGCTCGGGGGCTGCCATGGCAAACGGGCGCGATTCAAGTCTTCTGCGCCTGCAGTTGGAGCTCAAGCCACGTCTAATGGACAGTTGCCCGTTGCCCTGCATGGCTTACTATGGCGCCTCCACAGGCTCCCTCGTACTTTGCACTGTTAAGCTAGGGAGGTCCTACGAAGCATCACTCAACGCGACCCAAGCAGATGTAAAATGATGGAAACAAGGTAGGTGATGACTAGTGGAAGCCTTACAAGGTGGTCCTGTGGCGATTCATGGTGACGTATCACATAGCCAGTTTAGGCTTATCAGCAAGTCAGTGCCGAAGCTAGGTGGAAATAAAGCGTTATGGTCATAGAATAGCTAGTGGATTTCACTGCGCACGCATGACGTTACTACAGGTTTCCTATCTTCTGTACGGCACTGCACCTGCGCCTGTGCATCTAACCTGCATAGCATCACGATAAGCGGCCGCCTAAGCATATTGCTCTGTGTCATTAGTACTTGAATCAGTTATCTCTCTGTTAAGTACTGAGCCGCGGCTGGGGCAGTCAGGGCGGGAAAGCACTTTTGTACACAGGATACCTTCGTGCATCTTTTTTGGATAAAGGAGAACAATGGGCAACTGTCTTGGGATTGACGTCGAAAGCAAATATGAGACAGGAAAAGCGCATGCCGACGAGTCACACAGGCACGCCGCGGAGGAGGCTGCATGTCTTCTGTATGGCTCTATGAGCTACTGTACTTGGATACTGCTCTACCTTGAGTGCCGCAGCCTTAAGGATGCGGACGTATTCAGGTGCGCTTTTGGCCCGCGGTCAATGGTAGCACACTATTGGCTAGGTGTTGCGTACTTAAGGTGCTAAGGTCGCAATCTTCTAGTTAACACATATCATTTACCCAATGCTGTTATGCGTAATTATGAAGAGCGGGCAGGGCAAATTAGGCGGGAGACCTGTTTAAGGAAAGGCGCCAAAGTTCCGTTTCTTCTCCTTACACACAGCAAGTCTGATCCGGTTGGCATCCTCTACGAGAAAAAGGAGGGCGGACACTGGGTGGAGGCCGGGAGGACCGAAATGGTTGCCAACTCACTCAGTAGGTAACGGGACGCCCGTTGTCAGGGGCATGTGTCTTTTCCTATCGTCCAGACATGTGCAACTGCGTTGTTCTCTGAAAGGCGGCCCGTACCAAGCCACGGGCTAGATATGATACGGTTTCTTGGCTTCATAGTGCTCGCAACTGGCCGTCGTCGCAGACCCCAAGTTCGTGGAGCCATTTAAGGTCCTCTTTAACTTCGAGCGCCGGCAAGAATTCAAGCTCGTAATCGTGGACATTGACAAAGGGCAAGACCCACGGACCGTCTCGCCTGATAGCTGCGTGAGTTCCAATTCTCCCATCATTGTGCCCACGCACTCTTATCAGAAGGCCATGGCGCAAAGCCGTGCGGAAAGGACCGCTTACCTCTTCCAAAAATACCCTACGTCGGAACTAAACCTTGTTCACAGCATGGCTTCCAGTAATGCAACTTGCATCTTTCCTTCAAGTTAGGCCCTTGGGGAACGTTAATCCCAATTGAGGCTGTCCCATCTGTCCTGTATGCATGCCTCATCTTGAAGTGCTGACTCCTACCTCGCAGGGATTTCTGGGCGGCTGTGAGTTCCAGCTCAGCGAGGTCATCACGGCAAGCGGCAAGAAGCTGCAGCGCTCCCTGCGGAAGCGTGACCGGCAAACCAAGCCCTGCAAGTCAACAGCATTGCTGGTTGCTGAGGAGGAGACAACAAGCAAAGATGTGTACAGGTGGGAGGTTGCAAAACATCCAGGAATAGGATAGGGGACTTTCTGGTGCTGGTGGTGGTGGCCGTACTTCCAACATTTCCGTACCTGACGCATCCGCATGCAGGGTCACGCTGGCAGCGGCCAACCTGAAGAACCCCGAGACTTTGGGCAGGCTCGATCCGTTCCTCCAGATAAGCAGGATGCAGGTAAGCACATACGGGCGTCAGGCTGTGGGAAAAGCGGTTGCTGTTTTACTTGTTTGCGCATGGAAGCACCTTGTAAGCATGGGGCTCTTGTGTTTAAGGGTGCGCCACACGGTCTGCTGTTGGCAGGTGGTGCCAGCGGCAGCTTTCATTCCACGGGGCCTGGGTCCTTGGTTGGGTTGCACCTGCAGGACGATGGCACCACGCTGCTGCCCGTCTACAAGACCAATGTGCGGATGAACAACGTGTGCCCCACGTGGGATGAGATTGTCGTACGGTCCACCCAGCTAAACAACGGTGACAAGCTCCGCCCGCTCCGTCTACAGGTGCGAGGGATCACAGCGGGAAGGGAGGGGAAGGGTGCCTCTGTCTTTCGCCGCATGATACTCCATGCAGACCTCATTGCCTCCGCGAGATTAAACACCTTGTAAGCGCAGGCAACACATGTTACCGCAGCATTGTCCGTTACCTATCGACGGGTAGATAAGGCTCCGTAAGGATCCATGTTCCATGGCAGGGTACCCCAACCTTCTCCGCCAATACTGCTTCCTGGCCACTGTAACGCCCCAGGTGTTTGACCACAAGGCCTCTGGGGCCCACCGGCTACTGGGCCAGTGCGATCTCTCCACGGAGCGCATGCAACAGCATGGCGCGAGCGGAGGAGTGGTCGCCCTGCAGCCTCCGCCTGGCAAGCCGCCCGGCGACTACGGCACCTTGCAGGTCCGGACTCCTTCCTGGCCACTGCTGCTTCTGAAACTGCTGCTGCGAGCGTTGTGAACCCCGGGGGGGCTCGTTACCATCGCTACTGACGTTTCGACGCCTATTGTCTGAAGGAGAATGGATCCCTGATGTGGACCCTTGCCCTTGCGTTGCGCAGGTTGTTTCCTTCTCCGTGCAGCAGCAGCCCACCTTTGTGGACTACCTGGCTGGCGGCACGGAGATTGGATTCATGGTGGCTGTGGACTTCACGGCGAGCAACGGGGACCCCCGCTTGCCCGAGTCCAAGCACTATTATGCAGGCAGGTGCCCAGGAAAGCGTATGGTGACGCCATAACGGGCATGTATTGTAACTTTCAAACACGGTATTGCGGTGATACGGTTTGTATTGTAGGTTGGGCAGGCAGGGCATCGGCGACCGCTCAGGCTCCGCATGGTGATGCATGGCCCTTCAGCATGCCATGATGTTGCTGTAATATGCCCTACCCACGCCTCCATGTTCCCTCCTCCCTCCAGCTGGCCCGACCCAGTACGAGCGGGCCATCATGGGTGTTGGCCACGTCTTGGAGCACTACGACCATGACAAGGCAGGATGGCTGGCGAGGGCTGGGGGATATCACGAATGCGGATGGAGAAGCGGCCAAAAAGCTGCTAAAAACGCTTTGTGGGCTGTGTCGTCGCAGCTAGGACTTTACGTGTCACATGTGTTCATGGGCTGTTGTACCGCTTCTGTGCTCCCTGTCCCCACCCTGCCATGTCCACAGGTCTTTCAGGCTTACGGCTTCGGCGGCAGGCACCGGAACAACCCCGCAAACCACTGCTTCCCCATGGGCACGTTGCCAGACAGCAATTGCATTGGTATCAACGGCCTGCTGCAGGCTTACAGGTGGGGCATACGTCATGGGGTCGTGCTCTGGGGCCAGACGGCGTCTAGCTAGAACGGAACCAGCACAGGGAGTGCCTGTTGCCAAAGCTGCATTTCGACTGTCACATGCCAGTGGGGTCCAGGCAAGCCATGTTGCCTCTGCTACAGTCCCTTACCCATTCACATCCATACAAGGATGCACACGGCCATGCATGCAAGCGCAGTACACAAGACGCAATGACGTGGGAACATTGCCGGTACCCCTGTCACCCGCAGGCAGGCACTCGGCATATGGACCCTGTCCGGGCCCACCCTGTTCGCCCCGGTGGTGCGCAAGGCGGCTGCCGCAGCTCGGGCGACAGTGGGCTCCAAGCCCCCCAAGTACACGGTGCTGCTCATCCTGACAGACGGAGCCATCATGGACATGGAGGTGGGCGCTGGTGTGCGGGGGAGAGGAGGTGGCGGAGGTGCAGGGTCGATTGTGCATTGCAGTAGGGCGGCTAAGCATCGCTAGGGTGCATGTTTTAGGTTAGGCGTGCGAGAGGCTTGGTCAGGTTACCTTGTCCGGACGGAATCGCGGAGTCTGTGCGGGGTATGCCACCATGCTGATATGCATCGCGTACCATCCTGGTCGTACGACACTTGCAGGACACTGTGAACGCCATCATCGAGGCCTCCTCGCTGCCGCTCTCCATCCTCATCGTGGGTATTGGCAACGAGGACTTCGGCAAAATGGACGTAAGTCGACCCTCCCTGCAAAGCGGCAAGAGTGCTTCTTACCGCACCTGTACGTAGGGCCCACATATTTATGCGAAGGCCTGTCCGGCGTCGGAAAGAGTGTTTCCTGCCCAGCTCTTACATCCTCACATGCCCACATGTCTCTTCCATGTGCTCTGCAGAAGCTGGACAGCGACAGGTCGCTCCTCAGCAACGGCGTGCACCGGGCAGCACGTGACATTGTCCAGTTTGTGGAGTTTGAGAAGCACGCGGGTGACGGCGCCCGGCTGGCTGCGCAGCTGCTGGCGGAGCTGCCGGGACAGCTGCTGGGCTACATGAGGTGGGTCGGGACGAACGGGTGCATGAGGGAGGTCCAAGCTGCCGTGTGTTGAGATGGAGAGGTTCGTGAGGAGATGCTCACAGGCGGCGGCAGCTGTACGACAGTGTAAAGACAGTAGGAATGTTACGTTTGTGTGTGGGAGTCTTGCGCTGTTAGTAGAGGCCTATTCACTGACCCTTATCACCTCATGTAGTTGGGATGCCGTACCCCTGCGCAACCTTCCGCTTGCCACCATGAGTGGCACGGTACTTCACACGACTCTGGCCCGCAACCCCCATGCAGGACGAACAACGTGCACTGCCCTCCGCCTTTGACAACCTCGCCCACCATGGGAAGGTGCCCAACCCCGATGTCACCGGAGGCTCCGGAGCCGACCGCCACACCACTGTCGCCAGCGGAGAAGGGCGCATGCATGTCAAGCGCAGCGGCAGTTCTGCCAACGGGCGGAGTCATGCCTGCACCGCCTCCGCCGCCCGCACCGCCACCGGTTGCACGTTTGTCGCCGGAAGCACCACCGCCAGCACCGCTACCACCGGCCAAGCCGCAGGATGTGCCTTTGCCCCCAAGCGCGTTCGCCATGCGTGGGACGCCGTTTACTTACCCGTCTGCTTACCCGTCGCCACCCCAGCTGCCATCCGTTAATCCGGTACTCGGTCAGCCGGTCACATACAACGGCGTTCCGTGCTATGGCGGTAAATCTTAAATTGCATTTGTTTGGCGATACAGCATTTTGTTTTGGGTTGGATTGGCGCAGGAAACGACAGGCGATTAGGTGGATGTTCCGCCTGGTCTGAGTGCATGCATTGCATGTTATGTACGACGCAGTTGCTAAGACGTATGCCATGTAGTCTTGTAAACATGTGTACGGGGTTTTGCTTCTTTCCCTGGAGGATAACGACGGTGCAAATATATTGGGGCGTGTGGTTGATATCGGCCATGGTTGGATGTGTTTTGTGCTCCATGAAAGCTTAAAGTTTGCAAGGGAAGGGAAGGGGGCTTGGTATTGTGATGTTACGACCGCCGGCTGGGGTTTTGGAGTTGCACTTACAGAACTGTCTGCATCTTTTCTTCCTCTTATCTATCTTCATCCTTAGTCTGTATTTAACGTCGCAATGGCACGTAGCTATGCTATCATATACATACTTGCTAGTCTGCTTGGATACGGCGGGAGCCCGTTGCATGCATGCCATGCAAGCCGCCCCCAGGCAACACCATGCAATGCACAGTGCTCCTTCCTAACGCCGGGATGCCATTGATGCACCTTTGTGGCTTTTGTGTCTTCGCGAACCGGACAGTGGCTTTCACGCTGCAATCATGGAAGTATTGGTCATCGCAAAACGCCGATTTTGGCATTGCAGTGGTTGTGGCTCTTGCATGGTGCTGAGGAACAATGATGATGCTTGATGAGCTCCCTGGGGGGCTTTGGACTTGTGGCAGTCGCACTCATGAGGCAGTGCCTGGCAACCGTTACAGTCACCTGGTTTTGCTGACGCCTACGGCCCTGGACTTCTTCGCAAGGTGTACGGATGTGCATGGTTGTCCGTCGGGCTTAGCCTTCTTGGGAGAGCCTTTGTTTGCTATCTTTTGCTTATGTTTATCGCATCTCCGTGTATGCAGAGAACCTGCCCTTTTTATGATTTCTTCAGGGAGTTGGTCTTTGTAGCGCTCTGCCTGTTGCAGGGGTCGTGTTTAGAGAGTCGCGTTGCCCGTATTTGAGGCAACGCTTTGGAGGCCATCTCGCCCTCATGGGTTTCCTCTGTGTCAAGAGGGCCCTGTGGCAACTTAGAAGGGAGATCATGTCCCAACTGGGGAACAATAATATGTCGGTGTACGGCAACAGTCCCGCATGCAGTGCGTGTCCTGAGCAGGCTGGGCCTGTTTGGGTTGTCCCAACGGGCGCTTTTACACCTGCATTGCACCCGCATGCTTGGATGGTATGGTTTGCATGCTATGTAGTTCTTTCCTTTGGTGTTAAGAAAACTGGCCACTTGAGCCATGGCCTCTCTGCATGAGTTAGCACGCAAGGGCAACAGCGAAGCTTACACTGGAGGACAGTTATGGACAGTCAAAGCCCAGTCCGCCCACCCGTCCACCTCTAAAGCCAGCCCCTCAGAAGCGGCAAGGCGCCCCCTCCGCAAAAGCTCTTCAACTCAACGCATACCTCCGCCCTAATGCACACCCATCTTACACAGCCGCTAGCGGGCGAGATCCCTACCAGCCGTCATCAATACGGTATCAACCCACGCCCTTGCACGCCCTTGCCGGCGTTCCACTCAGTCCTCATCAAAGTACTTTTCCTCCGCGTCTCGCGACTCCTGCTCGATCCAGTCCCCATCCAGGGAGGCGTCCGCATCAATGCTGCCATAGTCCACGTACTGCGCGTCCTGTCCCAGCAGGAAGCGGCTCTGCATCTCGTCCATGAAGTCTCGCCGCATTTGCGCCACCTCGGTTGCCGAGGGAGCCATGTGACGGCCCCTGTGACCTCGCGGCCGCCCGTCAGACATAGCGTCGCTGTCGCTTGCACCCGCTGATCGGCCGCTCTCATCCTCTTCCTCGTCGCTTTCATGCTCCGACAGCTGCGTGCATGCATGCATGGAAGAAGGCCCACTATGAGTGTAGCAGTTTGCTGACGACAAGCTATTAGGTGTATTCCAACCGTACCGGGTGCAGGGCGTTACCTAAGGGCTATGACGCCAGCTGGCAGACGGCAGCACGTATGCCTCACTGCCGCAGATACAAACATGACCCTTCATCCCACGCGGATATACTGCCCACCTGTCAAGTGGCATAAAAGGCCCATCCACAAATTGGAGCGCCTTCCCCTCGCAGATCCCTCTCTCACCTGCGCATCCTCCTCCATCTGCTCCTGCATCCTTCGGCGCACCAGCTGCGCTTCGTCGTCCTGCCGCATCAAAAACTCACTGAAACGCAACTCCGTCGTACAAGCCCCGGCGCTCGGCAAGCCTCCGCCACCGCCGCTGCGCCCCGTGGCAGAAGCGTCCGGCATCGCCGCGTCGCCACCATTGCCTACCGTTTCATGGCTGGTCCCAGGCCCTGCACCACCTTTACCTCCATCATGTGCAGCCGCCGCAGACCCTCCTCCGTTGCGTGAAGGGCCAGGGGCCGCTGCCTCTCCATGAGACACCGCTGCGCCTCCAGGCGGGCCCGCCTGCCCGGCGCCTTGGCTGCGCTCCAAGGCCTGCCGCAGTGCGCTTGCCAGGCAGCTGCCGCCCATCCCGCTGCCACTGGGGCCTGCAGGGGGCAAAATGTCGCCAGGTAACAGGATCGCCCATACAAGCCTGCGTTGTATCCCCAAAAGGCAACTCACAGGGCAGCCCCATCCATCCTAGTGTCCCTAGTCCACGCCGCCCAGTTCTCCTGTTCAACCCGCGGCCAGTTTTCTTAACACACCACACCGCACCTGTTTCTGGTAACACACCGCACCAGCCGCGCCCCAACGCCTCACCTGCACCCTCGCCGCCGCACAGCCTCCTCTCCGCCTCCTCCTCTCCTCCTCCTCCACCCTGCTCCGCCTCCTGCTGCCCCTGCTGCTCCTCCTGCGGCTGCACGAACCGGCCGATCTGCTGGTGGTACAGCAGCGGCGCGCGGTCGCGCATAGCCTCCTCGCTAAAGTACTCGCCCTCAGCTGCCAGTCGCCGCATGGCGGCCAGCCGGCGGTTCTTGACGCGTGCGGGCAGGCGCCTGCAAGGAGGGCATCCCATGCAGCATAGGCAGGTGGAGCTGCGGCCGGTTGGTGGTTGGTTGCGGCGAGCGGCTGCTGACAAGGGAGGAGCAGCAGGGTGGCCTACGGAGAGGGCGGGTACATTGCAGCTGTAGCAGTGCTTCGGCACATGCCTGGAGCGGTGTGACATGCCTTCCGGCCGCATGCGATAACAATTGCAAAGCTTGTAGCCCTAGTCCTGCACCATGCAGCCAGGTTCAGGACTAGGACCTGCTATCATGGCTCGAGACATCTATGCATGCCACCCGGGTTCCCCTGACACCCTCGCTCCTAGGGCACCTGGGGTTAGCCGCCTGCTGCGCATCCGCCAATCGCTGCGTCGCGAAATGCCCAAGCCAGTGGTCCACCTCATAGTCTGCGGAGCGCAGCGCCTCGAAATGGTTGAGCTCCTGGCTCTGCAACAGCCCGCCGTACCTGGCTCCGGAGTAGGGAGCAGGAGTGCACATGCCGGAAGGGCGACATGAGGGTGAAGGTCAAGGCAGATGGTAGACAAGCAGGTGAAGACAGGAAGCTTAGCGCCACGGGGTATGGTTCTGAGGGTGGCATTCGCGCATACCTTGCTAAGAAGGCAGCGGGGTCCTTATCAAGTAGGGTTTGGAGGTAAGCCAATACACTTGCGACAGCCGGTGGATTTGCTGCATCCTTGTAGAGACTGCTGGGTAGCGCTAGATCTGGCGACTCCGCGAGCCGCTGTGTAATGACCATAGCAGCTCCGTGTGCTATTCGCCCCGCTGAAGAAGCAGAGTAGGACGTCGTCGAGTTATCCTCCGACGCTGCGGATATGGTCATGTTGAGGCGAAGTCCCGATCGGGGTTGGCTACGCTGCACACCGCGACGGTTCAATTAGTACGAAATAGCTTCCAACAAGAGCACCAAGTGCACGACGGTTAACAAGATAACCTAATTTTCTTTCCATGAATGCATTAGGATTGGACGTTACAAGGCCTCAGGCTCGGGAACTTGTACGGCATTCACTATAGTGCAGTACGCCTTCGCCAGAAACCCACTCCTACCTTTGGCCTTCCTGATACATATTTATCTTAAAGGCTAGTTAGCCTAGGTGAACTCTACCTTTATTATGCCCTGTTCCTATCGAACCACGAGCGATTGATTGCAACCTTCTTCACAAGCACATCGCTAGACAGGATAGCCAACTTCTATAGCTTGTATACAAGATGTCGAAGAAATGGTGGACGGGATGCCAGACCACAACAGGTAGGACGGTCGCCATGCCAGGTCTTAGCAGCCAAGTCGCGCTATCCTGTAATAAACAGCTCGGCCGGATTCTCTATGTAGGGCGTGGCATCTTCAGTCAATACAATCCCGATTCTATAAAGGAATGGGTTGAGCGCGAGCAAAAGTAGGTGCATTCGAAGGATGCTGCTACGGTGAGCGAGGCCATAATTGACGATAAGCCATCGCTTCCTTGCAGAATTCCTCGAAAGATGCCTAGCCCCGACTTGACGTTGGGGCAACTGCGGTCACTGCAGAAGGCACCCATAAACCCTGAAGGGTATGTGCAGAGACGGGGCTACTCAACTGCTAGGGTATCCGACCCCTTCGTTGTGGGGGTATCCCCTGTTGAAGGAACCAAACCAGTCAATGACAACACTGTAACGAACTCGCCCGTCGTTCCCAGCAATTAAATCCTTGCCGTGCATGCAGGTTCATTACAGCCCTCCCGGAGCCTCAGGACCCGACAGCCCGCTTGCAGCAGCCGCTCAAACTACCAACGCTGCCGCAGTATGCCCACCACCACCACTTTGGTGAGTCACGAGCGGGGGTGAACGTGCGACCTGGGCATCCAAGGGTTGAAGTCTGGCTCTTACAAGTGGTGAAACTGCAACATACTGGCTAGGCCTTTACACACCAGCGCTCAGCGCTGTTCATGCAGCGTGCTAAGCGCCTTCCGGGCCCAGGCTACTGTTGAACACTGCAACACTTAAGGCAACAGTGAAATACAACTGTTAATTGCACGATTCAAAATTGCCGTACCTACTTCCCTTGCCCTTCAGGCTGGTTGCCACCTTCCCCGGAGCGCCGGATCGGCGGCAGCTTTACGGACGTAACGGCCAGCCAATCCGGCCATTCATACGCATACGGCATCGCAAACGACCACAACCAGCGAATCCATAACACGCATATGGCCATCTCGACGCGTAAGCCGTGACGCAGCACTGTTGCATGCATTGACGATTGGGTTAGGCAAGCAGGGTAGTTCGTAGGTGGCGTAGGATGTCCTTAGCGTGCAAATCGTAGACTTGATAGCGTTGTGCTGCTGTGTTTGTACTTCTAGATATTCTCGTGCACGGTATGGAATTAAAACGTTTTTGCTGTATGGTGCAATGCACTGGTAAGGTTTTCAACGTACGCATAGGATGCCTGTATGCGGGAGGTTCGGGGGCTTCGGGATTCCATAGCGTGTTTGCCAGGACTCGTGTGGCTCACTTTGCCGCGAAGGAAAGGAGTGGCGGTGAAGGAGTGACGGTCTTGCATTAGGTCCAAGTAACGAAAGAGGGGTTGCACAAGCTAGGAATACATGCACGTGGCTGTACGGGGTGAGGGCGCCGTTGCCACATATATTTGCAGCGTTCGTTGGAATGTGAGCTGTGCTGTGTTCATGCAAGACGTCTGACGGGATATGTGAGACCCCTTAGCAGTGATGTTTACTAGTGTAGGCTTCAATGCCTGTGGCATTCAAACTGATCAGCACTTTAGTTCCATGCATCCCTCTGGTGTGACCCTCTGGTGTGACTAGGGGATGGACCCAGAACCTGCACGCTTGTGCGCCCAGACGTCTCAGCGGGGGAGCTTGGTTTGCATTCCCCGGGTTTGGTGTCGGCGCCTGCTGCGATTGCGAGTGTGAAGTCCTTTTCAGGCTGCTGAGCGCTGTGTGAAAATGCGAGGGGTCATGCTGGTTAGTACTGTCTCGTGGTGGAGGCTAAGAACATGCTGACTTTGAATGCTAGGTAGGAGCTGCAGGTTTTGCATCTGCGTGCTGACAAGAGCCAGGACTTCGGAATATTCAGCGCTGTTCATCCGATGGATGTTTGCTGGTAGTTCTCCATTCGTATTGGACCAGGGGTCCTGTCCTCCTAACTGAGTTGGGACTAGTGTAGGATCTTGTCAATGGTTGGAGAGCAGTAAACTCTCCGCTGGGGTTCCTCAGTACCGTGTGTTACAAGGGGCCGGTGGTGTCAGCACGCAGGCTCTTACGCCAAGCGCATTGCTAGAACCGCCACTCGTGTGTGCATGGTGCACACGGCAAGAAGACTCACCCAGCATTGCGAGGCCCACACGACCAAGCACTGCTGGTCTGAAACCCCTACTACCGGCACGGCGTGTCCTGTGTGTGGCACCATGCCGGCCCTGCGCGTGCTTCCAACAAGCTATCAGCGGTAAGTTGCAGCGAAACGGGTTGCAGCCGCACCAACCAACACGTTTTCAAGCCCACACGGCAACAGTCCACCCAGCGGCAAGCACACAGGCCCGATCCGGCCGCCCCGCAACCTGGCGGTGCCTGCCGCCCTTCCGCCTCTTGGCCGCAGGTAGGCTTGCTTCTCGGAGATGGGTCCCTATCCTGAGCCCACAGCCAGCGAACTTACCTGCTCTGCAGCCGCAGCACCAGCGGCGGCCCAAATCAGCAGTGCGCCCCTCCCACTGTGAGCCTTCTGTGAGCGAGGGGTGCATGATGGGAGCATGGCTGGTAGTCCAACGCTGCCAGCCCTTCATGCATTGTGAGACCGTCATGCCACGGCTCTGCCTGTGGCCATGCCATGCCAGCATGTCCGACCGTCATACGGCTGTCCTTCCCCAGGTACCACCGTACGAGGAGCAGCTGGGTCCTGGCCGCTGTCGCTACTGCTGCCGCTGCGGCTGCTTTGGGTGCCATCTGCAGTTGCCTTGGATGCAGACAAGTTGGGGCATTGCCTGGTGCATCGCAGACGCTAATGACCAGAATTGCAGGCGAACAAGGGGATGTGTGACAGCAGGTCGCCCTCGGGCGGTATCGTCCACGTGCTGTACTCCTCCTCGTCCTGTGCGACGAGCTGCATGATACCTTAACACCGCCAAGTGCATTAGGACATCTCCTCGGGTCCGTGTATGTCTGCGCCCGGAGGATGGTGCACTACCGGTATTCATGAGGGTTGGTAAGGGCAATACGACCCGGCGGTGTAGGGTTAGGGTCATGCCAGGTGTGGTCACCAGCTTACATACGGGGCTGCGCAGAATAGAGGCAAAAGAGAGCTGAAACCAGTTGGAAAGCTGAAACTGCCAAGGGCAAGGCAGTTGACACCAACGTGAGCGCTTCGCAGTAGTTACTTGCCTTCCATTATTGCTTAGGTCGAATAACTCCTTGTTGCGTCATAGAACAGAGGCAAGAAGTGCCGCCGTACAGTCCCCGTACACGGAGACTACACCAGTGTGTGCATGCTTTCCTACTCCAACATTCCTGAAACTCAACGATAACCTCTAGGCTCAATGGCAGTTGAAGTTAGCCAAGGTGTATGCGACCTATGCGGAGCGCCTTCGGACGCGAGTTTGCAAGAATGCAACTGGTTAACATGCACATTCCAGCACTGCGAGGGTGGCCTTTATCATCAGGAATGTTTGGAAAAGTATCTAAAGTCCAACAAGCTCGAAAAGTGAGTTCTCTGCGGCGCGAACGTTGCGCGCGGCGGGATGGAGTAGCCGACACGCCTGCTCTGGTTAATGCAGAAATCGCAAGACGGGCTTCAAGTGTCCACGGGGATGCGGGAAAGGGACTCGCTTCGACCAGGCGTGCCCGGGTCGGGTAAGCCCTGAGGATCTGCGATGCTTTCGGCTTCGTGCTGCCCTAGAATGGCATGTTACTATGCACCATGCTTTTGCAGATCGACAAGTCCCACCCTATACATCCACGGAACGAGGACAAGAAGAAGACCAAGCTAGCGGTACGCCCACCTGCTGTGACCTGTCCATTCAGGTTCTTTGATAACGTCCATCTTATAAATGCAGGCTGTGGTAGTAGAACCGCAACGGCCGGCGAAGGCTGCTGTGCCTGTCGCGCAAAACGGGAAAGCAGGCAAAACAAAGGAGGAGGCCAAAGCCGATGCTGGCAAAGACGCCAAGGGAACAGCAGCAAACAAGTGAGTATCCTGTATTTATAATCTACACTTCTACCTTTGGCAGCTGCTATGTACCTATTTGGCGCTTTTAAGCTTGGGCTCGGTGAGTAATGTATAAATCCGCGGCATTTCCCCACAGGGCTGCTCCTGGGGCCAAAGCCAGTGCACCGGTGGCGGCCGCTGCTCCAACTCCGGTAGTGCCGCAAAAGTCCGGTCGCAAGGAGGTGACGTTGCTCCCACCGCGACCAGAGGTTGTTGCAAAGCAAAAGCTCGCAGAGCTGGCAGCGCAAGCGCGTCGGGAGATAGGTTTGCCCACGGGGACGCTTACAACCAGCGGCTCCAAAGGCGACCTGCAGGGGCTTGCGGGCTCCACGGGGCCATCTAAGGTGGTCAGCACCTCAGCTGCGTCAGCGTGGGGCAAACCCTCGCTGCCGGCAGTGGAGCCCCCAGCGGTCAGCCCTCAGCCGCCCATGATGTCGCAGCTGCCGCAGCTTCAACAGCTCCTACAACAGGCCGCGAGCAAGAAGGCAGCTGCTAAGCCCGCGCCGCCAACATCAGCGGCCCCCGCAGCATCAAAACCGGCGCCAGCAGTGCCACAACCGGTGCTGAACCCACCCACCCCGGTGTGGCCGGCGCTGGGGGCGACGCAGTCATCGGCAGCAGCACTGCTTGCGGCCTCCTCGTCGCAATCACGGGAGTCTGTGGCACGACCGGCGTCTCCGCCGTCTGCCTGGGCTTCTCCAGCAGTAGCACCTACCCCAGCGCAGCAGCAGGCGACACAACCGCCGTCGCCGCCGCCGCAGCAGGCCAGTTCAGCCGCTGCGTCGCGGCCTCCCTCGAGCTCTGGGGCGTCCACATCGGCAGCTGCAGCAGCAGCACCGGCAGCTTCGGCGCCGTCGCCGCCGCCAGCGTCTCCATCAACAGCCGGGCCGTCAGGGACAACCGCCGCCGTGCCGTCCGTACCACCGGGGTTTGGGACGAGCTTCGGTCCTGGGCAGGGATCCGCGGTGGAAGGAGGGGCAGAGCCGTCCAGCAGCGGTCGCAGCGGCGCAGCATCGGACACGACACAAGCCGCTGCGTCCCAATCGGCCGCGGCGACTTTGCCTGTCAGCGCGTCCTCACGTAGCGTCTCGCAACTCGTGGGTGCTGACTTTGTGGACGACGAGGCAAAGGAGCCCAAGCTCACAAAAGCGCAAAAGAAGAACCTCAAACGCACGGAGAAGAAGAAGGTGCCGGCGGGTTCACCCGGGGAGCAGCGGCAGGGCAGCAGCGGCGATGGGGATCAGGAGGCGGCGGAGACGTCACGCCGGGGCTCGGAAAGCGGCGCCAACGGACCTCCTCCGCACCCGCCCAGCACCGGTCCTGCCAGCACGCGACAGACGCAGGCGGGCGCCGCGTCCGTTAGCGGCAGCGGCACGCACAAGCGGCAGGAGTCCCGTGGGTCAGAAGACCCGGAGCAAGCCCACCTCGCGGCTGCGGAGGACGCCGCGGTGATGGAGGAGCTCTGCATCAACTGCATCGTGGGACGGAAGGTGCTGGCGCTCATAACGCAACTCCAGCGTCTGGGCGCCCTGGAGTTTGTGGCCGCGGCCGCCGTACAGCGGCACGGCAGCAACCTGCTGGCAGCCCTGGAGTGGCTCCTAGTGGCGGGTGCCGACGCCGCCAGCGCGCCGCCCGAGATTGTGCTGGCTGCGGCTGCGGACAGCACGTCGGCTGCCGAGTCCGAGGTCGACATCACGGAGGAGCTGCAGCAGCTGAGCGACCTGCAGAGCAACATGGGGCTGCCCACGGAGCTGCTGCAGCAGTGCGTGCTGGAGTGCAACGGTGACGTGCAGGCCGCCGCCACCAGCGCAGTGGAGCGCATGCGGGCGGCGCCGCCCTGCTCCTCCTCCGGAGCTGCTGGCCGGTCCAGCAGCGGCAGCGGCGCTTCACCCGCCGCGCGGCACGGCACCAGCGGCATGCAGCAGTCGGCGTCGTTCTACTCCGTCAGCTCGCTGGACCCAGCGGCCGGGGGCCAGGACGTGGACTGCCAGCGGCCGCCTCAGGCGCTACAACCCCAGCAGCACTCGCAACCCCAGCAGCAGCCGGCGCACAGCCGGCACTTTGGCGTGCGGCTACAGGACGAGCCGGCGGACAGCGGCAGCGCGGGCGGCTACGGCGACCCGTGCGCCTACGTGGCTGGGCTCATGCGGGGCGGCGCGGTGATTGGTGCTGCGGGCTGGCAGAGCGGCTACCTGCCGCCCGGCATCAGCGTAGCGGCGCCCAGCAGCGGCCGCAGCACCAGCCGGCTGCGGGACTGGCTGCGGGACGACTCGGGGCGAGCGGCGGCGCTGGAGGAGGAGGAGGCGCAGTCGGGCCCGGCGGCAGCTGCTGTTGGTGCCGCTGCAGCGGTACCGCGCAGCGCCCTGCTCTGCGCGGCGGACCCCGTGGTGGAGTCACCCTTCACGTCGGGCAAGACGCTGCCACGGGCCCATGCGCCTTCGGATTCGCCGTCCCTGCACAGCTGGCTGGGCAGTAATGCCCAGCACCCGCATGTGGGGGCCGGCGGGCCGGGCCCTGCAGGTGCGCAGGAGCTGTACTGCGGCGCGGCAGGTGCGGCGGGAAGCAGCAGCAGCAACTTCTGCTTCGGGTCGTCGCATAGTAAGCCGTCTGGGGGTCTGATGGACCCGCATGGCAGCATGCACGAGCCGCAGCAGCAGCAGCCCCTAGGGGAGTACGGCAGCGGCAGGTGGGGCGGTCTCACGGGAGCCCAGCGACAAGATGTTGCCGCGGGGCTGCTGTATCCGTCCGGTGCCGTCATGTCTGCAACGGAGGCGGAGTCAGCGCCGCACAATGACGGGGACAGTGACTTGAGCTCCATCATGGCACTGATTAACGTGCGCTAGCGGGGTGCGGTGGCGGCCGCGTGACAGACGCGTGTGTCATATGTCTTATGTTCCCCATGTGTTTATTGTGGTGTGCGATAGTGTTGCTAAGAGTCATGGTGCTGGTGCTGCATTGTGCCCTGGTCGGGGGCTTGGGGCCTGGCCGGCAGCATGGGCCGCCCTTGCCGCTTTCCAAACATGGCCGGCCATTCGCGGCGTTTGCCGTTCTGTCCGTTTCGTGTGTACGCTACATGTCTTGCCAACGCTGTAACCGCGCGGCTATTTGCCGCTGTCATTTTGTGTGCAGGGGCGCGTCCCGTTCGTCCCAGAGCATTGCTGGGAGCGAGCGGGGACACAGGGCCCGCCCCTTGCCGAGACGTGGTCAGATGCCTAACCTGACAGGACTCCAAGGATGGGAAGAGTAGGGAAATAGAAAGGGAAAGAGGGTAGAGGGAAGGCGCGCTAGCTGCAGGAGAGTGTGTGTGGGAGGCTGCAGCCCATGCAAGTTGGTGTTGCCTCATGCGAGGCCTGATTAGGTTCTGCATGGTGTAGCGGCGTCGAGAGGCTGCCTAGGCAGGATGCGTGCGATACGGGACATAGACCGCTGGCGCACACAACACGGCACGAGGGCACCAGGCTTGGGCGCGTGTGCCCGGGTGTGTGCTGGGCCCTTCTAGCCGGCGTATGCCAGCAGTGCCGTGTGTTCTCCTTGTGAGGCTAATGGTGTGGTGTGGGGAGTGACGATGCTGCTGTCCTTTGTTTGGCAGTCATGCACACATGCACCTGTACTGGGGGGTGTAGTGAGAGACGTTTGGCTGGGCAGCTCCGCCCCGGCCCTGTGGCCTCCTTGGGTTGCGGTACACGTCGCGGTTGGCAACAGTCACATACAACCGTTGGACGCGACGAACGTACCGTCGTTGTTAAGGATGCCACGTTGCCTCCTTTCCCTGTTGCAAGAGTGCTGCATAGCTGCACTGGATACTGCAGGCTGCCCCACCTCCCCAGGCTGCCCGCTGATAGCCATCTAGTAAACAACTTGACATATGGGCAGCATTATTGCGTCCAACATCGTTTGTCGTATAAGACGCCTCCAGGCAACAAACAAACAAACAAGACATAGCTTGCGAAGCCGGCAAGTATAAATGTTACCGACGTGTTACGCTCTTCCAACTCACGCAGCGGCTGCTCCTCTCGGTCTGAAGTCGGTCGCAACCACCCAAGCTGTCATAAGTACTAACAGGCGCAAGTCGTGCAAATTTGCCGGACGCCCTATTCCTGCGCCACAGGTACATGCTTGTGAGTGCTATCGCCCACTGTCCCCATCTGACACCTTCTTACGGTAGTCACAACAGGAGCGTCAAGCAGTGCACGCGCCCGGGGGTGCGTCAGCCCTGGCGCACCACATGTCCCTTCGCTACTGCTGCTGCTCCCCACGCATCCGAGTCCTCTCTCAGCGCACATTCAGTGCACTCGTCGCGTAGTAAAGCTCACAAACTAACAACGACACGGTGTCACGACTTGCGGCCAGTACCGGTATCCCTAACCGCGCATCGGTCCGCCAATGGTGGGCAATGCCTGCACCAGCGGACCCCCTATGCGTGGGCCTCCAACCGTGCAACATCCCCTCCGCTGCTGCTGCTGCTGCCGCCCTGCCGCGCCGCCAGGGGCGCCGCCTCGTACAGCTCCGCCTGCCTGCTGAGCGCCCTGAAGGCCCCCGCCTGCCAGGAGGGCGGCGGGCGGCTCAGCAGCTCCGACAGCACCGAGCTGCTCTCCTTCTGCGAGGTGAGGTGAGGTGGGGTGAGGTGAGGCAGTGCGGCGATGAGGCGATGTCACACAGCATGTTAGCGGTCCCATACGGCGCAGGGCGGGGAGAGGAAGACAGGCGCCGCCGGTTGGTTGCTAACGGTTCCGGTCATGCCCTCATGCAGCCGGTGATCAGGGGCTCCAGCCATGTCTTCCAAGCTACGCAGCCCGCTCCCTTGTTACCGAGCACAAGCTCACGACCCCGATTCCCACGCCCAACACTCTACCCGGCCCAACACAGCCTTGCAGCTCCACTCCACATCTCCAGCCCTCCCTCCAGCCCTCCCTCGCGCTCCCCTCACTCACCACCGTCTTGGTCAGCATCACCGCCTTCAGCGCCACCCGCTGCTCCTCCGACAGGTCCGCATGCGCGCCCCGCCGCTCCAGCCGCTGCCGCTGCGCCTCGTACATCACCAGCGCCGCCGCCACGCTGATGTTGAAGGACTCCACCATGCCCGCCATGGGGATCACCGCGCAGGCGTCCGCGGCCGCCACCGCCTCCGCGCTCACGCCGTGCTTCTCGTTGCCCAGCACGAAGGCGGTGGGGCGGGTCCAGTCCACCTGCTGGATGGTGACGGAGCTGGCGGAGAGGTGCGTGGTGATGACCTGGTAGCCGGCGGCCTTGACGGCGGCCAGGCAGTCGGAGGTGCTGTCCCACAGCTTGATGTCCTGGGGGAGGCGCGGGGCAATGAGGGAGGGGCAGGGGTGGTGAAGGGTGGGGTAGGGAGGATCAGGATTGCGTTCATGCAAGGGACGAGTGAGGAAGGAAGGCGGGACGCATGAGGGATTGCCTGCACCCTGTACGCCTGTGATCTAGACAAAGGACGTGGCCCCACCCTTCCCGGCGGCCCTGGCCACCCCCCGGCCAGGCGGCTCACCAGCCACTTGTCTGCGCCCGCCGCAGTACGCTGCGACGCCTTGTATTTGCTGTCTCTGTAGCGGGGGGTGGAGGGGGCAAGCGGGTCAGGTTGGGCCGGGGCCAGGTCAGCCACCACAAGCGCTAGCGGTCGACTTGATACCGCGATCCGGACCCCATGCAGGAGGCATACGGGCTGCTGAGATTGCGTCGCAAGCATGCAAAGATGCAATGCAAGGCTGCGGTTAGCCGACATGCGGCATGCCCGTTAGGGTTCTCCACATCAAGCGGCCGCGGCAGGCAAGGGCATGGCAGGCTTGAGGGGCCTGGCTGCCTCCCGCCCGCCCGACCCCAAAGCAACCGGGCTGCCCAGCAAGGCTGGGTGCAGGCTTCACTGCAAGCTGGCAGCCCACCTCTTGTTGATGCAGTGCACCGCACCGTAGCCCAGCGCTGTGGCAGTTCGGAAGCAAGGGGGCGTCAGACGGGGCTGAATGCGGCGACCGTCTAAGGTTAGTTGGTCCAGGTGGACAGCATGCGGCAAGCCGTGCCCGGCAACTAAGTGGTCCCTGCCATTAGTCTGGAGCCTTACTTTTGCTGCTGGCAGGTTGCATTCTGACATTAAGTTATGCGCCAAGCGTTCTACGAAGTATACCCTCCCTGAACCCTTTTTGTATCCACCAGTTGTGCCCCTGCCTTGGGCCAGGCAGGATGGAGGCCGGCAGGGCGACCCATCCCACGTCGCTCACCATCTGCAGTACGGCACACGGCTGCTAGGTTGCCCATATCGTACAGCCCTGCCGGTACGGGCACCAGAGAGTGGTGGCGGGTCAGGTAGGGGCAGAGAGGTGCGGAAGGCATGCACGCAGGGTCATTCTGGCCCATGGGTCACACGGCCTGTTTGCAGCCTTGACCCTGCCTGGAGCATGACTGTACTCCAGTTGTGCCATGCGGTAGCATTATAACAGCATGTGGTCCAGATCTAGACGATGGTACACCCCGTCATGTTGTGTTCGGCGTGGTCTTGTAGCTTTTCGGTTGATGAACCTGAGCGTGCTTAACAGAAAGCACGTCCTTGCTTACCCAGCATGCAGCCACCATCGTGTACCGCGCTTCTCACCTTCGACAATGGGCAAGACGGAGAACGTGCGGTTTGCAATGACATTGTCGATCCGCTGTACACGTTCCTCCAGGGCAAAGGGGCTTAGGAGCCGAACAACGGTCGCAGCGTCCACAACTCTGCCATCTTCTAGTACAAAGTCATTTGAGTAAGGAAAGCCCACATCCCGATGCGATACGGGCTGCAGCGATGTGAACCGACTGCTGCAAGGAACGTGTGTGCTTCGGACGTGCTGCCGTCGGACGAGGGGCAGGACAGCTGAGGATCTGCCTACATGCGGTCTTTCAATTGCGCTTTTCATCGTTACTCTCAGCTACAAAAACACGATGCACCCATCCCGAAAATTGGATTAAGATAATGCGGATCCCCCTTCAGCGTCTTCACTGAGCCCCATGTGGAGTTTTCATAAAATGCCAAGCTGCTTTTTCTTTAGCAAGCCGATGTGTGTTACAGGGCGCCGTTTCGCATGTGTCGTGCAGCCCTGATACGGCGCACGACTGCTTCTAGCTAATATGCCAAATATATAATCCTTAAATTGTACACTCATCCCGTTGCTTTTGTAGTTAGAGTTACCCGCTCCAACGGCGACTTACCCACAAGCGCATTTGCGTCTTAGAACTATCAAAGCTGGCTTGCATTTTTAGTACATCGAACCCATACATTGCACAACCTCTCAAAGCATAGTGATAGGACAAAGTATTACCTATACAGAAATCGTGGAATACCTGGCGCCTGTTCGCTCGTCATGCAGTTTTACAGGCGACACAGGAGCAACGAAGCATCGCGTATTCCTTCAGAGTAAAGCGAAACGTGCTGTTTCCACATCATTTAAGTTGCTTTGAAACCGGGGGCTACACGTCTACCTAGTAATCCCTACCAGCCATGAACCGCAAAACGTGGAATGCGAACCCGTCGAGGGACCTTAGCTATACCAGCCTCATCATCGATGAACAGGTACGCAAAGTGATGCTGGACATGATACAATATCTCTCCCTAACCCAACTTGCAACTCCGTCTCGTCCATCTTTTCCAGAATCGCTCCCAACATTCGCATAAGATTACGGACACCGCTCGCTTTCGAGCAACGCCCACAAACGGCAACCTGGCGGTCGTGGTTCCGGACATCGACGATGCGACCGTACGACAATCCCTGCCCAAACACCTACAGTGAGTAATAGCTGCATCCACATATCGGGGTCCCCGGGGGCTACAAAGTTGCAGCCTTACCGCCGTACTTCCCTGACTCTGACATCCCCACTCCACTTCAGTTGCCAGTGCGCTCTCTTCCCTGTCGCTGGACGCCAAAGCCCACTCAAGCCTTCACCGACACTCCTTTCTCTCTCCCCGGCCCGCTGCTCCTGTCACCTCTCCTCACCCGCTCCACCCTTCCCATTCCCTTCCAACCTCACTCTGCCCACCTGCCTGCTTGCCTGCCTGCCAGGGTTGACACGAACACACGCACCGTGTTCCGCGACGTCTTCTACCGGCCCAAGGAGGGCATCACGGAGTTCGTGGAGGACCCCGCCCACTCGTGCGCCGCTGTAAGAGCGCTGCCGCACATGCCCATGAACGAGCTGGCGCCCACCGACCCGCGCATCCGGAAACTGGTACGCTGGCCTTGGGAAGGGGAGGCCTTGGGACGGGTGTGACGGGGCCCTAGAGCGCCCTAGGATTCACCCACCACACGGATCGCACCCACACCCACACGCCACACCCACACCGACAGCGTCCTGTTGCCTCGCCTCATGCTGAACCTCCTCCTCCCTCCAACCCTCCTCTCCACCTGCACACACAGAAACCCGCATACGAGTCGCCTCTGTGTCCCGGCTACTACGAGCCGGACCCCCTGGGCGAGCGCTCCACGGGCACCCTCACCATCGACCCGGGGGAGGTGCACCACACCATCCAATACGCGCGCGACCCCAACCGCCCCTCCGCGGTCTTCACCTCCGCGAAACGGTGGGTGCGAGGCACGGAGTATACCGGTATCCCTGATGTTATAAGCAGCCGGAACGTGGTTTTGTGTGTGTCCGGTGGTATTACACTGTGTGGGCCGGTACCCATCACACTGACGATCACAACCGCCCTTTCGCTGCGCCCTCCACTCCTCAGCGGCCACACCGCCCGCGAGATCGCCGCTGCCGCCGTGTCGCCGCCCATCATTAGCCGCATGACGGACCCCGACTTTGCGTACTGGACGAGCAAGGGATGCTGGGCGCCGCGGGGGGAGCGGGTCATTGAGGCGGACCGCTGGGGAAAGAACGCGCGGGAGACGCGTCCGCCCGCGGAGGACCGACCGCAGAGGTGCGGCAGGAGACGAGGAGGGAGGAGGAGCGGGGTTGGCATTAGTGAAGGAGCGGCTCGACAAATGTCGTATGGAGGACGTCTGATCGGGTTCCGCGCGGTGGTCATCATGTTTGCTTTTCCGCTCCTAACCTCCTGGCGTCTGCCTGCCGGCCCCCGCAGTGTCTACACCCCCGCTGTCACCACGGACGGTCACCCCAACAGCTGCGAGGCCTACACCTCGGCGCGCCTCTCCCCGGCCTACAAGGTCGCGTTCGCCTCGGGCATGCCGCGAACCATTGCGCTGCCGCTGGGCTTGCGACCCGACACGCGGCTGCAGATCAAGAGCTATGATGACATCACCGCCGCGCGTCCGGATGTGGGGCCAGGCAAGCAGATCGCCATAACCCCGGCATCTAGGTTGGGAACTGCAAAGCTTACTACCGGCAGTCCATGTACGCCGCCAGGAACAACGCAAACTCCTTGTGCCCGATAATAGAGGGATTTTGCCCTGTCCTTCCCATATGGTCTCACTTCACCCCCACCACCGCCCCCACCACCGCCCCCACCACCTGCAGGCTCCTACAACCCGGAGGCGCCCCGCATGCGCTCCCCCAACGCCGCCTATGACACCTCCAGCGCCTACTACTCCCTTGCCTCCGGCACCCCCACCGGCCCCAACCCGCACTGGGACGGGCACCAACCCAGCGGCTCCGCAGCCTCCGCCAGCGGCGCACAGCTCGCCGCGCTGCTTCCCCCGCAGCTGCAGCAGCAGCTGGCGGCCTCGGGCGCACTGGCGTCGCTGGTGCAGGCGTCCGCGCCGCACACGCCTGGCAACCTGGGCGGCCGCAGCGCGGGGGGCACGCCGCTGACGTCAGCGCATCAGCAGCAGCAGCAGCACCCCAGCAGCGCTCGATCCGAGCCGTGTAGCCCCAGTGCGGCGCGCGCGGCGGCGATTCGTGCGGAGCGAGTGGCGGCGGCGGCGATGATGGCGACTGTGTCGCATGGCGGCGGAGCCAGGGACAGCCTGTCACGGGCTTGGTCGCCGTCGCCGCTGGGGACACCGCAAACGTACGGCGGCGCCGGCGGCGCCGGCGGCGGCAGCTATGGTAGCGCAGCGGGGCAGCAGCAGCATTTGATGATGCCGTACAGTTATGGCGAGGAGGATGACGGGGGGTTGCACCTGCCGTCGCCTTCGTGGCCTCGAGCGCAGAGTGCGCCGGTCAGCCCGCGGAGGATTGGCAGTGCCACGTCAGCCATGCGGGCTGCGCAGTCGAAGCAGTTCAACAAACTGTGAGTGGTTTGGTGTTGGGCGTTGGGTAATGGCCTAGCGGGTCAACTTCCGTAGCGGAGTCCCTGCGTAGGCCGTACCGCGCCGGTCTCAAGGTCGAATGGCCGGTTGTGGGGTAACCGTTGGACGGTACCGACGTTAGGCCTCGCATGGGAGTAGCCGCATGTGCTTTCCTCTCAACCTCCCGACCTCCTTCCCACCTTGCCTCTCTTCCCCCCCTCGCTGCTCCCCCCCACAGGGTGTTCATGCAGCGCCACACGCCCTGCTCCTCGCTGCTCCGGAGCCACCTGGTGGTGGCGGCGGACCTGAAGCGGGAGCGCCAGCGGGTGCGCAACATGAGCTGAGGGCGGGAGGGGTGTGTGCGACATGGGCTGGAATGTAGCATGGGCTTGGTTGAGCTGCTGCACGGGGTGGCGAGGGAAACGAACTAGGCCCTACCACAGCCGGTGCGGAGTGGGTCGAGGTCAGTGCGGCAGCTGTCGGTATCGTGCGGCTTGATGGCGGTGTAGAGTTGGAGGGAGGTGAAAGGGAGATGGATGAAGAGGGTTCGAAGGAACTGCTGAATGGGGTGTACTGTGGGGCACAACATTGAGGGTGAAAGAACGAGATGGGGTATTGTACTCTAGGTTAGCTAGGTGCTTATGGGTTCGTTGGTACAGTGGGTGCAAGCATGGGTGCACGCATGTTGATGGTTAGATTATGAAGGGGGCTGCGAGGTGTTGCTCAGCAGTGTACGGGTGCGCAGCAGGATGCTAAACACGTACTTGGCAGGGGCTGTCGCAGGGCGGGCGGTAGACAGGAAAGGGTATAATGCGCCCTATGCAGCTTTGTAGGAGTCTTTATGGTTATGGTTTGCAGCGTGATTAGTCATTAATGTATGCAAGTGAGTAGTCGTAGTTGCCCCTAGGGAGTAGCCCTAACTGCTGAGATGGCTAGATCCATGAATGCTGTTTATTCCAACGGCTGGCAAGCTTCTGACGACCACTGCAAGACCAGGGGTGCGGTGGACACGTGCATGCCGATGTGTACCGCCCTGGCGAGGGGTGACGTAGGTGTGCAATCAGATGACATGATGTACGGAAGACGACAATGACTAGGCAATGCCACGGCCTCAAGAAAAGGCTTGTGTTTTGGTTTACAGATGTTGGTCAGCGCCATGTCATGTCCTGACGTGCGTATGCCGTATTGCGCCGGGCGTGTGAGGCCTCGGTCCTGCCTGGCTGCTGAGCTCCCGACCACGGGCCGTCTGTGTCACGGTCACGGTTTAGAAGTGGGCGATCACAGTCACGTTTTGACCACCAATCCGGGCTACTTACTAAACATATGTAATATACAATACACCAGCAAGCTGGGCTCGCTTACATTGCTTCACATGCAGCCTGGTGCTGAGAGCACCAACGCAGCGCGTCATCTGCAATCAGCGCCAGGCCTACAGCGGCCACAGGGCCTCACCGTTGGGCCCTGGCCTCTACTACATACCGGTACTACGTAATACTAAGGCGCCATGGGGATGGGTCCATGGAGTGTCATGGATGGTGGTTCGCACGGCCGACAACAACACCATGCAAAATAACGCACGATATACAGCGACCACGCTCAGCGCTGCTTAACCTTATTACGGACAAGGGCTGGTATACGTTGTGACGTCTACTGCAGTCCCTAGGACCGTGTGCTTCCACGGCTCCCGAGGCTGCTTTGTTAGCTGCTGAGACCCGCAGCGCCGCCCTCGATCCCCAGCTCATGCCTCGGAAGGCCAAACACCCGACAGGCCACCTCGGTTGTGGAGCGACCCAGCTGCGCGGCGCAGGAAAGGGACAAGAACGGAGGGACGGCGAGGTATTGATTCTAAGGGCACAGAACGCTGCCACGGCGGCAGCAAGCCATGTGCGCCGGAATGGAATACCAGGTGCACGGTTACGAGCCCGCATGACCCAACCCCTCACCTCCTCGGGGCTGACGCCCAGAGCGGCTGCTGCCGCCTGCAGCACATGCGGCAGCAGCGCGGGCTCGTTGCGACCCGGACGAGCCTTGCTGGGCCTGCGGAGGGCGCGAGTAACCGCACAGCAACCCGGTGTTGAGGACAAGCAGGGTGTTAAGGGATGCATCCATTCGTATCTGACTGGCAAAGCATAACGAAACGAAACCAGAACAGCCGTGTGGCAGCACCTGAAAGCAGGCACGAGCCCCATCGTGTTGGGAGGGCTGGGCAGGAAGCCCCGCTAGCCCCATGCTGCTTCCCTCCAGTCCCCAACCCAATCCCCAGCCCACTCCTGCCTGGCCCCTCTCACTTGATGGACCTGGGGACCAGGTAGGGGCCGTCCGTCTCAATCATCAGCCGCTCCCGGGGCACTCGGTGTAGCAGGGAGGCCAGCTCGGCGCCGCCGCGCTCGGGCCGGTCGTCGCAGATCCTGGCAAAGGGCAACACAGGACATCAACACGCACACGAAAGGACAGTGACAGGAGCACAGTGGCTAAAGGGAAGACAAGACACTGATTGTACCGGTAATCCCCGACTACTGCTTGACAGGATTGCACGAGCAAACGTCAATGGGGCACCGGTAGCCAGGCAGCTACCGGTATGCAAACCCAGACCGCCGTCATCGGGTATTACTGCTGGTACAGTATGACAGCTGTGCTGGTTACTTGCAGCAGCGGCTGCTGTGCGCTGCCCAGCCCACTCACCAGCCGGTTATCCCGATGTACGCGCCCAACGCCAGCAAGCCCTCCAGCTCGGTCCGGGAGCCCGTGAAGCAATGCACCACGGCAGGAGCGGGCAGCGGCATGTGGCGACTGTGGGCAGGGAGGCGGAGATAAGGTGAGTCAGGTTATGACTGGCACACCGGCATCCAGCAGTTCATTTAAGCGCAAGAAAAGCGGCAGGTGCACAGCAGACAAACATCATGCGGGTCGCACCTGAGAATGGCTGTGAAGCGCTCCGAGGCGTCCCTGCAGTGCAGGAACAGCGGCCGCTTGAGCTCCTTCGCCAGCCGCACCTGCTCCTCAAACCACTTCTCCTGGGGGCGAATGAAGAACGGTTCCCATCCGCACAGAGCAGCGGGAGGCAAGGTCTCAGAGCACGGCAAGCCTTAAAAACCAGGTGGAAGCATGTCCTGCCTATGAAACACTTCGAAAACTGTAAAGGCAGCCTGTAATCCGCGCTCGGGATTTGGAAGGGAACGCGTCCAAAGCCACGGGACCTGACCCACGGGTCACACCTGCACGTCCGGGGGGCTGAAGTTGCGGTTGAAGTCGAGTCCACACTCGCCGATGGCGACGCAGCGCGGGTGAGATGCTAGGCGGCGGAGCTCATCTAGGGTGGAGGAGGTACATTGCTGCGGGAGATGGGGGCAGCGGAGGGGCCAGTTGTGAAGGAGCAAGATGGGACTGATACGGGTAGCGGTGGTGGGTGCCATGGTAAGTGCTTAGGGGCCGCAAGGCTCCAACCGGGCGCTCCGTGCATGCAATAGGTACCCGCCGGCGCTTATCTTTGGTGTGCGATGGACCGAACGTGCATAGGTCTAGCCAAATGCCGGCGAGGTAAACCGGCGTGTTCTTCACCCTCGTCCTCATTACGTCACTATGTCAAACCAGGCGGGGTTGTAAGCGAAACTGTGGATCAGTTCGCCGCGGTCTCACCTTGGCATTGTGCGGGTGCACACCGGCGGTGAAGAACAGCGGGTGCTCACGGGACTTGGCGTCACACAGCCGCGCGGCCGCGGTGGAGGTTCGCACACATGTTCCTGTCACGATGAGGCCCCGCACATTCGCCTCCCGCGCCCGCTGCAACACGTTATCGATGTCCTGAGAGCCGAAAGGGCAGGTCCAGAGGGGCACATAGGGATAAAATTGTTGCATCCGGTCAGGATGTCAAGAAGTCGACATGCCACGTACCGATTGGAAAGAGCGGTCCACCAGGTTTATACCGATGTCCACCAAGGGCACTGGAGATGGGAATGCGACCGCCTGCACCATTTGCCCCTGTGACGGTCCCCGTCGCTCCTCTTGAGCCTGTCGTGGCTGATGGTCCGTTGACTTCGGACCTGAATGTGGCTGTGGTTGGCCACGAGGCTCCCACTGCTCGGTACGTGGAGCTTGTGTAGAGTGAATAGCTTTTGATGCTGTCATTTTCTTGCGGCTATGGATATGATAGACGGTAACAAAGGAGGTTCCCGTTTCGCGTGCAAGCTTAAGATACGCAGTTGTGTGAGTAGCCCGCATGAGTGCTTTATCACTGTAAATAAAAACTTATGTTTAGAAACGAACACAGCAGCCTCCACCTTCCTTGAGGCTTGGGGCCGGTTGTACGGTGAATCGGCTGGCCTGAAGTACAAGCTGCAGGTAGCTTGCAGGAAGGAGGACGACATCCGCAATTGGCATAGCAATGCTTGGTGAGGAAGTTACGTGGTGCAATACTTACGCAGATTGCATGATACAACTGCCGGGGAGCGGCCCCCAGCAAGCAAAGCACAGGCCAGCGGCATGCCAGGGAACGGAGACTCTTAGTGCCCTTCCCAAGCAGCCATGCTGTAACAACCCAACGACGTGCCTTCACGGGCTGAACATGCCATCGCCAGGAAATGAAACTTTGTAACAAGCGCGGAAGGAGACGTCCGTCCCGTCAGCAGTACTAACACCACAGTGCCAAGACCTCGGCTGTACCCTAACGTCCGGCTAATCCCATCCTGAGTAGACCTTGCACCTGCAAAGCCCCACTGCCGATTCCGGCAGGGTATGAACCCACGTTAGCGCACGAGCGAGCATAAAATTCATTTTCGAGAAGTCCAAGGGCTAGAGGCTAACACACGTGCCCCCACCACACCCCTTGTTTGCACCAAATCCTGGCCAAGGCACTCAAGCTACGCAAGAAACAAAACCGCAGATATGCCAAAAGCAAATGAGCTCCACCCCACACACGCAATAAAACATCTTAGCCACCGCCCACATGATCCCAAACGGAAACATACAACTCCCCTAGCCTTCAAGTCACGGACAGCACCGCAAGCATAAGGCACGTTGCTATCAAGTCCCCATCAGTCGCGGGGCCACCCAAGCTTTTATAAGTCTGACATGGCATACGTAGTCTCTGGCAAAATTGCACCCACCGCCGGCTCGCCAAACCAGCCCCGTGCCGGCTCCTGGAAGTCCTCAGCCGGCGGCCCCTCGCATCCCGGCTTGCCTCCGCCAACACCAACACCCCATCCACCCTCGCAGTACCCCAACACGAGTACGACACCGGTATGAGCGGTAACCCCATCCAGTGCTACAGCTCTCGTGCCCTACTAACTCATAAGCGCACCCTGCCCCAAGCAGGCAACGTTCCGCTTAACTTTGTGTGGCAATAACCACTGGTAAGTGCACCGCTATTGCCTTAAGTTGGCGTACTTGGGTCGGCAGGTTGCTCTGCCTAGTCATTAATCGTCGGTTTCCTCATTCCCCCTCCCCACTGCGTACACCCAGTAATCCACACCGCACCACCGCCGCCAGCACTTAAGCCCCGTCAACGCATGTAAAACACCCATCCCACATTGCAACGTACCACACAATCAGCCCGGCCTGAGCCTCCGGGCTGCTGCATGTAGCTGCCCCTAACGCAGACACTGCCCATAGTCCCATCCCCATGCCGGCATGCTTGCTAAAGCAGGTCAATACGACGACGCCACGCTCACGTGCTGAGGGCCTGCAGCTGCCGCCGCAGCTCCTCCACCTCCGCCCGCATGGCTGCCAGGCAGTTGGGGTCCTCAGCCAGCTTCTTGGTGAGCGGCTCGCGCACCTTGGCGGCCTTCTCGAAGTCCTTGCGGGCCTTGTCCTTGGCCTGGGAGGGGTGGGCGGGTGCGCATGCAGGGAGCGGGGCGGGTAAGCCTCTGTACGGCAGCATAGTAGTGCAGGAGGCAGGTGCATGGTCGGGCGATACGCGCGGCGGGATAGGGGTGAAGGTAAGAGGTACCTACTGCAATGCCAGGAATTCGCGCCGTCGGGCACAGCGTATACATGCCCGGCAGTAGGCAGTAGGCAGCCAGGCAGCAGGATGGCACATGCGACCGCCCCCTCACCTTGCCCTCCAACAGCTTGCCCTCCTTGTCGTGGGTGGGCTCTCCGCTGGCCTCATCGAACTTGCTGTACTTGTCAGCCAACACCGCCTGGGGCCGCAACAGCCGATCACGCAACAGTTGTACGGTACCTTTTGTAAGAGGCTACTCGCACAACAGGTTCCAAGGACTAGGGCCCTTGCTGGCTGAACGTGTGTGCAATGGCTAAGGATTGTAACATTGTAGGGAGGCGCTGCAGCGCAGGCTGCAAGGCTGCCTTACCTGGACGGGCGGCAGAGCAGCCAGCCCCTCCATCTTCTCCAGCTCCTTCACCTTCCGCTCCATCGCGCCCTCCAGCTTTTTGCGAGCTGCGCTGGCGGCCGCGGCGGCGCGGGCAGCGATCTCCTCGCGCATGGCTGCCGGGTCGTCAAGCTTCCATACCGCCTTGCCTGCGCGACATTAGACCAGGAGGTGCGGCCCCGTTGTTCACACATCGTAAAGCCATCGGAAAGACGGACATCATGCTATTACACGCTGCCTCCGTGGCAGGTACCCCTCAACCCGTTCTTCCACACTCTTCCCCATCTGCCGAACCACCGCCCCACATGTCACGCCCGGCCCCTTCCTCACCGTCTGGCCGGTCCTCCAGCCTCACGCCCAGCTCCACCATCGTCTCGTCACGCAGTCGGTCGCACGCCGCCAGCACGGCCCGCGGCTCGGCGGCCTCCGCAGCCATGAGGCGCACCTCGTCCCGGAATGCGGCCAGCGCGTCCACGTAGCGGCAGGTGTTGGCGGCGAGCTTGGAGGCGGGGTCCGCCTGCCGCCAGGAGGACTTGCCTGCGGTGGGAGGTAACACAGCAGCAGCAACAGCCGCGGGAGGGTGTGTTAAGATAAATGGCTGCGAGTCGGACGGTGTGCGTGAAGGTATTAAGAGAAACGCGCTCCATTGGCATCACCCGATGTGAGCTCATGGGCGGGGAAAGGAGGCGCTGTTCTTCCGCTTGGCACAACTTGGCCAACTGCTTACCGTTCGGCCCATCTACCAGCTGCACCCCGAGCTCCAGCAGCGTCTGGTCACGCAACCGGTCGCACACCGCAGCAACGTCCCGTGGGTCAGCCTTGGCCTTGCCCAACGCGCGGACCTCATCACGGAAGGCCGTGAACGCGTCCAGGAAGCGAGGGGCTGCAGCGTCGCTGCCGGCGCCACCCGCCGCCTCCGTAAACCCAGGCCTGTGCGGTAGGAAAGAAACACAGAGGGTCAGGAAGGAGCCCAGACGCAGCGTCGAAGTGTCCCGCAGTAGTGGCCGCGGCCTGCAATAGGTTCACCATGACCTGCTCAGTAGGCTTACCGGTCGCTGGGTGCTTCAACGATGCCGAACACCGAGAGAATACGTGTCACGTAGGCCGCCGCCTTCCGCAGCAGCAGTGGCCGGGCGGCCCCGGGCTCCTGGAGTGAGCGGAGGCAGGGTGAGCGTGGTAAGGAATTAACAAGGGTGGTGTGGTAAGCCGGTCTTCCTTTGGGACGGGACTGCAAACGACATGGAGCATTTGCACTGCCCCTACCCTACTGCTTGCTCACTGGCACTGCGCACCTGCGTCGCGGGCGACTGCAGAGGGGTGTAATTACCTTGTAGCACCCCTGTATCCTGTGGCCGCTGCAGCTGGCCTCATCCCCCACCCTCCGTGTGCCCCCCCCGAGTCGCACCTGCTTCTTTTCGAGGTACTTGTTGACTGCCTTGATGAGATCGGACAGCGCCTCCATGGCGGCCGGCGTGTTGACGTTGTCACGCAGGGCCGCGTCAACCGCCGTTTGGGTGGCGCCGATGCGGCTGTTGAGCTCGAAGTCCTCGGGCTGCGCGGGGGCGGGCGGTACGAGGTTTGAGGCGGCGGCAGAGGTAGCGGTGAGGTGAAAGGAAGGAGGAGAAGATGCACGGTCTGGTATTAGGGTAGACATGACCAGCAAGCCGCAAAGCAGCTTAGCTAATGTCAACGATATAGCGCTAAAGGAAGGTGGGGCCCTCGTATCTTCTAAACACCTCTCCCTTGTTGTTCCGTCCTCCTTACCGTCCAACGCTGCTCCGTCGCGTTGACGTCCGCACCGCGCACCGCCGCGTCCACGTTCTGGAAGAAGTTCTTGAGCTGCGCCTCGCGCGCCTTCATCTCCGCGCGGCTCTGCTCGCCGTACAGCATGGTCTTGTTCCAGGGCTGTAGCACGAACATGAGCCGCAGCTGCCGAGCGTTGAAGGTGGAGAGCGCCTCCCTGCAGGAGCGCGGTTCACGGTGTCAGCGGTTGGGGAGAAGGTAAATGCATAGGATATGCCAGGTGAGTGGGCAGCTGACGCCCACATGCGCGATGACCTTAAAAGGTACGTACAACGTGTGATACGTGTGCGGCTTCTGGAAATCGTTGGAAGGTATGTACATGGCCTATTTAGGATATCCACAGGCAGCAATCCGTGCATGTTTGTTGACCCCGGAGCAAGTGCCAGGCCGCAATGGGTCTCCCCGCAGCCAGGCCAGAGGGATGCTCCTTGGGGTCGTGTGTTGTTGCACAAGTTATACCTTCTCGCATCTTGCCCCTACAGCCACGTCTCAGGCATGAGGAGCGGCTGCGACGTGCGTTTACGGCGGTACGGGGCCGCACCGGCCGCCTACAAGTGCGGTGTTTCCAACGCTGCCGCGACTGCTGCCGAGCATACCAGTACATTATCAGGCGTCTCGGACCCCAAAAGGGTTGCAAAAAAGGGAGGGCGGAAAGATGCTGTGGCCCGCACCTGATGGTGATGAAGTTCTTGAGGGATTTCGACATCTTGAGTCCCTCGATATGCAGGTGGCCGCAGTGCAGGAAGTAGTTGACCCACTGCTTGCAACCGCTGCGGCAGGCGGCCGGCGGGGGATTGCCAGGTTGGGGCTTGTGGTCGGGGACATGCATGGGCGCACAACAGCACGAGCAAGCAGCAAGACCCCATCTGCCCCACAGCCCCAATGTGCGGAACCAGTGCACCTAAGTCAACAGTTACCGTCGTTCCTAAGACCCGACTTCATACCAGTCCTCCCCTTCCCGTTCATTCTTAACACACGCCCCCCAAACCTCAAACGCACACTCACTCGCAGTGGTAGTACGCCTCCGCCTGCGCCAGCTCATTGTCGTGGTGCGGGAAGCGCAGGTCCTCGCCACCCGTGTGGATGTCCAGCCGCGAGCCAATGATGGAGGAGGCCATTGCGCTGCACTCGATGTGCCACCCCGGCCGACCCAGACCCCAGGGAGACTCCCACACCGGCTCGCCGGGCTTGGCAGCCTTCCACAACGCAAAGTCCTGGACAGGCAGCGGGAACACGGGAACAGCGGGTGCACGTGGTGAAGCCACGTGCAAGGAAGGGATCTTCCACAGCACAGGACGCTATCCAGTTTTATGCCAGCCGTCCTGAGCCCAGCCCGTCCCGGCGCCAACCTGCGGGCTGCGTTTTTCGCTGGTCTCGAAGTTGCTCTCGCCCTCAGCCGCCAGCGCCGCGCTGCCCACCGCCCAGGGGTTCAGCTTGCCGTACGTGTGCCCGCATGACCTGCGCATGCGCGTGTGGGGTGTACGACATGTCTCGCAGGCACTGCCGCGAGAACCTTTGCATGCACACGGCACCCGATCCCGCCCCATGCTATGAGTGCTGCTAACCTATCCGCACATTCGCGCACAGCGGCCCCAAATGCTCTCCACGTTACGGCCCCACTGACTTGAAGTTCTGCGTGTCGAAGTACACGGATCCGTTGGAGGCGTAGGCCATGCCGTTGTCGATGATGCGCTGCACGTAGGCGATGATTTCGGGGATGTACTCGGACACGCGGGTCAGCACGTCAGGCCGCCGGCAGCCCAGCGCGTCCATGTCCTCCAGGAACTCGCGCTGTCGATGGGTGGGAGGCAGCGGGGATGGCCCGGATGAGAGATGGAGAGGTTGGACACGTATGTTTGGGGTGCGGAAGTCGGCAGTAGTTGCAAAAGCTGAAGGACATGCATGGCTAACGTCTGTGTGGAGTTTGCCGTGCCATTTCCATGCTCACATTCCGACACGCCATACTTGCTTCCATAGCCACGCCCCGGGCACGGCCCCAACACAAGGCCGCATGCCATCACTCGCTCGCCACCCCACCCCACATGGCCCCAGTCCCCGGCGCCCCCTACCTCGTACTTGGCCGCATGCCCGCGGAAGACGGAGGGGTCCGTCACCGCCGCCCCCAGCTCCCGGTCCAGCGCCTCCGCAACGTAGTCGCCGCTCACCGCCAACAGCGCGTCAACGTCGGCCGGAACGCCTGCGGGAGCCACATGCGCAGACCAGACACATCTGGTGGGCTATGGCAGCACCGCTGCGTCTGGGCTAGTGAGCGCAACCGTGTCCATGCCCGCGCCCAGGATCCGGATTTCGCCCCGCCGTACCTGTCAACGGCACCGCCTCCAGCGCTGCCAGCGCCTCCTCCGCCTGCCGGCCCTTCAGCGCCTCCCCCTTCACCGCCTCCTGCAGGTCCTCCACCTTGCGCTGGGCAAAGGTGGCGGCCTTCTTGTCATCGCCCGCAGCCTGGGAGGAGGGGGTGGTGAAGGTGGCATGGAGACGTGTGAGGGAGGGCCGACTGGTGTCGTGTGACCCAGATCGCACAAGCATGACACGACCCAAATGGGATATGCATGGCCCTCCATCTGGGTCTTACTGGGCGTAAGACCCAGATGCAGGGCCCACGACCCAGATCGCGTTCAACTGGTATCATGTCCGGTGCTGAGCATACATGTGACTGTAGCGGGCTCACTGTGCGTTCTAAGCAAACCCCGCGCCCCGCAGGCAAGGAGACAGGGCATGCGGCATGGCTGCCGGTATGAGCTTCCAGTATAGTTGTGGGCTCCCCAAGCGACATAGCAGCCCCGGTGGCTTGGCCAACCGCGCTGAGTTGCGCTGCTTAGCCGCTGCTCTAGCTGCATGGGCAGGGTACGTGCACTGCACCACCACGCCTGATGGTGGCCGTCCAAACAAGCTCGCTGACCCCTCCAGCAGCAGCACAAGCAACCCACCTCCACTTCCGCCTCCGCCGTCTTAACCTGGCCCTGCAGCTGCTCCACTTTGCTGCGCTGCTTGGCAACAGCCGCTTGGAGGGCGCCCGCAGCGAACCCCTTGACCTGCGGAGGCAAGGGCGGGGGGCTGAGGACAGCGACGCCAGGCGCTACTGCTACAGCGCTGCCATAACGACAGCCAACGGCGTCTCCCTGCTGCTGCACCTGCACGCTGGCGCTTACACGGGGTGACCTAGGCTGCATCTCAACGACCCGTACATGATCCAGCAAGAAGGCACATGCAGCCTCATGGGCACACCTCTGGTTTCACCGCTTGCACGGCATGCCGCGTGCGCTACGTCCAACTAAGCAGGCACAGCATCACGCCGCCCCTTCCATCCCCCCTACGATAGTCGCCGCTCACCTCTTGGGCGCTCTTGCCTGAGCCCCGATACTGAGCAAGCAGGAAGTTGCGGCGAGCGCGTAGAATGATTTTGTCGTCGACGTCAGTCACGTTCATCACCATAAGGCAGTTGTATCCAAAATAGTCCTCCAGTACCCGCCGCACGATATCAAAGCTCAGGTAGTTGCGTGCGTGCCCCATGTGTGCGACATCGTAGACAGTCGGTCCGCACGCATACCAAGTGATTTGCTTGCTGTTGGGCCCGGCTGCCGGCACGAAAGGAACCTTTTCGTCCACGAAGCTGTTATATAATAGCAACGGTGCTGTCTGTGCACCGTCGGCCGCCGGCGGGTACCATTCGCGTGTGACTTTCGTGCTCGCTGCCATAGTCTGGTTGTTGTAATGTCCAGGGATCACAGATAAAGTTGTGTGTTGCAGTCCAAGGATCGAAGAAGTCTTTGTCAGAGCCCGGGCTTTGCCTATGTTCCGCACAACAACACCGAACACGGCCCCAAAAGAAAGCATAAAAGACACGACGCAAGTCAAGTACTATGTGGAATAAAAGCAATTACGTTTGCTGATTGCTGCAAAAATGGTACTTCAGCTACAGCACAAACCCGCCCATGCGGGTTGATGCACGGCTTTCAAGCTTCAGGTGGAGAAGTGCGCTGTACAGCATAGCTAACCCATTACACACGTGGTAGCCTATGCTTACCTGCCAATAGGCTTCACTTTCCTCACCTTGCAACACTACAATGCAAGCGCTCCGACCCTGCCACCTGCGGGGCCAACGTCCCTTCCATGGCTTCCAACGCTCGAACAAACCTCCATGTCCTGCTAGGGTCGCGCCATGCAGAGCAGGTCCTGAAACGCCCGGTGGGGCGCTCGGCGAAGATGTGCTGGCGCGGCTGAGGGCTGCTGAAGAAGAGGCAGCTCGACTCCGGAAAGAGCTTGCGGCAGCACAGGCCGCCAAGGTACGCCCCGTGGCTGTCGCGACGTGTGCTCGGCAAGGCCTCAACCGATGCGACGTTCGCTAGCAGGCTGCACAGGATCCTGTTGAAAAGGATGGCAAGCAAGTTCGCATCGACTCAGTTGACAATCGTGAGACACTTTTTGGGGGTAAGCTTTGAGTGCTTGGCAGCCTCGGCTAGCGGCCATGTCCGCACAAATTCGTGTGGCTCAGGACTCCGTTCCTGCCAGGTGGACCCCGAAGCACTTGGCTTTCGGAAAAGGACGTCGAATTTTTCAGTGGCCCAGTAGCTGTCCGCGAGGAGGACCCTGCCACCGAGGACCCTAACTACATGGCAACCGTTCAGGTTAGGCGGCATTAACTGAGGACATTGCTACGGCGATAAACGACAAGTACTGGTTTATAGGCCATCGCTGGCGCCTGAAGCATTCACATCGGGGCGCCTGAACATCTTGGATGTTGCACGCTGTGCTCGCCGCTAAAGCTTGTAGCAGGCGCTTGTTTCGTGCCAGGTGTCGTCTGCCGCCCACCTCTTGGCAAGTCGTCAAACGGAGGCGTTCCCTCCCTCCTATTCATGCAGCGGCGCTTGCTAATAGGCGGCTTGTTGGCGGTCGGCCTAGGCGCGTTTGCGCTTATACCCACGGAGGCCCTCCGTCCGAAGCCCAGCAAGCCCATGTTCTTCTTCCTGGTGCCCCTGCTGCGCATCCAGGTGCTTATGGTTCCTTGGGGTAATGGATTAACCCATCCATTGTCGGCTCGCCAGGTCAAACTACCGAGCTGACCCGGTAGCGATGTACGGTGTCACCAATGCATTATGTGGCGAGACCCCTGGGTCAGGGTCAATGGGCAGGGTAGGAGCTTGGAAGCAGTCGGGAAATCGTGTGGTCCAACCAGAGGCGCAGCTACTGCGTTCAGGGCTTCCCTGTTCCATCTGCTCCGCATCGCTGCTAGTCTCAATGCACACGCCCCGCAGGAGCTCCTGGGTGAGTGCCGCGGCATCATTGAGGATGCGGACTGGGGCCTGCTGCGGCAGGCGCTGGCGCGCATCGAGGGGCCGCCCAACAACGTGCGGTCCAACCTGGACGCCATCATCGCACTCATGCCGGACGCCCGGAGCGCCAGCCGCGCACAGGAGCTGTCAGCAGACCTGTACGAGTACCTGCGCAGGTAAGGCAGTGGAGGAATACCTACGGTATGGCCCCGGCAGTATAGGAGCTTGGTTTGGAGGATACGGTAGCCAGAGGGTTTGCACATCGGTGTGCCTTCATAGGTATTACAGCCATGGGTGCAGTATGCTGCATACCTCCGTGCTTGGGTTTGGCGAATTGCAAGTTGCGGTGCCCACACACACAACAAACGTCAGGCTCCCGGTTGCGCCCTTGCATCGGCATCACCGTGTCCCCTTGCAGCCTGGACTACCAGCGGTACTTCGACGCCATGCCCCGGAAAGCCATCAGCGGAGAGCAGAATGCGCAGTACGCGCAATTCAGCTTGTCGTCGCTGCAAGCAGCGCAAGCAAAGCTGTCGGAGCTGTTGTCGCTGGTGCCAAGGGACCAGCTGCAGATGGCGCGTGACCAGTTAGCGGCAGGCTACTAGGCTTGCGGTATCGCCGGGAAGGGTTGCCATGTTTCATCATGGAGATGGGAGAGAAGTTGGCGTTCCCTCATACCCGTGTGGTTGGGTTGGGGTCTGAGGGGCCTGCAGAGTGTTACACGAGGGTTGAAGGTAGTGAGCTGATGTGCGTTCGTGGCAGAGCCGTTCGTTTTCTGGGCTGGGTAGGCCATCGATTTTGCGATGAGAGAGATGAGAGAGGCATGCGCAATGGGTCGCCGTGATTTGTAATATGTGCGTTCCGTGTGCTACTTTTTAATACATGATTGTATCTGGAAATCCAACTATTAAGCATTGTAGTTTCCTCTTTCACCGTGTACCAGGACGGGACACCGTTGGGAAGGTTTGAGCCTTTCAGTGCTCCTTTGGCATGTTGTTGCATGACGAGTAGTTCTATGCCTTTTCGTTGCGCTTCTCAAGGATAACGGGGCCTGGAGCTTGAGTCGACAACGGTGCCGTTGCCCAGGTAAGCTTGCCATCCGCAAGCCTTGACTTAGGTATCTAGAGATGTTTTATATTTGTTGCGTTTATTTTCATTTTCGGGCACGTGAGCCGACGCAACGGTTTGGTCTTTGTTGACGACTTGCCGCCCTCGAGGCCATAACAGAAGACGCTATACAAAAGCTGCACGACTGATTTACGCGCTTAGTTTTGTGAATATTTCTGGTTACAGTGTGGCCTTTGCCTCTGTGGACGTAAGGATGCCTTTTCGGCGGACCTTTTCCGCGAGCGGCGTTTCGATATAGACGCTTGGTGCGCTGTATCGTTAATAACGCTCTCTATACCTGGCTAGACTACCAGGTGCCTTCGCTGCTTAACGCTCGGTCCATGTCGTTGATGATGCGACAGCAACGAAGCTACGACCAACGTCGCAACCAACTGCATCGTTATTAATATTTTGTACAAACCTTCGAGCTCACAACCGTTAACATAGTCGCATCAACAAACGTCGCTGGCGCCGCAGGTTACAATGAAGCGGGGGCACTCCCCGGCAGCGAGCGATTTGGGCACCCCTGTGTCTCTTGGGCCTTTTATAAGTCCAACATGGCGTGGGTGCGCCAATTGCTAAGGCTGTGAGCGCTAGACGACCGGGAATTGCTGCGACCCACGGGGTCGCACGGGGTGCAACTTAGCATGGCGACGTTACGCCCACAACATTCGGCAGATGGTGGCAATCCTTCGCTATTGCCAGTCCCAATCGACCAATGCCATGAGGCTTTGTTGGCCACAGAGGGAAATACCAACAAGAGCAGGCTTCCTACAGGGCTTTCGACAGCCTCGCCGCCTGTAGGGGTAGTATCTGGGTCTCCTAACGTGGCCAACGCAGCCCTGGGCTCCAACAACAGCACCGGCAGCAGCGCATTCCTCAACAACAGCATCCCCGTTGATGCCGCTGATGTCAGGCCTGGCGCCGGTGCATGCGAGGATGTCTGCTGGCACGGGACCTCCATAACCCCTGCTGAAGCACAAAGCTGCGCGCGCCAGACCGCGGCAGCATGCGCTGCCGTACCCCAGCATGGCATGCCACAACCGCAGCAGCACCGCACGGCTAGCGGATCGGACGCCGAGGGCAGCTCCACGCCGCTCGGGCCGCAGGCGGCGGCAGCAGCGCCGGCTCCCGGCCCAACCCTAAGCGCTTTCGCGCCAGCAGCTGTGCTGCCGGCAGCCCTCAGCGGTGTGCCACTGCTGGTCCCACAGCTTCAGCTTCTGCAGCTACAAGCGCTGCTGCAGCAACAGCAGCTGCAGCAGGGGGCGGGTTACGGTGCGTGTCCGCCCATGCAGATCCGTCCGGCGCCGCTGCTGGCGGTACCCGCACCGCTGCTGCCGGGATCTCAGCAGCTGCAGCAACTGCGAGGCCCCAGCAGCACAGGCGCAGGCGGCACCAGCAGCGGCAGTCCACATGCGCTCCTGCCACTGCCACAGCCACAGTCCTGTGGGTTGGGGGCCGCTGCGGCAGCTAGCGTCCTGCCGCAGATGCCAACCGAGCTGGCGCCTGCGCCGGCGCCTGCTGCAACAGGCCGGCGCAGGGGTCGGCCGCCTCGTGCCGCGGGTCTGCGGGCCTCCAACAGTGGCAGGGGGCCACAGCCCTCCTCCCCACGGGGAGCGGATGCGGGGAAGGCAGCATGCGGAGGTGGCGCGCGGGGTCGGGGTCGGGGTCGACGTGCCGCGGCGCAGCAGCGCAGCAGCCAGTACGAGCTGTCGGATGAAGATGAGGAGCCGGAGGATGACAGCGAGGAGAGCGAGGAGGCGGTGCAGGAGAGCAGCGAGGAGGAGGGCGAGCAGCTGCTGCTGCAGCAGCAGCCGGAGGAGCGCATGCTGGGGTGCAGCCGCTGTGGCTTTGCGCCGGTGGGGCTGGGGTGCTGGAGGGCTGAGCAGTAGAGGGTCGTGCGCTGAAAGGGTAATTCCTGAACAGCGGTTGGGGGTAAACGCGGCGTGCATGGACGCTTTGTAGATCATTGTTAGGCCTGCGCTTGGGAGACAGCAACCTCCCTATCCCCCTATGGTCGCCACGTGAACCCCGCCTTTCCCGTGTTCTGCGGGGTACCTTGTGTGATGCAGGCGGGCTGCAACAGATGTCGCATGCGGCCGATCGCCACCCGGCCGTACGCGAGGTGGAAGCCGGAGGAGGGGCGCTTTCAGGAGGTGAGGCGTGGGGGCTGGCACTTCTGCGACAGAGGGCATGGGGCAACTCCTTGGAACGCGCTTTGGGGCCGTCATTGCATAGGCTGAACACAACGCCCTGTTTACCGCACGTGCTTGCGTTCCTGGCTCCGCAGGACATACACAGCGCCCCAGTCTTCTACCCTACGCCCGAGGAATTCGCAGACCCCATGTCGTACATTGCTAAGATCCGCCCGGAAGGGGAAAAGTACGGCATTTGTCGTATCGTGCCTCCAGCGGGCTGCTGGGATCCGCCCTTTGTGCTGAGCGGCAGCTGCGCCGAAGAGGACGGCAGCAGCGGCCGCGGCGGCTTCCGGTTCTACGCGCGCAGGCAGGTCATCAGTGATCTCTGCATGCGGCCAGGCAGCTCGGACACTCCAGCAGCGCAGGGCGGCAGCGACCCGCAGCAGCACCCGCAGTGGCAGCAGCAGCCGGACGGCGGTAGTGGTCAGCTCAGGCAGCAGCAAGGACCGCAGCAGTGGCCGCAGCAGCTTGGGCAGCTGGGACCTCAGCAGGAGCAGTCTTTCAGCTGCGGTGGTCGCATGGGTAGCTTTGGAATGTCCGCCAGCTACAGCGGTGGCGGCAGCAGCGAAGCTCCACGCCCACCCCCACCGCACGGCCTCCATCCCAACCCTGATGGCAGCACTGCGGGTATTCGTCTGGTGGCGCCGGGGCCCATGCCGCGGCCCAAGCTGCCGGCCGTGGCGGTGGAGGATTCCCTGGAACGGTACGCTGCAAGGGTGATGACCCCGCATCCGCTGCTGGGGCTGGATGAGGCCGCTGCGGATGCAGCCGCCGCCGCGCTGTGTGCTGCGGGCGCATGCCCGGGGCGCATGGAGCGAGCGGCATCGGGGCGCATGGGCGGTGCCGTCGGGCGGAAGGTGCAGGGCTGGCAGCTGCGTGGGGGCAGGTCGTGCTTCAGTATGGACAGGGACGGAGAGGACGAGGGCAGCGGGCAATCTGGCTCGGGCTCTGAGTCCGAGGGTGGCGACGGAGAGTCTGGGTTTGCTTCTTTGGAACGGATACACACGCTGCGGTCGTTCCAGGCGTACTGCAGCTGGGCGAGGAGCCTGCACTTCGGCCTGCCGCCGTTTTCGGAGCAACGGCTGGGACGCAAGTCGTCACTTGAAAGGTACGCTTCAACATGGAAAGGCGGAACGAGTGTTGTGAATCGGGGGGCTGATCCTGCAACTCGTATGCCCCTTGCAGCGCTGATTTCCTATCTCAAGGATAGGGAAACATACCAAAAGGGCAAGGGGAACCTGTACCTATAGTGCCACTTTCTGATCGCAATGTGGTTGGGATGTGGTTCTCCTTACCCTCTATCCTAACCCACATCGCATCGCAAGGCGTATTCACACCTAAATTATGCGTTTATGACCCAATGCACGCCCCCCTCCAGGGCAAGCTCTAACCCTCTACGTGTAGCTGCTGGCCGCGTCAGCAAGTACTGCGGCGGCGGCAGCAGCGCCGTGCCCTCTCCCCTTGCCTCGCCGTCATCCGCCGCCGCTGCAGCAGCCTTGCCGCCACACGTACAGGCCGCTGTCATGCGTGCTGCCGCCGGCTGCGAGCCCAGCATCGAGGAACTCGAGGCGGAGTTTTGGCGCATCGTGGAACGGCCGACGGCGGGCTGTGTGGTTGAGGTGTTGAACAGCAGCGACCTGGATACGAGTCGCCATGGAAGCGGTTTTCCGTTGCCCGCTTGGCGGCGCATGCAGCCGACGGCGGCGTCTGAGGGGTCGGGCGGCGTTGCGGCAGCGCTAGACGAGCGCGCACGGCACTACGCGAGCCACCCCTGGAACGTCAACAACCTTCCTCGCGCAGCCGGCTCCCTGCTGCGTTACGTGGAGCCCGAGGAGCTGGTTGCAGGTGCGTGTGCTGCTGCTGCTTGACTGCGAGTAGGGGGGTTGGGGACGGGACTGTGAAAGCGGGTGGTCCGGTTGGCTTGCTGCTGAAGCCGCTTGCTTCAGGATGAGAGGGCTAAAGAAGGCTCCTTGCATGGTTCTGTACCACGCTGTCGGGTCTCCGCTATCCTGCTTCGCTCCCTGACATTACCGCCCGTCCCGAACTCCTCATCCCGTCGTCACGCCCTCCAGGCGTCACGGCCCCCCGCCTCCATCTGGGCAGCTGCCTGAGTGCATCCTGCTGGGCCGCGGAGCCGCACTCGCTCTACTCGCTTACCTACCTGCACATGGGGGCGGAGAAGGTGCGAGAGGCGACGTAGAGAGATGCATGCAAAGCTAAACTGTTGCTAAATTGCCGTCCCTAGCAAGGAGGGAGCCTTATGTACCTCAAATCATTGTTGCTGTCTCACCGGTAAGGACTACTGCTACAAGTGCTACTGCTAACCGTAATTCCGGTAATCCCTGCGTCGTACAGATATGGTACGGCGTACCCGCCAGTGCGGCTGCGCAGTTCCAGGCGGCCGTGCGCGACGCGGTGCCGCACCTGCTCGCGGAGGACGCGCTGCTGCTGACCCGCGGGGTCACCCAAATGTCGCCATCGGAGCTCAGGCGCCGGGGGGTGCCCGTGTGCAGGTGCGCGGCGGCGGAGATTGGCAGGGGGAGCAGGCGGGGGGCAGGCGTTGTTACGGATTGTAAAAGTAGAGCAAAGCGGAGTCTAAAAAGAGATGTTTGCATCGTTGGAGTTATCATGTGCGGTTGCGGTTGGGATCCAAGCTACCATTCACGTAAGCCAGCAGCAATAGATCCTGACGTCCAGTTCCTGATGCCCGGGTCCCTCCCTCCTCCCTGTTGCCACCTCCTTGCAGGCTGGTGCAAGAGCCCGGAAGCTTCGTCGTCACCTTCCCTGCCGCCCACCACGCCGGCATCAACTGCGGCTTCAACTGCGCTGAAGCCGTCAACCTGGCCCCCGCGGACTGGCTTCCGTACGGCACCGATGCCGTACGCAAGTACCGTGAGCAGGGCAGGCGCTGCGCCTTCAGCCATGACCGCCTGCTCGTTCGCCTGGTCGGCGCCGCACCCGCCGTCCGTGCGGCGCAGCAGGCGGCCATGTTGCCGCACCTGTTGCGGCCGACTGAGCCAACACCGCCAACGCTGCTGCATGCGCTGCCGCCGCCTCAGAAGTGTTCAGAAGAGCTCCTGCATGAGCCTTTGTTGCCGCAGCAGCAGCCGCAGCCATCGCAGCAGATACAGCAACAGCCAGAGCCACTGCAAGGGCTGATTAAAGTGGAGGAAGATGGCGGCAGCTGCGGCTGCGGCAGGGCGGAGGTATCCGCGGCAACCGTAGTCAGGGGGTTGTGTGCTCATGCAAGCTTTCCCTGCAGCAGCGTGAAGCAAGACATGGACGCGTCTCAGGTTACCGCCATCACGACCGCCCATCAAGCCGGGGACGAAGCCGTCACGGCAGCGGCTGTGGCAGGTGGAGGCGGCGGCGGCGACTGTCATCTGCCGTACAGTTTGCAGGCGGGTACGCAGCTTGAGGAGTTGCCCCCCCTGGGAGCTGTGCTGGCGGGGATAGGGGAGTTGGCGCTGCGACTGGAGGAGGAGGCGCGGTGGCGAGCGGTGGTGCGGGAGCTTGGGGTGACACAGGTGGGCGCTGTTGGTGGGGTGATGCGACCTGCACCGCTACCCTGACGACACCGTGGCATGGCTTGTGTGGGTATCGTCGTGGCTACGCCACAAATATCGGTAACACAGCATGCGCGGCTTTGCTGCTCACTCTCACTCCGTCCTCACTTGCAATGCCGTGCAGGAGCGGCTCATGTTGTCGTGCGGCAAGGAGGTGGCAGCTGCACATGCCTGCGGCACCGCGGCGGGCGGTGGCTGCCTGAAGTGCCGGTGCGACCTGCACCTCTCTGCGGTCATAAGTCCCGAGCGGCCGGGTGTCGCCACCTGCCCCGAGCACGCCGCCGCGCTGGGGGTGCCGCCGGAGAGCTGCGTACTGCTGGTCAGGTGAGGCGGCGATGGGCGGGAAGAAGCGGTGCTGGGGTGGCTTCGGGTGCCGTAGTCTGTAGTGCGTTCCTTGGAATAAGGCAGCATTAACAACTTGCTTTTTTAGCCCTTTGGGTCACCCGCACGTGCACAACGGGGAAGGTATTGGGATTGTGCTTCAGTCTACCGGTACCCATAAAACGTAGTATGTCCGACCACGGTCCGTGATTTAATCTGTGCTGCTTCACTTGCCTGTTTAGGCACTCCCTGGAGGAGCTGCGGCGCCTTCTGGACACGGCGCTAGAGCTGTTCCCTGAGGGTTACGCAGCTGTGGCCGCCGCACGCCAACGGCTGGCGTCACCACCGCCCAGCTCGGCCATCCGTCGCTTGGGTCCCATCTCCAAGTACGGCATCCCCTTCGCAGCCCCCATGAGCGAGCAGGACGCCACGGACGCCATGCATGTAGCTGTGTGTGCTGTAGCGGGCATGCCCGGGGCTGCAGAAGCCGCTGTGCCGTACGTGCCGTACGATCCCGAGGCGGCAAGCGGTTTGGATGCCGTGCTTTCGTCGCCGTCAAGGTTGGCGAGGGTGGGGTCTGCAGCTTACGATGCTGGGGCGGCGGCGGCAGGCTGCAGGCTGGTGGAGGGTGGTGTGTTGGGGGCGGAGGTGAGGCTGGGCGGGATGGATCGGGAGCGGATGGGGCCGCGGCAGGCGCTGCTATGGGAGGAGCAGCAGGCGGAGGCGGAGCGGAGGGAGGAGCAGCGACGTGCTCTTGAAGGAATGAAGCGCGCGCGGGCGCAGCGCGCGGCGCGTAGAAGCGGCGCCCCGGCGACTTCCCCTTCGGCCACTGAACCCACCGCCGTCGCTGCAACGCATTCGCTGCTGCCTCCGTACGTCTCTGCCATTGCGATGATTGCGCCGGCGTCGCTTACCACGACACCAGCTATACTGCTGCCTAACGCGGAAGCCACAAGTCCCGGCAGACAAGCGGCGCCTCCGGCCACCGCCGACGCCAGCGCGGCGTGCCTCATGCCAGCCTCAACAGCAGCACTTGCATCTGCTGCAGTGCCATCGCACATGGGGCTTCCGCCGGCGGCAGCGCAAGCGGCGCCTGCAGACCCTCTGATTCCCTTGGCGCAGGCCGGCAAGCGGAGCAGCAGTCGCGGCATAGTCGGCCATGCGGGTACGGCAGATGCGGAGGGCGACCGAGGCGGCGCCACGCGGCCACGCAGGGAGCGCCGTGTGCCTAAGCACCTCCTGGATTCGGAGATGGAGCTGGCGGAGGAGATGCAGCAGGTGGTAGCGGCGGCGGCGGCAGCGGGTGCTGGCGCCGCTGCTGCTGCTGCTGCGGGCACCGCCAGGAACGCCACATCGTCCAGGTCGCGTGGGCAGGCGCAGACGTCAACCTCCTCCCAGATGCAGCGGCAGCTCTCGTTGCACCATGAGCCGTCGGTGGGGACGGAGCAGCTGCTGCCGGCGCCGCCGATACAGCCGGCCGAGGCGGCTGCTGGCCCGGCGGCAGCAACGGCAGTGGCGGTTACGGTTGCGACTGCCGCTGCAGCGTGCAGGCCCCTCGTTCCGAAAGCTCCCGAGCTGCAGCAGCAGGCGGAGGTGCCGGTACCACGCCAGGCCGAAGGCACCACAAGACATCCGGAGCAGCAGCCGGAGCCGCAGCCGCATCAGGGCCGCCAGGAAGGGCAAGCAGCGCCCCTGCAGCAACCAGATGAGCAGCAACCGCAGCAGATCGTTACAACCACCCTGCAAAAGCCCATGCCGCAGCACAACCCGGCCCCGGAGGCTGAGCAGCAAGTCGGCACCAGCGCCCCAACCGGAGCCGGTACGGACACCCTGGGCATGTCGCCGCGTCGCAGCAGCCGGCCCACGCGGCCCTCCATCAGACTCATGAGTGCCGTCGCGGCAGCGGCGGCGGTTGCACCCTCGGCGGCGGCGGCGCCGTCATCTGCCGTGCCTGGCGTGCTGCTGCTCAGACGGGAGACCACCAGCGGTCCCTCCACAAGCAGCCGGGGGCCGACCGCCGCAGCGCGCCGCCTGTCGCTCGGCATAGCGACGACGCCGGCGGGACTGCCACCCACGGCCCCCCCGGCGGGTGTGGGCCCAGGGGTTGCTGCTGCGCCACAGTCGCAGCCGCCGGGTACGGTGTCCCCGTTCGCTGCGGCCTGCTCTGGTGCAGCAGCTGATGATACGGTGGCGGTCGCGGCGGTTGCGGTGCCGGCTGAGAATGCTAGGGGCGACAGCAGCGGCCACAGCAGGGTGTGCGGTGTTGACACGCCCACGGACGATGCAGCGCAACCGCAACCACTGAGCGGCGTGCCCTCGGCAGCCGACCTGTCAGCTGTGGCGGAGGCGCCAGCGCCAGCCGCGGAGTTGCTGCTGCAGCCGCCTGTGCAGACCACGCCCCCTTCTTCCGCAGCTCCTTCTGCGAGTGCCGACATCCCAGTGCTACAGGAGCCCAGCGCACAGCTGCTGCTTCCCACGCCGGAGCAGCTGCATCAAGGCATGCCTCCGCCGCTGCCATTGCAGCAACAGGAAGCCCCGAAGCAGCAGCAGCCATCAGAAGTAAAACCAAGCCCGGGCCCCCTGCTGCCACAGCAGCCTCTTCCTCAGCAGCCCCAGGAGCAAGAGCAGCAGCAGCTGCTGCTGCAGCCTGCATCAGCAGCCGCCACGGGGCGACCTGTGCGCAAGCGTCGTACGGCATTCAGCAACGACATGGTCATCTACGGTGAGACGGCGGCGCTGTTCGGCTCCCAAGCTGGAGCCGCGGTGGCCCCGGCTGCCAAGCGCAAAGCGGGCTCAGACCGCCGACCTGCTGCCACAGCGGCCGCCGCTGCTGCCCCAGCCGACGACCCTGCAGTCGGGGGCCTGGCGGAGGAGGGCAGCTCGTGGGCGGCGCATCACCACTCGTTCGGTGATGAGGCGGCGATGATGGGGCTGGACGAGGCGCATGACACGTTGGCTTCCTTTGAGGATGACCTGCGGCCGCTGTCGGCCGGCATGTCACCACCGCACGCCATGTTTGATGAGGACCTGCACCGTGCGACGTCGCCGCCGCCGCATGCCGCCATGCTCTCAGATGCCGCCGCCGCCGCTGCGGGTGGCGCCCCTGTGGCTGCGGCCGCCGCTGTTGCTGCTGCACACGCGGCCGTCGGCACGGCGATGGCTTGCGACGACGCCGAGCAGGTTGCCGAGGTGTCACAGGCGCCTAACAGCCCCGGCTTCCTCAGCTTACACGACCACGATGACCACGAGCACGACCACGACGTCTTCATGCGGGATGCGGGTCGCCCCATGGCGCTCTCGGCCTCGCCCTCGCAGACCGCGCTTGAACCGCTGGCCGGCCTGCCGCTGCCGCCTGGGGTGGCGCATGTAGACATGGACGGCCTGGTTGCCCTGGGGCCCGGAGCTGCGGCATCCGGCTCCGTGCCGCAGCCACCCCTGCTCATGGGGCTGCTGCCTCAGCATGCAGACCAGGTGGTAACTGGCATGCAGACCTCCCCTCTGGCCGCGTTCGGTGCGGACCTCGGCTGCGCACCCGGAGGACCGTTTCTGCCGGTGGAGGGCGGTTTGCTGGTTTCTGGGGCGTTACCCGGGGCGGTAGGGGGGACCACCTTTACGGCGACTGGGGATTCGGTAGGGAGCGGCGCGGCAGCAGGCGTGGCTGCGGGCGTGGCTGCGGGTGTGTCGGTGACAGGGGTTTTTGCTGGGTTTGCTGGGTTTGGAGACACTGCGGGGATGTCGGACGGAGGTGGCTTCCTAAGCGGCAGTCGGCATGGGTTGAGTAGCTTGGCAGCGGGTGCGGCTGGTGAGTGGGCTGACCTAGACGATCTGGTGGTGCTTTGATGGGGGCATGCGGGTGGCGTGGAAGCCGGATGATGGGGCAGTCTGCAATGTCATGGGGAAAAGGTGGGTAGGTGGCAGCTAGGGAGCAGGCGCGGTAGGGGTTCGGTTGCGGTCGGTCCCAGTCCTTGGTTGGTTCAGTGATGGAGGCTTGGGGCGCGGTGTGTAAATTGCTTGTTGCCATTGCCGTGAAACCCCCGCGTGACAGTTGTTGGGTGTTGCTGTTGCCGCTTCGATGTTACTACCCGTACCCGCCGAATCAAGTGCAAGCTTGCGCAGGAGTGTGTTCGAGTGCAATTGCGAGTGGGGGATGGGCGTGTGCTCACGTATGTTGAATGCGTAACTGGTGTCCTGGCATCCAGCCCTCGGACACGGTACGACATGAAGAAGCAGTAGATCGTACATGGAGGTCATGTTGTGTGCTGAAGACGGACCCTGGGACGCTGCAGAACCGCGTCATGCACGACACGTTGGTTTTGTGCATTCGCGGCTTTTATTTGGACGGTGTGGACAAGGCAAGGAGAGATGGCGCTGTGGAAGCGCAGAACGTGATGCTTGTACGACATGCAACCATTTTGGGCCCAGACATGGCCCGTTTTGGACATTGCGCGGGTCATGGGCAACGCAAGTATTAACGCCTGGATGACGCACGGTGCGTGGGTGCCTGCCGTTTTCAATTTGACACCTCTTTCAATGATGTGGCTTGACACTCGCTTACCCAAAACGATTCGATAACGGTAATTGGAGACAATGATTGCTTTTGCCGCTATTGTTGGACGGCCGGCGCTCTCTTTCAAGTGTGTCTATTGTCGGATGAAGCTTGAGAGACAAGGCAAGCAATAGCTCGCATTGAGCGTTGTAAGGAGCTGACCTATGAACGCTGTAATTGTAGCTGCACATGGCCTAAGCCGCGTTCGTCTCCTGGCTGCCGACGGTTTTTAACCTAACGGTTGGCCAAATAGCCCGCCGTATTGCTTGGCACGCTTCGACACACTGGCTCTAGTCTGAAGTACATGTACGTACGGTGCTAAAACTGTAAGCAGTTCATCTTTGGCGTGCTTATAACCTGGCCAAACGTCCTTCGTTAACGATCTGTCAGTCTAAAGCTTAAGAATATCACCTCATGGGGGCCTCCCAGGCATGGCCGTTTCAGAAGCGCGTACCGTATAGAGCTAGCATTCCGCGCAGCGATCGATGTAAGCGGAATGACGAGCGTAACGACCGGCACCGCAAAGGACAGGTATACAGGTTCTGTGGCCGCCTATCAGGTACGGTTGCATAAGATATGGATGCACGTTGTTAGGTGACAAGGTTTCGCTCGCTAAAACAAGCTTGCTGCTCTTCGCCGTGTCCGTACGGCCAACCCACAAAACCCACTATTGCATTTCCTAACGTGTTTAAGCTCGGAAGGACTACCAGATATTACGCGCCACAGCAGTACTTCACATTATGTGCATGAAGCAGATTAGCGTGGTTGGTGCAAAGTTCAGCATGGAAGCCCTTTACCTCACAATAGGGCCGCAGTCCACGAGGTCTACCGGTGAAGCCTGAATTGTTGGAGACTACTGGCTGGGCGCTGCCGGCGGAGGCCTAAAGCATAATGGAGGCGAGTGGGGCACGTCAAGGATAGGGCAGTGGGCGTAGGGTAGTTCTGGCCTTGAGTTTGGCAGAAGGTGGTCAGCTTTTATTGTTGTGCTGCTGGATAGCGGGTATTAGGGAGGTTTCGTTAGGCGGTCTACGGTTCGATGCTCTACCCAAGCGACAGCACTTAACCGGCGTTTCGTTTACTCAAACCTACACCGGATAGCGCTCTTGTTATATGTGTGCTAAGTTCCATTACATTTAGCGCTGGCCTTGTCTTGTTGCTCTTGACCATGACTGACACGCTTGCAAAGCAGTCAATTCTTAGCGAGTACTTACATTTGCGTTCTCGTCAAAGGCAACATAGCGACAGGAAGTACATTAACATGGTCTTTAGTGTCGTGGACTGTATGAGTGTACATACGCATGCCAAGGAGAACTGTCCTTTAGCGACGTCACCCTCTAGGCGCATTCCCGACTTTCGTAGCTTACACATATAGCCTCTGCCCTCTTCTCCATGCGAGAGTTACGTATGTCGGGTTTCCTTTTCGCGTCCACAGAAGTACGAGTTCCTTAGCCGCACGGGCGAGGGAGCTTACGGGTCTGTATGGCGAGCGCGGGATAAGAACACCGGTGTGATGGTAGCTGTCAAGAAGATGAAGGACGTGCCCTCCACGGAGGAGGTACGTGGCGCTCTGGGAACCGGGTGGGGCCTGAACCCCAGTGCTAAGCACCCAAAGGCCCCCGACGTCGGGTCACGCTTTGGTATGGTGATGCCCCGGTCCTAAGCTGCAAGCCTTGCCGTGATGCCGGTGCCGCTGCGCTGAGTCACACGGTTAGTCCCCTCACATCCGCTCCTTTCCTGCCACAGGAGGGCGAGATTGCGATGCGGGAGGTTCGGGTGCTGCAGCTGGCGAAGCACGTGAACGTCGTCAACCTGCTGGAGGCGTACAAGAGCCAGAGCGGCCGGCTGTACCTCGTGTTTGGTGAGTTGGTCGGGAAGCATGGGGCCAGCATGCACCATGCATGAGGGGTAAGACCAGCGCCTGGATCGCCCTCCTGCCGCCTGCAGCTGCAATGCGAATGTACCGTATGCGGTGTTGCATGGCCTCCTTCCCTGGCCACTTGCACAGTGCACCCTCGTCCTGTCGCGGCACGTTGCCCCGCGCACATCTCGTTAGCTGCCTCGTCAGTTTTCTTTCGTTAACCCCCTCCCTCGCCGCCCCCCTCACTGCAGAGTACGTGGAGCGCACACTGCTGCAGGAGCTGAAGGCCAACCGCAGCGGCCTGCCCCCCGCGGTCGTCAAGTCGGTCACCTGGCAGCTGCTGCAGGCGCTCAGCTACCTGCATCGCAAGCAAATCATTCATAGGTGGGGTCCGGGAGCGGGTTGTTGGAGGAGGGGCCTCTCCAGCGGTGTTGAACGCATGTTAGGGATGTCTTAGCGTTGAAGCTATGCATGCCAACTATGTCTGTGCCCTGTGTTCCTGTGCTTTTCCGCAGAGACGTCAAACCGTCAAATATCCTCATTACGGAGAGTGGAGTGTTGAAGATTTGTGACTTTGGTTTCGCGCGCCCCTGCTCCAACGCGGCCGCGGACCCCGCCTACACCACTTACGTGGTGACCCGCTGGTATCGCCCTCCGGAAGGTGCGCAGCGCTAGCTACGATACAGGGAGCGCTCCACGAATCTGAAACGACAAATATCCCACGCATCCTTTAGCTAGCACATCGGGTCTTCCTGCAAGCAAGCGCGTGTGTGAAGGCAAATAATTCATTACGCTTTTTCGCCCTTTACGCGCGCACAGTGCTGGTGGGCGACTCCTACGGGCCGCCAGTGGACATCTGGGCGCTGGGCTGCATCTTTGCGGAGATGCTGGTGGGCCGTCCGCTCTTCCCCGGCAAGAACCACCATGACCAGCTGTGGCTCATCCTCAAGTGCCTGGGCCGCATGACGGAGCGGCAGCTCGACCTGCTGGACGCCGACCCGCAGTTTGCGTGCTTCAGACTGCCGTCGCAGTCGGAGATTGACCCGCTCGAAAACAGGCAGGTGCTGGGTGGTTGGGGCATGGGTAAGGCTGGGGCTGGGGCGGGGCGGCAGCACCACCTAAGCACAGTTGCTGGCCGGTATTCGGCATGTGGTTTTGCGCACTTTCACTGTCTGCGTTTGATGCCGGCTCTGCGACCCAACCCCTCCCCGTGGCCCCGAAACCCCTGTGGACCTGTGCAGGCTGGGCAACGTGGGGCCGGCCGCCATGCAGGTCCTGCGCGCCTGCCTGCAGCCCGACCCCAAGAAGCGCGCCTCCGCGGACGAGCTGCTGGCCATGCCCTTCTTCCAGGGGGTCACGGAGCTGCTGCCCGTCAGCGACCTCATGGCCTACCCGGTGAGCGGGGCGGAGGAGGGATGAGAGGAGGGAAGGAAGGCAAGGAAGGCCAGCCGGTGTTGGCAAGGAATGGCGATTTGGTTGATGCGGTTGGCTCCATGGGTGATAGACTGATGGTGGTATCTTGACAAGCGGGGGAATGCCTATGGGTTGGGAAGTGGTGTCTGAAGAGCCTCGCCTCCTTGATATGATGCGCTGCAGGACCCGGACATGCGTGCAAAGCTGGAAAAGGCGGTAGCCCAGGATCAGGCCGCAGCCGCCGCTGCCGCAGCAGCAGCACCAATCACCGTGCCTTCCAGGAGGGAAAGCCCCGTGCCGCCCTCTGGCAGCAAGCGCCCGCTGGCGCGCCCAAGCAGGGAGCTCGTCCAGCCGCCTCCACCACTCCTAACTGCTTCCACCTCGCCGCAGCGGCCGCCGCCAAAGCAGCAGCAAGCGCAATCGCAGCGGATAGAGCAACAACCGCAACCCCAGCAGCAGCAACAACAACAGCAGCAGCCTCAAGAGCAACAGCAGCCTTCGCAGCAACAAGGCAGCCTTCCAACAGCCTGCAAGGCCGCCGGCGCTGCTGTTTCGACTGCAAACGCGAAGCCTGAGCCATGCTCCGAAATTTTTCGGCCGCCGCTGCAGCGACACATCACCGCGCCGCCGGGCAGCCTAGCCGGCAGGGCGCACTGCCAGCCACTGCAGCCGCTGTCAGACCACAGTCACTATCTGCCGCAGTCACACCGCTCGCGATCCAGCGCCGACGGTTCCTCCCAGCATGGTTCCCCACCCAAGGGGCAACCCACGGTGTTAGCCAACGGAATCGGCCCTCCTGGAATCGGGCCCGCGCTGGGGCCCGCGCGCGGGCGGCCCTGGCGGGGCAGCGGCGACGGCTCGGGTGATTTTGCGATTGGCGCGCACCCCGCCACGCTGAGGCAGCTGTCCGGGCCTCATTTGTTGCAGCCGCACGCCTCCGCAGCACTGGGAGGCGGCCCGGGGGTGTCCGATCCGTGCCGCCTGGGCTCGGAGGCGCTGCTGCGGCCGTCCACCCAGAGGACGACATGGAACGGCATGGCAACGTTGCCTCGTTCCGGCGGCTCTGGGGACAGCAGTGGTGGTGGGAGCGGGAGTGGAGGTGGTGGTGGAGGCGGAGGCGCGGCGGGAGGTGGGATACAGGGAGGAGGAATTGCGCTACCACATCCCTCTCTCAGTGCCTCGCAGGGCAATCCCATTCCCCCCGCCAATCAAGAGGCGGTCTCCGTACAGCGTAGAGCGCAGTCCTCAGCCGGTGCCGAGCCCACCGCGCCCGGCTCCAACGCAACCGCAAGCGGGCGCAGCAGCACTCCTGCTATCGGCGGGCTGCAGGGCCGCAGCCTGGCACCCCACCTTGGTTCCGGGGGCATCAGCACCGCAACCACACAGCCGCTGCAGCTGACGCCATCATTGCAGCTCGGGGGCCTTCCCAACGTTCCCCACCGCTTCACCCCATCGCCCCCGCCCGGATACAACGGTACAGGGAACGGCAGCACGCTGCGTATTGGCAACTCCGTGCCCATGTCGCTGCCGGCAGGAATCACGAGCCGCACCAGTCATGACGGCAGCGGCGCCCTGCATGCGCCTCCGCACCTGGCCGCGCTGGGCAGCAGCAGGCACCACCCCTCCCTGGCAGCGGTCGGGTCAGCGCCCCACGGCAGCAGTGCACCCGTGCAGCCGGCTGCACCCATAGCAGGGGAGTCGGATTCGCCAGATAGCACAGGCAGCACTTCCGAGGCGCCCCAACCTAGTAACGACGGCCGCCGTGCCTCGGACACAGTGCTGTACGCGACGCTGGCCCTCAAGGATGCGAGAGTACGATTGGATAAGGTTTCTGCCGCGAATGCCGGGACAGGCAGACCGCCGCCATGCGCACCGGACGGCCCACCGCTCTTGACGCCGTCCGGCGGCAGCGGCGGCGGGGCCTCATCTCACCCTTTGGGCGCGCTACGGGTGCCCTCCTTTCAACGCAACTCGGGCCCCGCATCTGTAGGACCCCCCTCCCCGGACTGCCCCATGCCGCCCCCGAACCTGCCTCCGTTGCAGCACACCCCGCAGCGGCGCCCGTCCGCACCCGAGCCCTCGGTCATGGTGGTGCTGGGGACGGGTGCGGGCGTGCCTTGCGGCGGCGGCGGCGGCATTGGCCGGGGAGCTTCGTGCTCGATGCTTCCTGTGAACGGTGTTGGGTATCCTCAACGGCATAGCCTGAGGCCGCAGCAGCAGTCTGGCAACGGCGACTTGGCAGAATGTACGGACGGGGCCAGTAACTCTCACGTGGTGCTGCCCTCCCTGGACCTCGGCGCCGTGGGGAAGGCCTCACGGGTAAGCGCCAGCATGGTTCCGGGCGTGGGGGTTGCGCGTCGTCCGAGCAAGAACAGCATGCGCCTAGCTGCGGCAGAGGTTGCGCATTGTAAGCGAGAAGAGGCATCGAAGGTGCTTGCTTTAGAGGCGGTTCCGGAGGCGGGCGTCCTGTGATATCAATGGTACGTCGTCCCTAAGGCCCTTAGTACTTAAATTCGTGTAGTGTATGTGTGCGACACGGCGTCGCATACCTTAAATGCCGTATGCTCTTAACGTAATAAACAATTGGTAGCACACTGACTGAGTTGATGGGATTGATGAAGACCATGCTTAGCGTTAACCTTATTGCGCTGGTCAGAAGCGCGTTTCGTTTCGACGGGAGAGATGACTGCGTACATAGCGGACTGCGAGGAGTGGGTGATTAAGGGGGTGATTCGGTTATAAGTTAAGGACCTGCTAGCTGTTTTGCCGCAAGGGCACGATTATAGTTATGTCTCTCTTTTACCATCAGCCCAAGGGGTAACCCGGTCTGCCGATGTAGATATCAACGTAACGATCTTCATTAGACATCTACTTACAACCGCTGACGGCGGGGCGGCAAACAGTTGACGTATTTCGGGCATTGTTGCCCCAAAGCGGGATGCCTTGCTATGTTGCATGTTCATTGTTGCAATGACTTGGACCTGTCGCGGGGGCTTCACCCTTTTAGATGTTGACTCGCGGTTGACAGTTGGGCTAATTCTTTGCTATTTAGGACGAGGTTGCGCTCCCTGCCGTAATACGAGTGCAGTGTCGATGGGCTTTGAAAACTAGATTTCTTAACCTGCATGGTTGTTGGTGGTTGAACGGTGCATGCATGGCGTTAGGTATGGAGTTGCTTTTGCAATTCTCATGCAGCCAATCATAGTCGTGCCGCAGCGATAGCCGCAATGAAATGCTTGTTGCACTAGTGCGGGAGAGGTGTTGGTTTCATCGCATGTGATAATGGGTGAGGCAGCATTCAGGGGTGTTGCATCTAAGCAGTTTCGAGGAAGCTTGCTGGTGTGCTATTCCATTGGATGGATGCGGCGGGTTAGTTGCCTGGCCACTGCTTGAAAGCAGGAGGATGTCAGCCATGTAAGCTTTTGTGCATAGCAGAGCGACAAGTCAAACTCTCCATGTCCTGGCTGTTCAAGACCTTCCCGTCGTACATCTATACAACGGCTCACCCTTTGGCAGGTCGAATGCGCAGGACAAGCAAGCCGTGGAACAAGCGGGGCTTGATCCAAGGTTAAACGAGAGGAGTGGCAGAGGAGGTAGAGTGCTTATTGCAACCCTTCACGCAGGCACTCCTGCACCGTGTTCGCCCTATAGCGGCTGTGACGGCAAGGATAAAGCACCATACAGGAGATTGCTTCGAGGTTGCAGGTCCGCATTATTTTTGCCCGTCAAGCAAGTAATGCGTGGCCCATTTCCGTCCGGAAGGGGTTGGCAGGGATTTACATCGTACGTAAAACGTTACAAAGCCGTACCCTGCTACAATTCATACCGCAACCCCTTCCACGGGGTATCAACGCAGTCCCAGAAAGCAAAAATCTTCCAGGCCAGACAATTGCTAGGAAGCGTGGACCACCCGCTGCGCATCAATGCACCAATTACACGGTGACTTTTAGAACAGGTAGCCTTTTTCACTCCAGCCACCTAAATACGACAGAGGACGGTCATAGCTATGTAGCGGCCGACACCGAATTCTGCAAAAGCAGTCCAACCCATTCAACCCTTGTCTTCCAACGGACTACGTTCGACTGCGCTCTCCCTCTCCGATCGAACAGCCATGTCGGCAGGTGGAAAATTAAATGGCACTATCGGCACCAGCGCTCGGACATCGCGGCCCAACCCCGATGCTGCAAGGAAGTGGGTTGCCGAGGAGACTCGCGCAGAGGCGAAGGAGGTTTTTGCCCAACACATGAAGGAGACCAGCAATTTGGATGTGTTATCTCGGTGCAAAAAGCTGAATGAACTCCTTAGCAGCGTAAGTAGCACCGAGGGTGCCCTAGAGCAATGCTCGAAGCCAAGTATGTTATCCCCTTAGGATGGGCATCTTAAGCGTCGTCAGTTGTTCGAGGCTGTTGGGGTGAACTTATGGTTGCGACCCTTGAATGCACATGCAGGATGTGCTTAGAGGTAAAGGGAACTCGACAGCACAGATAAAGGAGATACTGGGCATTTTGCAGGCGGGGCCCAAACGTCCCGCATTCTTAGACAAACCGCCGGTGACTGCCACCGCTGGCAAGCGGAGCAGTCCATCTGGGACTACACCCGAGAAACTCGCAGCCCCGCCTCCAAGCCGGGATATCGTGTACCCCGACACGCTACTTAGCCTTTTGGAAGATGAAGAGGAACCTCCCCCGTAAGTTGTACTTCCAGGTGCTACCGCATACAGTAGGCTGCTTGCTCTTTACATGGCGTGATCTGGAGTGCGCAACATGCAACACTGCGCTTATCAGCTCCGTTCTAATGTTCCCCCGCCCCCGTGTCCCCCCAACAGGCCCAGCCGCGCGCCACCCCTAGCTGCAACTCTACCGCAGCAACACCCGGACGACATGGACGACCTCATACACCTGCTGAACGAGCCCTGGAGCGATGCGCAGGAGCTCCCTGTGCAGTTGCCTCTTTCCTCCCCCTTACCGAGGTTGCCTCCGCAGCAGGAGCAACAGGTGTCCAAAGCGGCCCAAGGTGCAGAACAGCGGAGGGACAAAGTCAAGCAAGCGAATGACGAGGCGCAGCGGCAGCAGAAGGCCAGGCAGGCACAGGAGGAAGAGGAGCGGGCGCGGAAAGCACGGAAAGCAGCGGAAGAGGAGGCGGAGCGGCTGCGTCAGTTAAAAGAGGCAGAGGAGGGAGAGCGTTTACGTAAGCAGAGAGAGAAAGAAGAAGCTGACCGGGTACGCAAGCGGAGGGAGGCAGAGGAAGCAGAGCGGGCACGTAAGCAACAAGAGGAAGAAGAGGCAGAGAGATTGCGTAGACAGCGGGAGGCCGAGGAGGCAGAGCGGCGACGGAAGGCGGAGATAGAGGAGGCGGAGCGCCAGCGGGCTGCTGCCGCCGCCGCTGAGGCGCTTCGCCTAGAGCGCTTACGTCATAACGCCACGCTATGCATTCAAACACAGTGGCGGGCATTCTGCGCTCGGCGCTTGGTGGCGCAGGTCAGACGGCAACGGGAGGAGGAGCGCGCCTTGGCCGCTGCCGCATGCGTGTTGCAGGCTGCTTGGCGAACGCGGCAGGCGGCATGCGAGCACCGCGCGCTCCTTGCAGCCGCCGGCACGATGCAGTGTGCAGTGCGGGCCTGGCTGGCGCGGCGTTGCATGCAGCGCCTGTGCGTGGAGGCCTTTGTACGGAAACGTGCAGCCTGCACCATCCAGCGTGCGTTCCGTGCATACCGCGCGCGGGGTTATACGCTGGGACCGCTGCGGGTCCCGACCCGGCCGGCCACGTCGCAGGGCTGTATTGATGGCGCAGCGCTGCTCGCCATGCAGCTGCGGCTGCGCAGTGCAGTGGATGCGCGACTAGCACCGGAGCGCACGGTGCCCGCCAGCGGTGAGGGGGGAGGATCATAGGCTGATAGCCGCTTTTGTACTGCATCGGCTTTCATGACAACACGACATTGTCCATGCCGCGTATGCGGAGGGGCGGGCAGAGGGGCGGGCGCTGGGCATGGAGGTTTGTTTCAACTCAGGGTCAAATGATGCGGCCTTTGCGGGTCGCATGGTTCCTGGGACGAGACAATAACTAAACTAACTAGACGAGGTCGTTAACCTCTGTCCCCTCCGCGCCCTCAGGCTCTGACAGCGCCCGGCAGCACCGCACCGTGCTGTCACACCGGGAGCGGGTGCGCCAGGTGAGCGCCTCCGAGCGCCACCGCCGCTCCGGAGTGAGCGAGCGCGCCATCATGGCGGCCAGCGAGCACCGCGACAACGATGAGGCACTCGCCATTGCACGGCAGGGCCTAGCGGTGTCGCTGCTGCCGCCGCCCGCGCCAACTCTGCCGCGGGTACCGACTGGAGACGGTACGGCGGCACCGCCGAGCCGCAACGGCAGCCGCCCGACCTCTCAGGGTTCCGGGCGGCCGCAGGCGGCAGCCGCGGCAGCGGACGTTACGAGCACTGCGGTTCTGCGGCCGTCAAGCAGCCAGCGGCGGAGATCTAGCTCGATTGGGGCGCCAGCGAACCCAGTGTGACCAGTGTGTCGGGCAGCTTCACCTCCCTGCGAGTGGCCGGCTGGTCGTTGCGCACCATAGGACCCCTTGGTACCGGTAGGCAATAGGAACCCATGTTGTCATATGGACCCGTATGAAGACGACAGCCGTTCTTTGCGGTGCGGGTGGCGCCCTGGCTCAGTGTACATGCATTCTGAGCCGAAAGGGGCGGGGGGTGTGCCCGTCGCAGCTGGTGGCATGGAGCCGGACCTGGCGCTGGATGCCGATGAAGCAGCCGCTTGTACATGCTTTGAAAGAGTGCACAGGGTCGTATTGAGGCTGCAGCGTTTTGCATTGGCGAGCGGCTTTCTACTTTTGTGCGGTGCTGTAGCATGTACCTTCATAATGCGTCTTGTACATAGCCTAATAGACCTAACCTGATTGCTCTGTTTGCACGGAGCACGTTTCCGCATTGCTAGTCATGAGACATTTCTGACGACAGGCGTCCGTTTCTCCTTGAGATGAAGCCCTGTATGACCTTGGGGCGCTACAACACATACCAGAACTTGTATTCATGGACATTTTCTTTACGCTTTTGTGCTGTGCACGTGGTAGCTTCGGGGTGCGCTGGGTGTGAATGATTCATTGACATGTTGTTCTCTGCAATAGGCAGTGGTTTTGTACGAGTTTACCTTCCATGTACGAACGTGTGGTACATAAAACAATTGCTGCAGGATTAGGTTACAGGCTTCCGTATCGTTGCTATTGTGAGACCTATCCTATGATTCCGCCGGCACCGCTTCGGTGCGATGTGACGATGGGTTAGCACGTATCGTGCTTCATGTACGGTTATTATGTCCAATTGTAACTAACCGCATATGACAAGTAACCTGCAAGTTAAGGTATCGCAATAGCCATACCCTTGTCACGAGGTCTGGAGCAGCCTCTAATGTAGGCAAATACATTAACCTAACACTACCGATATCTGTTCACCTGAACAGGTGACCGGCACCACCCGTACGATAAGACACGAGGCACACCGCCTGGTTACCTAACACACCAACACCGCTTCAGGGGGCATCCAGGAATACGGAGGAACTTCCTCGCCCCTAGCCCGAATTACAAAAAACGAAAACTTTATGCAAACATGTCAAGTTCATGTGCTCATCCGCACAGCCATCTGGCTTTACTCCACCCCAAGACGGCGCTTGAAGTCGTCCACCATGCGCAAGAGGCCCTCCCGGAGTGGCACCACTGGCTCCCAGCCCAGCGCCTCCTTGATCTTGGTGATGTCGGGCTTGCGGCGGGAGGGGTCGTCCGCCGTGTTCTCGCGGTACTCAATGACCGCGTTGGGGTTGACCACCTCCTTCACCAGGTTGGCCAGCTCCAGCATGGTGAACTCGCCCTGCAGGCACGGAAGCGGGCATGAGGGGGTGGGAGTCATGGTCCGGGATTCTTGACTGCGCTCACCACGCGCCAATAGACAAGTGGACCAAGACTGGGTGGTGACGCTGTGACGCGTAGGGCCCTTCTAGCGGTGCATAACGACCCAGTCAAGTGGACCTGCTTGCCGCCTAACGTGGCCTCCTTCCATCTGCAGAGTACCCGCAGCTCCACATACTAGATTGACACATGCCTTCAGACGGCTTCACTTACCGGGTTGCCCACATTGAAGGGGCCGATGTGCGGGCCCTCCATGACCGCCACCAGGCCGCGCACCAGATCGCTCACATACTGGAAGGAGCGGGTCTGCTGGCCGTCGCCGTACACGGTGATGGGCTTGTTGGTCAACGCCTGGCTCACGAAGTTGCTGACCACGCGGCCGTCGTCCAGGGCCATGCGCGGGCCGTAGGTGTTGAAAATGCGGACAATGCGAACCTGCAAAGCGACACACCGCATGCGTAAGAGTGAAGTTTACACACAAGCTTGTAGTTCCGCTAAGAATCCAACTGGTCATGTGGTGACGTTAGGCAACAAGTAGGCGTGCATGCGGGGCCCCGTGAAAAGGCATGCACGGTCACGGGCTTGACAGTGAGCAACAATGGCCCACGAGGTTTGACTGCAAGCAGCACTTATTCATCCCCATAACCGCCCCCCCGGGCCTGGTCAGATGCGAGTGTTCAAGGTCCCTGCTTACACACCGACACCTACCGCAACGCCGTGCTCGCGGTGGTAGTCCATGGCCAGCGTCTCAGCGACACGCTTGCCTGCGCAGCGCAGCATAGGACGCGGAGAGGCGTAGGACGCATGGCCCAGAAACCACACCCATAGCCAAATGCGCTGTCCCCATCCATACCCTAGGCCTATCCGGCAGCCCTGTGCCTGCCATGCTGGCAGTGAAACCCCAGGAACTCACCCTCATCATAGCAAGAGCGCTCGCCGATGGGGTTCACGTTGCCCCAGTACGTCTCCCGCTGCGGGTGCTCCAGAGGGTCACCATAGACCTCGCTGGTGCTGGTGATGAGGAAGCGAGCCTTGCAGCGCTTGGCGAGGCCCAGCATATTCATCGTGCCCAGGAAGCTGGTCTTAACCGTCTTGATAGGGTTGTACCTGGGGTGGGCGGAGGCAAAGTAGCCTTGCTAGCGGAGCACTTTGCACAGACGCCCGGCCTGAAGCCCTACAGCTTCGCAAGATTCACACCCCCGTGACTCAACGGACCAACCCAAACGAAAAGCGAACAGGCCCCACTTCCAGGCACAGAACCCGGATAATACCCCCCCAAGCCATGGCAACAATACAAGCGACGCTGTCGTCCAACCTGAGGCTGCAACTGTCTAACGAGCCTGAAAAGAAACCCATGCCCAGTCCGCCAACTACTTACTTGTAGTGAATCGGTGACGCTGGGCAGGCGCAGTGGTAAACTTGGTCCACCTCGAGCAGGATCGGCTCCACGACATCGTGCCTGATAACCTCAAAGTTGGGCTTCCCCAGCAGGTGAGCAATGTTCTCCTTGCTTCCGGTGAAGAAGTTGTCCAAGCAAATTACCTAAACAAGGCGGCTTCTGGTTTCACAATGAACTCCATCAGATCGACCGTGACAAGCATAAGCAGAAAGGTCCTTACATGGTCACCACGCTCAACCAGGAACTCGCAAAGGTGGCTGCCAACAAAGCCTGCACCTCCAGTCACCAGCACGCGGTTGCGCTCACAACGCGGCTTCGTCTTGATAAGCGTGGAACCGTTTTGGGACATTTTTCATCTACAATATCAAACAGCTATTAGGCATAAGCTGGTGACCCATCACTATTTGTTCGAAAATGCATGGCAACGGACCGTACGGCTGCCTCGACTTTGACTTGGGCCCTGTCCACGTCTCGTAGGCATCCAAAGAGGTCCAAAACCTAATAGCTTACTTCGTTATAGTGCACACGATTCGAGGTAATGGGTTATCGGTGGTTCTTGATACCAGCCCCACGTGGCTAAAGCTTGCAGGTTGCGACGCTTAATTTGCAGTCCACTGAAGACGTAGGGCAATAGATTGGAGTGCAGGGTGGGTGCAGTCGTTATGCTTCGCACAACCGGACGCGTACTGGTTTAGTTGAAGGGGCACTTCAGACCTTGACGGACTTAATCGGACCGTCCTCTTACCGCATCCCAAAGGCTTGGTGTCGTGGCCCCATCAGCCTTGAGCATCCCCTTATAGTTGCTTTCCTGTTCAGACCAGTTGCTTCCCTATGCCGCACGCGTACGGCCACATACTAGGGCCCACTCCTCCTCACTAGTCAAGGCGTGCTAGGTGAGTGGATCCCCGCGTGAAAGGGGACAATTAATCTAGCGAGTTACCGATGGATCACCCTCTCCATTGCAGACTTCGTGCAACTATGTTCCGGCTCTCCACCATAATGGAGCCTCCCCAACCTCACCTCACAGCTCCTGTCCGCACCGCAATGTTCCGCTTACCCCCTCAATACGCACAGCCCTTGTCAAAGTACGCAGAAGTACCTGTTATCCTTGCGCCTCCCAAACCTCCGCGCTCGGGATAGCCAAATACACAACAACCGCCGGTCGTGAGGCTGTCCCAAGGATGAGAGGCGCCCTGAAGCGATCCATGCCTTAGGTTCGCCATGGGCACAGTTCCCCGGGAAGACACCTTGGCCACACCATATACCCCTACATGCACCAGATGTGTGAGAAGTGTTCTGACGCGGTGTCCCAGCTTCCTTGCGATCTCATAGGTAGGAGATGAGCTCACTTGCCCTCCTCTTTTGCCCTTTTACTTGTTTATATTCTCTAGTGAGGTTGTAGCGGCCCAGGGAGATGCATCGTCTTGATAAGCATCGGCAGCTCGAAAACACCCGAAAAGTGTCCGCAACAGGCTCGAATGCGAAGGAACCATAGTAGCTTTTAGCCGCACCAACGTAGACCTTGAAGACGTGTCGTCACTGAGGTGTTACACCCTCCAATGTGCGAACGGGTGTAATATGCGCTTTCATGCGAGGGCGGCCCGCTCGATCAGGAGACCAGGTATTCATAACAGCCACAATTGATAGTGGAGAAAGTGCCCCCGGAATAGCCCCATGCCCTTATGCGTCCCGAGGGAATCCCAAGCCTGCCAGGCAAGGACAAGTCAGGGCCACGCCCAATGCAAGTAAACCGGGCGACGGCGCTCATGCATTTACTATATAACGGCGAGGACGATACCGTTCTGCGCCTTACGCCAGTACTTGGGCCTTCGGCCACAGAGCAACGGCCTGTTGTAGATAAAAGCTCGGATCCCCGGAACATGGCAGTCCACTAAATCCCATTTGCCTCCACAATTAAACATATATACTTCCTTCAGCACAGCGCAGATAACCGCCAGGTATGTCCCACTGTACTGCCCTTCCAAACAACATGTTCCATTGCTCAGTGCTGTAGCTTTCTACGCCTCACACTAGTAGGGCGCGTAACGAGGGCCCGCTCCCCCACCACGGCCACCGTACGCCGCGCCAGGGCCTGCCGGTGGTCGGCTGCCGCCGCTCCCACCCGTGTACCCGCCCGAGCCCCCTTGGTAGCCAGCAGGGCGGGCACCGGTGCTGCCGCCCGAGTAGCCCGTGGAGCCACCATGGTAACCTGCAGGTCAGGAGGGAGGGCACACCACGTAAGGCATCGGCATCTTCCCAACGACCAAGATTTATGGGATTCCCTGCAACAAAGCAAGGAAGGTAGTGTTCTTTCGACGAAGTTCATTCAGTCTCACGAGAAGCAAAAGCCTCTGACGCTGCCTTTTGAAACCAAGTGCCAATGCCTTCCCCCTCGCCGCTGCAACCGCCCTACCGGAGCTGGTGGCAGCATAAGGCCCTCCAGCAGGGGCGCTGCTGCGGCTTGGCGGCGGTGGCGGCGCGCCGTACGATGGCGCTCCACCGCCGTACCCGCCTCTCTCGCCACCATAACCGCCCCGCTCGCCGCCATATCCACCTCGCTCTCCGCCATAGGGCGCTGCAGGCCGCTCACCGTAACCGCCTGCAGGCCGCTCACCGCCGTATGCCCCGCCGCCGTACCCAGCACTCCGTTCGCCGTAGCCGCCGGCGCGCTCACCTCCGTAGCCGGCGCTGCGATCAGCATACCCTCCCGCAGCACCGCCTCCCCTGCCGCCGTCCCCGTAGCCAGCCCTTGGAGCCGCTGGGCCCCTGCCGCCGTGAGCGCCGGCGCCGTAGCGCTCCTGGGGAGCCCCGTATCCACCTGCATCACGGTGGCCGGCACCAGCGTCGTAGCCACCTGCAGGAACACACACAGCACGCGGTCACGAAACACAGCGGGGATGCCACGAGGTACTGCCACCGCCGTGCTTGCTGATGTGGGTACCGCAGCCCCAGCGCAGTGCAGCCCGTAGACTGAAAGTTGCCTCCCTGTTACCCACCTTGGCGACCTCCGCCGTACTCGCCCCTCTGGCCGTAGCCCCGCTCCTCGTAGCCGCCGCCACCTCCACGGCTGCCGCTAGCGCCATAGCCGCCACCACCATAGCCAGAGCCAGCATAGTCGGCCGCAGGGCGCCCCTCCGCGCGCGGACCCGCGGGCGGTCCGCCGCTGCGACGCACCGGGCCGCCCGCACCCGCGCCGCCGCCCTCGTGATACCCAGCAGCCGCGGCACCGCCCACAACGTACCCAAACTGGGGAGCCACACGCATGAGGCGGCAGGGGAGGGGAAAACGGGGCCGGGAACAAAGTCAGGAGTATCCTCGTAAGTGCCTACGCAGAACCTTTGATATGTGGTCAGTTGCCGGAAGTGCCGACTTCTAGCTTAGAATGGTAGGCGACGGCCCACTCAGGACCCACCCACCTGGCTGCTGGGAACCATCACAGGCATGATGGGTACGCTGGGGTAGCCGCCGTAGCCGTAGCTATAGCCGTACCCCTCGTAGCCCTCGTCCTCATAGCCCTCCTCATAGCCATAGTCGTAGCTCTCGTCATAGCCGTACCCATAGTCTGACTGGGCGTAGCCGCGTCCGCCGCCGTAGCCGCGGCCCCCACCCGGGGCGCCCCGTCCACCCCGCCCACCAGGGCCCCGGCCGCCTGTCCGAGGGAGCACAAGTACCTCAGTTGGCATATACTGGAGCTTGGACTGCTACCAGCACGGCATTGCAGACAGCTTGACAGCTATTCGAGAACCGTTTCGAGCTGTAACACCCGTTCCTGGTTCATGTAGCGTATAGCGTACAAGCCTCACCTCCGCGACCGGGCGCCCCGTAAGCACGCGGTCCATAGCCGTAGCCGGCAGGTCCGTACCCACGCATCATGCCCATGCCGCCCATGCCACTGCCGTCGTCGCGCTGCAGCTGGGGCCTCGCCATGTGCACCTACACGGGATCCATTGGAGCCAACCGACGTCAATCTCATATGCTTCAAAGCGCATGGCAGACAACCAGGCGTAACCAGAGAGCCAGAGGAGGTGGGCTGTGTTCCTTTCTTCTTCCTTGTCAACCCTAGACCCAACAGCCGCAGCCGAACCCCATTCCAGCTGGCCACACTCACAATGAGCTCGCGGTCCCCCATCATGTGCTTCTTGTTCTCCGCCTCGCTGACGGCCTTCAGTGCCGCGGAGCGCTCCACGTAGTTCACGAAGGCGTAGTTGCGCAGCTTGCCGGGATCCTCCGGCGTGTACAGCAGCGTGACGCGGTCGATCTGGTGGAGGGAGGGACAGGAAGGACAGGGGGCGAGCCAGGGGAGAATGAGGATGAGCCAAGGGACAATGGCTATGTGGGTACATCGGGAACAAGCTTAAGTGTCCAACAAACCAACCGGCAACGACATTGCTACAGCTCGTTACGTTAAGAGCAGCTCACCGTGCCGTACTGCGTGAAAGAGTTGCGGAGGTCCTGCTCCGTGTAGTGCTCCGGCAGGTTGCCCACGTAAATGGACCTGACCTGTGGCAGCAGGAAACAATCGCAGCGGCGGGAAAGGTATTAGACTGGCTCGGCGCTTCGTGAAAACAAAAGCTGGCAACGGCACCTAAAAAACTACCGGCTCGACTGATCGCAGGCTCCGTTGACGCCCACCTTCTCCGTGCCGATCTCGTCACGCTTGGGGTCGGCCCACATGACCTGCACTGGCTGGCCCCGCAGCCGGAAGTCCGGTCGGCTCAGCTTACGCAGCGCCAGCGTGGCGGCGGCGTTGTTGTAAAAGGCGATGAAGCCGAAACCACGGCCCTGGTTGGTCTCCCTGTCCATCATAATCTCCACCTTCTCCAGGCCTGCACGGGCGCTCACACAGTGCACATCAGGGCATATGCGGGCTATGCCGGTATATGGAGGGGACTGCTAACCCAGACCCAGCACTACATGATGTGGGCAAGGCGTGCAGCTGTCAGACCGTAAGGCGAAAGGGACCCCTGGAAGCGCTCGTTGTTTTGCCGTGCCGAGGCTCACCTACTGTCTCGCCATGCAGCACCGCCTCCAGCTCCTCGCGCATCATGTCCCGCGGCAGGCCCCCCATGTAGAGCTTGTTCTTGACAATGGAGGGAACCACGTTGATCTACATGCAGTCAAGTGAAGCCTCCGCGTTTTACCGAAAGCAAGGGGCGCGCGCAATGATAGCTGTCGGGGGCTATTAGAGAAGGAGAAGTTTGACGGCAAACAGAGGTGGAGATTGCGATTACTCACCCTCCGACCAGGGAAGTCCTTGACCTCGCGGCCCTCCAGCACCGTCAAGGCCTTCTCGGCGCTCTCACGGGCCTTATACACGCAGAAGCAGTAGCTGCGCGCAGCAAGGACATCGATCAACTTATTTTAGGTACATCAGAATGCACGGTTAGACAGTCTGCGGCGACGGAAGGCCATCGTCCAGACAGAAGCCCAGCACCCTTTCGCTTAACCGTGAAAAGTTGAGTAGCCGTGTTCCAGAGTGTCTCACCCCTTGTTCGTGTTCGTCTCGCGGTCCTTAGGTACACGCAACGCAAAGACCTCCCCGGCCATTTCGCAGAACGCTTTCAGCTGTGCGTCGCTGGCCTCTCGAGGCACCTTGGACACAAAGACCTGGAGGCGGGGGCGGCAAGGATGACGATAAAGCCAGGGCAAGGCTCAGGGGAAGCGCTGTTTTGCTGTGCAGGGTATATTCATACTACCCAGCTTGCAATACCGGCACTACCCCGTAGTTCCGCTCGCAGGGCCACGACTCCTAAGCATGCCTTTCGGTGTTACCTGCACCGCCCCCGGAAGACGTTCTGGCCCTTCGGAGACGCCAAACGGCTATACACCGAACCCACCTCCGTGCCGTGCGGGGGCTGGCTCATGGGATCCTCGGCATCGCCGGACCTGAGGGGGCATTTCCACAACACCGCTTTACATTAACCTCCTAACGAGGTGTGGGTTGGATGGTGGTAATCGTGCACCCAAGCGTAAATATGGGAATGGATAATGCAGACCTGACGGATCCACGACGTTAGATAACCGGGCCTGGTCATAGGTCGCATGTGTTAGTGGAGGTGGTGGCCCTGGCAGGCACTCACCCTTGTTGCTGCTCCTCCTCGTGCCGCTGTCGCTCGTCCTCCGCCGTAGCAAGCTCTTGCTCGCGAGCAGCATCGGCTGCCTGCGGCTCGGCTGGCCCATTGTCTTGGCCGCCCTCGACTTTGGGCTCTTCTTTTGTGGCGGGGACTTCCTCCGCAGCACTAGCACCGGCGTCCCCAGCAGCCTGCATACAGTGTACGCGGCCTTGATTACACAACGGCATTTCCTGTCGAATGCTATTACCAAGGCTGAAACAGCCACAACGGCTGGGAACTGGCAGTTAGCAATACCTGGTCGCTTGGTGCATCCGCTTGAGCGTCATCCATAGCATCTCCCTGCGCCTCAACAATAGGATGCTGTTAAAAGAGGTCCCACATATGAGCTGTGGGCGAAACTACGGCATCTGCGAAGGGCCCCTCAAAGGCGCGGAATAAGGATTGCCGATCCACACGCACCTCAGCCATCATGTCCGCTTCATCGCCAAGAACAGCATCTTCAGCAAACTGCTCCTGATCTTCCGCCATCGAATGAGCCCCGCAAGTCCTCACGGCAAGTCCTTGTCGCGTTCAAGAGCCTGCTATGTCACCTACTGGCTGGTCGTCGTTTGCTGGGGGAGTAAGCAGTATAAGCGAAAAGGACAGCATAAAGCTCAGGGTAGACTCTGGTGTCAAGTCTATGAGAATTAGCAGCGCGTTGGATGTCTACGGTGGCTGCGGCGGCAGCAGGGTAAGTTTCATGACCAAATGTAGCGGTAATGGAGTATCGGATAGCAGTAAAGGTGCATCTCGGGGCATTTGCAGCTGCGCAGAGAGTGAGTCAACGAACGTAGCGAACGAGAACGGACCTGCCGTGGGAGTCTTGCAGAGCAACTTTATCCAGCGACCCTTACTGGTAATCTGAGGAAACTGGCTACTTGCGCTTCGCAATATTGATGTACTACCTCAGCCTCGTACAGGTAGTACAAGTTCATGTGCCTGGCGGGTGCTAATTTTTGCAGCCAACATGCGGCGACAAAGCCAACGAGGTATCTTCGTGTTATTTTAGCTTGTTCCGCCGCGTAAATATTCCCCGCACCTTGCTGGGATTGTTGCCTGTTAACAAGCTAGCATGAATCCAAAGGGTGGTGGCCTTTTCTTTACCTGCAATCATCGAATGAGTTCTTGCACTGAGATCGCCCTAGCAGGCAGGTATGGTGCTATTGTGCCCTACGGGCATCTAATACGCCAAATTGCTCCCCAAGGCGCTCGTCCCCATGAAGCTTGCTGTGGTGAAACCGGTTGTGCTACGGGATAAAGGTGTCCAAATGTCCTCAGAACACAATGCCATTGTTGCGTTAAGCCAGTATTGATGTAGAGACATGCTATCAGATGATGCAGTTGCTAGGTCTTTACCTGTTACCCCTGGCTTGTTAGCTGCAAAAATTGTCGAACACGTGCCTCGCAGCAGTTTTGTGCTGCGCTGGATCGCGTTTGGGAAGACTGGAATGGGCTGGGTTCGGGCTTCGGGGTCCCCATGGGTAGCCCATTTTAATGAACCTCCTCTTTACCTTGCGTCTGCCGAACAATTGTCTTGCCCGTGCAATCCTAGTAAGTTACGCCAAGGGCAGCTACCCGGCTTCTAGCTAAGGTTCACATGACACGTCGGTGTACGGACCATATGGTTGAGCCGCCATGTTGCGGAGGGTGTGTGGCAATGACCCATGGGTCTGCATGAGCGCTCTACATAGGGCGCTCTACGCAGCGCGCAGAAGGATGGGCCCAAAGATCAGGCACTGCCCAAAGATCAGGCATTGCAACCGTGAAAGGCCGCGACAGTCAACCTAGCTGTAACACGAAGACGTATTGTACAGGTCAACACAGGCTTGCATATGCTTCCAGAGGTCCCGCATGCAATTAACGACCAAGGTGATGTTCATGAGCACAGCGTTCATCTCAGCAGCACCTCTACGGCGCCCCATAAGCCCTGCCAGTGACAGATTCTTACATGGCCCAATAAACGTCTCCGCTGCAGCCCGACAACGCATGCATGGGTGATAAACAACCCTACTGCAGCCCGACAACGCATGCATGGGTGATAAACAACCCTACTGCAGCCCGACAACGCATGCATGGGTGATAAACAACCCTACTGCAGCCCGACAACGCATGCATGGGTGATAAACAACCCTACTGCAGCCCGACAACGCATGCATGGGTGATAAACAACCCTACTGCAGCCCCACAACGCATGCATGGGTGATAAACAACCCTACTGCAGCCCGACAACGCATGCATGGGTGATAAACAACCCTACTGCAGCCCCACAACGCATGCATGGGTGATAAACAACCCTACTGCAGCCCGACAACGCATGCATGGGTGATAAACAACCCTACTGCAGCCCGACAACGCATGCATGGGTGATAAACAACCCTACTTCAGACCTACAACCCTGAGCCTCTCCCACACTATAGTGCGCTGATGGCACCGTATCAACCACCAACTAGACTGTCACGCAGCCCGCCGCCAACTATAACAAATGAACAGCGCAACCGTGTATACGTCCCCGCGGCCCAAATCGCTCCAGCAGGCACTCGCTCAGCAGCCCTTCACGACGACGGGTAGGGCACCCGGTCGACTTTGTAGATCACAGCCTGCATGCAAGGGATGGCGGAGGGAGGGATGCACGGGGCGGCTGAATGTGCCGAAGCTGAGCTGCTGTGGGTTCAAAACAGGTAAGTTACTAGAGTAATGATCGGGCCGTGTTGTGGAGGAAACAGGAAGTGCTCCCACCGGCAGAGCACACAGCTCCCAAACACATAAGAACCGTAAACGACAGGTTCAGCAGAAGCTGCCAACAGCGCTTATTTTACATGCAATGCCGTGAAGCGGCAATGGGGATGATTTACGTCAGCCGCCATATGTTTTGCAGGCATTACAGCATGGGTCGACCCAGCCGACTAGCCAGCCCAACCCGGCGCACACCCACCCCGCCGGCGCGGATGTCCTTCGCCTTAATCTCGGCCTTTTGCTGGGGGCTGGAGATGTAGACCTGGCTCGTGAAGATTCTGCGTGGATACAGACAAACAGGGGTGGCGGCAGGCAGGCACATAGGGAGTAGCAGGGACAGCCCTGCGCCGAATCCGTACCAGCTCCTAGCCCTTTCCAGCGCCCTAGCCCCATGTCCCCTCCTGAACCTGCCCCTCCCCACACCTACGCTGTGCTGTACGACATCGTTTGACCGAGCAAGTTCTTATAGGTGTTGCCGCTGCGCAGACCCGACGACATGATAGACTGCATTAGAGCAAAAGGGGGATTGGGGGCGCGAGCGAAGTAGGGTTACCGGTAGTAGTACATGCAAGGAGGATGCCTGATCCGGTGAGTGCGCCCTGATGCCTGACCTGCCTCATCGTCTCTTTCATCCAGGGGAGCCCCTTACCCATACTCCAACAAAGCTACGGTGGCTGAACACAAAGTTTAAAATCGGGCGCGAGCGTTGGATTCCCTTTTCGAACCAATCCACCTGGTTGGGGATGATGAGGCCGCGCAGCAGGCGGTCTGCGGCGGTGGGAGTGGTGAAGATGTCGTTGAAGTCCTTGAGCTTTAGCTTGCTGGCGGCGCTCTTTTGGTCCTTGTCGAATGCATCGTCGGTGGGTGCGAACACCGTGGCAAGCGTCTTGCCGCTCTGTAGCACGCGTACGGGCAAGAAGGTACGCAGAACGAGGAGGTACAGTTTCCTTTCGTATCAGCAGCATTGGAAGCGTTTAGAGGTGTCAAAAACGTTTGCTTTCGGGCTCGCTTCGGCATCATAGGGAAGTAGCCAAGCAGTGCGCAGCTCCTAAAGCCGCGACGCGCTGCTAAAGCACAAGGTCCTTGGTAAATCTGTGCAAATAGTTAGGGCTTCATGCCATGTATCCCGCTATCCGGCGTGACGAACATTCGGAAGACGTGGCCAGCCAAGGTTCCTCCGCAAGAGTCCTACCGCAGCAACGCTCCCTACTGCTGGCAAGAAACCGTCGCACCTTGAGCGTTGTTGCTCCCTGGCCGTTGCCAGCCGACTTGACGATGCGGCACAGCGTCTGGAGCTCCCGGTCCTGGCAGATTGCGCCCGCAGCGGTGCCGGCAACGGACTGGCTGGCCTGTGCCGACACCTGCACCGGCGACTGCGCGAGCAGCGCAAGAAGCGCCAAACCCAACAGGGAGAGGAGAAGGGGCTTCCGACACATCATCCTTGTCGGTCCTACTGTTGGCGGTGGGCTGGTAAGAGCTAGGAAGATTCTTGGTGGTTTTAGGGACAACAGCCCTTTGCTAGCTTGGGCTGTTGGAAGGAAGATAGGTTTGTATATGGCGGTATGATGAAATGTTTACCCCGTATACGATGTACGATGGATGGAGTGCATTTGGAGCGGAAGGGTCTAACCACACACCTTCGAAGGCGTTCTTTGGGCTGAGGAGATGCCGAGGCGACCCAAGGGTCGAAACGCCCAACGTTTTGACTAATGGAAGTTGTGCAACGTCGGTTTGGCACCCGTTGCCACTCTTGAATTGCCGAGCCACCAGCGTTGTGGCCATTTAAGCATACAACTTAACTGAATCCGGAATGCATATGTCAGGCATTAACTTTCAGATGGAGCTATGCTCATGCCATGCCATCGCAGTTCGGAGTCCCAGGCAGCATCTCCCTACTAGCTGTTAAGTCGCTAATCCATTGGGCTGCACGCTTCTGCACGGTCTGGCATGTAGCGGTCGGGCAGCTAGTAACGTGGCTAGGTGGCGAACTGCCGTGCCGTGTACGGTGTACTAAACAGTATTAGGGTTGCTGAACGCTAAGCGGCTGCGCTGGTGGTGTCCCTTCATGGGGCTTACATGCAGCCGACAAATCAGTGCAAGTCCAAGCGCCCGAGTTGTACGATGACCCCTTCAGAGACCGCTCATCCTGCCATCACGGAGCTCTACGGTGCACACGCATTGTGGTAACTGTTGGCAGAGATAGAGACCGGAAAACATCTGGTCAAAGTAACCACGCCGGTGGGGTGTGTGATGCCGACCCATGGGTCATTCCAGTGGCCACGCATAGGACAGAAGAACCATGTTGCTGGGAAGGGAATGCCTCCGGAACGTAACAAGGAGCCCGCATGTGTCCAATCAAGCAGGCTGCAACATAAAGGCAACTTAGTCCAAGCATGCATGCAGTTATATACCGTGTACTACCAGCAAGCCATCCTTCCACATATGGCATGCGATGCAAGCAACAACAGAAGCAATAACAGAACCAACAAGAACCGATATGCGTGCATGCATGGGGGTGCATGCCGTTGGCCAACCAAACAAAGCACAACCATGTCTAATCCTTTCCCGCTTTGTCCGCGCTTATGCTACGACGTCCTTACATACCGGTAGCCATCATGCCTGACATGCCAAGTATCGACAAGCTTACGACCCAGAAAATACCAACTCAACAGTCAACGCGGCTGCATGTACGGCTGTACGGCTGAGCTAAGGCGACAGCAGGCATTGGACCGCCCTTACTTCCACTTCCCTGCCCTCCAGCCACTCACTCAACAGTCCTTTACGACGACGGGTAGGGCACCCGATTGACCTTGTAGATCACAGCCTGCATGCAAGGGGCGGCGGAGGGATGCATGGGACGGAGGGAGTGCATGGGTGGAGGGATGGATCTGTTCCTGCGTGTGGTCGTTTGGACGGGGCCCACACGCAGATGGGGCCCCCCGCGCTAGGGTGAGCGGACTCCAATGCCGATGTACAATTTCCGCGAAGCCATCGAGTCTACAAGCCTATCTCCTTCCGCAGCCACTCACCCCGCCGGCACGAAGATCCTTCGCCACAATCTCGCCCTTCCGCTCTGGGCTGGTAATGTAGACCTGCTTGGTGAAGATTCTGCATGCGGACGAAACAGCGGGAGCGGGGCAAGAAAGCGGCGCTCGTAAGGCTCAGTTTAGCCGTAGCTTGCAAGAAACAAATTGGGAAGTAAGCATGCTGCTGCTGCTGGTGGTGCAGCAAACACAGTGTTGAGCCGCCGAGTGACACAAGTCCCAAATCCATGCCTCCTCCGCCCCCTACCCCTCCCCCCACCTACGCTGTGCTATATGTCATGGATTGACCGAGCATGTTCTTGTACTTGTTGCCGCTGCGGAGACCCGACGACATGATAGACTGTGGCACAGAGACAGCAAGGGGGGTCACAGTCTATCATGTCGTAACTGGACCCGGGAGCTGCCGGGAGGTGAAGGAAGCACATGCCACATGCCCGTTACCATTGGTCAGCCGGGCCTGTCCCGGGTACCGTTTATCTCTACAAGGATGGCAAACGAGCTATATCGTAGTTACCAATGAAACCCACCATGCGGGATCCCTCCCACCCACCTGGTTGGGGATGATGAGGCCGCGCAGCAGGCGGTCTGCAACCGTGGGAGTGGTGAAGATGTCGCCAAAGTCCTTGAGCTTCATCTTTCTGGTGATGCCCTTCTTATCGTGGTTAAATCCTTCGTCCGTGGGTGCGAACACCGTTGCGAGCGCCTTGCCGCTCTGTACAGCAGCAGCACATGTACCGGTGTGTATTTGCATGTGCAAGGAAGCAACGCGGAGATGGTTCGTCAGTTCTTAGCAGCAGTGAGGTAACTCCTGGTTTGGTCGCCACACAAACCAGCTAATCCAGGCTTGCTGGGAAGGATTGCAGGCGATGCCGGCCTCTTCACGGATTCCGTCTCTGCTTCCAAAGCGGTGGTATTTGTGTTACGATGAATACAAGGTATACGTTCTAGACCGCTCTGCCAGTTGACGTTGCGCGCATAGATAGGTGTCACGACGCGCTTCCCTACAAAGTACAAGGTCTGCGAAGCCTTCCTAGGTTCCAAACTGCTACAGCCCACAAGCAATACGGTAGCACGCAGGCAGGCCGCACCCTGAGTGTTGCTGCTCCCTCGCCATCGTCGGCTGCATCTATGATGCGGCACAGGGTGGTCAGCTGCGGATCCTGGCAGATGGCGTCAGCAGCACTGCGAGCAACCGGCGGTCCGGTCCTTTCAAAATCCTGTGCCGACACCTGCACCGGCGACTGCGCGAGCAGCGCTAGCAGCGCCAAACCCAACAGGGAGACGAGAAGGGGCTTCCGACACATCATCCTTGTTTTTCCGAATGCACTGCCGTAAGATGACCTTGATGGCTAAAATAGCTTGCAATAAGATAAGCTTAAAGGGATGTTTAGTATCGTAGATGAAAGTGTATGACTGAACCCCTGGGGGCCTGTGTGCATCTTTCGATCGCAGGCGACCTTGGGCAGGCGTACGACCAAGGCGACCCGGGGGTCCACATGCCCGATGCCACTTGACCCTTGAGCTGGCGCCCAAATTATGTTGTTTCATTCTGTTCCATTGGTTACAGCGCCATCCATTTGAGCGATTAGCCTTGGCAAAACGCGTACCAACTACCAAGTCCTAACTGCCGGCGAATCTATGCAGTTCCGTAAAGCGTAAGAGCGGAGAAGTTCTGGCACTCTATGTTGTCAAGCTTACCGGGAGAGAATCGAACAAAAGTCGTGCATCCTATCCGCTGGTTTCACGGTCTCGGGGCGTATCTGATATGAGAAAAGGTGGGACGAAAAGCTTATACAAAGGCAATTCTACTATTGCTGTAAAAGGTGTTAAGAGAGTAAGTTGGCATGGTGCATTTCGCAAAGTTAGCGATGCCACCTCACCTGGCTCCGACGACTACTGCCTTAGCCAACGCGCGGCCTGTGCGCGCGAGTGTGGTATATGCGGTTCCACAAGAGAAGCGTAAGCTGTTGTTAGGGCTAATGGCTGGGACGATATTGCAGAGTGCTTCGCACGCCCATGCAAGCATCGGAGGCGTCGATGCCCCAGGCACCGCGGTGAAGGCTTCAACGCAGGTCTCTCAACCTCAGACTACGGCATCAGCAGCCAGCAATATCTCCTTTTCGCGAGTTGACTCAGCGGTCACGGATAAACTTCGCCAGCGGGATGAGAACATGGCGTGGAAATGCCGAGGTGTTAGCATGTACGGTGAGAATATCAGCCGGTAGCCCGGTAGCTAGTCCGCACCTCCCAAGTCGTTGAATCTTCGTCTATGCAAAAGTCCTAAACGGGACTCCAGCGACGTTGGAGTGCGTTTGACCCTGTGCATGGATGGAACTTGGTTGGGTTTCCCAAACTCCCAACCGCCGACACTGCTCCCCCCTCCTAACCTGGCGACTGTAGACTGCGATGGGGAGCTGGCAGAGGCTGCCGAGAAGCGCTTCGAGCAGTTCGCTGGCATGTTCCGTACGGTGGGCGACGACAGTGGCAGCGACAGCCTTGGCGACAGCGGCGGCAAGTGACTTGGCAAATAGACCAAGGAGTAAGATTATGGATTCTTAAAGGTACTGACATATAGTCCGACAATAGCGTTAGGGGGCTGCCTGGAGCTGGAACGCTGGAGCAAGGAGCGACGGGCAGTAGCTAACTACGGCAGCACGGTCAATACTGCCCGGAAGGACCTTGTAGCACTGTGGCACTACTATCAGGCAGATGGTTCCAGAACCCAAGCTGCCGTGTTTACGTGCTCTGCTCGTGTCATGTCTCCTACAGTGCTGTTCGGCTAGGTGACTGTAGTGCGAGATCATGGGGTTCAGTTTGTGGTCGACGTGTAACGCACACAGACTTCTTGTATGCTATATACTTGCTTACGAAGCGTTAGCAAGCATGCTGCTAAGGACTTCCGACGAATTCACTCCAGGAGGCCGCACGTCGCGTCACAGCCCGTGGTCACGACAGATGCGCGTACGGCAACCAACGCCCTCAATATCAATTAGCTACTTAAAGTTTATACATTTAAATTCTAGAAAATTACAGGGTAACAGGGAGACTTGCGTTTCGTTGTTCTGGACACTTACGTAAACTCCTACTCATACTTCAATCCCAGTAAGCCCTTCTTTGTTTGTGCGTAATAAAAATGGACGATGAGTCTAGCTGCCAAAGTCTTTACTCGAACAGAGGAGTTTCAGTAATCGAAAGGCCCACAGTCTTCGTCCGGGAGCTGGAGGGCACGGAGCGCTGCGACCAGTACTATGACTTATCCAAGCTTCGGTCGGCTTATCGGAAGGTAGTAGGTCAGGACAGCATGGAGCGCATAAACGGCTTTACGGAAACCGAGAAGGACGAGCGGCGGGCGGTACAGGCAGTCATGCACCACCAGGACTGGACCCAGCAGACTCTAATCCAGGCGTTAAACTGGAAGAGCTGGCTCTGGTACCGTACCGCCCACCAGCTGGACTACACATTCTCCCTGTTCACCAGGGCGGGTGGCGTGGTGGGCGGATGGAGGTTCGTGCGCCCCAGCGGGTGCCACGAATGAGCGCAGTCCGAGCAGGAGCAGCAGCAGCTGTCAGCTAGCGTGAGCTGTAGGAATTTGCACCAGTGTTGGCGCCGGCAGGTTGTGTCGGGCGGAAGTTGTGTTGAGCACGTCAACAGATGGCTGCAGACCAGGCCTCGCTCTGCGTGCACTGCAGCTGATTGTACGGGGTACGACGTGCCCTGGATTGGACCACTATACTCGCGTTTGGCTTGAGAGAAAAGGAATGCTTGCGCTCGTGTTGGCAACCATTGGGGGGTAGCTAAGACGTCCTATTGTCAATGGTAGGAAACAGTCGTTCCCCTATCGAGAGCGTAGGATGTGTGGTCACACTGGCAGCATCGTCGTTTGGAAGCCACAGTGCGGCACATCCATGAGAATACGGTGTGGTCCCCTTTGACCGGGGGCTGTGCCCTCCTCCTTGCAGTGTGGGGCTGGTTATCGCTCGCTTTCCATTGCCTCCCGGCTTGGGATTACTGTAACGGCAATTCATTCACACAGTATGACAATGCTGAGTACTGCTCGTTACCAGCCGTCAGTGACACGGTGCGATGGTGGGACAGCAACTTAGCAGCAGTGAAGCACTGCAAGGGCGGGCGTGATGTCGGAAGGTGCAAGCCCTTGTATTGCCCAACGCATCGCAGTCGCATAGTGCCAGCTCGAGCACGTGCGTCGTGAAGCTAGGTAGGAGCTACGCTATTGTTACCAACAGCGGGACAACAAAGAACTGCGCTGATCTGTATGGAGAAGCGTTTGCGACCGTTAATAGTGCTATAAAGCGACAGCGCGCACGGTTATCCGGCGTTCAACCTCGCTGTTTGGGGGGGCATGGATGGTCGGTTGGCCGCTTCCATCGGTAACCTGCAACCGGGTCCTTTGTTTAGCAACTTCAAATCGAAGTTAAAATTGCGTAGAAGGTACTATATTAATAGAGTGCGACTGCAGGAAGGACGACGATAGAAATCTTTCGCCGTGTGCCGTGCGTGCAATGCTGGAACGTGGAACCAGTCGACCTATCCACTAAGTCTAGGTCGAAACCCTAACCTAGGTGTCGCATTAGGTACCATCAATTACTTGTTGCACAGATATGCAATGGCTAACTCTTCTCAGCCTGCGTTCTTGCCATCCTCCTTGCTTAACTATATTTCTTTCAGCGGCCTTGCGTCACTAGGAGTAAGCTTCGTGCTGTATCAGGTATAACCTACAGCGCTAACTGTTATGGCGTTCCGGGCTGCGCGGTACAAAACACCACTTAATGCGTTATGACACCCGCGCTACCCTAGATAATCGTATATTCCTTTATATTCTATACTATCATGTTGCCCTACACACCACCTTGCCGCAACATGCTGACCGGGCCACCTGCCACACCCATCGGGACCGTACCATCCGCCCTCGGCTGCACCCCTAGTCGATGCACGCTGGTCACCTTACACCCACCATTATCACTCAAATCAACCTGCCTAGCGCCTCCTTCCGCTCCCTTTCCTTTCCGCGCTGCCGTACTACTGGCCTCCTGCCTCCTTCCCACTCCCCTCAGCTCGCGCGCCGTGAGGATGGCTCCATTCGGGAGCTCAGCCGGGTACATGACCTGGACAGCCTGGCCGGTGGGTCGTACACACACATACACACGCATACGTTCCGACTCGTGGCCAGTTTTTCAGAACACACGCATGACGCACGTTCCGACTCGCGGCCAGTTTTCTTAAAACACACACGCACAGGAGCCCCTGGAGCACTACCGGCCTCTTCCCGCACCCAGGCGTCCAGAACCTGCACCACCCCTGCCTGCACCACCCCGCTCGTCGTCCTCCTGAGCAGTGTCATGTTGTCACCCCGCCACGCAAGCTGCTTCCTGTGCCCTCCTCTGCATCTTGGCACCAGTCGCCGCCCGCGTCCTGCTTGCCCCCCTATTCCCCGCTGCCGCAGCCACCCATCGCTCCCGACCTCCTCCCTCCTCCCGCAGCCTATCTCTCCCTTCGCACTCCTCACCGCCCCTCCCCCCTCCCCCCCCGCCTCTCTGCCCGCAGGCGCTGCCGCACTAGAGCCGCTGCTGCCGCTGCTGGTGGCGGCGCGGGGCCGGCTTACCTCCCCGCAACCCTCCCAATGCGAGCTGGGCGGGGGCGCAGCGGTCATGCGGGAGGTAGGGCGGGGGGCGGGGGCGGGGACGGGTGGGGTGCGGGGTGAGAAGATGTGTGAGACGGGGAGACGCTTGTGCACAGTGGTAGGAGGCGTGGGAGGTGGGTAAGGAATACCAAACTTGATCGAACGCGAGAATGATGAGGGCAGGAGCAAGTGGGACGGAGGAGCCGCGGACCGCCACTGGACATGCGAGATGGGGTGGAGTGGCGCCCCCCGATTCACAGAAGGGAGTGCCCAACCCTGACCCCGGCGGCGAAACTGCCTCTCCTTCCTAGCCGTCTCGCCGCCACCTGTACTCCCACACCCTCCCCGTCTCCTCTGCACCTTCTCCTGCCCGGCCTTCCGCCCGCCCCCCCACCCTATCATCCAGCCGCATGCGGAATATGTATCCCTAATAATCTCCACCCCCTCCCTCCCTCCCTTCCCTCCCCCGCCCAGCTGGTGGAGGAGGAGGTGTACTTCAAGGAGCACAGCGGCAGCGGGCGGGTTACGCAGGAGAGCTTCGAGGTCCGCCGCGAGGTGGAGCAGCGGGAGGCGCTGCTGGTGAGGGGGTGAGGGAGTGCCTGCTCTGTTTCCCGGCCCCTCCCCGGTGCTCTACCTATGCGCCAACCGTAGTTTTTGGTTGTTGCTTGATGGTTGTGGCTTATCGGTTTCCTACGCCCAGACCCCCTCCTCCGCTTTCCCTCCACTTCCTCACCCGCACCCGCATCTCTGCCCCTGCCCTTCCTTACCACCCTCCCACCCCCCCGCACCCCCTCCCGCCCCCCGCCCCCCAGGAGGACGCCAGCGGCTGCGGCCTGCGTGTTGAGGACCTGCCGCGGGCCGGCGGGCTGGCCGAGGTGCTGGAGGTGCGGCAGGTGTTCCGGCCCGTGGACCTGCTGCAGGGCACCCTCATACAACACGTCCTCAACAAGGCATTGTGGGTGCAGCGGGAGGTGGAGGGGGGGGCGGGCCGGGTGGGGTGGGGTGGGGTTTGCGGCCGTCTGGGGCGTGCATGGCGTTGTGAGGGTACCGTTGTGAGGGTACCGTTGTGAGGGTTAGCGAAGGTGGGGAAGTTGTTAAGTTTCTTTTGCCCACCTAGCACCTACCCCCTGCCCCTACACAGTTTATCGCCCCGCCGCCCACCCACCTGCCCCGCAGCAAGAGCATGGTGAAGCACGGCGTGCGCTCCACCGAGCGTTACCTGCCCACCCACACCACCGTCACCGTGGTGGGGGAGCTGCTGCCGGACAGGGTGGGACCGCTGTCGCCGCCGCAGCCGCAGCATCAACTGCAGCAGGTGGGACTGCAGCAGCAGACCTCCAACCCCTCCTCCGCAGCCCTCCTCCCGCAGCAGCCCCAAGCAGACTCACTGGGAGCTGGAAGCAGCCCGCTACATGCCGCCGGCAACCCGGGGTCAACCCCAGGGCTCAGCAGCAACGCGGCAGGCGGGGATGCGTCTCAGCCACCAAACCTCTCCTCGCTGCAACCCCTAACATCAACGCTCCATTCGTCATCACCATTACCATCAGCAGCCACGGCAGCTCCGCAGCCGGACCAACATCAGCATGGGGATCATCAGGCGACGTCGACGTCGACGGCGGCTCCGCATCGTGACGGCGGTGCCGCCGCCAGCACCAGCGGCCGCCCCGCGCCGCCGTCGGCGTCCTCAACGGCGGCGGGCGCCGTGGCGGCGGCGGTGACGGCGGCGGGAGCGGAGCTGCTGGGCCAGGCAGCGGCGGCGGCGAGCGACGCGGCGGTACGGGTCCTGCCGTACACGTTGCGCATGCCGGCATCCGGCCACCCCTTTGTGGTGACAACTCGCACGTTGCCGCAGCTGAAGGCCGCCATGGAACGAAGCAAACAGATGTACCAGGTGTGCGGTTGGAGGGGGGCATGAGGGGGTGAGGACATAGGTGGAGCAGTGGGGTGGCCGGGTGTAGGTTGTAGGGCAGGGAGCCGCATGAGGACTGGGGCGGGAGCAGGCTGCATGCTGCTTCAAGTGCCAACGCTCTCTCTCCCCTGGACCGGGACCCTGCAATGGGCTCCATGGGCCTGTCACGACCCTTCCTCAGGCCTTCGCATGGGGCTTCGGCGTGTTGGGTGCCGTGCTGGTGGCGCGGAAGGTCGCACTGCAGTTCTGGAGGGCGCGGGAGCAGCGGCGTCTGAAGCACCTAATGGAGGAGGCGGAGAGCGCGAGGCGGCGGCGCAAGGCGCAACGCGCGGCGGCAGCAGCAGCAGAAGGCGGGGAGGCGGGGGCGGCAGGGGGTGATGCGGCGGGTGGGGGGGAGGAGGATGGGGAGGGTGTGAGGGGCCCTGGGACGTGTGTGGTGTGTTGGGATGCGGATGCGGAGGTGGTGTTCTCGGGGTGCGGGCACATGTGCACGTGTGCTGGGTGCAGCGCCAGTCTGCGGAAGTGCCCGATTTGCAGGGTGGCGAGCAGCACGATACGGGTGTACAGGCCGTAGGGGGGAGGGGGGAGCGGAGGAGTGGGGGGTCCCAGGCGTGCTGGAAATGGGGCGGAGAGTGAGCGGATGCGGACAACATGTACTTGCCGATGCAGAAACAGGCTACGATACACGACGCAAAGACTAACTTTCATCATCGAAGTCCGGTTCAGGGATTTTGTCTGGCTGTAAACACCAAAGTGTAGGCTGCCGCGATGTACAACTTGTTGTAGCTTGGCGTTGCTGGTTTTACGGACAGTTATTTTGCTAGCTGTAGCTGTGTCCTCTGAAAATGACTTGGAACCCTGGTAAGCAAAGATGCCGGACATGCAATGCCCTGGCGGCCAAGGACAGCCATGTTGTAGCTTGGCACGTTCATAACGTGTACGGCCTGGATCTTGAAAATTGTACGACCAGTTGCAGGATTCATAGCAATTCATGGCTTTGATTACTCAGATGTCACCAATGCTGCAGTTGCTGTTTGGGTTTCGCATCTTGCAGGCAAAGTGATGGGGGTACGATAGTTCACGATACCGGTAGCAATGTAACCATCACGAAGTACACAACCCCGGTCTGCCTTTCGTGAAGCGTCGAGCAGTGAGGAACCAAGCTTCATGTCGCACGTCACGAGACACCTCAGGCTACAACGTTTGCGTTTTCTCTCCTCCATGTCCGTTGGGAGGCAACAACAAACCGCCAGCAACTTGTGCCCCCTGAAGTCCGTACGGCCTTAAGGCCCCCCAACCAACGCGCTACACAAATAACACAATACAGCAGGGAACACCCTGCCAACGACCCCGTCTTGGATGCATCGCGCCTAACAACGGCAAACGCCGCTCCATGTGTCCTACAAAGCACATGTATCCCGCCTGAAGTGCCCTTGATTAGTAAGCAGCGGAGGACTGGCACCCGCAGCACCCCTGCCATTTAACACTTGATGCTGGACCATGGTACTACGTATGTACGACGGTATGGGCGGGAGGACGCTAAGTCCAGCACCCGTACGACCTTACCCTGGTTACCCCTCACATGCTCCAATCCGTGCAGCAGCAACGCGCTCTCCTGACAGCTGGGCAAGGTTTGGTTTCTTAACGAAGCAATTCGCAAGCTCAGCACAATTTGCCACTATGACTCCCGGCAAGCTGTGTCTTCTCCCGCAATAGCCTCACAGGTAAATGTAGTACGTCTTGCCGTCCTGCCCTAGGCTGACCCGGGGGTTGATGCCCGTACGGCTTTGCAGGTAGCGGCAGAGCTTGGTGCGAAATGCTTCCGCGTTGTATGCACTCTTGTCATCCTGACACACCGCATCGTGGGGCAGCGCCGTCCCATCTCCGCACATGGCGTTCAGCAAGATGCCCTTGATGAACTTGGCACGTTCGCCATCTTGAACAGTCTGTGCAGTGTTCCACCTGTCAAGCCTACAGTACTGAAAATACTGGACGTCATTGCAGGAAAGCGCCGCCTGGATGCTCCTGATCCTTTCCTGGGCCGCAAGCTGCTTCGCCAGCGCTTCATGCGCCTGCAGCAGCTGCTTGCACACGTCCTGCAGCGCGGCGTCCGTCGCCAGCAGCCCGCAGCGAGCAAGCGTATCTGCCTCCGCAGCGAGCAGCTTATCCACACCGCTGTGAATGTGCTTCAACTCCACAACAGCCTCCTTGGACGCGACAGCAGACCGCGCTGTGCTCTCCTGCAGGGCGGCCTCTAGCAGCTGCTCTGCGGCCTTTGCAAGTTGAGCAGCCATTTCTTTAGCTGTCAATTCCGCACACAGAGGAATTTAAAGGTGTTAGTGGTCGATTGCATAGTAGGACTTCAAGGAAGTCATGATACGGTAATTTATGTCGCTCGGCGGCGGTTGCGGAACCCGTGACGCCGTCAAGTTCATAGCCATCACGGGCCACCATTATCATGATTCATTAACAATCCACTGTTAGATAACTAAGCTTTGCAAGGACTTCCGTTACAGGCACTGCTAGGATACCCCGTTCAGTTCGAACGTACAGTAACAGACGCCGTTGTTTAGGTTTCGTGAGTTAGCAGCTCCTCGGAGAAACGTGCTTGCCCATAACAGAGGGGTCCGTGCATTGTGTGTATAATAAAGGGTAATAAGGGCCATATCAGTCATCGCTTGCTCCGGTAGTTCCGTGCCTCCATGGAGCTCATTGGGTGCATGCATCGAATTGGGTCTTGTCAAGTCAACCTCAAAGGGATTTTCCTTTTTACCAGTGCCTCTAGCCAGCACCCACATTGAGTGAATGGCCGTCACAATGGTTCCCATACTGCGACATGGTCAGCATCTGTTTGGTGGGGACAACCCTGCATGCCTGCCGTATGAAATCCAGGGAGCCAAGCAGGTCATGGCTTGGGATGCCGGCATACCGGTACACTCAACAGCGGTTGCGGCACCTGACATCGGTGAGCACTGCCATGCTGCCAAAGGCCCAGCCATGCACAATGCAGCAGTGTGAGTGCTGCTATCATCGAGGATGTGGCCTTTCACAGCACTGGCGGCACTCCTCTGCCAACCAAACGGCAGCAACAGGCCATGCCAGGATGCAGAGCTAAGAGCTCGAGCCCAAGGCGCCACTGGGAAGGACGGTACGTCCTACCGCCCTTACTCCGGCCCACCGGGAGCAGCCCACGCCCGTCCCGGAAGCGCAGCAGCCAAGGCAGACGCAGTCGCTGCCTTCAACGGCGGAGCCCATGCGTGCTGCGGTGGCACGTATGGCGGCAGGGCCGGCAGCGCCTGGGGTGACTGCATGTGAGGACATGGCTGACAGGAGCAAGGTAGCTGGCGGGAGTGGGGGCGATGCCGCAGCTAGAAGCAGCAGCAGCAGTGGAACCATCTCCAGCGTCCTTAACCAGGGTTTGTTTCCGCCATAGGCATGTTCTGCGCTCAAGGTAGTACCAGCCCTCTCCATTGATGTGGCTCGTATTAGTAGTAAGGTGCACATGTCCTAGGCTTTGGGTACGCACGATGGCACGACGCGTTGAAGGGGACCTTCCCACGAGGCATGGGCTGCTGCCTGGTGCCGCTCTTCTCCCTGGCCCGCTAGATCGTGCAGGAGGCCTGGGACGCTGCAGTGTCGGGCACGGCCGACAGCGGCTGACTGGGAGTGCAGCTGCTGTAATGGCTGCTGAGCAGTAGGGACGACCTGCTTGTGCGGCGCTGGTCATATCATGCAACCCTGCTGGCAAGACGAGCTTCACATTGCCATCACGTGAGAGGTCATTTGGTCGTGGACGTCTGAGCTGGGAAGGTCAAAAGGGTTCGTTGGGTTCCCAAATTTGCATGCATGTCGTGATCTTATTAACCATGTGAAGGCGTGTTCATCAGCGTGGGGGTTGGGACATGCAAGCAGGCTACCGGTATTTGCACTTCAAGTTAGGAAAGAGAGCAAAGAAGTCGCAAGGCCATTGTGGGTGTTGATGACCATGCTAATGTCAGTGTGCGGGTCGGCAGCGATTCGATCAGGACGGGGTTTGATGACCTTCGCTGGGCTGAGCGCTACCGGTCGTCACGCACACGCCGGTTACAGATCAGGACGGTAAGGGTGTACCGGCAGGAATGAACCTAGGGTTGCAAGGTTGTATAGGGACCTTGGGGGGTGCTGGTATCCACTGGGAGGGTGACTGCAGGCTGGAGCAAGGGAAAGAGGAGGAGGGGGAGGAAGGAGTTACCATTAATATAAAAGCGAACCCGTTATAGCATCTGGCTTGTTTATTTGTTTCCGCACCATTGGAAGCCTAAGCGGGAGAACAGTTTCAGGGAGAACTTTTGGCTTTTACTTGCTTATTCCACGGCGAGGAAACTCGCGCATGTCCCGATGCTTGAGCTCGACCGGGAAGCTGTCGTTGCGGGTTTTCCTGAAAGCTGTGTTTGCAGGTGTACTGTGGAGAGCACTTTTGCCGCTGGGGGTGGCTGCTGTAATTCTGCCGTACTGTACCGTGCATCTTGCGTTGCAGCCAAAGTTGGCCCATTAAGACAATCAGGAGCGCTAGATTTTTCATATATAAAGAACGTATCGTATGGAAGCATCTTACCTCGAGTGAAGCTGGATCCAAGGTTAGGTGCAAGCATGTTGCCGCTCAGGGTGGAAATACCCACACGCTATTATCCTGATGAGTGTATCTTCAAGACCTACCGGTCACTCATGGGCGAGTCAGTTATGCAGTTTACCAGCCATCAGCTGCCGTCGGTGGGAAATGTGCAGCGCAACATGGACGCCTTGATGACGCTTGGCGTGATAGAGTCCACCAGCTGTGATCTACCGTCGTTGGTGGATGTGCTGTGCAGCATAGACGCCTTGGCGCTAGATGCGTTTGTTGACACGTTGATACAGCAGGATTCCATTACGAGCATCCGGCAAACATGTCGCGGCCTGCGCAATATCGTTGACGGTAGCGTGAGGGATGTCACAATGAAGGTTAAACCCCGGGGCCCGCAGCAAAGCAATAGGGTATCAGCGCCCTCGTTAGCTCGCTGGCCCAGATGCACATCCCTCACGCACGCGTATGGGCTCCTACTGGGGCGGCCTTCAGACCTGGCCACACAGCGCATGCTGCCCCGCTTTGCGCTGCCGTCGGAGGCCAGGCAGCGCATGACATGTCTGGCAGTGAAGCTGAAGGACATGCGCATTCCGCCGAACCGGGTCGTGCGGCCACCGGCATTGCGGGAGTTAGATCTGCATGAGATCCCGGTTCTGTCAGTGGATTCTCCCAACACGCTTAGCAGCTTGGACTCGCTGCCGGACCTGGAACGGCTGACGTTGTCGGATATCAAGCTTCTAAAGTGTCTGAAACCTCTGGCCCCTTACAGTAGCCTGAGGCATCTGGAGGTCACCAGTAACGATCACAGCAGAAACCCTAGCCTGCCAGACCCAAAAGTATTTCTGCCCCTGGCGCGGCTGGATGGCTTACGGGAATTGGTCTTCAACAATTGTACATTTGCGGTTCTACTAACCGGCCAGAGGGACGGCGAGAGGCTTGGAGACCTGCAGACCCTGCTAGGCAACCTCCCGCCCAACCTGCAGCTGCTGCGGCTGGAGCGATGCCTTTACCACGAGCTGTGCATGGACGTAACATCCCTGAAAATCCATTTCAGTGCCGGCCGTGCCACAGCGCTAGACCTGGCACAGACCTGTAGCAACTGCCCGTCCCTCCTCCACCTGCTGCTTGTAGTGGAGCAAGGGCTTTCGAGCAGCTTACCCTGGGACACGGAGCAGCGGCAGGGTCAGCGGTGGGGCCGCCTCCGTATTGACACGTTGGAGGTAGACTATAACACTCCGCTGCCGGAGGAGCTGTCAGGGCGGCTGCGGGGGCTGCTGCGGTTGTTCCAGGTGGGGGTCAGGTCCCTGCTACTAAAGCAAGACCCCCCTGGACCTGACGGCCAGCGATCGGGGTCCTCTCTGGCCGCTGCATGCCAGGCAGTGGACTTACTCGGCGAGCCGCATGATGGGGTGGCGCTGGAAGTGCCTGTGAATTCCTTCGCAGAAGAAAAGATGAGAGTGGAGGTAGCGAGGCCCTGCGGTTTAACGGCACGCACTCTGGCCAATCAGGAGCAGCTCGCTCCCGCCCCGGAAGCGCAGCAGCCAAGGCAGCCGCAGCCGCTGCCGTCAACGGCGGAGCTCATGCGGGCTGCGGTGGCACGTATGGCGGCAGGGCCGGCAGCACTCATGTTTTCGAGGAGACAGCCTGCTGTGTCTCAAGGCTCTCAACCGCTGCCGTCAAGGGCATGGCTCATGCGGACTGGGGGGGCGCGTACGGCGTCAGGAGCGGCAGCGGCTAGGGTGAGCCAGGCAGCCATGGACAGGGCGGAAGAAGGCAACAGCACACCTCCCCAGCGAACCCGGTGGCCGTCACCGCCTGCCACCGCCTCCAGCCACCTGCTGCTACTGCAGGGCCCCTTGGCGGCACTGCTGGGCAAGAGCTCCGGACTCCTCGGCGAGTTCCTGTTACAGGTCGCCAGGCAGGCCCGGATGGGAGACGTCGAACCTCACGTCAGTTCCTGTTGTGCCCTGCCGGGCAACGATACCATCGTAGTCCAGTGCTGCGGAGCACAGGCGCCGGAGCTGGCGCGAGATGTATCCGCGTTGCTGCAGGAGACGGGCATGTCTGCGTCGCTGCAGGTGGTGGCTGTGGACTCACGTTACAGCTGGTTGGCTGGGCCCTCCGCATTATCTGCTTTTGGACAGGCATTCCAGCAGGTATGCCTGACGTATGGGACGTCCTAGCGCGGGTATGGGACTTTTTGGCCGAAGTGCCGCCACCAAGACATGCAGGGGCGGCAAAGATTGGTACGGCAGACCATGGATGCATGCGAAGCCACATTTCCTCTGTCATCTGCCCACGCCCATACATCTACACACTTCATGCAGCCCTGCTTGAGCTAGCGCGTAAGGAATGGACACTTGTTCCCCCCTTCCTTCAATCTCCGTGCCCCACTAGGTCGTGCAGGATGCCTGGGACGCCTCGGTTGCAGGGACGGAAGACAGCGGCCGACTGGAGATCCGGACGGCGGAGTGGCTGCTGCGGATCAGGGACGACATTCTGGCACGGCCACCAGTCATGTGGCCCTAGCAGCTGGTGGAAGCCATGTAACAGTGGGGGTGCATTGGGGCTTGGGGCGTGCCTTAGTCTTGAGGTTTGGTTGTCAGGATGGAATCTGGGTTGTGCGTTGGGCCGAAAGGAAAGCGGAGGACGTTTTGTTGTGTTGAAGCATTCATCGATTTGCAGCATAGGTGGCGTCCTGGCTGGTAATGCTGCAGTAGCAGATACTTATAACATGTTGTTCACAGCGGCTGTGAGGCGGCTGGATGGCGTCATGCCACCCTGGTGGGTCGTTGGGCCTTGATTGTATGACGGTATGAGGTAGACTGCTTGTACTGTACACTGAAGGCTCATGAGGTCATGACACTACTGTACGGTACCACGCCAACTGGCGGAGAGATTGTCGGCAGTGCGAGTGCGGGGGCATCACATAGGGGAGGGGGGCCTGGCGTTGCAATATGTGGCGTGCTTGCGGGACTCGGGACACTAGCGAGTACCCTCATGGCGTCATGGGCATATACCCCCCGGCAACCTCCTCTTTATCGCAGACTGAGTTTATTTGGGTTTATACACCTTCCCCTCAGTTGCTAACGCTCCTTTAGTAACACCGAGTAGTCCTTAGAACCCCATTGCGGACGGCATTGTACCGGTATACTTGCGCCTTCCCCCCGCACTTCTATTTCCGCAATAGGCACGTTCTGCGTTCAAGGGAGAACCTATATAACCCATTGGTGTGGCTAACACTAGTGGAAACCACGCTTCCTAGGGGGCCGTAAAGGTGTACCCGAATGGGCCTGGCAAACCTGCGCCACTAAGATCACTCGCATCTGGCAACCTTTAAACCTGATCTCGTCTATCATTTTTGCGGACAAAGCATCGTAATGGAGCCAGTCGTCTTTCAGGAGCCTTGCATCGTCGATGTGTTTCGCAAACTAGACACCTCGGTGCTAGACACATTTGTTACCATCCTTATACAACAAGGCTCGGTGAGAAGTGTCCGGCGGGCATGTCGTGGCCTGCGCGATATCATCGACGCCAGCATGCAGGAAGTGACATTAAAGTTCGAAGACCCGACGCGAAAGAAGGCTGGCCCCGGACCTTCCTTGACTCGCTGGCCCCGGTGCACCTCCATCAAGCTTAACCTGAACAACTTGGTCACACGACTCTACACCGCAGAGTTCGCAACCCTGTGCATGCAGCCATTTGAAGGCCTGGCATTGGAGGCCAGGCAGCGCATCACCCGTCTGGCAGTGCTGCAGGACCAACTGAGCTCCGCCTCGAAATTCGAGGCGGCTATAATGTTGCTCGTTAAGCAGCTCCCGGCACTGCGGGAGGTGGAGCTGCATGAGCTACAGGGCTTGTCGTACCTGACCGCCCCCTCCCTCAGCATGTTTGACAGCATGGCCTCCCTACCGCACCTAGAGCGGCTGACACTGCGTAGATTAGAACACGTGAAGTACATAGGCGCGCTGCTGAAGACCACCGGCATCAACAGAAAACGTAGCTTCAAGCGCCTGGAGGTGTACTACGAGTACAGCAAGGGAGGTGATCGACCCGACCCCGCAGAGTTTGCCCCGCTGCTGCCGCTGGAGGGGCTTCTTGAGCTGCGTTTCGTCAAGTGCAAGTTTGACAGCAAGCAAGGCCATTCCGGAGAAAGCGGAGGCGGCCTTGGAGCCCTGCCAATGCTGCTGCACAGCCTTCCCGCCTCCCTGCGGCTCCTACGGCTGGAGCAATGCCACTGCCTGGGCGTGAGCATAGACATGCTGCAAATTCGACTTGATGCTTTCCGTGTGGCTGGCGTGGACATGGAGTTGAACCGCGGAAACTGCTCACTCATCCTGAAGCAGCTGTCTGCGGTCAGGAGGGGGCTTGCTGTGGGTCTGGCTTGGAAGCCAGGGGAGCAGCAGCAGGGACAACGGGAGCAGGAGCCCCTGCAGCAGCAGCGGGAACGTGAGCAGCAGCAGCAGCAGCAGCTCAACCGCCTGAGCATTGGCACGCTGGCAATAGATGGCGCGGCGCCACTGTCGGAGCAACAGGCTGAGCAGCTGCGGGGGCTGCTGCGGGCATTCCCACAGGTGCAGGTGGGCACCCTGCTCCTCACTCGCGGCGGCTGCGCGGCGCCCCTGGCCGCTGTACGGCAGGCCGTGGAGGTGCTGGGCGAGCCGCGAGAGCAGGTGGTACTGGAAGTGCCGGTTGGGTCGCCCAGCAGCACTGACAGCTTCATCAGGCTGAGGGTGGCAGTGACCCGCAGCACCGCAGCACGGCAGCAGGCACCGCCACCAGAAGCAGCAGAAGAAGCAGAGGAACGGCCAGCGCAGCCCGCTGGGCTGCAGCCGCTGCCGTCAACGGCGGAGCTTATGCAGGCTGCGGTGGCACGTATGGCGGCATGGCCGGCAGCGGCTGGGGTGACTGCATGTGAGGACGTAGCTGACAGGAGCGAGGTAGCTGGCGGGAGTGGGGGCGATGCCGCAGCTAGCAGCAGCAGCAACAGTGCGTCCCTGGAACACACTCCAATGTTCCCGCCCCGGGCCTCAACCAAGCTGATGCTGCTGAGGGGCCGCCTAGCTGCCATGCTGGGCGGCAACTCCACGCTACTCGGTGGTTTCCTGCGACAGGTTGCCAGCCACGCCGGGGAGGCTGATGTCGAAGCTATTGCCGATTCTTGTGTGGCTCCGCCGCTCACCGACACCCTGGTCCTCAAGAGCGGCTGGTTCGATGCGAAGGAGGTGGCGGAGCGGGTGGCCGCGTTGCTGCAGGACACGGGCATGGCTGGGTCGCTGCAGGTGCTGGCTGTGGACTCGCGCTTCGATGTGGCAGCGGCGGGAGCCTCCGCGGGAGCGCTCCTAGCGCTGGAACGGGCACTTCAGCAGGTAAGGGTAGTGTGGTGTCTTGATGTGCTGGCGAGTGATACAAGCACGGTGTGGGTGAGGCATGTTGGCAGCCGCATGACGGGGCTCAGGTGTTGACGAAGTGGGTGGTGGGGTGAGGGAGCAGCGAAGGGCACCGCGTAACCACCCGGAACCCGCAAGCCACCTCCCTAACGCAAGCTGCCAATGCACCTTCTACTTCCATAACCCGCTAACACAAGCTGCTCCTGCAATCTCCCCTTCCATAACCCGCTAGGTCGTGCAGGAGGCCTTGGACACCGCGGTATCGGAGGCAGGTGACAGCGGTCGGCTGGGAACCCGGCCGCTAGACTACCTGTTGCGTATCCGGGACGACATGCGGGAGCAGCCGCTCGTTGTGTGGCCGTAGCGGGCGTGATAAGGAGGGCACACACGACGTTAGCAAGGAACTGAACCGATGGGGTCGCCTGGGGCCAATGCAGGCATCAATTATGATTGGGGATGGCGGATACATACAGTGTACAGGCATCGCAGGTGGTTGTGAGTTATCATTGGAAAGCGGTGTGGTGTTCAGGGGCTGTGGACAGATGTTGACAGACATATGCGTGTGCGGGTGCAGTGCTAGCCTGCGCATGTGCCCGAGTTGCGGGATGGCGACTAAACAGATCAGGCAGGCACTCAGTGGACACTGAAGGGGCACGTTGACAGGCTGCAGGGAGAATGAAAAAGGCTGTTACATTGAGGTCACAGCTGCTGCCTGTAATTTACATAGAGCTTCACTCATGTGGCTCAACGCGATGAATCCCAACGTCATCACAAGGAGGGTTTATGCAACACCCGAAACAGGCCATGGACTCATCGCAGAGCCCGCAGAGCCTTGGCATGCAACAACAACACGCCGCAGACGCCGTAGATGCCCTTCTAGGCACAAAGCCCTAACGGTTAGCACCCACATGTCGACACGTGCATGAAATACTGGTAGAATATTAGTTCACAACGCTCAAAAGTATGGGCAAAGGGAGAAAAGCAAACAGGATCAATCACAGTGTGTTAGACGAGCGGCACACACCATATTAGCGCCATAATAGCTCTAGCGTTCTTTATCAATCCCTAGTCAACATGGACACCAAAAGCAATGAATGACCTGCCCGCCAATCCGCAGGACAGGAGAGGCCCCTAAGTTGAAAACACGTGCTAGAATTCACAAAGCTATCATTAGTAAGAATCACAAAGAAGAATAGGAAAGAACGACACTCTAAAGGAAAGAATCAGCACACTACTACGCATGCGACCCCCCACGGCGGGAGCGTAAACAACAAGCTGAGCAAAACACACACGCACAGGTCCCTAATCGCTCGCTCACCCGCCCTCATATCATACTCCATACAATTAAGCAGTCTTAGTGCACAACCCCTCCGCCCTCCCCATAACCACCTCCAGACCTCAGGACACCTTGTCTGCGCCCGTTACTGCTGCCCCTGCTGGCCGCCACTCGGAGCAACCCCTCCCACCGGGACCGCGGAGCCCCCGCCCCGCAGGTGACACTTGACCCGCTCCAGCACCCCCACCGGCCGGGGACTGCAATACTCCGAGGGAGGCAGCGCCGAAGCCACCGGCGTAGCTGGCGGCATGCCGTACGAATCCATCCCCTTACCACCCAGGCCACCTGCATGCCGCTGCGGACTGCTGAAGGAACCCTCACGCGCGCTGATGTTGGCCCCACAGCTAGCAGCACCTGTGCCGGAGACAACACCTGGCTTGTTCACATTGACCGAGGCAACCGCGCCCCAGTTGCGAGTGAGGTCTTGCAGCGCGGCTGAAGTAGGTAGACCGCCCTGGCCCCAGTCCTTGCGCGGTGTCGTGCTCATGGAGGGCTGCCGGCGGGGTGGGCTGGCGGGATGGCTTGTGTTGCGGAGAGGGGACGAGGCGTACGTGTTGGAAGAGGCAGACACGGCGGCGGCCGCCGCTGCGATCAGCTGGACCGGGCTCTCGGAGCGAGGCCTAGGCGGCTTGCTGCCGGCGGAGGACGTGTAGGCGCCCGAGGGAACAGCAGCGGATGAGGAGGAGGCTTCAGCAGCGGACGTGAAGCTACCCGCGCAGCCTCCAGCTGTGGAGATGGAGGTCAGCGGGCGCATGAAGGACGACAACACGCTGGTGCCGCCACTGCCGCTCGCCCCTGACCCTGCCATGCCTCCCGTGCTTGCAACGCCGCCAATGCGCGGCATCCTGGAGGGGCTCAGCGACCCGCTGTTGCCGCTGCCGCTGTTAGCCGAGGAGCCCATGCAGGGGCCCGCGGACGGTGCAGCCCTCTGCGGGGACACCCTGCTAGAGGGGCTGGGCAGCTCCCCAGCAGCTGGGGGTGCTCCGCCGCTGGCGCAGCAGCGATCACGGGTCGGGGACGCGGGCGGCGTCCTCCAACCCATAGTCGACAGTGCGCCAGCACCAGCAGCGGTACTTGCGCCCGGCGGGCTCGATAGGATGCTGCCGGCAGACGGGGCTCGTACGGCGGCCGCTGAGGGCACCCGTCGCTCGGAGCCGGCGGCGGCAGCGCTGGTGTTGCCGTTGATGGAGGCCGACTTGAACTGGTCCAGCAGGCTCCGGAGCGCCGCGGTGTTGCCGCCCTGCTGGGTGGAGGCGCGAGACCGAGTGGTGGTCGAGGATGGCGAGGGTGCGCGTTGCTGAGGTGGAACGCTGGCGGGTGCTGCTACGGAGACGGCGGCGGTAGTGTTTGGGGCTGTGGCAGCCGAGGCGCTGCCTCCTGGAGGCGGCGTCATGGATCCCGGATGGTGCTGCTGCTGTTGCTGTTGTTGCTGTGATTGGACACGTAGGGCAAGGTTGGTTGCAGCGGTTAGCAGGGCCTGCACGGCCGGACTGGGGCTGGGTGAGCTGGCACAAGCCTGTGTGGTGGTGCAAGCGCTGGCGGCGCTAATGGTGCTGCTGCCGCCAGTGCTGACCCCGCTGGTGTAACTTCCCCCGCCCATGCTGCTGCCACTCGCAACGCTGCTGCCGCCACAGCTAATACCGCAATCACTAGCTGCGACCGAGCTGCCGCCAACGCTAACCGGCATCGTCTTCTGCGACGCTGACGCCGTGCTGTACACCACCGGGCCCATGCTCGCAACCTCCGCCACCGCAGGCCGCCCTGAATCCCTCCGCATGGGCGCAGCTGCCGCGGGCGCCCGGGTGCATGCAGCTGCAGCCGCCGCCTCCCTCTCCGCCCGCTCCAAGTTGCTCCGGATCCAGGGATGATCCAGCAGCTCCGTGGCGTCAGGCCGCCGCCGGGGATCCTTAGTCAGCGCCTCCGTCACAAAATGCGCCCAGTTTGCCGTACCAGGCGGGTCGAACGCAATGTTGTTCGAGTGGATAATGAGGTTGGCCGTCTGCTTCTCGTCCTCCACCTCAAAGGGCGGCCGCCCGCACACCAGCTCGTATGCCAGGCAGCCCACCGCCCACACGTCCACCGCGGCGGTGTACGGGCGGATGCCCTTGCTGGCCAGCACGGTGGGGGTGACAGCGGAGGACTCCTGGGTGTGGGTGGCTGGGTTCATCAGCACCTCTGCATGGGCCCAAGGGAGGCGTGAAAAGGGCGGGGGCGGGGCGTACATGTTACATGCTCAGCGTAATGGAAAGGAAGCCACGCCTTTGCGCTTTCGCCGTGCAGTTCCACTCCTTGCTTACAGCGCAACGCTGCAAACCATGCCACCAACCAGCTCTCATTCACGTCACGCCACCTCGCAGCCTAGCAGGCCCCTTCTCCCTACACACCTGGCGCCATGTAGTCCAGGGTTCCGGAGCGGCTAAAGGGCAGCTCCCGGGTCCACTCGATTGCCAGCCCAAAGTCCCCCAGCTTCACCTCGCCCTCCGCGGTGAGGAAAAGGTTCTCCGGCTTGATGTCCCGGTGCATGATGTGCAGCTCGTGCATGCGGGCCAGCACGCGCAGCAGCGGGGCAATCACCTGAGTGAGGACGGCAGGGGAGAGAGAGGGGGGAGGGAAGGAAAGGAGGGCGTGTGCATATCGGATGCCACAAGTGAATCCCGGGACCCGGATGTCGCCAGCGCGAGCAGAGAGGTAAGCAACAACGTTGCACTGTTTGTCCCATGTAAGCCCGAGAACGAGCATCCGCTCCCGCCGTGCGCACCTGCACGCAGACCCAGTGCTCGGGCAGCTTCCCGCCGTGCAGCATCAGCCGCTTGAAGAGGTCCCCGCCTGCGGACCGACAATGGGAAAACAATGCACTCACACCTTGCCTGTTGCCGCATGGGGCGAAAGGCACTGCGCAAAAGAAGCAGCCTAGCAGCTACCCGCCCCCATGTCCGCTTTGCTTCTTTCCCTTCCTCCTTTGCCTCCATGGCCTCACCCTCGCAGCACTCCATGACCAGGTAGACCGCGTTGGCGTCCTCGTACGTGTCCAGCAGCTCCACAATGCCCTTCTTGCCAACCTTGCGGCTCATGGCGCGCATGGCAGCCACCTCCCGCTCCAGCTTGTGGAAGTGCTTCTCCACCATCTTGGCCTTGTGGTAGGTCTTCACAACCTGCGAGGAAGGGGCCGAAAAGGGGCGGACGTTCGAAGGGGGGCGGGGGGGGGGGCGGGCTTGTGTTGGGTGAAAAGGAGGTGGCGAAGCGGGGGTCGCTAATGGCAGGGGGGAAAGGCGGGCTGGTGGGAGTTGGAGGGATTGCAGCAAGGGCGGGAGAAAATGGTGTACACTAGCAGTAGCGTCATGGACACGCTTACCACTGGGTTTCCTCCTGGCATTAAGCATTTGTAGACAGTCGATACGCTGCGAGGGAACGGTTGGGCAAAGGGTTTAGGAAAGGGAGAGAACGAAGGCATTTGGCATGGGTCCGGATGGGAAGCAAGTTGGGTTTCGGCCCACGTGACAACAGCGGCGCGCCGATTCAAGGTCCCACATACCTGCCCTTGTATAGCTCAATCTTCTTCAAAAACGTGTACTTGCCACCTAGGCAAGTGCTGCTAGAGCGCGACACGGGCTGTGTATCCGACAAGGAACGCAGCGATGCGCCAACAGGTTCGCATGTATTTGTTGGTTGCGCCATGCTCCTGCGAATGTCAAAACCCACAACAACACCAGTGGCTAGGAGGCTATGTCGTCGACGTTTATCACAAGTGCTCTGCTCTGGGACCGATAGACTAAATGCCGAAGTGGATGGCAGCAGCGGTCATGGGAAGCAGAAGAAAAGCACAAGCTCACCCTGACCGCTGCATCGGCTAGGTTATCCTTAATGACTTCAATTGTTGACGAGCTGACAGGCCTGTCCTTGCAACAGACGACTGACGGGACAGGCGAAAACCTTGAGACCCTGCCCAGTAACCTAATATATATTAACTTAGCAACTAAACCTATTTGTTGAACAAACTCTTTGTTGAATGGATCACAACCTCTGTGCTATCTGTGCAGCCTATCTGTAATACTGGGTAAATGCTATGCGGATGCTTTCGCTCTTAAGGCACCTTCCATACCCAGATGTCACAGGTGTTTACACTATCTAGTTATGGCGAAAACGATGGAAAAACAGTGTCCAAAAGGCCAAGCTACAGGTGGCGCCGTACGCGACCGAAGTCGATGAACACGTCGTAAGAACAGCTGCAACTCCTAAAAGGTAATCTCTCAGCGTGAAGCGTGCCTTAGAACCACAGTACAGAGGTCGCACCCTGCCATTTTTCCTGCGACCCAATGCCAATCCTATCAGGCCACGCCAACGCAGTAAGCACATCTGCGGCGCTAGCTTCAACATTTGCACTGGGCAACATATAGTCTGCTATGTTGCGGTCCACATCCACCTAAACCAACATTTATGCACCACTCCATGTGCGCTTGCGAGGAACAACGCCTTCGCAAGCCTCCAACGCTGTGCCCAACAGCTGATGAGCTCAAGCGGAGGGCTCCGCCTGCACCGCCTCCTGGCTTGACGGCTGCGGTGCGGCAGGCGACGGGGCCTGCTGCTGGGGCTGGGTACCCAGCAGGGATATCGTCTTGATGATCACCGCCTTCTCCTCCTTGAACTGCTCGTCCTCCTCTGCAACGAGTGAGGCAAGGGGCATCCACAAACCTATAAGACAACAGTGCACTTCAACAGCCAAGCCTGCTTTTATCACCCCAGTTACATCAGACTCCTTTGATCGACAGCCATGATGCACGCATGCACCCCATGGTGCAGCCGTGTCACACGGTTACGTATAGGGGCCTCTCTTCCCCTTCTCCCCCCCCCCCATCCTCGCCCCCCTCTTCGCACCCTTCTCCGTGTGGAAGTCCTCCAGGTACTTGAGCAGCTTCTCGCGGTTGTTGGCCAGGATGTCCACGATGGGCTGCGGCTTGTTGGGGTTGGCCACAAACACCTGGAGCGGGGGTGTAGGGGGGTGGTACAGGTGGGGGTTGATTCTAGGGCCCCAAGGCGGCGTAAGGTGCAAACTTCGGCACCCAGAGGGTTTGGGCTTGCTCGTCAGCACCCCAACCCCTCCCTATTCTGTGCCCTTTGTCTTCCCCTCCATCCCCACAACCGCTCTCTTCTCCTCCTCCTCCGCAAACCCACCTTGAAGACGTGGAAGGCCTCAAACTGGATGCTGCGGCTCTGGTCCTTGAGCAGCATCATCATGGTCATCAGGTGCTGCACGTCCGACACGAACTTGAGCATCACCTTGACGTTGCTGCGGTCCAGAAGCAGCTCGCCCAGCAGCTGGGGGCAGCGAGGGGTGGGTGGGTAGGGGGAGGTCTCTTAGAGAGGGAAAGGGGTAAAGGGGGGAGGCAAGCTGCTCGCCTCTGCTAACCAACCAAGCGGGCATGGCCCGCAACCACCAAGCCCTGGGGTCCCCGGGACCACCGCCCCAACGCCCGGTAACCCATACTTGCCGTTGCCCGACCCGTACCTGTCTCCTCGCTGTAACTGGGTTAGTGTCCATCCTCACCCCCAACCCCTCCTCGCCCCGGCAAGTGCCCTTACGGCCCCACGCCCTCCCCCCCCGCTGCCCTCACCTTGAGGGACTGGCGGCGCACCACGTAGTTGGAGGACTTGAGCAGCATGCTGTACGCCGCGAAGAACTGACAGGAGGGGAGGAAGGGAGGGGAGAAGGAGATGAGGGGTTGGGAGGAGGGAGGGAGCGCAGGGATGGGGCGAAGGGGGCTTAGGGCAGCCACAAGCCACCGAAAGGGCTCGCAACCAGCATCACCCTCGTGCGGGAGGCGGCTCTGCTGACGCAGGGGCCGCTGGCAGGTGCGGTAGCCAGACAGGGCTATGAGCACAGCCCCGTCACAGCGCGCCAATGGCACACCCCGCGGGTCTCATCTGCAGTCTGTGCGCCCATAGGAACGCGCCCGGACTCCGCGGGCCTCCGTCGTGTCCGCATCGCACACGCCTCCTCACGTGGGCTCCGCTACACCGCCCTCCGTTCACCACTGCTGCTGCTGCTGCAGGGATCGCCTTGGCGGTCGCCTGCTCTTGCCCGCATCCCACGCGGCCCTCAAAAACCCTTCGTCCGCACCGCGCGGGACCCCCCATTGCGCCTTCGCTTCCCTCCCCAACCTAATTCCCACCGCGGTCCCCCCTACCCCTCGCACCTCCTGGTAGTGCTCCTGCAGGTACTGCGCCACCACCTGCTTGTGCCGCGTTAGCAGGTCCTGCAGGGGGGAGGGGGAGGGGGAGGGGGAGGGAGGCCAGGGGAGCGGGAGGGAGGATGAGAGTGGCATGGAGCAAGCGTGGGAAGGGGGGTAGGAGGAAGCAGCGGGGAAGGGGGATGCATGATGAGGCACGGAGCAGGGGCTTCTAGCGGACTGGCGGCTATGGTCAAGTCGTGACAGGTGCAGACAAGATCCCCCCCCTTCACAGCCCAACACACGCAGAGCCCCCCCACCCCACGCGTCCAGCCCTTCCCCCCTCCTTGCCTTGAAGGTGCTGAAGGCGTCCGAGGCGATTTCAAAGTTGGCCACCACGACCTTCTCGAAGAACCGCAGGAACACCGGCCCCTCCATCACCTTCCTGCGGGGCGGGGGCGTGGACGGGGGGTGGGGGGGAACACACAGCAGCAGTACGACAGCTGAATGTACGGGTCAGGTGTGGGGCGTGTGGGTATGCACGGGTATGCAGGGACTAGGCGGTCACCACGGCTAACCACGTCACTCGTTGCCAGCGAGCGCGGCTTGGTCTTAGTTGGGGTGGGGGAAGATGGGGAAAGAGGTGCAGAAGCGAGACTACACATCCCAGCCACGCGGCCCTTGTACACACCCCATGTGCGTCCATGAGCGGCCACCAGGATTGGTCAACGAGGGCATGTGGGTTGCGGCGAGCCCCCCTGAGTACCCCAGTTGGCGCCGCCCTCCTCGCACCATAGACCCGGGCCGCACCCACTGCAAGGATAGCTTACCTCGCGACTTGGTCATCCCGCAAGCAGTCCCGCAGCATCGCGCCGCAGTTCAGGGCAATTGCCGGCTCATCGTACCTGCGCGATGGAGCGCGGGGGCTCAAAATCGCGCAGAGCTGGCGGCTTTCGCCGCACCCGATCGTCGGCGGACCCACCCCTCAAACAGGAGCCGCGTGATGTCTACGTGGTTTAGCACGTAGGCTGCTCCTGGGCCCCTTTCTTCATTTTCTTTGATGCGGACCAGCGCGCCGAACACCTGGGCGGCGTCCTTGCGGGATTCGAACTCCAGGTCACCCAGGTGCTTGACGATCAGCGTGAGCAGCTCCGAGCGGCTCGCCTCTACGGCTAAACCCATTGCAGTCTCTTTAGTAGCATCATGCTCGTCGTCGCCGAAAAGTAAGAGCTTAGCAAAGCCGAGGTACTTCGCCACGGACTCCAGCGATTTCTCCAGCGCCCTTTCGTCCCGCCGAGAAGATGGTATTGAATCAAACGCTGCTACAAGCTTTTGTACTACCTCGCATGGTGTCTTCGGCTTCTCCTTCAAGAGCTTATCCAGGAAAGGCATGTTCTGTGTGTTAAACTCTAGGGCCGCTCAGGGCTAAAGCGTGCCGCTAGAGCGGCCGACCACTTATGCAGCGGCAACCATACCCAAAGCAAGTTCTTTAAATGTTGCAGCTCCCGAGCCGAACAGGTAGTCTGTCCTGCTAAAAGGCACCTAGACTAAGATTGAAGTCTTTCTGATGTATTGCAAGCCATAGATCTGCGTAGCCCCTTCCTACCTACCTGCCCAGCAGAAGACAGCAGTGACGGAAGTCATCGTACGGCTCGTACCTGTCATGCGGAAACCCATCTTCGTTGCAAACAATAAATCCCTTTGCGCATTACACATACTTCTTCTGGTATACGCATATCAGCACTTACTCTAGTAAATCCTACTGGAGCAAGCTCAAATGCACGTGCGTAGGGCGCCGGCGCCTTCGGCCGAACCTACCGCAGCGCTGCAACCCGCCATCATTCCCTTCAGCCTTCACGCCTTTCCACCACCATCCTCAACACCACAAACCCACCTGACCCTTTCCACCTATTCCTATGCCCCAAACCTATTCCTAACTCCCCTACCCACTCCAATTTGTTTCCCTCCTCCGCAACACCTCGGTAGTCCCTATACCGGTATCACTCGCCCCTCCTACACCAGCCCGCACAGCGCCAGCACCCGCCTCACCCGCTCCTTCATCTCCACCTCCCCGCTCGCACACGTCTGAGCCAGCACCGCCGCCGCCTCCTCCCGCCGCACCCCACAGCGCCCCTCAGCCACCAGCACCCACTGCGCTATCACCTCCGGAACCACACTTCGCACCAACCCACCCAGCAGCCCCACCCCCGCCGGCATCGCCCCACCCTTACCAACCCCCCCTGCCGCACCATCCCCCATGTCCTCCCCACCCGCTGCCCCTGCCCCTGCCCCGGCTGCCCTTCCCCCCGCGCTGCTCCATGCGCCCGCCAGCACCGGCCATGCCTCCCTCCGCAGCAGCCAGGTGGCCAGCAGCTGCAGCGCCACGTCACCCGCAAGGGAGGAGCAGCCGCGAGCCAGGCAGGCGGCGGCCAGGGCGGAGGGGGAGGAGCAGGAGGGTGCGGGTGAAGGTGTTTGTGTGGTTTCGGGGGCGGGCAGCAGGGATCGCTCCAGGTCTCCCTCCACCAAGGAGCGTTGTACGGCAGCAAGGAAGGCGGGATCCAGGGAGGGCGAGGAGGAGGAGGGAGAAGGTGGTGGTCCGAGGTACTGTACGGCGCTTCCGAGGCACCTCGAGAGGGGCGGCAGCAGGTGCAGGGCCTTATCCGCGGTCAGGCCGTTCCACAACTGCCAGGGCGGTGATGGTGAGGGAGGTGTGGGAGGCGGGAGGCGGACGGTACCGGTTAGGTCACCAGGAGGGCATCCAGATGGGGAAGAACATGGCGCAGGGAAGTAACTGCTCGAATGGGAAAGAACATGGCGCAGGGAAGTAACTGCTCGAATGGGAAAGAACATGGCACAGGGAGGTACGCGCAAGTAGTGGGCCGGGCTGCACAGGTACATCAGCGCGCCTCGCTGCGCAGTACATCCTCCCACTCGTCAGACCAGTAAGCACACAAGGTCTTCAGCACAGGTGGGATGCAGGCAGGCAGGCACCTGCGGTCCCCCCCCAGTGGTTCTCTATGGTTCGGTATGGTCTTTGGCCCCCCCCCCCCCCCGCTCCACCTGCAGCCTGGTGACCGCCCCCGCGCCTCCCGCCAGCCCCAGCCCCAGGTGCGCCCCCAGCAGCGGGTCGCCGAAGCAGGCGCTGCTGAGCGCCGCCGCCAGCCGCTCGGCCAGCCAGGGGGGCAGCCAGGGGGGGCCGGGGGGGCCGGGGGGCTGGGCCTGCATGGGAGGGGGAGAGGGAGGGGTTGGATGGGGACGGGATGGGGAAGGAGTGTGTGTGGGGCGCGGCTAGAGAGGGCGCTAAGGGTGGAGATAGGGCCGCAAGGGGACGGCGAGGCGAGGTCACATACCCCATCCCAGCCCCAGCTCCACCCACCTTTGCTCCGTCCTCGCTGCACAGGTAGCGGTGGCACAGCCCCGCCAGGCCCCACCGCACCAGCGGCTCCCGCCAGCTGCCCTCGGAGGACTCGTCGGGGGGCTGGGATGGGGGAAGAGGGGGCGGGGAGGAGGGAAGGAAGGGTTAAGCACGGAATTCGGAGGTTGGAGCAGCAGGGAGCGGCCAGGTGGTGTAGGGCAGGGCAGGGCAGGGCGCCTTAGGTACTAGGGGAAGAAGACGGTGGGATCGCGTGGAGCCGGGAGGAGAGTGCAACGCGGCCTAGAAAGGGAGGCATATGTCGGTATGTGCCGGGAGGGGGGCCGGGCGCGGACATGCCATGTGACGCCAGCTCACCCTCTGCCGCCCCGTCACTCTCCACCACCCAACCGCCCCACTCTCCCCCACCCACCTGCGGCAGCATCTCCCCCGCCCTGAACAGGTAGGCCGCCTGCAGCGCCGCCTGCAGCTTGGGGCCGGCAGTCAGCCACCGCAGCACACCGCCACCACCACCTGCTCCTCCTGCTCCCCCTGCTCCTCCTCCTGCTCCTCCTGCTCCTCTTCCTGCTCTGCTGCCGCCGCTGCTGGTCTCCAGCCCCAGACACAGCATCAGCGCACACCCCACCGGGTGGTAGGGTTGCGCCTGCTGCACCTGCTGCTGCTGCTGCTGCTGCGTGCCAGCCACTCCCTGCTGCTGCTGTTGTCGTACGGACGAGGTGGAGGAGGCTGATGCGGAGGCGGGCAGCAAGTGCGCCTCCATCAGCTGCCACTGCGAGGGTGCCGGCAGGCGGGAGCCGCGCTGACCCTGCAGCGACACCGCCACCAGCTCCAGCGGGTCCGGCCGGGGCAGCAGCAGCTGCGGCTGAGGAGGCTGAGGAGGCTGAGGAGGCTGAGCAGCGGGGGCATCAGAACCAGCAGTGTACGGCGCTGTTGCTGCAGCAGCAGCAGTGTCGGTGTTGCTGCTGCTGGCATCCTTGGTTCCCGCAGCCAGGCGGCGCTGCGAGATGAGGGAGAGCCAGGAGGCCGCGTACGACTCAAATAGTACCTCCGCCACCGCCTCGGCGTCCGGAGGCGTCGACGGAAGAGGAAACGGCGCGTCGGCCGAAGCAGCGCTGTTGTACGGCATTCCGGCGGCTGCCAGCGCTAGTCGGGGGTTGCGGCGAGGCAGCTCCGCCGCTGCGGCATGTGCTGCATGCAGGGGCGCGCGGAGCAGCTCCCCTCGGAGGGCGAGTCGGAGCGCCTGAAGACAGAGGCCCTCGGCTCCAGGAGGGGCGGTGGAGAGCACGGAGAGGCACCCCTCAAGCAGCCGTGACTGCAGCCGCTGCCGCTGCTGCTGCTGCTTTTCCTCCTCCTCCTCCTCCTCCTCCTCCTCCGGTTGCTTGCTTGACGGGGAGCCTTTCTCCGCACCTTGCGGCAGCTCCGAAGCCTTCGCCTTCGCCGCCGCGGTAGCGGTGGTAGCAGCGGTGGCGGCGGCCTGGCAGCCGTTGTCGCCTCCGTCGCCGTGGGTGGTGGTGGTGACATAATACGACGGCGGCAGCAGGCATCCCGCCAGCAGCATCAGTCGGGTGATGTGGAGCTGCTGCTGCAGGGCGGCCACATGCCAGGGACACAGCACACGGCCTACAGCGGCGGGGATGGCGACGGCGGCCTGGCAGCTCAGCGGCGAGGCGGCTGTCAGTACGGCAGCCGCCAGGGGCGCGGCGGCGGCGGCGGCGGCGCCGGCGGCGGCGGTGGCGGAGGCGGAGGAGGAGGTGGGGTTGCTGTTGTCGCGGTGTACGGCAGCGGCGAGTTGGAGGGTGCCGTACAGCAGGGCGGCGGCAGTCACCTGGCGGAGGGTGTTGAGGGCGGAGGGTGTTGAGGGCGGAGGGCGTTGAGGGCGGAGGGCGTTGCGCGGAACCGTGGTGGGGTCATGAAGTGAGATGGGCGGGGCATGTTGTGATGTGCGTGGGGGCAGCGGCTGGTTAGCTTGCAGTCCAAACCCTTAGGTCAACATGGGATAGCTGGAGCACTATTAGCCTGGAGAACCTGGAGATGACAGTTGCAAAGCACATGCAAACCAAAGACGGCGTCGCCCCAAGTCATCAGGCCCGTCGCACGCACCACTCACCTGCAAGCAGTCGCGCGCCAGGGCCTCCACCGGCAACCGCCCGCCTGCCGCCTCCTGACGACCCTGCCCGCCGCCGCCGCCAGCTTGCCTCCCCGCCGCCGCCTTCGCTGTTGCCTTCCTGACCCCGCCAGCCTCCGCCAGCGCCGCCAGCGCCCAGCAGCTCAACGCACACCCCACATCGGATGACAACGACGGCGACGGCGGCGACGACACGTCATTGCCGCCGCCGCCTCCGCTGCCGTCAGCCGCCGCCTCCGCCGGCACCCGCAGCAGCGCTACCGCCAGGGCGTCAGCAGCCGACATGGCGACATCAGGCGGCTGTTGCGTCCCCTCCCGCTTCAGAGCTCCCCCCGACAGCAACCCTGACGCCGCCAGTGCTCGCCGTACATCCACAAACACCGGCTGTGTCGCCTCCACCGTGGACCAATAGGCCGACAGGAAGGACAGCACCGCCGCCAGGCATGCAACATGCGCCGCCGCCGGCGGCAGCAGCACCGCCGGATGGGCGCCGTACAACGCACGGAGCAACCCGCCGGTGGCCTCCGCCGGCGCCGCCGTCAGCAGCGGCACCGTCTGGTTGCTCCGCGCAACGACGGCGGCGGCGACGCTGCGTACGGCAGCCGGCGTGAGCCACGTCAGCGCCTCCGCCGCAATCACCGCCGCCGCGCCGGGGCTTACCATGCTGCGTCCGATGGTGACGTCACCGCCGGCAACCGCCAGCGAGTGTCGTACAAGCGTCGCTAGCAGCAGATACACCTCCGCTGACGTCAGCTGTCGCACAACTGCCGATGTCGTCGTCGTCGCCCGTTCGCCGCCTTGAACCGGTGCCGACGGCGACGGCGGCAGCAGCAGGTGGCAGAGATTGCCGTACATATCGTCCATTGAGAGCAGTGCAATACCGTGGTGGGCACACACCCGCCAGGTACGGAGGGCCTCCAGCCGCAGGAGCGCCAGCGGCAGGGACGGCTCAGCGGTGGCGGCGGAGGAGGTAGTGGTGGTGGTGCCGGAGGCGGCGGCGGTGGTGGTGGTGATGAGGGGGGTGGCGAGCAGGATGTAGGCTTGCATATGGGCTAGCAGGCCTGGTGGGGAAGGACCGTGAGGGAGGAGGGGACCGGAAGCGCGTTAGGGCGATGTCAAGGCACTCGGAACGCAGCAGAGCGCACAGGGATGGTCCCGACCGACCCCTCCCTTCCCTCTCCCTAAAGTCTTCCCCCTCCACTCCCTGCCCCCGCCCGCTTCCCTTTCCCTCCCCCCCCCCCCTCCTCCCCCCGCCCCCACCTGCCGCCCGCACCAGCTGAGCCACCACGGATGACGCCCCGCACAGCAGCCGCACAAGCCGCACCCCGCACACCTGCACCGCCACCGCAACACCCCCACCCCATGACGCAATCGCATTCCCCGCCCCTGCCGCCGCTCCATCACCCCCCGCAACACAATCATCGCCCCCTGCCGCCGCCGTCGCCACCGCTGCCGCCGGGTCCAGCAGCGCCCCCAGCGCCGCCAGCAGCCCCGGCTCCCGCGCCACCGCCAGCGCCGCCTCCGAGCCGCTCCGCGCCACCCCGCACAACACCGCCAGCAGCGGCAGCAGCGCTCCGGGTGCATGGCGGGCCGTCAGCAGGTACCTGGCGCGCTGCAGCAGCCCCATCTGCAGCGCCCCCGCGAGGGGATCCACCAGGGCCACGTCCTCCGGCGCGTCGGGCGCGTCAGCAGCCGCAGCGGCGGCGGCGGCAGCGGCGGAGGAAGGGGGCGGGGGTTGTTGGGGCGGTTGGGCCTCCCATGTGGCTGCGGTGGCGGGGCGGGTGAGGTAGCCGGTGGGGGGTGCGGGCCAGCCGGTGGCGGGGCAGCAGTCGGCCAGCTCCGTGGAGAGCAGCTCGGACTCGGAGGGGGCAAGCTGGGGGGCAGGGCGGGGCGGGGCGGGGAGGTAGAAGGTGGAAGATGAGTGGGGAGAGGAAGGAGAAGGGACCAAGATGAGGACAAACGGGATGAACGGGGCTCTTGACAGACAATACAACCCAGCGCCCTTGTTAGGAGGAAGCGGTGCGGTGCCTAATGACATCCATGCAGCGCTGCGGCGCTAACGATACTGCTGCTACTGCTCCCCGCTCCCCGCCCCTCACCACTGCCGCCAGCGCTGCCGCCGCCGCCGCCAGCACCGCGGGTCGGTCGTCATCCAGCGCCAGCCGCAGGTGCGCCGCCAGCCCCAGCTGGCTCACGAAGAACTGCCACACCTGCTGCCAGGACACGCTGCAGGCGGGGGCCCTGGACGCCGGGGGGGAAAAGGAAGGGAGCGGAGCGATATCTGTCAGACTTTCGAGTCACTGCCCTAAGCTGCTTGGAGGTTTGTGAGTCATGGACCTGGATACTCAGGTGCCCGCGGCCTCGTGAACGCCTGTGCAGAACCGGCCCTGTACCATCGCTACTACCGGTAGGGCATCCCGCCTCTCATACTCGCTCTTCTGCAACCCATACCACGCAACCGCACTGATAGCGCTGTACCCTCCCTTCTCCCCATCAATCCCTCCCGCTTCCTCCCAATAACATCTCCTCACCTGACCCGCAGGTGCTCCGGTATTTCCACAAACCTCCGAACCATCTGCCCCGCCCCCCACTCCACCCCCTCCTCCTTCCCCTTCCCCTCCTCCGTCCCCTCCTCCTCCGCTGTCCCCGCCACCGCCCCCGCATGCAGCCTGGCGATGTCCTGCGCCCTCGGTCGCGCCACCGCCGCCAGGTGCGCAATGGCCCCCAGCCCCGCCAGCCGGTGCGGCAGCAGCGCGGAGCGGCACAGCAGCAGCAGCTCGCCCAGGGTGTAGCCGGGGGGGGCGGCGCCCTCATCGCGCCGGAGCTGATCGCGGAGCAGGACCTGAGGGGGGGTGAGGGTGAGGGTGAGGGTGAGGGTGAAGACACTAAGAGGGCGGGGCGTGGTGGCAAGTGAGTACAAAGAACGGCATACGGCAGCGACTACGGAGCCAGTTTCGCACCACCAAACCCCCGACTGCCAAGGCAGCACAGGCAGCCCAACAAAGCCCCACAGAAGCAATGCCGGCAGGTCTCCGCTCACCTCCTCCTCCACAAACGTCTCCTCCGGCCCCTGCACGTCCACCACCGAGCCGTCCAGGTCAAACCGCAGCCGCGCCACCAGCCGCGGGTCAGCGGGTGACCCACGGGTCGCACCACCACCACCACCACCAGCGCTGCTCCCTTTCTGCTCCGCCGCAGCCCCAGCTGTACCTCCGCTGCCACCTCCCCTTTCTCCTCCCACTCCCTGCACCCCTGATCCTTGCTGCTGCTGGTGCTGCTGTGCTCGCTGCTGCTGCTGCTGTGCTGCCGCGAGGGCACCAATGGGCAGTGCGCCCACCGCACTGCCGGGCGCCGCCACGGACGCCAGCAAGCCCCCTCCTCCTCTTCCTCTTCCTCCTGCTGCTGCACCCGCACCCGCACCCGCAGCACCCGGTGCGGTAGTGAGTGCCCGCAGCGCCGAGTCAATCAATGCATTGCCAGCCTCCTGAGAGGAGCAGCTGGCGGGCTCGACACCGGCCACTGCTAGCGCTGCCGCACGACGGCTACCCGCCAGCGGCCCCCCACCTCCCCCACCTGCAGCATGCTGCTCGGCAGCATACCGCTGCTGCTGCTGCTGCTGCGGTGCCACCGACTGAGTCGCTCCCGCCGCGCCGAGTCGCGCCGCGCCCCGTCGCCGCAGGAACTCCAGAGTCTGCGGGCTGAGTCGCGAGGAGAGCTCCTGCAGGGCCTCCGCCACCTGCTGCGGCGCCATGCGGGACACCGCGGCCAGGTTGTGCGAGCTGATGTCGCCCGACTGCGGGTCGCCGGAGGAGCCGCCAGCAGCAGCAGCTGCTGCGACTGTGGTGCCGCCGCCGCCGCCGCTACCGGCAATGGTGGCGGTGGTGGGTCCTGGAGCGCCGTTGTTGCTGGGGGTGCTAGCTGCTGTGGCGGAGTGGGGGCCGCCGGCGGGTGTGGGTGCGGAGGGCAGTACGGACCAGTTGCTGAGGGAGCTGGGGCGCACGGGGCCGGAGGAGGCGGGGGGGAGCAGGGGGGCGGGGGCGGTGCCGGCCGGCTGCTGCTTCGCCTTGCGGCTTAGGGCGAACTGGGGGGGAGGGAGGGGAGCCGTGGCAGGGCGGGAGGCGTGTTGGAGGTGTAAGAGCGCCCCAGAACGATGCCAGTCGCCCCTTCCCAACGCCCATTCCCTGCATTCCAACAGCACGTCAGGGCCAACCTGCGCTAGTCAGACCCCCGCACACCAGACCCTGAAGAAGAGGAGCCCAGGAGCTGCCCCCAGCCCCCCCCCGGGACCTACCTTGGACTGGCGGCGGTGTGTCGCCTCAGGGAAGGGAACCGCCGGGGCTGCCCCTGCAGCCGCCCCTGCAGCCGCCCCTGCAGCCGCCCCTGCTGCTGCACCTGCCCCCGCCCCTGCCCCTGCTGCCAGCAGTGCGGTCACGTCCGGCGCCAGCGCGGGTCGCTCCACGATGTTCCCCAGCAGGCCCTCGATGGGCGCTGCCAGGTGGGTGGGTGTGTGGGTGGGTGCAGGGGGCCACCGGACAGCAGGCAGGCAAGAGAAGTGAAGCGAAAGGACAGATCGCGGTACAGGCAGCGCGGCCATGACACCAGAGTGCAGACACCTAGCATTCCAGCTCCCCTCATGCCACCACCCCGTCGCCACCACCACCCCCAACCAGCGACCCGACTCACGCAGTATGCTCTTGGGCTGCTCCTCCTGCCCCTGCTGCTCCTGCTGCGTCCCCTGCTGCGTTCCCTGCCCCTGCTGCCCCCGGCCTTCCTCCACTCCCCCACCCGCCGCCCCCCCAGGTCCGGCCGGCCGACGAGCCGACGGCACAGCCGGCCCCAACCCGGCCTCGGCCCCACGGGGGGCAGCGGGTGCAGCACCGCTGCCCTCGTCTGCGGCAGCAGCAGCAGCAGCAGCGGCAGCGGCTGCCCCTCCAGGGCGGCCGATGCGAGTGACCCGAGCTGCGGGGATGCTGCTGTGCCGCTGGAACTCCTCCTGCGGACAGCGGGAGGGACAGCGGTAGGGACAGGGTTCCCTTGAAAGTTGAAATTGAATGTAATAAGCAACCCGACGTGTCCGGCCTCGCCAGCACCCACGCACCTGCATGCGCATCAGCTGCTCCTCCGTCTCGCCGCGCAGGTCGGGTCGGCGCATGCCGCCCTCGGGGTGGGGGCCCGGGGCGCCCCCTCCGCCGCCACTGTAACCGCTGCCGCTAGGCACACCGCGGGCTCCGGCCCCACCCTGGCCCCGGAGTACGGCAGCTGGTAGCAGAGGAAAAGAGGGGCGTAGCGGGGAGCGGGGTGTTAGGTTTGGATAACAGCGCTTGAGCCATTGGCACTATGATACCGGACCAGACGGGATGTGGTGTGCGCCTCACCTGGGGCTGAAGCAACCACCGCAGGAGCAGTAGCAGCTGCAGCGTTGCTGGGCTGGCCATGGTTGCCGCACGGCTGCTGGCTGGGAGTTGACCCGGTCATCGCAGCGTTTCCGGCTGGGCCATGTGTGCTTGCGGGGGCTGCGGCTGGGCCGCCAACGCGTGAGACGCGAGTTACGCCGGCAGCTGGACGGCGTAGCTGCGCAAGGAAAGCTTCCTGCGGGTTCAATAACCCATGAGGGGGCGAAAACGTCGCTGCGGGCGTACGCATAAGCCGTATTGGGGTGTCGATGGCCTACCTGCTGCGCTAGCAAGTCATCCTCCGACCCTACGGCAAGCTCCCGGCTTCGGGGATTGCCCCCAAATTCATCTGCTGAACCTTCCATCGGATCTGGCAGGTTTGCACGTAAGTGCTTATTGTTGCGCGTGGATTATGTGCAGTTCCCCGCAATCTTACTCATCGCATACAATCACTGCTAGTGAAGTAAATCGTTCAACACAGTTTGTATTTTGCCATTACGGAAATCCCTATAAGGAGATAATGCCAACGGCTTATTAACGTACGGCGTCAGTTTCAGGCAACGCTTATCCTTAAGCTTCAGCTCAGCGCAATGTATCGCGTCTAACAAAGGTCAGTCTCAGCTATCAAAGGCTACTTTTCTCGACCAGTCAGCGCTGGTACAGAGGCAATCCTCCTACAACGACTATGCGCTCCTTGCAGCGCCCCTTACCCAGCGCGCGAGGCGCTGTTTGCCCACGAAGACCTGTCCATAGGATGGTATCATGCAGCGCTGCTGCTCGGCCAAGTGAGTGCAAGCGTACGGGCTCGTTGGTAGTAGCAATGGCCCCGGTCGCTTACACAGCCGACGGATGCGCGCAGTCGCTAGAGCCACCGACCAGCAAAAGCTGGAACTTTTAAAAAGAGTGGAATGCTTCATTTTCGATTGCGATGGTAAGACCTGCTGGGATATTGCGCCATGGGCGACACATGCCGACTAGATGTCGTTGCCCGTTCTCCGGCAGGTGTCATATGGCTGGGCGACAAAGTGATTGATGGAGTGCCGGAAACACTGGACATGCTGAGAGGCATGGTGAGCTGACCTCGGCTGCTGGGCTCTGAGGTGGTTAGATGGATGGGGTCACCGGTATCAAGTTGGGCGCGGTGCAGGGCATGGAAAACCCTGCAGGCGCTCTTGGTACCCACGGATGTCCTACCTTGCGGGTGTCCTCATCCAGCCATTTCTAGAATGGGCTCCTTGTTCCCCCTAGGATCCCTGCATAGCACCCCTTGCCGGCGGCTCCTCCCCGGATTTGCCCGCATCCCCGCAGGGCAAGAGGGTGTTCTTCGTGACCAACAACTCCACCAAGTCGCGGGCGGGCTACATGGCCAAGTTCCAATCGCTGGGACTCAACGTGCAAGCGGTAGGCGCGGGCTCAGCAGCCAGCACCCATGGCGGCCCGGAGTGCCACAACCCATGAATGACGCAGCAACTGTACCGGTATCTTACAACATGGTTGTTAACGACTTGAGTTGTGCACCCATCGGGCCCCTCCCATGCGCCACCCTGCCTCTACCCCTCGCCATGCGCTCCCCACCTGCCCACCCACCCGCGCAGGAGGAGATCTACTCCTCCTCATACGCCGCGGCAGCATACCTGGAGTCCATCAACTTTGACAAGAAGGTGGGAACGGGCGGGTCTAGTCCCGGACAGCCGGTGGGGGTGTGACAGTACCTGCCTTCCTGACCGTCGCGTACTTCCCGGGACGCACTTCAAGCGCACACTCAGGAATCGCAATGCATGCTATGTAGTGCCTGTCAAAACGCACGCACGCAGGCGCACGTGGGCCTGCCTGCACCCAACGCATTCCCATGTCCCCCTTCAAGGACTGCTGACTCCTACGTCATCCTGTTCCGCACGCCCCATCATGCCGCATCAAGCCGCCTTCCCTCCCTGTCTTGCTCCTCTTCCCCCCCTTCGACCCCCCTCTTCTCACAGGTGTATGTGGTGGGCGAGGCGGGTATCCTGGAGGAGCTGCAGCTCAAGGGCATTCACCACCTGGGCGGCCCCGCGGATGCGGACAAGCGTGTGACACTGCGCAGCGGGGAGTTCATGGAGCATGACGCGGAGGTGGGCTAGGGACTGGGGACCTAAGAAAACTGGCCGCGACTAGAAGCGTACTGTTACTGCCGGAAGTTGAAGCGCTCCCGCGGCCCGTGCAGGTGGGTGCGGTGGTGGTTGGCTTCGACCGGCACATCAACTACTACAAGATCCAGTACGCCACGCTGTGCATCCGGGAGAACCCCGGCTGCCTCTTCATCGCTACCAACCGGGACGCCGTGACGCACCTCACGGACGCGCAGGAGTGGGCAGGTGGGTGGGTGTGCGGGCGGGGGATAAGCGTGTGGCTAAAGGCGGAAAAAGGGGGCCATGCAGTCATGCATGCATGCAGTAACACACTCCCGGAGCGGGTACAAGAGCCGCCGTTGGGTGCTATACTCGGCGCCTCCCTGCCTCAACCTCGTGATCCGCCTCTCACCGCGTGGTTATCTCGCCTCTGCCAGCATCCATGCGGTGAACAGCCCAGCCGCCTCGCACACCCAACCAACCAGTGTTTCCGCGGCTCAGTCCTTCTGATCCCCTGCTGCCCTGCCACCGTGACCCACCCCCAACCCCCCAGGCAATGGTTCCATGGTGGGCGCTATCGCGGGCTCCACCAAGCGCGAGCCCACCGTGGTTGGCAAGCCCTCGGACTTCATGCTGCGCAACATCTGCGCCCGTCTGGGGCTGCGGCCGCAGCAGATCTGCATGGTGGGAGACCGGCTGGACACGGACATCATGTTCGGCAAGAACGGCGGACTCAACACGGCGCTGGTGCTGTCGGGTGCGGGGGTCAAGGGTATACCAGAGGATGCGATTATCGGTGTGCAATTACAGGGGAGTCAGAACGACTCAAGTGGGAGAAGAGGTAAAGGAGAATAAAGTAAGCGTACGAGATGGCTACAGGGGATGCCCCTCCTGCTCTGCTGTCCCGCTCCCCACCTCCGCACCCCCCCCACCCACCCAGGTGTGACCACGGAGGAGGTCCTCAACTCGCCAGGCAACACTGTGGTGCCAGACCTGGTGCTGCCCAAGCTACCCGACCTGCTCTCAGTCAGGGAGGCAGCTGTGGTGGCGGCGTAGAGCGGGGGCGTAGGAGCTGTCTGGAGGAGAGAGCCGCCGATTAGGAGGTGCTGGACCTGGGCAGCTGGAGGGTCCTGTTGCAACCTGTTGGGGCCTCGGCCTTTCGCATAGCGTGCATGATTGGAGGCTGTATACCACGGAAAGCTATGTTGTAGTAATATGTAATGTAAGAAAGAGTGACGAATGGGGGCTAGACATGCTGTGTAACCCGTTGTGTGGTTGGGGGAGTCCTCCGGTACGCTGGGGAGTGGGAGAGGGCTGTTCGAGTGTATTGAGAGATGTGCTGCATGTGGGCCGTGCACTTGGCGCCCGCAATGTGGACCAATCCTGTTCTCAAACTGAAAGCTGGAATAGGGACAAAGTGCAGTATTGGATTACAATCCAGCACTCTTGCTCGTTCAGGGCCCTCACGCCACCACACACGTCGTGCCGCCAGCTGCAAGTGGTCACGTCCAAGTGCACACGTCCGGCGTTATGCACCCGCACTATAAGTCCCAGCTAACCAGCCAGTATCTGAGGTGCCGTAATACACGGCGCCAGGCGCCCAAGCAGTCGCTTACACGCTGCCACCCAGTTCCGAGCTTCCCAGTCTTGCATCCTCATGAACCATACCTCACCCCTCCCTCCCGGCTCAAACACCAGCTCCCGCCACTCCATATGCCAGCCCACGTCGCCGTTATCGCCATGTATGTGCAGTACTCGTAGTTAGGGGTCCGCCATGCTTGTCGTCAAGACCTCGGCGCTCATCATGCCGACGCTGATGGCGGCAGTCGGTTCTCAGAGCGCCAAGGGTCGTGGCCGACCTCCTTCATGACAGCCTTCATCTCCATTTCGCCCGCCTTCTGCTCAATCAGGCGTGCGATATCCTCTACCGACAGCTCCTTGGTGTGCACTCGCCGCTGCTCATTGTCAGCGAACGTCAAGTCCACATAAGCGCGGCCTTGTGCGCCGCTTTCTTCAACCTTGAACTCGACGGCACAGGACGGATTAGATTTCTTAGCCTGGGTACTACTAACTCGTTGCAGTAGTTCGCGTGCGGAAGTGGCTTTTGGATCACCGGGGGTGAACTGTACAAAAACGCGTTTTAGATGTTTGAGCATGCTATCATTCGGCGTCGAACAGCTGTGAACTAGTGACTTTGTATCAGCAAGTGGGTGGGCGGCCTCAGCCTAGATAAGTGCAGGCGAATGCAGAAATGTAAACAGGAAAATCGTAATGTAAAAGTACACGCCTGGGTCGCGGGTGAAGGCGGTGGGTGCGTACGTGCGGTAGTTTGCGAGACATGCCGTGCAGTGACACGGAAGTAAGGAAAACAGCTGACGGCTCATGACTACCTACTGTTACTTCAAGTAATTTATGCAAGGAGTTTGTTAGGGTCTTTTACCAATGCTGGCGTTCGCTATCACCAAAAAATGCTTAACACAATGGCCAGCGTCTCAAGAGCGCTATTTCAAAGTTACTGAGGACGATCCTTAACAAATTTAAACTTTCTTGCTGGAGAACGTACGAATAGCAGTAGGTATTGTGGGTCCAACTATCACGGTCAATGGAGGAAGGGACGCTTCAGGACGCAGCAGCGGTGCGGGTGGCTGTCAGGTGCGCTAGAACGATGGCTCCTTGTTATAGAAGACGAAGCGTATGACACGGCGCTTATCTTACGCTGCTCTGGCCAATGCATCTGTCGCAGGGTCCGGCCCCTTATTACCCGCGAGCTGCTCCAGGGCAGCAGGCAATGCATCTCCACAGACGGCCCATGTGTCACGATAGGACGGGACCGCCGCTTTACTTTTGACCATGCGTTTGGGCCAAACACGACCCAGGTCAGCGACTGAGTCGCCCTTTTGACGCCCTGCTGCATGAGTCAACCTTCAGCTGCCGCGCTTCCGGCTTTCCTTGCATGGCTCTTTACATTAAGGATCTGGCACTTGCGTTGTGACCCAGTTCAATAAGAGCAAATAGCTTGGTGCATACCTGTTCCCTTTTTGGCGCCACGGCCCTTTCCCTCGCGGTTCACCTACGGTTGCCCAGCACACCACCTCGCAACCCCACACGCTTTTGCCCACCACCACATGCCATCCCTGCCGGCCCGCCCACCGCTGCCACTGCCCCACCCGCCCGTCCCTCTCGCCCACCTTTCTCCCACACAGGAGCACGTGTACCAGGAGGTTGTGAGTCCGCTGGTGGAGAGCTGCTTCGATGGCTTCAACGTCACCGTGCTGGCGTACGGCCAGACGGGCAGCGGCAAGACGTACACCATGGGCACCGGGGAGTGCCGGCAGGAGGAGCAGCTGGGCATTGCGCCGCGGGTCGTCAGGTGGGGCAGCCGGCTGGATGGCTGGTAGACGGGTGAACTGGGTGTCAGGACGGCTATGGAGACGAAAAAGGACGGGAACACGCAGTAGCAGCTCCGCTTCATGCGCGTCTTCTCCTCTTTAGGCCACGCACAGCAGCAAACACCGCACGCCATGCCGCCCTCCCCGCTCCCCTGCCGCCAGGCACCTCTTTCAGGGCATCCAGGCTCGCAAGCAGCAGGCGGCCTTCCACGTGCGCGCGCAGTTCCTGGAGATCTACAACGAGGACGTGAAGGACCTGCTGCTGCCGCCCGCAGAGCAGGCCACACGGGTGAGAGCGGGGTGCAGGACGGGGCAGGGGTGGGGGGAGACGAGGCTGCATGGCGGGGCGTCCCGGGGTATAGTGTGAGGGCTGCAAGCACACAGCGCCGTCAACTCACCGTCAGCCTTCCCAGCCGACCCAAATGGGAACCCCAACCCGGGACCTACCCACCCCTACCGCGTATTCCACCCACCTGCTCTTTCTGTCCCACGCCTACCTCTGCCCGCCCCATGCCTACATGCCTGCACCGCCTGCAGTGGATCTCCCGTGAGTCGGGTGCGGCTGCGGGCGGTGTGGGGGCCGGCAGCGGCAGCAGCATCACGCTGCGTGACGCGGGCGACGGCACCATCGTGGTGATCGGCGCCACGGAGCAGTCGGCGGACTGCGAGGAGGACCTGCTGGAGCTGCTGGAGCGGGGCATGGCGGCGAGGTGGGGCGCAGGGGGGGAGGGTGGGTGCGTGGCATGAGGTCCGTGAGGGGAGTGGGACTGGGTGGGCTGGGAGGCGGTCAGGATGGAGGAGCATGGAAGGGGTTGGGTGGCGGTGGCAGGATGGTTTGCAGGAGGTCATGCAGGCGTGGAAGCCAGCGATCTGGGTCGGCTGGTGGGAGTGTAGGAGCTGCTGAGGTGGGGTTGCACGTAAGGGACCTCGCTTCAATGCCACGCCCGGCTGCATGGGCCGCTGTGCGCAGGGCGACTAGCAACACCTTTGCGAACGAGCAGTCCTCTCGCTCGCACGCCATCCTGACCATTGTCATCGAGCAGCACGTGCTTCTGGGCGGCCCGGACGGCGGCAGCAGCAGCGGTTGTAATAGTGGTGGTGGTGCCGGCAACGGTAACGGAGGCGGCAGCAGGGGTGGCGCCCGGCCGCACGAGGAGCCCGGTAGCGGTGGCGGTCCGGCGGCTGCTGCGGGCGAGTTCCGAACCGCCAAGCTGCACCTGGTGGTGAGTGGGTGGGCGGGTGGGGTGGGAGGGTTAGGAAGCCACGGTTATGGTGATTAGGCAAGCCAGCTTGCCCGCCTGGGGGCACGGTAAGGGATCCACTGCAATTGGGCGAAACAGCTGGTTGCGGCCGAGGGTGGCTGGTAAGCATGCCGGTATCCCCGCCTTGGCATCTAGCATTGGGCGAGCCGGCGCATCTATCCCTCTCCATGAAGCAAGTCCAGGCTTGGTGTTGAAATGTGTTGGGAGGCAGAGCTCGGGTTGGCATGTGTTAGGGAGGCAGAGCTCGGGATGAAGCCCGGTACGCACACACATCCCGCTCGTTAGTGCCCTCGTCAGTTTCCTTATTTTTACCCCGTCTTTGACCTGCAGGACCTGGCCGGCAGCGAGCGCACCAAGCAGCTGCGCTCCTCCATGCAAGGCAACGGGGCGCGCTTCAGAGAGACCGTCAACATCAACCAGGTGTGCAGCGGGCGGGGGGCGGGCGGCTGGGGGGACCTGAGCGGCACCGGTACTTGCGGGGCAGCCCTCGCCTTCGCCAACTGATCTGAGGCTGGTCGGGGGACGAGATTGTAATCAACAGCCATGCAATTTCCCATGTTGTTCATGTACCCACCAATTTCCTTTCTCCAATCCTCTGTGGTGCTCGCATCACTGATGGCTAAGGTGGCTCTAAGCCACATGAGTTCATCAATGTTAAACCTCGCACCCCTTCCCTGGCTCCTGTCCCCCTGCACCCCCCACCCCCTCCTCCCCACCGCGCCGACCCAAGGGTCTGTTGGCGCTGGGCAACGTCATCAGCGCGCTGGGCGACGAGCGCCGCCGCGGCAGCCACGTGCCGTACCGCGAGTCCAAGCTGACTCGGCTGCTGCAGGACTCGCTGGGCGGCAACAGCCGCACCGCCATGATCGCCTGCGTCAGCCCCGCGGACGATGTGCTGGAGGAGACGCTCAACACGCTAAAGTACGCCAACAGGGCCAAGAACATCCGCAACAAGCCCGTCGTCAACAGGTATACGCGGTTACGATTAGAAAACCACGAAAGGTTAAATATCACAGTTTCGCCTATGTCCCAGTTCCCACACTCCTTCCTTCCCTCACATCCGCATGCCCCTTCCGCAACCCCGCCCACCCCCACCTCCGCCTCCTCCACCTCTCCCCCCAGGGCCTCCTCCCAGTCATCGCTCTCTCCCCTGCGCGGCGCCGTGCTGGAGGTGCAGCTGCAGGTGCTGCAGCAGCTCATCGAGCAGCTGCCCCACAGTGGGCTGGCGCGCGGGCTGCCGCTGGCGGAGCTGAGGCAGTTGCACATGGGCGACCCGGTGGCGTGCCTGGAGGTGCTCACGCGGATGAAGAGCGCGCTGGCGGCATGCGCCAGCGAGGGAGGGGCGGCAGCGGGTGAGGGTGGCGGGGAGGGGAGGGGCGGGGATGATGGAAAGGAGGGGCTGCACAGGCCGTTGGCCGTAGTGGTTCAGTTTGCATTGTGCTGTTAGCTGGTGGTAGGCTACTATCCTGCTTCGACTTCCTTATGTGGGTTGGCACTGTACCCTCGCCGCAGAGCCCGTCAGGCGCGCGGACCCCCTGGGGCGGCCGCTGCCGGGGTCGTCGGGCGCCGCCGCTGCAGGCGGCAGCAGCGGGGGTGCCGCAGCGGCGGCAGGGGTGGGCGGCGAGGAGGCGGGCGAGGGCGAGGAGGAGGGCGAGGCGGTGTCCTCACTGGTTGCTGGCTGCGGCCGGGCCATTGCGGGTATCCTGCAGGGGCTGGCGGAGATGGAGGCGCAGGGACACGTGGACAGGGAGGGAAGGTGGGTTGGAGGAACTGGGGGGTGCTGCATTTCGATTGGAGGAGATACCGGTAAACGTACGGTGCTTGTGGGGAAGGGAAGAAGGGTGCCGGCTCCCTACTGCTTACTGCTTACAAGCATGTGTCCGCAGTACCTGTGCGGTCCGTTTACCGCTCCCCCTACGGACGTCTGCCTCTGTCTCCCTCCCTGCCACCCCGCCTGCCTGCCTGTCTCCTACCCCAGAGAGCACATCCTGCGCTCGCTGGACGCCTCCACGCTGCAGCTGCTGCCCGCCGTACGCTCCGTGGGCATGCGCCGCAGCAGCAGCGCAGCGCAGTCCTCCGCCGGCGCGCCGCCCAGCAGCAGCAGCAGCGGCCCCGCCAGCTGCACCCGCCTGCTGCCCTCCTGCCTCAGCGCCGCACTGGAGAGCGCGGCTGCGGGTGCTGCTGCGGATGCGGATGCCGGGGGTGACGGGCCCGACAAGGGGGAGCTGACGCAGCGGTCGGGTGAGCCTTCGGGGGCGGCGGCGAGCAGCCGGGAGGAGCAGGTGGCGCGCTCGGTTAGGGAGCAGGAGCTGGAGGACAGGGTCAAGTAAGTGCGGGGGGGAGGGCAGAGGTACTGGTGGTTTACTCGTTTAAGGGGGAAACACTCGCCGCGGCTCAGTTGGCGCGCTGCTGGCCGCGCCGTGCCTACCCGTCGAAGGCTCCTTGTCCATCAATCCAACCTTTCGGCAGAACGCCGGGCAAACGGCATTCTCCTCAGCGCAGCCTGCTCTCCAGGTTTCCACACATGCCGCTGCCCACGTGCCCTCCTGACCTCCACCTCCTGGCCTCCCCCGCAGGTCGCTGGAGTCGGAGCTGGCCTGCTGCCGTACCGAGCTGCGGGAGGCGCGGGAGGATCTGGAGCGGGACGAGATCATCTTTGCGGACAAGATGAAGGAGCTGCAGGTGGGGGCTGGGGGAAAACGAGGACAACCGCCTTAGCCTCGCAGGGGAGGGGCTACGTGTTGGTTTCTGTGAAGACATGGAAGCGTATAGGCGAGCAAGCTGTTGGGTTTGGCGGCTCTCAGGTGCCCTATGACGCTCTTAAACCCTGCCACATTTCTGCTGGCCCGTGTGCACAGGAGGCCCGGTCGGCAGCTGCAGACTCGCAGCAGCGGCTGAAGGAGGAGCAGGAGCGACACGCGGCAGAGGTGCGGCAAGAGCCCTTTTGGCACCCGCGCAGTTCACTGCATGCGTGCCGGCCTTAGCCGGTTCCTGCCCTGCAGTGGCTTTGCACCGCAGTCCTTCTCCATGTCAAATGGCTTTCCTTAGCACATCCTTGCTGATGAGCCCAGCGCCCTACCTGCTGCAGGTAGCCGACCTCCGGAAGCAGCTAGCAGACCTGGACGCCCAACGCACCCAACAGCAGCCGCACCCGCAGCAACTAAGCGGTAACGCTCTCGGCCGTCTGGGCGGAGCGCTGAGTCGCCTGGGCAGCCGTGGCCGCAACCGCAGCCACAGCCGCCCCAGGTCCGGGTCCGGCTCCGGCAGCATGCTGTCCGCTCGGCACTCCGAAGCCACCTCCAGCGGCTCCCGGACCGCCAGCGGCGACGGCGATGTGCCGCCGCACACATCGAGTACGACAAGGGCAACGGCGACGGCGACCTCGGCACCACCCACCGGAGCGGGAGGAGCAGGCAGCGAGGGTGACAGCGAGGGTGAGGGTGAGGAGCGGGGCGGCGAGGAGGACGAGGTGTTGTACGACGAGGAGCTGCTGTCGTACATCAGCGAGACGGACTACACGGAGCAGCACCGGCGGGAGGTGCTGGAGAGCGATGCGGCGCTGCGGGAGGAGCTGGCGGAGGTGCTACGGGAGAAGGTGGGGGTGGGGGTGGTGACGGTGATGTTGGTGATGGTGATAGTGTTTGGGGGAGCAGGTAAGCACTAGGTTGGCTAGCGCCTACTCTACTATTGAGTTCGGAATGTTGAAGTGGTGGTGCGGTTCCTCGGCTTTGGCTGACCTGTCAGAGGCTGTGTTGCTCCCGCTCCCTGCCTGCTGCAGGCCGCCGCGGAGGCTGAGCGCGCGGCTCTGGAGCGGTCCGCCCTCGCCCAGCGCAGCAGCTTCGACAGCGCGCGCGCCGCCCTGGAGCAGCAGCTAAGCCAGCTGTCCGCCAACATCTCCCGCCAGCAGCAGCAGCTGGAGGCGGCGCAGGCGGCGGAGCGGGAGGCACGCGAGCTGGCCGCCAGGTGGCAGGTGCGGGGGGCACCAAGACGCCAGGGACACCTGCTCCGCATGACCCGAAATGCGCCTCTTTTGTCGCATCAGTTCATTATCCAGTGTCAGTGGTGTGTCCAGTAGCAGTACTTCCGCATGCCCGTCTGAGCGCTCCTCACCCGCCACCCTACTGCCCTTGCCCCCTGCCCAACCTACTGCACCTTCCCAACGCCCGCCCACCGCACGTGCCTTCCCCCGAGCCTGCAGGAGCGGGCTCAGGAGCTGGAGTCCGCCATCCAGGCTCGCGAGGCGGCGCTGGCGGAGCTGCGGGGCGAGCTGGCGGCGGTGGAGGGCGGCGCCGCACGCAGCGGGGAGGAGCGGGCGGCGCTGCGGCGGCAGTACGAGGAACGCATCGCGGCGGTGGTGGCGCAGGTGGGGGTGACGTGGGGGGGGGGAGCGGCGGGGGGAGCTTGTGCTGAACAGGAGCGGGGAGGGACGGGTTTTATGATGGCTCATGCATGGCCTGTATGGGGTTTCTTCTTGGCTGCGTTGGGGTGGTGTGTGAGGTTATGCCACAGCATTAGGAATGTTGAAGAATGCATTGTGTTGAATGCCTCCGGAATGGCCCTGCGCGCCCTCACGCAGGTCACCGCCCTGCAACGCCAGCTGCAGCAGCACGAGTCAGGCGGCGCGGACAAGCGCGAGCGGCAGGCCACCACCGAGCGAGCGGCGCTCATGGAGGCGGAGCTGGGCCGCCTGCGCACTCAACAGGTAGTACCGGTAGTTGTGGTGTGCGGGGCTCGGGATTGGGGTGCTCCTGTGCATGTGCGGATGCTGCATGTGCTGGGGTACTGGGGTCCCTAAAGTGTCTCTGACTGCAAGGTGCTATACCGTAACTCTTACCCATTTTAGACCAGCGCTTTAGTCCCGGCCTATGCTTGGCACAAGAAAGGCGTTTAGGTCACCTACCGGTAACCCCATTCCCACGCACCCCCCGCACTCCTCCGTCCCCGCAGGCCGACCTCCGCAAGCAGCTCTCCGAGCGCATCTCCCGCTACGAGCGCGACAACGCGGAGCGCGTCAAGGAGCTCACCGCACTGCGCCGCGCCGCCACCGCCGCACGCAACCGCATGCAGGCGCTGGAGCAGGAGAACCGCGCGCAGCGGCTCATGCTGCGGGCCAAGCAGCAGGAGGTGCTCAGTGCGCAGCAGCAGCTGCGGGACTCCCAGCGCGCAGCAGCCGCGTCGGGGCCCGTTCTGGGCGGCGCTGGCGCTGGCGCTGGGCAGCGTAGCGGCAGCCCGGGTGGCCGTGGGTACGGCAGCAGCCACCTGCGGGGATATAACAGCATGGGGGTGGCGGGTAGCGGCCGGGGCTTGGGTGATGCCATGGGGGGCATGCGGGGCTCAGGGCAGAGGTCCTTCCAGGGCGCTGCATGGAACGCCGGTCCGGGCAGCAGACAGAGCTCACCTGGTCCCCGGCGGGCCACGCCGCTGCGGTCCTCTGTATCCGCTGGTATGGCTGCGCTGGGGCGAATGAGCGGCATCCTGTCGCCGCTGCAGCAGCGGTTGGTAGAACCGGGCGGCGGGGGGTACACCAGCCCGCCTCGGCTCCGAGAGGAGCAGCAACCTCCGCCTCAGCAACAGCAGGCCCCACTTCCGCAACCCCTGACGCCTGAACAGCAGCAGGAGCTCGCCGACTGGTCGGATCAGCTGCTGGCGGCGGTGGCGGAGGCGGCCAGCGTGGAGGCCCGGCTGGAGGTGCTGGCGGCGCGGCAGCGGGAGCTGCTGGCCCGCCGCGACAAGGTGCTCCGAGACCAATCTCAGTTGGGACTGCGCACGCAGCGCCGCGCGGAGCAGCTGGCGCAGGCGGTGGCGGCGTGCAACTCGGAGCTGGCGGAGCTCGTGAGCCGCATTCCCTCGCCGCGGTACGACACGCCGACGTCGTCGACGCCCGGTACACCGCGCGGGGCTGTCGCCGCCGCCGCCAACGGCGGCGGTGGCGGCGGCTTGTCGGCGGCAATCCTGGCTGGCGGTCAGCGAGGTGGCGGCGGGTTTGGCGGCAGTCGCTCGCTGCTATCTGACGACTGGGTGGCGTTGCAGCAGCGCATCGCGGACGTGAGCCACAGCAAGGCGGCTCTGGAGGAGCGACTGCGCTCGGGGCGGCTGCTGGAGGAGCGGGAGCAGCAGCTGCTGGACGCGATAGATGACCAGCTGGAGGACCTCGACACGCAGCTGTCGTACGTGGTGGGTGAGCTGGCGGACCATCGCGGCTCGCTGGCGCAGCTGCAGCGCCGCCGGGAGCAGCTGCAGCAGCGCTGCGGGGGCATGAGTGCGGAGGGGCTGAGGCTGGCGCTGGCGGCGGCAACGGAGGCGGTGGGGAAACGTGCCTTCCAGGTAAGGATGCCGTACACTACTGGGCACGTAGAGATGTGTTAGAAGGGCGGGGTAAAGTACCGTACACATGCGTGATGGGCTGATGACGAAGAAGTCATATGTCCCATACCAACCTGTGCCGTACATGCATGCGTGCGCGCAGGTACGGCAGCTGGAGGCCGCGCTGGCTGCCAGTGAGAGCGGTGCGGCGCGGCGGGAGGCGGCGCTGCAGGTGCGGCTGCGGGAGTCGCTGGTGTCCATCTCCGCCCACCTGGCGTCACTGGAGGTACGGCAAGCGGCGACAACAGCTTGTGAACGGTCCGGATGAAGATTTCATGATACACAGCAAAGGGTCCGTATGCCGAGGTATACTAGCTCCTGACGCCTGCATGAGTCGTTGGCCTGAACACCAGCGCCTCCCTTCGCATGCCTCTTCTCTGACCTTTCAACCCCACCCTTGCTCCTCTCTCTCATCTCCCTCCGGCACTCAACCCTCCACCCGCCAGGCCACCTCCCCGGGCTCCTCAGTGTCGCTTAACTCCGCTGGAATTCGCACCCTGCTGGGAATGTACCTGGACGGGGACGCGGGCGGGACGGCGGCGGCTCCGGCGGGGCCAGCTGCGGGCGAGCCTGCTGGACATGAACACCCGCCCTGCGCAGCGTCAGGGCCGCAGCTGCACGTGCTGCCGCCTGCGACATCCGCGGTAGCAGGGCTGGAGCCGGCAGCTGCAGTCCCCGCAGCAGCAGCAGCAGGGACTGCAGCGGAAGAACCTTTGGATGGGGGGCTAGGCAATGCGGCCACGGCAGCCAACGCCATGACCAGCGCGCATGCGCCTGGCCATGCACCTTCTGGCGCCACAACAGCAGCAGCGGCAGCCAACTGCAGCAGCGACGGAGGCAGCAGCAACGGTGCCAGCGTTCTCGGTCGCCCGGGGAGCAGCGGTGGCACCATGCCGCGCGTTCCCAGGCTGCCCCTGCCGCTGAGGAGCGGCCAACAGCAGCAGCATCACCAGGTGAACGGCAACGACCACCAAGCTGCCACAGCATCGCACCCATGTGGCAGAACTGCCAGCATGCTGGGCGGGGTGCATCAAGAGACGTTGGGGAACAACGGCCCAAGCGCCAGCAGCAGCAACGTTGCCATCCCCGTCGCTTCGCAGCGCCCCGAGGAGGGCCTTCGCAGGGTGCCGTCTAAGTCAGCTGTGGAGGCTTTTGAGGAGGGCGTGGAGCTCAGCATGCGTGCCCTGCCCGTCAAGCCCCGCATGTCTGGGCTACAGCACCGCCAGCAGCAGCAGCAGCCCGGGCGGAGCGAGCCCGCGGGCAGCAGTTGGGAGCAGGCCGAGCCGCAGCAGGAGGGCTCCCTGGGCTCGGAGGACGAAGAGGGTGAAGAGGAGCTGGCGATCCTTGAGCGGTCGTGTGGCGGAGGGGGAGCAGGCGGTGGTAGCGTGCGCAGCATCGGGAGCAACATGAGTGTTCGCAGCAGCGGCGGTGCCGGCGGCGAGGGGTTGGAGGGTCTGGCCCGGGATTCGGCCCTTTCGGCAATGCCACCGCGTGTGCAGCAGCCTCCGAAGCAGCACCACCAGCCGCGGCCTGCTTGCAGTTCCGGCGGCGCCACACCCTTGATGCACAGCTCCGGGGCCCTGGGTGCTGGCGGCATCCTGCGCCGCTCCGGTAGCATCGACTCTCTGGGCGGCTCGTCCTGCTCCGGCTCCTACTCCTCCGGTGTAGGGCTCACACCGGTGTCAGGCAGCACCGCAAAGCGTGTCACCTGGAGCGCCTACGTGGGTGCGAGCGCTGGCTGCAACGCCGGCGGCACTGCTTCTGGTTCCACCGCTGCAGCAGGGCCCTCCCTCGCCTCCCTCGCTCAGACTCCGATGGCCTCTGCAGGAGGTCTGGGTCAGGGTAGTGGTAGTAACCAGACCGGCGGCCGGGGGCGTTCGGGTTCCATCCTGGACCGAGCGGCAGCTGGGCTGCTGGGCCATGCAGGTCGGGGAGGAGGTACGGCAGCATGTGGGGATGCGGCGGAGGGGCAGGGCGGAGCGGGCAGCACCCGCAGCAGCTTGGTTAGTGATGACGGCATGCCAGGTGGTGAGGAGGCGGGGCAGCTGGGCGGTGGGTGTGGAAGCTGGGCGGACGGCGTCCGCGACAGCAGAGACAGCGGCAACAGAATGGGCATGCCGGGCAGCAGCGGCCCCAGTTGGCATGAGGCCGGTGGGGCTCCGGTGTTGGTGGCGGCGGCGGCTGGCTCCAAAGCGGCCTGGAGCACCCCGTCTGTAGTGCCTACTCCACAGCAACAGCCCATGCGGCCTCTACAGCTGCAGCAGCAGCAGCCTCCCCAACAAGCACTTTCCCTTTCAAGATCCTCCTTCGAAGCCGACGATACCCTTGCAGCAGCCGATGCCGGTAGAGCCTCGGGGGCTGGCAGCGACTGCTCAGCGGCAACAGCAGGGCCAGCAGCCTCAGCCGCCAAAACCGGCATCCGCTCGTACAACCCCTGGAGCTCCCCAGACGCTGCCAAGATGCGGCGACCCATGGGTCAGCAGCAGTGGACTTCGGGTGATGGCGACAACGACTTGTTGCTAGCCCAGGACTCGGACCCGTTGCTTCGAGTCGGCGCGGAGTGTTCCCTGCTAAGTGTGGAGCACAGCGAATGCTCTGAATATGTGCAGAGCGAGGGCGGTGCAGCTGCATGCGGCGGCCGTAAACACATGCAACCTCAGCATCCACAAGCAATGGCGCAACAGCTGCAGCAGCAGCAGCAGCATGCTTGCAGCTTGCCAGCTCAAGCCAGCGGACGGTACGGCGGTGCTGCAAGGTACGGCGGCGACAGCTGCGACGACGGTGTCGTACTCAGCATGCAGTCCGCATGCGGTTCGGGCGCCCTGCGGACCTCCCTGGTGAGCAGCAGCCGGAGCTGCATGTGCGAGGGGGAGGGCGAGCAGGAGCATGTTGACGGAGGCGGTGAAGATGACCTGGAGGAACAGCTGCGGTTGTTGGAACGGGCGGTTGCAACCGCCAACCACCAACAACCCCGCCAGCTGAACCAGCAGCAGCACCCTAATCCGCACCACCTGCAGTCCGACGCCGCACCGGCAGGGTCCAGCCAGCTTGGCAATGGCGGTGGCGGCGGTTACGCCGGCAGCTGCGCTGCTGCTGCTGCTGCCGTTATCGCAGCGACCGCACCACCCACGGTGGTGCGGTCGTCCGGAACTCTGGGCGACTTGCTGGCCCAGGCTGCTGCGGCGCAGGACTCACCGGAGCACACAACAAACACTGACGAGGTCGTTACCGGTCTGGAAGAGCTGGAAGCGGCGGCAGCACTGCCGGCTTCCCTCTTGTTATTAGGCACGGCAGCAGCCGGAGGGGCTCCCGCCTCACAGCACTTGCGGCCGAGTGGATCCAGCCGTACACACCTAGACGCCCTCGCAACCCCCCTGGCAGCACCCGGTCGCAGCACCAGCCCCGTGCAGCACTACAGCAGGCAGAGCCGACCCGGTTCGGCACCGCTGGGCCAGGCAGCGGGGCCACAAGGGCCCTTCACCACGCCGGCGCCCGTAGGGGCCAAGAAGGCACTGGCGGAGGCACTGATGCCGTACAAGGCGCATCTCAGGCGCTCCGGCACGCCCATGAAGGGGGCCGCGGCGGCGGCGGGAGCGGCGGCAGGTCACCCCAGCACGCCAGACGGGCGGCGGATGGCACCGCCGACTGCAAAGGCGGGGTTCTCCACCCCGCAGCAACATCACCAACAGCAGCAGACGCAGATGCAGCAGCGGCCGCAGGTGCCTTGCGCCTGGCTGCCGGGGGCTGAGGAGGCGTTGGGAGGTGAGACGGCGGGCCAGCAGCAGCACCGGCAGCAGGTGCAGCAGGCCCGGTACCAGCAGACGCAGCAGACGCAGCAGCAGCCGTGGGTGCGGTCGTCTGGCGGTGTGGATGTGCGCGCGAGTGTGGGCTCGCAGGCGGGTAGGGTGGACATGGACGAGCGGCAGGCGGCCATGGTACGGCAAGCCCGGCAACGGGGCTACCTGCCGTGATGTATTGTTGATGGCTGATTGGGCTAAAGGCCTAGAGGGGCTAGGGGGCTCTGGAATTGTTGTTGGGCGGAAAATGGTTCGTACATAGGAGTTCAGGGTAGTATAGGGTTGGCAGCAAGGGATGCGTGGAAGATGAAAGCTGACTGCGTGGCGGGCCATCGCTCCGTTACAGTACACTATGAGGCGCTGTGTCCCCGGTGGTTGGTGGTTGGTGGTTGAGTGTGATCAGTGATTGGTAGTTAGGGGCCAACGACCCTGGGCCGACCTTCATTTCATATGGCCGCTGCCTTTCTGCAGTCGCAGTACTTTCGTTCACTGCTTTGTGCCTGCATGTGCCCTGTGCCCATGTCGCACTTTTATCGGTCAACATTTACCCTGCGAGATTGTACTTTCTTTCCGTACATAGATTTCGTTGCCTTGGGAAACCGGCGTAGCGGTTGCCACATGACTTTGAACATGCTGCAGCAAGGCAGCTCTCCATGCTACCACAGACCTCACTCACCTCACCCAAATGGTTGGTGGAGGTTAGCATGCCGGAACAGCAGAGACCGCCTTGTACTCTACACATGTGTCCCTTTGATCGTGTATGACGACTCATGGCTTCTTAATTTTGTGGCCGTACAAAAGTCCGTATTTTCCGTTCCCGTTTCTGAACTGCCGTGGGACCATGGAAGCCTGGCTTGTCCCTGTGACCTTGGTATACTGTATGTGATACTTCCCAAGCCCTTGGGCCTGGACACTCCGTGACTAGGGAAGTGAATGATAAGAAGCCCGGTTACATGGATAGTACATTGCGTACATTGCTATGCTGGCGGGGCCAGCAGATCCAAGACACTTCCAGTATGTTGTAAAAAGTGCTCGTTGGGGCTCCACAGCCCCTTAACAGCCCGTTACACTCGGAAGCTCGGGCCGGCAGGTAGCCCTGACACGAGGGCCGCCATCACGGAGCAGCAGCGGGGAAGAACCGAAGGAGCGCCAGTCGCAGTAGTCCGTTGAACCGAGGTGTGTCCCTTATGTGGGCGGATCTCCCCTTGTTCATGTCTTGGGCAACCAAACTGGCACTGAGCTACGTGTGCTGTGTGCTGTGTATAAATTCCAACCCCTGATAGACCCGTTTTGGGTAGTAGTAGCCTTTTGGCAAGGCTCTACTCGCCTATCGAGCCAGCCTACGTAACCGGGCCGCGAATGCCCCATCCGTGTCATGCACATGCGGCAACGTGGCAACAAACCCCTCCTCCGTTATCACCTCAGCAGGCACCCCGCCCGACAACCCTCGGTGACCCCCGGACCCCCGCCCGCGCCGACCAGCAGCGGCAGCGCCGGAGGCTGACGGCGACTGTGGTGACCCGTGGGTCGGCCCTAGGGGGGTCGCCGGCTCCAGCTCGAACTCCGGATGTCGTTCCAGGAAGCTCCGCACTTGCAGCTGGTTCTCCTCCTCCTCGATGCTGCCTGCAGGGCAACAAAAAGGGCAGCAGGGAGGGGGGCTCCTGAGGCGCTATAACAAATGGGGTAGCCGCAGAGCACACCCTTCCGTACGTAGCATGCTTTCCCGTTTCCTAACGCCTCATACCCGCCTGCAACCCTACCCCACTACTGGTATTATCCCCCCCTCCACCGCCACTCCTCCACCGGCCCCCTCACATGTGCTGTACACCAGTACGCCCCCCGGCGCCACCAGCTGCGCCGCCGCCCGCAGCAGCTCCCCCTGCAGCGCCGCCAGCTGCTCCAGGTGCTCGGGGGTGCGCCGCCAGCGCAGGTCGGCACGCTTGGACAGCACACCCGTGCCTGGAAGGGAAGGGTGTTTGGGTGGGGAGGGAGGGGGAATGGAGTTTTGGAGAGGATGGTAATGAAAGCTCCATGCAAGGGGTATGGCCGAGGGAAGGAAGGCCATACATGGAAGGCGGGAAGCCTTCCGTGTCCACAGCTGATTTGTCGCACCTGTGCAAGGCGCATCCAGAAGCACCTTGTCGTACAGCAGGGAGTCAGGATGCCGTACAACTCCTCCCCGCCCGCCACCGCCGCTGCCGCCTCGCTCCCACTCGTCATCCTCTCGCCGAAACTCGCGCGCTCGCCGAGCCTCTCGCGCAGCCACCTCCGCCGCCCACTCGCGCAAGTCGGCGGCGCGCGTCTCCACCATATGCGCGGCGCCCGCCACCTCGGCGGCGCGACGTAACGCTCGCAATCGCGCCGCCGACACGTCCAATGCGGTGATGCTGCCGCGGCCGCGCATCCTCGCGGCTGCGAAGAGTGTCTTACCTGCAGCGATAAGCCGCGGGAAGGCAACAGTGTCAGACTTCAGAAACGCGCGCGATCCCCAACCCAAACCCAGCAACCCACCTACGGTAGCTTCCCTCATGTCCTCCCCTCCCTTCCCTCCTCACCTCCCGGCGCCGCACAGCAGTCCAGCAGCCTGTCCCCCGGCTGCGGGTCCAACAGCGCCACCACCAGCCCGGCGGACTCGTCCTGGACGCTGAGCGACCCACGGGTCACGAAGCCCTGCAGCAGGGAGCATCAGCAGGGCGCGACAGGGCAGGGCAGAGGAGGGTGGTGGTGAAAGGGGGGCAAGGGTGTCGGTGTAAAACAGGGTCCCGCGTCCCCGTATTCTACCGCGTAACGTTGCAACCTTGCCACCCAAGACACTCGGCCAGGTGGCATTTCTTGACAGTCGCTCTCCTCCCACCTCCCCTCCCTCCTCCCCCCCTTCCCCCCCTCACCTCCGCCAGCAGCTGCTGCAGCCCGCTGCGCACCCGCAGGAACTCCCCCGGCAGCCACCGCGACTCCTCCACCTTCACACCCGCCGCCCGCAACTCAGCAGCCACCGCACCCGCCAACGCATCCCTTCCTCCTGATCCCCCTCCTCCTGCTGCTGCTCCTGCCGCTCCAGCCGTAGGCCCTGCTGCTAGTGTGTTGACCCGCACCGAGTACACGGGCGGGGTGTTGTTGCGCGCCAGGAGCGCCTCCGCGCCATCCGGCCCCAGCCGCCGCAGCCAGCGTGCCGCCAGCCATGTGGGGTGGGAGTGCGTGATGGCCAGCCGACGTAGCAGCGCGCGGTTGCCGGCGCTGCCGCTGCTGCTGCTGCTGTCAGCAACGGTTAGCTCGGACTGCATGGAAGGGGTGAGGGGGGGGGGTTTAGAGAGAAGCCTAAGGCATAAAGGGGAGGAGGGGAGACAGGTTGGGAGCGGCATTGCTACGGCAGGGGTGATCATGCTACGGTAGGAGTAGCAGGGCGCGGCATTGCTACAGCACGTGAAGACGCCGCATACCGGTACGAGGTGTGTTCGGCAGCAACCCTTCCCCTCCTCCCTCCCCCCCGCCTGCCTACCTCGGGTGTGGGCAGTGTGCCCGCCGCCAGCGCCCTCCCCGCCGCCCGCAGCACGCCGTTCACCAGCGCCGCCGCGCCCGGCCGCACCAGCACCTTGGTCAGCTGCACGTGCTCGTTGAGCGCATGCGGGGGCAGCTGCCGCTCCGTCAGCTCGAACAGACCCAGGCGCAGGACCTGGGAGAGGGGGGAAGGTGGGAGGGAGATGGGGCAGGGAGGAGGAGAGGTGGTGAGGCGGGGAGCAGCGCGAGTGGATGGGACATCGCGAGGAGGGAGCGGCGGGTTAGATGGCATGGCAGGACCCCCACCACATCCAACCCAGCACCCCCACCCCAACCACTCACCAGCCGCACCCCCGGCTCCCAGTCCGCGGGTGTCTGGTTGCTCAGCCGCGACGCCAGGAAGTCCAACCGCCGCTGCAGCCGCGTCACCCCCGCCACCAGCTCCTTCAGCAGCCGCCGGGACCTGGGGGGGGGCAGCAGGGGGAGTAAAAGATAATGAGACACTGACGATGCAACTGACGAGCTGTAGGGGGAGGGGGAGATGGGGGTTCTGCCATGCCATCTAGCCGAGATGGGGGGCCGAGGTGCGGGTTTGCAGCGGGGAAAGGCCGCATGCCGCAGCACGCGCACCCATGTACCGGTATCGCATTACCACCCCGCATCTCCCCACTCCAACCCGCCGCGGCAACGCTCACCTAGGATCCAGCGACGCCTCCCCGCCACCACCACCACCGCCGTACGAGGAGTCCCTCCGCCGCTGCTGCTGCTGCCGTGGCCCGCTCTCCTCCTCCTCGCCGCCATCGTCAAGCTCCGCCCCAAACTCCAGCTGCTCCTCATCCCCCTCACCCCCCTCAACGCCCTGCCGCCCCCCCTGTCCCTGTCCCTGCCCCTGCGCCCCCGCCAGTGCCCAACCGCCCGGAGAGCCGTTCACCAGCCCCACGTAGGCGCCGCCTTCCTCCACCCGGAGCAGCTGGGGAGGAGGAGAGGGAGAGGGAGGGAGGGAAGGAGGCAGGCTTACTGAGGGCCTTCGTCTTTCGGCAATCACAGTATACGTGTTCCGATTCGCGGCCAGTTTCCTTAACACACACCCCCGCACACCTGCACACCCCCGCACCTGCTGCAGCGCCAGATAGCGCGGCGAGGAGGTCAGCAGGGGGTCCAGCGGGGCATCCTGGGAGCTGCGGGTGGCGGGGGGTTGAGTGGGTGGGGAAGCGAGGAGGTCAGGGACTACGCAGCATCGGGAATCGGGAAAGGGTGGTGGTTGAAGCTCAGACATGTTGACTGATGTACATGATCAGTAATGGGAAGGGGGCGGAGTGGTGGTACCGGTGCTCAGGACAGGCCGGGGTGACGGCAGCGAAGTGCAATGGATGACTTGAGGGCGTTCGCGTTGGCAAACGGAAAGCCAAGTCAAGAAGCATGGTGTAGGCGAGGCTTTCCCTTATTCCATTACAGAGCCGCTCACCTGGTATGCAGCTCGTTACTGCTACTTTGGCTTCGGCTCCCGTTGCTTTCTTCGCGTTCGTCAGAGTTCGGGCTGGAATTGGGGTTAAACTTGCGACGGACATGTTCCTCATTGCGACGACGGTCAAAGCCGCCCTGAGGACCCAACCGACGCTGCGGCTTGTCCCTTGAATAGCCAGCACCATCACGTGCGCTTCGGCCCTCTTCCCGATGTGCGCGCTCGTCACGCCTTGCTGGTGGTAAGGGTTGCTCGACAGGTTGCGAAGGCTCAGGAGCCCTCCGAGAGCCGCGAGGGACTAAAAAACGCTTTGTAGGTGTGTCGTCGCTGCCAATTGCGGATACCAACACGGTTCGGCTCACCGGGTGTCGATGTGCAATTGCCGTTGGGGCATGCGCCGCCGATAAGAGGCCCGCGGCCGGCAATTGCGAACGCATTCGGTTCGCGACATTCATTTGTACCAGGTCGACCGGCTGTAAGTTCGCGAGCGCTATTTTCAGACCCCCCGGGATGATGGCGTTTTCCGTATTGCTCGTGCGACGATTAAGCTAACCCCGAAACAACAACAAGCACTTTACTTTTAGTTCAACTTGGACAAACGCTATATTAGATACTTCATACGCTGCTTTCGACTTCGCGGCATTTAGCACCCGATCGACTTCTCAACTTTAGCAAGGACAGGTACAGCTTTCCAAATGGCCTACTTCAAGAAGTTCAGTAGAGAGGATGTCTCTAACCTTAGCCAAGTCAAGTCCTCAGTAGCTCGAGGCATTAGAGGTGCGCAGCTGCGTGCGCACCGCTAGGCTCTTGGATCTGGTATATTATACTGAAGCTTAAGGATCAGTGTCACAAAATTAACAGCAATTCCAATTTTCACACTTCTGTCGCGTTTCCTCTTGGAAAACAGCCGCCATCTGTGAGACCTACCCATACCTGGAAGAAACGGACATCATCGAGACACTTATCCCCAAGAAGGAGTCCGTGTATGTGGGGAAATGGTGAGCAAAGGAGGGTCGGTGCTTAACTCCTGCGGTGGTTGGTTGGTTCGGTTTGGGGTTTGGGGTTTCCGCCATGCGGCCCCTTGCCACCTTCTCCCGATTACAACGCCCCACACCCCCTCCCTCCTTCTTCCCCTCCCCCTCCTCCTGCCCCACCCTCCCGCCCCCCTCCTCAGCGGTCATGTGCAGCTCTGCGTAATCTCCGGAACCATCCTCTTCTTCCAGGAGCGCGACGGTCCCTGGCTGCCCAGCCTGCGGGTGCTTCACCAGTACCCGGAGATGATGAAGCGGCTGCGGACCGACAAGGGGGCCATCAAGTTCGTACTGAGTGGCGCCAACATCATGTGCCCGGGGCTGACACACCCGGACGCAACCATACATGATGAGGTGAGGGGCGGGGGGAGGGGAATTATAGATAAATGCAACAACGGAGGGAGGGTGGGTGGGTTAAGAGGAAATAGATGGCGTAAGAGCGGGCGAGGGACGGTGGCGGTGGAGGCTGGTGGTGGTGGCTGGCGGGTCCAAGCAGCTAGTTCCCGATGTTGAAATGAGTCCGGTTAGGTCTCTCTCAAGCGGGCTAGCGAAGACAGCTTGACAGGTCAGGCCCTGGGCAGGGGGTAGGGTGTGTGGTGGGGTGTGGGTGCTGGGGGGCAGAGGGTGCTGGGGGGCAGAGGGTGCTGGGGGCCAGAGGGTGCTGGGGGCCAGAGGGTGCTGGGGGGTGCATGTACGGCAGCACCCAGGCCCCGGCAGGTGGGTGTCCTCTGGCGGCCGCTGCATCCCTACGACACCACGAGCCCTCTGCGGTGCCGCCTCGTGCGGCCGTGTGCGGCAGCGCCTTGCTGCCTGCAGTGGCCGTGCCGCTAGCAAAGACATAAGACATGAGCACATGACCGGTCTGGGTGGATGATGTCTACAGTTGGGCGGGTTCGGGGCGCTTACTCACTGCATGAGTCGGGACCTGGAGATGGAATACCCCAGTTGCTTCGTCTTCTCCTCCTCATCCGCCTCCTCCCTCCTCCCCCTCTCTCCCGCACCCCAGGGTGATGTGGGCGGCCCGGTGGCCATCTACGCATGCGACAAGGAGCACGCCATGGCGGTGGGGGTGCTCAAGATGTCCACCGCCGACATCCGGGCGGTCAACAAGGGCATCGGGGTGGAGAACATGCACCACCTGAACGACGGACTGTGGAAGGTGGGGGTGGGGCGGGATGGGGTGGGGTTGGAAGGGGTGGGGCATGGGAGGAAGTCATGTGTAGGGGGAAGGGGCCGCGTGTTGGGAAGGCACGGGGAAAGGAATGCGGTAGGTGGGTTTGGGCGGAGCAAGGTGCCTATTGCGGGCGCGTTGCTGCTACCCAAGTCGTTATGGGCGGTGCGTTCCATGCGAGTTTTATCTTCACCGCTTCCTCTCTCGGTTTACCCATCCCTGCACTCGCCCCAGATGCCCAACATCAACTGAGCGCGGCAGCCGGCTGTGTGTGAGCGTCAGTCAAGCATTGACAGCAGCAGCAGAAGGAGCGGTGGTGGTGGTGGTGGCGTCACCGTACAGCAGTGCTGCTGCCATGCACCTGCTGCGATGCATGTTTCAAAGAGCGCGGGGGGGATGCTGGCTGAGACCTGGGACCTGGGCAGCCACACGTACAATGCATGTACACGGCTTTGCAGGTTTATACGAAGCAGTACGGGACCGAGTGCTGCGGTGCTGTGTAGGGGTGGTGTGTTAGGGGGTCCATGATGCCACCAGCGGACCACGGTTGTGCACGTTGGGTGCGCACGGTACCACATTAGGCACTTGTGGGTGGGCTGCAACGGTCCCGGTCCCGGAGGGCAACGTTGGATCCAGACTGCACCTTTGGTTTAGGGAGGAGGTTTAGGAGGTAGGCTCGCTTACCTGCGAAACAGCAGGGAGTTACGTGGGGCCGTGGCTTGCCTTGGAATGTGTCCGGAGTAGCCGTGAGAGGAGGTGAGGGTTACGGTACGGCAGTACACGGCCGAGCACGTGTTCGGCTGCAGGCTGCATGTACTGCTGGGTCTGTTACATCTATTAACATCTTATAGTTAGGAGTTGGCTGTTGCTGTGCGGTACGGGGTTCCGTACACCGACTGATCCAACGGTATACCTGTTGCTGTGCGGTACACCGACTGCAGCAACGACCACTAACGGAACCCCGTACAGCAATCCCGTGCTGCAGTCGGTGTACCTAACAGCAGAGTTGGCGATGGCGATGCGGCCCCGCTTCTCAGGATGCAGTTCATGTTGGTGTAGGACTGCTGTGCGAGATGGGTCGACACGGGTCCGGGGTGCGGTGGGAGCCCCACGCGCAGCAGCTGCTCGCTTGCCAACCAGTTGCGCGGCGTGTGTGCCGCAATTCCCGGCTGGGGATGAGCACTGATCAGGGAGGACCTTACATGGGTTTGGCACGCTTGTAGTGTGCTACAAGTCCTCTTCGTCTCCCGGCGCCACGCTTCCGGCAAAGGTCCTGCCCCTGCGACAGCAAGACTCCTCATCTTCATAGTGTAGCCTTGGCTGCCAAAGGCCCCTCAGGGCTGCTGCCAGACCTACTGGCATCTCGCTGAGAACCACCACTAGAATGCCGTCACAGAGCCCGGCACCCAACATACGGCCAACAGAGGTGGAAGTATTGTGTTCCCTTGTGATAAAATAGCAGAAATGCTCGCAACTATGCTTCCGAGCTCATCGCTCGCCCCGGCCTCTGCCCTCTTTCGCTCCAACAACTGCAGTGTGTTCTGCAAACAAAACATCAGGACCAACTGTGTAAGGGTGCGTGTGTGCCCCGCCCTTGCAGCTCCTCACCACACGCCGTTCCCCACCTGATATTCGGTTTCTCTGCGACTCCCAGTCAAATTGTGAAATCGGTAGCTCGTCACTCGCGGCCGGCCGCACTTCATACGCGGATTGCAAGGGCAGCACGAACGGGACCCTGTGTCCCAAAAAACACACCAAGGAAAAGGATGGCCATGTGTGGCCATACCACTCAGGGTTTCGAACACCAATACACTCGATGCACATTTCCATCGTGCACCACTTTGCCACATAGCTACACCTACCTACGAAGCACTCGAAGAGTGCGGGCCCCCGCAGGCACCACAGCCGGACAGCTGTTCATCGCTGCTTTCAGCATCCGCTGCATAACAAAGTTTACCTGGCTGACGACAGCTAGCAACGGTCAACACGAAAGAGACAAAATTTTGAAACATACGACGTGACAGATGCATAACTGGCTGCACGACTAGTAACGGCCATCTCCCAATGCCTGCACTAGAGACAAAATGCTTGGGTGGAGGGCTATAACGGGTTAGCAAACTGCCGCCGGGACCATATCTCCTCTCTCCATCTAGCGTCCCAATAAGCCGTGTGACCTTTACCCTCTTACCCTTCATGCTGGCTCTCCTTTCAATCGCCTCTCAATCAACGTACATCCCCTCAGCTACACCCGCAAGACCTGTCTCGCTGTCTACCTACCTCGCTGCAAACCCTAAAACCCAGACCCTCGTCTACCCTCCATTCCACTCCACTCACTACTCCCTATCCTAAGCCCCTTCCAACCTTCAAGGCCAACCCCTTCCTCATCCTCACAACCCACTCACCCCCCTCCTCCTCTTCCTCCTCCTCCTGCTCCTACCCCATACCCCATGCCAGCCCCCAACCCTCACAGAATCCGCTTGCTTCGCGTGTACTTCATAACCGCAAAGAAGATCCAGGCGCACCCCAGCACGATGCCCGCCGTGACGCCCCAAAACCACACCACACTCTGCTCCAGACACGACCGCATGTTCATGCCGAATATACCCGCCAGCATGGCTCCAATGGCGGCGGCGAAGGAGCCGATGGACAGCATCAACTCCAGCCGGTTTACCTCGTAGCGCCGGGCCGACAGCGACACCCCAATGGACTCCTCCAGGTCGCGGGCGCCGGCCAGCATGCGCTCCGCCTCGGACTGCGGGGTGGGGGGGGGGACACGTCACGGCAATGGGGGATGTACCAAACCACTACATGAGGGCAGGAAAAATGGGAGAGCAGATGGGGGTACAGGGGAAGCAGCTCCCCTGGGAAACCCTGACCCTGACATCACTGGGGATGAGGGGGTGCAAGGAGAGGGGTGCAAAGGGGGGAGGCGAGAGGCAGGCGAGAGGGACCGCCCTTCCCCCTTCCCCCTTTCCCGCCCCCTCACCTGCAGCGCGCTGGCCCTCTGCAGGTAGTACTCCAGCAGGTCCTCCACCTCCTCCAGCTCCGCCTCCTCCTCCTCCTCCTCAACCATCTCCTCAAGCGCGTCCTGCGCCTCCTGCAGCTCCTCCGCGCTGTCACCCAGCCGGCTGCAGGGGGGGATAATTGAGAAGTGATGAGGGAGGGGAGGGGAGGAAAGGAGCAGGCAAGACGGTAGGTAAGGGGGGAAGGACGGATAGCTAGAGGGGTCCAAGGCGGAACCCTTGCAAGGGTACGGAAGGGTCAAGCGGGTCCCTTCCCTGCCAGCTTCTGCAAGCTCCCGCTTAGAGGCCAGCTCCCACCCCCTCTGCCCCCCCTGCCCCCCCCCCCAGCCCTGCCCTCGCACCTCATGAAGTCCGCCTCATCTATCAGCTCCTTGCGCCGGTCCCGCTCGCGGTCCTCCCTCCGCAGCCCCTCCACACCCAGCCCTCCCGTGCCGCCGCCGGGCCCCCCAACCGCCCCCGTCCCCTGCCCCAGCCCCAACGACCCGCCGCCGCCCTCCTCGCGCCCCTCCCGCACCCAACCGAACCGAGCGCGCAACTCCCGCAGGCGATCTCTGTCGTACTTTGTACGGAGCTCCTTTAGCCTCTCCTGACGGGACATGGCTGCTGGGTTTGCTAGCGGAGGCGGCGGAAGTGTTGGTGGTGATGTGGTGGTTGCAGTTGTGGTGATTGTGGTGGTTGCTGGGATGGGGTTGTTGTTGCCGTTCAAGTCGAATCCACGTGCTCGTCCAGGCCCGACTGTCGTACTGGGACTAGTCGCCGCAGCTGCTGCTGTTGCATCATAGCCGTACAGAGGGCTGCTGCTGGTCGGGTGGTAGACTCCGTTACCGTTACTATTGCTGTTGGCGGCTGAGGGTGAAGGTGGTGCAGCCGCTGCTGCAGGAGGAGGAGGAGGAAGAGCTGGATGCATGGCTTGATACCCCACTCCGTTGTCGTTGCTATTACCGCTGCTGCTAGGGCTAATGCCATTACTGCTACTACTGCTATTGCTGCTACTGCTGCTGCTGCTGGTACCACTGCCAAAGCTGTTGCCCCCCAAGAGGCCGCCGCGAAGGGCCGCCCCCAGACTCGCCCCCACACTGGCCGCATGCAGCAGCGGCGCCAGGTGCCCGCCAACGCCGCCGAAACTGTCCTCCGAGCGTGACCCGTGGGTCTGCTGTTGCTGCTGCTGCTGCTGCTGTTGCAACGCCATCCCACCATCCTCCCTTCCTCCTCTCCCTTGCTGCTGCACCCCCTCCTGCCCCTCCTGCTCCCCGCCTTCCGCCTCCTCCAGCCCCCCCGCCCGCTCCTCCAGCTCCTCCTTGATCTCCCGCGCCCGCTCCACCTCCCGCTCCAGACGATTGCGCTCCCGCTGCCGCCGCCGGTCCTCCCGCCGCGGGCGGCTGCTGAGGTTGAGCTCCCGCAGCTCGTCCTCGTCGTCCATCAGCTCCTCCAGCATCTCCCTGGGAGGGGGGGAGGCAGAGGGAGGTCAAGGTTGAGGGAGGGGTGTGTATGATTGCGGGGGCGTGCGGGGGTCGAAAGGGTTTCGCCGTCCCTCTCAGCAAGCATTAACCAACAAGCGTGGCCCCATGCAAGCGGCAGACGGGCCCTCTCAGACCGCTCCCCGCCCCCCCCCCCACCCCCGCACCTCAGCGTGTCCGCCTTGTCCTCAAGCTCCACCAGCGCCTGCTTCACCCGCCGCAGCTCCTCCAGGTTCACCGGCGTGATGTCGCCCGGCAGCTTGGTCAGCAGCGCACTCACGCGCCCCGTCACCCCCGCCATCTCCGCGTCCAGCCGCCCCACCGCCACCGTAAGAGCGCCCTCCAGCACCTCCAACTCGAAGGGGGGCGTGCGGGAGGAGGAGTCGAACTTGCCCTGGAGGGAGGGAGGAAGGAAAGGAAAGAATACCCAAGGAGGGAGGGAGGGAGGGAGGTTATTCAATACCGGTAACCCAACCTACTGGTGCTCCTGCACACCAGCCCCCCAAGCAGCTCCGCCCCAGCCCCCAGCCCACCACCAAACCCTGGTCCCCGGCTGGCACTCCTCGTACCCCCCCCCGCCCTGGCCGCCCTTTCCCCACCACTCCAGTTGCTGCACTTCTCAATCAATGTTTTTGTCACCATCCCCACTTTCCTCTTTACCACCACCCCACCCCTCCCCACCCCACCTGGTGGTAGAACCGCGCCATGTAGTCCGCATGCGACACACTGACCGCCGACGCCAGCCCGCCGCCCGCCCGCACCAGCGCAGCCCGCCGCTCCCCGCCGTGCGAGTGCAGCCGCGGCGCCACCACCTGCAGGAACTTGCGGGTGGTGGCGGAGGCGGGCTCGAACAGCAGCGCCTTCTCCGCGGTCACAATAGCCCTGGGAGGGATGGAAGGGGCAGGAGGGGCAGGGAGGGGAAAGGGGCAGGGAGGGAGGATAGGGGCAAGAGGGGTAAGATTACGGGCATGTAGGAGCCGAGGATGCGGGCTTCCACCGGTACACGCCTCCTGTTTTGTCCTGCTTCCTTTTGGCGCCGGCCTGGACCCAAGCCGCAGGCTCCGTGCCCCAGCTTCCCCAACTTCCCTCAAGCACAAACAAGCTGGGCCGGACCCGTCCCCTCCCTCTTCCCACCCCACCTGACTCCCCCAAAGTTCCCGCCCGCTCCCTGCCCCTCCCTCTTCCCACCCCACCTGACGCCCCCCAGGTTTAGCAACAGCACATCCTCCTTGATGGTGATGGAGGGCGAGGTCTTGGTGAAGTCGATGGAGGGGTCGATGCGGCGCAGGTCGCGCGGCTGCAGCCGGTGCTCGCGCAGCAGGTCGCGGCGCCGCACGAAGAAGCGGCGGGCGCGGGCGGTGGCGTCCAGCCGAAGTACCTAGTGGGGTGGGGAAGTGTGGGTTGGGAGGGAGGGAGGGAGGAGGAGGCGATGAGGGCGGTGGTGGGGGCCGAAGGGACGGGGAGGGGGACTGAGGACTGCAGCTCACTGGACTTCGCAGCGGTCTGTGGGCGCTGCCAGCTGCTGCAGCAGCCCGCATTCCGAGTCAGGGCTGCGCCTGCATTCCGGAAGAGCCGTGTGCGTGTGTCAGACAGCCTACGTTCCTACCTCATAGTTGGCTTTCCCGTAGGCGCCCGCCGCACCCTCGCCCTTGCTGCCATCCGACACCGCCTCCTCGTGAGCCAGGTCGGAGAAGTCCAGGTGGCTGCTGCTGTACTCGTCCACATCGCCGCTGCTGGTGGTGCTGCTGAATGGGGACGACAGCGAGCCCGCGGAACTGGAGTAGCCGCTGGCAATCCCGCCATTGTAATAACTACCAGCCTGTTGTGCCGCTGCGTGTGTCGCTGCTCCGGCTGCTTCCAGTTGGTAAAGTATCTGGTTGGCAGACTGCATCATGTCCTCCGCTGTGCTGTGCGTGCTTGCGCACTGCGCCACAGAGCGCTGGCCTGGAAGCGCCCAACTTTCATCGAAACCTCTGCTGCCCGCCGAAGGCCTAGTAAGTTCGGTCGCTAGTCGCTCTCCACGAGTTGGTATTAATTTTTGTTTTCCAGGAACAAAGCTGTGGCGCGAGCGAGCGAGGCAGCGTCGCGGCGCCGCTACCCCGCACCAGCGGGGAGCGACGCCATGCCTGCAATGCGCGGGCTGAGATAACAGTAATATAGGTTTGCCTATATTCATTGCATCTTCAGTTTATCGTCAGCTATTCAATAATGACGAGCTGAGGGCTTGCTGCCAAGTCACTGGTCCAGAGATAAGCATGACTTTTGGGTTGTAAAGAACATTACAATGGCGTAAAGCATTGCACGCTAATGTCCGGTTTCATCCAAGCTCAAGCTCTAACCGCCATCAACACGTACGAGGCTTTCCTAGTGGACGTCGAGTGCATTGTCGATCAGCTTTTCGTCATTCCCATTGGCCTGGCATAACATGGAAGCATACCGCAAATCAGGTGAATGCCGGTTGTTGACCTCTCCTGTGCTCCGTTGTGCAAGCATGGCTGGAATGGTCGTTGGCTGCGGCTGGATATGGGTAACTCAGCTCGTGGCTGTAGCAAGGAAACAAGCTCCGGACAGCGCACGTCGAAGAAGAGTTTGCCTTCTGCTCTCCTGCACACCAGAGGGCGTGGCTGGCCCAAGGGACGCTACAGCCTACAAGAACGTTCTACCGGCTGTGCCAGGCGGCCGGCAACTTGTTAGCCCGGACCTGGTCCAGGTAGTCAATCATGCCAGGGAACGCTACTGCCCAAGTAAGCAAGGATTCCATGGACTCGGTTAAAATCTAGGTCAAACGGGTAAGCCATCGTTTCGCCTCATCAGGCACGCTAGTGCTTTCTCGCCAGGGCGCGCATCCCAAAACCTTTTCAAAAAGTCAAGTAGCAGTCAAAGAGATTGAGTTGAGTCATGCCCAGCCTGCAGCTATCCTGCCTACCGTGTCCGCCACACAAATCTGAAAGCGCGCGAAACACGCCTCGCAGCTCGCACCAAAGCAACATCAGCCACGTTGCTCAGTCCAGGAAACGCCCGCCTGCCCATTCGCATACACATCAAGATACCAGCCATCATCCATCATAACCGTAAACAATCCAAACAAGAATAAACTCAAAAAGATTAGTACACGACTCCACGTCGTGAGATGATATATGTATCCACTTTACCTCCATCGTACTGTATCTTATACGCCGCCCCGAGTCCACGTCACGACACCACTGTATCGGTATCCGGGCAGAGCCGGTGAACCCGAATCTCTGACCCCGAGGACATTCGAGTTCAACGCCCGCCCGTCCGCCCACCTAAACGGGCAGCTCACCTGCTCTCCCCGCTCACGTCACATGATCACGATTGCCGCTGCTGCTGATACCGACACCGATACAGCAGCTGCTGCCATTGCGCTAGTGTGGTAATCTGGTCTCTCTCACGAGCTGTCCCAACCCATCATGCCCAAGCCGCACAACCTTGCCGCCTCCGTCGCCGCAAGCTTGTCTAGATCCTGCCCGCCCAACGCCCTGTCCAATCCAATTGCACAAAGAAGTTGTCTTCTCAAGTCCCCAACACCGGCTTTTGCCGCCTGCCGTCAGCCCTTTCCTCAGCCCCCCGCCTCCCAGCCATGCCCTCTCAGTAAGGCATGCACGCCTGGAATCCTCTACGCCACGCCCGCCGCCTTGGCTGCCAGGCTCTTCATGCTGGCTGCCGTGCCAAAGTAGGTGCACACCAGACCCAGCAGCGCGACAAAGTAGTTCCAGGCGGTGCGCAGCGGCCCGTTGCGCTCGCCACACAGCACCTAGCGCAGTGCGAGCAGTGAGAAGGTGAAGGGGTGTCAGGGGCGCAACGCATGCATGGTATGCCACACATGCAGGGGTTCCTCCACTACAGCTAGTTAAGCAGAGCCCATTGCGCTCATACCCTGGCCCGGCATCACCACCGCACCTATCCCATGTTCCCATCATACCCGCGCAGCCCCTCAACCTCCCTCCCCTCCTCTCCCTCCCTTCCCGCACCCCACCTGGTGGCACAGCGGCGGGAAGGTGACGGACACGCTGATGGTCATGAACGACCCCACCAGCGCCATCAGGTGCGCCAGGAAGGGCAGCGACCGAGCCGCCATCAGGATGGCAATCGCCAGCGCCGTCCGCGCCACCAGCCGCATGAAGCCCTGCCGCCCGCCCGGCACCACCGACTGCACCGCCGCGGACACCGGCTCCATGGTGAGTGCGAACTTCGCAATGGGGTTGACCAGGATGACCGAGGCGCACAGCGCCGCCAGCACGCCGCTGAGGTTGAAGGTGACCAGGTCCAGGGCGCCGGTGCCGTACATGTAGTAGCCGGCGGCGCCCATGAGGGTGCACATGAGGGCGACCACAAGGTAGGCCACGTTGAGCACCTGTGAGGGGGGAGGGTTGGGAAAAGAGATGATGCTAACCGTATCCTTTTTGTGTTTTAAGAAGGTTGGGAGGATGGGAGGAGAGGAGGAGGCACGGCACATGCAGGTGGCGGCGTCCTGGCCTGTCGAGGGTGAACAGGTCTGGTCAGGGCATGGCATGGCCAGGGTCGCAGTGTGCCCCGCTGGTACCTCACTGGGTGCTGTAAGGGGTTGGGCAATGCGGGCGCCCATGCAGGCTCTGTAGCCGTCCGCCCGGCCCCAAGCCAGTCCCCTACCCCTCACACCACCTTCCTCTCACCCCACCCCGCCCATGTGGGTGCCGCCCCCACCTGCGGGAACTGCTTGGGGTCCTTCATGGACTTCTGGATGGCGGGGAACACCCCGTGCCCGCTGTAGCAGAAGGTGCAGATGCCCAGCACCAGCGGCAGGGTGGCCCAGTTGGCCAGGGCGGTGGGGGCGCCGGGAGCAAAGCTGCCAGACAGGAAGGTGTACGCCACCTGCGCGGTCGCGGAAGAAAGCAAGGAGCCGTGCCTGGTTGTGTGGGCGTGTTCGTGCATGCGGGCTCACGTACGGAAGCATGCGTGCTGTGAAAGCCAAACGTTTCCAATCGTCAGCATGCTTGTATGCAGCTGTGACCCAGTAGAGCGCGATATCGCTGCGGGCCGCGTAATTCGCATCCAAGACCAGCCCGTGTTGCTTTTGCTGTGCTTGCTAGCTGGCTTGGCACGCTGTCATCAGCGCATCAGCCTGCTCTAGCATGTCCCCAAAAGTGTAGCAGCTCTTCTTTTCGGATCCGAACTTCCATAGCATGCCACGGTCGACACGCGTTCTCCTTGCAACCCAAGCCAAGCCAGGCCGCCACCCCGACCGCCCTCACCGCCGCTGACACGGTGCAGGTGGCCGTGACTCCTGCCGCCCCCAGGAACGACAGCGTCCGCAGGTCGGGCAGCCACACTGTGGGGATCATGAGGGCGGCCGCCACCAGCATGTACATGGCGGGGGAGCTGGCCAGCGGGCTGGCACCGAACAGCTTGAACATGTTGTCACCCTGTTGGGGTACACGGTAGAATGGGGGAGGGGATTATGTGTGAAGACGGGAGGGTGGCAGAATGGGTCTAACGAACATGTATCCCGCCCCATGCCGGCCATGCATGCGCCTGATGAGCCCAGATCCTCCTGCCGTAGCATGTACGCGCCCTGATCCTAGCCATCCACCCGGCCCTCATGTGAATGTTGGAACGTGGGCCGGCCCACCTCCAGGATGAATAGCAGTGCGCAGGTGCCGAAGAGCTCCACGTAGATGATGGCGGAAATGAGGAGCCGGCCAATCTTGCCGAATGATGCCTCCGCAATCTCCTCATAGCCCACCGCCCCGCCAGGTGCAACGCCGCGCTTTCTTACAACCTCCGCACACTCACAGAGCACCTTAGCGGTGTAGTTGGTGGCGATACCCATGACCCAAAGCACTATTAGGCCCACCCATCCCGATGACTTGAGGGCAAATGGCAGCGACAGAAGGCCAACGCCCATCATCACGTTGACAACATTGAATACAGCCTGCGATCGACATGCATGTTTGGCATAACATGTGCTCTGTAGCTGACTGGCATGACCCAAGTGGCCGATTGTATACCTGAACAAAAGTGCTGTTGCCTGTGGCCTCAGCTGGCACGCTGGTTGCTCCATCATCAGCAGCGGCTTTTGTCCTAACTTGTAATTGGCGAAGCTGCTTGGGTGAAGGAGTAGCTATGTGGGGGGCAGGTCGAGAGGCCGAAGATGATGGCGAGGCCAAGCGCAAGGCGCGGCCAGTCAATACAAACGGACGCAGATATGTTCGCTGTGGAGCCGGTACACAGCTTCGGCCTAGTTGCTTAACTTGCAGCATTATGTCAGAGGCCGGCGCAGAGCCAAAAAAGCAAGTAGCCCTGTGTACGCCGCCGCGCCTCTAGAACTATATTCCTTCACCACAGTTTAAAAATAACTAACTGATGCTAGGGAACTGGTCACCTGAAGACGGCTGTCTCTGGCCGACCGCCGTACATGGCGTACTGAAAACGCATTTACGCAACTGGGACGCAGACCAAGCCACCGCGTTCCGTAAACATTTAACCTTATGAACTGGCCCCGCCCAGCGCGAAAACTGTCCTGTCTAACCTTGGGAATTCCCCTCGCCCAGACGCCACAGTTTACAACTTTTTTCCCTTAGTTCTTGCACCGGATTTGTAACCGCTGCGGCAATTGTAAACCGTTAAACCCAATTTAGGCGCAGTACTGTCCCTGTCGCGTTGTAATAGCGAGCTATGGACGGGAAAGCTAGGCCACGCGAGAAGCTGGATGTGCCAAACGTGGCACCATTTGGTAGGGAATATGCTCCTTCGCGGACTCCGCCATGGATAAAGATACATATTCTGACTTTGCCCTGGCATTCTCTCTCGACCCTCGACAGAGCAAAAGCTAGCAAACTTGACGCGACAGCGACCAGCAATCGGGCCAGCACCTCGAAGCTCAGGTGGGTTCGAGCCACGGATCGCCTCGCGTGGGTTTGGCGGCTGCCGCCAGCACGGTTTTCATTAGTAAGCACACTACAACCTCGAGGAAGTTTGCCGAAACCCATTTCGCCCAGTTGAAGCGCGCTTTACTCTCACTTGGTACACGACGTATGTGTCATTACGGGGCTCTTTACGCCGACTACGGTATAGAGACGACAGTTAACCTGAGCCTCTGTGAACCACCCATGCGCTGGCTCCCATTATGCGTTGCAATCGGCCGCAGTGCTGGACAAGCTAGCGGCCTTTCTGCCACAACTAGCCCATGAGAATGAGCGGCTACAGGAGCAAATGCAGGTGCGAGTCCCGGGCGCCTGCACAGGGATCCACAGCTGGTGTGCGTGAGCGATGGTTTGGCCCATTCCTGCCTTGGCATGGGACTTGGAATGAATGTTGGTGACTGGGGAAGGATAACGGAATAATGTGGGCTTGGTAAACTCAGACATGTGGAGCGGTATTGGGTTGGTGCAATTTGGTTACCACCCAGACCCGAATCTGAATCGTGATGGGCTATCCCTACTAACTGTCCCCGGTTCTCCCTCTCCCTCCGCCCTTGGGTTCTTTCCGCCCTTTGCAGAGTCGACCTGCCACTGACTTCGATATTGAGCACATTGAAGGAGAAAAGACCGCGACCTACATAGAAATGGTACGTGGTGGCCCGGCAGGGGGCTGCATGGGATGCTGAGTGCTGCCAAAAGAGGCTGGACAACAAGCTTGAGAAAACCCGTGATCCAGACGCCAGCATAACTGCGCTTCCCACATGGCCTGCTGGGAGACACACCTAGCGATGGATGAAAACAACTGCGCCCACCTTACGGCTCCATACGTGTTTGTCACAGCAGTGGTCGTTGTCCATCTCACTTTAGCTGGCCGCCTTGGCGGCCTTGTCTCCCATGCGGCTCATCTCGTCCCTGTCCTGCATCCCACGTTCCCAACCAACGTCTCACTTCAGGATCTCGCATGTGGTGTGCTGGAGCTGCGGGATGAGGCGGCGCTGCGGGCTGCGGAGGCGGCCATGGAGGGACGCAGGGGCGGGCTGGGGATGTCGGAGGACGGCAGCAGCAGCGACAGCAGCAGCGAAGAGGACGAGGAGGAGGAAGAGGACAGCAGCGAGGGCAGCGAGGAGGGGGTTGTAGAGCCCAGCAACAGCAGCGGAGGGCAGGAGGAGCGACGGGCGCGCAAGGGAGAGGGGTTGGGAGGTGGTGATAGAGGCGGAGACCCAGGCCGGAACGGTCAGGAGGTGGTGGAGATGGAGTGTGACGCTGGGGAAGCGGAAGGGCGGTCTGGGCAAGGAGCGCAGGGCAGTGGTACTGGGGCGGCGGTGGTGCGACCTGGTGCGGGGAAGGGTGCGGGGCGACGACGGAAGCTGGCGGCCAAGCGCAACAAGATGATCGAGGAGTTGCCCTAGCGGTGCTGGCAGTAATCCGTGGCATGGTTTCGTAGCATGTTGCATTAGGAGGAAAGATACTTTATAGCACTCATGGAAACGCATAGCGGGAGAATGGAGTCGATGTACTTTAGGACGTACTTGCTTGGTACTGCGTATAGGCGCTGGTCTAGCTCACGGAAACCTTGCGAAATGTATGCTGCGCATTCTTTCAGCTATGGGCGCCTATGTGATGTGAGCGTATACGGTAATGCACGGATTGCAGAGTTCCGATTGGTGACGTATGGTTTGGGCAGCCGCCCACGGCTTTGTAGTCGACGCAACAGACGGGTTAGATATGTGTTGATGCGATGATGAGCTCAGGTACGTTTTGCTGTCACGTGCGTGTGCTTGGATGTGTTCAGCTGTCACAGGGCGGTAGAGAACTCCCTGCGTGAGTGATGACCGAACAGGAGTACAGGAAGCACGTGAGATGTGAAGGTATGTGCCTAAGGGCGCGGAAAGCTAAGTTTTATGGGATTTGTCACCAAGGAAACAACAGACATTTGCGAAAACTTAGCCCTCCCCGAGAGCGGAGCCGAAGGGGAAGCGGGACAGTTACAAAGGTGAAGGAAGTATGGTGGCGGTGACGTCCGGCTGTTGTACAGTGTCTTGGTGATAAAAGTAAATACCGAATTAACGATCAGCATGCAACAGAAAGACGGGACAAGGCAGAAGTAATGACGACAAGTGTCAGCGTGTATCAGCGCGGGTTAGGGGTGCGGTAACGACTGAACAACCTGAAACCTTGTAACCACCTGTACGCACAGTAGCCGCATATATATCCTAGAGTGCGTGCAGGAGGGGGTTTAAGGGGTAGGGTTTCCCTCCCCCTCCAGAACAGTCCGTATCCTATGGCATGTCATAAATGCTGCAACAAGTACTTGGGACACCTCCCAATTGTGAACATGTATAGATAGCGCGTCCCGAGCCTTAAGTATAGAAGTAGGTGCCCTTCCTCGGAAGGTGTGAAAGCGACCCATGGGTCTCGGCTTCTCGGGGGGATGTTAAGTTCATTGTTATAGGCGGCTGAGAAATGAATGGGTCTTCGGCTTTTGCTCCAAACGGTCCATGTCAGGGTGTTTACATTTAATACTTTTTTGGCCCGACGTGCAGTACAGCTTCATTTACACAGTAATACGTGCGGGAGGGGGTTTAAAGGGGAGGGTGCCCCTCCCCCTCCCAACTATCTATCGGACGTACCTCATAATGAGGGTGGTGATTAGCCAAACTGTATAATACGGGCCATCTAGATTAATAACCACCTTTAAGTAGGCCAACCAAACGGTCACCATTTGGTAGGTATGGCCTTTGTCCGTCGTTTTGCGTTGGGAACATCCTTGCCAATACACCGTGCCTTTCACTTATGCGCTGCATTCGTTCAATCTTCGATCAGTAATCCACACCTTACCGGCTGACCTGGGTACGTCAGCCGGTTTGTCAAGGCTATGTGCTATGCCTATGTCTAAGCGGTATCCCTAGCCCAGCAATTGGTAACAACAGCGGCGGCCCCGCTCCATGCGTGTCAGAGACGCTTGTCCGGGACTGAGCGACACGCCTATGGCCAACGGACTGCCGGACGCGCTCAGTCCGTGAAAGGGGTGCTATCTCAGAATCCCCTCAAGCAAAATACCACTCACATAGCGCTGCATCCCTCCGCATGTCGGAGACGCGCGCGTTTAGACCGTGCGGCACTTCAGGGAACAACGCAAGTACCGTAGCATGCGCGACTACACACATGCACTACAGGGTGTTACTCGCTATGAGTGTAGCCTCACGCGCTGAACCGTCTCACGGCAGCCAGTCTTCGTGTCCTGAATGCTGCGACCGAAGCAAGTCTGCAAGGAGGGTAGGGAACCGATGTAGCCAGGTATGACAACAGCCGAGCACATCTGTCAAGAATGCGCACCTTAGTGTCTGATGACCTACTCCGTCAGGAAGGAAAGCAGCTTCGATATGTAGCTCTCGTTTGTTGCTGTGCCTGCCGAGACGAGGATGTTCAGAATGACCAGCCACCCCAGAATATACTGGCCAGTCTGGAGCTTCCGCTCGACCAACGCGATGGCCCGCTGCTGAGACAGGTCCACTTGAGGAAAGTGCTTCTGCACTTCAATCTTGTGCTCTGATCTGGAGCGCTCTATGGCAAGCTTGTTTTCCGCAATGCAGCGCTCTATCGCAAGCTTCTTTTCCGAAATGGAGCGCTCAAAGAGCACCTCGAAGTTCGGCCGAGAAGGTTGAGCAACCTTCACCGCTATAGCGGCTATAGCAGTGAAGGTTGCTCAACCTTCTCAGCCGAACTTCGAGGTGCTCTTTGAGCGCTCCATTTCGGAAAACAACCTTGCCATAGAGCGCTCCATTTCAAAAGCGCGAGCCGGAGTGGTGCTCACAAGCAACATGCTACAACTCATAACCATAAGATGTTTATGCAGAAATGGTTCGGAAAAGTAATACAGTCTGGGCTCTGAGGCTCCAAGGCGTTGGACAGGTTCCTGCACCTGCCTGCTGTAAAAGCTGTAAGGGTGCAGCTAAGTCCCACGGTAGGGCGTCCTAGGCAAAGTGGGATTACATTTTGGGTGGTGTCCTACTCATGCGAAGGCACGCCTTTAATGTTACGCCGAATACGCCCGCAAAATGCTACTGTACGAACGCGGTTTGTCGGCTCCAGAACCCGTGTGGCCGGGTAGCATGAAAATAAGCACAATCAGGCAAGGCATTTCCTGTGGCGCAAGCTTCATATAAGTGTATGAAAGAAGCTACGCCGGAACGCAACTCTTCGTATCGAACGGCCAAGGTTCCTATGGACGTTCGTGTCGGGCTTCGGAGAACGGTTCAAGCAAGGTGTCGTACAGCTGCGACGGTTCCCGCGGACAAGCCAATCTTATCATCTCGTTCGAGGACAGTTATTGTTGGCACCATATAACTTGCTTTTCCTGGTTGCAATTTCTACAGTCCTGGGACGCGGACTCTTACCTGCGATCGGGTGTCACCTGAAGATTTCTTGCCCTGTGTAGAGCGACATAGCAAAAATGGCAACCGGAATGCCATATGGGCTTCAAGCCATGCTTAAAGATGGGCATAAGCATTTTAGCGGGCTTCAAGAAGCGGTCATGAAGAACATCGAAGCTTGCAAGGGTCTAGCGCAGATCACCCGGACTTCTCTTGGACCAAATGGTGCGGATTTGCCCTGAGGGATGGTTTGCCCGGTTACCTTGTATGAGGCCGGACCCGCCAGATTGGCGCGCGGCCTTTAGTGACGGCGCGGCTTTTACACAATCGACGGGATCGCGCCCTGGGCTGTGTACAGGCATGAATAAGATGGTGATCAACCACCTGGAGAAGCTTTTCGTTACAAGCGATGCCAGCACGATAGTTAGCGAGCTGGAGGTGCAGCACCCTGCCGCAAAGCTGCTCGTGATGGCAGCAAAGGCGCAAGAGGCGGAGATTGGCGACGGCACGAACCTGGTGGGGTGCTAGGGGAAGTGGGAGGGGACGTATCTAGGGGCCTGATACTGGCCCTTTACAATGGGGAGTTGCTGGCGGGTACCAAGGCCAGCAGTGTGTCACGATTATCAATGTTTCCTGCTGCCTTGATAGCTCACAAAGTGGAAGAAGACGGGAGTCCCCTAAACGTGCCTGCAAGGACATGCATGGACCTCAACTCTAAGGGGATGGTGGCGTTCGCGTTGTCATCTGCTTGATGGACTCTGCTGCCACCGTATTCCCCGCACCCGTCATCAGAACGCAACCATGCACCGCCGTGCACGGCGCATTCAACATGCAGCGTACAGCGTGCATGATGATATGATAACCATGATGGCTGTTTCTCACGGCTCCCCCGATATGGTCTTTGACCCCGCAGGTGCTGACGCTGGGTGGCGAGCTGCTGTCTAACGCCGAGTCGCTGCTGCGTGACGGGTTGCACACCGCGGAGGTGGTGGAGGGCTACCAGCGAGCGTGCGAGAAGGTAGGGCGGGTAAAAATGAGGAAACTGACGAGGCTTGTATGGCGAGGCTTCACCATATGGGGCGGGGCGGGGGGTCTTGGCTTGGTGGAGCAGGCCGTTGGGGAGTAGGAGTAGGCAAGGTGGGAGCAGCACGGACAGGGAGCTGAAGTTCGTGGGATAGGGAGCAGCCGTTAGTTACTGTGAGAAAGGTTGTTGCGTTGATCTGGCTAATCCCGCCCGCTGGCCCGCGAGGCCAGCCTAGCGCCGCATGATACACGTCCTTGCACTTCACATGCAGTGCCATGCAGTGGCCGTGTTGCTAGGGAGTAGTCGCATGTGGGAGTGTGCACGCGTGGGGGTTGCACGCAGCGGTACCCAACGGGCTGGGCGCATGCATGCTCTCACGTATCCTTGCAGCCACATGCACAGCGCTTGACCTCGACTGGCGCGCCGAGCTGCCCCGACGGCTTTGCTTCCCTCCCTCCCTGCTGCCCCACTGTCCCCAAAGGCTTTGGAGGTGTTGGAGTCGCTGGTGCTGCCCAACACCAAGGATGTGGACGTGCGCGACAAGGCGGAGGTGGGATGGCAGGGGTGCAGGGTGGAGGGGAGGGGGCCTGCGGGCTGGGCGGTAGATGTGGAGAAGGGAACTCACGTGTGCACGTGTGGGCATGTACTTGGGTGGGCAGGTTGAGCATGGTATTGGGTGAGAGCGGCGGCGGAGGCGCCGCTGCTGCTGCTGCTGCGGGTTGGCAAAGGCCTGGACATGGAGGAGGTGCCGGGAGTGAGCGGTGCACCCTGATTGTTTCCTGTTTCCGGATGAAACCCTGGGACACGAAGCTGATAGCGTGTGCTTAGGGATAGGCCTGCACTGGCCCCCCCCACCCCGCGGTGGGTCCTCCCGCCGCATGCTGAGGTGCTGCAGCGGCGTTTAATTGCTCCATGAGGAAGGGGGGGACCAGGAGCGGGCCCTCAGCTCCCTCCTTCCATTCCTCACCCTGTTACACTGGCCTTGTGACTCACTCGCATCCATACGCCAGAGGCTCTTTCATCACGGGTAGCCATGCACACTACCATCACCAACGTTTGCTGTCTTCCTTTCTCACCCCACTCCTCCCTCCCGCCCCCCCCCTTCCCTTGTCTTCTTTGCCCCTCTCCCTAGATCGCGCGGCGCCTGAAGGGCTCCATCAGCAGCAAGATCAGCGGCTACGAGGATCTGCTGGCGGGTCTGGTGGCTGAGGCGTGCATCGAGGTGTGCCCCAAGAACCCCAACAACTTTAATGTGGACAACGTGCGGGTCGTCAAGATCCAGGTAGGGAGGGCGAGGGCGAGGGCGGGGTGTAGGGGCGAGCGGAAGGGAAAACGTGGACAGCTGAGAAACGAGGAAACCAGCTGGGTAGGTGGGTAGGTCAGCTGGGCCAATCTCCATGCGCCGCGTGCCTTTCAAACTAACCCCTTCACCTCCTCCCCATCCCTCACTCCCCGCACTTTTTCACCCCCGCCAGGGCGCCACGCTGCCCGACAGCCGCGTGGTGACGGGCATGGTGCTCAAGCGCGACACGGAGGGCAGTGTGAAGGGCGTGACGGACGCCAAGGTTGCCGCCTACACGCAGGGGGTGGACACCTCCGCCACCGACACCAAGGGCACGGTGCTCATTAAGAGCGCGGAGGAGCTGGAGAACTACTCCAAGTGGGTTGGAGACTGGGGGGGAGACCAATTGGGGGGGGAAGGGAAATGAGATGAGATGAGCCGCGAGGAAACGCTAGGGGCGGGGGAGAGCAGAGGGGAGGTAGGGGCAGGGGGGGGGGGGCGGAGGGAAGAAGGAGAAGCCCTAGTTCCCGGTGCCCCGGTGAATCCGACCTGGGGACAGCACTGGGGGCTTCCCTGCGGTGCCCGAGGGGAGGGGAGGCGGTGTCCCGTGTGTGAAGGAAGAATGGACCCATTGGTCAAATGCGGAATGTCCGACCCCCTTTTAATCCCCTTCTCTCCTCCTTCCCCACCCCTTACGGTTGATTCCACCAGGGATTGTCAGCAACTTGTATCATTATCACACCACACTTTGGAATTTCTTGTTCCCCTCCCCTCCCCCGCAGGTCGGAGGAGGCCAAGCTGGAGGAGTACATCCGCGGCATCGCGGACAGCGGCGCGCGCGTGGTGCTCAGCGGCTCCTCCGTGGGTGAGATGGCGCTGCACTTTTGCGAGAAGTACGGACTCATGGTGGTCAAGATGCCCAGCAAGTTCGAGCTGGCGAGGCTGTGCCGCGCTACGGGAGCCACCGCGCGTGCTACCTTTGGAGCTCCCACTGCGGAGGAGCTGGGGTTTGCCAAGAGCCTGCGGGTGCAGGTGCGCGGCGGGAGGGGAGGGGAGGGGAAAAGGGAGGAAACTGATGAGCTGGTCAGGTCTTCAGCGCAGCTCTATGTACACTACCTTTCAACATGCCTGTCAAGCCCCATCTGTCCCGACCCGCCTGCACCCCCTCCGCCCTCCACCTGGTCACGCTCAGCGTTTCCTAGCGGCTCACTTTACCCCCTCCTCCTTCCCCCCCTCGCTCCTCCCCTCCCCAGGAGATCGGCGGCACCAACTGCCTGGTGCTGCAGCAGGACGCGGCGCTGGGCTCCATCGCCACCATCGTGCTGCGCGGCTCCACAGAGGGCTTCCTGGACGATGTGGAGCGGGCGGTGAACGACGCCATCAACACCTACAAGGCGCTCTGCAGGGACTCGCGCATGTTGGCGGGAGGGGGCGCGGCGGAGATTGAGCTGGCGCGGCAGGTGGGGGTGGAGGGTGGGGGGGGGGGTTAAAGAGGAACAACGAACTGACCGTGTGATAAGGCATCCACATGGTTTGCAACATTTGAGCCAGTCCGTGAGGGGTGGGGTGGGGGAGGAAGGGGACTGGGGCTGGGGATCCGCTGGGAGGCGTGGTGGGCCGGTGTGTGTTGCAGGACGGGGAGAGGGCTGTAGAAGACCTGCATTCGAGGGGGACGTAGAGGAGTGCCATAGATGTGTTTCTGGGGGCCGCAAGCGTGCTGCTCAGTTTGGTGAGGAGCGGTTGGGAGCCAACCGGTAACCAGCATGCTGTACCTACTTCCCTCTCATCCCTCCCCGCCAGCCTGACAGATTGTTGGTTCTCCCTCCTCTGCTTCCTCCTCCCCTCTTCCCCGCCCCCCTTTCCTCCCCGCCCCTCCCTAGATCGCCGACTTTGCCAAGAAGCAGACGGGTCTTGAGCAGTATGCCATTAACAAGTACGCGGAGGCCTTCGAGATGGTGCCCCGCACCCTCGCCGAGAACTCCGGACTCAACGCCACAGACGCCCTCTCCGCGCTCTACTCCGCACACGCAGCCGGCCAGACCAACGCAGGACTGGATGTGGACGGCGGCGCGCCTCGCGACCTTTCGACTTCCGACGGCATTCTGGACCTGTTCTCCACCAAGTGGTGGGCTGTACGACTGGCGACGGAGGCGGCGTGTACGGTGCTCAAGGTGGATCAGATCATCATGGCCAAGCAGGCCGGCGGGCCGAAGCCTCGCGGTGGGGATGGGGATGATGATTAGATGATGGGAGGAGGCGGAGGAGGTGCAGGAGGTAGTGGTGGTGGTTAATGGGGGTGTGATGCGGGCCGCAGGAGGTAGGAATGGGCTTTGGGTTTGAGGTGTGGGAGGAGGAGGAGGGGAAGGGGTGGCAGGTGCTGTGCCGGGGCATGCACATTGTGTTGTTGAGTGGGTGGGGGTGCGGAGAGGGGTATCGAGAGGTGCTGCGGGCAGATGGTTTGGGGGTCGCGTAGGGGCCTTGGAGGGATGCCGCAGTACGAGGCTTCCGCGTGTGCGCTGGTACGGCAGTAGTACGGCAGCGGTCCCGTGTGCTGCAGGGGGTGCGGAGGGGGGCATCGGGCTGTAGCAGTAGGCAAACAGAGCGGTAGGATAGGTCGACATGGGGCAGCGTGAAGGGCACTCTCGGCAGCAGCAGCAGGTGGAGCTCACAAGATTGCGGTAGGCCAGCATGCGCGTTGCAAGTACTACGTTGTACGGCGACAGTTCAGGTCTATCGTACGGATGCTTTGAGAAAGGATTGCTGGAATGGCCTCCCGAGAGAGGCTACTTGTTGGCAGGGTGCGGCTGGGTAGGCGTGTTCCGAGTGTGTACCGTAGTACACGCGTCGATGGAAATGGTGCTTTGGGATGGTTGCCCACTCCCCAGCTCCTGTATGTACCAGCTTACGGCTGGCTTGTTGTCAGCTCACTGGCCTTATGTAACATGGGGCTACCCTGGCAGGAGGCTTGCAAGTGCTCGTACTTGCTTTGTGTGGTCCCCTACCCTCCGCATGTCACATTCTGAATGATGCACATCTGCACGAAAAGAGGCCTTATCTCTTGCATGTCACCATGGCCCATGGGGCCTGGACCACGCAAACAGCAGCTTCTTTGATCGGACGAAGCGTGACGCAGCAGAGCTTGAGACTCGCTCAACGCGGCATGGCACGAGACAACGGCCTTCTAAGGTCCAGCAATGTCCATTCCATTTCCTTGGGAACTTTGCTTGTAGTTTGCCTGGATCGACACCGATGCTTTAAAGTCCTTCCATCAGACGCTAAGTTTATTGGTTTTTCCCGAAGGATGCAACGAACATCATGACACAGCCCTCGTCACGGAGCAAGGAAGACCAAGCATTGTACGGAACCCGAGTTTGCCCCTCCTGCGCGAAAGCCATCTTGCCGGCCTACGTTCGGCAGTAATACCGCATTCAATTTGGAGTACACTACAGTGGTTCCATATATACTCCGCATCGAAATCGCATTTGCTTTCAAACGGCGACGAGGCACGGCTTGAAGCCAAAAGGGCCAGAAGGCCATGAACTCATTAGCGCAATTTCAGGCGTACTAGTATTACCAACTAGATGGCTGAGGACCGCTGGGTCTCCAAATGGCAACCGACGACGGATGCACGTGGCGAATCGCGACCCTTCAGCAGCGGTACCAGACGCAACGACAATGACAGCACCGGCGCTCAATTCCAGCGCAACTTCAACAGGCCGGGCCCCGCATCGCGACCCCAGTCAGCCGCTGACCGGGTTGACCGCTGGGGCCCGAGGCCGGCACCCGCAATCAATCAAGACCGTGCAGAAACGTACCAACCTCTAGGTCATGGCCTCCGTCATTACCAGCCCCAGCGACGTCTCAACCCGCCGGCTTGCGGCCAGGATTTGTCCGACTCAGATGCCGTACACGGGCTGGATCCGGAACTCATGGGTGAGGCCTTTGGCGGCTTGGATCCCGCAGAATCCGAATCCATCGGCGGCGCCACGCCCGCCCCCGGCTGCTTTGGCTCGCCGCGTGACAGCTCCTCCTCCTCCTCCTCCTGCCTGGTTAGCCTCAGACCAGGCGGGTCGGCCTCAGCCTCAGCCTCAGCCCAGCAGGCGACGTGCGGTTGGAGGTCGAAGGCGCTGCAGGAGCTGGAGGCGGAGGTGGCGGGCAGGGGGCCGGGCGGGTGGAGCCTGGAGAGGCTGGCGGAGGCTGCCACTGTGGTGGGTGGGGGCGGGGGCATGAGGTGTGCGTGTGCGTGTGTGTTTTAAGAAAACTGGATGCGTGTGTCTATGTTTGTGCGAGTAGGAGAGGGTGTCACGTGCGGCCCTAGAGATTAGCTGGCCGGCGGGTTGGGTTCGTGCCGTTGGAAGTCATCTTCACCGCGGGAGTGGCTGCCCAACGGCTCTTTCCCGGTCCCGTTGCCTGTGTCCCGATCCCCCTTACTCTTTACCACCACTCCCCACCCACCTCCCTTGCGGCCTGGTCTTCCCCGCTTCCCCCCTCCTCCCCCACACCCCTCCCCCCAGCTCTGCGACCTAGCCGGCCACCCGGGCTCCCAGCAGAGCCCCTGCGGCCTCACCCCCGAGCCCATCACCGCCACCAGCACCAGCAGCTGCCTCGCCACCCAGCGGGAGCTGGACGTCATGGACGCCCTCGCGGCGGCTGTCGTACGGGACTACTGCCTTGCCGTACCGGCACCGGCGCCGGCAAGCAGCGCTTGTGAGGGGGCTGTGCAGGCACTTCCGCCGCCGCCAGCGCCGTCCGTAGTGCCGAACCCTAGGAATGCCTGGGCGGTTGCACAGCTGTTGTGGGCATGTGCGAAAGCGCAGTACTGGGATGGGCCGCCGGAGCCGCCGCGGACGGCTGAGGTGTCGTCCGCGCGACCCATGGGTCAGCAGGATGGCTGGACTGCCGCTGCTGGCGTCGCGCCTGCTGCTGCGGTTACGGCTGCTGCTGCCAGCCCTGTTGCGCTGCCCTGGTCTTCCCTCCTGGCACCTCAGCACCGGAGCTGCCCAGCAGCAGCAGACGGGCAGGCACCCGACCCGGCTGCTGATCCTTCCACTGCCGCTGCTGCCGCACACTTGTCCGGCTTGACCCTGGGCGGCGACTCCAGCCCTCCTCCCCCCCTTTGCAACGGCGCCGACGCTAACGGCCGACACCACCAGGGGCCCCACTGCTCTAGCAAGGAGGAAGACACCACCAACAGCACCTCCAGCACCTCCGGGGAGCCCACTGCCTCCGCCGCCGCCGCCGCCTCTTCCGTCGCCACCAGCGTCTCCGCTCGCGGTCCCTGGCGCCCGCTGGCCGTATGCCTGCTGCAGCTCCTGGCCAGCGACGGCTGCCGGCTGGTGGCCCAGCTGGACGACAAGTCGGTAGCGGTGGTGTGGTGGTCCCTCGCCAAGGCAGCAACCACTGCTCGCATCAAACACCATCACTCCGCCGCCGCTACAGCCGCCACCGCCCCCGGATGCCCCAAAACCGCCGCCACTGCAGCAGCAGCAGCCGCAGCAGCAGCAGCACCCTCTGTTGCCGCGGCGGCGGTTGTGTCCGCCGCCTCACCTGCCCTGCTGACCACGCTGGAGGGCCGGGCGGCTGAGGGTCTGCGTCAGGCGGACGTTCCGCAGCTCTGCGCGCTGTTCTACTCGTGCGCCTGCATGGGCGGCATCCGGGTGCCTCCGCGGCTGGTGCGGGCGCTGGGGGCGGAGGTGGCGTCGCGGCTGGAGGCGGGGGCGGTGCTGGGGCCTGGGGTGACGGCGGGGCTGCGGGGGGGTGGTGGCGCAGGAAGTGGGGAAGGGGGTTGGGGAGGTGGCGGTGGGTTCACGGCTCGGGATCTGTCGTGTTTGGCGTACTCGTGCGGATCCCCGGGTGTACGGCAGGAGGGGCTGCTGGCGGCGCTGGCGGAGTATGTGGTGGCGGCGCGGCAGCACGTCAAGTGGAAGTGGGTGCGGCTGCTGCTGCGGTGGCGGCGGCAGCGGGGTTAGGGAGGAGTGAGGGAGGGAGGGAGAAGAAGGAAATACCGTGTTGTGGTTAGGGGGAAGGGGAAGAGGAGTTGAAGGAGTGGCGGGATAGGGTGTAACTGTGCCGCATGGCAGCTGCATGGAACAGGGGGCAGCGGGGGCCTCATGTGCTGTGCTGTGTAGCACCCTAGGCACCTTCCCCTTAATCTCCATACCCCTCCCCCTCTCCTCCTTCCCCTCTCCTTCCTCGCTCCCCCCACAGCGCCTCCTCCCTCGCCGTCTTCATGTACGGTCTAGCCAACGCGGGGTTCCGCGACACCCGCCTCATGGCCTGGGCGGAGGCCGCCGTCGCCGCCACCCCCCCCTCCGCCTTCAACCTCCGCAACATCTCCTTCCTGCTCTACAACTTCCACCGCCTGCGCTGGTGGCCCCGCTCCGCCGCTGCGCACCTGCTGGGTGCTGCCTGCCTGCACCCGCCCGCCTCCATCCCCGTCATCAGCATCAGCACGGTGCTCATGTGCATGGGCTCGGGGAGGGCGCGGGATGAGCGCGCGCTGGCACACCTGTGTGATGCGCTGGTGCGGCGGCCGCGGCGGGAGCTGAGCGCCAAGGACGTGTGCATTTGTCTGACGGCGTTGCAGCGGCTGCATAATGAGGATGTGCTGGTAGGTGATGGGTGGGTGGGTCGGGGGGTGGGGGGTGGTGGGTTAGATGCACTGAGTCCCGCGAGGCATATGCTGATCCTGGGGGGGTGGGAGGTGGGGGGAGGTGCTGCGTGGGGTGAAGTCTCTGGATGTGAGGGTTGGCAGGGCCGCGGAAACACTGACCCACGGCACGGCACTGACCCACCGACCCTGACGCCCCTGGAAGAGACCTCATCACTTGGTTGGCTTTTCCTCTCTTACGGTAGCACGCCCCCCCTCCTCCGCCCCTTTTCCTCACTCCTTCTCCTCCTCCCCCCACCAGGCCAGCCAGCAGCCCGAGGTGCTAGCGGCGCTGGACCACCTCACAGCCGCCATCGCGGATCGCGGCTTCTCGCGCCCCGGCCCCGGCGGCGCCCCGCTGCCGGTGTTCAACCACCAGGAGGTGTCTAACGCGCTGTTCGCACTGGGCCGCCTCAGGTGGGGGGGTTGGGGGATGCGGGTGCATGGATGTGCTGACGTGCAGCCACAAACCCGTGGCAACCCGTTTTCCTAACACACGAGCCCCCGCCACCCCTCGCCCCTGGGCCTTCCCTCCCTCCCCCCTCCTGCCCCCCACGCCCCCCAGGTACTACAGTCCCCAGGTGCTGCATGCGCTGCGCTGTCACGCGGCCCGAGGCGGGCTGGCGGGCTCCAGTGCGTGGGACTGTACGGCGCTGCTGGTGGGGCTAGCGCAGCTGGACTACGACATTCGGCAGGGGGAGCTGCGGCAGCAGGAGCAGGGCGGGGAGGAGGGGGCAGCGGGGGGAGGGCGGCGGGGTGAGGGTGAGGGAGAGGGGCTGGGAGACGGCTGCGGCAGCGGGGGGGCAGCAGGGGAGGAGGGGGCAGCAGCGGAGGCGGAGGGAGGTGGTGGTGCCGAAGTAGCAGCGGCAGCGGCGGCAGGAGGGCCCCCTGGCGACTTGGTGGGGCTGCTTGCGCATGCGGTGGCACAGCAGGTGAGGGGGGCGGGGCGGGGAGGGCAGGGTGAGGACAGGGAGAGGGGTTTGCAGGGCAGGGAGGGGGGGCAGGGCAGGCGGGTGGCCATAGGGGTGGAGGACGAGGGATGTGAAGGGTAGCTGGAGGAGGCGCAGGGCGGGGCAGTGGGCGTAAGGGCGCTGGTAAGGGACACTGGAGGAGAGGTTGTGGACCCGGGTATACGGTACATGGAGGGACAAGGGAAGTGAGGAAAGTACGGTACCAGCCACGGCCGCTCGGTCGCCTGCTGGGAGGACCCCGCACCCCCCTGCTCCTCTCTTTCCCCCTTATCCTGGTTCCCCCTGCTCCCACCCACTCCCCCACCCGCAGGCCCACAGTGCCAAGTCTCAGGACCTGGTCAACACGCTGTGGGCGCTCGCCATCATGGAGGGGGCCCTGCAGCGGTACAGGTGCGGGGAGGCGGCAGCAGCAGGGAGAGGGGGAAGAGGGGAAGAAGTGGGTTGTCACTCTTGGCAGGCAGGGGGAGCTCCATTCACCACACAAACGTCACAAGTGCGGCAGCCGGCAAGAGCTGCTCGGGGAAAGCGCCACCGCTGCTGCGTTGGTGGCTCCCTTGCGATGCTTACTTGCGCTAGATACCTAACTTGCGTGTGAGGTTAACGTAACCTCCTCCTGCTGCCCTCAAGGCTTTGACGCCTTGCATCGGGCGTTCCCACCCTTTCCCACCACACCCTCGTGTTTCCGCGGCTCAGTTGATCCATCCCCCCCGTCCAACCCTCTCCAACAACCCAACCCACCCACCTCCAGGCCGCAGGTGACTCAGCTGGTGGAGGAGGTGAACCGCCGCGGCCCCGGCGGCTGCAATGTGGACGAGCACCGGCAGCTGTGGCAGGTGGCGGGGGAGCTGGCGGCGCTGCCGCAGCCGTACACCGCCGTACACCCCGACCTGGTGCGCATGGCTCGGCTGGGCATGTCGGAGGCGGACCACACCTACTCGCGAGTGCAGGTGCGATAGGGGGGGAGGGGGAGGGGGAGAGGGTTATTAGTAGGTTGTTTGTACCCCTTTACCCCCGGCCCCCGCCCCTATCCCATTGTTTTACACCAACCCGTGGTTTCCTTTGAATCGGTATGGACTTTGACCCCTCCCCCCCTCCAGTTGCTGCACTTATCATTAATTTGTTCCCCCCCCCCCGCATGAGTCGGGCTATGGGATTGGGATTCGTTGTTTCACTTTTATATAATTTTCCCCCCGCCCCCCCGCAGGCCAGCTTCCAGTCGCTGCTGGAGGCGATGCGGGGCTGCGGCCGCTTCCCCGAGCTTCGGGAGCTGCTTTACGAGCAGGAGCTGGTGCCGGGGGGCGAGCAGATGAGGAAGATTGACGTACAGGTGGGGGGAGGGGAAACAACTAACCGACAGGTGGCGGGGGAGGGGCGGACGGGTGGGGGCGGTGTTACCGCTACATGCATACATGTCGGCTTCTGGCCCGGGGCAACAATAGCGAGCAGTGGATAGGAGTGGATAACATGGCCTCCTGCAGGCAAGGAGCCCGTCATACCGTGCACGCACGCCCTCACCCGCCCCACCTCCCCGCCACACCAGGCCATGATCGAGCGCCGCACCCCCGACGGCAGCACCGCACTGCACCGAGTGGCAGTGGAGTTCGACGGCCTGTTCCACTTCATGGTCAACGAGCCGTACACCTCCAAGATAGACGGCCGTACGGCGCTCCGAAACCGCATCCTGGCTCGCCACCTGGGTCCCGAGAACGTGGTGTGTGTGAGCATGGCGGAGTGGGTGGCGGCGTCTCGGGAGCCGGTGGAGAAGGGGATGCCGGGGCGGTGGCGGTTGATGGCTCGTAAGTTGGGCTTGCAGTTGTGAGGGTGGTGGCATGTTGGATGGGTTGGGTGGGTTGCATGGGTTGTCTTGGGACGGCTACTACAGAGGTGTGTGTGGCTGGGGCTTGGGGAGGCTGATGGGGTGTTTGGGGGCAGATGCGGCACTTGGCATCTCATGGCACCAACTGTGATGGGGTTGCTTCTTAGCTTTCAGCAACGGAGTGGGGATGTCAACATGTTTGGGTGTCGTACCCCCAACAATGGAGCCACCCAACAGCGGCAAGAAAACTGCCGAAGAACCAGTACACATAAAGGCAATGTGGTATACGCATCCTGTCGCAACATCAATTGGCGACAGCCTAGACACAAAACAAGAAAACATAGACACGTCACGTTCTATTGTACAAATGCCGATTCGCATTCGACCAACATGTGTCGGTGAGAGTGTGGGCTACAGTGACGCCACCTGCTAATGGTACCAGTACCCAACTAGCAGAGCTGCGACGGACGGCTAAGCGACCCGTGGTCCAGTGAGGAGCAGCCGGTAAGGCCGCGGAACGCACTGCAAGCGCCTGACAATTAGAGCTTGTCGACGTACCTAATGATTACCGGGTAACAACAATGACCAACCGTCCATTAGGATTAACAATTCGCTTATCCAGAATACGAAGATACAACACCGAAAAAAGCGGGAAAATTAAATCGGAGCGGACCTTGTAACGAAAGCAAGTACGAGACATAAAGCACAACAAGCCGTAATAGGTGCAAGATGCAATGATGCCGCAACGTGACTGCAGCCTCGCCAGTCAGCAGGCTAACCGCTGCAATGGCGCCACCCACAACATGCCACCCCCGTGCAGCCGCAGCGAAGCACACTGCACCGATACATGGAGCCAACCTGCATGACGCCGATCCAGCGCTGCGTGTGCCCCGCCCCAATAATCCCTCGCCCCTCGCCCCTAAAACCACGCATGCATCCAAATCCCAGGAGCATCCCACTCACACATGAGCAACGAAGGCGCAGCAACAACCATGCCAAAAGCTGATCTGTAAATTGTAATACCAGCAACATCCACTGCCACACTACAGCCGCCAAATGGACATCCGACGACCCAACAAACAACAGCTCCAACTACCGCCTGACCGCCGCCCTCCGCTACCACCTACAACCACCCGCAAGTTGTCAACCACGGCTTGAGCTCGCTCCACACCCCCAGCAGCTGCCGCAGCCACTCCTGCTCGCCCGCCCGGCGCCGGGCGGCCTCATTGTCCCACATCGCCTGAAGCTCCTGTTGGTGTGGTGTGACGTGTGCAGTGAGGGATGCAATGGGATGGGGGTGGGCCAGGTAGCAAGCAAGCAGCGTCTGTTACAGGCAGCGAATTGCACGTCCTAGCAGGCGTATTGAGACGAGGACCACCACGCAGGGTGCAATGTCAGCCCGGCCTACAAAAGCAGCTGTGCTAACGGCTGTTGGGAGCAGCAGGAGCAAACTCGCAGGCATGCGTTCCCCTAGAAACCACCCCATGCACATTGCCTCTAGGGCCCAGCTAATACGGTATTGTCTCCAGGCGCCGGACATGCGGGCAGCACCGGCAATCACTGTTGGCGTATTGGGACAGGGATGACTGTTAGAGCCGTCGTGGTCACGTGCGAACCCACCTGCTGCATGGCAGACACCACAACCGCATGCGCGCTGTGCCCGCCCTCGCGTCCGCCCGTAGCCTGGACTGGCAGAACTTGCAGCGCATCTGGCTCGTAAGAGACCGCTCCAATCGCAATTCCCGCCGCCACCGCCACCGCTGCTTTTTCTCTAATGCACTCCAGCAATACCGCTGCCCGGGTGCCTGAAAACGGCGGCAGTGTTTTGTAGGACCGGAGGAGCTCTCGATGGCTGGCAGGATTGGATCCGTCGCCTGCTACCGCATGCCGCTGAACACCTTCCAGGAAAGGCACGAGGGTTTGCGGCTGCCAAAGCATAACGCTCACTGCGGGCCCTTGCAGCAGCAGGAAGCGGGAATTGAACCGCGTCCCTTTCAAACGCCCCAGCACGCATGCAGCCATGTCGGCCGCTGAAGGCGCTTCTGGTAGTGCCGAGGGGGCAGCTGCAGCTGGTGTATCCGGCTGGGCAGCCTCCAAACCCGGTGCACCGTCGACCCCACGCAGCTTTAACTTGATGAGATCCTGCCGTACACCCGTTAGTTTTAGCGTCCACGGCTTGCCAAGCAGCGCCATCCACGCCAGCACATGGGAGGGCGCCGAGGCTTGTAGCACGTTGACGCACATCCTCACCTCCGTCCCGCTGCTTGCACCGCTGCGTGCACCGCACCTTAGGAGCTTCCGCAGCGGTCCCGACTCCGACAGCTCAGGGAATTGTTCGCCCTCCTCAGGCAGCAGGAGCAGCTGGTGCAGTGACAGCTCCTGCAGCTGCACCTGCAGGCACCCAGACAGCAGCAGCGCCGCCACGCGGGCCAGCTGCAAAGAGTACACGGGGAAGCTGTACTCGCTCCCCAGCCACAAGCGAGTGCAGGTGCGGTTTCGGAGCTCCAGTTTGAGTTCCGTGGCCAATTGCAGTGGGGGGCTATCCACGGTGCTCCAGTCCAGTTCCAGTGTCTTTAGGGAGGGAGGCAGGTTGGAGAGCAGCAGCTGCATGCCGCGGCCACCGACAACAGAACCCTCTTCTTCGGCTAACTCATCAAGGCTTGGCGTAACACATTTGGCAAACTTTAAAAACGTCAGCTGCTGCAGCCGTGCGAGTGACTCCACTGCTTCGCTGCTCAGCTGACCGGTCCTGTCCCCACCCCTCATGTCAACATTTAGCTCCTGCAAGCTGCCGGCGAGGAGTTCCACGTGCTCCAGGCCACGGCAGTCGGACAGCTCAAGGCTTCTTAGGTTGCGCAACGTGGCAAGCTCGCGGAACATTGACTCCTGTTCGATGCCATCGAACAGCAGCATGACGTCTTGGACCTTCAGCACCTCCAGCGATGGAAGCCAGTGCGCCACCGAAGCTATGGACGCCTCAACGCGGCTGACCTCACAGTAGTTCTTGAGCTGCATGGTCAGGGTGGTAATGCGCTCCCGGGTAGCAGGCTGTTCGCGAGTGAACGGCAACAAGAGCAGGTCATTGAAGTCGCTGCCGTCAACATTAGTTGGCTGTATAATGACGTTGACCGTTTTCAGGCGAGGCCAACGTGAGAAGTTCGGTAGTGTGCCGGCGTTGTGCTGTCGCGCGGCATCTTCCGTGACCAGGACGTGAGCTTCCTGAACACTGCCATCTGTAATGTCACGGAACTGACGGAACGCTAAGCGAGCCTGTCTTAAACAGCGTAGCTTACGTAAATGGCAGTGGAGAGCGTCAGCGGCATGTGTGTCAATTTGCCGAAGCACATCGGCAAGGGTCCTTGACGGACTTTGTGATGCCTCCATTGTAACTAAGAGTTGATGTAGGTTTCCTAGGGCACATGCTGCCCGTAATGACCAAAACGTGGCGCAAGACAGTTATTTGTTCGTACAACAGGACCGTTAGTTCTCAGCGTTGCCTGTGTCCCGCATCCTGTTGTTTTACATTATTTTCCACCACTAGGAAAGGGCGGTGGTGAAAGCCTTTGAGCTCAGGATTCGCCTTGGTCTGTGGAAAGTGCAAGCATCCTGTGAAGGGAACGCACGTATACAAAGGACCCTTATATGACACACCTAGAATGGGAACGGATAAGCGCAAACGAAAATCGTCCGGCGCGCTTTCGGTGGAGCCGTCAAAAGAACGACGCCTGGAGGTTGGCTACCCGAAGTGGTAAGTTCTTCGTGTCTGATTTAGAGGTTTCGCATTTTTAGAATCCCTCACATGCACCAATCAAATATTTATAATAAGCTTCATTGTCTGGCATGCTCAGGGAGGACCACTGCGGCTACACAATTCTAAAGCTCGCGGACCAACAGGTATGTGCAGCGCTGAAGTGCTGTCGCGCTGGGTAGGGAAGGTCGTACGGCTTTTAGCAATTGCCGAAGACAGCTGCGCAACGCTTGCATGCCACTCTCGGGGCATCCAGGCGACATAAGGGCAGCCTAACTGACGCTTGCATTCCTCCGCATCACCTGTCTCACCATCACCACCTCGCCCCCGCTCCTCCTTCCCCCTCCCGACCCTCCCACACCCCTCCCGATCCTCCCGCTCCCCCAGAGCGTGTTGTTCTTGGGTGAGGCAACCCTGCAGGTGCTGCATGGCACAGTGCGGGTGGCTGGGTGAGTGGGCTGTGCCGGGCCGGGCGTCCTAGCAACCCCACACTCGGTGGACTGCGGTAACACCACTCTTACGACCTCTGCTTCTGCTGCTGCTGTGGACGGCTGCTGTTATGTTGTCATGCAAACTCCCTCCCTGGCCTCCCTCCCTGGCCCAACTGCTGCAACACCTTGTGCGAGTGCAAACCACCTGGTTGGTTGGTTGGTTGGAAGTGCATGGAGGGTTACCGTAGCTCGCCCGCCAGCCGCCCCCTCCCGGGCCGCATGGTGCATGACCAACATGAGCATTCCCCTCGCCCCCGCCCCCCTCCCCCCCTCCTCCCAGCAAGCTCATCACGGTGGAGAGCCCCCCGCTGCAGCTGTCCACCGGCGGCCGCTTCAACCTCGCACTCACCATTCTGGCGGAGGCGCCCGTCACGCAGGTGAGGGGTGGGGTGGGGGGCAGGGGGGCTGGGGAAGCGCCGTACCGGCACCCACCTTGCGACCACAACATGGGGTCCATCATGATGGGGTGCTGCATGGTTGCCCGCCCCTCCAGACCATGACCCGAGTGACGACCCGATTCAAGCAGATGGAGGTCCTGGGGGTCCAGGAGCGGCAGCAGCAAGCAACACCGGCTTTTCGCCGCCAGTTTTACCTATACACACACCTTTCCCGTCCCCACGTGCACCTGCGCTCTCCTGCCACCCGCAGATTCCCCTGGCCGCCAGCCAGCTAGTGGAGGTATCCCTGCAGAGCCGCCCGCCCCTGCCCCAGCTGCCCCAACCCCAGCAGCAGCACCCGCAGCCCAATGGCGCTGGTGTGGCCGCGGGCGGCAGCACTCCAGGCACCTCCTGGGCCGCCCCCGCCTCCTCCTCCTCCCCCTACCCGCACCCGCACCCCGCCCCCAGCTGCACCTTCAGCCTGCACCGACCCACCGACCCGCGCGCGCCGCCAGCGCTGACCGTCAGCAACGAATGGGCGCGGGTGGGTGCGTGAGCCTACGTGCGACGGGGGTCGGGGTGGGGACGTGAAAGAAAGCAGATGGAGGAAGCTGCAACAAAAGGGTGTGCAGATTGGGGGCCTGTAAGCCAGTAGCACCGCTCCGCAATAGGGCAGGATGAGTGCCATCTCAAAAGCTCTCCAAAACCTCTAAAACTCGCTTCCTACCACCGCACCGCCGTACCATCACCACCACCACCACCCCTTCCCTCCTCCTGCAGGCCATCTCGCAGGTGTGCTCCGCCGCCTCCTCCGGAGCCCCAGTGGTGCTGGCGGTGCTGGGAGCCAAGGGCATGGGCAAGTCTTCCCTGGCACGACTAACCGTCAACCGACTGTTGGACGAGCTGCCGCAGTACGGCAGCGGCCGTACATCTGCTCCTGCTGCTGCTGCTGGGGGTGCTGCTACTGGTGCTGCTGCTGCGGCAGCAGGCCTCGGGCCCTTCTGTAGCAGTAGCGGTGGTGGTGGTGGCGGGGGTGGCTGCCTGGGCCCTGCGGTCGCGTTCCTAGACACGGACGTGGGCCAGCCGGAGTTCACCCCGCCCGGGCTGGTGTCCCTGCACCTGCTGGGCGGTGGGGGGCGGGGCGAGGGGCCGCTGCTGGGGCCGCCGCATGCGCACCCGCGGCGGCCCTGGGCGGCGCGGTTCGTGGTGAGGGTCCGCAGCGGGGGAGGCGGGAGGGACTTAGGCGGTGTCGGAGCCCGAGGGGCGGAGGGGAGGGAAGCGGGGGTTTGAGCCTTCCTTTGGTCTCTTGTCATCTCCGCAAGCGCAGGCGCATGCATCAGGGTAATGGCGCACTGGGTACCCTATCAGCCCAAGTGACGCGAACACACCCGCACCCGCACCCACACCCGCACCCACACCCGCACCCGCACCCATGCTTAAGCTGCCCAGCCGCTGCCCAGCTGCTGTCCGGCCGCTGCCCAGATGCTGTCCGGCCGCTGCCCAGATGCTGTCCGGCCGCTGCCCAGATGCTGTCCGGCCGCTGCCCAGATGCTGTCCGGCCGCTGCTCCTAACCCCCCCGCCCCCTGCCCCCTGTCCCCCACCCCGCGCAGGGCGACGCCTCTCCCGAGCACGACCCGCACCTCTACCTGGCTTCCGTACAGGCGCTGTACGGAAGCTACTGGGGCTGGGCGCAGCGGGTGGTGGCGGCGGGGGGCGCCTGGCCGCCGCTGGTGGTCAACACGCACGGCTGGGTGAAGGGGCTGGGGTTCGACTTGCTGACTCAGCTGCTGCGCCTGGTGGCGCCCACACACGTCATACAGGTGGGGTGGGGGACGGAATGGGATGGCTAGTAAAGAGGTTTGGAAGGGAGCGGATTGGAAGGTTTGGGGTTTCAACGCCGCCTTCAGGGACGTGCGCCGCACCTTCATCCCTCGCTCGCTCCATCCCGTCAACCAGGTCCGAGGAGGGCCCGAGAAGAAGAACCTGCCGCGCGGAGCTTTCTGGTGCGACCCACGGGACACCCAGGCGGCGGCCGCACCCACAGTGCTGCTGTCGCTCGAGTCCCTCGCGGAACCCAACAACAACAACACCTCGCAGCCACCATTCGGGGCGCAACAGCAGCAGCAGCAGCAACAGCAGCAGCAACAACAACAACAGGCTGGCGGAGGCAATGGCGGGGGTGCATCACCTTACGACAGGGATCGAGATGCGGGGGGTGCGGCGAGGCAGCGGGGCGGTGGCGGTGGTGGCGGTCCCGCTGCGGCGCTGCGGTCTTTGAAGCCGGTGGAGAGCCGGGCGCTGGCATGGCATGCATGGGCCAAGCGTGTGATCGGCTGTGAGCCGGCATGGTGAGGGATGGGCTGCGGCTGGGGGGCGGGGTAGCGGGCTGCCCGCGTGAAGAGGGCACACATACCTTACCCTTACCCTTCGATGCGGCCACGCTAAGAGTCCAACCTGGGGCCGGCCATGTCCGCATACTCAGGCGTTCCTGCGTGCATCCCGAGTCAAGCAAGTACAACTCCCGCATACCAATCCCGACCCCGCCTCCAACCCACCACCCCCAACCGCCTCCCCAGGGGCAGCTACGAGTCCGACGACTTTTGGCGCACCGCCGGCGCACTCGCCTCGCTGCCCCCCTTGCGCATCCGCCTGGACTCCCTGCACGTGCAGCTGCTGGGCGGCTCCCTGCCGCCCCGCCAGCTGGGCCGCCTGCTCAATGGAGCGGTGGTGGGGCTGCTGGCAACGCAGCCTCCGCCGCCGCCGCAGCCCCTGCTGCAGCCACCTGCTGCTGCTGCTGTTGCGGGTGGAGGTACTGCTGCTGGGGGCCGTGGTGCTGGGGGTAGTAGTGGCGGTGGCGGTGGCAATGGTACGGCAGCAGCCAAGCGGGCAGCTGCGACTGCATCACATGCGGCGGCGGCAGCAGCAGCAGCTGCGGCGGAGGCAGAGGCGGCCTGGTGGGATGTGGATGTGGCCGCAGCAGCGGCGGCCTACCCGCCTGGCCGGGTGAGCTACGCGGGCGCTGCCTCCGTGCCGCCTCCGTTGCTGCCTTGCGTGGGACTGGGTATCGTGCGAGCTGTGGACATGCAGGAGGGGTGCGTGTATGTGCTGACGGACGTGGCACCGGAGCTGTTGGATTGCGTTGGGGCGTTGGTGGTTGGGCGGTTGGAGTTGCCGGGGTCGTTGGTGGTTGGGGGTGAGGTGGCGTCGCCGTACCAGCAGTTGTTTGGGTTGTCGGCGGAGGCGACGGGGGCGGGGACGGGCAAGGCGCGGAAGAACTTGTCGCGGTCTTCACTGGTGGACTTGGCGGGTTAGGGCGGGTTGCGTGGGAGAGGTGGGCGGATTTGTGGTGTAAACATGTTGCATGTTACAGTGCAGCGACGTGGGTGGCAAAGGGTTGGCAGTAGGTTTGATTGAGCAATGGAATGGTGGATGAGGCGCCGTGAGCGATGGTCCGGAGGTGCAGGCTGGTGTTGGGTTTACACTGTGCGGTGGAATGGCCCCTGAGCTCCGGAACCCTGCTTGCCGACTGTAATGCCCATTGAACACTCTTAAAGTCTTAATGTAGGCGCTTCTTCACCAAGCATTTACTGGTATCGCTGAGTTAAAGCAAAAACGTTTCCAAGGTTTGGGCATGGAAGGCGGTGCCTTTTAGCCTCGTTTGCGAACCTGTTTGTGACATCGATGTCGATCAACTACCCCAAGGTGCCGTACGCCCTCGCGGTGCTCTTGCGATCGTGGCTTGCGATTGTCCCTCCACGCTTGTTAAATTTGTTTGTTGCAAAGTCACTGGCTGACAGCAGCTTTAGCGACTGCTTCCCATCTGACCGATCCAAGACAGCTTGCCTGCTGTGCTGTGCTAACCTAGGCGCCAGTCCTCTACACGCCGATCCTCAGTGTTCTATAACAATATAGCATAATTATTGTTATACGAGTTGCAAGAAATATTAAGGATGGTATGTCGCTGCCTTGCTTTGCTGAAAGGGATCTCCATGTCGATGACTCGCTCCACATCAGTCGCTGACGACTTTGGCCCGTCCTCAGGCTGGCAACCTCTACTTGATGGCGTATAACTTAGCCCTAGTGCTCGGTTGGTAAGCCGCGGTGCAACGCGCTTTGTCAGCCGTTACAGCCACGATGGCACTGCGTTTTATACTATAATAAACTCTGCAGGGGCTACTGCCTATATTTGACCATAGATACTATGATACTAAAGCATGGAAGCACAGCGGACCTTTGGAAGGTACGTGGGTCCCTTGGGTCGATGGGCTTGCCGAGGGGCGCCTGCACTGCTGGACACGCTTTCGGCAACACCAACCTGTAGTCCTCACAAAGTGCCGATATTGCACTGTTAGTCACAATCAGACAGCCTTAAATAGCCTGGCCTTCAATTTTCGCGTAGTTCGCCTCTCGTCGGCTTCTTGTATACTACGTTTACCGGTACATCATCCGTAGTTCAGTGGCCGTTGAGCATCAACACTCCTTCCCTCCATCCGTTCCTCCTCCTTCTCCTCCTCCTCCTCCAACCCTCCCCCTCCCCCCACCACGTGCAGGTCGTGGAGCTGCCGCTCAAGGTGTCCCAGACGGCCGCCGTTCTGGAGGTGCTGCACAGCGCCATTGGCCTGGTCCGGTCGCCCGTGGGAATCACAGGTACGGCACAGGTGTGCGCACATGCGCGCCCCGCAGCATCGCAGGCAATTCGGGTTGGGCACTGACTGAAGCCCCATGGTCCTCCTTCCCTCAACACCCGCATCCCCACCATAACATCCTGCCCGCCCGCCCGCCTGCCTGTCCGCCTCCCTTTCTTTCCCCGGCGCTCACTGCATGAGTCTGGATAGGGAATTGGGAATCCAGTTGCTGCATTTGTCATTTGGCCCTCCCCCCTCTTCCCCCAGGCATGCAGGTGGCCTCCCGGTTGTGGGTGCTGTGGGGCATCGTGAACCTGGTGCCCGAAGCCACCACCCGCGGCGCCGTGTCGCTGGGCGGCCCCTCCCTGCAGCTGCAGCTGGGCGGCCTCAGCCTGCCGCTGCAGCTCAACCTAGCTACCCTGCTGGCCGCCTGGTCGATCACCGAGGTGGTGCGATACAGCTTCTTCGCGGTCAAGGTATGCTGTGCATGTTTTTCTTTCTCGCACGCATTGTTCGTATATACCGGTAACTCGCATTCTTGTTATGGAAGGATGAAATATGCAGGCGATTTTGCTGCATGTTTAAAGACTGCATGTGTCCGCTATCCGGTCAGAAGCTGCTGCTGCAAAACAAACAACACTGTCGTACTCCACTGCCCGGAACCGCGCCGTACAGGAAATGCTCCGTACGGTGCCGTACCCGCTGCTGTGGCTGCGCTACAGCACCTTCATCCCGCTGTACCCCATCGGAGTGGCTTCGGAGCTGAGCATGGCCTACCTGGCGCTTCCCACCATCCGGAAGCAGCACATGTGGAGCTTGGACATGCCCAACGCCTACAACTTTGGGTTCGACTACACCATTGCGTGCTACATCATCATCGCCACCTACCTGCCAGGTACGTCGTGTTCCTCGGGTAGCATACGGGTGTGTGTGCAGGTGTGAGCTGGTTGGGATGTGATGGTGGTGGTGGCGATTGGGGTTGGGGTTAAGCAGCGGGCGGCAATTGGTGTATGCTGGTGTGGCCGGTCTCAGGGCAACACGACCGCCTTGCCGCGTCGCTTTTGTGGTGGTGGAGTGGTAATGGATCGCATGTAGACCTTCTCCCAACACCACCACAAGCCCGGTGGTGGAGACTGGGCTTGTTCACCGACTGACATGTGGCTGTCACCGCTGCTGCTGCCGCCGCAGGTCTGCCGCAGCTGTACTTCTACATGCTGTCACAGCGGAAAAAGGTGCTGCAGGGCGCGGCTGGGGGCGCCGGAGCCGGAGCAGAGAGCAAGAAGAGCCGTTGAGGGGCCCCTCGGTTATGGTTTGGGGGCCCGCGGGCGAGCGGGGTTGCAGGTTGGGGGAGCGTCTGTTGGCGTGGTGGGCTGCGGGGTCGTAGCCGGGGGCAGGTTCGTGCGGGGATAAGTGGAGGGAGAGTTGGTGAACTTGTGGGGCGGGGGGGTTGCTCACAGCGGTAAGCTATATCCCTTTTGCATGGGGCAACGCGGCTGCACAACTGATAGTTGCAATCATGACACGATTGGACGTTGCAGGTTGAGCGATAGTTGCAGCAGGGCCTCCCATTCCTCATGTTGGAAAAGATGTTGGGTGTCAGCCGTTTGAGCACGTTTTTGCAACGATCCGGACTTTGAATAAAGGTGTGTCGGCAACTGCCGCCGAAGCAAACCTACCCAACCTGCATCGAGCAACCCTGCTGATATCTCAAATGTATCCCAAACAACGTGTAAATATACAATGATAAGGTATGGCAGCATCTAAAAGGCAATGTACAACCTGTAATCGACGGTGAGCAACACCTTCTCTCTGAAAACCCCAGCACGCAGAGCAACAGCCAGCTCCAATCGGAGCAGCTGCTGGTAAACACACGCATCGTCCGTTCAACGGCTTAACCTCAATGCTTGAACCTCTGTGTGGTATGAATCCGCAATGCAAATAACCCATGTCGTGTGGGGTAGACCCCATGGCATCCCAGCTGAAGTGATGCGACGCATGCGGGTTTTCTAGCCCGCAATTTATGTACCTACAACAATAACCCTGAACTCCTGCTTAGTTTTCGTGGTTTTCTATCGCGCCCCTTGCTCGCCATGTTCCTGCTTTCATATATAGCATTCCTGACAATTTTCCGCAAACAACACACCCAGTCTTCTGCGCGATGGTATGTTTCCATTCGCCTCCTGCTATCCCGGCATGCGATGCGGCAGCCTCATTGTCCCAGAGGCCCGCTAATACCAACCAACATAGCATACATGTCAAGTATATACCACAGCGCCAACTTGGACGCAACCACCTCCCAGCATAACGTGGACGCAAGGCACGCAGCCAGCTCTTCCCAAGCATATAGTAACCCCCCAACTCTGTGTGCGCTAACTGCTGGTGCAGGCGAACCGAACGCCAAACGAATTCCGCGTTTGCTGCCGCACGCCAGGTGTTTTATGCCAACCTGCGACCTACATACCTAACTAAGGCAAAACGAACCGCCAACTCCTGCCATAAATATTCCGTAACAATTAACGCCACGTTAATGACTACCCACCGCAATCACCACTACTCTTGAACCAACCACTACCAAACGCCTCACCCTGCCCTCCTCACCCTGCCCTGCTCACTACCGTCATTATCTCCACTGTCCCCACCACTAGCTATTACCCCGCCCTGTACGACTCCAGCGGTGACGGCTGCCTCTCCGGATCGTACACCATCCCCGTGCCAAATATCTGCACCTGACCCGACCGCCGCCGCAGCGCATCCGGCCCCGGCCGCCCCGCCCAACACCCCGCCGACGGCGGCCGTACCCTCCGGTTCACGCCCCCTGCCGCACCTATTAGCATCTGCTGCTGGTCCGCCCCGAAACCACCGCCCAACCACACCTCCGCCGGCGCGGATTCCACAGACGCCAGCCGCGATGCCCGCCTCGGCTGCGGTTGCATCGCCACCTGCGTCGGCACCCCAATCTTGAAGCCGCCGCGTCCCGACCCCGGCGTGCTCACCTCCACCGCCGCCTTGCCCTCCTTCATGAGCGCCATCTGCTCCGCCGCATTCGCCGCCTCGGGCCCCGTGGCGGTGTACAGACGAGCCAGACCGTCCAGAATGCGCTCCTGCAGCACCGAGCGGTCGTCTGACGCGGACATGCGGTTACAAGGGGCCGCCCAGCGATCCGCATGCGCCTGCTGCTGCATGAGGCTACTGCCCTCAGCGGACAAGCTGCCCGGGTGCGGCCCGTGAGGCCCGTGGGGGTGTGGGGAGGAGCCGCGGGCGGGGCCGGAGCGCAGACGGTTGGTCTTGGCGGTGGCGACGGCGGCACCTTGTTGCTGCCGCCGGGTCTCCGGGGCTACGGGCTGGTAGGGGATGCGGAGCTGTGATGTGTTGCCGGCGGCATCTGTGGCGATGATGCTGTTAGCGGTGTTGGCTGCGGTGCTGGGGTGGGAGTGGGTCTTGGTTATGCGGCCGCCGCCGCTGGGGAGGGCCGGGTTTGAGGGCGACATGAATGCGCCGCCGGTGGAGGCTCGGCGCTGGGAGGCTGCGTGAGACTGGGCGGGGGGCCTCGGCTCGGGGTGGGGTGTGACGGAGGATGAGGAAGAGGAGGAGACGCTGCGTGGGGGATCGGGCGCGGGCGCGGCAGTGCTCCCGAAGGCGGCGGCGGTGGGTGTTCCCCGGCTGGACGCTGCTGAGAGGGCGGAGGTTGGCCGGGAGGGCACAGCACCCGACGCAACTCCGCCGGCGGTAGGGCTGGAAGCAGCCCCGCCGCCTCCGCCGTCGCCGGTGTTTGTTCCCCGGCGCATGCCGCCGGGTGCCGCCGCCGTGACGCTGCCGCTGCCCCAGGCTTGCGTCCGTGGGCCGGCGCTCTCTCGCCGCCGGCGCTCCTCCTCCGCGGCGTCCTGCTCGTGCGGCTCAACCAGCGTGACCGGGTGTGTACTGCGGCGCTTGGCAGCAGCATCGCCGCTACTGCTGTTGGGGGAGTCGGAAGTGGCGGCTACCGCCGGTGCCGCTGTTGCTGCTGCTGTTGGCGTTACTGCTGCTGCTGTTGTTGATGCTGCTGCTGCACCGGCCGCTGCCGGCGTACCACGGTGCGGGTTACCCTTGCTTGCGGCCATGCCTGCAGGTGTGGGCATGGGTGCAGCGCCCCTGGCACCGGGTGCGGCCACTACTGCCGCAGTGGGTGGCGCCGCGGGTTCATCGGGGTCCGGGGTGGCGCGGATGGTGCCGAAAACGGTGCGGGAGGAGTTGCGCGGGGGAGGCGCCGCGGGCGGGGGCGGCTCCGCGGGAGGCGGCGCCACTGAGTTGCGGCGGTACATGGCCAGCAGGTCCGTCTCCTGGGGAAGTGAGGTTGTTGTGACCCGGCAAGGGCAGAGAAAGCGGTGCCGTGATCAATTTTGGTAAGTGCACGCCAGCTGCCAACTATACAACCCACATCTCCCCACAACAACGGTACCCATCACACACACCGCAAACGCCTCACACGCCAGTCTCCTCACGTCCTCGTCCCCCCCTACCTGGACCTTCACCACCGGCACGTCCTGCCACTTGCTGTCCAGGGTACCCGCGGACGCCGACACAGACGCGGTGCCCACTCCGCCGCCGCCGCCCACCGCCCAGGCGGCCTCCCGGTCGCTGCGGGAGGTGCCGCCTGTCGCCTGGTTCATGTAGCGGCGCAGAGGGGCGGAGGCGGGGCGGCGCGGCTTGCGCTGCTCGTAGGCGTGGAGGGCCTCCTGCATGGCCTGTAGGGGGGACGAAGGGAGGTGGGAAGGAACAGCGGGGGTGTGGGGGGGAGCGTGCATTGTGAGGTGTGCAGCGCGCGCCGGCATGGGGCGATGGTGATGCGATCAGGGTCGTGTTAAAAGGCAGTCAAGACAGGCTTGAACTGGCGCAACACAGGCTGGCCTCGGGTCGTACCCACCTGTCCTTGCGGCACAAAGGCGCTGCCAATCACGTTCGGCCGCTCAAACTTGCACTGCACGTACGTGAGCATCCCCTCGCTCAGCTGCGCTGCCAGCGGGTCCCTAGCCGGCGGCTGCTTGCGCCAGCTCATGCCGTAGCCGCTACTCCCCCCGCCCGTCCGGCTGCTCCGCCGCCCGCTGCTCCCACGCGCGCCTGCCTCCCCTGCTGCGCCGCCCTCAGGCTTCTTCGCTATCTCCAGGTCCGAGGTGCGGTAGCGCGGCACCGGTCCGCTGGCGTTGGAGGTGGCGGCTCGGCTGGGTCCGGGGCGCTGATACTCCCGCCGCTCGCCGGATAGGATGAGTTCGCTGCTGCCGCGGACTTCCTCGCCGTGGGGTGTCACGGTGGGCGGCACCACCAGCGCCTGCACCTGCTCGCAGCCGCCCACGCCCAGGCAGGCTGCCTTGGCGGCGCGTGCCAGCTCGGCTGCGGGGTCTAGGTGCGACTTGAGCGCGTGCGGGTCGTCGAGGCCGGTTCGCTGCTGCAGCATCTTTTGCCGGACTTTCAGCTGCAGGGCTTCGAACTTGGCCTGAGAGGAACGGGGAAGGGGGGAGGAAAGGGGGAGGAGAGAGGTAGGTAGCGGGTCCGGGGTGTGATCCCGCAGTAGGGGTTGGGCTCTAGGCAGCAGGATCCTCATCCGTGAATGGAAACAGGGATCCAAACGGGTCGTCGCTGCACACAGTAAGGGCCCGGGTCGTGTGGGTTTGTAATAGCTGAAAGACCTCACCTGCCGGATGGCGTCGGGTGATCCGTAAGAGACGAAGACAGCGCGACCTGACGCCCCTGGGCACAACTCATGTGGGTTGTCAAGCGGAAAGTCCATGGTGACGTGAGTTGGGAAATGCGGGACGCGCGTTGAAGCCCAAATTGCAGTCCCCGCGTCCCCGTGCGTAATGACTTAAGACCGATCCTTTACGACCAGCTACGGGGCTCAGCATTCAGTGTACTGAAGTGAACCGCTGCATGTAGCTCTCATAGCTGTGCCCTTATCCTACTCTACAGCCGTCATAGTATCATAAAGCGATTGCCATAAGAACCAATTTAGGAGTCATGTTGTGCTAGTAAGCACGCAGCGGTTTCCCTGAGCGGTTTCCCTTAGGACGGTGAGACCAGCTAACTAGTAGGACGAGGATGATGGCTATAGTAGAAATCAGATATGAAATCACTTTCCCTGCTGTGTTCCTTCTTTGCATTCCTGTCCTGGCTATGCGCTGGATTAAGTACGACTGCTCCTTGAAGCATCCTGGTGAGGCTGCTGAGGCAAGTTGGGATAAGCGTATTTCCCAAAAGAGAAAGTAGGGCTGCTTACGTCCGTGCGCTACGTTCCGTACTTTAAACATAAGTTTGCGACGACACAAGATGGCTTCCACGGAGATGCCATCTGAAGCAGTTGACCCTCTAAGGCATTCACGACAGCAACGTGTTGGCCGTTACAAAGTTTGGCTGCTTCAAAAGAGATTGGCTGAACTTAGTGCACAAGTGGAGGCTTCGGTCTTGGAGGTGCGTTCGCAGCGTGGAGTCCATTATTATAGAGGAGCTTAAAGCCATGTTACTTATTCGTCATCGCTCGTTGCACAGGCTCGCCAGCTTATCGCCTGGAAGCAGAGCTACCAGCCCCTCAGCCTAGCGGAGCTGACTGATGAGGACAAGCGAATCTTGGAGCATAACCGCAGGATTAGGTTAATCGAAGTAGTACAAAAGCATTGCTTTGCGGCGTTGAAGAGCATAACCCAACATAAGGTAAGGACACGGGGGTCACCGTAGTGCTCGGGGACCATCGCAGCTGGAAGGTCCCGTTACTACCGTCCCGTTCTTCGACTATGCAGTGGGCCTTCCCCTTCAACACCCCTGTGGACACGTCGCGCTTTCCTGACTATCCCAAGGTGGGCATGACGGTGGCGGGGTCGGCGCTGGGGTTTGCGGGGTCCGGACTGGCTGGGTCCGTCCTGCGCGACTGTACGGCGAGCATGCCGAGGTTAGGGCCTATCCTGCTGTTCTAATCATAAGCACTTCTTACACCGCATTCCAGGCACCTGCATCTGCCGCACAGCACCCGCTGCATCAAACCCGAACCGCGTCGCCCACCTTCCCAACCCATGCGCTGCCGTAACCTCCTCCCTCCCTCCCTCCCTCCGCGCCCCAGGTCATCACGCACCCCATGGACTTCTCCACCATCAAGGCGCGCCAGGACGGCGGCTACTACCGCGACCCCAAGGACTGGTGGGCGGATGTGATGCTGGTCTTCTCCAACGCCAAGCGCTACAATGCGCCCGGCAGCGACTGCTACCTGATGGCGCAGACGCTGCAGGTGGGAGTGGTGGGGTATTGTGGTAGACAAACTGAGCCGCGGAAACACTGGGGAGTGGTAGGGTGGGGTTGCGCAGCGCAGCACCCTGCGAAGGGGATGGCAGGCGGTCCTTCATGTCGTTGGGGAAAGGTGGGAACAAGAATGGGTTGGGGACATGAAGTGGATGCCGGTGATGCTCTAATTGCTTTCTTTCACAGTTTGTCAGATGCGAGCTCTCCAAGAGCGGGGACGACAAACGTACGCCTGAGGCATACACTACACGGTGTATCACCAAATTCACCATCATCATCATTCATGGAACCCACCATGCAAGCCCTCATGTGTTACGTGGCCTCACCGCGCCGCCATATCCATACCCTTCTCCCCCGTACAAGCCCCCATCCCCTCCTGCATGCACCTCAGGAGGTGAGCGAGGAGAAGTACGACAAGGTGATTGCGCCGCGTCTGGCGGAGGAGTCGGCCGCCCTGCTGCGCGACGAGATCCACCTGAAGAAGAAGCGCGCGGAGCTGCTGAACCTGCAGATCAGCGAGGCCATGGAGGCGCAGTGCGGCGCGCTGTTCAACCTCATGGCGGTGAGAGAGAGGGAGAGCGAGCACGGGAGGCATGCCGTAACGGCAATGAAGCGACCGTCCGGCGCTTCACGCGTCACGTCCATCAGCAAGACAAGACATACCGGTAGTTTGTGTCCTTTCCACGACCCAGTGTTCGCGCCCCGCATGCGCTCGGCTTTACGTCGGTGCATGGTGGCGCACAATGCCGGCAGTTAGTAACGGGCACAAGACACGCTCACGGCGCAACGCTGAACCCGCGCAACGCTATAAACCCGCGCACGCTACCCGCCCCCCCGCCTCTGCAGGAGCTGCATGCGGCCATCCGGGAGGCCAAGTCCATGGCGGCCTCGCTGTGTGAGCCGCTCACCCTGGAGGAGAAGCAGGCGCTGGCAGCCACCATCCAGGTGGGAGGCAGGGGGGTGCCAGAGCAACTGCTAGTCCAGCTCGCAGCCAATCCCGTGCCTCCTCTTGTGTCAACGCCCTCCCTGTAACCCGCGCCCTGCCTTCACCCCCTGCAGGGCCTCCCCACCGCCCAGCTGGAGTCCATTGTGGCCTTCGTGGCCAGCCGCCACCCGCCCAGCGTCACACACAGCGAGCTGCCGCCCGGCGCGGCTGGCGGCGGCGGCGGGGGCCCCAGCCGCAAGGTGCAGCTCAACCTGGGCCGCTACGACCCGCTGCTGCTGCGCCAGCTGCAACACCTCGTCAGCACATGCACCGCCGCAACGCAGCAGCAGCAGCAAGCAAGTAAGGCGGCTGTGGGTGCTGATGCGCAGGGTGTGGCGCCGCAGCGGGCGGTGAGCCCGCCTGCCACGACACCGGCGGAGGCAGCAACGGAGCAGGCGCGACCGCTGAGCGGAAGCCCGAGTCCCGGTCCAGGGCAGGAGGCTGCGGGGGGACCGGGAGCCGACAGCGCAGCGGCTCCTGCTACTGGATCCAACGGGGGCGCGGCGGCAGGAGGAACAGCTGCCCAGAATGCCGCGCAGGATTTGGGCACTGGGGCGGACCAGCAGCAGCAACAACAAGCTGTCACGGGGGCGGCGGGGCAGGGAGATCCCACCGCAGGGTTGGCCGCAGGTCAAGCCACTGCTGTGGCTGCAGCTGTCGCCGGGGGCTCGGTGGTAGCAAGGCCAGCGAGCGGGGGCGGCGCTGCCCCCTCGTCAGCTGCTCCGGTTCCCTTCAGCAGCACCCAGCGCAACATCTCGGATGTGGTGACAAACGCCACTGCGAGCGGCATATCCATGCGGGCGGGCATCAAGTGGCCTGGGCTGGCTGTCGGCGCAGGTGGGTGTCGGGAAGTTGCTTTGGAGACGGGGGGTCAATTGCCTAAGTTCAGGGTAGCTCCTGCAGTGGGCCTCAAGTTTTTGCGCCGGTCTTGCGTGCTGCTCGCGCAGGTGTGCGGCCCCGCGCCCGAGCGCTGCTGTCCATGCACCCGGACGTGTCGGCAACAGCAGCGGAGGTGCTGGCTGCATGCCCGCTGCCGCAGCCGCCCCCACAGCGCACCACGGTGCAGGTCATCGGCGTCAAGCGGAGGTCCGTACACGTCATCCAGGTAGGAGAGGGCTTGGGTCGCCGTACTCCCGTACATTGGGCTACGTGAGTGGTTACGAATGCCAAACCACCCCACCATCGCAGCTTTTTACTGCTACATACCGGTAACCGGCGAAAGAACATGGACTTGACAATGGTTGCTGGTATGGCCTGCCACATTAAACGGCCTTGTGCAGGTGGATGCAGACGGCGGGCACCAGGGGGCGGAGCAGCGCCGTGCTGCCGGTGCACCAGGTGCTCCTGCCGCTGCCGCAGCGGACTCGGGGCCGATCCCTATGGAGGTGCAGCTTGGGGCTTCCAGAGCGGCTACGGAGGTGGCAGCGATGAGCGAGCCCCGCCTAACCACCGCTGCTGCTGCCGACGTGCTGGACCTGTCTGCGCAGACGGTGGTGGCGGGCGGTGCTACTGGTGGCGTGCCGTCGGAACGTGCGGGGGATGGTGTGGTGGGGGCGGGGGGCGCGTCAGCTAGGGGAGCTGCCTCGGAGGCGGACGCAGGAGGCGTTGTGGTGCTGGACCTCAGTCGCGGCTAGGGGTGGGGTAGCAGGGCCGTGTCATGATGTGGTGTTTGACGCGATTTGGTGGTCAGTGGTTGAAAGGGAAAGGGAACGAAGGGCAACGCTCTTGGTTATACGACATGTGGATAGAAAGGTGGAGGTGATGGCTGTCCACTCTTCCGTTGTGTCGGTTGTTGGCGGGCATAGGTCGGCGCCCCATGCATGTGGTGCCATGGTTGGTTATTACATACACGCATACTTGGGGCTATCAATGTGGTGTGAAATTAAAGGTGGAGGTTGGAGATACTGTACTGCGGCTGCAAAAAGCCACAATAGGTGCCCTGACATGAAGCCATGACTTCTGTACATATGTGTGGGCGCAATCCTCATGTTATGGTTGCACATGTGCCCCGCCATTGCGAATGCACTCACCTAGCTGACTGTACCTAGCTGTACAGTCCTTATTTACCTGTTATGCGGAGGCTAGCAAAGACCAACAGGAGCAAGTCGTGCCGCTGACTTCGCCCTTTAACTATTACGTTTGGTCATGTCGGGCACTATGATACTATAGTGTGCAGGTCAGGTTAGAGGTCTAAGAGGCCCTAACCTTTCCACTGCCTGCAACGGTGTTCAACCTAACGCCCTCTAACCCTTTAATACATACTTCGCAGATCTGTGCCTGGAGATTCTGGACAAATAAGAAGCCAGATTGCCGCACTTTTTATGGTTTGGGCGTTGGCGGTAACGGCGCCTGTCGTCACCATGTATTTAAGCGCCCTTCGCAGGAACAAGCCACTGGAGTTAATAGAAAGCTCGGTATGTTACCGAAGTCTCATCTCTTTCTTGCGGCTTGTGCGCAGGATCACTTGCCGCGCGGTACAAGCATGCATAAGCCCCTACCCAATCCGGTACGCATTGGCAACCCTCAGTCCTACAACAAAAGCAGGCAAACATACAATCCACTTTTCACCTACTGTTCCATACTACCTAGGCTTACACTTGGGACATAATTCCAGTTGGTATGCCTCACCAGTAGTCGTCCCTAACATCCTATGTCCTGTAACGACGTCCTGCGTGGCGTATCTATACAGCTCTACCCGACCCTGCTATAGCGCAAACTTTGTGTGGTTTATCACTACAGTGAAGACAGTAAAGACAGCCTCGACTCTAACGATGGCGTGGAGCGGTGAGGTCATCGGACATCTTGGCGTTCTCAGCAGCCCGCTGGCCGCATGCTACGCTGCTCGGCTGTTTACTCAACTAGTCAGACACATAGATGGTGTCACCAGGTGAGCAGGTTACTGGTTTAAAATTTTGGTCGTTTATTGGTCAGTCTATCTTCCCGGCCTCAGGTGGCCATAAATGTGCGCGTTCCCCGCTATGCGCCGCCTATTCCCTTTGATCTCGTATAAGCTCGCTTGTTATATCTTATGCTATCGCACATTTCCGCTGAAGCGTAACCACACGACGAGACGTCGGCAGTCATTACTGACTAGACTTGTTTGACCAACGCAGTGGCTTTGAGGCTTGCCAAGTAGGACCTCAGCGTCCTGCTTTAAATGCCCCTTCGCTGGACTGCAGCGCCCAGGCTCCGGATGAACCATGCAAGACCGACTGCGTTGATGGACCGGCCATCGTGCAATACTCCAACGCAGCCTTTGGCCGCCAGGTGAGCTAGAGGAGGCTGTGCTACCGCGACACCGCATCCTTTGAACTGAGCCGCTTCCCTGTTCCATACACAGAGCGACAGCGAGTGCAGCACCTCCTCGGAGGACTGCGTTGGAGAAGACTTGGACTTCTGCATTCTAACGCCACATCAAGCCCTCGACGCACTGGTAGGGCCTGCTTACAAGCGTCAGCGGTTATAATCTCTGCGATGTGTGCCTATTGGCTAGGTGTTACATCGTTGCGCTTTCATGGTACACTGCACGGCTTGCCTGATGCAGGGCGGCCAGGCGTCACAATACACCAAGATTTACCACAACAGCCTTCCCTTTGTGGCGGACGAAACCGAGCCCGGAACGGTAGGTACTGCTGGAACGTAGTTGGGATGCAGCCTATCCGCATACTCATATTTGGCACGACCTAGCCGTTACCAAACTTCCTCCTTTCTGACGCGCCATAGGTACTGTCCATGGAGGCGGTCGCTGACCGTATCCAAGCTGTCAGCACTCCGTCATTTGAGCCAAGCGCGCCGCACGCGATCCCACAAGCCGAGAGCCCGCGACCCATCCCGTCGGCCGAGACCGAGGAGCCACTCTGCAGTCACGCTAGTAGCCAGGCCTTGTCGGCCCCCTCGAGCTGCCGCAGTATTCTTTCAGAGTTTACTGCCTCAAGTAGCTTCGACAGCCTGTCCTCCGAACGGAGCAGCTTTGACGCCGCTGTGGGTCATTTCTCACCACTGTCGCAATGCCGAGGGCAACAACGTGTATCCTCCGGAAGCAGCCCGCTCAGTAGCCCTTTCACCGCCGCCTCATACGCCCAATCAGTCATCATGGACTGCGCGACCTATCAAGATGCACGCCCAAGCTGCGACTGCGATGGGCCACAGACAGTTGGGTCATGCCCTGAGGCTGGCGCTGCGGACGGGGACGCAGTGTCGACATGTGACCTCATCGGTCGGCCGTCCACGCCCCTGCCCATCGGCGACTCCTGGGTCCATGCGCGAAGCTCCTCCCCGATGGGGTATGTGCGGCCCGCGACAAGATCCCTCGTTCACCAGGAGCCGCCGAAGCATCACCACTGGATGCTTTCAGGCGCCCCCGCCTCGCCTCCGCCACCGTCGCTGCCGTCGCCCGTTCCCCTGTCTGCGGTCGCTCTTTCCCACGTCGAAGTCATGCGGCCTTCTCCCGCAACGAGCAGTGACGAATTGCTAGAAGACTGGATCCATGACCGGCGCGTAAGCGTGGCTTCGGAGCCGCCAGCATCAGCCTGCGAGGAGCGCGCCCCGGCAACCTTGTCCACACGACAAGGGTCATCGGCTTTGCGCCTGCCCTCGCAGGCATGCTGCTCTGTGTCGGCTTTGGAGGCGGTTGTTTCTGTTGGATTGCACAAGGCGCCCGCTCTGCCGCTTCCGGTCGGCTCACCGGACGACGAGTCGGTGCCGCCTGCGCTACGCTACTACCTCGCACAGGCCCGCGCTGCCGGTGATGGCGAGGCGGAGGACTTGGATGGAGGGCAGCGGCGCAGCAGCAGCAGTGGCAGTGTTCGCTCGCTTGAAAGCGCTGACAGCGCCGTGCAGCCTGGCTTTGTGCGTGCAACCGTGGAGCAGCTTAACTCGCAGGGCGCCGTGTGCGGCCAGGTGCTGCTGCCATTTGCGTCGTCCAAGGCCTGCAGCCAACCTCGGATACTGGCTCGTGGAGCGTAGACTGGTGTTGCTGCCGCATTCATGTGGTGTAGTGAGCTTATGTTGTAATCTAGTGTGCCTTAGCTCGCTGTGGCGTGCGCTGAAAAAGCACGTGCAGTACTGTAGTTGACGACTAGATGCCTAGCCTTAGCCCTGAGGAAGAAAATTTTATCAGTTATGGAAGGAAGCTTAGGAAGCTTAGGCTAGGCTGAGTTGTATGGGCCATTGCCCCGCACATTGCGTTAAAGTGTTAGGCTCCGGTCACCTGCTAGGGGTTGGAAGTTGTGTGTCATCTGAAGTCCTGACAACGAAGAGTAGGCCCCAGCTGGGATGCAGGTGCTGTGCCGGTTTTGCCGTTGTACTTTTCATAATAGGTGTGTCCTCGGTTTGCGATGAATTGTGCACGGATCTTGGTTCCACAGATTGCATACGACGGGTTGTGATTGCCGTCTAAGGGAACGCTGATCCCACCTGCACAATTCATGCATAGTGTTGTTAAGCTTCATGACTTAGTTGTAGACTTTCAAACAGATAGATTTACCGTGGCCTGCTGTGCAGCTGATGAGCGGGCATGCCGCGCATGCGTCGAAACCCGGACTGGAACAGGGGGGCGGTCATGGGAGCTATAGCTCCCCTTGCTGAACCTGTTGATGCTCCAATATGCAATGTATGTTTCAACCATCAATACTAGGGAAACCAACATGTAACCTCGAGACGCGTAAGTGTCCATTTACACTTTTATGGTGCTATCAGCAATAGCACATGACAGCACGGTACGGCATGCCCCTTCGATGAAACACCAAAGAACAAGAAGGATGAATATATAGCCCTTCCAAATGAAACACTCTGCCTCGTCAAAACCCGTTCCCCGGGTTTGACAGCTTGAAGGGCAACCACAATACGGAACGTAAAGAAACACCGACTGCAAAGCGGGCCCCCCGGTGGTCATGTTCCGCTTCACATTACGCGTCAGCATGAGACTAAATGTCCAAGTAGTTTATACTCGTAAGCAGCGCTACACAGCTCGTGAAGGTCGCAAACCCTAGTATAGAAATACAACCAATTACGTCGCATTTCAGGGCCTTTGCACAAGTATAAGCGTCAGTAGCCAGTAGCCCCTTGGAAGCGTAGCCAAGTCGTTTGTGTCACCCACCCACCACCACTGAACACACACTGCCTGCTCCTTGCTTGAAACGGTAGCAAAAGACTCTCGTTAGTTCTGCTCTGCACAATCAGCACAGCAATCATGCTCATTCATTGAGCTGCAGTCCTCTATATGGCAAGTGAAGCTGCATCAGCCTCACGCACAGTCCCCTCCACAGACCTCCTTTCAGCGGCCAGGCAGCAAGACGTATCACCCTTGTTGCCTGTCATCCAGTTGCTGCTCCTTATTTCCGAAGCGCCTTGCAAAAGATGTGCCCAAGGTTGTGCCTGGTATCCGCACGGCCTCTTCCTCATGCACCCACCCCGGCCACCCGCCCAACCACCGCCAGCCCGCCGCCAACATGCTATACCCAGGACCTGCATATAGCCCGCATGCCTGCGGCTGTCCACAACCCTAGCCAAGCCGTGTTCTTGCACCCGGCCGCTACCCTTCGTAGCAGCTGCGTTGCCTGCAGCATATCACAACAATTGACGCTGCTTCATAGCTCTAGGCAGCCGCGATACCGCCCCATACGGATATCCTGTCTCAATACCGTACATGACCACCCAATCCTACCTCAGCACGCCGCCCGAAGCCTCAAACACATGAACACGAGCCGCCTGTCGTCTCCCAAACCGACGGCAACCCCATGTACTTCCCCTCACTGCAAGTTGCAACCCGTGCACGCCGCGTCCTTCTCAAAGTGCTGGTGCTTGGGCAACGTGGCGAGCTGCGCCTCTAGCCGCTGGATGATCTCCTCAAAGGTGGGCCGCTTCTCCGCGTCGGCAGCCCAGCAGTCCTCGATTAGCCGCCGCATCTCCTGCGGGAGGGCAATGTCGTCGTGGGGGGTTGTTGTATGTCTGTTATGTTGTACGTGGACGTCTACAATGACATCGGCATTGCTGTGACGGCATGGCGGCAGCTCGCAGCGCAGCCCGCATCGTTGAAGCAGCAGGGAGCAGCAGGGATCACAACAAGCAGCGCAGCGCGCCTTTGAGGGGCCACGTAAGCACCAGGACAACAGGACAGGTCGAGCCAAAGCGACCCCTTGCAACCCCACACGACGTTGCCAGCGCAGCCCCCTTTCGCGAAGCTCCCTACCAGCTCCGTCTTGGAGAGCTTGTTGCGCGGCGGGAAGCCGGGTCGCGCACTGAGCATTGCCGCGTTGCGCGCCGCCTCCACCGGGTCGTGTCCGGCGAAGGGCTGCGTCGCCTCGAACAGCTGGAAGATGATCATGGCGAAGCTGCAGGAGGGGAGCGAGGGAAGGAGTGAAGAGGGTGGAGGAGGGGTGCCGTGTTGTGAAGCTCACATGAGCCCACAAACTGCCGCATGTGTGTTTTGAGCATTAGGGGTTAAGGATGGAGGATGGGAAACAGGAACGAGATGCGCTTTAGGCTGCCACAGGCGTTGACGTCCACGGTTATAGACGCTGGCGACACTTGCATGCACAAAGCTGCACTGCAAGCATCACGGCACGGGTCGCGGAGCTCTCACCTGTACACGTCAACTTTAAGGTTGTACGGTTCATGCCGGAAGCACTCTGCAGCGGGGTTGACGGGAAAGGAAGGAAAGGTCGCTCACACACCATACGTGCATGCATGCGACATTGCATGCGTGTATTACCTCCCTAACAGCAGCTCAGGTCGTAGTCCTGACCTCCCTGCCGCACCACCTCCCTGCCGCACTAAGCCACTAACCTCCCGCTGCATGCCTTCCCGGGTTACTCCACCACCCGACCACACAGCATGAGTCGAGGTTTGGGATTCGGACTCCTTTGCTTCACTTATCACTTATTTTTCCCCACAACACAGCCCCTCCAAACCCACCCACCGGGCGCCATGTAGCGGTAGGAGCCCGTCTCCCCGGTCAGCTTGTACGTCACGTTGATGTCCTGCGCCCCCACCAGCCCGCCGTGCCGCTCCACGGGAACCAGCGACTTGGACAAACCTGCGGAGGGCGGCCGGCAGTAGCAGGTGTGGATGGTGAGGCAGGCATAACTTGTGTATGGGGGCGTTGCGAGGTTGCTGGCCAAAGCGTATGAACTTGCAGGATGGGCATGTGCATGCCTACTGCCGCGGCTCCCCTCCGCCCCTAGCTTCTCAGCATTCCCAGCTTTCCCAGCCCTCTCTCACCAAAGTCCGCAACCTTGATGACCCCGCTGTCCAAGTAGAGCTGCTCCGTGTCCGCATGCAGGTTACCCGCAATCATCAGGTTGGCGGGCTTCAGGTCGCGATGCACGATGGGCTGCCGCCGGCTGTGCAGGTACGCCATGCCGCGCGCAAAGTCCAGCGCAATCTCCACCTGCCGTCGTACAGAGGGCGTGTAGAAGGTCCGCTGGAAGGCGTCCGCCAGGGAACACGCCATGAGCTCCGTGATGACGATGTAGGGCTTTTGCTTGGTGCATGCGCCCAGGAATTGGGTGCAGTTGGGGTGGTGGATCTTGCGTAGGATGGCAATCTCGGTACGGAAGTCGCCGATGGCGATTTCGTCCGAGCGTTTGAGCAGCTTTGCGGCGACGTAGCTGCCGTGCCACTTGGCCTTGTACACGTCCCCGAACTCGCCGCTGCCAATGCGCTCCACCAGCTGCAGCTCCCGCGGGTTGACCTCCCACTCGGGCTCCCAGCCCAGCTCCGACATCATCATGCGACGCGTGTTGACGATACCGCGCAGCTTGGACTGGTCCAGCGGAACAAGCTGGGGAAAGAAGGAGGGAGGGTACGGTAAGCAGCCGGGATGGAGGGCGGGACAGGAAAGGTGGGGAGAAGAGGGAAGGAGGCAGGGCGCGTGGTGGGAGGGAATACCGTACAGTGGCCGGGTGATGCCGGGCTGAGAGCCACAAGACGCGGGTCAGCTGCTCCGTGTGCGGCTCTGCAAGCACTCAGCCGGGGTGGGGTCTGTGTGGCTGGTGTGGCTATGTGGGGGTCCGGAGCTCAGGTGGTCAGTCATGCGGGAGCTCACGATGGGGCCCTGGGGTGGCTGTAAGGGCGGCGATAAGGGCGGCACCGGGTACCGCCGCTCCTCCAGGCATGCTGCACAGCCCGGCCAGCTATACCCCTGCTGCTGGTGCTGCTAGCGCCCCCTCGGCGTGCCTCCATCCTCCATGATCAGGCCCGGGACCATCAGGCCCACAGCTGCTGCCCCGCTGCTGCTTCCAGGATCGCCGCTGCTTGCTGCAGCCACCCGTGGGCTGCAGCCACCCGTGGGCTGCAGCCACTCCCGCCATGTCAGGCTGCAGCCCCCTGCCAGACTGCCGCCGCTGCGAGCCCGCGAAGCGCCTGCCCGGAGCGGTGGGTGGGACCGGGCTAGCTACCCATGCCCCGCCTCCCAGCCACTCCTGGGGTGCACTCCGCAACGCCTCCAAGCGTCCAATAACACGGGGCCCTCGCATGCACGTCCGCAAGAATTACGGCCCTTTTGCCCCGCCTCCCCTGCTGCCTTTCATATCCTGAGTGCCGAGCGACTTCCTTTTGCTTCCCCAGATCCCCGCCCGCGCCAGTTGCCCCCCAACCGGGTACCCCATCCCATCCCGCCCCTCCCAGTTCTCGCCCCGCGCCTGCGGCTCAACCTATCCTGCTCCTTTGGCAGCCCCTGGTCCCTGGCAACCCACCTTGCCATCCTCAAACACGTTCCCCCCGTTCTGAATGAGCAGCCGCACCACCTCCCCGTGGTCGTTGCGCGCCGCCTCCTCCAGCGGCGTGCGCCCGTGCCTGTCCAGCGAGTTCACATCCGCGCCCTCGTGCACCAGCCACTCCACCACACTGTAGGCGCCCTCTGCAGCGGAGACGTGGCTGGGAGGGAGAGGGAGAGGGAGGGAGCGGGTAGGAGAAAGTGGTGGGGAGAGAGGTAAGGAGGGAGGGTCAAGGAGGAGTGAGGGGACGTGATACCGGTACCCAATGGCTGCTGGAGCTGAGTGAAGATACCCAGATAGCTGACGCCCGACGACACACGGCCAGGGGAGGGCAAGGATGGGTACAGTCGGGCGGGCGGGCGAGCGGGCATGTGTGGAGAGTAAGGGTAAGATGACTTGAGGGGCAAAGCGGCTGTGCGTGCGGAGGCAAGGGCCACTCACAGTGGTGTACGGCGATCGTAGTCCATGACCGCGGGCTCCTTGACCTGCAATGGGTGGAGGCGGAAGGGGGGCAGAGGGATGTGGAACGTAGCCGAGAGATGTCAGCGGGGCTGCCAGGAGGGCCAAGTGCAGTGAAGGCGTTGTCCCGGGATGTGGGTCAGAGGTGCAGCGGTTAGTCCGAGACATCGTAACACCCATGGCGAGCGTCGAAAGGGCCCCAGCTGCCCACCTTGATGTTCCAGGTGACGGCAATCTGCCTACATCGTCTTAGGTCGTTCACACCGGCAAAGAAGATGAGCTCCGCAATTGCACGACGCCTCGCAGCCTGCGTCGTCGCATCATGCTTGCATCGGAAGTGGGCACAGGCGCGCTCCGCGCTGCGATATAATTTTTACCTGTTCGCCATGAATAGAATACATGTCCCTCGCTGATGCCTGCATGCCAGCGGGCGGCGCCTGGTGGCCAGTCACCCGCCGTTCGTCTGCACCGTTGACGGCGCTGAGTCCGCTAATTTCAGAGGCATTCTCAGACAGTCGCACGGACGAGGGCGAAACGCCTCCTCCAGGGGAGACAGGTCGCGAGTTGCCCCCGTTCATCTTAATATCTACTCACGACCTAGCCAAGCGGCAAATAAAGTACCAATATCCCGCCGCCGGTCAGAAGCCCAGTATTGGACAATACATCGAAGAATTTAGAAGAGGTAACGTGTTAAGCGTCGCTACTTCCTGGTTGTCGGCGTAAAACGTTGGTGAACCGTAAGCAACTAAGCATGCCGTCACATAACTGTAATCTCCGTGAGCCTGCCGGGTACACCGACCGGTCGTTCCCCTAGCTACTCGCCCGCAAAGTGTACGGATGCGTACTACAACGACCCAAATACAGCGAGGCTAGGAGCTGAGGTGGATATGCTGTAAATACCAGTGTAGAAACGTCACTGCATGAACGACAAAACACATATTAAATATCCCGGCTGTCCGGTTCGTCTTCGAGTAACTGCACCCGTCTTGATCTTGTCTGATAATAACATGGAGCAGTTATCGAGCTAATATTGTTTATCATGGATACAACGTCAAATCCAAATGGGCCGGGGGTGGAACTCGACAAAGTTATTGCTTTGTTCACAGGCCCAAACTCAGCCGACCTTTACGAACGACATGTTGCAGCGATTAATCGGTTATGCAGAAGCAACTCCGGGGGCTTTGCTATACGCGACCTGCCCAAAGTACAGAAAGTACTGGAGCTCAGTTTGGCTCTTCTTAAGCGGGGGACACCTGGATTTGTGGACTCGCTATGCGAACTTGTCAGGTAAATCTTCACGGCGTTATGGCCGTGCTGTTTCTACGGTCTTGCACAGGCCGCATGTGCGCATGTGAGCACCTTGCCGCAACCCTCCCGTGTACATCGCAGCACGCTTGGCAAGCCGTTCATCCGGCGCACATCAACAGATGAGTTCAAGATGCTTAGCCTCATCACAAATGTGCTGACAGCTGTTGGGGACATCTTCCGTAGCCCTGGCCTACCAGCTCAACTGCTGGTCGCCGCGGCCCAGGTAGGTGTCGTGTGGTTCCCCTCTAGACGCTAGCAGTCGCTTGGTACATATGTGGGATGGCTGTATACTTCTTTGCGATGGTGTTGCATACTCCTGCCGCCGCGCAGATGATCACGGCCTTCGCCAATGCCTACGGCCACCGTCCCAACGCCTTGGAGCTGGCGGCCCAGCAGCAGGCTGAGCCGGATGTCACCCAGCGGCAGTACCACACCAACCAAAGGTACGCACGCACGCTACCGCTTCTCGCTAAAAAGCCCCGGCCTATGCGTCTTCACCGTAACAGCACCTGTCCTGGTCACCTCGTTAGGCACCTACCATCGCCGATTTTGCCTCATCAACCCTCCTGCTCCTCGCAACCCCAACCCCCGGCAGCCTGCTCAACAAGAGCGGCGTCGTGGCGGACATCATCACAGCCCTGGCGCGCTGCCTGCTCGCGGACCTGGACGCCTCCGGCAGCAGCCCCAGCGCCCAGGCCCTAGCGCCCATCACCGTCGCCCTGCTCGCGCTGTCGTACAACCCCGAAAACTGCGCCAGCATGGTGGAAGGCGGCGTGCTGCAGTGTCTGGCGGCGCTGCTGGCCCGCGGCGCGCACTCCGAAACCACGTGTGCGGCGGTGGAGCTGCTATGGAATGTGGCGGAGAACGCGCCCTCGGCTCGGGAGCTGCTGTCGCAGCCGCTGCCCTCCCTGCAGACGCTGGCTAGAGGAGGAGACAGCAGCGGCGGCGGCGGAGGCGGGGGTGCGTTGGGTGCGATACCGCCGTGTGACAGCGAGGGACCAGCCAGTGAGGCTGGAGACGCCGCGGCGCCGTCGGGTGCTGCAGCGGCGGTGGCGGGTCCGGGGCCTGGCAGCAGCGCTCGAGCAGGTCGCGGAACTGGGGATGGCGGCGAGATCTCCGCGATGCCTTCCTTTGCGAGCATGTCAGAGGCGGGGGGGCGCTGGGGAGGCGGTGGAGGCGGCGGGGGCTCCATGCGTCGCAGCACGGGGGCGGTGTCGCACGGCGGTGGCGGCGGGGGCCTAGGGCAGCCGGCAGGCCCGGGGTTTGGGTTGTTGGACGGCGGTGGCCGCGGCGCGGGGCGGCAATCAGGGCTTCAGAACGGCGGCGGGGGCTTGGCTGCGGAGTCCAGCATAGAGCTGGGCCCAGCCTTCCGGGCTGCGCGGGGTAGTCGGGGGAGCGTAGGCAGCGCTGGAGTCAATACCGGCGGCGGCGTCTTCCAGGAAGGTCAGCAGCTCCCGGCAGCGCCTGACCTGCCGCCCCGCCTCTCCGCTCGCGCTCGTGGCGGCAGCGCCACCACCGCCACCGCTGCTCCTCCTCCTCCTGCACCATCCTCAACCTCCGCTCCAGCTGCCGACACCGCCGCCGCCCTCACCTCCGCCACCGCCGCCGCCGCCGCTGCGCCCGTGGTGCAGCCCCTGGCCACCGCCCTCACCGGCCTCATCCGCTCGCTGCTGCTCAGCGGCTTCAGCCGGGCAGACAAGGAGCTCAGGAACGACGTGATGGTCGCTGCCAACTTGCTGCTGCAGGCACCGGACTTCCGCGCCGCCGCCGCCGCCGCCGGCGCCTTCGAGCCGCTGCTCGCCGCCGCCACGGCTCCTGAACTCGCCACCCGGCCCGACCTGGTAGCGGGCTACGCGCTAACTACCGACACGTTGGACCATGAGTTGCGGCTGCTGGTGTGGGGCGCGCTGGAGCAGGGCTGTCTGCTGCCGGAGGTGCTGGCGGCGGCGGTGGCGGCGGGGCTCATGCGGGTGCTGCTTCTGTACGTCAGCTACGGCGACAGCCACCCTGCCGTACGGCGGTGGAATGCGGACCAGCTGGCGTCGCTGCGTTCCGCCGCGCTCAGCAAGCTGCACTCGCTGTCGCCGCTGTGTCCCGAGGAGTATGAGCGCGCGGGCGGGCCGGCGACGCTGCTGGGATTCGTGTCCGCCGCGCCGGGGGCGGTGCACCTGGAGGGCGCTCTGCGGCACCTGCACCGCCTGTTTGTGTTGGTGCCGGAGACACGGGACTCGCTGGGGGGTGCGGGGCTGATTCCGGTGCTGCTGGGGGTGGTACGGGACAGCGTGGGAAGCGGCGCTGGCGGCGGCGGCGCGCTGGGGCATGTGGGTGCCGGCGGAGGCGGCGGCGGCAGCGGAGGCTTGTCAGCTGCCGGCAGCAGCAGCTTCGTAGCTGGTGGAACTGGCGGTGGCGGAGGAGGAGGCGGAGCTTCCGGGCAGCCGGAGCCGGTACGGCTGTTCGCACTGCTGTGCCTCACGGCGCTGTGCACGGTGCATGCGGAGAACCAGCGGCGGCTGCGAAAGGCGGGAGGCGTGGGGGTGCTGCTGTCGGCGCTGGCGAAGCTGCGGGGACTGGATCCGCTGCTGCCGGCGCCGTACGCAATCGCCGTACTGGAGTGCATTTGGGCGGCGGTGGTTCCGGATCGTAAGAGTACGGCACGGTTCCTGGTGGATCAGGGGATGGACCAGCTGCTGAACCACCTGGAGAGCGGCAACCAGGGGCACAGGTGCGTGTTGGCACCAGCGGCCGCCTAAGGATGCGTATCCTGGCCCCAATGAGTGTTTCCTTTCGCGGCTCATCCTCACAACCCCTTACTGTCCGCCCACTGCCCGCTCATCCCCGCCTGCACACAGACCCGTGGTTCTGCGTGTGCTGTCGGACCTGCTGGAGAACCCGCGCAGCCACCCCTTCTTCCACGAGTGGCAGTCCGACGCCAACAAGCAGACGGCAGCGCACATGCTGCTGTCCATCTGGATGGTGCGGTCTTGGAGAGGGGTTTGGCTGTGGGGCTTGGGGCTGTGGGAATGGGGAGGGAGCGATGCGCGTGCGGCGTGTACCAGGGGAGGGGCTGAGGGGCTGAAGACACCTGGTACTGCACCGTAATACGTACCATAATACCACAATATGATCTTGGGAGAGCACTTGTGGGCGCCCATCTAATCTGTTGAGTGCTTGAATACAACCGAGCTCCGTGCACGCCTGCCACCACCTTACCTACACAGGAGGAGGATGCGATGCGCGGCATGACGGGCGCCGACGGGCTGCTGGCCAACCCTTCCCGGCCCCTCGCGGGCCTGGAGAAGCGCACCAAGTGGCTGCCCGCGGAGACGGTGGCGTACGGCAACATGAGCGCGGACAAGAGGGAGACGCTGGAGGTGGGTGGGAGGCGGGGGTGGGGTGCTCTGGGGTTCCTCAGACGCGGGTGTTGAGGGAGGGGGAACAGGGTGCGCGTTGGTAGGATGGGAGCAGGCACATGCGCGTTGCAGGCCTTTTCCTAACCCCCTCTTGCCGCGCTCCCCTCCCGCCATCCCCGGGCCCCCGCAACCCGCAACCCGCAGCTCATGTCCGGCAGTGTGACCAACGAGGTGGTGCTCGCCAAGATCTACGGCGTCTTCAAGCTGCTGGGCTTCGAGTCCTGCCCCTACCTCTCCCCACGTGACCATGCGGTGCTGGCGGCGGTGGAGAAGTACGCCAAGTTCCGACAGGGTGACGTGTGGCGCGGCATCCAGGAGGAGTTCGATGCGTGCGACATGCGACCCACGGCGCCGGACAGGTGGGGGCGGAGGAGGGGCAGAGGGCTGGTTTGGCGGGGTTATGAGGAGAAGAAGAAGACCCATGGGTCAGTGGTATAGCCCCTGGATGGCTCATCGTCGTTCAGCGGACGTGGGAGCGGGTGCGCGTGACAGGTAGTGGCGTGTGCTGTGGAGGGACCTTGGCAGCGGCAGGACCAAACAACCCTTGCCCTCTTACTTTTCCCTCCGCCACTCCCCTTCCCTCGCCCCTCTTCTCTTCCCCCCCCCCCCACAGAATCCGCCTAGAGTCAGGCATCGAGCTGTCCGAGTCGCTGGCTGCAGCGGTTCGCGACGCGCAGGCTCGGCTGCTGGGTCGCGCGCAGGAGGGGCTGCGGGCTGCCGAGACGCGGCTGTTCGACGGGCTGCGCGCGCAGGCCAAGTTGGAGGCGGAGTACCGCTACGTGCAGCTGCAGGAGCGCACGCCGCTGACGCTGGCGGAGATGCGGCGCGCGAAGGAGCAGAAGGCGGCCATGCTGAAGAACAGCCTGCAGAGCTTCCAGTTCCAGCATGGGCAGGAGGAGGAGGAGGGGGAGGGGGAGGGGAAGTGAGGGGGTGGGGGGTGATGTGAGGGGCAGAAGCGTTATGTAAAAGCAATGGAGCAAGGCAGGATTAGGGTACCTTAAGGGGGTGGCGTATTAGGGACTTCTTGGGCCGGCGTGGAATGGAAAATAGGGAGGAGTGGTGATTGGGGCTTGTGGGGAGACTATGAGGAGGCTGGGGGCCAGGCTCGTTGGCGCAGGAGCACCTGAGGTGCTTGAGGAAGCGAGGATGAGGAAGAGGGGTGGCGTGGGGTCGGTACTGCAGTCGTGCTTTGGAGTACAGTCGTGCTGTGCGTTGCTGTAGGGTGTGGGGCCGTGTGAGCCACACACGGGGTGTACGTGTATCAGGCAGGATGTGGGGACGTGAGGAACAAGGCGTATTTTTGCACAATGATGATTGGCGATGTGCCGGTTAGGTGACAAGCACCGGTATAGCATGTCTTGTCCTAAACCCCCTGCCTCCAGCTATGGCGACACGGGAATGGCATGGCTTGGGAAGGCATGGCTCCCATTGTCTACCATGCCTGAAACGAAATCATCATGCATCAAGTTTCAAGTAAACAGCGAAGCAGACACATGTGGCTATCGATATGTGTCCATGTAACACGTCAGGACGTCCAGTAAGAAGACCCTTCACAAGAACTCAACGCAGACCCCGTATGGCTTTGCTCCAACCCTTCAACCCCTGGAGCGAACAACCCCTGGAACCCTTCAACCCCCGGAACTCTTCAACCCCTTCAACCCCCGGAACGAACAAGCCACCCGCATCCTGCAAGGATCCAACTGCGTCTCTCAACTGCCAACCCTAGGCTTAAGGTACTAGATTGTATCTAGCGTCGTACACTCGTTCTAATCCCATGTAACCGCCCTGCCAACCTGCCCGGGCAGATCAACGACACAACCACGCGCATCTAGGTGTTGTACACTTATATTGCAGCCAACCCATGGAGCTGTATCGTATATTCGTGTTGTTCGGTGAACAAAGCCCCGTGCTTGGATGGCCGCCTGCCGGAAGTGCCAGCCCCGCCTGTGATCCTGTGTTGCAACGCCCATTTGCAACTGCACTGCTCGCGAGCCACCGAGTTGCAACAGCAGCTCGCGCCTCCCTACGAAATCGGTACACTATGCCCGCTATAAGAACTCTTCATGCCTTCCTAATGACTCTATGACAAGCTTATGTTTCACACAGCAAGCTCCTCTTGCAACCACCACACCAACCGTCATCGCTGCCACATGCTTTCCCACACTACCCACCAGCCACAACAGCAGCACACTCCCACACCCCCTTGCCCTCTACTTGTTCTTCTTGCCCTTCTTGTTGTTGTTCTTCTTCCGCTTCTTCTTGCCACCCGCGCCCCCGGCCACCGCGCCGCCGCCGCTGCTAGGAGCCCCCGCGGCCGCAGTCATGGGCTCCTCCTCGCCCTCGCCCTCCTCATCCTCCTCCTCACCTCCTCCCGCCGCAGACCCCGCAGCTGCCCCTGTGCTGCTGCTGGCTGCCTCGCTGGGTGCCGCGGGCGGCGGAGGCGTCACCGCTACCGGCGCCGCGGGGGCTGCTGCAGCTGACTGTGCGACCTGGGTGCCAGGAGATACGCCGGCAGAGCTCAGTGGCCCCTCTGCTACAATCGCTGCCTCCTCCGCAGGGCCAGCAGCAGCAGCAGTTGTAGTTACCACGGCAGGGGGTTCTTCTGTCGCCTCAGGTGTTCCAGCAACCGCCTCAGGCTGCGGCGGCGGCGTGCCCGGGGCAGCGGGGAGGCCCTCCGGCAGTAGCGGCGGCTGCAGCAGCTGTGGCTCTACTGCGGCTGGTACGACAAGGGGAGCGGGAAGGACGGGAGGGATTGCTGCCTGCTGTGCCTGCTCCTCGGCTGCTGCGACTGGTGGCTGGGGCGCCGGGGCTGGCGCCGGGGCGGCCTCCACTGGCGCCGATGGGGGCGCTGGAGCTGCGAGGACAGGGACACCGGTCGCCGCCAGCGCCGGGTGTTGCGTGAGGCGGCGGGACACAGCTCCAGGGGATCTCGCGGGAGCCGCTGCAGCCGCCGCCAGGGGTGCTGCTGCGGCAGCAGCTGCTGCTGCTGCTGCCGCTGTCGCCGCGGCAGTAGTGAGGGCTGCTTCCGCTGCTAGGGCTGCGGGACCGGCGGCACCGTTGGCGATCCCCGCCTCCGCCTCGGGTGCTGAGCTGGCGGGCGGCGGCGCCACCTCCCCGGCGCCGCTGTAGACCTGCTCTAGCGCCGCTGCCGTGGCTGCGGAGGTGGGCGAGGGCGCTGCCGCTGGCACAGCCTTGGCCTCAGGCGCTCCGCTGACAGCCTCAGGATGACCGACAGGCGTAACTGGTACAATGCTAATTGCTTCAGCTGTACTGCTGCCGCCTGGTTGGCCTGGCTCCACGATGGTAATGGCCGGTGCAGTGAACAACGGATTGGTCATGGACTCGCTGGCGCGGCCGGGGCCCGCTGGTCCTGAACTGGGTGCAGCCTGCCTTTCAGATTGGCCGGCCAAGAGAGGCTCGTGCTTCTCCGTTTGGAATTGTGGGCAACATAGACCTGCGATTGCGAAGACCAGGTTGCAGTTGGGCACGATCGAGCGCTTCGAGGTTGCCATTACTGGAGTTCATTTCTTACTTAATACGTTCCCCATGACGCAGTTCCCGATCGCCTCTTGCCGGCTTCACCGTCCGCCAGGCCGAGCCTATCTTAGCTTGTGCGTCAAGAAACGAGGAGACCTCACTGTAAACGCATAACGTCAGCACATCATAACATGTCACTTGGCTTGCTTCTTCAAAAAGTGCCAGATGCGGACGGTACCATGTTGCAGTACCGATCCCGCCTTTCCGATTCCTCGGCCAACCGCCTCGCTTAACATTCTACATATTATGATACATTTTAAAAAAACCAGCACGCGTATGCAAACCCAACGTTGCGCAAAGTTGGTAATGCCTGGCAGAGACCGACAGTAGTCGTCCCAACCAGTCCGAGCAAATTCTGCTGTAGTTGGCTTTCCTCTGTCACTTCTGTGATGCAAAACGTACATAGAGTAAAAGCATAGGGACACCAAGGCGAGATACTTGCCTTGGGTGTTGCAACCATCCTGAGCAAAAGAGTTGGTCCGCTCACCATGATAAAGTGAACTTGAAAAGTCACACAAAGCAACGAAAAGGAATTTCTGCAGGGCGGAAGTTCGGTAGTGTATGAAGTTCCCTTAAAAAGTCACGTCTTGAGCAACCGCAAAATTCCTGGCCTCCACTGAAAGAACGCCGATAACATCCTGCGTCTACCATAAGCTCTTTTATGACAGACACCAGCCGGGTCTTCGGCTGATCAACAAGCTGTTCACAACATAGCCCGAGCCCTCCAACATCTCTGCCACCATCCCGACTCCCTGCCCTAACCACCGGCACCGCATTCATCTTCCTCCCACACCATTTCCCAACCTAATCCACCCTCGCCCGCCGTACATACTGCGCTGCCGCCCTCACACTCAGCCCCCCACACTGCTTCCGCGCCCACTCCGCCGCATGCACCACATTTTCCTCCCGCAGCGCCGCCCCCGCCTCCTCGCCCGCCAGCTCCCGCAGCGTGGCTCCGAAACCCGCCTCCGTCAGCTCCGCCGTGGTGAGCACCAGGCCGAAGCGGCTGACTAGGGCGTCGTACGACACGGTGGAGGAGCTGGATACGCCCATGTACTGCAGTGCAGGGGAAGTGGGGGTAAAAAATAATTGAAGAGTGAAGCGACGGAGGGGGGCCAGGGGCAGGCAGGAGGGCAGGGACGAGGAACCCAGCACAGGTTAGCAAAAGTGCCGTTTTGCGAAGCGTGTGGGGGCGTGTGGATAGATGAAGAAACGCGTAGCTCCCCCCATCGCATCAAACCCGCTGCACCCCGCTCCACCCCACCCTCCCGTTTCCTCACCAGCAGCGTGTTGCTCGGCCAGCCCGCCGCCCCACCTCCCCCCGCCAGCCCCCCCAGCAGCTCCCCCACCCCCGCCCCCCGCAGCGGCAGCTCCAAGTGGTCAGCCACCAGGATGAAGCGCAGGCGCGGGTAGCGGCCGCACCCCCGGGCGGCCTCCAGCAGCGAGGCGGCGTCACAGCCGCTCACGTCAACCAGCCGCAGACCCCGCTCGCGACCTGGGGGCGGGAGGGGGGGGAGGGGAGGGAGGCGGGATGAGGGTAGGGCATGGGTCGCATGGAGTTCGGGAATGCCCCTCTAACCCTCTACCCCATGTGTCCATCTGACTCTCCGCCCCTCCTTCCATCCCCCAGCCCTCCCTCGATTCTTCCCCAGGCCCATGTGCCTCCCTCCGCCTCCCTCCCCCTCCGCCCCCCGCCCCACCCGCAGCCAGCGTGTAGTCCCAAAGCAGGGCGCTCTTGCCCGACCCCGCCGGCCCCGCCACCAGCGCGTGCTCCGCGGGCCGCCCCTCGCAGTGGCGCAGCGTGTTGGCGGCCAGCAGCCGGTGCGGGGGGGCCAGGGGGGGCAGGGGGGGCAGGCGGTGCGGGGGGGAGAGCACGGAGGGGGAAGAGGATGAGGAGGGGGCGTCGGGGCCCTCCTCGAAGGCGCCCTTGATCCACCTGGTAGGATAATGGGGGAGGGAGGGGGTAACGAGGAAACAACTAACTGACTGGGGGGGAGGGAGGATAGGGGATAGGGAAGCGGGAATCAAAGGAATACCAAGCCACAGGTGAGGACAAAACAAAGTGGATAGGAGGCGGCAGGGAAGAGGGGGAGGAGAGGCGCATGGGTCCCACCCCCCCGGCGTCTTCCTATCGCGAATGGCCATGGCTGCAGTAAGTCTCATCTTTACGGTAAGACCATTTGTTGTTTTGGCTTGACTAATACGGGTGGGGTGGGATGGGCCAATTAGCAACCCATGGAGGAGCCTCGTCATCCAGTTTGTCAGTGTTTCTTTATTTTTACCCCCCCTAGCCCCCAACCCACCTTAGCGTGGAGTTGCGCGAGGTGATTCCGAAGCCATGTCGGTGGTAGTACGCCTCCAGCAGCGGCACCGCCTCGCCCCAGCTGTCGCGCCCGCTCAGCGCCGCCCGCCAGCCCGCCAGCTCCTCGGGGTGGGGCGGGCGGGTGATGAAGGGGGAGCGGGAGTGCGGGTCCAGGGGGGTCACCACGGGGGGCGGGGAGGTGCCGGGGCTGTTGGAGGGGCTGCTGGAGGGGCTCTTGAGGGAGAGGGAGGTGGCTGCGGGCGGGTGCGGGGGGAGGGGCGGGGCGGGAGGGGTGTGGTGGGGCCGCGAGGAACGAGGAGTCTGCAGCAGCAGCTACCGTGAATGAGAATGAGAGCTCATGACAACTGCCTGGCTGCGGACGCGCCACTCTCTGAGGACCCAGATGTGCCGCCTTCAGACCCTGGACTCCAATCCCTAGCGGCTCACTTGCCTCCAAACACACGCACGCACGCAACCCCCCTCACCCGCCTCCTGCCAGTAGGGCCCCGCTGCGGGCGCCGCATCCGCCACCAGCTCAGCGATCTGGGGGGCAGGGTGAAGGGGGTGGAGGGGGGGAAAAATTACTTAAGTGAAACAACGAGGGGGAGGAAGTGGATGTAGCCGTGCGATAAGGACGGCCCCCTCTCCCTAACCCCCCTCCGCGTCACACCAGCCTAGCTCCTCATGTCATAGAATGCTCAACCCCACGTACCGGTAGGCTCTGCTAGCCATGAGACCAATACAGTGCCCTCCTGGTCCTTTGCTCTGCCCTGTCCTGCCTGTGCCGCACACGTTCGCACACGTCGCTTCGAGGCCGGAGAGCCCTCCCCTGCCCCCCCCCCCCCTCCCCCACCTGGTTCATGCTCAGCGCCAGCTCCTGCAGCACATCCAGGTCGTACGACACGGCCCGCAGCAGCGGCGCGCCGCCACCCGCCTCCAGACTGCCCTGCGCGGCGGCACGGGCGAAGGAGTTGTCCCGACCTAGCAGGATCTGGGGGCGGAGGGGAGAGGAGAGGGGCAAGCGGGAGGGGAGAAGGGAGGCGTCAGGCGGGAGCAGGCATGAAAGGAATGAGGATCCGGTTCTGAGAGGAGGGAGTGCAAGGGGCGCCCAGGGTTACAGGGGGCAGGTGGGGAGCTGCAGCAGGCAGCGGGCGTTGCAGGGCGCCGCAGTAGGGGGCTCTCGCTATCCCCCCTCCCTCCTGCCCCCCTTCCCTGCCCCACCCGGGGTGGAGCCTACATGTCAGAGTTCCTTCCTCTTTACCCTAACCTTCCGCTTTGCCTCCCTCTCCCCCCCCCCGCTCCCCCCACCTGGTCCAGCAGGTAGTCCGCCCAGCTGTCGTACCCCGCAGCCAGCAGCAGCGAGAACAGCCGCCCGTAGGCGGTCAACACCTCCTTGCTGCTAGCCTGCAAGGGGGGGCGGATGAGGGGGGAAGGAGGGGAGTTGGGCGGGATGTGGGGTGGGAAGGGGAACGATCCACCACTTCCCCTTCCACCAGCAGCCCCCCTACCCACCACTTCTCATTTATTTTCACCCCCCACCTGGTACTTTTGCGTGACCTGCAGCGCCTGCAGGAAGGCCTCCCCCACCGACCCCTTGAGCACGCTGCCGTACACCAGCAGCGAGGAGGCCAGCGAGCCCAGCGACCCCACGCGGGCGCCCAGCTTGGTCGGGGCTGAGGAGGGAGGGAAGGAGGTAGGAAGCCACGGGGGCAGGGGGGCAGGGGGACGGGGAGGGTGGTGGGAGGTGAAGCAGGCACTGCAGCGGCGGTGGCGCGATACATACCCCATCCCGGCACCACATGTATTGCCTCAAACGCTGGTGTACGATAGTATGCCACTCATCCAGAAATAAATGCTGGTTGTGTAAATGTGTGATAAGCTGTGCTACCTTTGGATGAGCGGCTGTCATCGTCTCCGAAGTCGAAGCCAATTGCTTGCACCTTTAGGCGCCTCGGAAGGCGACGAGGGCAGCACAGGAAGGGTTTACATCTTAACGATTTGGCGCTGGATAAGCATTGCCTGGACTGTAACCCGCTAACGGAAGAATGGAGCATTGTGCGAAGAGAATCGGACTTGTTGGCAGGAGTTGCTGCTTCGGTGTTGAAAGGGGTAGGGGGACAAGATTGACGCTGATAACGAATACTTATTATTGCCTCATTGCGTCTTCGCTGAAAGGTCTCCAATGCAGCGAGATCGGACCTGAAGATTTTTTCGCGCGCATGCTGCACGGCAGCATGCCGAACTTGGGATGCCGACAGACACCATAAACACAATTCTAGGTACATATGCTTCAGCACTTGGTTAACGTCCTTTGAGGTGGCGAAAATCCGCCGGGTTAGGTGTTAGGTCCTTATGCATGACGCGGTAACCATATAGCTATAGTCGCTGCGGACCCAGTAGCCTGTATACTTGTTAGTATGACCACTGACGATGGAAATGCTCATAAAGCCCCGTCAGCGCTCCTCCAAGGGGTCTTGACACCTGGCGTACAGGCAGACACCGCTGGCCAACGCCTTGCTGAAGACGAAGATGCTGCCAAGGCTGTTCGTGATGCCCTTGCTGCTGCAATTGATGGCGCGTCGCCTCAAGTCCGTCATTTTCAGGTGCGAATGCGAGATGGGTGTTAACGCAAGGTGCGCTGCTAGAGTGGAGCTTTGACATTGCTTATAGGCTATGGTCCCCTGGTCATTATGGCATGTTACACCATTGTCAGTAGACAGTTCCACGTCAGCTGTCAGGCGGCGCAGCGCCCCGGGTGCAGATATGGGCTTTGCCTATAGGGGCCGATGAATTGTTCTGGAATACATAGCAGCGCTTTCTGGCCTTTTAGCGTTTCTTCCGAAACAGTTCCTGGTTGTTTCCCGGTTATCTCTGGAAAGATGCCGCATGGTGGCAACCTTCCTTTGACGTTTAATCTCCTTTTGGCAGAGACTGATACACGATAAGCTTTGTGGTAACTATCGGTGATATGGGTGCGTTCAAACCTCATGTTTGCGAAAGGGCGCCTCCAATGCACCACACCCTTGGGTTTCCGCTTCTGCCGCACCCTTCCTGGTCATCCTACGGTCTTTTAGGGCCCCTGCTCGTCCATCGAACAACCATACCCTTGCGTCAGCAAAACGCCTCGCCTCATGTCATCCTATAACCGCCGCAACTCACGCCGCTTCGTTTTCCAATCCGACACCTTTGTCGTAAAACCTTCACCCATGTCAGTCAGTCCATAACCGCCACCACAACCGCACCGATGACCAAAACACAAACCCCAGAGTTCCCTCCTCATCCCATGCAGTCCTGGGCCCTTCTCTCCGCCCTTTTCCCCTGCTCACGTCCTCGCCTCCTGCCGCTTCCCAACCACAGGCGGAGCTGTGCAATGGTGGCGCCCTGCGGCAGCTGTACGACCTGGCAGTGGCTCGCCGCCCCATAGCCTTCGAGGCGCTGCGGCTGCTGTCGTACCGCAACCGCATTGTCGTACAGCAGCTTGCCAACATGGGCGCAGTGGAGCTGCTGGAGCAGGTGGGGGGCGGGGATCCATGGGGAGCAGGATGCATGCGCCTGCGGCATACCTGCGCCGGCTTTGGCTGCCGACCCACATCAACCGACCTGACCCACATCAGCTGACCCATGTCATCCTTCCGCCGCTAGACGCGTCCCTCCTCCTCCTCTCTCTTCCTCCCTCCTCCCGCTCCCTCACCAGATCCTGGTCCGCGAGGCCCACAGCGGCTCCTCTGGCGGCCCGCTGCAGTCCGCGGCGCTGCAGCTGCTGACCAGCCTGCTGGCGTTCAACCTGGAGGTGCACTCGCAGGTGATGCGCACGCGGCTGGTGAAGCGGCTGGTGCAGCTGTGCAGGTGGGGGGGAGGGAGGGGTAGGGGAGGCGTGGGCATGGTGGGTAGTAGGGGTCTGGGAGGTGGCAGCGAAGGGGTGTTGAGCGCTGCCTTGGGTTGCCATGTTTTTCATGTGGGTCGGCCTCCGGAGGTCTCCGAACAGCATGGGCTCTCAGACACGGCTTCCTGATTGCAAGGATAACAGTACAATATTGCTGCCGTCAAGCCTCCCGTTCCTAATACCGGTATCCCTCGGATCCGATCTGGGTCGCATGCAGATCGGATACCCACGAGGCAGGCCAGCAGCAGCGGCAGCAGAAGGGCAGCGGCAGCGGCGCGGTAGGGGAGGAGCCAGCTGGGCCTCGGGGGGCCTCTGCTACAGGCGACGGAGGGGACAGCAACAGCAGCAGCCGCCAGGCGGAGACAGCGGCCGAGCAGCAGCAGCAGCAGCGGGACGCCTCCGCCACTACTTCCACTGCGGCTGCTGCCACCCCGGCAGCTGCAGCAGCAGCCCCCTCCTCGTCAGGCGATGCTGCAGCAGCAGCAGCTGACGCTGACAACAACAGCGACAGCAGCACAGGCGCCGGCGGTGCCGAGCAGCAGCCGGCAGGTGCGGGTCCGGGTCCCCCGACCGGTCCCACCACACCCGCCGCCGCCACCCCGCCTGCGGGCGGCCTGAGCCCCGTTGCCGCGCACCCCGACGCGCCCACCTTCCACTCCCAGGAGCAGCACCCGCAGTCCATGTCGGCGTGTGCGGCGGTGGCGCTGCGGAACCTGTGCCACCAGGTTTGGTTGGGGCGGGAGAAGGAGGAGGGCGGGGGATGGGGGCGGGAGCGCTGTGGTGTGGTGTGGACGCGCGGTTGTGAAACGGAAAGAGGAATGGGCCGCATGCATGATGGGTGAGAGGTTCATGGTGAGTGTGAGGATGCCTCGGCGCCCGCCCTTTTCGCAGGACTATTTACCCCTCCCCCCGACCCCTCCCCCTCCCCGGGCCCCCCAGGTGGCCAACCACCCGGGGCTGCTGGCTGCGGGCGCCGCGCTGGAGCTGGCTGCGGTGATGCAACGCGAGGCCGACCCCTACCAGCGCATCAACGCCACCATGGCGGTGGCGCTGCTGGTGGGGCACGAGGAGCAGCACCCTCTGCTGCGCATGGACGAGGAGGGCATCCGGGAGATGCTGACGGTGCTGACGTGCGCGCGGGCGAGGGTGATGTGCCACGGGTTCTACTGGACGGTGTGGAAGGTAGGTGTGGGGGAGGGGGGGAGGCTAGAGGTAGGGGGCAGTGGGGGAGCGGGTGCAGTGGGGCGGGGACACAGCATTGTGAGGCCGAGGAGAGGCAGGAGGCGGTGTGGCTTACCGTAACCCCGCGGTCGTCCTCATGGTCCTCAGCCCGTTCCTCCTCCTCGTCCCCCTCTTCCCGGATCGGCATCCAGATGCCTCGCCTTCCCTTCTCCTCACCCCATCCTCAACCCCCTCGTCCACCTGCGCCCCCTATCCCCTGCCTCTCCTGCCTCCCTTCCCCCCCAGGTGTGCCAGGCGCTGGCCCGGCTGAGCGCTAACGAGGACAACAAGCAGCTGCTGACGCGCGAGGGCGGCATCGAGGTGCTGGCGGAGGTGCTGATGTGCGAGGAGCACCGGCGCAAGGCCATCACAGTCAAGTACTGCGTGGAGGCGCTGTGGAACATGGTGGGGGGGGGGGGGGGGGGCGGGGGGGGGGCGGGGAGCGATGGGAGCATGGGACGGGGCCTATGTAGAGTGAAGCCTGTGTAGACAGGGGAATGGGGGATGCGGCGTTCAACGCGTCGTCGTCCCGTCAGTTACAGCTGGCTTGGGTAGCTGAGTAGCAGCTCGTCCTCCATGCTGCCCCACCTCCCGCAGGCCTTCTACGAGCCGGCGCGACAGAAGATCCTGGCCAACGCAGGTCAGTGGGTTACTGTACAGTTACAGCTAGCAGGAGAGCGGTTGAGCATAGCAAGCTAGTGACGTCCCAAGCCAGCCTTGCATCGTTGCATGCCGCATTACTCCATGGAAATTCGTTTCGCCGCCTTGTACATCCCTCCCACTCCCGCTCCTCTGTTTTCTTCCCCTCCCCTCTCCTCGCCCCTCTCCTCACCCCCTTCACCTCACCCCTCCGCTCCCCTCTCAGCCCTGATGGACGCCATCCGCCACGCGCGGCAGTCGGGTCTGGACCTGGTCCGAGAGGTGGCGCGCGGCTGCCTTTTCACACTGGGGGCGAAGGAGTCGGCGGACGGCAGACCGCCGACCCACAACCACCCCCACCACCCCCACCACCACCACCATGCAGATCAACACCACCACCAACAGCAGCAGCCCCATGCAGCACCAGCATCACCCTCCGCGTTCGCAGCCGCAGCCCAAATCCCCGACGGCCCCAGGCCACATGGAGACCCGCACCAGCAGCAGCACCCACAGCACCCGAACCCGCACCACCACCGCAGCGGCAGCAGCTACCAGCACCCGCAGCAGCAGCGGCTGCCTCGACACCACGAGGAGGAGGAGGAGGAGGACGGCGCGCACCACCAGCACTACCCGCCGCTGCGGCTGCACACCTCGGACCCCAGCTGGGAGGCGGGAGGGGCCACAGGCCATGGCCACAGTCACCGGCGCGGCAGCTCCACGCATGCGCCCATGGCTTCCGAGGACGGCAGCTGCGGGGGGGATGTGTTGCTGCGTAGTGTCAGCAGCTACGGGGCGCAACACCCAGCTGGTGGGGGTGTAGGTGGTGGGGGTGGGGGTGCTGCTGCTGCTGGCCCCTACGGCGGGCATTACGGCGGCCACAGCAACCACAACCACCAGGATGTGGAGACCATGTCCACAACCTCCTCTCGCTCGCACATACGGCGCTCGTGCACCTCTGCCCTGGTGGAGAGGTGGGAGGGGCAGGGGCACCCGCAGTCGGGTGCAGTGGCGTGGCCGGGGCAGCCCTCCTCGCCCTCCTCGCACCGCGGGGGGCCCCACGACGGCGGCTGGGTGCATGGCAGCGCCGGGCAGGGCCACGGGGGACACGGGGGACAGGAGCATGGGCATGGTCGTGCCGCGTCGGTGAAGGGCTTCGACAGCATGTCAGTCGGAGGCCGCCGGCGGGAGAGCGCCGCGCATAGCCAGCATGGGGGTGCGGGTAACGACTTTTCCGACACGGCCAGCCGCAGCGGCGCCTCTCACGGTCACCACCACGGTCACCACCCCGGCGGCCACCACCACAGCCGCAGCTCCAGCCATGCAGAGTACGGCGGTGAGGGGTCGGTAGCAGCAGCATCAGCAGCAGGAGGAGGTGGCGGTCACTCTTGGGGCTCGGCGTCTGTTGCGGGTGCGGGCTCCACGGCAGGTGGCGGCGGTGGTGAGAGCGGCGGCCACATCATGATCAGCTACGAGTGGGGCAGCCAGCAGAAGGCGCTGATGATCAAGGAGGCGTTGGAGCGGCGGGGGCTGCTGACGTGGATGGATGTGGAGAAGGTGGGTGCGAGGGGTGGAATGAGGTGGGATGAGGGCGGAAGCGGTGATGAGATATGGCGAGGTGTGGGCTGTGTAGTTCGGGTTGGCGCTTAGATGGAACATTCATATCAATGCGGTCGCTGGCGTCGTGGTGTATTCGACTTGGCCATTCGTTTTCTTCCTGGTGAGCTTCATGCTGCGAACACAGCCTAACGGGTGTCACCCTTCTTCCTTCCCTCATGGCCCTGTGCATGCGAACCCTCTTGGAACGCGCTGGCGCTCTCCTTGGTATTGAGCAGATGTCAGGTGGGATACGCGCGCCCCCTGGGCTTGAGGATTCACCTTCTGCTTCCCAGCATGGCGTCCATGTATGCATTGACCAGGCTGCCTGTCTTGCCACCGCTGATGTCATCTACGCAAGCCACGCGAGCCGCCTCCGCCTCTGCAACCCTTCCAAACCTAACCCGACGCCCGCTGCTCACAACTCTACCCCCAACCCCGTCCCCCATCCCTGCCCCCCACCCCGTCCCCCAACACCCCCAGGCTCCACGCTGGAAGCCATGGCACTGGCAGTGGAGGGCGCCGTGGCGGTGCTGCTGTGCGTCAGCAAGCGCTACAAGGAGAGCCAGGCCTGCCGCGCGGAGGCAGAGTACGCCTACCAGCAGCGCAAACGCATCGTACCCATCATGATGGAGCGAGGCTACCGACCCACCGGCTGGCTGGGCATCCTCATAGGAACCAAGCTGTATTTTGACTGCTCGGATCGACGACTGATCGGCGAGCGTGTGGCGGCGTTGGAGCGGGAGTTGGGCCCCCTAGCGCGGCTGTGCAGGCGCCCCGGCACCGCGGCGTCGGCGTCGTCAGGCGGCCGCAGCCGGCCGGCGTCAGCGCTTGCGATGATGCCCTCGGTGCCGTCATACAGCTCGCTGCACAGCCAGAGCTTCAACGGCCACAATCACGGCCACGGCCAGCATCACAGCAGCAGCGGGCAGCAGCACCACCACAACCACCACCCGGCCTTCATGCACTCACAGTCGCACAACAACCTCAACATCAGCCAGCATCATGGGCATGCAAACGGGCAGCACCAGCACCCGTTTCACCACCAGCACAGCCAGCACACCATGTCAGGCATGCGCACGCCGCCGCCGGCGCCGCGGCCCGCGTCCGCCGCGCCGCTGCTGACGGGGCGAAGGAGCCTGCCGGAGTTCCCCCTGCCAGAAGACTCACCGCCGGGCCAGCTAACGGGGCCTGCTGGTGTGGCTGGCAGCACCTCCGCCGCTACCACCCCCACCACCGCAGCAGCACCGGAGTTGGGCGCCCATGCGGGGACGGATCCGGGGATGCTGCCGCCAGGATGCTTGGCAGTGGACGGCGGTGCCGCAAGTCGCGGTTTTCACCGCAGCAGCACACATGGACCGGGGAGCAGTGCTGGGTTGTTTGGGGATGGCGGCGACAGCACGGGGCCGGCGATGGAAGGCTTCCAGACACGTGGAGGAGCAGCGTCGTCACCACCTGCCAACGGGCTGTGCTTGGGGCATGCGCATGCGAGCCACCACCACCCGCATGCCTCGTCTGCGGTGCAGGGGGAGCCCCTCAGCCCGACATCCTTGCCGCATGGGGAGGATCTGGGCAGCGAGGGCTCGGGTACGGCCCTCAGCGGTGCAGGGCCGGATGAGTCGCCGCCGCTGATGGGCCGCCCGCCGCGGCCGCCACCACAGCAGCAGCAGCACCCACATGCCCACCATCACTCCGAGCACATGCAGGGCTCGGCTGGGGCTGCCGGTGCTCATACGCAGCAACAACAGCAGCATCATCACACCCGGCCAGCATCGGCCCCACCTGCGCCCCCGAAGCTCAAACAGGCTTCCTCGGCCTCTTCCCTGGAGTCCCTGCAAGCGGCGGCAGGCCCGGAGGTTGCCCTGGACGACGACTCGGCTCCCTCCTCCCGGCCCAACACGCCTTCCCTGGAGGAGCCCGAGCAGTCCGAGCACTCCTTCACACATGCGCTGCGACAAGGCATGCATGCAGTCCATGCATCCTCCACCCGCACAGATGCCCAGCCGCACGCTGCTGCACACAGCGCCCACCACCCCGCCCACCACCTTCACCATCATCACCATGGTCATCACCACCATGCAGCGGAGGCCGCGCCGCCGCCTGCCACTGCTGCGGAGCATGCCCGCGCTGTAGCACTGCCAGGCAGCGGCTCAGATGCTCCGGAACAGCGCCAGCCTGCGTCAGGGCTTCACACGCAGCACCAGCAGCACCAGCACCAGCACCCGCCACACAGCTCCCCTGAGCAGGTGGAACCTCACCCTCAAACACCGGCTGCCGCCGAGGAGGAGGTCCTGCTGCCCATGCCCACCATGCTGCTAGCACCGACACCCCTCCGGCAGGCGCCCCCACCACCGCTCCCTCAGCACCCTCAGCACCCGCACCTTCAGCGCCACCCAGCAGCATCTGATCGCTCAACGGAGGACGCCAACCCCCTGCCCAGCACCTTGGAACGCGCCCAAAGTCTCCCGCCCGCTGCCTTATCCCGGCCCGACAGCGCCATTCTCTCCCCGCGTGGCTTGCAGCTCGTTCCGCACCTCCGACGTGAGAACACCTCACTATCCCTCGCCCAGGCTAGTGAATACACGGCCAGCGTGTTTTATGGCGCAGCAGGAGCGCCTAGTGAGATGGATTCCGGGACGTTGAACGGCACGGACGACGGCGGCGCGCAGCTCTCACCCATGCTCATGTCCCGGGTTAACAGCATCACACCGCATCAGCCGCAGCCCATGTTCTCTCTGTCGTTGTCGCACATGGCAAGCTCAACCACCCGACAGGGCGAGAGCTTCGAGCACTCCATTAGCGTGAGCGGCGTGGTGACGGAGGTCGCTGACGAGACCACGGCGCGAGAGGCGGGAGATGGCAAGAAGGGCGGCCACGCGAACGCACACGACGTGGTTTCTACTGTTGCAGATCTGCTGCCCTCGCCGCCAGCGCTGCAATCCTGCGATTCTTCAACGGAGGAGGTTTCGGACACGGCGCAACCCGTGCGTGTGCGCTGCCTGCGACGTGAAGGCGAGGATGCAGCCGCTGGGGATGATACCGGCGGCGGCGGCCGCAGCATGGAGCATAGCGAGGTGCATGCAGGCAGCAGCAGCAGTGGCAGTGTGGACGGGCGTGGCTGCTCCTCCTCCGCTGCGCCGGGCGGCCCGGGCAGCAGCGAGGACTTGCTGGGGCTGGCCTGGGGCGGAGGCGCAGCGGAGCAATTCATGCAGGCGCTCGAGCACGGGGGCGAGCAGGGCTCGGGGCTCACACGCGGACGGACGTTTGGCAGTTTCGGGGACAAGGAAGCGAGAGGGGAGCTGAAGGGCTCGGGGGTGCGTAAGGAGCTTGGTGCTGGAGCGCATGGGGGAAACCAGGGGGAGCAGGGCGTGCCGGAACCGGGAACCCCGCGCAGGGGAGCCGGCGGTGAAGCCGCCCCTGCAGCGGCAAAGGCTTCGGGGGCTGCTGCTGCTCCTGGCAGCAGCGCTGCGGCAGCGGTACTGGGTGCAGCGGGGCTGTCCGCCGCCAGGGGCTCGGTAGACCTGGGCATCGTGATGACGCGGTCTGAGAAGTCGCAGCCGCAGCCGGCCAGTGTGCGGCGGGAGCCGCCGGCGCTGTCCTCCTCGCTACCGGGGCATTCAGCGGGGCGGCCGGCCTCCCCACTCATGTCGCTGCTGCGGCCTGTGACGGCACTGGTGTCTGCGGCGGTGGCGCTGGCGCCGGGAGGCGGCAGCGGCCGGAATTCGCGGTCAAGCGCCTCTACGGACCGTATCGACCCAGTCTCCTCGCACCCCATACCCATTGCCCGTGCCTCCATGCCCGTGAGCCCGGACGATGCCAGCGGCGGCTGTGAGTTCGTAGAGGGCTTCGGCAGTCCCCTGGTCAGCGGCTGCGTGGCGCATGCTGCCACCACATTAGGGCTGCTGACGGCCCCGGCGCCGCCGCCACCGCCGGCAATGCCAGCCGCACCGTCACCGCCGTCGCAGCCACCCAGTGCCGCTGCAACCACCGCAGCGGCGACGGAGCTAGCCTCCTCGCTCTCCACATCCTCTGCGACCACCGCAGCATTGGCTGCCGTACGGTGGAAGGCCATCAACTGGGCGACGCGACGCGCCGCCACCAGCGGTACGGCAACCGAGGCAGGCCGCAACAGCAGCGGCGGCGGCAGCTGTTGCCCGACTGGGGAGGATGCTGTTGGGGCTGCTGTGGCGACGGGTGGTGGGGCGGCTGTGGCGGTGGTTGCACCGACCGGGGTAGACGGTGACGCGGATGACCTGGTGGGGGAGCGCCTAGCGATGATGTTGGACGGGAGCTGCTGCCTTAGCCGCGGGGGACGGAGGTCCGTGGAGGGGATGGGGCTCGCCATTGAGGCGGAGGACAGCAGGAGCAGCTTGGGTACGGCGGCGATGCCGCGCGGGCGGAAGGGAGGCTCAGTGCTGGCTGGCCGCAGCGCGAGGAGCACCACGGGCGGTATGACGGCAGAGAAGTACGGCAGTCGGCGGCGAGTGTCCGGTGGTACGGTGGTGGATCTGGGTCGTACCGAGGGCGGCGTCAGCAGCAAGGGCGATGCTCCTGCCACGCCGGAAGAAGATGCTTCCGGCATGGGCGACGGGGCTGCTAGCGAGGGGGATGTACGGCTGGACGAGCAGCAGCAACGGTACGGCAGTATCCCGCCAGGTCATCTGGGTCGGGACAGCTTGTCAGGGTGCTTGCAGGAGGGACCCTTCAGCATCGCGGCGGCCGCAGGGGGACCAGGGGGTGCCAAGGGCCGCCGAATGGAGGAGGAGGGCGATCCGGAGCAGGAGGGCAGTATCAGCAGCGGACTGCAGGGGTCGTCGCAGGACGACGTGGACGGACCCATGGGTCGCGCTGACAGCGGCAGCGAGCAGGAGGATGAGGATGTGGATGTGGAGGAGGGGTCGGAGGGCAGCTCGAGGGGGCTGCTGGAGGGCGACAGCGGCAGCGGGGGGGCTGGCGAGGTGGGCGAGGAGGAGGCGGAGGCGGAGGTGGTGGTGCCCAGCAGCACAAGCCAGCTGGTGGAGCACTGGAGGGGACCCCAGGTGAGCTGTTATCGCGAGGAATCCGGAGGAAGCTGTCATGAAGCATCAAGCAGCGGGGAAGCTAGTTACCGGTATCGGGATTTGAGTGTCAGCTGCAGCCGTCCTGGGCCGGGCCACTACTCTACTGCTGCCGCGCGAATAGCGTCTTGTTGCTTCATCTCCTCGGCCCTCGCCCCCCTGCCCCCCTCTCCCTGCATGCACAGGTTCGTGACTGGCTGGTTCGTATCGGCCACGGAGCCCTGGCGGACCGCTTCGAGGAGCAGGGCATCACAGGTGGGCGGGGGGGGGGTGCACGACAAGGAAAAGAAGACTAAGGGAGAGGCGGTGTGCGGTTGGTGTGCCGTACTGGTACAGTATCGGGCTGCCCTTGAAGTGTTCTCGGTCAAGGCAGCTCATACCATTACCGGTACATAGCTTAATCGCTGCTGCTGCTGCTTACCCAAGGTTGGCACCAACCGCACCGCCACCCACTATCCCGGTGTCGCCGCAGGTCGTGCGCTGTGCGGTCTGATGCGCGTCATGCGGGCAGGCGGCGGCGCGGGGGTGGTGCGCAGCATGCTGCGGGACGAGCTGGGGGTGACGGGTCTGGCGGCGCAGTTGGAGCTGCTGGAGGAGCTGCACCGGCTCTTCGACTGAGGGGCGGCTGGGGTTAGCAATCCGTCCCCGCTTAATGAAAAGCTGACGGACGGGCTTTAATCCCGGTCAGGATACCAAGGATGTCATCGAGTCAGCACTGGCGTGCTCGCTGTAAGAGAATCAGGAGGCGTTGTGGATACGGTGTGAGCCTCAATGTGAGCTTTCGGCTTTGGTCAACAGTTGTGCTGTGCTTCCAGCATGGCTGGTTCATCAGGCAGGGCAGGGTGAGGTTGGTGATGTTGGTTGTGAGGTTGATGAGGAGGTGGTTTCGTGAGCACATATGTTACCCTACATTGGCGCGGGGTGCAGCTATATAGGTAGACTTGTTCCATCAAGTACACATGGTATTGAAGACTGCTGGTATATGTATGCAGTCGGAGTTAGGTATTTGGCATGTGTCACGGTGTTGCTTGGCAAGGGTGTGTGCAGGCAGCGTCATTTGTCTGTGTGTATGTGAGCCCCTGTGAGGTATAACCCGGCGCGCGCCGAATGGGGATGCGCTGGCACGTGCGCATGACAGGGACGGAGGTGCTAAACAGTCAAGGTTCGTGTTGCGTGTTTTTGCCGTACCGTACGTTAGGGTTTGACGAACGAAGAGGACAGCGGTGTCACCTTTTAGCAGTATAGGACAGCATTAGTCATGCACTTCTTGTAGCAGCGTTACATGCCGGTAGCATTAGAGGTGTGCTAAGAAAGCACATAGCAGACAGTTTGTTTGGGATGTCTTCGACAGTGGAGGCAAAATCGAGTCGCGTGTTTTGTTGCTCTAGGTTGTGTGGATACGGAAGTCTTGCAGTATTGCCGGTGTGTTAGCATCGAGGGGGGCCGGAAGGTTGGAATCCTGGAGCTGGTCCGGTGTTATGGGGCTCGGTAATGAACGCATTGCATGTTCTGGGAAGGAACGGTCCTTGACTCCTTGTAGGCCGCTGCGGTGTAGTGGTAACCTTGGCTTGCAACTCTGGTACACATTAGCTGAGGCTTGCGCCGTCCTACAGACGATTACCTGTCGCAGTAAACTAACAGGTGCTGCCGCGATGTGTGCCTAGCTCATCTGGCGGTTGCCAGTTGCTGCCGCATCTGTAAGCTTGTGGCACAAGTGGGGCATGACGCAAGGGGGACACGGCACAAGTGGGGCGTGAAACAAGAGGGGCATGACAAGTGGGGGGCGTGATACTTGACACAAGGGGGGGCGTGGCACAAGGGGGGCGTGGCACAGGAGAGGCGTGCCAGAAATAATGGTTGTCGCACAGTTGCGCTTCTGTGTGCAGCTTGCGTTTGGAGGGCCAACTCCCTTCTTGCTGGATGTGCTTGCCTCTCGCCCCTCGAAGCTGCGTCGCGGCGGGGGCTCCGCCCCAAAAAGATTCGCTTCCAATGACCTTCTCGTCTTCAGGTCGGCATCGCTGTGTACTTAATCCAGATTAGCAGTATTCCGTGTAGCGAAACCTCAGCATGATCGAAATGATCGCAAGATTCCGTGGTAGATGGAATGGCTACACGAATGGTTTTATTCCCGTACTTCCAAGCATTGCTAGATTCCAGACTGACGAATGTACAAAACAATGCTCTTAACATTTAGGCAACTATATTACCGTGAGGCACGTGCTGGTTGGCTAGCCTGCAGCCTTCACGTGAATTGCAAGTGCACAGCCACGTGCTAGCTAGTATCGACCTTCCTGCTGCACAGCCCTTAAGCCGGCACCGCATGCTACCTAATATATCGAGTTAATTACACTTGTTCTGATAAGCCTTGTTACTTCTGGCTTAGAAGCCTGCCGTCTCCAGGCAGTCGCGAACCGGTCGTTTGAGGTGACCCCTTACCTTCACACCGCCATTCCACAATTCCAAGCCTGGCACAGCATTAGGCAGTACTCATACAAGCCTTGGACGCTGCCTCGTTCATGCGCCTCCGGCCGGTGCGCCTGACGGCCTGAGTCGGTTGAAGGCGACAGGTGGGTTACAGAAGCGTGGTTGCTTGCTCGTTGCCTTGCAACCTTTCGGTCTAACAGCAACGTGATAGCTGATAGGGCCCTAGTTACACAACACTAGCTTTTTTATGGGGCGCCGTGTGGCACCTCTGAGCTCATGGTATCCACGCTAGTCCTTGCACATGCACGTAACATCGGTAACACGCCTACCTCTAGACTCAACCTGCACGCTACCCTGCACGCTGTGCCTACAGATCCCATCAGCAGTAGGAGCTGCTCTCCAGGCCAACCGGAAGAAGCGCCAACGCCGGCAGTACGACAACAACGGCATCATCATCAGCAGCAGCAGCGCTCTCCGCTACACTCCATGTGTAGCAGGGCACACCCGCCCCAGCCCCAGAATACCCACGAATAGCTCCAAGACCTAGGGGGTTCCTGCCATCTTGAGTAGGCCTTTTCGCGCTGCTACACTCCATGGCTCCTGAAGGGCAGCTGAACAGCTGGGCCGCCAGCGGGCCGTCCAAGAGCGGCAGCCAAGCCCCGCATCCGACGCTGTCGTACTCGCACAAGGCCCTAACGCCGTCCGCCGTACCCCCGACATGCATGGAACCGCCTCTGCAAGGCACCCACGTGGCAGCCGCCAAGAGCCAGAGGTACCGCGGCTGCCGGCCCAACCAGGTGTACGGCGATTCTAGCGACAGCGAGCAGGAGGACGAGCCACCCCACCACCACCACCACCACAACCCGCCGGCCCGCCGCCCCTCCGCGCTGGTCTCCTGGCTGGCTAAGCTGCTGTGTGTTCCCGGCCTGGCAGCTGATCTCGCATCCGCACCCTCCTCGGTGTCCCGCTCCTCTTCCGTTCGCAGCCGCAATCGCTGTCACGCGTTGGAGGGGCGCAAGGGCGAGGAGCGGCAAGCGGTGGCGGAGGCGGAGGCGGATTTCGTGGGTAGCTGGCAGCGGGCGCAGGCGGAGGCAGCGGTCCGGGGGCTGGCACCTGCGCTGAAGCGGCATTGCGGTGGGTGAGGTGGCGGGGCAGTTGGGGTTGGGGTGCATGCGAGCAGTGGCGTGTGGTGGTGGGGCTGGAGGGGGGGAGTGCAGCGGCAGAGGATGGCTGGAGTGGGTGTAAAGCGGGATGGTGCCGAGCGGTCGTCGAGGTGCCGGTCATCCGTTCCTCCGTTGTACCCCTGACGTCGGGATCCTCTTCGTCCTTCCAGTTAGCGTTTCCCCATGTGCTCACTCCTCCTCTCTCCTTTTGCTCCCTGTTCCGCACGCAGAGGTCTCCACCACGCCCAGTGCGGCCCCTAGCCTGAGGCTGCAGGGCAGGGACTCCCCCTCGCACCCGTCTGTCCGCGGCTCCCCCTCCCTTCGCCCTTGCTGGGACTCCCCATCCCCTCTGCCCGGCCGCGACTCCCCCTCTCCGCTGCCGCGCCCGTCGCCCCCCATCCCCCGCACCGCCTCCCTGCGCTCTCCCTCAGACATCATAATGACGATCGAGGCACGCGGCAGCGGCAGCGGCAGCGGCAGCTGCAGGAGGGCTGGCTGGGGGCAGCCGGCGGGCAGCTGCCGTACGGCATGGGGCTGTCGTACAACCGCGAGCTGTAGTACAACGATGAGCAGCAGCGGTACGGCAGGTGGGGTGAGTTCCATGTCTTCCGGTTCGTTGTTGTTGTCTTCTGGGCTGTCGTCGGGGCAGCTGTTGGGATGTCTGGAGGAATTTGGAGGCAGCTGTGGCGGCGGCGGGGAGGCGGTGGGCTGCCAGATCCTGACCAGCAAACGTAGCGTGCATTTCGAGTGACGGAGGAGAAGTTATGGTTTGGTAAATTGTTTGGCGGTGGCGGAATTCGCTTCTGGAGTGGACTAGAGGTCGCAATAACCTCCAAATACCTTATGTAAGTTATATTACCGGTATAAGATTACAGGAGGGGGTGTATGGGCTTTCTTTACCAAAAATATTATGCTTGAGCTCCGCGTTATTGAGTATTACGCTGTGCGGATCGCGGGGCTGCTGTCGTCCATGTGGGGGGCGCGGGGGTTACATGCAGCGCGCGGAAGAACAGAGAGGTGTCGACGGTACCTGCGGGCATTCGGACTGTGAATTCTCACGCATTGGCTCGCTGTTGCTCGTGTTGCTGCTAGGATTTGCCGGGGGGGTCAAAGACCATACCAAACCATAGGAAACCGGGGGGGGGGGGCGGTTGTAGAGGTTAGGTGCGCCACCTTGCATGGAAGCCGTGAAGGGTACTGTTTCTTTCTTCATGTCCGCATTGGAAATTGCGAGCCACGGATGGCCGTCCCTTTCATGGACTTCACTTGAGGAGTGGATGTGACACGCTTCAGACGATGGGTTTGGATTTTGCATGTTTACTGAACCAACCGGACATCTGGTTTTTTATTCATCAATGCAGTGAAGAATATCCAGGGACGCTTTAAGCCTGAACAAGTAAGGCTGTGAATACTGTTTGTAGTGCACTGAAGTGTGCACTCACACATCTACAGTTTCCCATCGACTGGCAGGAAACACGTTTCCTCGCTGCCCACCTCCATCGCTTATTACCTACCTGCTTATTTCCTTTTTTGACGGACCATGTGTTTTGCAGCCGTGAGTACGGCACAGAAGAAGAGCCGTGCTGAACCTGCATATGGTTGGGTCCAGGGTCGGGGGGCTACCACGTACATGTTCAATGAGTAAGCGGGCAATTTGGTATGGTTAATGAAGTTCATTTATTTATTGCACACTGCCTCGTCGTGGTGGCGTTTAGAGTATAAATACAAGGCTTGTATTAAATTATGCGATTATTGCAGGGGAGCCTTAGGGCGGGTACGCATGCCGTACCAGGGATGCTTACCGTACCCTGATGCAGATGCTGCATGTTTGGAACGTGCTTGGAGGTGTATCCATAGAGTTGAAAAGGTGCCAATACTGCCGATATTTTGTGTGGCAACACGGACAAATGGCTAGCGACATGCCCGTCAGTGAGTGGAAGTGATGCTTGGGGTGCATGGCATTGAGACATGCGGATGTTGCGCCCATTTGTTAAGCGTGCTGAAATCTAGCACGGTCCCTGACGGTCCTTAGATTTTACTACGTATGTTATGAAAATGCTTCAGTAGCATCACGCCGGATGGTGCCCACGGCCCCCAGCTATGCAAACGTTGGCTGGAAAAGGCGCTCACGACGCCATAGAGCGTGCTCTTTTTTTGTCTATTTTATCTGGAGAAAAGCCTTAGAGACGTATACTGTGCTGTAAACGCTTCCCTGTCCAGAATGCACAATTGGATTGAATATACGGCAACAATTGATGCGTGAGACCGCGACAGCGAGGAAGAAAAGATATACTCAACAACACCAGTATATCTTTACACAGTACATTGCTTGCAATGCAGTCCCTGCCATCCACTTCAGGCCGCTCGGCCGTGACTCAGCCTGCGCAGCATTTATGTCGCTTGCGAAGGCTGCCGCTGGTTGGTAGGAAACTTGATATCATACGTAGTGCACCTCATGTATCAAGAACAGAAGCAGTCGCGACCGAGCAGTCGCGCACTCAAAGCATAAATGCCAAAGACCTAGCTGCGTTCGTTGCTTTCTCAAGCTTGGCTGGGCCTGTGGAAAATGCGTTTGCATCAGAAGCGAGTGTCGCTTACAACGCAGCTGGGGGCGATGAATTCCTAAAGAACCTTGCAGGCGTCGCATATATCTTGTTAGTTGGCGTGTTTCTCTTTAGGCTCCTTCGTAGACGGGCTGCGAAGGCAAAATCGGAGGTGCGTAAAATTGCCACTGGCTCAAGCCTACCTTATCGCCTTTCATCTTTAATGGATCTTTGTACGCTACTCCTTGTACATTATGCTACTGAAATCCTCTAATGCTCCACAATTTCTCTGCAGCGCGTTGCTAGCCAGTCGACAGCTGGTCCATCTGTGTTCTCCCAGCTGCGCGAGAAGGTTGGCGCCAAGAAGCCGGGGAAGGCAACGCCGCTGACTGCCTTTCTGTAAGGACAGCTCCCAATCTCGCTCGTTAGCAGCGTCTTAGCCGAACGTTTGGCTGCCTGTGTCCCACGGTTCGCGTCTGCCGCCCTGTAGCTTGCTGCGTTGCCGCCGTGCCCTCACGACCCAAGCCCCGGCTTGCGTCACCACCCCTAACCGCTTCTCCCACCCTCCCACCTGCTTAGGGGCTGCTGCCAGGCCTCGCTGCTGGCCTGGGGGCTGTGGATCTTCAGCACCAAGGTGCAGGGAGTCATCGAGGCGCAATCGCTGCCGGATAGCTACACGGTGGGTGGGGCCCTCGGGTTGAGAGGAGGAGGGAACACAACCATGTTGCCTCTTACAGGTCCGCAACATGGGTAGCTACATGGGTTGCAGCATTGTTTGTCACATGGTGGGGAGGGGCCCGCGGGTGGGCTGGGGCTGCCTGCGTGGCTGGGTTGTCGTGAAGTGGTAGGTACCGACCCGGCCCGTGTTGGCACGGGCGCATGGGGGCTTCATGTGCCCCACCTGGCCCGCCCAGGGGGCTCCGGGGGCCTACCTCCCGCAGCACGCCCTGGGAGCAGCCGCAACTCCCTCGTGGGGTCGCTGGTGGATGCGCCAGTGCCGCTGGTGGTTAGGGGGCCGAGGGCCTGCGGAAGCCCAGGGCGGCTGCGGCTGCTCCGTGCGCGTGATGCGCGCCACAGGGCGATTGCTAGCAGCAGCAGCATTCCTTTTACGTGGCCCCGCGGGTCTGTGCGGTTCCATGCGGCTCCATGCCGTACGCCCCTACGCTGCCTACCTCGCCTGGTTGCGCTCTCATTGCATGATAAGCCGCCGGGATATGGGATTGGGATTCCAGTGCTTCAAAGCTTCTCACTCAACTGTTTTGCCCCCTCCCCCGTCCCCAGGCTCGCAACATCGCCATCACGGTACGCACCATCATCACAGGCCTGTGCTACCTGGCCACCTTCATCTTCGCAGCCAATGGAGTGGGGCTGGCGGGTAAGGACGGGGCGTGCGTGGGCTGCAGGGTGCGGCTGCGCTGGTGACACAGCCTAACCAATAAATACCCTTCAGCGACACCCTTTCCCTGCTGACACCTTCCACCTCCACGGACCCCCGCCACCCCCGCCGCATCCTCCGCCACCCTTCCCTCCGCGTCACAGGTCTGTCCGTGCAGTTGCTGCTGTTCCCCAACAGTCTGCAGGACGATGAGGCCGAGGAGGACGATGAGGCGGCTGCAGCTGCTGCCCGGGGTCCGCAGCTGCCCCAGGTGCGCATTACCTCGCACCCGCAGCAGCTGCGGGCGGCGTTCGGTGTCGCCGAGCGGCTGGGGAAGCAGGAGGCGGGTAAGGCAGCGGGGGCGCCGGGGGGCGGTAGCGGCAGCGGTAGCGGTAGCAGTGGGGAGGGTGCAGGCGGCTCGGTGCCTCCGAAACCAGATGCCTAGTGTGTTTTAGTGTGTACGGTAGATGAAGCAATGAAATGTGGTGGTGGCGGGTTGCTGCTGTCTTTCAACGGTCTGCAACGGAGAGGGCATGCATCTTGCGTTATTTGCATGAAGCCCAGAGGCAAGGTTACTAGGTTAGGCTACTTTGTGTGGAGCGCTGCGGCTGAAGGAGGGCAGGAGAGAGGAGCGCGGAGGGCTGAGGTGCTAGGTGATGTAGCAGACGTGAGGGATTTGGGTTGCCGTGCGCATATGGATATCCGCATGGCAATGCTACTAAATGAGAGCACCGCATGTCCACATGCGGCCGTGCTGGGCGGCTCGGTCGCAAATCAGGGGATGAACGATCCTCCTGACACGTCAGACACACTGCAGCGTCCACAGTCACAAGAATGCCGGACGATTGCCGTACCCCATATGTCCCATTGAGCCCCCTTGGCCCCCGTATGCGACCTAACCCCGCGAACCCGTATCCACAGCGGTTGGAGGGCTACCCAGGGGCACCCGGTGCCCCTGCTTGCCCGCCGGTCTGAGGCCCGCACCAAGGCCGCAAGGCTGGGTATAGTACACCGGTACATCGCCCTCCCACCTCCCCACCCTCTTCCCTCCAATCACTGCCCCGCCCCGCCCACACACACACCGGCGGCGAACCTATCCCAACTGCTTGCTCTTGTTCTACTCAACTACACACACCGGCGGCGGCTCACTTTCAAACAACCCATTCCTCCCTCCCCACTGCGCGGCACCACACCGACAGACACCTCATCCCGGCTCCACTTCCCAAACCCCCACACACCTCTCCACACCTTCCCTCATCTCTCATCCCTCTCCCATGCACGCCACCCCCGCCCCACCATCACCCTCAGTCAACCACCAGTCCACCGCTACCCTCATTCAATCACAATGGGCAGCGTTAGCGTGCTGTCCTCCCCGGAGTCCACGGGCGGGAAGGCGATGCCCGTCAGGCAGCTCCGCACCTCGTGCTGCACCAGCGCCCGCAGCCGCGGCAGCACCTGCCCCTGCAGCAGCGCCTCCGCGGCCGCGCGGTCCTGATTAGGCACCTCCACCAGCGTGTCAGCCAGCCAGGTGGGGTCGCCCACGCTGCCGTCGCGGCCGCTGATTTGCACCCGGGCGATGAGGGTGCCTGCAGGGATGGGGGGGATGGATGGGAATTAGGTAAACTGAGCCTGAGGGTGGAGGGGGGTAGACTAAGGGTTAGGACTTAGGAGCATGCCGCGCGTGGTGTAGAGTGCAGGACGCCGTTGTAGAGGTGGTTAAAGGACGCGAAAGGGTACTACAGAAGTTAAAACACAACAGCCACAGTCCGGCGGTGCTGCCTGCCTCCCCTCTTTCCCCACTTCCCCCCACCCGTGATGAGGCCGCTGAGTCCCTCCAGCGCCTCCCACAGCGGCTCCAGACCCGCCCGCAGCGCCTCCTCGGCATCACCGGGGTCCAGCGGGCCGTGGAAGAAGGGGGTGGGCTCCGTGAACCAGCCTGCGGGAGGGGGGGAGTCAGAGATATACCAAAACCACAGGGTAGGGCAGGGGGAGGGGTAGGTGCGGTGGTGGGGGAAGCGGGCGGGAAGACTGGGAGGAGGAGCGCGGAGGCTGCATGAATCCGCATACGGTAATGAAAGGTGCCCATAGCTGCCTGCCTGGGCACTTCGCCATGCGAGCGCGGTACCGCGGTGTACTACCCGCATGCCATGCGAGGCCAGCTACAAACCCCACACGCCTGTATAAGCAACAGACCTGACCCCTCACCGTCCCCATCCCCCCCGCCCCCCCCACCCCACCATGCAGCACCAGCCGCCCCTTGCGCGGATCCCGCGTGCCGTGCACCTGGCGCACACCGTGCGGGAAGCGCGGGTCGAACACGATGAGGCGGTTGAAGGGCGCGGGCACCCGCGTGACCAGGTGCTGCAGCTCCAGGCCCTGGGGACAGGGGGGAAGAAGCATTTCCAATGTGGTTCACGGGCGGCAGTGCTGAGGACAGGAGAGGAGCTGGGTTACCGGTAGAGGGGGAAGGTAGCAGCCGGTGTCAGGGGGGCTGTGGAGGCACCCGCCTGGCCTCCCTCCCACCCTCGCTACACATAGGGTATTCTTCGTTTTCCCTTACTACCCAGATGTCCCCCCCGCCCCAGTACTGCCCCAGTACCGCCCCAGTACCGCCCCAGTACTGCCCCAGTACTGCCCCAGTACTGCCCCAGTACTGCCCCAGTACTGCCCCAGTACTGCCCCAGTACTGCCCCAGTACTGCCCCAGTACTGCCCCAGTGCGCGTTTCGCACCTTCCGGGGGTCGTAGTTGCGCCAGTAGTTGAGCACGTGGGGCTGCAGGATGGTGGTCTCGCCGCCAGTGAACTCCCGCTGATCCCAGTCTGGAGGGGGGCGGCGGGAGGCGGGGAAGGGAAAGGTGGCGCTGGAAACAGTATTTCACAAGATGTGCCGTATTGGCCAGCCAATGCTGCCGCCAGCTCTTAGGTAAAGGTAGTGGTGCCTCCCAACCGTGCCCCGACGACGATGCAGGAGGGTACCAAGTAATCCAGGCACCCCCATGACAACCCATGTCACAGGGACACCGGGACACCGGTACTGCCGGGCTGCTGTTGCTGCTGCTGCTGCTGCCGTACCCGTTGTGAGCGACAGCACGAAGGCGAAGGGGCCGTGCGGGTTGTCACAGTGCAGCTCCTGCGGCGGCAGCAGCAGCAGCGGCAGTGAGGAAGCGGCAGTGAGGGTAGGAGCGGCAGTGAGGGTAGGAGCGGCAGTGAGGGTAGGAGCGGCAGTGAGGGTAGGAGCGGCAGTGAGGGTAGGAGCGGCAGTGAGGGTAGGAGCGGCAGTGAGGGTAGGAGCGGCAGTGAGGGTAGGAGCGGCAGTGAGGGTAGGAGCGGCAGTGAGGGTAGGAGCGGCAGTGAGGGTAGGAGCGGCAGTGAGGGTAGGAGCGGCAGTGAGGGTAGGAGCGGCAGTGAGGGTAGGAGCGGCAGTGAGGGTAGGAGCGGCAGTGAGGGTAGGAGCGGGTAGGAGCGGCAGTGAGGGTAGGAGCGGCAGTGAGGGTAGGAGCGGCAGTGAGGGTAGGAGCGGCAGTGAGGGTAGGAGCGGCAGTGAGGGTAGGAGCGGCAGTGAGGGTAGGAGCGGCAGTGAGGGTAGGAGCGGCAGTGAGGGTAGGAGCGGCAGTGAGGGTAGGAGCGGCAGTGAGGGTAGGAGCGGCAGTGAGGGTAGGAGCGGCAGTGAGGGTAGGAGCGGCAGTGAGGGTAGGAGCGGCAGTGAGGGTAGGAGCGGCAGTGAGGGTAGGAGCGGCAGTGAGGGTAGGAGCGGCAGTGAGGGTAGGAGCGGCAGTGAGGGTAGGAGCGGCAGTGAGGGTAGGAGCGGCAGTGAGGGTAGGAGCGGCAGTGAGGGTAGGAGCGGCAGTGAGGGTAGGAGCGGCAGTGAGGGTAGGAGCGGCAGTGAGGGTAGGAGCGGCAGTGAGGGTAGGAGCGGCAGTGAGGGTAGGAGCGGCAGTGAGGGTAGGAGCGGCAGTGAGGGTAGGAGCGGCAGTGAGGGTAGGAGCGGCAGTGAGGGTAGGAGCGGCAGTGAGGGTAGGAGCGGCAGTGAGGGTAGGAGCGGCAGTGAGGGTAGGAGCGGCAGTGAGGGTAGGAGCGGCAGTGAGGGTAGGAGCGGCAGTGAGGGTAGGAGCGGCAGTGAGGGTAGGAGCGGCAGTGAGGGTAGGAGCGGCAGTGAGGGTAGGAGCGGCAGTGAGGGTAGGAGCGGCAGTGAGGGTAGGAGCGGCAGTGAGGGTAGGAGCGGCAGTGAGGGTAGGAGCGGCAGTGAGGGTAGGAGCGGCAGTGAGGGTAGGAGCGGCAGTGGCCACCTGGTGTGGAGCCTTCAGTGGTCACGCAATGGTTCATTTCCCTTTGACCCGGTTTGTTGCTTACTTCCCCATGTACGGGTTGTACCCCCACTTCCTTCCGCACTCTCGCACCTGTCCGCATCCGTCCACGTAGTAGCTCATCCAGATGGGGCTGATGGCGCGGCAGCCCAGCTGGCTCTCACCGTACGACAGCAGCGCCTCCTCCAACATGTCGTACAGCTGCTCGGGGAAGTACACCTGGGCCTGGGTGAAGTAGGGACGGGGGTGGGAAGAGGCGTGAGGGAGGAAAGCAATAGCAGGCGAATACGGTACTACGTGCGGCACTAGCACCTGCAATGACATGGTTGATCAACATGTCCGCATGTCACCTACACTACATGGATGAAGTCCGCATGTCATCATCTACGCTACAGGTATGCCTGAACGCATTGCACAGGCACTTCAATCCCTTTACAGACATCGCTAGAAGCCATGACGCCGGTTTCCCCGGGGTCCTGCTACCACATCGGTGCTCACCTGGGTTCGAACCAGGGTGTACTGATCAGGCACGTGCCAGTAGTCCCAAAGGAACCGCTCGGGGTGGGTGGCCCGTGGGTCGGCGAACCGAGCGTCGAAGACGCCCCGCAGCGCTCGTGCGTCGCCGTCCTTGAGGAATCCGTCTGTGATGAGGATGTGCTGCGCGGCGCTGAGCTCCTCTAGCACGGGGACATCTGCGCCGGGGGCCACGGAAACTTGTCGCGTGTTGCGCTGGCTGCTGCAATGGATACAGTGATTGCAGTCGGTGGGTTTACAAGAGCTGAAACATTCCCGCCGTACCTCGGGCTTGCAGCTCCTGCACGACCCGCGGGTCGCTCCAGGGGTCCCAATCCGGTCCTGGCACGTCGCCGATGTCATCTGGTTGGCCGCCATGGACGGGAAGAGGTGGGCGGCAATGGGTCCAGATAAAACACAGGGCTTGATATGTGCACAGCACGGCGCAGCAAGGGAGGAAAGGCAAGAGCCAGTGCCCCCTCCCATATCAGGTCAAACAAAACGCCAACTCAAAGAAAAGCCTTAAAGGCATGCAAGCATGTGCAAAGATAGACCATAAGTTCAGCAGGCAGGCCCCATGGGACTTGCCTTCACCACCAACACCGTCCTGCTGCTCCTCCGCTTCCGCTACCGGTACAGCCACAGGCGCCTCGGGCGCCTGCTCCACCTGCCGTACGCGTTTGGCGCGGCCGCTTGCGCTTGGCTCGCTCGGCTCAGGGGCCTTCACGGCCTTCCTGTCGGGTTGCTTTGTCGCCACACCCGGGCCACTGGCGGAGGCCCCGGACCGTGAAGATGAGGCCTCTGCAAACAAGCAAAGCCCATATCGTCTTCGCGTTAGTGCGCAACAGCAGGTCTTCTAGTTCGAGCTGTGTACCGGCCACCATGGCGAGAGGTGCTTCCAGCTCGTCGCCATTCCCGACCAACCTTGCGGGTTGCCCGCCTCATGCGACGCCTTTCGGCCTCGTGCGTTACATTGAATTGATTTTGGCCTATTCAAGTATGGTGTTGGCAATAGAATTGGCTCAAAAAGGGGTGCGCGAACTATGGGTCGCGCCGCCCGACCTACTTGGAGTTTAGTAAGACCTGTCATGAGTAGCTATATTCATTGCAATAAACTACTGCTAGGGCTCCTCTATCTTTGCATTATACGCATGTTGCAATTCCGTACCGCACACGCTTGCATAGCGAGGGACAACTCCATTTTAAGTATCATCTATTGGCATAGCTGTAATTTTACTTACAGAGCTTGTAGGGCTAGGTTAACTACAGAATTACACCCTTAAATATTGGAACGTAAAGGTAGAACTGTCAAGAACATTCGCAGTAAATACGCGTCCTAAGAGGAGCATAGCGCTTTCACTAGATTGCACGTCAGCCATGGCCGATCTGGATGATGGTAGGATACGCGCGCAAATGGGCCGCGGGAGGATGGCGAGCGACAACGCCGTTCTGTACCTTCATGCCCTTCCGCATTACAGATGCACCACCGCCGCTTTCCAGTCTATCTGAGCAAGTAGAAGCATTAAGACTCCGCGGACGTGGTGACGAATCCACGTCTGGCCGGGTAACAGACCTGCCAGATGAGGAGACCCTGCGAGTCGCCAACGTCGTCGTGATGAAGGAAAAGCCTGGGACAGGTGGGGTTTGCATCCGTCCCCTTGTGGCTATCGTGCCCGTGCGTGTGCTTCCACATGCCCTTTTACGGCTTCCTGGATGGCTGGACCCATTTACGTAATCAACCCCGCATGCAGGTTCAACGGCCGCTCCTCCGAAACTTAAAAAGGGCTTCTTCGACGCAGCACCCAAACCACGAAGACCCAAACCGCCGGCAGCAGAACAAAAGGTACGGCTCTACCGTGCGACACCTGTCCTCATCCTCGTCCCAACGAAATCACGGCATGACCCATGGCTGTCTTAAGCCCATCTACCATGGCCGTCCTTTGCCACCATAGTTCTCACACAAGCATCAAGCTTTGCCACCCAAACTCCTCCCACCAGTCCGCAAAGCCGTCATCAGCGGTGGAGGAGATCCCCATGATCCGCGCCAAGCAGCCGCACGCCGGCAGCGGCCCCGCCATCCCCGACTTCCTGCGGGTTGAGCCTGACGAGTACGAGAAGCGCTATGCGGCCGCAAAGGCCGACCTGCTTGACAAGCTGAAGCCCTCGCCGGACGTGGTGTCCAAGATCGGTCAGGACCCGCAGCTGCTGGCGGGCTTTGACGACCCGGAGGTGATGGCGGCAGTAAATGACATCGCGGCCAACCCCGGCAACTTCAAAAAGTATAAGGACAAGCCCAAGGTGCGCGTGCTTGGGGTTGGGGTGGTGCGTGGAGTGGGCGGAGTGGGGGTGCTGTGTGTTGTGTGGGGGTGTAGGGGAGCGGGCTTCACAGGTCGAGCGCCTTGGTGTTGGGGTAAGGGGTGAAGCAGCATGCGTGAGGGATGCAATGAAGGTACTGTATGTGTTGCATGTAGCTTGCACGATGGGGGTTGGCACCATACCTAGGCCCGGTGTTGCCTTGAGCCGAACGCTAGGATTGCGATGAAACTTACCCCGCTACGGTCTCATTGTGCCCTTCCCGCCCACAGGTTCTTGCGTTCTACGCGGCCATGGGCAAGCTCATGGGAGAGAAGTTGGAAAATGAGAAACAAAAGCAGCCAAAGCCGTCCTGAGACTGCTTGAGTGTAGCTACATGTCACTGTTACACGGTTGGGCGATTGGGTCGACTGTCCAGTTGCACTGTAGCCGTCCTGGCATGCTCGTCAGTTGTGATATAGCACAGAATAAAGTTCCCATTGGCAGCATGCCAAGGGCCTAAGCCGTGTAACGGTAAACTCGCACCGTCAGCACCTCGGCATTGGAATGACATGGGCATACACCTATCGCAGTGTACCCTCCTAGCAGGTCACACCTAGCCTTCTGGAAACACTACCAGAGTCTATGCAGATAAGCTCACATCGCGTGCAAGCCAAACAGCCTATCATAAGCCACCACGCATGTTAACACCAACCACAAACACCCACTTCTGGCCATCGCCTGCAGCAGCCCTACCACAGCACGCCCCGCCCCCTTAGCATCCTCCCCCATCACCTTCCCGCCCTTCAAGTCCGTGCCGGCGAAGGCATGTAGTACGCAGGCAGCTCCGACGCATGCGCCCGGGCAAACTCCAGCACCGCATCCTGCGCGCTCGTCACCCACTCCACCAGCCCGCCCTCCACGTCCTTGCCGCTGCTCGCGGATATGGCCGCCAGCCCCATGTCCAACAGCGTCTCCCGCAGACCCAGGAAGGACTCGTTGTACAGCAGGTCCGCCCAGGGCTCCGTGAGGAAGGTGAGCAGGTCATGCACGGAGCCCTCCTTGTAGCGCGTCGTCAAGTTGTTCAGGTAGTTGGCGTGCAGGCCAACGAGGGTACCCAGTCGTGCAGGCGACACGGGCACGCGGCCCAGGTAGATCAGGCTGTGCACGCGACCGTCAGCGTCCAGGGTGACTTGCGTGAGGCCGCGTTCCGTCTTGGTGCGGATTTGCATGCCGCCCTCGGGTGCTCGCAGCGAGGGGCTGGCGAGCGCCTTGGGACAGCCTGCGAACATGAAGTGGTTGCCGCCGGGAAGCGCGCAGCCCACGGCACGTGCGCGGTTGAGCGCGGGTGCTGGCGGCGGCTCCGCGGGTGAGGAGCCTTGCGCCTCGCCAGCACCACCAGCAGAAGAGCCGGGCTTGTCCCCGTCGCTCGAGACGAAGCACGCCACCAGGCTGGCCGCGAGTTTCATGCCCACGTCGCGACTATTGTAGTGCTCCAGATGCGCACCACCGTAGCGGCGGGACAGCTTGGCCAGCGTGCCACCCGCGTAGATGTTCGGATCGTTGGTTCGGAACGCCCCGTCCACAACCAACCGGCCGTCAAACACCAGACTGGCGTCGTTGAGGCAGGTGAACAGCGCGCGCGACACCGACGGCGGCTCGCAGCCCACCAGCAGGTCTATCGTCAGCTCCTCACGATTACTCGGCTCGCTGGGATCCACCAGGACGGCGGTGGCATGCAGCTCCGAGCTGATGGGCTGTACGGCCTCCAGCATGGCAATGTCCCGCTCCTCCGGCAGCGGCAACACGTAGCCCGCCTCCTCCGCCACCTCATGCAGCAACGCCACCAGCGGCGGGTGCTGCGAGGGCGGCGCGATGAACCGCGTCTTCTCGCCGGCGCCCTTGGCCTCCAGCACGCTCAGCGCATGGTAGGCGCCCAGCGCATTGCCGTACACCAGAATGCTGTTCATGACCATGGCATCGTTCATGGTGAAGTCCGCAGCCAGTTCCAGCTCGGTGACCAGCAGGCCGGCCACATCGGGGTCGTGCTCCGCAAAGCGGTAGCGGCTCTGGTCCTGCAGCCCCGAGGCGATGACCAGCTGGTTGTACGACAGTTGCGAGCCGTCCGACAGGTCGATGATGCGTGCGTTGCGGTCCAGCCCGGTAACCTCGGCGTCTAGCAGCAGCACACGCGCCTCCAGACCCAGCCGTGCGATGACGCCGGCGGTGTACTGGCACACCATGCCGCCCACCTGCCGACAAAGTGTAGCAGTGGTGAAGGTAAGGTGCAGGACATGGGGGGGGGGCGTTGAGAGCTTCTACCGCACAGTGCTCACAGTGCTCAGAAACGAAAGTGAGCGGGTACGGTATGTGCCTAGCCAGCTGTATCTGAGCTGCAGGGAGAGCAGGTGTCAGCAGTCAGGTTGGTTGGTCTGCTGCGCACCTTGATGCCCCCCGGCGCCAGCAGTGTGAGGTAGTTGAACTGCAGCTCGGGGTCCAGCAGCAGCCGCTCCAGCACCGCCAGACCGCACTCGCTGCCGCCCGCAATCACAATCTGGGGTGATGTTGGGAAGGTGGACACACGGGTCAGGTGGCATGTGGCAGCTATACCGGTGTGACACGTCTACTACAGTGCTGATGAGGTTCAAACCCAATACATGGCCTTAAGGTCCGCATCTGGGCCCTTCACACTTCCCTGTGTTAACCGCATGGCCGCCGCCTCCCCCCATATCGCCACCCTCCCCCACCTGGGAGTTCACGCAACGCCGCCGCTTGAATGCCGCCTGCCGCGTGAACGCATACAGCGCAAACTCCGCCTGCAGCTGCTTGTCACTTGCCGTACGGTGCCGCGGGGCCACCTGCTCCAGCACCTCCTGCATGTCGGGCGGCTGCTGCCCGGGGGGCAGCGCGTAGTACAGCGCACTCTTGCCCAGCAGCCGCATGGCGCTTGCCAGGAAGGAGCGGTGCCGGTGCACAAAGATGGGGTTCATGGTGTACATGTCGATCTCGCCGTGCTGCTCCCGCGACTGGTAGGCAAGGTCCACGTGGCCCGACAGCGCAAAGTTCGCCTGCAGCAGCTCCAGGTCGACCTCCGGGTTGACGGTGCACAGGCCGATGATTTCGCCCTGGCACAGCGCCACCACGGCGGTTCCCGCGGCGGCGGCACCGTTGAAGGAGGCGCAGATGTCCGTGGCGTTGGGCATGCCGGATACCAGGGTGGCTACCATGGGCAGGTCCTCCGCGGAACCCAGGCGGACGGAGAAATCGGAGATGAGCGCGTGGCGGTGGAACATGAAGAGCACCTCGGGGAAGAGGGTGCCGGCAAGCGGCTGGATGCGCGTCATGGTCTCCATGAGCACCGGCTCGTGGCTGTCATGCGGCAGCGTCACCACGCAGTAGAGCTTGTCGGAAAAGGCGGCGAAGGCGGGACCCAGGAACTCACAGGACTGCGACTCGTAGGCGGGGTCCATGCAAAGCATGGTTACCGCAAACAGCGTCGGCTCCGCATCCGGTTCCCCGGCGAACATGGCCAGCATCTCCGCGCGGATTTCCTCTTCCGTGGGCTCCGCTGCCGCCGCCATGGCCTCAGCTTCGGCAGCAGCCGCGGCGGCTGCCGCCGCCGCGGCCGCCGCTGCAGCCCCATCGCCGCTGCTTCCCGACCGAGTCCCTTTGCTGCCGGCCTCTCCGCCTTCCCCTTCCTGTTGCTCCGCATCGCCTGATTCCCCACCGGTCGTAGTACCCGCACCACCGTCACCACCTCCGGTTCCGCTGGTCGGGTCCGTGCCCTGCGTCCCCTCACCGTCGCCTGTTCCAGCTTGCTCTACCTGCAGCACCTGAGGCACAGAGGTCGCCATGCCATCCTCGGCCCCGGGGCCTGCACGCCGCGCCGCTTCCGCTCGCAACAACGTCAGCTTCTGCTCCCGCACCGCCTCCTTCGCCGTCTGATACTGCTGCTCGTACAGCTCAGGCGGCAAGAAGTTGTCGTACGGGTGCAAATCAAAGGTTTCCGCCAGGCTCGTGGTGTCCACGTCGCTGGTCATGACGATGAAGCCCACCAGCCGGCCGTCCGCCTCCGCCACCAGCACGCGGTTGCGCTCATCCTGCCCGGCGACCACACGTGTCAGCGCGAATGGCTCATCCGGCCGACTGCTCTCGGGGAGCTTGGCCAGCGCAGGGAATGCCTTCTCGCAGCGCTGCAGGATGGGCAGCATGTCATCATGGTCCTCCACCCGTGCGGGCCGCACGGCTAGGGGTGGCACCACCGCCTCGCGCTTGGCCTCGTAGAGCACCACGCCGGCCTCCTTGCTGCTGGCCACACGGGTGAAGACTGACGCTAGGCCTGAAGGCAGGAGCGCAGGACAGGGAGCATGCTGGTGGGTTTATGGGAAAGCGGTTATCATGGGGTAGGGTCACGCTATTTGCAGCTACGCCTACACATAAGCGGTGATTTTCTCCGCCTGTCACGTGTGTTTGAAGGATCTGAGGGCTCACCTGGTTCGGTAAACGAGATTTCACCACCAGCGGCCATAAGCACCGTCTGTAATGTGGGAACAAGCAAGAAGGCGCTGCGCAGCAGAGTCGTTGACGCCTCGATCTGCAAGGCGTACGACACATGCTTAGAGGCTTGGCGACGTGCAGCCAGGACTATAGTCCGCCCAACCCAACCGGAGACTTGCCTCAAACAAGGGAGCGGTTGAACACACGCGCACAAAAGCAGTGCTGCCCAGCTTTATCCGCGGCCCCGACGCCTCCTCAATCCAGAACTCCGCCGCCTCGCTTGACTGGCCCAGCCTTGCGCATGGGATATCGTCCCTATTCGCGGCAGTGCCGAAAGGAAGAGTTGATTTGCGAAAGCGGAAGAGATGCCGCGCAATACCGGTAGCTGCAGCTGGGGTACTAGCTCACACAGCTAAAGCACACAAGCAAATGAGCCAGATGGCCAGCAGATGATTTGAGGCTTCACCAGCTTCACATGGAGGCTAAGGGAAATGCCAGAGAGCGCAACATAACGAGGTAAGGGGTCCAGCATTTCCGCGTTCAGGTGTTATGCGCTGGGGGGGGGGTAGGGCTGCAGTGCAAGTGTTAGGTGGCAAAACCCACAGCCCACATTTCCGATGCATAGCCCCTCTTACAGGCATAGGTATCCCACGACGTTGTCCTTTTCGTCCACTGCTGACAGGTTCAGGAGTGCGCTGGTCCTGCATGCCCCGCGGTGGAAGGATGTTACCAAAGCAGCAGACCGCGACGCCCGAAAGTTGCCCTAAGCTAAATACTCACAGTAGGTGTGTGCTACTGACTTCAGCTTTGGAAACTTGCTTAACAAGCGCGTCCACGGCTCCCACATCGCGCAGGGCAGTCGGCCGCGCAGTTATGCCCGTCATTATAATTTAACTAGTAAGTAGGTATAAACCCAAGCGTTACTTGGTATTAGTTAGGGATCGCATTGCTAGGGCAGTGAATGCTCACTAATACTTCGAAGGAGTTGGCAGTGGAAATGCCTATATAGGTGCTATACGTGTACAAGACTAATACAAATGCAAAGTCACTATGGTAGAACGGGAGCGGTGTTAACGTAAAGTAGGCAAGACCCAAATTGGGAGCTGGATTGAGGTGCACGACAGCTATCCCAGCGGAGTGATTCCCAAAGGCCATCAAGCAAAGTTTCATAGCACTTTATGTATACAGGTCTTCTTGTGAATATTATATGATAAAGACGGTCCACCAGTAACGAAGACTTGATGTTGTTAAGAAGTTGAACCCACGGCCCTAACAATGGCCGAGGGCGACTACGAGTTTCGCCCAAAGCCTACGGTGCTTAGTCGTGTTGAACTAGACGAGCTCCTTCGCGTAGCACCACCGGCAGAGGCTGTCGCCCGAGTGAGTCTCAGCTTACGACGCTAGACAGCCAACGGAGCCTTCCTAACCTCTTTTACATACGGTGACAGGGATTTCTATTACAAGAGGCGGATGTGGACCGGGTCATATCCGCAGCCAGGGAGCTTGAGGGTGCACAAGTGGTTGCGGACCCGAACGCCCCTCCTCAGCAAACAATCGATACCCTCCTAAGGGTCGTAAGGGTTCTGCAAGCAGCTATTGACGTGCAGTTCTCCGAGAACGAGGAGCTAACCGCCGACTTCAACGAGTTACAGGCAAGGCTATGGGTGCATCCGTACCCCAGCTTGGGGCCGGTACTGGATTGACGATAGCCGCTGCTTTGGCGAGCACACATGGACTTGCAGGTCAAATACCACTCTTGGGTCTGCCCTCTCATGCTGCCTGGCCCCACCTGCCCTTATAGAACAATGAGGTACGGCGGCTGCGGCAGGAGAACAACCGGCTGCGGGAGCTGCGCGACCGGGAGGAGGCGTCCGCAGACGTTGGCGAGCTGCGTCGCCGCAATGAGGTGGGACACGCTGAAAAGATGGAGGGTTTCAGGGCCAGATGCACTGTTCACGTCCTGCAGATATGGACCTATGAAACATCTGGGTCGGCCTAGGCCCCACGATACATGCATCAGCGATCACGTACTCAAGGCAGGCGACCCTGACATTTGGGTTCCACGCTGACGGTTGCACGTAAAGGCATGTAAAGCATGTTGGTGCCTGGCCCTACATACTGGGCTTGGGCGTCACAGCATGCAAGCGTGGCTGCTGCCCACTTTGGGTGAAAAGAAAAAAAGAAAAAACAAAGGGCCACGACATTGCGTATGCGGCCTAGAGAACGTAAGACAACAGCGCGCTAGCAGCAGGGGGCATCCCACGAATCCCATACACACGATGTTTCTCCATCGCGTCTCCTAAGCCACCCGCCTTGCATGCTGCCATTGTTTTGAAGGCTCTGTCTCCACATGCTGCCTGTCCCCCTGCAGGACCTGCTCGACCAGCTGGACGAGATGGAGGAGGACCTGAAGCGGCTGCGGGAGGTGGAGAAGGAGGTCACCACACGGAACAAGGAGCTGGAGGCAAGGTGGGGCGGGCGGAGCTGCGACGGGGCAGCTGTGACGCAGGGTCGTTACGAACCCGTAGAACAGGTGGCGACCCATTACAACCGCATGCGTCAGCCGAGTAGACTACCGAACTGACGCTCGTTTGCGCATACTGTCACAGGGCAAAAGGAACGCAACTCCCTGCGGCTCCGCATTCCTTACATGCCGCTCCCGCCCCACTCCCACCCCACTCCCTGCTCCGCCGACCCACCCACACAGCATCCAAGACCGCGACAAGGAGCTCTCGCGGCTGCAGTCCCGGCTGCGCGACACGGAGGACCGCTACGACCGCACCCGTGATGAGGTCAAGGAGCTGCAGCAGAACTACCGCACGCTCAGCCAGCAGTACGACCGCGCGCGTGCGGAGGCGCAGGTGCAGGACATCAAGCACCAGGCGGACTGGACGATCGAGCGGCTGACCAAGGACAACCGCGCGGCGGAGCTGGTCAACACGGAGCTGCGGAAGGACCTGGAGGACGTGAGGGAGGAGAACCTGGAGGTGTGCGGGGGGGGGTGAAGGGATGGGAGGGGTGTGGGTAGTGGGCGTGAAGGGACGGCTAGTACGACAGGGTGGGGTGAGAATAGTAAGCAGTGGGCTGCCAGTGTTAGATGGGAGCCGCTGTGAGTGCGCTGTCGACACATGCGACATTGTGCATGCCCCTCCCTCCGCAGGTGTCGGCGAAGATCGTGCAGCTGAACGAGCAGAACCAGGAGCTGCTGAGGAAGAACATGTCGCTGGAGGCGCGTGTGGAGGAGGTGAGCAACGACAAGGACAACCTGCTGTCCATCCAGGACGAGCTGCGGAGCGAGCTGCAGGACAAGATGAACCTGCTGGACGAGTTTGAGGACAAGTTCAACCGGCAGTACAGGTGGGCGGGGAGGGGCGGGGGAGCGGAGAGGAAGGGAGGGGGAAAATAAATGATAAGTGCAGCAACGTTAAGTGCAGCAGCGGAAAGGGAGGGGGAGGGAAGGTGGTGGCAGTGTTGGGATGAGGCGGTGAGAGGGGAGGAGGAGGGGGTATGACTGCCATGGCATTGACAGGGCTGCGACGTGGGGCATAGGAAGTGGGTCTACGAAGTGCAGCCTAAAGGGTTTTGATTAGGACTTGGGTGCATGTGTCACCCGGCCACACACATGGCGGTACAATGAGTTGAGAGGTACGGTGCCGTCAAACCCAGCACACGTGAGCACACTCTGTTCCCTGATGCCCCCGACTTCAGGTCATGGGAGGATGAGAAGGCGGGTCTGCTAGCGCAAATCGAGGCGCTGCGTCGCGAGGCTAAGACCCGTCGCGGAGGCAGGGGAGCCGAGCTGAGCGGCGCTCCGGGTGAAGAGGGCGTCAGTAACGCTGAGTTCAAGGCGATGCGACGGGAGCTCAATGACGCACGCGAAAAGGAGGTAGGGATGCGGCCTTAAGGATTCCGACCGGCAAGGGGACACACTGGGTTGCCTTCCAACCCTTGCAGTCATTACGGAGGCGTGGGAAACGAACACACATTATACCCCAGACAGAGCTACATCGTTGCCAATATGCCAAAACACAATCACGCCTACCCGCCATCTTCCATGGTCAATACCTCTAATCCCCATGCACGTCTAAACCAACCGGCATCCACGAACCCCGCTCTCACAAACGTCCTCCCCTCTCCCCACGTTTCCAGGTGCTGCTGCTGGAGGCGTACGAGCAGCTGGAGAACGACGTGAGCAAGGAGGTGGACCGGGCCCTGGCGCGGCAGGCGGAGGAGGTGGCGCGGCTGCAGCGGCGGGTGGACTTCCTGCAGGGCAAGCTGGAGCAGCAGGACGAGGACGCGGAGGACGCGCGGGATGCCATGGCTGAGCTGGAGGAGGAGCTGCGGGACGCGCTGGAGCGGAACAAGCTGTACGAACAGGGCGTGTACGGGTTGCCGCAGGTACGGGGTGTGTATGCCGTACGGAGGTCTCCGTGAGGGGTGTATGTGGCGTGCAGCACCGCACCATTGTGCTGCCTGCATGGCGCCGTAGTGTGCCTGCACGGGGCTGTGAATGGGAGCCTGCTAACCCTAAACACATGGGTCCCCCTCAGGCGGTGGAGGAGCTCCGGCAGCTGAAGGCGGCGCTGTCCAAGGAGGAGCGGCGCAACCGCGAGCTGATCACGCAGATCAACAAGCAGGCCGCCAAGGTGGAGGACCTGCACGACGAGAACGCCATGCTGCGCCAGAAGGCGGGGCTGGGCGAGGGCGACAAGGTGGACATCCGGGACATCAAGATGCAGAAGGAGGCCACCATTGCGCAGCTGAGGGCGCTGAATGCGCTGCTGGAGCGCCAGGTGGGGGCTGGTGGGGGGCCCTGATGTGGGGTGAAGGCCGGTCTTGGGGGGGTGCTGATGTGGGGTGAAGGCCGGTCTTGGGGGGGTGCTGATGTGGGGTGAAGGCTGGTCTGGGGCATGGGCTGTCAAGGGTGACGTATTAGGGGTTGTATGGGGGTTGTTTTGCGGAATTGACAGACACAGCATGTGCCGGCATGCACATACAAGTGCGGGACGGGACGCATTGCTAAACGGCTGAGCACACGACTCATGTGATCCGTACTTCCCTCGCAGGTGGCGGACCTGGAGGAGGAGCGGCGCAAGCTGCGCATGGAGATGAAGTTCCGCGCCAAGTACCACGGGCAGCATGCGCTGGAGATGGGGCTGAGCAACGAGAAGCTGCTGCTGCTGGAGCAGTACGCGGACGACCTGAAGAACAACCGAGTGGAGGAGGCGCGCGTGGTGGATCAGATGCAGAAGCGGGTGAGGGTGGAGGCAGGTGCAGAAAAGGCCTGGTGCATGCACCGCAATGTTGGGCTGCCGGCTGCTGCCCATGGTCTCGGGTACTCGTGTACGCCTCTTGCTTGCCATGGCTTTGACAAGTCTGCAGGTGCCATGCATGCTGTCATGCAACAAGGATCTGCGGCCGCTTGACGTCCGCCTCCCTGCAGGTGGAGTTCCTGGAGGTGCGGCTGGCCGAGGTGATGGCCTACGCGGACATCCCGCCCAGCATGCGCCCCGCGCTCAGCGAGTTCGACCCGACGGGCCTGCAGTCCTTCCAGTCGGCGGTGCAGACCGCCGCCGCGGAGGCCTTCACCGCGCCCCGGCCCGCTGCTCCGAGCGCAGCTGCGCTGTCGGCCATCAAGGCCAAGGAGATTGAGGTGGTGCGGAAGGTAGCGCAGGACTGCATGCGGCGCCTCCGCCAGATGAGCCAGTCGCTACGTAAGTTGGCCCCGGGGGTTAGGGAAGCACTTTGGCCAGCAGTTATGAGGTTCCGGTATGACGGTCAAAGTCCTAGAATTCACTCATTGCACACACAGTTCCAAGCCAACCAACAGCCATTCTCAGAAGGCCGCATGCCCAAGAGGCCGCATGCTATCAAAGCAGTACGTCCTGCCCACCCCACGCCTGCTGACATCGCCCTGTCCCCAACCCCTCACCCTTTCCCTGCCCGCCCCCCTCCTCCAGACGAGCAACGCAACGTCAGCGACAAGGACTACCAGCGCTACGTGGACACCATCCTCTCCGAGCTCGCCAACGCCGACAAGGTGCTCGCAGCACTGCTCAAGGACCCATCCGCCCTCGTCACCGTCACCTCCGCCACAGCTCCCCAGCAGCCACACCCCACCGACCTCACCGTTGTGCCTCCATCACCCACCAGCCCCGGCCCTATCAGCCCCATTGGCCGTGGCACGTCCTTCAGCCCTCGCCCCAGCGGCATCGTGCCCGGGACTGCGCAGCCTGCCGCGGTTCAGATCATGCCGGGTGACGCGAGCTACCTGGCGGATGCTGTGGCGGAGGAGCTGAGGGAGAAGCTGCGCGGGCTGGCGCGGCAGGTCGCGGACCTGCAGCTGGACGTGACGCAGAAGGACGTGCGCATCAAGCAGCTGCTGGAGCAGAAGACGGAGCTGGAGAAGAAGATTGGCACAGCGGTGGGCGACCGCAAGTCAGGTGGGGAGGGACACGTGCGGGGGAGTACAGAGACATACCAAAGCCACAGGTTAGGGGGGCGCGGTTGTCGCAGGGCATGCATGCGTCTTGCGTGGTTTCTTCCTGTTCCCATGCAGCCGCCCCAAACTCCCCACCTACACTGCCGCACTGCCCTTGACGGTACCCGCATCACCCCTAATCCTACACATGTCTCACCTCCACGTCCACCCCACGCTACCATGCCTCACGCTACCCATGTCCCACACCCCCAATCCCGCGTTCCCCATGCCCCACGCTGCTCACATCACAGACTACGTGACCATGGGCGAGTACGAGGACCTGCAGCTGGAGGTGCAGGGCCTCAAGGAGCAGTTGATCGGCGCGCTGGAGGAGCTGGCGGCCCGCGAGCGCGAGGCGGCTGAGCTGCACGACACCTCGCTGCGCTACCACACCAAGATGCAGACCTTCAGCGACCAGGTGAAGCTGCTGTATCGGGAGTACTCGGGCGCGCTGACGGCGTGGAAGGTGGAGAAGAACACCATGGAGAAGAAGGTGCGTGAACGGCGGTTGGGAGGTTTGTTGTGCAGGCCGCAGCTTGTGCACGCACATACCAGTGGGGCCTTTGATGAAGGCTTGCATGCGGCCGTGGATGGCTGCTGGTGATGGTGCACCCATCACAATGCATCTCTTAGACCTGTATATATACGTAGGAACGCAGCCGCCTGGGCCTCCACTTACACGTTCAGGTCTCCCCCACATCTGTCCCCGCCCCCCCTGTGTGTGCAGGGTCGCAAGGCGCAGGCGGACGCGGACGCCTACAAGGCCGCCGTACGGGAGCTGCAGACCGCCCTGGACACGCTCACCAAGTCCCGCGGCGACATGAGTGAGGTGGAGCGGGAGTACCTGGACACCGTGCGGCGCATGGCGGTGGTGCAGGTGCGTGCAGGGGGGGGGTGAAAATGAGGAAAACGGACGAAGTGTATGACGAGGCTTCACCATTGGTTCTAATTGAACCCGGCCCATCCGTTGCGGGAGGGGGCGGGCGCTGAAGCATAGCTGCTGCTGCCTCAGTTGAGGAGTTGAGGTCATACTGTACTCAGCTGTGAGTACCTGTGCGCCATGTCCCCATGCGTATCGTAGCTTGTTCCCTCCTTGAATCTGCACTTACCGGTACCACTCTCTCAATATGGATTCTCCGCACTGCATTCTACTGCCTTGCGGTGCGCAGATCAAGCAGGCCAGGCTGGCACGTGAACTGGAGGCCAGCGTGTCGAGCGAGAAGGCGCTGACGGCGCGGGTGACGGAGCTGGAGGAGGAGGTGCGCGACGTGAGCTCCACCGCTCGCGGGCGCATCCGCTGGCTGGAGACGTCTTCGGAGCAGACCAAGCGGCGTGTGGAGCAGCTGTTCCGGGAGCTAGAGAGCTCGGTGTCGCTCACGGTGGGTTGCAGGGTTTGCTGCCGTTACGGTAACACTTGCATGGGGAGGTGCAGGCATGCTTTGGCATGAGAGGACCTGTTTGCGGATGAGCTTGCAGTTAGAAGCATCCAACATCGCTTCCTTCCTGTAAGGCTGCGAAGAACACATTTGTCGTCCCACCGGGCCAGCAACGCAACGCACCACTCTCTTGTCGCTCCTGCACACCCGCAGGCCTACCACTCGCTGGTGGGTAAGCACAGCCGGCTGCAGCACGAGTACCGCAAGCTGCTGGAGGAGCAGGCGGACGCGGTGGTGGCCCCCGGGCAGGAGGAGGCGTTCCGGCTGCGGGAGGAGCTGGGACAGATGATGCTGCGGTACGACCAGGCCGCCAGCCAGGCTACGGAGCTCAAGTGAGTGTGGTGCGGGTTGCGTGGGGGCTGCTAGTCGGGAATTGCGGGGATACGCTGTTGGGGTGAGGACGCACCACGTATGGTGGAGCTAGCCGGTTGGTTGTGATAGGGGCCTATCCTGTCAGCAAGCACGTCAGGCAGCAGGTGTAGTACGCAGGCGCCATCTCCCATCTACCGGTGCCCCTCGAACAATGGTACGATGCCTTGCCATGTTTCACCAGGGCCAAGCTCCGTCAAGCGGAGCTGGTGGCCCAAGCCACGCAGCAGGCCGCCTCTCCCTCACCTCAGCAAGCCGTCGATGGCAAGCAGGCGGGCAGCAACCAGTCCCGGCTGGCGAGCGCTGCAGGCCAGCAGTCCGCGGCAGCGGCGGCGGCAGCGGCAGCCGTCAAGGTGGATACCGTCCTCAGTCAGGAGCTGGTGGCGGCTCGGGTGCAGGAGGAGTCGGCGCTGCGGCGGGCGGAGTTGGTTGAGAGGGAGCGCGACAGGATACAGCGGACGCTGGCTGAGACGCAGGTGCGTGCTCGGGTGGTACTTGGATGGGTCGCTGCTGCCCGTTCGGATCAGGTTACCTTAGGGCATGCGATGTGGTGGGATGGTGCCTGCGGAAGCAGCGGCAAGGGACAATAGCCAGCTCCAGCTGAAGTCGTAACGTGTTGCCCCCTGCCGCAACAGGAACATGGAAAGGAGCTGGAACAGCGGCTGGCGCAGACTGCTGCCGAGCTGGAGCTGGCGCGCCAGACCACCAACAGCCTGCAGAGGCGGCTGATGGGCGCGAAGACCAAGGAGGAGGTGGACGAGATGGCTCGCCGCATGCACGCTGCAGAAGCATCGGCGGCTGAGGTGCAGAAAAACCACTCGGACCTCGTCTACAAGGCCGAGGTGCGCTGGCCTTGATGCGCGCTATGAAGCAATCGTAGGGTAGTTGGGCATACGCACCTCTCTGGTTGCGGTGACCCTCGGGTCGCCAAGGCTGATGTGACAGACACCACACGTAGGCGACTACGGGTAGCAGGATGCATGACCAGGATGCTGCTGAAACGTCCTGCAGTGCTTGTTGCTTATGAACCGCCCTGCACTCCTTGGTGCCCCTTGATGCTGCACCTCAGGAGGCGGAACGGCGTGCGGAGGCTGCAAATCGCGACCGCATGCGCTTCCTGGCGGAGATCACCAACCTCAAGGCGGCGCTGCGCGACATGTCGGGACACAGCGAGAAGGCGGCGCTGTTGGCTAAGTTACACCTGGAGCTGGATCACAGCAGGTGGGGGGCGGGGGGTGGTGAACCGGGATTGGCTGGTTGGGGAGGGAAGGCGGCGTGGTGGGCGAGGGCTGAGAGCACCTGCGCTGTGGGGTGCACAAGAGCGGGGCATGCAGCCTGCATGGCTGTTGGTGTCCAACATTGTTTGCTACTTGCCTCACCCCCCTCTATGCTAACCCGTGCCTGAACCCCTGCTTCTAGCCCTCACCCGGACACCCGCAATCTCTGTCCAAACACATGCGCAGAGCCAAGGAGTCACTGGCCCGCAACGCCCTGAACCGCTCCGAGCTGCAGCGCATCGAGTTGGAGAAGGAGGTACGGCGCCAGAAGCAGGAGCTGGCCAACCTGACCGGCCGCATGGTGGCACACCAGGACCAGGCCGCATGGTCGGACCGGCAGCGGCAGGAGGCGCAGGCGCAGCTGCAGATCAGCCTGGCGGGCCGCACGGAGGTGTGGAAGGCGCAGCTGTGGGCGCGCAAGCTGGAGCAGCTCAAGCAGCGCAATGAGGCCTTGGCGGACGGGTTGGAGGTCGCCAGGTGGGCTGGGCTGGGTCGGGTGGGGTTGGGTGGGGTTGGGGTTGATTACCGGTACCGGCAAGCGCAGCGCAAGGAGAAACCGCACTTATAGCGTTCGGGTGCAGCTGGGTTCCTCAGCACTTAGGTGTCTAGGCGTCCTGGCGTTGCACCCCTTCCATGCATGTCGCCCGTAAACCACCTCTCATGCATTCGTTACGAAATTTACAATGCCCGCTCAGGAACCGAATCATCAAGATCGAGGATGCGCGTCAGGAGGCGGAGCTGCGGTTGGAGTTGCGGGAGGAGATCGCGGGGCTGGGGCACCGCAGCGCCAGCGAGCTGGGCCGCGAGGTGGAGCGGCTGCGGGAGCAGCTGATGCAGCTGCAGCTGGAGAAGAGCAAGGTCAAGCGGGAGGACACGCTGCTGAAGGAAAAGGTAGGTGCCCGGTGTGCTGGGTGCCCGGGTTGGAGGCAGCACTTGGCGTGGTAACCGGGTCTGTGGCTGCTTGGCAATGGGCAGCCTCTGTGGACGTTGTGTGTGGAGGTCGTGGCGCGCACAATCTAGCATTTAAACCGCAGTTTCTAACCTGGGATTGACTGCACACATGCAAGAGGCGGCAGCACGGACGCCTGTCTGATACTATCGTACCATCGCAATGCGCGACACCTTCACTTCCCCCCCCCTTCCTTCCCACGTCAGGTTCGCTACACGGAGAACGTCAATGCGGAGCTGCACGACTTGCTGGAGAAGTACGAGGCCGAATACTTCCAGGCGCAGAGCCAGCTGGAGGCGGACCGTGCCGCCGCGGAGAGGCGCGCGGTGGGGCTGCAGGAGGAGGTGGTGAAGCTGCAGGAGCGGATCAACATGCTGCTGGCGGCAAAGGAGCTGGGAGGAGGAGGAGGGGGAGGCGAGGGCGAGGGCGGCAAGTCGCTGCTGCAGGGATCGCGGTCGGGCGAGGAGGGCGGCGCCAGGGGCGGCAGCTACCGGAAGACCATGGCCGAGCGGGACGAGCTCATTGCGATGGTGGGGCTGGTGGGGCGGGGAGTGGGGTTACCGTAGGCTGGGAAGGGAAGCGAGACTTGCATGCCAGATGTATAGAGTATGCAAGAAGTACAAGCTTGTAGAGCACGGTGCACGTCCTCCCAACCACCTATTTGCGACCATGTCCATCATGTCCTACTTTGGCCAACACCTCCCTGCGCCCCGCGCCGCTACCGGCCATGCACCCCCCGCATGCAGATCGAGGCGCTCAAGGTGGCTCGGGAGGAGGCGGAGCACCTGCGCACGGACCGCGCCCGCCTGCAGGCCGACCACGAGGGTGTGGCCCGCGAGCTGGAGGACGTGCGGCGGCACCACAAAGACGCGCTGGACCGGCTGACGCAGCAGAACGAGGCGCTGCTGTACGCACTCAACCAGTTCAAGGCCAAGGGCGCAGACATGACGGTGTTTGACCAGGTGCGTTGACCAGACCGCTCCCACCTTGCGGGGCGAGAAGAGAGAAGAGAAGATGCCCCCGTGATAAGATGCCTCCGGGGGAAAGTGTGTCCCCAGTTGGGCTCTCCGGAGGTTAGATGCCGGTGGTTGTTTCTGCTAACGGCGTCCGGGGCTGATTTCGCGGCATCTTTCGGGTGTGCAGGTGAAGGCCGTGGCCGAGGCCAGCGTGAACGAGCTGAAGGAGCGGTTGAAGGACCGCGAGCGCACCATCGCTGCGCTGCGGCAGCAGCTGGAGGACGAGGCGGCGCAGGCGCTGGCACGACACACCGCGGACCGCGCGGAGATTGAGCGGCTGAACCAGAAGCTGTTTGAGCGGAATGACGCGTCCATCCAGGACTTGAAGGTCAGATTACCGTGCAGAAGTCGCAGGGGCCGCTCACTGACGACCCATAAGTCACAACATCCCTTCGCAGCGGCTAGTCGGATCACAGCAACTGCAGTGCGTAGTCTGCCAATACTATCTCTCAAGGCGATGCCCCTTCCTTTCCTCTCCTTCCCCTCCGCCATTCCCGCCTTGCCTTCCCTCGCTGCCTCCCTCCTCCTCGCAGTCCGTGTTGGAGCGCATGCCGCTCAAGCAGGCGGGCCAGCAGGTGCCGGAGGAGCAGCTGCGGCTGCGTGACGCGCTGGAGCGGGCGCAGGACAGCATCACAGTCCTGAAGAACCGCCTGGAGCAGAAGGACGCCGCCATAGATGTGCTGAAGCTGAACTGCGAGCAGCAGGTTCGTGTGAAAAGGCACCTGGTGGACTAGGTTGCTGTAATCACAGCATAGGTCTCATGTGCAACCTTGGCTATACAGCCAGCATGCCCCTGGTGCCGAACCCGTACCTTCCACCACACTACCGTGTTGCCTCGCAGGTGAAGCAGCTGAAGGAGCAGATGCAGCGCGTGCAGGCAGAGGCGGAGGCGCGCGCAGTGGCCCGCGATGAGGGCCCCACCAAGGCGCAGCTGCAGAAGCTGAGCAGCCAGGTCAAGATGAAGGATGAGATGCTGCGCCAGCTGAAGGCCGCCATCAAGACCCTGGAGGCCAAGCTGACTCAGGTCATGAAGGAGCATGCGGACGAGTGAGTGTGGGGTGCTGAGTCAAGGGGTGCACGGCACCCTAGATGACGCAGGAAGGGGCTTGGAATAAGCTGATACGTACCGGTCGGTAAGCTGAAGCGCACATCCCATGACGTTACCTACACCCGGGTACCGATACCAACGGCATTGTGTTAAGGAAACTGGCATTGTGGTCACATGCGGGTAACCTGCGGGGTAACATTGTTCATCCACGTATCCTTCCGCGTGCCACCTCCCGCCTGTCTGCAGGAAGATGCAGGCTGCCAGCTGGCACGTCCAGGAGCGGCTGCAGCAGCAGCTGGAGCAGCTCACCTCGGAGCGCGAGGAGCTGCAGCGGCGGCTGGCGCTGGCGGAGGACAATGTGGCTGCGGCGGCGGGGGCGGACCAGCACCTGGCGGAGCAGCTGCGGGAGGCACACAGGTGGGTGTGACAGCAGCTGACATGGGGGGGTGTTGTACTGTTGTTGACCTGCCCTGTGAGGCTGGGAAGTGCTTGTCCGGGGGGTGTTCCTCGTGCCCTAAGGGCTTAAGCATCCATTGTGTGCTTTCCTATGTAGCCCTACTACCAGTAGGCCGTGCTTACGCTGCCACCCACGCACCCTTGCCAGTTTTCTTAACACACCCTGCACCCGCCAGGCGGTTACAAAAGGAGGTGGACTCCCGTGTCGAGGTGGAGAAGCACCTGGCTGCTGTGCGGGAGGAGCTCACCAAGTTCAGGAATGCACGGGAAGCGGTGAGTGAAGCGTTGGTCGCTGCCCATGCAGTTCATCAGCACTGCGCATGACTGCACCTGACCCCTCACCTCTCCGCAAGTGGTGCTACTGCTGTTTGGCGTGGATTAGCATATCACCCCGTATCACCTCGTGTGCACACGCAGGTTGTGGACCTCACAACGGGCATGTCTGTTGAGGCCAAGCGCCAGATCGACGAACTGAACAAGCGCATCAACGTGCTCGAAAAGCAGAACGCGGCCCTCAAGCGTATGGCCCATGTGGACGTGGGCGGGGGAGCTGGTGACGGCACCAGCTCCGGTGGCGGCGCGGGGGCCGACGACCAGGACGGGGGCGGCGGCGGCGGTGGCAGCTCCACCAGTGGGCGGCGAGCACCGGCCAGGTAGGCTTATGGTTGGGTGCCCTTGAAACTGTGATGTCTGCGCCATGGCTATCAGTGCCCGTAGTGTGCGAAAGGTACCGGTAGCGTCAACTTGGCCCTTTGACATGCTCCGCGTGCAGGGCCCCGGCTGTACGGCGCACGACATCCAGCAGCCGCCGGGAGCACGACGCAGGGGCCGCGGATGACCAGACGGGTGCAGTTCCCGCTGCCGAAGTCGACCCTGAGGCGGAGGAGCGGCGGCAGAGGGCTCTGCTGCAGTGGGAGGAGGGCAAGAAGCTCAATGCCAAGATTGAGGCGCTCAAGTAGGTTGCTTGTACGGAATGTGCCGCTGTGTAATGCCTAATGCTATATGCCTGAGCTGCTATGGCCATGCACTTTGGGGGCTAGTTTGTTGCATGGCATGGAGTCATGCATAAAACGCCACAGGCTGGCTCGGCGGCCCTTGCTGCATCCCTTCTTTGAGCCATGCAGCCCGTGCTTGTCACAGCCAATGCCGTTCCCCCGTCCGTTGCCGCATGTGCATCACACTGCTTGCATGTCCTGGAACCCATTGCGGTACCTGAGGCGGATGTGGTTTTGCTCCTCCCGCAGGAAGCAGCTTGCTGCCAAGACGAGCGAGGCGGTCACGCTGCAGAAGGAGATCGACCGGCGGGCGGTGCAGGCCACAACGCTGCAGGCGGAGGCGGACCGACAGGCCGCTGCCATCCGTGACCTCTCCGACAAGCTGAGACGAGCGCTGGACGCGCCTCGGAACGACAGGGCCAAGGTATGTGGGTTGTGAGCAATTAAGCCACACACTTCTGGCTTCTGGCCTCTGCGCGGTGGATGCCGCGTGGGGCCAGACAGCATCGCTGCCGCTGATGCCGTAAGGCGGCAGTGTGGTTGCGGTGCCGCTACTGTCTCGTAAACTGTACTCGTGCGCGGGCACTCGGTCAGCCGTTGCTTGTTTCCCATTCACTCCAAGCCCGTTGCCATGCGCCATCGTATGTGGACCCTCCCCCCTTCACTTACCCCCCGAACCCAACACTGCCTCGCTCCCTCACACAGCTCCAAGAGTACATGGAACGCTGCGCGGCAGTGGAGGAGGCCCGTGACGCGCTGACCGCCGAGGTGGCGCGGCTCCGACAGCAGCTCGGCGGCGCCAGCGGCGGCGCCAGCAGCAGCTCCGCCAAGGCGCCTCCCGCCTCCCCAGGCGGTGCGCAGCTCAAGCGCGAGGAGGACGTTCTGGAGCTGCGGCTGCAGCGGGACCAGCTGCTCATCAAGGTCAAGCGCCTGGAGGAGCACGTGGCGGAGCTCAAGAGCCTGGCGGGTGATGCGGGCGCCGCTGCGGCCGTCGGCTCTGGCAGCAGACGTGTAGCGGGTAGCGGCCGCACAGCCGGCGGCATCACCCCGGCACGTGAGGCGGAGCTGCTGTCCACAATCACCAACCTGAAGGCGGCGCTGGAGAAGGCCACCGCCAACACCACCTCCACCACAAAGTTCATGGCGGAGGTCACCAAGCGCAAGGAGATGCAGCGCGCAGCGGAGGTAGCCCGCGGCGAGGTTGAGCGGCTGAAGCAGCAGCTGGCCGCCAGCAGCCGCATGGTGGCGGAGCTGCAGTCCGCGAATGCGGAGCTGCGGCGGCAGCTGCGTGCCGCTCCTGGGACAGCGGCGGCGGCGGCAGGCGGGGCGCATGGGGTTGGAGTGGCGGAGTTGGGTGTGCAGCTGAGCAACCTGGAGATGCTGCTGGGGCAGCGGGACGAGGAGGTGGCGGCTCTGCGGGGCGCACTGGCGGCGAGGGACACGGAGCTGGAGTCGCTGCGGGGGGCTGGTAGGTGGTGGGCTTGGGGGGTAAGGGTGTTGTCACAGTTACATGGCTCTTAGGCAGCACGTGCCGCGCGTACATTGGTAGCGCAGGCCCTGTTTATTGGCTCATCCCCCTCTCCAATGCAACCGTGCAGGCGGTTCCAGCGGTGGCAGTTCAGAGGTGGAATCCCTGCGTCGCCGGCTAGCCGAGTTGGAACGGGACAACGAGGACCTGCAGAACGAGCTCAACGCCTTCGACCCCGACTTCTGGGACGAGATCATGGAGATGAAGAAGCAGCATTTGGTGCTCAGCGAGACCGTTGGCAAGTACGAGGAGCTCATCGTAGAGCTGTCGGATAGGCTGGGCATTGCGCCGCCGCTGCCTCGAGGAGGCGGCCCAAGGTTTGGCCCGGGAAGACGAGCGGGCGGGAGAGGGCCAGACGGACAGGGGTGATTGACGCGCGACATGATACGTGCTGTGGTGATCGTGTGTTCAACATTGAGCGAGCTGCATGTGAGTGACGCTATAGGACGTTGTAAGAGTGACAATTACGTGTATGAAGTAATGCCACTGCACTTCATTGTGAAACTTGAGCTGACATTGGCGGGGGCTTGTACGTGATCTCACAACGGGCTCAGCCGTAACTGTTACCGTTGCACATACTGCCTGCTGAGCACTGACTACCGTTATACATGCATGGCGTTACGTGCATGGTGAGTTTCAGATGGTATGCATGCATTATGTTCCCTACAAACTATCTGCGCGGGTCGTGGCACGCCCATGGCTGATCGCAATCGCCAGACCATGACACATCGTGATAACCTTTCCACGAATCAATACTGTAACTATGCAGCGCTTTCATCACCCCAGCACACGTCCAGTCGCATGACAAGCTACTACCACGCTTAGAAAGTTGATCCCGAACGATGGACGCAAGCAGTCAGCAGCCAAAGGAAAGAGGCCGCACGATCTGCCCGCATGTGCAGGTGCCTGGGCACCACAGCAGCCCTGAAACCCGGCAGGAGCACCTAGCGAGCCTGCTGGGCGTAACCAGGAAAGCACGCCACACGACCACAGACATACCCATCTACCGTATCTGGCGCGAGCGCTCTTGGCGTCACATGCATAATAGCGTTGTAGGCACTGCCCGCTTTCAGGGGCTCCGCACGCCTCTCATGTCTCCCACTTTCACACAGTCAGGCAGTTGAAAGCCATCGAAGCGCCATAAAAACTCCAGCTGTCACACTGCCGCTCAAAACTGCCTGCCACTCTCGTTCAGTCAAGCCCCAGCAGTTCACCCAACGCTGCCTAAACATCCACCACGCCCCCACGCCCTTACACCACTCTCGGTTGAGTTCAGTAGCTCATAAGTTTCGCACCCCTAAGCCCTAGCGACAGCACACACCGGCCCCAGGGCGTGTAACACTTGAAGCAGCATGGAAGCCCCCCTGTTAGCCCCCACCACGACATTCCCCACGGCTCTACGGCTGCTCCGGGCGCATGAATTCCTTGCCGTACACAGGCAGATCTGGCGGCCGGTTGGGCAGACGGCCCAGGTTCTGGAACAGCGGCGGCGGCACCTTGTCGGGCTGTTGGGAGTGCTTGCGGACCATGTCCACGAATGCCTGGTGCCTGTGTTACATGCGTTGCATGCAACAGGCAAAGGGGAAAAAGGCGGCATCGCGTCAATGCGTCGTGCACAATTCCTCGTGGAAGGGGAGGTAAACTCAGCCTAGCCCAGTGCCCTGACTCGCTCCCCTGCTACCGGCCCATCACAAGTCTCACAACCCCCAAACACGCTTCCCGCGCAACCGCTCCCAGCTCACCAGCGGATGTCGGTGGTCAGCTCCGGATGGAAGGCGGTGGCCATGAGCACGCCCTTGCGCACACCCACAATCACTTTGTCGCGCCCATGCGCCGCCACCTCCTCCGGCGTCAAGGTGTATTCCGCAAGCACCTCCACGTCGGGACCCGCGCTCAGGACGGCGGGGGCGCGGATGAAGACGGCACGGAAGTCGTCGGTCCTGGGAGGCAGGGGGGGGGGGGGCAGGGAGGTGCAGGGTGGCGCACGTCACCATGAGTTCAAGAGGCGCGGTTCGCCCCAGGTGGTGATGCAGGAGCTGAGGTGAGATTTGCGATTTGATGATAATTGAAGCTGACGACACATGCAAACTGCTGATATGGGTCGCAGCGTGAGATGCGTGAGATCGTGTGGGATGTAGCCAACGCCATATTATGAACCCAAACATGCAACCGTGAGCCTGAGCCAGTCCGCCCTGCTAGTCGCCCCATGTCCGTCGTACTTACGAGCCGAAGGACCTAATGCACTCTGGTGCCGGCAGCCGCGTCTCGAAGCTGTTAATCTGCAGATGGGGTTTCAAAGTTAAGCTGCATTAGCATGGCCTTGAGGCAGCGTCAAGGAGCACGGCTGCTCCAAGACTCGGGAGGGCGCCCCCAAGCTCACCTGTGCGCCGAAGAAGTTCCGCGAGACAGTGATGTCCAGACCGCCCAACAGAGATTGCCCGCCCTTCTTCTGACCTGCATCCGGCGCACCGAATCCACAGCAGGCCCAGGTTAGGGGGCGTTGTAAATGTACGGATGGCTTGGTAAGCCTCCGGGTTACCACCCCAGACAAGACCCATATCCTGTCAAGTAAAGGCTTTCCGCTTCACACGAAGCACGCGATAGTGAGGTTACCTACCTTCGGCAGCTTCTGCCAGAAAAATCATGCCAGCGCATGTGCCCCAAACGGGTTTTCCAGCCTTCGCAAAGGACTGCAGCTCCGGAATTAGGCCCCATCGCTCAGCCACAAGCGCCATAGTCGTGCTCTCGCCGCCGGGAATGATGAGACCAGCCACGCTTTCTAGCTCCTCCTTGGTGCGAACCTCGACCACCTCCACGCCAGGGACCTTTTGTAAAAGATACATATGTTCACGAAACGATCCTTGGAGCGCTAGCACTCCAACGCGAATTGGTGTGGGCGCAGGCCCGGCGGCGTCCATTTTGCAGCGTTTGTAGGCAACGTGTATGTTTCAGAACAACGTAGTGTATTCGTCAAAAGGCCTGGTAAATTGAATATAACAAATAGGGTTATGACACGTTTCACTAGCATCGGCGCAACCGTCGCCATTCGCGACAGCCGGACATGTGTAATCCATCCGTGTGTTACGTGGCGCTTATTTTAGACCAAAGCGAACCGAACATTACAAGCACTCGTTAAAGCTGCCCAATTTCAACGCCTGCACACTTCAGCCAATCGATGTGAAGTCGAGTCGCCTTTATGCGCAAAAGCGCGCCGTTGCGCCAAGCAAATTCAGCAAGCGCCATTTCCTTTGATGGTACCGCTTGAGCAATTGAACTGCTGTACTCGAGCAACGCAGTGATGACTGACCCACGGTCCCTAAGAGCCTCCGCGGCCTCGCATGCTCCATGGCGGTCTGTCGCAGCAGCAAGCTGCTCCCGTAGTAGCGGAAGTAACTCATCCACTAGCTCTTCAACATCGTGACGGTGAAGAGTCGCTATATCACCAACCTGCAATACCAGTCGTAGTGCAAATGGTCCTTAGGTAGGCGGCGGGTCCTTGCGGCGGCCTGCAAGAAACTTGCGGCAGCCCGCTTCCCGTCCCAAGCGCCCCTCGACTCTCGCGAGGCTCCCAACCCCACCAGCACCCACCGTGGCCCCTCCCAGCGCGGCGCTCATCATCCAGAAGATGCTCGCCCACAACATCTTCTCCACCAGGGCCCGGTACAGCGCCGCGTCGTCCACCACGGCGCACGACACTCCGCCGCGTGACAGCGTCCTTGCCACGTGACCCGCCCACCTGCGCAGCCAGGAACCTGCTGCTTACCGGTCGTGCACAACTGTACAACATGCAAGGCCTGCAGCATGCTGTCAGGAGGTATAGAGCAACCTGGTAGTGGGTGCGACTCGGGTTTGTTACGGGTATCGCAACGTTGGAAGGTGCCGTGCGGCCGTGTGTAGCAGTCCAGCGTCCCCGCAGTACCATACTGCAGATGCTTTTGAGCATGGCATTTACGGTACCAGAAAGCATTCTGCGTTATGGCGTTGGCGCTTTCCTACACCTCCCGCCACGCCGGTGCCCCGCTCCCACCTGCCAGCCGCTACCGTGCGCAAACCATCCTTGACGGAACCATCGGGCCCGGCTGCATGGGGGAAACGGAAACAGGACAGACCAGCACGGGATGGAAAAGGCACACAGCACAAGATGTGAACATATCCTTCAGTAGAAATGTGCATGTGCGCCGCATGCTTGCACTGAGAAAGCGGCTCATTGCCCTGCTGCCCTGCACCGCAGCCCGCCCCAATCCGCCACAGCCCTGTTCCCCGCCCCCTGGAGCCTCCCTTCTCCCCCCGTCCCACCCGCCATGTACAGCGCCACCAGCGTCACCTCCCGCAGCCCCTGCCGTTCCAGCAGCGGCAGCAGCCAGCCGTTCTGCAGCAGCACCAGGTCAGGCCGACGGGGCGGCGGTGTACGGCGGATGACGTCATCCAGCGCATCGTTGGTGGTGGCCACGTAGATGGGGCCCTGCAGGGTGGGTGTGGGAGCCCCGAGGTAGGCAAGGGGAGAGAGGGATGCGTGGCTAGGCGGGGCTAGGGGAAGCGTGCAGTGCGGGCTGTGCTGGACAAAGCTGCCAGGCGTGGCAGACACGGATATGGCGAGTGGAACGGTCATATATGGGGAGTGGAGTGGTACGCGGAAAGTGGTGGCGCTGGCTGCCTGGAGCGGTGGGTGGATGGAGGCAGAGGTAAGATGGAGGGTGAGAGCACCTTTCCGTCATCGGAGATAGCGCCATCATGACGCGACACCACCGCGCCCAGGTCGCGATCCAGCATTTTCGCGATGGCTTTTCCAACTCGGCCACATCCAACTAGCGTCGCTGGTTCCGAGATGTTTGCATCGGTTGCTCCTGATAGCGCTTGTGGTCGCTGCATTTGGTCGCGACAGGATAACCTAAATTCAAAGCTACAAGATCTTGGCGGACAGTAATGTGTTGTCTTTACTAACGCCGCTCGCGAGGTTCTGCTTGTACAGCAATGCAGAGAGATATGCATTTCGCCGTAACTTCGGGATCAATAGTAAAAACGTCAGCTAGCATCTACCATCTACAAGGGCTGCTCATACTAATACTCTATACGACTGCTGGCAGTACTAGCACGGACTGTACGGGATGGCATCACACTACGGCATCATCGCATACATCAACCTGCATAAGAGAAAACACTCCCAGCTTAATCCTACGTGGCCTCAAGTCCCTGCCCACATGCCTGGATGCGTCCAGTTCTCACTAGCAATCCTATACTCAGCAATCACGACACCCTTTACACCCGCCATGGGGCACCCTGGGCGAAACCTCCTCCTCTCAACGATCCTCCAAGCAGGGGCTACTCGTCGTCTGGTGACGGGTACTTCTTCGACTGTTCCCGTACCATCCTGCAGGTGCGCGGCATGAGGGACAGCGGGGCCAATGTGCTTGGGCTTAGGAAACGGTGTCCGACAGCCCAGCAACCAAGGGCTACATGCCAGCTAGCGTGCAGCAGAGCGTAAACACGACCAGCGCTGGAACAAGCCGTCAGGAGTGCCAGGCAATAAGGACAGATGGCGTGCATGCGCAAAAGCAGGGGCGGCGAGCCAAACCGCCAACCACACACACAGTGGCAACATCCCAACAGTCACGTGGGTGTGTCCTGCATGAAAGCCATGCATGCATGCACGCCCAGTTGGGCACATGTATGGCCTACAGCAGCACCTACTTCTCATAGGTCGCCGGGCTGTTCTTCAACACGTCGTAGGCGTGCTTCTGCGCACACCCGGGGGGCGAGGAGTTCCACCAGGCAACACGTCAGTCATGAACTCATGATGCAATCCTTACCGCTGCTGCTAGAGATCAGCACATGCAAAACGGGCAGAGCGACCACTGCAACACCGCTGCCATGCTTGACAGGCTTTCCCTCTCCGTGACAAGGAGTCATATGGAAGAATGGAACACAGCACGTGCCCTGCGCAGCTTGCCTGTGCCGGTGAGTAGATGTTGGGGTTGTTCAGGAGCTCCTGGATCCCCTGCAGGATCTGCGCAGCGAGTGGGTGGGGGACGGACGAAGACCGACACCATCACCGGCAGTGCCAGCTGGAAGCGACAACCCCCACGACTTGTGGGTCATGTGGATAATAAACAGCAAGCGAACCACCGTGCAACGCGCCCCACAGGGGCCAGGGTCGGGCATCACTCAAACCAAGCAGGCCGACCTGGTCATGCCGCGGGTTGGGCAGGAGCCACTGATGACCAGCAGCCTGGCAACCCTCACATGGTGCTGCATGCTTCATGCCTAACACTCCCTGTTTCCTCCTCTCACCTGGGTGATGGAGATGCTGGGAGCCCACTGGCCCCCCAGGTCCGCGTCGTTGTTGAGCAGGCTGAGGCACACCTGGGGTAGGGCAGAGGGCGGGCGATGTGGATGGGGCGTAGGCGGGTGGGTGTTGGCATCATGGGCGCAGGGGGGAGCCCCGCCTGCGAAGGGGTGGTGCACTGGTGCTGCCCCCGTGTGCGAGCAGCAGCAGCATGCGCTACGGCTTTGCACGTGTAGTCCTTACCTCGCCGTCTGGGTACACGTTCCTGTGGCGTCAGGATTGGGTAGAAGAAGGCGGGAGTGTGCGGTTAGAAGCAGCCGCGGGGTGGGGGGTAGGGAGTCTCGAAGCATGGTGTGCGAAAGACAGCATGAAGACATGGACCGGGTAAGGCCGCCACGCATGCGCCACGGAAAGGAAACACTAAAGGTCACATCCACATCGAAAAAAAAACTACAGGTCAGCCTACCTAAGCTGGATGCCTGGCAAGGTGCATAACGGCATACAAATCGTTCGCCCATGTGCCCTTGTAGCCTTGCATGCAGGCCCCCCCCACTCACGGGTGGAAGAAGCCCTCAGGGAAGGAGCAAGCAGGAGGCTCCACAGGGTAAGAGTCGCCGAACTTCAGGGTTACGGGGTAGGAGCCGCCTTCCCAGGCCGTCCCGCTGGGCCCAGGGATGCGGCACTCCCAGAGCCTCATGTCTGTGCTGCCTGAACATAATGGTCAGTAAGGGTGACACCACAACAACATAAGCGGCAATTCCAGGCTAACGTGGCGTGCTAATCGCGTCGGGTTAAGGGCGAGGCGCCAGGCTAGTTAGGAGCCTCACCATCGCCCTTGGTCGCAGGCTTCGCAACGAACCCGTACGGCCTGGGCAGCATGAGAAGTGCCTTAACGAGTCATCTACAGCCGCAAATAGTAAGAGAGCATACCTATTCTTTCGAAACAGCTTGCGTTCCTCCAGGAGGCGTTTATCGGCAAGGCCCGACGAGGACATCTGACAGATGGTAACCGGATGCGCGTCTTCCCACTCCTATTTGGCTGAAAAGTAGCTATATAAATGCAAGGACCTTGGATCCTTTTCAATAAGTACTTTGAGAGGCACAGATGCTTCGCGTTTCTGTAGACTCTGCCCCTAGGTAAGTTAGTCGCGTTTTCTTGTTGCAGCCCAATCCAGTGTATCCTATGATATGCTATGCTAAAAATGCTAAAGAGAAAGACTCCGCTCACAAGTGCATTTAAACAAGCGGCCCGGCTTAGCATGCATAGCATGTGCCGTCCTCATTACATTCGTCCGTACAATCAGTCAACTTACAATCGCAGGTGCGATGCTTTGTATCGGGTATGCAATTCGATGCAAAGCGCTAGCGCCTATTCTGTTGCAACTCTATCAACGCACTTCATCAACTTCCTAGATACACGGATGCCTCAACACGTCAACAGACCAGAAAGAATTGGGACTCTCGCAGCCTCAACCTGCCTAAGCCTCGCGCGCCTCCCAAACACTGCTCGTGGCGCAAGTCAGCGCCTCCGCCACAATGCACACCTCGTCCTTGGCGGCCGCCCCTGCACCCCACACCCATCCCCCACTCCGCCACGCAGTGGGCAGCACCACCTCCTCCTGCTTGCCATCCACAACGACCCCGGGCACCGCATACGGCCGTCGCTCGCTGCCGCCAGCGCTGCTTGCCCCTGCTGAACGTGGTATCGCCAGCACCACCTTCTTGTCCGACCCCAGCACCGTCAGCAGCTCCGCCGCCACCGCCGCCACCAGCGGCCAGCCCGGCACCTCCGTCACGCCTGCCGCTGGCGCCGCCAGCCGTGCCGGCGCCTCCGCCAGCGCCACCACCACATGCCGCTTTGCATCCAGCAGCGGCGCCGCACGCGCGAACGCACCCATCAGGCCGGCGCCGTACCTGCCGTACTTCCCACCGCTTGCACCGCTGCCGTACCCCGCCCCCGCATCTCCGCCGGTGACAGCCGCCCCCGCCGTCCCAGCGGCAGCGGCGGCTACCTCCCCTTCGTTGCCCGTCATAGGGCCCGCCGGTCCCTCCACCACCTGCGCTGACGTCAGCGCCGTCGTGACGGCGGCGGCGGCGTCGACGGCGGCGGCGGGCAGGTATCCGAATGCGTACTTGGCCGCCGCCAGCGCGCCGCGCAGCATGAGGTCCTCCGCCTCCGCCAGGTCTCCCGCCAGCGCGGCGGCGGCGGCGGCTGTGTGCACGTGGTCGGCGGAGGTGGCGCCGCTGAGGACCAGGGCCTGCGGACGTCGGCAATGTGGGGCGTGGGGTTGGGTGGGGAGATTAGGAGAAGGATAGGGGCCATCTCGGTGCGGGGCAGGTGGTGTGGGTTTAAAGGTTTCGAGATATGGATTGATATCATGGCGGCGGCAACAAACAATGACGACATGTCGGTTCCGGAGCCATGAAGACGGTTATCCTAGTGGCAGGGACCTAGCAAAACGCACACACCCTCCTCCCTCCCTCCCAAAGCACCCGCACCCGCATCAGTTGTTCCAGGTCCTTCTCCACATGCGCCTCCACAGTCGCCTCCACAACCTCCGCAGCAGGCACCTCCGCAGCAGGCACCTCCGCAGCAGCAGCCAGCGGCGCCGCCGCCGCCCCCGCTGCCTGGGCCGGCACCGGGAGCGCTGCCACTGACGCCGGCGGCGGCGGCGGCAGCACCATGACGTCAGGCGGCGGCGCCGCCACCAGGCTGGCTCCGATGTAGTAGTGCCGTACGGGTTTCAGTTGCTCGTCCAGTTCGTACACGAGGGGCGCCCCAACCGGGATCTCCAATGACATGATGTCCTGCGGGCGGGTGGGGGGACGGGGGAGGGGGCGGAGGCGGAGGCGGAGGCGGCAGCGAGCGCACGGGGCATGTCAAGGCAATAAGACGACGCTACTATGAACCCCTGCCCACCCCCCCACCTAATTTGAGATGCGTGTCGTTAGAATAGTGTCTCCGAATGCGCTCACTGCATGAGTCGGGATATGGGATTGGGACTCGTTGTTTCACATATTTAATTTTTCCCCACCTGGTCGCTGATGCCGTCCAGATGCTTCACGATGCCCCGCAGGCTGTTGCCATGCGCCACCACCGCCACCCGCCGACCGCTGCGCACCGCAGGGGCGATGTCGCTGTTCCAGAAGGGCACACTGCGAGCCACGCAGTCCTGGCAGTGAGGGGGGGGAGCGGGTGGCGTGTGCGTCATGCCAGCAGCCGCCGGGGGGGGGGTGTTAGCTGCTAGAGGATAAGCCGGCGGTGATGCTGCTGGTGGTGCCTGGCTGCTGTATGATGAGGTGTGCCGTACTGGTGGCAACAAGAGATGCTGCGGTAATCAGACGCGCGTGCGCAGCAAAGGCGCCGGCAGGTTGCGGAGACACAGTCGGAAATAAGAGCCGTATGAAACCAGTCACCCATCCATCCATCCAGCCACCCACCCACCCACCCATCCACCCAAGCAGCCAGACCGCACCTTGAGGCTCTCCGTCGCGGGCAGCTGCTGCTCGCTGAGCTGCGAGTAGCGCGGGTCGAAGCGCGGGTGGCGCGAGTCGGTGAGCTCCAGGGCGGGCGGCGGGGTGGTGAAGCTGCGGCGCCAGATGTGCACCTGGGCGGGTGTGAGGTGGGGTGGGGTGTGAGGTGGGGTGCGACGGGGTTATCGCAAACACATCGCAAGGGGTTGTGATGGGGTGCGGTGAGATGCCTGGTACCGTACATCGTTAGGACGCCTTCCAGTGACCTTCGTCAGCATTGCATGTGCAAGGAAGGAAGCCACTACACTCGCGCTCCCTCCGTCCCCGCCACTGCCCCGCCCGCTCGCCTGCTCCGCCCCGTGCAGCGCCGCCGTCTCCGCCTTGTTGAGGCCCTGCAGCGCCCCGTAGTGCCGCTCGTTCAGCCGCCAGCTCTTGACCTGGGGTGAGGGGAGGGGGGTAGGTATGTACTATCCGAAGCCAGCAAAAGTGCGTCTTTGCTTCAGACAGCCGGAGCAAGCCTTGTCAGCGGCCTCATGCTCTATCCTTTCCTTCGTGTGGTCACCACGCGTGTTCCCAACCGATGTATGTTGCCCAAAGCACAGCCCACAGCAAGACTCCCAACACCCCGCACGCATCGCACCGCCCACCTCGGGCGTGTGCAGCACATCCATCACATCCTCCACCATGTGCAGCGTGCGAATCGCCCGCTTCAGCACGGACGTGAAGGCCAGCTCGAAGCTGCAGCCGTGCGCGCGCAGCAGCGCCCCAGCTACCGCGGCCTGGCGCCGGCCTTGTGCCGTGAGGTCCACATCCGTCCAGCCGGTAAAGCGGTTGGCCAGGTTCCAAACGGATTCGCCGTGCCGGACCAGCAGCAGCTTGTGCGCGACCTGCTTGCCGGTTGCCGGTGCGCTTGGTGCGGGTGTGGCTGTTGTTGCGGGAGCGGAACTATCGGGTTGCATTATTCCGACGTGTGCTGTGCCTTGCTTCGTGGGCTTTGCGCTTTTTAAAGCAGCTGAAAAGGTAGGCGGATTTGTGAGGAAGATTGTGGGCTGAGGGAATTAGGAGGAAGGTTGAAGGTTGCGTGAGGGAGTCGTGCAGGTCGCTGTAAGCTAGCCGATGGACTGTACTTAGCTATGAGGTCATTCCCCAATCACGGCCATCCGCATTTCCTTGCTACTAGTGGATAGTACCTGCCTATTGTATGCTTTATCACTCCAGACCCAATGGAGGCGCTTCCGAATAAGAAGGGCAGCTATACTTGCAGCTAACATGACATGACAGCGCAATATCAGAACACACCGTCGTCACCGTGGCGTCCAGGAAAACGACCCGCGGGTCACCTGCTAGCTAGTCAACGTTTCATTTGCTGAAGTGACCTATATCCGCGCGGTTCGGGGCACGCCCCTCGTAGCAAAGTGCAGTACGTACAGCGTATCGCTTGGGATTGCGCTTACATTTCACGTTTCCGCTTTGAGACACCCCCTCCATTGTGTGCCAATTTGGGAAGGGCGACAGAACCCGAACCCTTGAAGCTTCACCAAAGTCCAGTCCTCTTACATAGAGAGGCGACGGGGAGTTCACAGGGAGGTAACGACGGGCAATCGCGTCTTTGCATACCCATGCGTGGCATTGTCCATGCGTCTGGATGGCTGCGTGGGCATAATCGGCCTCGACTGCCAACCTGCGGCTACAGGCAGTCGGCGCAACCCTTTTGTGATTGCGTTTGACGTGTCTTTAATGACATGTCACCGGACCTGTCAACCGTTGACGGTTATTGAGTTATGTTCTGACATGACGTACGAAACCCTTGGCTTAACTCCTAAGCAGGCAACTGATTTCGTCACCGCTGTGCATCGTCGTCACCGCGGTGCATCGTGAGTGGGCACTGTATTGTGATGTGAGGCTCTGTGCTGCGGAGCACTACGTACGGCGGGGCTGCTCAGCGGTGCAGGAGCATGCATGCAGGATGCAGCCGGTCCACCCTACCGGCGGTAGCTGGCTGGGATGTATGCCCAGAACCGCATGTCGTGCTCGGGTTGCCGGGTGACGGGTTGTGAACATGCGCGGTAGGGTGGCACCGGTTTACACCACTACGTACGGTACCCTGCTGTTGACTTCATCATCTCGCCAGCCCCCAATCCAACCATGCGGCGCCGTGTGTCAGTCAAAGCGAATGCGATCGTAGGTCGCATTGCGCAGTGAAACGACCCTGCCATGGCCCACATGGACCCTGCCATGGCCCACATGCCAACCATGCACCAACTACCCCAGGCAAAGAGGTATACGAGCTGTCCTGGGGACCAGACCTCAGCCATGTTTCAGCAGCATGGGAGCCCTATGCATGCGTCACATGCCAGCAGGCTTGCTTGGGGGCAAGCTTCAGGACGATGCTTCCTTTGGTGTTTCCATGAACGCAGCTGTTTAAGTGGACGAAAGACTGCTACATGCCGACATGCATGCCTCGTGCTATACGGCGTGCTGACTTGCCTTGTGTGTTTCACGACGCGGCGTGTCCTACCTCCTACGCGGGCGTGCTTCATCAAACAAGCACTGCTCTAGAACGGAGCCCAAACACAGCCCGGCCGCAGTATACAAGGCTAACGCTGAAAGGGGAGACTACCGGGGAGCTCCTACGAGTTATGGCATGCTAGCTGCCGTTGCCAATCATGCTGTGCTGTACTGTGGTGGTGTTGCTGTGCCGCTACGTCGCCCACGCGTGTCGAGTTGCTCTTAGCTGTAGCGCCTGACGT